CCAATTACAGAGCCGTCATTGGGCAAGGTCTTTGTCCAAAACGGTACATGCATAAAATTTGTCCAGTCCTATATTGGCGGTATTGATAATATTATAGGACAGTTCCACACATCTATAATGTCCTGTAGAATTCCTACCAGGCAGAGGCATTACGCAACCCCCCAACCAGAGATATCTCAAGGCAACAACTTCATAGGCTCTTTCGAGGTTTGGGGGGTCTGTCAATTCCATTCTAGGTATTTAGTAGTGGTGCAGCGCCCTGGTAGCGCCGTTCCTTCGGGTCCGGGGGTCCCCCAAATGTGCCCCACCCTCTCGCCTAATTCGGATGTCGAATTTGGTCTGTCCAGGAACTAGACGCGCTTTCTGTCAAAGTACGTGCTAAATGTATGGTAACAGCACCAACGCGCAACCACCAAAAAAAAAGAGTAGAGCTCAGCTCACATGCTTGTTGAAGTTTGACCCGTGCCAATTTGGTCAATACCAGCCCACTGTAAACAGTCATGCAATAAACGACCACCAAGCCTTGATATCGTGTCTATTAGCAGTTCGTCCTGGGGTTGACCTCAAAGACAGCCATGGGCTCGCTATTCCAGCTCCCGGATGAGCTCATCGCAACTCTCTTCACCACATTTCCAAGCCGTGAGCCCCAGATCCGGTCCCTGGCCACACTCGTCTACCCTCGAGCAGCACCATGTCGCAACTTGATCATACACGGCACTGAAGCCACCGGCAAGAGCGCCATCACGTCTTCTCTCTTGGCTGTCCTCAGCGAGGACGACAATACGGGTCTCGACTACGCCATTGTCAAGTCGCCCGAGTGTGTGACGGCCCGGCATCTTTTCGAGCGGACAGTTGACGCCGTCGCCGATGCGCTGAAATGGCAAGCTCCTGTTGGGCGGTGCGAGACGCTCGCCGCCTTGACGGTGGAGCTGAGCAAGATGTTGAAGTACGTCGAGAGAGGAAAATCTTGGCGGTTCGTGCTGGTCTTTGATGCCATTGACCGCCAAAGGGAAGCGCCGCCAACGTTACTACCCGCACTGGCGAGATTGTCAGAAATTGTACGGCTCTTGCAATTAAACCTGTTGTCAATTGGGCCTACATACTAATTGGATTCTTTCTCAGATTCCCAACTTGACCACCATCTTCATTCTCACAGCACCACTGCCGTCTACCCTCCGCACTTCAGGGACGCCGCATTTACATTTCCCACCTTATACGAAGCCGCAGTACGCAGCAATTCTTTCAACATCGCCCCCGCCTGCATTGCCGAATACTACGCAGCAAGAGACGACGGATCTCTACGCCAAATTCGTGGCGGCTGTTCACGACTCACTCACACGTGCTGCCTCGCGAACTTTGCCCTCCCTAAAACAGGCTACTGCCACGCTGTGGCCTCGATTTACTGCGCCCGTCGCCGCTGGAACACACAAGGCCAAGGAATTCAGCAAATTGATCATCCTTGCGCGCGTATGGTTACAAGACGAGTCTGTGCTAGCACCGGGCATTGTCCCGTCTGCAGTACGGCCTGTGGGTGTCTCGAAGTCTGCAACGCCAAGCGGCACGCCTCAGAAACCCGCAAGCACGACTGCAACCCCAACAAAGGCCAATGCTGGGGCAATCAAGACGGGTACAAGCACTACAGACCTGGCTGTCCTGCTGCCACGGACGGCGAGGCTGCTGCTCGTAGCGGCCTACCTAGCCTCGCATAATGCACCTCGCCATGACCAGACGCTGTTCAGTACTTGGCATCATGGCCGGCGGAAGCGGGGCGGAGGTCACGTTAAAAGTGGCCAGCGCTCCAAACACCGCAAGATTGCGCGCAAGCTACTCGGCCCAGGCGTCTTTGTGCTGGAGCGTATGGTGGCCATCTATGTAGCCCTACGGCGCGAGCAATTAGGCGATGGGGGCAAAGGAGGCAGCGCCCTGGGTGTTGATGCCGATGTGGGCATGGCTATTGCCACGCTGACAAGCTTCCGGTTGCTCGTTAGAGTCGGCGCCGGGGCTGGCGCAGGTGATATGGACCGAGGTGGGCGATGGAGAGTCGGTGTCGGCTGGGAGGTGGTTAGAGGTGTGGGACGTGGCCTTGGGCTCGAAGTTGAGGAGTGGCTGATTGAATAACGACCAATGGATATTATAAACACGCGAACTATTCCGGACTTATAAGTGCCAAAGAGAGGCAACCACAATGAGATACCCCCTGCAAGTACAAACTTGCCATTGACAGTCAAGATTACTTGGATATGTATATGACAGATCACTCGTGAACCACCTTACTGTTATTGAGATTGCAACAGGATGCAACGACACGGCAATTGCAGTCGTAATCATTTACTGGCGTAACATGATTTGATTTAGTTATCATAATTTTTCAACATGTTTTGTGACCTGTAGGCGGCATTGCCGATCCCATCCTTTTCTATCCCTGTTCTAATCTGTGCCTCCCACAATGATCATCTTGCCGCCAAAAGAAATGAAGTCTATACACCAGCTAATAGTTGACACGCTCAGTGCGCCATCAAACATGTGCCATAGAGAAGGTCGCACTCATGCTCAGCCAGTTAGGCAGATTCGAGCGCAAGAATGATGGCTGATCGGGATGGAATATAAACATGCGTCCAGTTCTGGCGTCCGTTCCATTCCATTGCCGTTGTGAAAAATCGGGTGTTCTCGTCGATACGACCGTGACCACCATACTCCTTGCTGTCGGTGTTGAGCACAACCTTGTACGTACCCGGCTGGTCGACGCCAATTCGATAGTCGGTGTAGGAGTTGCTAGGGTGGAAGTTGAAGATGAACACGACGCCGGCACGCTCAAAGATAATGACCTTGTCGCTCTCATTCTTGAGGCTGATATATGCCTGTGGGGCGTGTAGCCAGCCGTATCTCTCCTCGGTAAGATTCATGTCGCGATCAAAGCTGTTGAGGTCCTTGTAGCGAAGCAAGTGGTCCTCGGTCAGATTGAGCTGCCTTCGAGCATACCAAAAGCTGTTGTTGTTCCCTTCTCTGGGGAAATCCAGCCACTCGGGATGTCCAAACTCATTGCCCTCAAAGTTCAGGTAGCCTTCACCACCAAGGCCATGAGTCAAAAGTCTAATCATCTTGTGCAGCGCCATACCGCGGTCAATGACGGGCGTCAAGGGCGAAAGAGTAGACATGTTGGTGTACATTTCCGCATCACAAAGATGCATCATCAAGGTCTTGTCGCCGACAAGTGCCTGGTCATGTGACTCGGCATAGGCAATGGTCTTCTCGCCATGCCGGCGGTTTGTGAGAGTCCAGCAGATGTTGGCCATATCCCACTCTTCGTCTGTCTTCTCCTTGAGAATCTTGATCCACATATCGGGGACAGCCATGGCGAGTCGGTAGTCGAACCCAACACCACCAAGAGACAGAGGTAAGCATAATGCTGGCATTCCAGAAACGTCCTCGGCAATTGTGATCGTCTCAGGGTATAGATCATGAAGCATCTCATTGGCAATCATCAGGTAGACCACCGCTTCCTCATCAACTCCAGCACCAAAGTACTCGTGGTAGCCACCAGAGAAACCCCTGCGTCATGTAAGTATCCATTAAAAATGCATGAAAGAGCCAAGAATTACTTACGTTCCAATACCATGGTGGGTGTAAAGCATACTGGTGACACCATCGAAGCGGAAACCGTCAAAGTTGTACTCGTCCATCCAGAACCGCAAATTGCTCAACAGGAATCTGAGGACCTCATGGTGGCCGTAGTTGAACAACCTACTGTCCCAAAGCTCATGCCGACCTCTCGCACCTTCATGGAAGTAAAGATGATCTGTGCCATCAAACTCATTGAGGCCGTCGAGTACATTCTTCGAGGCATGGCTGTGAACCACATCAAGCAGTACTACCAGACCAAGACTATGGGCTGTATCGATGAGCTCTTTGAGGTCCTCGGGGGTTCCATATCTGCTACTGGCAGCAAAAAAGTTGTTGATTTGGTAGCCGAAGCTGGCATAGTACGCATGCTCCATGACAGCCATGAGTTGGATGACGTTGTATCCCAAATTCTTGATTCTGGGCAGCATACTGGCAGTAAACTCCTTGAATGTGGTCACCCGTGTCTCGGGTGATGAGATACCAACATGTGCTTCGTAAATTCTGGCGCTCAGAAGCTTCTTTGGTCGGGCATGCTTGAAAGTGTACCTCTCGGCTGCTGGCGGGTTCCAGAATCGAGCGTCATATGCAGGAGACACAGAGAGGTCCTGAGTGACATACTTGATCCAGGCTGGTAGTCGGTCGATTCGCTCTCCACTCGGCTTGGTCATGGAGATCTGCCATGTTGTTAGTTTGCTAGCTGCTGTGTATTTTTTGAGCGTGCAACCTGCCTTGAGCTTCGACTTGTGTGGAATGGCTGGCTCCCCATTGACTGCTGGGAGCACAATTTCCCAAACGCCAAAGTCATCCCGCTTCATGGGATGAGATCCTCTGTCCCAACCATCTTCCTAGTGTCAGCTGGAACGATTCGTGGAGCTCCTCGAGAACGGACTTACTGAAGTCTCCAATCAGGTAGGCCTCGGTGGCTCCTGGAGCCCATTCTCGATAGGTAATCTCATTGTCTTTGCCGACAATAAGTCCAAACTTCTCGGCTCCCTTTGCGCAACGAACCGAATTAGCGGAGGCAACCCAGGAATTTATAATGTGAGACGAACACGAGAGAACTTCTCCACGCCACCTTCTGTTTCGTTGATCGTCTTAATCCAATCTTGAGCCTTCGCATATCTTCGCTTCAAAGTGTCCTGGAATGGCGCCAGCCAGGGATCAAGCTGGACAACGCCTGGAGGGGGTGAGTTAGTACGAAAGGTCAAGTTCCCGGACGCGAGTCATTCATACCGGTGCCGTCTTTAGGAACCTCTTGTGGTGCACCAGTCGACGCATTCGGGTCCAGAGAGTTTGCTGAAGCTTCTGCCAACGGAGCTGCCATGTCTGTTGGATTTCGAAGATGTGTTTTGAGGGAAAATTGAGTGAAAGAGGAGCTCTTCTCTGGCAGCGTTCGAGATGATTGAGCTTTTCACTTAGGTAGTCCACAAAGTAGCTAGCGACCTTGGAAAGCTATGGGCCAGAACCGGGGTCAAGAACCAACTCCAGCGAGGGGCGCGTCTCTAAATACAGTTTTGACAGAGCTGTGAGACACAATTGTATATTTGTGGTACTTGTTGCATTGAAGTCTCTTGCGTTGTATTTCATTTAATCCCTCCCCTTCATTGCCAATCGAATTTCACGCAAGTCATAGTCTCAATGAGCACGGCAGAAGGTAGAGGGGGTAAACTCGCTAGCTTTATGACGTCGAGGGGCAATCAACAACGACAAAATTCAACGAAAATTATCCCTGCAGCTGCGGTATCAGCAGCACACCCAACCACAGCTTCAACAGACCCCTGGCTGGCAACCAAGAGGAGATTATCTGCTCGCCGCTAACAAGACTACACTCCAGTGACCAGTTGCCACCTATCGCCCAGTGCTCCATATTGTCACAGCGAGAATAGCACCATTTATCACCATTGGCTCTAATCTGGGGTTTGGGTACGATTATGGGTCTGGGGCAGGGGCTGGGGGAAAGACAAGAGGAGGGGCTTGCATGTTGTGCTGTCGTGCAAGCCCAGGAAAAAAAGACGAGCTCCAACGAGACGCAGATCAAATATTTTCAATGTGCATGAATAATACTTCTTACTGGTCGACACCCAAATCACCATGGGATTGTTTTAAAGTTCGTAAACCCACGACAGCTTGAGCACTGATCAGTTTGCTAGTATCGAGAACGGTTCAGGATTAGTGGCGGCTCTTAGCGGCTCATCCCACCAAATTTCCCCGCCGCAATGGTGCACCCCGCAGAGTCTAGACAGCAGACAGCTGGGAGCTTTAACGAATAGCCAGTGAACCGCCCCATTCAATGGATATGACGGTACCTAAACAGGCATGATCGAAACACCAAGGCCCAGGGAGTGATTGATACTTGTCTATACACATCTTCGTTGCATCGTCACAATATATCTTATACTTGAAGAATTACATTTCATTCTTTTTACAACTTCAATTGAGTTTCTCCGACCGCTTGCCCGTGTTACATATGTAGTCCTCATGAACAAGGAAGGTACTGATATACGTACATTCTACCCCGCTTCCGGCGCGCAGCGGCTTAACAGTACAATGTACAGAGTAATGATCAGCTGACGCACTGCTCTCCCAACTGCGATCAACGGTCCGATCCAGGAGCACTGCTCGTCCTTTTCCACTTCCATACCTGTCAAATCTGACTTGTGCTTCATCTTTACCCTTGGATCTTGGCAACGCTTCATTGAATGTGAATGCGTCACTTTTTCTGCAGCGACTTTCATCTTTGCACTACCAAAGCCTCATTGCGACTCCAGCGAATGCGCCTTTGGTAGCTGCGGAGCCGCTCCCTTCAATAGCCGCCCGCTGGAAGGGTTTGGGGGTTCTGAATCTCGAACGGTCAACCACCATGTTGTCGATGATAAAACGAGTACGGGCGGCTCCCGTATCCATGCCATTGTCGAGTTTGCGCTTTCGAGGATTTGCGACATCACTGCCTCTACGAACAGCACCTCGCCGAAGCCGAGACCTATCATCCAGCTTCTCCAACACATACGATCCGGACGAGGAGGGCAGGGGGCCCATGTTTAATAAGAATACATTCGGTGTGCCTAAATTCTACCCCAGAGATCTAAAGAAGCGGGTGGACGAGTACGTCGTCGGACAGGACCGTGCCAAGAAGACTATATCCTCCGTTATCTTCAATCATTACCAAAATATCAGGCGAAGACATCACCAAGAGGAACAAGAGCGCAAGCGTGAGGAGAAGCTACTCCGACGTCATGAGGCAAGAGACAGGTTTGCACGCGAAAGGGAAGGAGTGCATCCTGTCGAAGGTGCGCCGTACTATCATCCGGTCCGCCGGAGCTATGCTGCTGACGAAGTCTATGAAGACGAATTTCCCGGCCATAATGAGTCGGTCAATGATCGCGCGCACAAGGTTTGGCAGCATCGAGAGGAGGAAGATGATTTCTACATTCCGGAAGATCCGAGTAGACCACCCCCAGTCAAGATCGACAAGAGCAATCTGCTCTTGCTGGGCCCAACAGGCGTCGGAAAGACTTTCATCGTAGAGTGAGTAGCAGACGCAACAATTCACTGATAGCACCACTGACTGATCCACGTCTATAGAACGCTCAGCAAGAAGATTAGCGCCCCACTGACCATATGCGATTGTAATTCCTTCACACAAGCAGGCTATATAGGCCAAGACGTCGAGACCTGTATCGAACGATTACTTATCGAGGCCAACTACGATATCAAGGCATGCGAGCATGGCATAGTGATACTAGATGAGTTTGATAAGATCGCCAGACGAGAGACTATGAATGGACGCGATGTGGGCGGCGAGGGTGTTCAACAAGCGCTGTTGAAACTGGTGGAGGGATCCAAAGTCACCGTAAATGTCAAAGACAACCGATCCTCGTCATCCCGTTCCGCGAGCCCCATCACGACCAACTACAGCGGACCTGGCTCTACATCGTCTAGCTCTGGTCCCCAGACCCAACCTCCTCAATCTGGCAAAGTTGATCAGTACACGATCGACACTTCGAACATTCTCTTTGTGTTCTGTGGTGCTTTTGTTGGGCTTGATAAGCAAATCCTGAATCGAGTCTCCAAGTCGTCCATGGGTTTCGGTTCTGAGCTGCGTAGCCGAGCAGACGACTCCAAAGGCCGAGCCAATCTACCTCTGGATCTTTTCAAACATCTCCCGCATCGACCAGCGAATGAAGAGGATAGATCAACTCTGACGCCATTGGATCTTACAATCCCGGAAGACCTGCAAGGCTTTGGGTTCATACCTGAGCTAATTGGACGCATCCATAATATTGTGGCTCTCTCTCCCCTTTCCCAAGATGATCTCTTTAGGATTCTTACCGAGCCAAGGAATAGCCTCGTTTCTCAGTATACTGCTCTTTTTGAGACGTATCCATCAACTTTGGCCTTTACACAAAAAGCACTGCGCGCAGTAGCTGAGCGTGCTGAGAAATCGCGAACCGGAGCGCGTGGTCTGAAGATGGAGATGGAGCGTGTACTAGCTGAAGCCATGTTTGATGCTCCTGTACCGTATGTTCTCGTGACGGAAGCTGCTGTGAGAGGTACAGATAAGCCCTGCTATTGGGGGAAAGACGGCAAGTATGAGATGGAAAGGCGAATCAAGGATGAAGATGGCTCGCTGCCGCACGATAATACTGGGCATGGTGCCCGGGAAGTTGTGTCAGGCACAACTTTTGAGCAGTATAGGCAGGCTGGAGAGAGCGGCGCATAGTGATCATGTCCTTGAGGGAAGCATTTGCGGACAAGCTATTATTGGCAGTCCGTATGGAGTTATGGGTTTTCTGCGGCATTCGGCGAACGATTTGAGCAAGATTTCTGATGTTCAAGTGCTTGCTTTTTCGCGTCGGCATGGCATAGCATTGATTCCGAAAGCGGTATATATACGCCACTGAGCCCTGGTTGATCTGGGGTGTTTTTGTGTATAGGCCAAGTGCGTTTGAATATACAGCCCCACGGGTATAATTGTTCAATCTTCTGTAATGTCAGTACATGCCAATTATAATTGCTTGGGGCCTTGACCTGCCACAAGACTACATACCATCTGTGTATTCCAAAATCGTTGAGACAAGGGCTAGTCATGATTGTTTCCTGGAGTTTGACAGGTCAGTTGATAGGCAGAACATGGGAAAAGAACAGCCGTGATGAGTCAAGACAGGATCCGAAATAGAGCCTTTTCTGAACGATATGCAACTTTCCATTTATACATATGTACAACTGGCCACCTATACATCCCCTGCGACTTCTGCCCACTCCTAAACGTGTCCCGCTTCCTCGCTAGGAACGATACAGTGTTTTGGTCTTTTCTGTCTTGTTCTTAGATAGAATAGCCAACCCAAGCACCATCTAGTGATTGATGTATTTTTATTGTTTCTTTTTTTTGGTGGAATTTCTCCTCTCGATTCGGTACATGTCTCTCTTTTTTTGTACACTGGTGGACCGTTGTTTTTGTCGTCGCTTTGCCCTTCTCTCCTGCCTAGCCGTCCGTGCCTATGCTTTCTCGAGCTTGCCTGTTCTTTCTAATGACAAAGGGAAACTTGTAAATTTGGGTACTAATTTTGGCATTTTTCGAATCTCATCTCGATCGACGGGTTATCATTAGTAGAGTAGTAGCTGTCGATGCAGCAGCGGCCATAGCACGCTTAGTGCTTGGGCGGCGACTGAACCATACCCTTGCCCTCGTAGCCGGGCGAGGAGATACCGGTAAGGGGTTCTGCGCGTTGGGCCTATTCAAAGTTGCCGTGTTAGTAACAGTGGGCACGACAAGGTGAGCCGTGACGTATGAGAATGAATGACGCACCTTGACGAACTCGTTCGAGGCCTCCTGGTACTCCTTGGTCATGGTGGACGGGGCGGGCTTGGCGAACATGCGCATGGTAGCAAAGACGGCAAACGAAACACCAACACCGATGGCGACGTAGAGGGCGACCTTGCGGCCCTCATCGGCAGGAGCCTGGGCACGGGGACCGTGGGGACCGAAAGCGATCCAGTATGCTGTTGGTAACAAATCGACGTGTTAGCAATCTTCTCTTGTCTGGATGTGTGACGTATTTATCTGGTGGTGCAAAAAGACCCGTCCGAGGCATATTCCGAAAACGCGACCCCACGAGCTCCATGGGTCCGATTGAGGCCGATGCAAGCTCAAGGACCTCATCCAAAATGCTCCCCAAGTCACCGCGGGCCGCTCGGAAGCATCGTCTTGTCCCAATTGATGCCAGGAAAAAGTTTCTCACGTACCGGCCTTCTTCTCCTGAACGGTAAGCTCGGCCCAGTTCTCCTTCATGCGATCCCTCAGAGCCATCCAGAGCTCGGCCTGCTCGGTGCTAGGCAGGTCCTCCCATCGCTTCTCAATGTTGGCCAGGGTGGGCTTGGAGATGGCGTGCGTCGAGGCGGCGGCCCTCTGGACCATGGCGAGGCGTGCCGAGGGAGCGGCAGCCCGGGTAGCGCGCAGCAGCGAAGTTCGCATCATGATGGGCGATTGTGTGTGTGTGAGAATATCGATGTCGAGATCAAAAAGAGAAAGGGAGTGGAGATGTGCCCAATTGGTAGGGATGGTCGCAGGCCGGATGTTGGGTGAACGGCGACGTTTTTTTGCGGTGGTGGGTGCGTCGTTGTTGTCGTGGAGGAAAACGGGTGGTGTGATGGGCTGGGCGTACGAATTGAGGTCGGGATCTAATTGCGTTTTTTTGGTTCGATGTGTCAGGCCACTCGGGCCATACATTACCTATTGCTGAGGTCCCAATGGATCAGGAGCTCCAGTTATGACCCACATTTGATGCCTCAGGCTACCAAATTCAATTCGGCTGCGCTCGAGCTCCTCGTCTTGTTTGGCTTTAGCTCTCTCCAACAAGCCATACATGCAGCACATTATGCCCAGTCTGTCCAAACTACCCGAGCTTATTACTGCTTTTCGTCCACTCTCAGCACATGAATTGCTCACTGGTTTAATGTAGGTAGGTAATGTACCTGCCTTAGCTATGTAGGTGGCCCGGTACCTACATAATTTCGTCGTCTTTACATGTCCAGTCCAGCTATCTTTCGGAACATCCGGTATGGCACAGCATCTGTATTCACCACAAAGATTGCAGTTTATCCCAGCTAGAAAGGCAGGCCTCTTGTATTCCGAGTCTTCTTTTTATTATCTAGGAAGTCTTGAACATTGCCAAGACAACATCAATCATCGAACTCACATCACTTACACCAGCGGCAGCTATAGGCGGTCTATCCTGCATCTACCACGGATGAAATATTCATGGTTTATGGCTCATGATTGCCTTTCCCTTGATATATTTTCAAATCACTTGCTATTCTCATGATTTGAAATGTTATTGGTTCACCTGTACAGTGCATGTGAAAGTGCTCCTCAAGTAGTCGAGAACAACCATGCCAAGTTTAAATGCTTCTTTATTTCATATAGGTACCATTATCGCATTTTTACATCGGGAAAGGCCTTTGCTACATGATCTGGATGTATTGGAATTATCGAATAATATCAAAAGATCATAAGTATCTAGTTTCATGATCCATTGTGTTGTATGGCCAGTATACTGATTAGCAAATCACGTGACCTCGTGCCAATCTATCTTTGATTGAAGACGCGTCAACACAAACCGCGATCAAATTACATTCGGTCACAGATTCAATACAATGAGACGCTCTTCGAGACTCGCTCTCGAGTCAATTGGCAGCCCAGTCAAAAGCGGTGCATCTCCAGCCAGTCAACAGCAGACACGCGTGCGAAGGGCGGCCAACATGTCCAGCACAAAGAGGAGTAAATCCAGCGATTCAGACGCGTATGAGAGTAGCACCAGCGACCGCGATGAGGCTGAGCGGGCAAACAAGAGACGAAAGACTACCCGTCCGGCCCCAAAGCGGAGCAATGGAAACCCAGGAAGCGTGCAACAACTCTTGAGCGCCGATGGTGCGCCGTCAGTACCCATTGAGCCCTGTGCACTTCCTCAGCGTCAGCATATTCTGTCATATCACCGGCCTCTTCTGCTAGATCGGCGACATGGTCGCGACGCGCTTCTAAAGTGGTTCGACGGCACTTCTGCAACACGCGGAATGCCATGGAGGAAACCGTGGATCGATCCGAGTTCGGTTCCCGACCCCGCTGCACTGCGCGAGCAGCTAGAGCGGCGCGCCTACGAGGTCTGGATCTCCGAAATCATGCTCCAGCAGACCCGGGTCGCAGTCGTTATTGATTACTGGAACCGCTGGATGGAGAAATGGCCGACGATTCACGCCCTGGCGGCCGCGAGCCCCGACGACGTCTTGGCCATGTGGCGAGGTCTTGGATACTATAGCCGCGCCACTCGGATCCACGAGGCGGCGAAGCTTGTCTGTGGCGACTCGGTCATGAAAGGCCTGCTCCCCAGTGACGTGGTCGAGCTGGAGAAGAAAGTGCCCGGTGTTGGCCGATACACGGCTGGAGCAATCACGGCCATTGTGTTCGGAGAGGCGAGTCCAATGGTTGATGGAAATGTACTCAGAGTGCTCAGCAGACAGATGGGTGTGTTGGGAGACGTAAAAACCGACAAAGCGACGATCGACTTGCTATGGAGTAGCGCTGATGCTCTTGTCAAAGCCGTCGCTAATGATACAGAGGTCGACGAAGAAGGAGATGTGTCGAAAGACCGACCACGAACAAGCAACCGGCCAGGGCGATGGGGTCAGGCTCTGATGGAGCTGGGGAGTACAACTTGCACACCAAAGCCAAATTGTGCGGCCTGTCCTATCACGGCATCGTGTCGTGCATATGGAGAAGGCCTGCAGTCTGCCACGAAGAAGGAGAAGTTGAAGCTCGAGACCCCGCCTGCTCCGACTGACATCGAAGATGTGTGTACATACTGCAAACCCTTTGAAGAGTATGCGGAAATGGACGGAGATGAGGAGGGGACCTCGACCAAAGTCCCTACAAAATCCAAAGCAGGGACAAATGCCAAAGATGGAAAGAAGCAATCGTCTCTATCGTCCTTCTTTACATCGCAGAATGGGTCCAGCAAGACGAAACCAAAGACTGCTACACCTTCTACCGAGCCCGATGCAGCCACCCTGGAGAAAATCAGTAATCACGCGCGCAAATTCCCCGTCAAGACCATCAAGAAGGCCGTCCGCGAGGAAGAGACTCTCGTTTGCGCGATCCGGCGCAAAAGTGACGGGCAATATCTCATCCAGAAACGACCAGAAAAGGGACTCTTGGCAGGCTTGTGGGAGTTTCCATCACTTTTGTTGCCCGAGGCAAAGGAGACGACGACAAAAAGCAGAAAAGAGACCGCGACCAAGTTTGTTCATGAGCTCGTGGGCAACGAGGTCAAGCATGTTGGCGAGCTTGGCAGCATACCGTGGCTGTTTTCTCATATCAAATTAACAATGCATGTTCATCTGTTTGTGCTCTCGGATGAAAAGTCCGCTGACGCAGAGCTTGGTAAGAGATCTCGGTGGAGCGATGATGTAGATTCCGAGTCCATGGGTACCGGAATGAGAAAGTGCTGGACAATGATTCAAGATAATGATACATAAGACGACTCGAGCAACACATAGACGCATAAATAGAAAGCGAATGTACAAAATACATGTCATTCTCACGAACATTATTGATTTTTCTATCCATGCTGAATATTGATTGATGTGGACGAGCTTGGTAGTGGTTCTTGAAGAGAATTCTGGATTATCTAAAAATGTTCAAATTCTCCCGCAAACACTTCTTGTCTCCGAGGTATGTCGATGACATTTTATGATAATTAGGGGGATTGAGGCACTTTCGTCTCTTAAGCCTTTCAGTGCAGTCCACGCTGTGGTGCACGTGCTTTGTAATGGCGGCGAAGCATCCTGTCGGGGTGATCAGACACTCGTGTAGACAGATCGTTGTGAGATGTCAGGGTTCCATGAGGAATGGGGTGCCGTCAAAGCGATGGACCAAAGAAGCCTCGCTCTATGAGACTGAGATCCTTTTCATTGATAGTGTTGATACAATGGTGACTCCTCATCACGACTTGGGCGTCTGCGCCTGCGATTCAGCGACTTTTGCGCTGGCAACGGCAGCATTCTGAGCGTTGTTCTTGTCAATAGCTTGCCTGGTAAAAGTCCGTTAGCATCGTGGGTTCAATCCGACATGGGGAATGTTGTTCTGGTTACTGGTCTCTCCTCTTGACCTCCTCCTCAAGCGCAGGTTTGAATATGTACTGAGCATTAAAGATGCCAAAGCCCACGGCCAGGACAACGGGGATGGCGCTGCGCATGAAACTCATATTGGCGAGCCCGTTTGATGTGGCAAGATCTAAAGGGAGGATGGGCTGGGTAAACTGTCGTCCAGGCGTTTCCTTGATTAAAGGTCTGTCTCCGTAATGAGTAATGGCCGATGGCACGGAATGACGGCCAGTATCGTAGAATCCGGGGTGTTTAGATTCACACCACCCCTTGTATCTACGCTTTCGCGAGGTTCCAGTTGATGATTTTCAGAAATAGTGCTAGCTTCAGCAGCTGGGCGCCAGCTGGCGTGCAGCCAGAATCCAGATAGTCTTGTACTACGAGGGGCATGATGACTTTTATCAATATATTCTGCCACAAAACAATGTTTAAATGACTTTTGGTATTCTATTAGCTTGAAATGCGATTCTACGATTGTGTTATATTACATGAAACTCGTTTATAGCCTCGTTGTGATCGCGGCAGGACCACCCAATGTATAAAACGCGCAACGACTAGGAGATTGAGAGGCAGCTATGCCTCCATACAGAAGATAATTCAAAAGTAGATTGAATTTTGCTTACTGATTTCTTTTTTCTTTTCTTGCTTTCTCTTCGACTACTGAAGACTCAAAAAGACCAAAAATTAGAGGTTTACTAGCCATTGAACAACCATGAAGTACCGCCTTCGAGAGCTATTTGCGACGTATAGTTGGGCTATATAAGCGTACATGGGCTAGAGTTTTCTAGGATTATATTTATGCGGAATAACGCCTTATTGGAACGTTAGACTGACCAAGCAGAGAGTCCCGGTTCCATGTATCCTACCGAGAGTTATGGATCTGCTAACCGATTGGCTTACACCGGGTACGTAGTATGGATAGACTTGGTTGAACGACGCCCACATATGATGTAGTTGCTACGATATTATGTTGTCAGAACAGATCAAGCAACTTTCAAAGTCATGTCTGGAATAGTCGATAAATGTTGATTTACTGTTATATTTCATCCGAGATATAATCTTCTTTTTTAAATACATGGTATCTCCCTTTGCAGTGAATACTACCCATGAGAAGTCGAGAACAGAACCGGGCCAAAATTGAAAAAGCAACAGCGACAAAAGAAGACAGCCCAAAAGATCGTGAAGCCAACCTTATACGCCAACACCGCGGTCGTGATATAGCCTGGAAAGCATGCCTATATGCACCGATGACGCCGTTGGCATGAATATAGCGGAATAAAACATTGGAAAACTCAAACCGTCTCTACTCGCAATCAAATATTGAGAGATAGATTGTCCTGTGGCGTCGACGCTGACAGAGCGACTCCCCGACTGATTTGCTCAGCCGCCCGGCTGAGGTACTTGTTAATAATCGGATGATTGCAGTCAGAGTGGCAAAGTAGCTCATGCTTGAGCATGAGACTCTCGTTGTTGAGCTCCTCAACAGTGGCGCGGAGAGCCAAGTTGCGATCGCGCTCTATCCGCTGCGTCTCCTTGAGCTCCTCCTCAGCGACCTTGCTCTTGGCTCGGCACTTGGCCGCCGCCGTGCGGTTGCGCTCCCGCCTAGCTGGCTCCGTCATGCTCTTGCGGCGTGGTGTCTGTGTGAGTCTCGAGTGTCAGTACCTGGGCTGTAAGGTGAGACTTTGATGAGTCTCCTGGGTCATGGCTGGAATACATTGTGGAGTCCTTCGTCTCGTGCGGTAGTCCTTGTTCCTGCACTAGACTTTCGACGCTTCCTGTCTCCAGACATGTCGCCAAAGTCATTACCGTCCTTTTCATCGCCATCGACAGTCGTTGCGGCTGTGCTTTCTGTGGCTACGGGGCTGAAACACCCTGGATCAATAAAGGCCGTTCGTGGTATTGCGCTTTGTCTGGCCATGTCTAGTGGTGGATTCGATCCAACAGAAAAGCTGGATCCGACTGGCGACGGTGCTGATACTGCTGTCGACATGCGCGTCGGGTCATCCGAGGGATTGCAGTACCACTCGGTCCAGAACTCGGGTGTGTTGCCAAAGTTGTCATTGCTCTGAGTTGCAAGGCCGGGGCCATACGACGACAGGCTAAACGGATCGGCAGACATGATTGTAGCTTTGTATTCGTTCTTTGCAATATTGTGCTCGTCTGAAAACGGAACACTGCGAGGCTGGCTTTTCATGACAGAATTGCCGCAAACACTATTCTACTGCAAAGAAAACACTGCGCGTCCTATATAATGAAGGGTATAAACATGGGAGGCGAGAAATGCCCCGACGAGTGCACTGCTGGCGTGACCAGTGACAGCAAGTCGGCCGTCAAGGTTTAGACGGGGCCGTCGCGGATGGGCCCCCGTAGGCCTCAAATCTCATTTGCGCTGCAGTTGCCAGTCTGGCCATTTTGCATTCATTGCCTCGAGGGCCAAGTCAGAGTCGGGAGGAGAATACTGGAGAAGAACAGACCATGATCGCCACACCGTCTGTAACCGATCGAGATCTGGCCGCTCCAGTCGACACAAACCTTCTCACACCTCACCAGCTAATGGATATATGCCGCGCACAACGTTTTGACAGTGGCCTTAGGTGGCCTGCGTGGGAGGCGAAATCACCGCATGTGTAGGAGGAGAATAATGTGGAAAGGATCAGCGGCCCTTATTTCATACTACTATGCATATCTCCAACTTGTTGATGACCCAGTGGTAATTGCCTGCCGGCTGGCAAACAAGTACCTCCAACTTTGGCATGTCCTACAGAGCGCAAATGTGATTCGCTAGCAGCTGCCGAGTCGAATGAATTACACTTTGTGCCTACTCTGGTATAAGTCTCGGCAACTGTCAAGCACGGAAATTCGAAATGAATCGTTTGACGCCCTCTGAGACTTTAGATTGACTGTATTGATTGATACCGTGACATACGTGACAGCTCTATTATACTCATCTTCCTTGATATGGGCCGAGAGTATCGATGAATGGGCAGAAATGGTATGATTTACTCCCGACATGTGTAACCAACTACCAGGCCATCCTGTGTACATGCATGTGTCTTGAACCTGGAGCGGCCGCAGCATTTACCGGCCAAAAAAAGCAAACGATACATACCCGAGACATCTACAATTGCTAACAAAGTCTATCTTGTTCCCGGGTTGGGGTACGCAGCGAACAAGATTTGCAAGTCGAAACGGACTGGCCTCCGCGAGAAATCTAATTGGCAGAGCTCACAGCTTCCAATCAACCATGCTTGCTTTGCAGCTGTGCCTGCGTCACGGGTGGCAAATCCACATATCAAGCACCAAAACGCTTTCTTGTCCGTGGTTTGTCCATGCGAATTGGAGGCCGCCAGCTCTATTCTGGCCTTTTTGCCCACCTTACACGGCGGCTGTCTATATGCCTAACCAGCGATTGGTGCATAGAGGTGCTAGCCTTTGTTTGAAGGGATCCCGGGGATCTGTTGAATATGTATATTCGCCACTCACTTCACGATGCATACCTGTATTGGGGAATGTAGTGAAGACGAGTCCAGGAAGAAAGAAGAGATTGAGGGAGATGACGGATGGACTTGAAGCTTGATGAAGCGTGTCTTCAAAGATGCATTTCACGGTTGTGACGTCCTCACCAAGGATAAAATTATATTCAAGAATACTTGTCTGTAATAATCATCTTTTGATTAACACGAGACTTCTTGATCTTTCTGGTGGTATCCCAAATACGCTTGTACATCTACACAAGTAATCATGCAGAAAATTCCCTGAACCCAAATCCGGATCCTTATCTTACAGCTGGGCGACTCCCTCATGTGCCAAGTTCCAACTACATCACTTTGCCTCGGACGTCTGCGAAGCCACCACGGTCTTGCAGTCATCGTCCTTGTCTGCACAACCGCCACAGGTGCCCCCAGTGGCATCAGCGTCGCCGCTACCTTTACCGGTAAAGGGACAGACACCAGCCGCCGACTTTGCATTCAGTGCCGGCGCATCCTCGATATCGGCCAGGATCTTTTTGCCGTTCAGGTAGCCCTCCTTTTCAAATTCGGGCTGCTCCATCTCGTCCCTGAATTCCTCTCCGTCTCGTACATACCACTTGGCGAAGAGGTCATTCTATACACATCGGGGTACGGTTAGCTTTACTGGCTTCTCATCATGGTGATGCTCTGCAGCCTTTTCTTTGGCTGGGAAGAGAGCTTACCTGTACCCAGATGACTTTTCCAATGGCCTTGACCAAGGCAATCTTCTTGTCCATCCGTAACCGCGGATGCGACAGGAGCGCCTCGGTGATGGTGTCTTGTATAAACGACAAACAAGCGCCTGCATGAGTAAATGAAACAATCAGCTAACTAGACCTCTCATTGGGAATTAAAGCGGCCTAATTGTCCAGTTATACTCACCGATATGAACATATTCCACGTGCAGCGGGTGTTCGCGCCCACGACCGACGTGCATCATGCTATAAAAATGCTTAGCAAGGGCTCCAGAGGAAAAGGGAGGATCGAGACTGTGAAAACAACTTACCCAACTTTGTCCAAGTACTCCCAGAACTCAAGAGTACTGGGATCTGAGCACAGCTTGGCCAGATATGCCCGCAGGAACATCTTGCGATGGACTAGACGTTTTCGGTACTTAGGAATATATTCCTCAAAGAAAGACAAATCTAGTAATGAAAGAGCAGAGGGGGATTGGCACTTACGGATTTGAGGGCTATTGTCATGCAAGTTGGGATCTACCGGGCCTTCATAGCTCGTACTCCGCGTCTCGAACGCGCGTGCTGTGATGTCGTACTGCAGCAGTTTATGGTAGACGATATTGACAATGGCCGGGATCAATTGCTTAATGTATTTGGATCCCCAAATCAGCGCCTCAATATCATCTGGTTGCCCATTATCAGCATGGTTTCTTGTCTTTCAAGTTTGGGGAGCAAACAAATGTTTTCACAGTAAAGTGTTGATACTTACTTGAACTAAAATCGAGAAATGTGTGAAGATATTGGATTCGGGCTTCTAGATTCGTATATAGATCTTTGCGATCAATATGCTTCATAGGGCGGCTTCCGGGTATCATCTTGACTGTAGGAGAAAGCGACTGGTAATCCTGACGTTGTGACTGATGAAAGTAATTGTGATTTGCTTCTGAAAGTTTCTGCAATGTACTCAAAGGGTAAATACCAAGATTTACACTTTCAGCAATATGATTGGGACAAGTACCGGCCTACACTCTTGGTATACCCGCTTAAACAGTAATGAAATGCAACCTCTGAGAGCACATACTCTGAGACACAAGAGACCTTTTATTACTGCTTTCTTATTCCAGACGATAACTACAACATACCGAGTATCAGTCCATTTCTTCTCACTCACGTCCACGATGCTGCCAAATCCCTCATGCGCAATTGGCGAAATGATTGCCCTGCTTTCCTAGCTCCTAAAGTGATCAAAGGAAACATGAAGTGATTGTGGTGTGATGTGGAGCAAAATCGTCTGATGGTAATTCAGACCACGGCTGCTTCCGGGACGCCTAGTGCAGCAACAAAAGCCAGCCTACAGGGGGTTTCCAGGTCCCGCACCCCCGGAATGACGAAAATAACTTGGGACTCGTCGTCCCGGACAGATGGGATTTTTCACCATTCGTCCACCCATAGGGCTGGGAATGGCCTGAGACGAATTGCAATCAAATGGCCGGTTCGTATGCATATAATTTGCCCTTGTCATGTGCGCAAAAGAAAGGCTGACAGCGGCCCGGTATATCTTCGTCGATGGAAAGCTCCAAGCATAAACAACTGTCATTTCGTAACACGATCTCTGCTTACGTCGGGGTTGCAATTCACAGTTTGTTTCATTAATGCCGATTATTGTCATCTCATGGCGGACTTGACCTTGTGGGCCGACTGATGACTGCTGGTCAAACAAACATTTTGTGACAAGACCCAGCCAAATCTGGTATCAATCATTCAAAATAAGCCAATTGTGGGTAATTCAATGCTCTCTCTTTCTTTTCTAAAAGGCACGCGGCGGCTCCTTGGCCGCCCTGTCTGGGTATTTCTAAGGCCATGTAGGCTTGTTCGACTTCGCCGCTGAATTCAATTCGGTCGCTGACCGAACAGTATCCCAATTCTATACCAAGCTATAAACGCCTTGACAATGCTATAGTGTACCATGCTGTGTTATGCTTATGCTGTGTTGATTCATCTTCTGCCCATGCCCATATATTGACTCTATCGAAGTCCGAATCCTTCGCTTTCGTGAACTGCGCGCCACAGTAATGTTTCTAGTTTCTCTTTAGAATTGTACTTGAAAAGATTCAACATGTTAAAGCAAGTGCGCGCCGTGGGGTATCTCTCTGTGTCTTCGCCAAGACAGCTGATCTTGATAATAAGGGTGGCTGCTCCCATCGCCGGGATGCGATCGCTGCCAGTAATGAAAGATAATAATCGTCGTTGGTCTTGGGGAGTTGCTGCCGCGAAGGACTCCCAGAACCAGTCTATCACGGGCTCTTGTGTAGGCTCCTTTCCATCCTTGGAGTTATCCCAGTCCGAATATTTGCACACAGCACGGAGCGAGGCAATATCCAGCGGCTCATCAGATCCCCGGATGAGCAGCTCGATTTCCTCTGGCCGGAACAATGATAGGGCATTGCCCGCACATACGGTAAAGAAACCTCGCTTGAATGGCTCGAACTGTCTCTTAACCGATTCGTCGAGCAGATACTTGACATAGAGATCCACGTACTCCCGTCGGTTCGCATTGGTGACTGGCTTTGTATCTCCGCCAAGACAGAGAGGAACCCGGGATCTTGAGCCATATTTGTCAACCTCCACCGCAAAGTCGAGACAAAAGGTGTTTTCCACATCACCGTCGAATTCGAGCAACTGGCGTAGACCGCTTGCCAATCGAGGTCGGAACTCTGCCAAGTCATCGAGGGTGTATGTCATTGTCGAACGTTGTATTATTGAGCCACTTGAAGCAGATGCAGGTGCTGCAGACAGGAGCTTCCGGAACGCAAAGGGCGGGAATGCGACATCTAGGATTGCAGAGTTGTAAATGGCAAGACCTAGAACGACTCCCACGAGGAAATACTGATCAGTAGTCTCAAAGGTGTGGGGATTAAAGTAGCAGTACTGCGAGTCTTCGTCGAAAACAAAGAGTCCTGTTGTTATGATTAGTATTGTGCCCTCTATGGTAAGTGTCGTTCCTAAGGCTTGTACTCACCATGGTCAGGGTTGAAGACATCTTTGACCAGGAGCTGGAACCATTCCTTTCGCAGTCCTCCAGCATCTACACCCTCTTCGCCACGAAATTCAATGCGCAGTCCTTTCTTGATGTCTTCGCTGCCACTCCCGACAACCTCACTGACTTTGGCCAAGCTATCTTCCACTAGACATTCGCGCCTAACGCTCATGAACAAGTACTGGGTGTTATTTTTATGCGTCAGAAGACTGTCAAAGAAAGCATCTCGGGCTTTGCCATGCATCTGACGTTTGGCATCAAACTCCAGAATTTGTATCTTGGCTGAGATACTGAGGAAGAAGGGATATTGACAGAAAGCAAACTTTCCCTTTCTCGATTCCCACATCTCAAAGTCAGTTTTGAAATCGAGGCAGTCAAGCATCGTATTGTAGAAATCGCTCGTGGCAAGCAGATGACCATGGGCATGTCTGACGCTAACTTCATTCCGCCTTACGTGGGTGAGGTTGTTGGCGGCAAACACCAAAGCCATGACCTTAGCACCAGCTTTGAGTTGCCAGTCATCCGAGTACGTGATGTTGGGTGCCTCGGGTGCCTGTTTCTGCTTTTTTGAAGAGGAAGCTGGTGCTGCTAGCGCGGCGTGAAGTGATGCCACTGTCGCTGCTGACTGAGCATTGGACCTCATCTCTGGAACTAGGCCACCTGTCAAGTCAACTTGTGGTTCAACCTTCTTGTCTGTTTGTCGCCGTAGACGATAATTCACGAAATTGCTGATGAGGTCTTTGATTTGCAGGAATAGGTGCTCAGGCAGTCTCGAGAACCAAGATACGAGCTGGTGGTGAGATTGATCGGGACAGTTGGATATCAAGCCGAAAATCCGCTTGATGATTCCTGAATGACGGCCCATCGCAAATTGATCCTCGGGTGCGGCATCACGGCCCTTCTCCCTGTGTGCCTGCTGATGCTCTCCTTTGTAACTCTTATGATCCGCGATCAAAAGTGGATTGACAATGATGAGAAGCAGGAATCTTACGTCCTGAGGCTCCTCGAGTAACCGACCGGGACGCTTCAGAAGCAGCTCAGTGCATTTGAGCAAAACTCTTTGAAGATGCGCCTGTGCTTCCAGCAGGCACGCCTCGAATCGTTGGGCTTCCTGGGTGGACATTTCCTTGATTTTGCCTGTATTTACACAGTCATTGTACAAGTCCTTCCAGGGCCTGGCTGCATTTGTAATGATGGAGTACCATTCCATCACCTCACCCCAATCGATACGCGGTGATCGGGGACTAACAAAAGTTGAACCGTCGTCTTTGCGTTGAGACCGCGATCTAGGCGTGGAGTCTTGCTGTCCGCCAGTCCACCATTGTGCATTCTCTGCCAAGCCTCCAAGGAGTAACATCTTTGGGTCCAGCTCAGTAAGTGAAGATTCCTCCTGCACAGCTGGTTTGTCATGTCGTGGCACAGGCTTTCTCTTGATCGACATTTGAGGTTTGGAAACTTCAGATTTCAAGGCTTCTGGTTTCGAGTTTTCTGGTCTCGAGCTGAAGCTTCGACGCATGGGAACAAAGGATGTATTGATGGCCGTATGCGACCCGAAGCTCACAATCAGGTAATCCTCCACTGGCTTGAATATTCTTTTTGGGTCAGGAAATCTATGACCCTGTGTATGCGCTCGACCATCTGCTGCAAGGTTTGGATTGCGCGCGTCTGAATGGGATGCCGAATACGATCTAGCTGCTGGGTTTGGGCGAAGCATGGAATTCGGCTCATGATGGTCATCCGTGAATTCGTCGAAAACTGGTTTATAGGCTTTCGGCGGGGGACTGCCACCATAAGAGCCCGATCTACCGCGTTGCCCCGAAATGTTCATCTTCGAAAACTGCCCCTCCAACGGCCGTGACGACTGTGTGCCCGGCCGCATTCCTGGTGATAATCTCTGAGCAGCAGCACTCGCATCCGAAGCAGACTTCAGAGCTTGAACTATGCATTGGCGCACAAGTTTCCTAGTGTGCTCCAGAGACAGAGGTCGAACACTTTCTGGCAGCGGGCGGCCATCTTCTGGCTTTGGGGAATACGGCGTCAAGTCGTTGATGGTGGCGCAAATGGTGCAGCGAAAGACGTTCAAGTCCTTTGGCCACCGAACCTTGCCGCTGCAAGTCATGCAGTTTCCGTTGGTGAAATCGGCAGGCCCACGATGGGGCTTCTTGGAAGACATACTGGGTAGAAGGGTTGAGTGACCATGTCTAGCTGCGTCGTCATCGGTCGTTTCGTCTGGACTGGGCTGCTTTCGCGACTTCTTGGAGGCGAACAGAGTGGGAAAGGGATGGCTCATGGATCGAGAATGGCTCGGATGCGTTGGCGGCTTTCCCGGCGATCTTCCAGGAGGCTTCATGAACCTTGGTATGTCGACTTCGTCGTCGGAGCTGGACTCGGTCTGCACCTGCTGACTGCCAGAGGATGCAAAGAGGTCATTGCCGCCGAGCAGTAAACGGGGCGGTGCTGGCGCCGGTGCTCTGCTTGTGTGGTGGGGAGGGGCAGGCGCAGACGTTGACGGGAGCGATCCATTACGGTGTTGCCGTCTCGAGCCAAAGGCCATAGTGGGATTTCACGCGATCTATCAACGGCGACTATGACAGGCTTATACATAGTAGTATAGCAGGTCGTGAGCCTTAGCTGGCAGACCTCATGCGCAACAAAGTGCAATGTTGCGAAGAGAGAGGTACGTACGCCTACGGGGCTCCTGGGTAAGGTACCGGTTGGTTCCCCGGTGGATGGTTGGGCCGAGGAGGCAGCGAACCCTATGCGTCTGGTGTATCCGGCAGAGCGGCAGATTCAGATCAGAGAGGGACAATGAAAGGCAAAAAAGCAAAAGACGACTGCCCAGCTAGGTAACTTCCAGACCCAAAGTGGTCATTAGAAGCACGTTTGGTCCAAACAAACAAATTTTGAAGCTCGCGCGTCTGCATGATGCAGTCAATCTGTGCCCAGCAAAGCAAAGCACTTACAGCAGCCGTACCTTAGTACCCGGGATATGGTAGCAGGCATCAGCTTAAGCAACCTGGAGCCTGGAATTCCGGGTTGTGGTTCTGTACCACCCCAGCATCCACCATCCATCCACTATCTCGCGGGCCGCTGGGCAGCAGAAAGCAGGGTCTTCGCTTATCCCTGTTTGCCTGTAGAGCTGTCAAGCAAGCCCCCTGTGGATGCCGCATATTACTACGTACAAGGTAATATCCTACCCATGGAGAATAATAAATAATAATAACTGCCGGAATGCCGACCACACAAGTCCTGCACCCGGCCTGGCTGCGACTGTGTATAAATCTTGACGGTTTCCTTCATTTATTTGTCACTGATACCTATATACTCGAACAATGGTATTCGGTGAATTACATGCAGCATCAGGATGCTTTGTGCCCAAGAAGACAATAGCATTGAGCTTGTGGTTTTAAACTCAACCTTGCAGCTTCGTTCAGTCGTAAAGAACTTGCACCAGTCAATCCGTTCGGTTTTCCAAATGCAATCTTAGACACCCCGGTGAAATCAAATCAGCGAACCCCTCACATGATGGGCAATTTCGAGATTGCTGTTTCGAGTTTACCGAGGTGGACAACGATAACCAACTTGATAGCAAAAGAAGGCACACAATCAGTGTCAATCGGTTTCAGTCAGTCGGCCAGACGTGTGGCGCAAGATCTGAAGCAGAGAAGACAGCGGGTAAGGTGCCTGGAGATGATCGGGCTCAACCGCGCGGAAAAAGGAAAAACCCCAGGTCTTGACCATGGACTGAGGTGTCTACACCACGTACCTGAGAGCCCACTCACCATATTCGCAGGTTGCAGGCTCATCATGCATACGTACAATTTACATTGTTGTATGATTAGTCCTGTTTGCCCGCAGCTCCAAATTGAAGGCACTTCTTGTGTTCCCTCGGCGGCGCGCAGGGAGAAGTTTTGCAGTGCATGGCGCGCCGAGAACCCGGCAGCCAAGCCCAAATGACGCCAACTCCACAGCAGTCTCTTGGGCGGCTGCAGATCTCTGTGCGGGACAGTTTCCGGGACGTCGAATCACTTGGCGACACACGGCGAGCCTCCGACTTGTAGAACGGCCCAAGGTAAACAAACGTCATGGCGTTTCAGGTTGCATCGTCAGAACACCTGCCGTTTGAGACGCAGGTCATGGGCAGCTGCCACGGCACACGGGAGAATCGCAAGATTGATGCTTCCTTTTTCTTAGCTGGCCGCTGTCTGTGCGCAGGACATCCAAAGACAGCAAAGGCATTCTCCTCGACTGGCGCAGAGCTGGAACAGTAGTGCGCGCAAAGAGTGCAAGGGCGACGTCATGTTGAATGCGGCTTGCATTGAGCTGCATAATATGTATATGGGATATAAGTTGAGTTCTGCAGCCATTCAAGCCATTCTTCTGGGCTGAGGAGTAATTATTGCCTTTCCCATCATCAAATCCTGCATACAGCCCGCCGCAGCAAGCTTTGCATAGACTCAACTAGGTGCAGACACATTTCTCTCATTCGAAGATGGGCTCACCAAGCGCCAAGTCGACCAAGTTGCGCGACCTGGAAGAGATTACTCAAGGCAAAGAAATCATCTCCCGTTTTGTCGGAGTCGCTATGACTGGGAATCAGTAGCCTACTAGTGAAGTTGGACTAAAATAACCACTCTCAAGTGTCTTTGAACTTGGGTTGATATTGCTATTTAGACCTCATTATGAAGGAGATAACTCGGTCTGGTCAATGTTATCTGCGTTACACATGTGCCTCGGTCAAGTCATCATATGGACAGAGCGCGGACTCTCAAGACAACATGCGCCAATGACAATCCTATATCAGTCTGCTTCATGTTACTGACCAAATAATATATTCTCTCACATCGTTGCATAATGGATCCGATACTTTAAGAGAAAAAAGCCGTGTTCGTATAAAGGCATATATTGCCGCTTGTCTGAAATATATTGCCTGTAGGCCCTCCGAGGAAAGAGGTCTGGATACACCAGGCGACCATATCGCCTTTGGTCATGTCAAGATTTCCGCAGACTAGAATGAGTGAGGTCAAGGGAGGGGAGAATGACGCTGCGCTGTGTTGTTGACTTTGCAGGTCGAGGGTTATGTCCCATATGGGATCCAAGTTACCCGACGCTGTTTCTTCCCACCAAAAAGTAAACATCTTCCGTCTTGATCGCGAATGGTGTATCTTTGATTTCCCACTGGGTCTCATCTTTGGGTTCTAGCAGAAATAAAAAAGACAGGAGAGATAGACTGATTGCCATCTGTCGGAAAAAAGTCAGTCATCGAAAAAAAGTCAGTCATCGAAAAAAAAGAAAAAAAAAAAGAAACACATGAGTGGGTCCCATCGTTACGTATACTGTCGTTCTTAGTTGCCAACAATCCGCGTGTAGCACGAATTTCTTTCGTTCTGATATACACGATCCGATCCATGAAATGGGACTCCCATGTGAAGTAGTTCAAAGACCCCACGTACTCCAGTACTTCATGAGTAAGTTTGACGCTTTGGTCGCTGAGAATGTTGTCATTCTTTCGTCTGCACAACGCCATGTCTATATAGATTGCCAGAACCGAATCGCTACGATTAGAAAGTCTAAACCGACCAACGGAGAATAGGAGATATTGAGAATCTGTGGGTTCTACTGCATATGCTTCACATCTAGGCGGTCTAGGTGCATGATACCACTACGAACCATTCAATGACCCTCGCAAAGATACGTGAGTGAGTTAATGCTTCGTGTAAAAGGTCACGATATGAATAGGCATCCATGTCCTCCGATTAGCGGCATTGCTGTCATTCCCCATGAATCGATGATGCCTCTTGTGGTAGGTTCTTCCAATGGCATGCTGTCCAGTAGTACACTGGAGGGGAAATATTGGAGTATCTGTTTTAGTAAGTAAGTGTTATTCTGGACATATAGTACTGGATATAAGCTTTCGATAATGCGCATATACGTGGAGTTGGGCCGAAACGCCTGGTCAGCAAATGTCAAAGGGTGATGGGGCATCCCGACCGCATCGGTATTAGTAGATAAAGATGTATTTGCCGATGACCAAATTAGCTAATCAGGAACTTACATCATGCCAATTTTATCTCCCATGTAATGCTCGTTTACCCGCGTAACACATATCCCTAAACAAGCAGTTCGTGCAATGCAAGCGAGGCAGAAACTACGCCGATTGGCAAGTAAGCAGGATTGTAAATAAGCAGAGGAGCTGAACTTATCACGTACATACCTAGGCAAACATTGATCAGCGCATAGAAGCATGATATTCTATCCTGGTACTCTCTTGGTCCTTAGCCACACCATTCAAGATACCACGGAAGGACAACTTTGGTGTATGGATTCAAGTACAACAGTATTGCATTGAAATCACAGATCATTCCCGGTTTCATCGAGAACAGCCTCAGATTGCGCTGATTTTACTTGTTGACTATGAAATGGTAAAATGCATCTACCGAATATTCATGGTTCTCTGAATGCCTCCAACATGATTCGTACAATAGGACTAAGAACGATGCGGGTCGTGGAAATAATCAGCCCTACCCAGTCGGCTAGGAGCGGGCTAGGGTATTTTCCATGCTGGGTGATCTGTACGTCTACCCTACCCTACCCTACCTACATAGTACAAGTCAATCCTACTGGGTTTTCCTCTTAATTCTTTTTCCTCTTTCTCCGTAGCTGGTACCCGGCTACAAAAGTGTTTTCGATTTACAGAAGACAGAATAGGCGTCCTCCATCTTGAAACTCGCGTACAAGTCTCATCCATGGAAGGCATGTTTAAAAAGCTTGTGAGAGACTGCAATACTACTTACGTACTAGTAATAAAAAAGCAACAAGCCCTGTTTTGTATAATCATGGGTTTGCAGAATGCAACATTAAGCTATAAATTGAAAGGGCACAAAAGGTGACTCGAAAACGCCTCTTTTGAGCAATATTCATGTAGGTATACGATCACTAATCGATAATATAATGTCATGGCCTGCAGACTAGCTTGGATAAGGTTGCAATGCGCCTTTGCCATGGCGAGTCACTCGAAGGGCGTATTGAGATCGGAGCCTGGCCTCTTACATTACAGCTTCATACCCCACTATATGTCTCCCTGTATAAGATTCAGTCCTCTACGCCTTTCATAGTCGCTACTGATACTTACCAAACAATTAATCAATCACTCACTCACCCATAACCTCGTCTTATTTTGACGGCGCCCGCTGGTCGCTACGTTCCTATCGTTGCATAGCCACCATGTCTGCTGCAGAAAATTTCCCAAGACCAAAATACGTGGAGGGTGGTTGCCTATGCGGCTCACTGCGGTATCGCGTCGAGTTTTCAAATGATCATGACTTTTCCAAATCAGTGAGAATATCTCTCTGTCAAATGACCATGAATCGAACAATGATTGGCTAAAAACATGGCCAGTCTGGCACTTGTCAATGTACAATGGACCGAAAGGCGACGGGCTCGTTGTGGTTTCAATACCATCAAGTCCGTGCCAATTCGGCGTTTCGATTCACATCACCAACGGCATCGCTCAAGCACTATATATCGTCAGCAGGCACGCAGCGCGGCTTCTGCGGCGAGTGCGGGAGTTTCCTTTACGTGAGGCCCGCGGCCAGCGAGGACTATAAGAGAGTCACCATTGCAGTCGGCTCCGTGGACGCATTGTACTTGTTTGGCGAGGACGCCGATGGCGACGAGGTTCCCGTGGGCGGGTTTGGTCGCGCGCTGGCCAACGGTTGGGGCGACCACGAGTGGTGTCATAATGAGATACCTGGTGTCACGGACAAGATATCTATTCTTGGCTACGAAAGGGGCAAGAGGTGGGCTACCGATCCTGCCTGATTGTGTGCAGGACTCGAAACTCCATTGGCGACTTGAGTGGATAACCGTCTAAATTGTTACCTGACTTGTTCTTGTCGTTGGCGCAGGACGAAGGATCCAAGGGATCAGAGAAACGATGGTCAAGGGAGATGACTAAAGCCCGGCGAATGAGAGAGAGCCAATTTTGAGAAGTGGTACGGATCACCCAAAGATTGTCTGCATAAGAAATCGGTCAAATTTTCTCAATATTCATGGTTTTGTTCCTGTTTTGGTTTTCATTTCTAAGCGCAATCCGTGTTTTGGGATGCGGTTGTATGGATATGGCAAATTGATTCCTCTGCGGTTTTTCTATAATATCATCAAGTTCTACGATAGTTTCTCAAAGAATGAAGTCCGAAAAGCCACTTGCATTGCTCGTGTCAATCACTTCCAGTACTACACGTCGCGTTCATGTCTCTGATTAGCTTTATGTTTCCATGCATGATATGTTGAGACCACGTCAAGATAAACACATTCCAATGACCTCTAGAAGATGCTCACAAGGGAGGATCGACTCATAGTATTCTTTGATCTGCGATATATTGTCGAATTAGTTACAGAATACCTGCACGCGGATGATCATGTGGGGAATCCTACACCAAGACCGAGATCTAGGGGAAAGCTAGCCCTCGATCATCGATCTTCTGGGAAAATATAATAACTTCATGGTTGGAATTCCTGCCAATGAAGGTTCAATGTAGGCCAAGGTGGAAGAGCTGGATTGCTCAAAACTCATTGATGACGACAAGTCTGCCTGCATGTAGAACCAGGATCATGGAGGGTAACACATGGGGGCGATTGTGCTGACATCCGATCCCATGTTGTGATCCTTGTTGAAATCATTTATACAAGCTTGGATCATATGGGGAAATGATCTGTTCCGATACTTGTATGATATGAAGATAATTCTCTTCAAGGAAAGCGTTGCACGGTTCGTACTCGTGTTCCAGCAAACAATGAAAGCTATATTCATGAACGCAAATAAGCTCATGACAGAGAGAATGAACAACGCTATGGCATTTAGTAACCAAAGTACCCTGTTCCTTATTTCTCTGTAGCAAATCTTAAAAATGTCATCCGACCAGTATTGTTTCTATTTATTTCATTTTTATAGGTGGTGATGAACGCAAAATATCGCTGGTTCCAAAACCATACAAAACTGGCGGCCTGAGCTCGCTAGAAGGTGATGGCCGCAACGCGGCATCACAAACTTTTCAGCTTCCAATAGTGCGCGACTCGCGTAACATGCGTCAAGCTTAACAAAAGCTTCTCTTTGGCCGAATTGGAAATAAAAATAAAGATTAGAAAAAGCATACCTGCCTTGTGGCAAGGGACGCATCACCCCCGAGTCAGATTGCGACCGAGAACAGCGTAAGACCAATGATGACTGGCTGCTTTAATATGATGTCGTCTCTGCCCTGCTTCTGGCTGAAGGATGCCGAATGTGTACCGCTATGTCTACCCCGATAGGTGCTCGGCAACTTCCATGATCGCCAAGCCTAGTTTGTCCAACTTCTATTGTGGAAGAAACATGGTCAGCGAGTTATTCGAGCATGCACTAATGTGACTACTGTGAATTCAAAATCTATTTTTGGTTGTTATTTCGATTCATCTATTCGCCGAGCGAGAAATGGTATTTCCTTATCCCAATCAGCAACGATAAGAGAGCCAACAATCCATCTCTTATTCCTTTCAAAGTTGTAGATAAATGATGCATTCTAGCAGATCTTCAACCGGGATGAAGATCTCTTAACATTTCTACACATAAAACATGTCTTGAAGAACACATGGCCAATCGGGCTCTTGGGAGAATCCTTGAGGATCGTAAGCTTCAATCTTGCCTCTTGAACCCTCTTATGCATGAAAGCTTGCTGACTTTCGGGTTTTAGTGGCCAATCAGGTTTCGATCTTGTCCTCCCCGGCAGTCCCCCATCGGTCTCCGACTTATATACTTGACGCTAATGTACTGTCTGCCAAGCCTCCATCAACAGCAAATCTATTGTAGGTGGTTCTGACTTGCAACGCACTTTGAGTTCTCAATGCCCGCTTCTGGGCGTCTTCACCTTACGGGACTTCTATCTGCTCTTCAAATATTGTTAGTAAAATGAAACATCTCGACTAAGCACGCTCAGACTGGGAGAAGAAAATAGCAATGCTGGCTAAAAGGACCTGGATATTATTCGACGCCGACAGTCCGGCAGGCTTGAGAGTGCTGAGAAGTTTCTTGATCTCACCCCCTGCCGACATACGATTAGATATACAGGTAAATTCGGAAAAGAACCTTTTGTCCGAGTTCCCCATACTGAAGAACGGGGCCCGAGATGTTGACATGCCGGTCCGCATACTCGAGGGGGACGCCACGGACGCCACCATGCTCGACGACTGCTTAAAGGATAGTCAGGTCATCATCCTGCCTTGCGAGCCTGCAGGAAGCCACATAAGCCGGGAACGGCATGCAGATCTCGCGCGTGCCATCATCTTGGGACTGCGCCGCCTTCGACAGCAGAAAAGCGACGCCGTGGACGCAGCAGCAGCAGCAGGAGAAACTACTGCCGCCCTTTCTTATCAACCTCCAAGCGTCATCCAACTACGGTCGCCTGTGCAGCAGCCAGCGTCGTCGTCCGAACCTCCCCCAGAGGCCTGTTGGCTGCCCAGAATGATTCATAGAATCGCTACCTTCCGTCGCTCCCACGGCGGCGGCTGCGGCATTGGCAGCAGCGGCAGGAGATCGAGGCGGGCCGAATATCTATTCACCAAGGCGGCCGCGGAACGGTCTGAGAAGGGAGAAGCAGCACTTATTCGTCATACTTTTGTCGACCTGTCCCCAGGTGTCGACTGCGAGCCTCGAGGCAAACGACGTCATCCCCTCAGGTCCAAGTTCGGCAGACGAAAGCGAAAGCACGAAGCAGTAGTTGAAGATGATGATTTCGAAGCAACCACACTGCTTGGAGACGAATATCCTTTGGCCAAAAAGTCGTTCTATAGTCGCCTCTTGCAACGAAAAACGCGAAAAACGTCAGCTACCGACGAACCCAAAAACCATCGGTGGTCGGTTCTTGTAGATGACCATTCGTATGCTCATGCTGCGCCGACGCCGCCCGCATACCTGGAGAAGACAGTCGTCGATAGCGATAGCGACAGCGATAGCGACAGCGAAGAAGTCTACTTGAAGAGCCAATCGCGCAAGTGGATCTCATGTTTGTTTGCAGGCATGTGCTACATCGGCATGGCCATCGGAACAATGCCCCATGCCATTCCAGAACAAACACAAGTCTATTGACACTCATTTTGAGACGGGGTTACCTCTGTTCAGGGATTTTGAGAGCATGCAGCATGAAACGGCTTTGGAAGGTGGTCGAGAAGCAACGATTTACGGCGTTGGGCGTGTCTTGAATCTATATCAAACATTCTTTTGACAATTCTATGTTGGAAAAAGCTGGGAGAGCGTGACCGAATCGTTGTTTTGTTTGTGAAAACGACCAACCGCACCGCAGTATGATTCATGTCCGTGGTTCAAGTATGAGGCGCGTCGTGCAAAGACCTATTGTCGGATATCGATATCTGTTGATGCATCCCGGTAGCCCTGAGCTGCCTATCTGCCCGTCATCGCGATGAAGTGGTCATTCACAAAGAAGAAAATTGCGAGATGACTCATGTTCTTTCTTAGCCGTGATGCGTAGGCCAGGAGTATGATAGGTATGCAGCCTTACATGTAGAATTTGCGAAGGCTTGCGACGTCTGATAAGGCCGACGTGAGACTTGTGTGTTCGCTTGTGCTCATTTGCCCGTTGTCTTCCATCTACAGCTTGCTGCCACCGAGGATCGCTTCACTGCCTTGATAAAGCGGCACTTTGCTCATGAAGAGCCTTGATTTGCTGCTCGAGTTTCGGCACCGGCCCAACCACCTTGATGCCGGGAGCCACTTGCTGCACAGGCAAGTACGCGACGCCGGATGATGGCACTCCCCACGACCGCTGCCACTCGCCGAGCTGTGCCGCCGAAGCAACATAGACGATGCGCCCGAGTCCCACCCATGCATGGGCTGCCGAGCACATGGGACAGTGCTCTCCCGAGGTGTAGACGGTGGCCGTAGTGCGTTGAGCGGGCGTCAGATGCGCTGCAGCCCATCGGGCGAGCTCAAATTCCGGGTGCCTAGTTGCGTCGTTCTTTGTGGCGATCTCGTTGCGCTCTTCCTTGAGCACAGCACCGGCCTGGTCGACGAGGACGGATCCAAAGGGCGCGTCACCGGCCTCCAGAGCCTCGGCAGCCAGAGCGATGCACCGTCGGAGATGCCCGAAATCTTGAGCGTCAAGAGTATCAGCTGCCATTGCCAGGTGCTTTATTCGAAGAAGCGAAGCGATGGTCGGTGTGTGTCTTTTTGAAATCTAGCCACTTCTTCAAGTAAGAGTCGTCTCGGGAGAGGATGATGAGTGATTATTTTGGAGTCTACGGCACATATTCAGCCCATGATTCACTGATGAGATACCTGATCCCAGGCCCACATAGTGAGGCGGGGGTTAGTCGCGACACCCCGGCCCTCTAGAGACCAGCCCTAAATGCACTAACCTAAGTCATTGATGATGGTATACCAAGATCCACAAGTGCATGCAAGTTGTGGATGAGTATTGCTGTCGTTGATGGAAGAGCTTCACCAAAAGTATGGGGAATTGGCTTTACTCAAACAAAAACTGGCGACGTTTCAGTGATGCAGGCTCTTGGAACATATGCCAACAAATATTCCAACTTCAACAAAACTGTCACGTCTGCGCATAGTATCATGTTGTAATCGTACATCCATCTGGCATTGACCACCCCGGGCTGAGGCGATGCAAATTGTATCTTATCCTACTAGGGTCAATGGCGCTCGATAGAAAGACAAGGCAATCATCCTGTTGGTGTTTAATATACCAGTCAGGACGTTGGTCAAAATGGCAGAGTACCCTAAACCACTTGGCATTCTGAAAAGTCCGTCCAATCCCAATTGTCCGGAGTGCTGAATAGGCCTGAATCCTGACCCAGCAGGCAGGCAGGCAGGCAGAAGGATCACAAGGCCCCTGTTCACCAGCCCGTTAAACCCTGAACATAATCACAAAGTTGCTTCTAGCTGGGACTACAAAAGAACATCAGAACATTCTTGACTAGCTGTGCCTCAAGAAGTATGCCTAAATTTGCAATTGTTCCTGCGAATGAAGGGCACGGGATGACAAACAAATCTTGGGAGGCATACTAACCTGGAACCAGCAAACTGCACTAATCTAGTAAGAGACCGGACTATTCGGACAATCTGTATATGATCGCAACTCTCTGCGCAACTGCTGGAACATAAAAAGAACAGAGTGACACCAGCTTTGTCTCAGTCTTTTGTCAAGTCAAACTCAACATCCAAAGGTCGTCCACAAAGAAAAGTCAAATTCAAGTGTTTTGATAATAAAGATTCTCAACCTTGTCATCACATTCCGCCGCACCAAATCGTTGCACCTCTAGCAAAATCATCAACATTAGAACATTGATCACACCCGCGCCATTCGCACCAAGGCAAATACCAATTGGTTGCAAATTACAATAGCCACAGGAAATCTATCTATTGTACAGCTTGGCATATACACCATGTCTCTCCTCCCATTCAGCGTATCCTCGCAGTCGGCAGCCGTCGCATCGGCAGCCTACTTTTTCGCAGCCATCAACGTAGGCTTTGGCATCAACGCCATCCTGAGACCGACCAACGGTCTTTCATTCTTTGAGTTTGCACCTCCCGCCGACCCGAGCACCCGTGCCATGGTCAACAGCCTCATGGCCATCTACGGCGTACGCGACATCTTCATGGGTGCAGCCATGGCCGCTGCCGCAAAGTTTGGCAGCCCTGCTGCCCTCGGCTGGATCCTCATTTCATCTACGGGCGTTGCCATTGCCGATGGCCTGGTGTGCTATAGCCACGGAAAGGGTCAATGGAATCACTGGAGCCATGCGCCTCTCTCGGCGGCGGTGGGCCTGGTGTTGCTGGGCTGCTTGGATTGATGGGTCGAGTGTTTACAAAAGAAATTCGAAGCAGGAGTCCAGGAAACGCAGTCATATTGCGATATACTCATGAGATGACAAAAGCTGTTGGTTTGGACTGTCTAGACCTTGTTTATCCCTATCACGTAGGGTTCATTCAGGGTTCATACAAACTTTGGATGGAAAATTGGCAGGATCATTGTTGGAGCTTTGAACTCCGACTATAAACCATTTATTCTGTCATTTGAGAAGCCAACAACATGGCTGGCTTTTGTCCTGATATGTCTGCCCCCAAGATCCCATAATGAGCGAACGGCCAGTGAAACCCCATATTCTTGGCGTATAATGACTGTCACTTGCCCAAGTCTCCCAATTGAACTAATATTTCTTGTCCTTAATGTAATTGACCACTCACCCAAAGTGTATTACATGGACTCTGTCCCTGGATCGGATAACCACTGCCTGTGACACATTGGAAGCTCTATTTCGACGGAAATCTGCATAAGTAGTTTACAAGACCAATTGAGTTGACAGTCACGAGTCCGTGCCTACAAGGTACACAATGGATCTTAGTCGTAGGGTTGACATGACGCTTGACAGTCAGTCAGTTGTTGTTAGTCAGAAACACAACGTTGACTGCTGCGAAGCTATGTCCTGATTAGTATTACAAAAACATATCCTTTTCAGGACTTGTACCTACGCGGATGTTGCTGCAAAAATCTCAATTCGCCGAGCGTTGGTCATCAAGGCAAGAGCAAGGGCGAAGAATGCCGAAAAAGCCACAATGACTCCCATCTTCAAGCTGTCGGACTCAATTACGAAGAGCACGACGATTGAAAGGAGGGGAAATAATGAGGCGACCACTGTTGTCACAATCTTTACCAAAGTAGTCGCCAAAGACTCTCGGTATGTGTATATTCCATCACCTAGCTCTGGAGCTTCCGGATCCTGTGTAATTCTGAGCGCCATGGCTTGAGTCATCATTAAGATGATGCTTACTTTGAGCTTCTCGCCGCAGAATCTGTGGATGAATGGAAATAGGACTCCGTTGACCCATTTCGAAAATGAGTCTGGCGGCAACCTCGGCTTCATAGCTACGAGGTCCTCCTCGTCATCCCATGAATTCAGATCCAATCCTCTGATCGGGAAAGCGCCCATGGTAGGCCGCTCCAGCCAGCTCCGCAATGTGGATAGATCAATCGCGTTAGGTCTTTCCAAGTTGAATATTTCTACTTGTTTGAGGAGACGATCGTCTTCTCATAGCAATCAGCAATAGTCTTCGCACCCGCCATTCATGATTTCTCTCACTATAGCGGTCAAGTTTCTTTCTGATCTTGCGTATCAGCCTCCACTGCTCTCTTCCCGTCTCCCCCTCTCCATGGGCCAAAGACCACCAATCTTTAGCATGGAACTCTTTTTCTGGATCATCTGCATCGCGCGCCACGAGCCTTGCTAGGCTGTCTTCGAGGTGGACTATCTCCGCTTGGGAGTAGAGAAGACTTTGTATGTTCAATCTCTCGAAACGGCGCAACACTGCAAACTCGTCGTATTTGGACATCAAATGCGCGACTTTTGCATAGCCCTCCATGACGAGATTTTGCTACGACGCTATGATGATGGGAGTCCGTAGTTCGTGATCCTCGGAGCGGTGTGCCATCTCGACTGTCAAGCATCCGCGGCTGAGCACTTTGAAAGTGGACAATGTTTTGCGACCTGCATGTGTTTTGATCTCATTGGACGTGACCCGCACAAGGCAAACTCGAGCTGCAGGCTTATTGCGCAGTTGCAGATACGCCCGGAAGTTGTGCTACGTAGATCCAGACCCTTATCAAGAAAATGTAGGTGCTCAGCCTGCTTCAGGATGCATTTAAAGATCATGTATGGCACGTATTTCCTCCCAATAGCAGGCGATCCTTTGGCCTAAATACTCCTTTGCGGCTCTATATTGGGCCGTCACTATTCCCTTCATTGACGCCTGACCTAAATCACGCGTTTTGTCCCGTCTCCCCCAATTCCAAAAGTCCTATCACAGAGAAACGATGGCGCCGCATTATGAGTATATAAAGATGCCCCACTTCGTCCTCCGTGTAACTAGAGTTAATCTCGTATAGTTCAACCGGCTCTGAAGTCGTTCGCTGGAAACCTCAACAACGTGAGCTAGTACCATCTTCGGTCGAAGACTCACATTCGTACGTCGTCAAATACACCGGCAGGATGGGCAATCAGCAGAAAGAAGATTTTACGGCCGAGGAATACGCAAAATTCAAGCAGCGCAAGCGGGACGACAAACACAGGATGGACTATATTGCGCACCTGAATAACGAGGGTAGAAGTGACAAGGAGGATCAAATGATAGAAAAATGGGAAAGGGAGAACGTACGTGCATGAAAATGTACCTATAGTCTGGCAGTGGTGGGGCGTCGCTGACCTGCAGCGATAGGAGCAAAAGAAGTTGAACAAGAACAACAAATGGATGGTCCTTAGCCCAGTAAATAAAACGCCGCAGTATCCCACTGAAGCGCAATTCGACACCGGTGCTGTCTTGAATTACATTACTGAGGATATGGTTCGATCGCTTGGTTTGAAGAAAGAGCTTCTAGCACCCCCTCGAAAAATCGACACTGCTGTTGGCCCCGGAGGAGAATGCAAGTACCACGTGTTCGCTAACTGGAAGGGTCTGGAAGGATGCGGCGGTCGCGTCGAGTTCTTTGTCCTACCTGAGACATCACCCATCACCAAGCCACTGATTGGTACGAAAGATCAGAAGTTCTGGGATGAGTTATTGGACGAGAGACCCGACAACCCTCTTTACTGGACCACATTGAGTAAGCAAAAGGTGAAAACCCGCTCTTCGTATTGCTGCTTTGTTCGCTTATCCTCAATCAGGCCCCGGAGAAAATTGAGAGTGCCGCGCTTCGTACGGCAGCGCTGAACGAACGAACTCAGTTGCAGCTCAGAAAAGAAGCTCATGAGGAGAAAAGGGGCTACAGTAGCAGCAAATCGAAGGGATCTCGTTCAAACGAGAAGAAAACCACGAAGAACTGAATGTTCAAGAAGGATGGAAAATATTTCCGCAATGAATTGAGATGACTGATGCTGACAGAATAACGAGAGCAGCTTAATGTCTGGATATGAAAGCACATTGAAAATACAGGTACAGGTATATGTACATATATATATTTATGTATTTATATACAGATAAGTCACCTTACCGTCTGAGTACGAGGTAGTATAGAGTCCCACTGAACCATCCTGCCTAGGTTACCTATAAGCTACATAGGCAAGTAAGCCGGCAGTGAAGACCCAAGTGATGTCACTACCTACCTGCAGAAGCCAGAATCATCTGGGCTGAGGCCGGTCCGCGGTCGCAACGGTACTGCACCCTCTCGCTTTCAAGGGCTGCCTTAGTAGTATGGCACACACAAAGCATTGCAGTCCTACTAATAAGTCAGTCCCGTCTTGTCAATCATTGATGCCCCGCCATCTTTAGCATGTACTAATCGGCACCCCGCATTTTTGACACTCCCTTATTCTTGAGTTTATTTTAGGGGTGGGGGGCTCAAGGGTACGAGACTTGGTCATACCTTCTGATAGACGCAGTACCCATTTGTTGAATCCCTTTCAATTGCCATGATTTTTTTTTTCCGGTAAGCTTTTGTGCGTTTGAGCCGAGTGATTCCGATGAATCATATATTTCTGAATGAACCAAAAGGAAAATTTCATGCTAGTTCGCAACTGTGCCAAAGTCGGCAGAGTGGAAGCGAAATGCATTTCTTTGAACATGTTTCTAGAGCACTGTTTCCCTTTTTGTTTTTGATCACGAAACACATAGCTTGAGTTGCAATCACTACAAGTACCCATTCCACATTTTTATCAACCACTCATGCATATTGACGAGTGCCATTCCCATGTTATTGCCTATAGCTCGAGCTTTGCAGAATCGTAACTTACAAGGTCTATAGGGGTAACGGTGAGATCAGACGCGTAAATCTATACGGCAATGACACCCCAGGTCTCACATACGTATGTATGCCAGGGTCCCGATCTCGCTGGCGTGCATGGCATGAGGTGCGGTAGGGGCGCGGTAGGGGTCTTTAGTACCGCGGGGTTTTTTCTAGAACGATTCCCCAAGGTATTACAGACCATCTGCCATACGCTCACCCGCCGCCAATCTAAAGCTTGTACCTGGACGATCCATCCAAGCTCCTTTGAGATCTTGGAAAGCTCTCCGCTACCGCCCCAACAACGACTGTCAACCTTGTGCAGCAACAACCATCGCGAAGATCATCGCATTACACTCTTTTATCCTGTCAACCCCCAAAGCAATTTTTCGTTGAACCGAGATTGATTGTTGGACCTTCACCGCCTAGTCAACGTGCGATCACAATTCTAGGCCACTTGCTGGCCAAGACAACCGGCGGTGCTGAGCGTCAACGTCCTCTGGCGTACAGTATTGAATATGAAAAACGATCATCATAGCACTCCAGAAACAGCCATTACAACTTGAGGCCCTTGTAAGAGGGGCAGCACGGGACTGTGACCGAGTCGGCCATGGACAAACATGTCACCCAGGACGAACTCGACGCCCGAGCCCGAATCCAGGACGCCTTGAAAAAGGCCAACGATCCGAGCAACCCAATCACGGATCTGACAGATTTCCTCTTGCTTGCGAAGAGAAACCATCTTGCCCCGGCGGTCTACGAAAAGTACGAGAGAACCATCATCGACATGTGGTACCAACAACGGAATGCACGCCCACCGAGCCCCGCGGCATCAACGGCCCGTGACAGCCTCGATTCTAAAGTCAGCGACGCCCCAGGGGACAGCCCCAAAGACCTGCCTTCACTAGATCCAGAGGTAACACAAACAAATGGAGATGATAGACTTCGCCAAGTATTCTGACTGTGCAATAATAGGCCCAAATTCGCAATGCATGGATTGTACATCCGATCAGCGCCGAGTTCAAGTACGCCAAATACAAGCAATGGGACCGTCCCGGTAACTACATCCGAGCCGACACGCTGAAAAACAATGACTTGAGAGGCGGAGAGGAGGAATTTGTCGTCCATCAATGGGACCTGGACGGCCCGAGTGGGACTAGCAACAATTCCGATGACAATGCTGCCGCGCACACCGCCTTTCGTGTCGTCAGTAAATACGAGGCAGATAGGATCAAGATGGATGTCGATATAGTGTTTGGAACGGATTGGAGAGACAATCTAGAAGACCAAGCATTTGGTGTTCATGTGGTACGCAGGGCTTCTCGAAGGCTCTCCGACATCACGGAACAAGGGCTTCCGACCTCAACGTTGCTGGCAGGCTCGTCTTTATCGCAACAACAGCCCAGCATCGCTCGTTTGGAAGCTCCCCCTCAACATGTCATCAACATCAATGGGCCAATCATTCTAGCCGGGCCCGCAACCGGGCCCGCAGACTTGGCAGCAATCTTGAACGTGTTGTCGGGAACGGGATATCATCCGGCGACGCATCGTGCTGCCACCGGGTTGCCCGGAAATGCCGCTCTTGGCCCTGGCGTGACTGAAATGGATGTGCCTAAGATCCCAGAGGGATCTCGAAATAAACGTAAGATGGCTGACGACCATGAGCCACGGTCCAGGGACAGGACAGAGAGGCTACAAGGTTGACGAGTTGTTGCAGCATTAGCTGCCGTGCACCAAGCACCTGCGAGTGACTGCATAATTGTTTGTTACAGGCATATTATGAGGTATTGTTTTAGCTCACTATTCGCCATTTGTTCTACTGTGTATTATATCGGAGTTGGAAATCGGGATGGATATCGTTCAACGGAACAGCCGGTATGGGATGTTGTGGATGGCGTTTCGAAGGCATTCGGTATATGGTTGAAGAGGATGAGTTTTTTGAATGGGTTCATTGTAATTTTGATAAATGCGGCGGGCAAGGCGTTGGAAGCATTATAGACCAAGGACAAGACTGATGCCAGTCATGATTATGATCGATTTATAGGCGTTGTTGCTGCCCAACACTGGGCACTCGGGGAAGGGAAATGGTATGTTAGCGAAATCGGAATTGGAAGAACGTGAAGGCGTTACAATTGGGGTGTTGATGCTTATATAACGGCCAGCTTGATTTCATGGAATCAGATGGAATGAAACCGTTGTGAGACAGTGTTAGCTGAAAATTCCTTGAGATCATCACGCCAGACACGGTTTCAGAGTGATGATAAAAAGCAAGATGTGTGCCCAATAGGCTGGCTGACACCTACAGCATGCAAATCTCGAAAATTTATGTGTATGGATTGGAAGAACTTTCCACCGATCCTACAATTCTTTGAATCTATCAGAGACCTCGGGAGCAGGGTATGTTGAATAATCGTCTTTTCGAATCAAGGATATCCGCCTACCATCAGTAGCAATGTGTTTGATGGGTTGTGGCTAAAATAATGCAGCAGCGGACCACGTAAAGGGTTGACGGTAACAGATATGACAATATAGTGGGCAATGATTCCAGCCATGTAAATGGGATGGACAGCACTACATATAGACATTTGCAGAAGAAAAAGAAATAAGGAAAAAGGAGAAAACAACTTATCCTTCGAAGTTCGCAGGGGTTCTCAGCACTTACCACCCGTCACCGACCCCAGTACACTGTGCACATTGATACTTTGGATCAGCGAGAGTAAATGCGACACAATGACGTGTGATTCACGGCAAATAATAGGCGTGTCAACTTCAATGTCGCACGCCAACACATAGGATCTCGTGGAGATTTTAAATAGGACGCGGCGCGCAGCATGCGTCTCTCCCCGAGCAACAGACACCAGAGACCAGCGAGCACTGCTCGAGAGGGAAAAGCAAACGGCCAAGTCCAGGTTTCTTGGCTCATTTCTGCCCAATCGGGTGGTATCCTGGATGGCTTTGAGCTCTGCCGACGACACGTTCTCCTCTAGTGTTTTTTCGCCTTGGAGATCGATTGGATTGGACCTGCAGCAGATATCTGCCGTGTCAAGCTCGTCCAAGTATGACTCGTCAACTTGCTCAGTCAGTGTAACGTCTCGGCGCGTTCTGTCAATACTACCGGCTTCTAATAGCCGCCTGTCTGCAGATAGGCGAATCGCGACAGCCGTAAAGCTTCTTGTCGTAGGTATAATGCCAGGTTCTGTCCAGAACCCGCTCCATACTCTTATAGTCGTCTCCCTTTCTACGTGCACTACTGGACGGATAGCCCGGATTAGTGTGAAATGCATATTAAAATCTTGCCGTTGTTTATGGGCATGTTTCCTCATATTCAGTGCCACTATAGCGTTGATATTGCATCCTTGCGCCTACTCACACTTCCTCGTGTGCGCTCGATGGTTGAAGTTTCGGATAGGCAGCGGGAAGTACAGCGTAAGCTCATTATCAGATCTTGCTTCTTGTTCTTATGAACTGTATATGTCATGCCTTTGGTGAGACTTACGGTAAACGATGCTGCCACCAGAGACGGCCAACCTTTTATTCATGACCATTATAGATCAGAATACATACTACCATCGGTAAGTTAGCGGCGCATCTTTTCATGGTTCCGTATTTGACATTGTGCCACTCAATTTGAGCATTGGGATATTGGAACATCGATGTTACCATGCAGCTGAAGACTGCCAACAAGTAGCTTGATATTCTGCTACTGTAACAGTGTCAACTCAGATTTTGTTGGACTTGTGACGCATCATTTACCCAGGGCCAGTGGCCCATCTTGACGCACCCGATCACGGCCAGCGAGGGTTGTTTTCTAGACAAGCAACTCCAAGGTCACTCGGGCCAATTGTTTATCCTAAACCAGAAGTCTGATATCTGTTCAAGGAAAAACGCTGTGCACGGCGATATCATATTGACAGGATTTGGCAGACACTCGATAAGGAATCGTGAAAATGCACAGTGTCGTGGTTTTGTGTATCATAATCTCATTTATATCCTGACAATTTTATCGCTAATCAGCACCAAGGGAGCGTATGGGTATCGAAAAGAGCGTTAGATGTACAGTGCCCATCAAGGCAAACCCCCGCGGGCCTCTCGACAGAGTGAACCCGTACCATTGTCTTTGTTTTTGCCCCTTCATCATTCAGACTGAAGTGCCTTGAACTATTTTGATGAGGATTTTGATGAATCACTATCATCGTCGTGATGCAACAGATGATCCATTTTTTGCTTCATGGTTTCGGGAGCTTCGGCCTCTGGCTCTTCAGGCTTTGGGGTAGCGACAGCCGGAGCGCTTTCGGCCGGCTCTTCTTCGTGATGCAGCAAATGATCAACCTTTTGCTTGATTGTCTCGTGAGTCTCGTCATCCTCTACTTCGGGAACAACGGGAGCGGGTGTGGGGGCGCTCTCGACGGGCTCCTCTTCGTGGTGCAATAGGTGGCCAACTTTCTGCTTGATCGTCTCCTCGGTTTCGACTTCTTCAGTCTTTGGGACTACGACCGGGGTGGCAGCTTCGACTGGTTCATCTCCATGATGCAAAAAGTTCTCAACCTTTTGCTTGAACTTGTCGCCAGCGTCAACTTCCTCTGGCTCCTGAGCCACGACGGTCGATGGGCCGCTCTCTGCTGTAGCTTCCTCGCCGTGGTGGAAGAGGCCCTCTCTGACCTTTTTCTTGATCTTTCCAGCAATCTGCACCTCTTCAGGCTCAACGACGCGATCGGCGGGACCGGCGTGCTCGGGCTCATCCCGGTAGCGCTCGTGCTCGTCGTCATCATCGTGGCGGGCAAACATGCCACCATGATCATCAGAGTCCTGTCTCTTCCTGAGCCACTTGGGAGCCTGCCATTCTCTCTTCTTGGAGAACCAGCCCGAACCCTCAAACTCGGGGACCTTGACACCCTTGGTGCCGGGAATCAGCTTAATACGACGAGCCTGGTGGAACCAAGGGATCCTCGGGAGCGAGGTTGGCCGGATCCGGTGCTCGCAGTGGGGACACTCGGCCGGGACGATCTGCAGGGCGAAGTATTGCGTCAGATCGTAGAGTGCAAGACCTGCGGAGAGGCTTCGTACCGAGAAATATACATGAATCAAGCTATTGCGGCGTCAATTAGTCGCATGATTATCCTGGGCGAGACAAGAGTTCTTACAAGTTGATCAATAAAGGAATCGTAGCATACGCAGCCAGTGCCGCTACCTTTCCACTGAGCTCATCCGACTTGGTCCAAGAAAAGACCAGCACGACCAACAGTGCAGCTGCCAGTATGAGATCTATCACAAAGTAGATGATTGGGTGCTCGGTATCACACGCCGCCTCTTCATCCTCAGATTCGGAACTGGAACTGCTACTGTGGCTGCCATGGCTGTGTCTCCTTCGCTTATGATGCACTCGCATGCGCAGAAAGATGAACAACGACGTGCCCGACGAGAATGCCAGCGGTACGAGACCGACGGCCGGTACCGCATGGTGGGATACGATACCCTCTGCCAGTAGCAATGGGAACGCCGGGATGAAACTCGCCGCAGCGACGACTCGCAAATCCAGTGCCGCCATTTTTTGGATCGTCTTTCGCCTCTTGTCTGCCTTTATCACACAACAAAACAACACAAAACAATAAAAGAGGAAAAACAGGACTGAAAAGAAATTCAGCGGTGAAGCCCGCGTCTACGCGAGAAAAGGTCAGAAATACTACTAGTTGCTACGCGATGATCCTAGACTTATCCCAAAGAGAGGGGCGATAACGATGCCCCATTTTGCAATCCACCGCTAAGAGCCAATCAAGCCATGCCATCACATCACGAGCTTGGACTGTGTAGGGAAAAGCTTGGGTGGGATGAAGAGTTGGCAGTGTGGATATGAAAGCACAGTCCTCATAAGCAAACAAAAGCGAGTGGTTTCGCATCATATGTGCATACTCGAAAGCGACGACGATGTATGCGATGGTGATTGTATAGGAAATGTCAGACGAGGTGCTATACTCCAAGTGTAGCAGGTAGTAATTCAGTACCTAGTGTAGATATTGCTTATTTCGGCAGGGATGCTATGCTATGCCTTTAGCTGCATTAGAGCTCTAATAAAAGATACAGCCATCAATGATGCTACTACTGCAGGGTCTTCACCTGGACGCGGACGGGTAGTAAGTACGTAGCTCTACGAAACTAATAAAAGCTCATATGCAGGTTATTTCTGCAACTATTTTGCGACAAAAGAAAAGAGAGGTTGAATGGCCCGACCCGCCTACGCCAAAGCTTGGGTGGGTACTAGGTATGTATCTCAGCAAAAGACCCCGATCTACGGAGAACGAATGATGCAATGATCAGCAGTGGGGTGAATACATGCACGGTCGCGCTGATGATCGTCTTCTAGGTTGTAATGGTTGCTGCGCTTTCGTGTTTAAACGAGTACTTTACGAGAATGAACCTTGGGATTAGAGAGAGATAGAGAAAACATGCCGACTTGGTTGTGTGGTGACCTTGCTATTGCAGGCAATTGGACGTAGGCACAAGTTAATGTCTCAAAATCATACAGCACAGCGGTGGATTAAGGTGGGCGAGTCACTCCGCTTTATGGTTTGTCGCACGCAACAAGGTCTCTAAAGAAAACGTCGTCAGCGGCGGTGCGTCCATTGGCAATAAAGAGCAATCTGTAAGGTATAAACAGGATCCTCCCTACCTAATATTACTTTCAGCTTTGTGCAAGATCCGGGGGCAGCACAGCAGCACAATCGCAACCAACCCGCATGCCAGCTGCAGCTCGCAGATAGATTGGACCATTATCCAAATGTTGGGGTGGCTGCCTCGTGTTCACGAGAAGGGGGCGGAGGAGCGCCGTTGTCGAATGGAAATGTTATAACAAAAAGCCCGCCCCCAAACAAGAACAAGACCGATTGCCGGAAATATTCTGTGCAATCCATCTCTTTTCCCGGGGGTCTCAGCCACCTTGTGTTATTAGGCGAGAAGCTCGGCCGATCCCCCATGATATCCACATGGAAGAAGCATTACGAAGGTGTCACAAAACGTCGTCTAGAAAACTAATGTGCGACGCAACACCAAAAAAGAAGAGGCCAGGCAGGTCAGGTCCCGAACATGCGTGGGTTCTTTGGGTGCATCTCGGTGTCGCAGCATGGGAAATGCGAGATGAAAGCTTGAGGAAATGGTTCCCGTCCAAGGCGTCGGGCGGAGAACACCCACGCTCGCCACGTTGCCGCATTTAGCCTCAGCTGAACAATAACTGTTGCTCCCGCTGAGCGGCCCGTGGAGGCTGATGCAATTCAAGACGACTCTTTTGTTCTGTATTTGGACAGATCGAGCAATTTTCCATCCAGCTGACAATTCGAAAGGCGCTCGGAATCTGCGCTTGCGCGCCCTCGCTTCGGTCAGGTTTAGTTGTACTCGAGATATATGAGAAAAACCATGTCGTATCACCGTTGGCGATCGAATTCTACTACCACAATGTGGTACCCCAAAACTTCCGAACGAATGTCTCAGCTATCATGGGCGGCCAGCAACAAATCACGGCCTGTTTCCCTGGAGATGATAAAATTCAATCGCATTTTACCTCGACTCCCCCAGTAAGCCACAGTGGGAAGAGTTTTTCTTCCCTTGCTTGCTGCCTTTCTCGATTTGGCTCCCTGATGGATAAATAGTCACCTGCGCCGCACAGCTGGATCCAGAACGGCGCATGCCCTCGTCTGTCATTGGAGACCCAGATTCCTGAACCTCGAATATACGCCAATAATGATAGGACTCGTCAACTCTGCGCAGGCTTTATTGACTCAATCCACGGTAGGAGCCTGGGGGCCGAGTTTCTGATAGGTCAATACACTCACCGGCAATTCATTGTACACTCCCACAAGTCGCTTTACCAAGACAAGAAGCCATAGCACAACGCCCTACCATGATTCTCCACTCTTGGCATATATACTCGTCAACGTTCCCAACATCCTGATATAATCTACCTCGTGTCGGGAGATTTTGATTTCGGTCAGCCCGTCATGGACTCCAGCGCAACCGCTTCGGGCAGCGATGCCCGGGAGAGTGAATCGATCGAGAAGCAGCATGGCACTGTCGCTGATGTCCCTACTCGAGCGGAAGCCGACGAGGCCCAACATGAACAGGCCGAGGACTGGAAGATCTCGAGGCATGAACTCTACATCATCTTATCATTGACAATCATCAACATGGTTGTGGCGCTGGATGCCTCTGTAATAGTGACAGCCTTGAACGTGAGTATAGCTTATTCCCCATGGCAAAAAGACGGCACAGCCTGATTCTGACGACGTTGTCCCATAGTCAATCATATCTGACATAGGAGCAAATACAACCGAAGGCTTTTGGATAGGAACCTCATACTTGCTTGCGTCTACAGTGGTAATGCCACCCATGGCAAATGTCAGCGAGATCTTTGGAAGGGCCGGTTGCCTCATGGCGTCGCTGGCTCTGTTCACTATTGGAAGCATCTTGTGCTGTGTCGCTGGCGACATCAACGTTCTGCTTGGCGGCCGGGCCGTACAAGGAATAGGCGGCGGTGGCATCTGGGTGGTTTCGCTTCTCCTCTTGACCGACATTGTACCTCTGCGACACCGACCAAAGTGGTGGTCTGTCATATCCTTGGGATGGGCCATTGGTCTCGTCATTGGTCCGTTGATCGTGAGTCCTTTCAATGATTGGTCATGAGTTGTGTAGGTAGTTTGGGGAAACACTGACATTTCGTGTATTAGGGAGGTGCTATTGGTCAAAACACAACCTGGCGTTGGGTGTTTTATTTGAACTTTCCATTCTGCGCCTTTGGTCTCCTGGTTACACCAGTGCTCTTGACCATTCGACCCAAGGCAGAAACGAATCAAGAGAAGCTGGCTCGACTCGACTGGGTCGGCGGAGTCCTCTTCACCGGTTCTCTTACAACATTCCTCTTTGGTTTAACAGCAGGCGGCGTGCAGTTTCCGTGGAACACTGCTAAAATCTTAGCGCCACTCATCATTGGGTTGCTCGGCCTGATGGGTACCGCCATATGGGAAGAATTTGGCGCGAGGGAGCCTATGCTCAAGAGATCCCTCTTCCACGACTGGAGTTCCATCATCACCTATTTTGGAGGCTTCGTCCAAGGTCTGGTCATGTACGGCCAACTATACTATGTCCCCTTCTTTGCTCTGGCCGTGAAGCAGGTCTCACCCATCCGAGCGGGCGTTATACTCTTACCTGTAATGTTGATTCTTGTCCCAAGTGGTGCCGTAGCTGGGGCTATAGTTAGTCGGGTCAACAACTATCGCTACATAATTTGGATTGGATGGCTGCTGGCGACGCTCTCCAGCGGGCTTCAATTGCTATGGACAGCCACCATCTCAGATGCAGTTTGGTTTGTCACTCTGATTATACTAGGTCTTGGACACGGGTTCGTACTCAACGCGCAGACTTTTGCCTGCCAAGCGTTGGCGAAACAAGGAGATGTGGCCGCTGCTGCGGCGACATATGGCTTCGCAAGGCAGTTTGGGACAGCCGTTGGCGTTGCCGTCGGGAGCACGACTTTCCAGAATGTCATGTCCCTGAAGCTGGGTTGGCAAGGCTTGCCGACGGACATTGCTTCCAATGCCGAGGGCTACGTCCCTACGCTACACGGTCTACCTGATGGCGATCCTACCAAGAGCGCAGTCTTGGATGCGTACGTCTTTGGCTTTCAGGGAGTTTGGAAGGTGTTTCTCGTCATCTCTGGGATCGCGTTCTTCTCAAGCTTCCTCATACGGCCCTCAAATCTTGATCGCGAAAATGAAACAGAACATACTCTGGCCAGGAGCCGAATTGTCAGATCACCGAAATGATCAAATTAGTATGATTATAATTACTTGCATATTTACGCATGGATACCATAGATAAAGATTGTATTCCTTTTCTTATCAAAATCTTCGTGTTCTTAACATGTATCGAACCAAGTGAACAATACTCGTCCCAATGAACCAGAACTCATGTCAAGTTCTTGGTATGGTGTAATCTGTTCAGCCCAGACGTACACTTGCGAGCGGTTTCGCTCCGGACCACGCAAATCGGATTGCTCCTGTCACGTGAAAATCATGAGTGGTTGTGTAGCAAGGCACATCATGCGTCGCTGTACTTGAGTTGCCAGTGATAATGACTCTTGCTAGTACTGATTGCAGTCCATGCCTAAAGATATTTCAAAGCCGCTGCGCATTCCATTTTCGCAAAACGAGCCCTGTGAACGTTGGCCGTCCTTGTGCAAGCGTATCGTCCCATCATAGGCGATGTTAGCACTCAAATGGCCTTGTCGCACCGATCGGTAGATGATCTCACGAGTATTTTGCTTCAAAGTAGTGCGTGTTGTGTGTGACTAGATCGACCAATGCAGTTACCAACATGACTCATTGGATGGCATTGCGTGTTGCCTCTGACCTTTCCCTATTCCAAAATGCGACTCCGGAAGGACATGAGCCTGGAAAATAACATTTCAGTTTGCAAGATTGGGACCTGTTTTGCTGAAAGATAAACATCACATGCCTCACATTGTTCTGCTGCACCACAGGAATTATGGTTTTGCACAAGTGTGCAGAGTCTATAAGCTCATGGAGAAAGCAGGTTTGTGGATTTGTTTGTTGTAAGGGTAAATCATTGTGATCTAGGATGATTGATTTCCTTATTACTCACAGAAAAAGTCATTTCGCAAGCGTTAGTTGCATCCATCTCAGCGAAATTAGTATAAATACCTCGATTCATTCCAAATCAGAAAGGAATTTCTTTTGTCTCTTCCCTCATCAGTTTACGTACCTACACTACTTGGAACTGGCCGCCTTGAAAATGAAACACCAAGTAAGAAGAGAAGGGATGTTATAATTATCCATACCCCTTGATTTGATTATCATGAGATTTTAGACCTACCTTGGGGTGGATGATTTCGTTATTCGAAGCACAATCGACGAGTACCAGAGGTCGGACTAAAGAAACCAATAAGACCAGGCGCAACGATTCCGCAAACATTCCGTATTAAAGCAGCAGAAGACATTGGTCACTTTATACTGACCAAAATCACCAAAATCATGCTGTGGTTTTGAATACCACCACAGTCTTGCCAGATCCGAGTCCTGCCATCCCTGTAGGCTTTGGCAATCGACCTCTGCCCTTCCCTACGCCAACGCCTTTGTTTTGCTCAGAGCTTATAGCGCCAGTTTTTCTTACAGTCAATAGCTGGACACACTGGGTAGCACAAACCACAAGTTCACATTGGAATGAAATTCCAATATTTTGGAGTACACGACGAAGACGTCGCCGTAGAGCCCACCATTGCAAATCTGGAATGACCCTACTGCACTCAGCCGCTCTATTTCTAAGTCACCGTATACGCCAGAATCGTCCCGTCTTCAATTGCCTCATTCCCTCCAAGATTATTTCACTGGACGATGGAAAGGAGACCGACACGTTGCTGCATTGCAGAGAGTCGTGACAGACACGGGCATCAGCTTAGTGAGTACTGAGAACAAAGCCCAAAATCCAACAGCCTTTGCCTGCAGGCTGCGCTGCGCATTGCGAATGCCCTCGAAGCCCAACATAAGTGGGTCAACTATGACACCCGACCCAGGGCAGCAGCACTCAGATCCTGTCATCTTTGAGACAAAAGTAAATCATTAGACTGACTGCCTTTGGAGTTGATCTCCAGTAAGTCGCAGGATTCTACACCACGAATCTCCGACCTAAGCGTAGATACCTATTATTCAGTACACACGCCCGTGAGCGCACCATTGGTCATGATCGACTTATAATCTGGCAAGACGAGGAGTCATGTCATCACCTCGACGACATGCTTCCAAGACGGGGGTCTAGAAATTCAGCAATGATAAGATCCCGGAAAACTCTCCCCAAATTGCCGGTGGGACGAGGAGTGTTGGCGCCGGTTGATGAAGAAACACCTTGCGGTCCCCTTCCTCTGCAGTATTTGACACGTCATATCCACGAGATGAACGACCATCTCGGAAGTAACCAGGATGTGGTCGGAGCCGGGCACAATGAGACTACAACGCTCGTGAAAGTGCACAACGTTGGGAAGATGTCTCTAGAACGCGCAGATATCGTTTATGGCACGCGAGAGTTAATTTTCAATGGAGAGATTACACGATTCATTTGACGTCTGGACCACTGGTCAGTATACTCAAACTCGACCTCCTACTGGCCCTGATAGTTTCCTGTGGCAAGATTCTGGCTGACTTATTGTAATCTAGAGGAAAATGGAATCCAAGCGGAAAAGCCATGATTGTGGCGTGTTTGTTCCAGCGGCATTGCTTGCCGCTAGCAAAACAGATACCAGGTCAACCTGGAAAACCCGAACGTCAAGAGAGTGGAAAATGTTTCTTCTAACTCACCTCCAAAAGCAATAAAGAGAATCCATTTGCTGAAATGGTTCAACGATGGAATATATCAGGGATGCGCCGGACTGATCCGACTGCACCTTCCATCGTCGACGATTCCCGAGCATGAGGAAGCTGGGTGCAAGAGTGGAAACGTTTATCCTTTACAATTGCATCGTACCGGAAAAGCATCGACATCCATTGGCGGCCGGAGCCTTTCCTACGTAAATCTTACTATTATTTCACTTGGACTTCGATTGGAAACGGATTTTGTGTGTATGGCGTTCGCGGTCAGGAGCGCCGCTCGCAGACCGAATTATAACGAGACACACGACGACTGGATATGATAACGGTCGCGAAGCAGACAGACATGAGCGACATTAACGTCTTAGGTAATGAATTGCCCAGCAGAAGTGGAAGCTTTGGATTATACTTGAAAAAAGATTTGACATGGAATATCCATTCATACATACGGTAGCTTTCACTATGACGTGCCTTTATCACAGTCCGTGGCCAGTCTTTTGATTTGTAACTTACGAAATACGATGTGCCGTATTATTGAAAAGTCATAAGATCGTAAATTATTCTTCCGTTCACACATTTGTATATGCTCTTATAGTAGTGATCAGGCCAAGGGATGCGGTTCGTATACTTCGCATAGATGTTTTCTTTTTCTTCTCGCGTCCAGCCCTGTAGTTGAATCCGATCCAAGTAATCACTCCTCACCATTGTTGTACGATTATCTCCACGCTGTCGCATCAGGCGTATGACTGATAGTGTCAACAATATGTGCCTTGTAATCAACTATCTTAAGATTCTATCTGCAGAGGAAAGCAAAACAGTCCCAAGTATCTTCCATTCGTCCTCTTGCTTTCTGTGAATCCCGCAGCTCAACTGGCCACGACTGAACTCTATTTTCTTTTTCTAAGACGAATAAACTCCACTACTTTAGTCGCGAGACACCCATGCCCTGGTTAAGAAGAAGCTTGGACGTCTCCACCACCCCTCTCATCAACTTGACCTAAAATTGCGATAAGAAATGCACGCAATCAATTGATTGAGTCTCTCTCACTGCTTGTGATTTCAAGGTCGATTCCTACTGTGAAGGTGTCTCACGGGTGCGATTGAGTATACTGCGTACAGGATTATAATATACTCATTGACTCTCGTTCTGACACGCCCCTCCTGTGATGATCTGTGCGGGCTCCTAGGTGCCAAAATGGACGAATTCGGTTGGACAGCAGAGGATGATGTGGCCATGCACGAGGTTGGCGACTCGCTCGACGTCGGCATGGAACCGGGAGCTACGGTCATGTGGTTTGGTACTCATGAAGGCGTCCGCATGGACGAGCTGACCGAGGAGTATCGCCGCCATTTGGAACATGGCTCGTACTGGGACAGGACGCCCAACGTATGTCCAAAGCTTGCGAGCTTGTCGCAATCGGGTGTGACTCACTGCTAATCATGACCAAGCTGCTTCGTTTCAGGAATTTACATACGCGGTATCTGGATTGGTTGGACCAGGAAAGAAGTCCCTTGTCGGCTCCCATCTGGTTCGGAAAGTATCGAGGCCATGAATTGAGGATTCTATATACGAGGCCACGGAGGTGGCGCTGGCTTATGGATAATTGTGGGAAATGGAGACGGGCTCTATTGGACATGATACGCAGGTACGAGCTCTGGAGGGAGTTGCATGATCCGGATTGGCAGTACAGGCGGCGCCGACGACGACAAACACATGGTAGGATGATTGTCAACAAAGTCGGCGAGCGCCTCTTACCGCGTGATGACGGACCGGCTTCAGATGATGATGATTCGTATGCAACCGACAGTAGCTTTATAGTCCGGGACTCGGATATGGGTACAGACCAAGACGGCGAGAGCAGTCAAGACGAAGATGACCCTTTTGAGCCAAGCAGCGACGCGGAGAGCGACGTGATTCTCGATGGAGATTTTGATGTCCAACAGCAGGCGTCCATGGTGGTTGGCACCATGGAAAGTGAGGGAGAAACGACACCACGGACGGCTGCCAAGAGGGACGAAAGGAGACGGCCTCTCACTCTATTCGGCGACAGTGACAAGGACTCTGATAATGAGTTCCCGTCAGTAGCGGCCATGTTCCGGACACCGCAGAGGCCTCGAGCTCCACGTGTTCGGGTGGCGGATGAAAGTCATGTGCACACACCCACGCAAACACAACGGATCATTACTATATCATCAAGCAGCGAGAGCCATGCAGGTTCCATTGTCGAGGATGATGACGAAGATGACAAGGATGAAGAACTTCGACCGCACTTTTCCCAAGCCACAAACCGGCTTTTTGATGTCGAGGCGAAAGGCGGACGAGAAGGGAGAATTGGCACAAGAGTCAGAACATCACCGAGGAAATATATCTCCCTTGAAATCAGCTCCAGCGACGACGACAATACCGCGAGGAATACCCCTCGTACGTCAGTAAGATCGTCGAGGAGCATCCCTCGATTGCCACCACCCCAAGAGGATAGTATGTCTAGCAGCAGCGATGAGCTAGTTCCGTCACCGACAAGACGCATTACATTCATGGATCGGAGCAAGATCTCGCCAATTCGGAGGAAGCACAGTGATGTTACTTTGACACCACGAAGACAACCTGTGCGAAACTCGCCTAGGAGGAATGCGGCGTCACCACGCAAACAGTCACCACGCAAACAGTCACCACCCAAAGAGTCGATAAGCTTAATCACTTCGGAAGAGGAGGAGGAGAAGCCGGTCCAGACGCCGCTGAAAAGACGTCATTCAAGGATCTCTGTGTCTCAGACCAACACGAATCGACGGGATCTTTCCCCATATGATTCTGATGATCTGCCAATCTATCCGAAGGGCTTTGGCCGTAAGACTGCTGCTCCGGCCAACAGCATGGACAGTCCCGCGTCTCTGGACTCGGATGACAAGCCCCTCAGACCACGGTCAAGCCCAATCAAGCATACTCCTACCAAAGTGGGCGACATCATCTGTATTGATTCCGACGATGAGCCGGTAAGGCCGCCGCCCAGTCGGCGTAAACGAAGCCAGGCTCAGGAAATGCATACCGAGTCGGACGACGAGCCTATCAGTCCTAGGAAACCAAATCATGGAGGCTATCGATAGTCTGCATTGCGATCAATGTACTCTGTTTTTAGCACACATAATTCATGTTGAATAGCAGTGGGTGGGGGTAGAAGCCAGCCGTCGAACGTGTATAATACATGGCGGGATTCCTGATGCTTGGTGAGGAAAAAAATACAGAGAAAACACCCGGGATTCCATGCGCATCAAATATCACAGATACGAAAAGATCAACGATGGAATGGATCTCCCAATGGATGCTTTTTGCTCGTATGCAGCTGCTGGATCTTCATGGCGCCGTCCGGGAGTCGCCAGAGGCAAGAGGATTTGGTGGAAATTTCCCCAATTTGGGTGCAGTTTTAGTGAATGGGTACCTGCAGTCTAGCGCTCCTGGTTAGGAGGATCCATGCCCCGCAGATGAAAGGTCTTTAGCGCTGTTTGAGCGCTGCTGTAATGGGTCCGCAGGAATGTTCCTTTTGCTTTGCATTCAATGGGGGATGGGAAGGAGGGAGGATGCAGCAATTGTTTTGCCTTATGTCAGCACAAGTTTTGTAGTGTACATGGTAGAGGTGGTTATGTCGATCTCTTATGCTAATGACGACAGTGATGCTGGAATGGTGCCGGTGGTGGTGATGATCTTGATGCCAGATGCCAGATTAGGTTGGACTGCTAGTGTGTGCACATAAGATGACAGGACGGGACGAAATAAGAGATGCCCCCAGGTGCCAAAGTTGACAGAAAGGTTTGTGCTTAACAAGTAAGGTTAAGATTTTTGTGGGAATCTGTTACGGAGGGATATGGTGTCTACCAAGTGCTGCTTAAGGGCTTATGCCCGACGGTGGGAATATCAGCTGCCCCTTGGAAATGGATTGGTATTGTTCTAAGGAGAATTATCGCGTTAGCCATAGCCGCGCCGCCTCTTCAAATGAAGATCCAATGGCGACGGCAGCGATGCACGTCCCACCGAGGCAGCTGATTCGGCTCTCCACTGGTCACGGCGGTTTCCACTAAACAGGCGACAGAGAGGACCAACGGGGTTAGGTGCCCCTGCCAAGACTTCGCCAATTTCATGGCCGTGGATTTCGTCCCATCGTATCCCAGATTTCCGCCCAGGGGCCCCAGCGGATTGACGGCAGAACGTGCATCGTGCGCGCTTTGGGGGGGCTCCTGGACCTGGTCATTGGCGTCTTGGTACCGGGGGGCTTAGACTGTCAAGGGAGGGAGAATGGGAGTGAGGGAGAGAGACTCGAGACTTTGGGGGTGCAAGTCTTGGCTCGGCATCTCCAGCAATAATATTTTTGTCTCTTCTTTATTCTCCCATCACCACAATCAACGACCTTGTATTTGTCGTTTTTCACTCTTTATTCACCTCTCTTTAGCTTGAGCATCACTCATTCATTGCTTCTTGCTTGGACATTGGCACCTCGGCTGCCTTACGCTCTTTTATTTCCAGTCCCAACTCTCGATATCTTGCGCGACCAAACCGCAAACAAACAAAGATACACACACGCTCCTTGCCGTAATCAATCAATCAATTCACCTATCACAATGCGTTTCTCCCGCTCCGTGGCCGCCAGCGCCGTCGTGGCCGTCGCGTCCGCTGACAACTACTTTGGTTTCAACTCGGGTGCCCTCAAGGACGATGACTCTGCCAAGTTCAAGGCCGACTTCGTCCAGGAGATGACCACGGCCCAGAACCTTGTTGGCGCCCCCGTCACCTTCAACGCTGTGCGTCTGTACACAAACATCCAGGCCTACTCCACCACCGACCCCATTGAGGCTTTCGAGGCCGCCGTCGAGACCGGCACCTACCTTTTGCTCGGTATTTGGACCTCGGGCACTACCTCCATCGAGAATGAGATGACCGCCCTCAAGGCTGGTCTCGACCAGTACGGCTCTGAGCTGGCTGACCTCATCATTGGTATGTCCATTGGTAGCGAGGATCTCTACCGTAACTCGGCCACTGGTGTTGCCAACTCGGCTGGTGTTGGTGCCGATCCCGATGTCATCGTCGGCTTCATCAACGACTTCAAGTCGGCCTTTGCCGACACCTTGATCGCCAACGTCCCCATCGGACACGTCGACACTTGGGACGTCTGGCCCAATGCTACTAACAAGCCCGTCCTCGATGCCGTCGATTGGATTGGTGTTGACGAGTACCCCTACTACGAGTCCGGCAAGGGCAACGACATCTCCAACGCTGGCACTCTCTTTGACACTGCCTACGATGCGACTCTTGCTGCTGTTGGTGACAAGCCCGTCTGGGTTACCGAGACTGGCTGGCCCTACACCGGTGAGACCTGGGACGAGGCTGTCGCTAGCGTTGAGAATGCCAAGTACTACTGGGACGAGGTTGGTTGCCGCCGTCTCTTCAACCAGGTCAACACTTTCTGGTACAACCTCCGTGATTCCAACTCGGCCAACGAGATGAAGTTCGCTATTACCGACAACCTCTCGACCGAGGCCCGATTCAATCTGTCCTGCCCTGCTACTTTCGATACCCCCTCTTCCACCTCGACTGGCTCTGCTACCGGCACCGCCACTGGTATCCTGACTGCTTCCGCAACTGGCACGGGTGCTTCTTCCACCGGCACTTCCTCCTCTGGCTCTTCCAGCAGCGGCAGCAGCAGCGGATCTTCTTCCAGCGCTTCGTCCACGAGCGCTGTCGGCACCTCTGATGCCATCTCCCGCGGCTCAGTCTCGGCTGTCTCTGCCGTCATTGCCTTGATGGGTGCTGTTTTCCTGCTGTAAATAGCCTGGTGAAGAGATTTGAAGGTGGCCAGCTTGTCCTCCAGTTTTTCTCCCGCACATATTCATCATATTTCGCTCTGCCATGGGGTGACAGATGCATTAGATACGGAAATGGGAGCTACACGATTGTAATATAGAGGTTTCCGGCCGACAGTCGATATATAGAGGCTGCCTATACTGCCAGTTTTGCTTTCTGCGCGGCGCGCTACATGGACCAATTGATTTTTTAAACACGCCAGAACTTCACGTGATATTCATGGTCCCACCTTCGATGTTCAGTCCCTTCTTGGCTAGCGATTGATGTCTTGAAGAATTGCAATAGATGGGAGTACAGTTTACGTGTCACATTCAATACTCCAAGGTTACGTTGGCGAGATATCGTGAACTGAATCCTGCCCCGTCGTTGCGTAGGTCTGAGATCAACAGTCAGCAAGCTTGTTAATTACATGGCCATGGTATAACGATGTCAAGAACTCGTATCGCAAGCCAAGCCGGGGTTAGACTTTTGTGGCTTCAGCTCCTTCTGTCTGCGGCTCGGGCCGCGCAACGTGACGTCTTTATACAGCCCGCCAAGTATCATCTTTCCAAGATGCAAAATGTGGCTGTATCATGGAGGAAATATTCTAGATCTACAAAGTCACACCAGCTGCATAGATCCAGCATAGCACTTTGATGTGAATCACATCTCTTCTCTTTCCAAATCGGGATATTGGTCGTCAAGTCCAACTCGCCTGGAACTTCATTGGCCCGGAGAGGACATTTGTTCGTTCCGTGCGGCAGATTGAAGGTGGGTTGCGAAGAAAAGTCTTACAGCTGAAATTGATAGACGAAGTTTTTGACAAAGACCAGGTACTCGACCACGCCTGACACAGGAACCTCGACTTTTCGTGGTCGAGTGGCCTGATGGATCCCGTGCCTCCCGCCTACATTGCCAGATGCTAGGGTGAAAAATCGTGGCATCAGGGCAAACTGGATTCAAGTAGGACGATGGACTAATGGCCTACTCAACTCTTGTCCCCTCCCACCACTTGGTTTCTACCTTTTTCTGGGTTTTCACCTCATGACTTCGTATCTTTTGTCTTTCAATATTTTCCCCGGCCCTGAAGCAGATGTCAGTTGAAATCGGCTCATAAGCCTCGGCACAATGACTGACCATGCATGACTACGACGTCAATTCTCAGCATAACGAGGAAGTGTATTACCCCATGCAGGATGTTCGTGCTAGGTCATGATGGCGAGTATCAGGTATTTAGAGGCCTCTGCATACATTTTCCCTGTCACTCAAAAAGATTGGTATTGTCTTGATCGGAGGCGACAACATACAGCCACGACTTCCCTTTTCGACATTATCTTTCTCAATAGCCTCCCAAGGCCAGCAAGTTGCGCATCGTCACATGGGACTTTCTTGTTGGACGTAGAAAATGATTCGACTCGTATTCTACGATTGCGGTGCTAACCTAAGGATGCAATCAAAACCTTCTTGTGGAAATATGCAAACACAAACTACATCTTAGATTACTATTCAAATTGAGTGACTCATCCTCACGCACTTTGCGTCCGGAGGCATCCTGGTTTGAATAATGCAGATACGGATATCATTACACATAAATTGTCTTTTTTTTTTCTCTGCGTTATCCACGCATTAATATTCGAAGAAGAATCGATTTCACACAGGACATATTCTCAATCCATATCGATTCAGCGTCTGAACTTGGAAACATCTCCGACCTTCGCACTACTGCTGGGATGTATTACGTCCAGCACGCTGTCGGGATGCGGTTCGAAACAATAGCACAACGACAGAGACGGCCGTGCCACCTCCAAGAACCGGCCACATTTGTTCCACGCACGTGATAACAAAAATGCATTTCAAAAATGCTGTTGTGTCTCGTTATCAATGATTACTGCAGCTCTTGTCTCGTCAGCGACATCATGATATGATTGTCAGGCTCACGCTCAGCGAGCAAAGCGTCCAGGCATGTCCTCGATCTGGAATACGGCAGAACTCGTCTAGCCCTAACGCTCACCACAACAGCACGTCCGAGGATATCGTAGCCCTGTCGAGTCGTGATCGCTTACACCGTTGACGCCGATTTTGGAAAAGATGTCATCAAGGTTACCTTGGACGAGCGTCCCATTTGTGCAGAAAAACGCACCTCAACAGAGCGACATGGCACGGTGCATATTTCAGTAGACAAACACCCAATCGCGATGACTTGTTCCGTACTTGAGTATGAAAAATGTCGGGGTCAAGAAAATGATATCATATCATATGGTGGCATGTGTCGGATGGGGTAGCATTTGGGAGCGATGTTGCATCGAGTTGCTCGGCAAATGCCGCGATGGACAGGGATTGGGACTGCTTGTCGCTAAATATAGAATTTGATAGTCTCATAGTATCTGACCAAGTGGTGAACCCAGGCATGTCTCGATGACCATCTCACGATCATAACTTGGATGACCAAGAAATGTTTGACAAACCCCCCAGCTCTCGTTCCCCAGTTCTGGGACCAATACAATCCCAAAGATGGGCGGAAAATCCGGTAAAGGATTCTTTTTTTAGTGCCCGCCGCTACAGAAGGTAGTGTACGCGTGTTGTATCCCCCTGCAGATGGACTTGATGATGTGATGCTATTCTTTGCATCCTTTTTTGACCGCACAATTTTGACTTGCGACTGATAATCTGACAGAACCACAATGTCGGTCATCACACTTTATTCTATTTGTGACCACACCCTTTGGACATGGGCCATGGTCTCGAAATGTCATGAAAAACTGGCTTGCCGTAGAAAGCTTTGCACTAAGGGCAAGCTCCGTACTCATAGTCTGTCGGCCGGATGACAACTAATGACAACGCTAGAGTATAACAGGGTTCGCGATCCCGAAGCTGCCAAGTGACTTCGTAATAACTTAAGTCAAAAAATCCCCACACCGTTGTAAGACTTTGGGGGCCACGGCGGCGTTCTCCTTAAATGCCGGACCGGTTCGGTGCACGTGGTTTTGTCTCGCTTCTCCTGAACAGGCAGCCCTTGAGGTTGGTGCAGGATAGAAAACTTCTTTCCCTTCTTTTTCCCAACTCGCGAGCAAAGGACGAGGATATAGGCTCGGCACTTCTCTCCTTCCCACTTTGGGCGGACACGACGTCTGCACAGCCGGTCCTCGAGCATCATCAAACTAGATGAGTCAAGGCAGGCTCCCCACAGTTCTCCGGCACTGGAGCGGACATGCTTGCCGACCATAACGCCCGGCTGACCGAGGCCGATGGCGACAATCTCGGCATTGCAAGTGCTTACCAACACGGCGACTTGGTCGTCTCACGCAATGCTCCCGTCACTCCCGCCGCCGCCTCCGCTCCTCCCTCGGGGCATGGCAGGTGGGCAACGAGCGCGGATTGGGCCGCGCACAAGGATAGGGTTGTCCGGATGTACTGGAATGAGGATAGAACGCTCAAGGAAGTCATGAGCATCATGGCGACGGAATATGATTTCCACGCCACGTAAGTTCTCTTCCGTGTTAAAAGTTGACAGTTTTGTTGTGTTTAACGATTCCTGAGCGCAGAGTGAAAATGTACAAATCTCGGTTCAAGCTTTGGGGACTCGCCAAGAATATTATCAAGGAGGACGCCTCCCGGATCATCCAAGCAGCGTGGTCGGGCGAGAGACCTGACGAGCCCGTCGTCAAGGGCCGAAAGGTCGGCTCCAAGCGGTTCCGGAAGCAGTTGCAGACGGCTCGGGAGCTCGGCGCCCGGTTCTCGTCAAAGGAATCCAGCTTGCAGACGCCGTCGCCCCCAACAATGCCGCCGGGATCTCCGGATCAACTGCAGAAGCAGCAGCAGGTGATGATGTCATCATCGGCTTGTTCCTCTCCCACGTCGCTGTCGCATCGTCTTTGGCAGCCCGACGTCTTGGGCCAGTCGGAGCGCGCCTGTCATGCTATACACAGTTACACCGACTTCTGCCTCAATACCAAGGTCTGGGAACTGGCAAGCGTTACGGCCGATGATGCACTGAATCTCCCCAAAGGGAGAACGTTCAAGGTTTTTGTTGTCGACAATTACATGTCAATGACTGCTGGGTGTAAGTGCTTGTCCTTTCTTTCCCTGCACGGTCAAGTTTCATTGTTGTAGTGAACATGTAAGAGAGATGGAGAGAAAAGAAAATGAACCAACAGTTACAGAAAACGGAAAGGTTTTATTCTGCCATCTGCAATCCACCCTTCGGCATTTATGTTGCGCAGCGCTAACCCAGAGAAACCTTGCAGGGTGGATGGATCTGCGGACGGCGGCAAGGATACTGAAGCGATCGCGCAATTCAATTACCGCATTTCGGATTATAGACAATTGTCTCGAAAGAACAAGTAACCTGATTAACTGTAAGTAAAAAGACATGTCCATTCATGATTTCGATTGGAATCGACGCTGGAATTTTTCGTGTGGTCAAGTCAATGTCATCACGCGGATGAAATACTAATATCGTTTCAATCACATTAGTTCAAGATCCTACATTTATCACTGCTACCATGTCGGTAGTATTACAACTAGAAGAGTTTGCCAAGGAGCTGGCCACTTCGCTATTGCGCTACATCTACCACATGAGCGTGGTTAAACTGGGAGCACATCACCCTTTTAGCTGCTTCTGGGCACACATGACCTCGCTGGGAGTAGTGAATGCCCGGCACGCCGTCGAGTCGACACTGAGGGTGCACTACGACACTTTGCAGCGCCAGATGCATCCCGAGGACATCAAGTACTGGGGCGACTCGCCGGGCTCGGGCCGGCGCCTGGCTCGGTATACCGACTTTGCCCGGGACCAGATGCCAAGCAACAATTTCATGAACATCATGTACGACATGGAGGCCGACGTGACGTCGGTCGTCGACGAGATATACATCAACTGGTGCCAAATCATGCTCTCGTACTTTATCGCTCATGCCGCCCCTGACGAGAGAGGCGACCCCAATCGATTCGTGGCCAAGGATGCCGACGCCGAGGTCGATCGGATCAAGGTGGAAGACGTCGAGGATGAAGAGGGCAGCATGGAAACGCTCCACAAACTTGAGCATTTCGAGGACTCTTGATTGTTAGAACTTGGGAACATTACGACATTACGAACAATTTCTACTTGACTTGTACCATCACTACCGAATCCATCGTTATGGATTTGGGCAATTTAGAAACATCGTCGGCGTTAAAACTGACGGTGAACTGGAGCATCTATAGATTTCTTGTACATATTTAGGGAAATACTCCTAGAGTAGTGGCCTGATAGCGGCCTCAATTTCATGTAACTTATTTTTGGAACGTCTTCGTCGGTCTCACGGGTCGCTGTTGCTCATCAAGACATCACCCAGGGCAAGCGATGTATCTCATTTGATCTTGTAGTATCGTCATCTCATTGAGTAGTTAGACATTATGTATCATTCTGATTCGCTTTCCAAAACCCGATGCATTGTCCTACCATCCAAAATTAATCAGAATCCTCCTCCACTGTAGCATTCTTGGGTCGATGTGCTACGTTGCTCGTACGTCCCCTCCCATGACTCTGCGCTGCAGGTTTGTTCCCATTTGCCTTTCCGTTTGCCTTGCCATTCGATTTTTGCTTTTGAGGAGACTGGACATTCTGCTGGGTATTTGCTGGCTTCTTGCCCATCGCTTTTGGAGACGGCGGGTTATTGCGCGGTGCTGCCGGCTTCCTCCCGTTCGCTTTCTGCGCGGCTATGTCGTGCCTTGGAATCTCCTCCACGTCCGACTCGTCCCCTTCTTCGCCCTCGTCGTCGCCAGAGTCATAGTCCTCTTCCTCCTCGCCTTCTTCGTCCTCATCGTCATAGTCGCCTTCCTCCTCGTCGCTGTAGTCCCAGAACTCGGGCAAAAGGTCGTTATCAGCCGCGCCCTCTCCGTCATCAAAACCGCCATCAATGATGCGCTCCGCCGGCTCCTTGCCGACAACGGGCAGCTTCTCGACGCCGCGCTCCTTGAGCTTGCGCGGCACCATGTTCTGGTTCAGTAGGCCGACCTGCACTAGCACGCTTGCCTGGTCCCAGTAAATGTGCTCGTGGTGGAGCTTGCCGCCGCGCAGCGTCACGATGCTGATTACCATGATCTCGACGTATTGGTTGGTCGGCGGGATGCCGGGCAGAATCCACGGCATTCCTTGTGTGTGCTCAAAAGATACGTGCAGCTCGTCCACCACGCGGTTCGCGCTCGCCGTCCGCGAGATCAGTGTCACTTGCAGTGACTCGGGATTGCTTTCCATGAAAAAGTCGCCGTAGAATCGTGCTAGCTCCTCGGTTCCCACGCCACCTACTAGTGTTGGCATGAAGGTTGTGTGTGGTGTGTGAGTAGTTGTGTATGTCTTCATCAGCCTGGCCTCGTCCTTTGCGAAGAATTTGCCTATCACTCGGTTAGTCCTGACTCTGGTAAGCAAAATTTTGAAGGAAAAGTTTCTCTCTTACTCTCCATATTCTCCTCCACTACTCCCATTACATTAGTATCCCATCTAAACGCCTTTCTCGCCGCCGCCAGGCTGCGATCCCAAGCCAGATCCGCCGCCACCTTGTCATAGGCATCCAGATCCGTCTCTGCAAATCCCGGGTCTGCCTCTGGGTAGCTAAAAGCCGAGTACGACATCTGCACCAAATTTCCAGTGCCGATGCCGCGATCAATCTTCTTTTTGCCGACACGCTTCCGACCCTGAATACCGACCATTTGGCTTTGGCGCACCACGCCGACACTCTCGCCGGCCAAATGAACCAGGACCTGAACGCCGCCGGGGAACCGGCCCCGTGGGTCTGGGATTTTGGTTGGGTAGTAGGCCACCAGTAGCGCGAGCTTAAAGTCTGGGTTATTGTCCAGAACGTGAAAGTATTCCAGACACTGGCTGGCAGCATCACCGTAGGCCACAATACCAAACGTCTCGCAGGGACCCAGCCCAGATGTCTTGTGCAAGCTGGCCAGCTTCATCCGATACTCCTTGTGGGCGCCAGGACCCTTGGCTCCAGGCGCCATGGGCAAGAATTCCGCATTAAAGCCCTCGGCGCGCCACTCATTCAGGACGGTAGTAGAGTCAAACTCGGGGTCGCCAGAAGTGATCCAGAGCCGCGGTGGCGACTTGGGAAAGTCGTCGGACAGGAAACCCGGATCATTATGGTTTGGCCCGTTCATGTTGTTGGCAATGACGGCCACATTGCGGTTCGACTCCCCCGGCTTGGGGATGGCCGCGTCTAGGATACCCGGCAGGTTGATGTTCATCTTGGCTTGTCGAGTGTATAATGCCCCTTCTCCCTCGTGTTGAATGTCTGTTTAGGATTTGCAAGATACGACTAGGTCCAGAGACATGCAGGAATAAAGTCAATTAAATCGAACTCTTCCAAGTGAGGTTTCATCAAAGCTGCGCAGTCTCTTCTCCAACCCCCCTAGGATTATATTGGCTGCAGACATGGTTGGAAAACAAGGACAGAGCGGGCCATGACGTCACGTCGACTCGAGTCGAAACATAGTCGCGGGGTCGTTTCTTTGAGTCAGCATCGCAGTCTAATGAATCACTGTACGGGGGAAATGAATAGGAAAAATTGGTTTGAGTAAATGAATAGTGTTTTTAATCTTGTATTACACAGATAATTGTGCTATAGAGTTGATCTCTACTGTGACGCCCGAGCTTGTGCTGCGCGAGACAAATGCTACTCTAGTTTGTGCTTGGTCAACCAATCAGCGAGCCCCATGATAGTCTACGACAGGGCCTTATCGCAAACTATCGAGTTCTTTGGGAAGTGATTTGCAGAGGCAACTCGAGTATAACCAGGCATACCTGATGGGGCACTACATACTCTATAGAACTGCCATGCCCTTGTTGCGGGAAATCAACACTGTCCCGAGCATGGCCTCGAGCGTTCACTGTTTACTTGAAGCGATGTGAATTTCAGAGCAAGGAAATGCTCGAGGATGACAAAAGTGTTGCCGGTAAAGTGGGAGATTTTAATCAGCAATTGCAACGAGACACGGAACCTTGCACCTGGCTCTACATATTGGGAGATGATGGCAAGTGCTGGCGTGCCGCTCTTAAGCTCATAGTTCATTCTCCGCGGCATGCTTATCTCAAGGCAGACGCAGGCCTTGGGGACGTGCCATGTGCCATCCACAAAGCATACAAACGGCTGTGAAATCATGACCAATCAAGCACGGTCAAGGCACTACCAGTGTAGGCAAAGATGATGGAATCCTTGTTGACAGGGTGAATTAACGATGTTCCTTGTGACATCAAAGCGTGATCTCTATCCCTCAACAATAAACCAGAAGCTTAAGTCGACCCACGAACGCCATCGAATGCTAAAATCATCTTGATCATGCCTTGCGCCCATCCAATCTACGGCCACCCGCGTCCGGCTTCTTCTCCGCCTTTGCCTTGTCGTCTGGCTCTCCCTTGCGCTTAACGGCACCTCCTCTAAGGGTTTGACCTTGACCAGCAAAGTGTGGCCTGTTGTCATTTTCCTTCTCTGCTTCCTTGTCGGCATCTGTCTTGACTGGCTTGATATCATAACCAAAGAAGAGTTTGTTGGGGGGAAGGCGTAGTGGCATTGGTCCATTCGTCCTACGAATCGGCTGAGGTGGCTGGTTTGAGGATGTCCCTGCGACTGGCGTCGATGGTTTAGGAGTGGGCGCCTTTGCGCCCTTCTTGGCATTTAGCTTGTGTCCCTCGCTGATAAAGTGTGATGAAACAGCCCTGGCGCCAGCAGCTGCGGCCGTTCCGCTTGGCTTGATAGCTTCATAGTTGATGTCTTGAGCCATTGTACCCTGGCTGTGCAGCAGACCACCAGTAGGCAATCCACCCTTGCCACTCCTCGGTGTGCTCGTACCGCTGCCTGCACGTCTCTCTGGCTCAACGTAGCCAACAGGCGGCGCAAACTCGACAGAGACATCAGTCTCAATCATACTGACACCCATCTTTTCTGTTACAGGCTTCACCTCTAGAACGGCAATGTCGTAAACTTCGTCGTTATACTTAAAGTTGAATACGTCGCCTTTCGTCAGAGTGGCAAAGTTGCGGAATGCGTGCTCGAGGACTGCCTTGGGGTCGCTGATTTCCAGAAAGTTGACCGACTGCGGCTGCAGCTTGACCATCTTGGCCGGGGACAAGGACGTCGTCTTTATCTGGACCATGTCACCAACGTCGAGCAGCAGAGACTGCATCATCCATTGTGGCAGGTACGCGCGACCCTCCTCAGCGGTGAACTCGAGTACACCACAGTGTGTATGCTTCTCCTTGTCGCCGTTGACGAGCTCCATGGTCAAGGGCCATTGGACATGCAGGCGTGAGATCTTGTTAAGAGCGGATTGCGGTAGGAAGATCTTGGAGCCGTAGTTGAGGTCAGGACGCTCAGCGCCCGGCGCCATGACGATCGGGTAGCATCGATAGTATTCGTCAAAGCGCATGGCTCTGCTGGCGATGCCGGAACGCGCCATGTTGTACATGTGTTGTGGATCGTTGGGATCGTAGGCGTCGAATCCGGGGCGAAACTTGGGTAGATAAGTCAGTAATGGCAGCTACGAGATGGGGGGCTACCGGAACAGCCGCGGGCTTGACTGACCATCTTCTGTACTATTGAGCAGGGCGAAAACCCCGAGGACCTAATATGTAGTAACAAAGACAAAGGACAGAGATCGATCACCGAGTTTCAGTGTCTGGCATATGCGTACTGCTACTTGTCTGTTGTGGGGATGTCGGTTGTGGTAATGGGAATTCATCGAAGTGGGATGCAGCTTCGAGAGCTTTGAAGGCACCCAATGCTGATGACGAAACGTATGGCACCCGGAACTAACGCCTAAAAAGGTAGCAAGATACCTTAAGTACTGAGTAGGTACCTGCCTCACTCTGGGAGCAACCCATGGCATTCGACTAATTTCATTTCGTCCTCTTTTACGAGATGGATATTTCAATTCAAATGTAATTAAGAAAGATAATTCATTTTACTATCTATGGTCGCTCAAATAAAACACAGATGTCATGTTTATTCCCTTTTCCAAGATTTGCCGAGTACCTGTTAAGCCTTCCGCAGCAGAATTGATGCAATGCACTGCTGTGGCGTCGTGTCACGCTGCTTGTCAGTAAACCTACCCACCATTAGCGCCCGATACCGAGGCCTGTGCTTGTGTCTTTCGGTACCTGTAAAAGATATATGCAGGTAGAATACCCCACTACAGCTTTAGAGCTTGGTAGCTTCCGGCGCCGTCAAATGCTCGTCGAGCCTGTATTTATTCCTTCTTCATCGTCATAACAAGCCTCATAACCACACAAATTCAGGCGTCGTGCCCTCGTCGCGCTTCTAGGTCGGTATCATGTCGTCGAGATACAGTGCGGCGCGACCAAAGCGCGCTGGAGAGGCGTACGCACGAGCACACCATGGCGAGACTGGCCCCGACTCCAAAAAGGTCAAGTTTGACGTGCGCAACCCCTCGGCTCTTGCCCCAGATGCTGCCGAGGATGGTGAGGACGGGGCTGATGCCTACCTAGAGGTAGATGCTGAGGTGATACGCGGGAGTGCCGCGACCAAACGTGGCGCTGTCAACATTGACGGCTACGACTCTGACTCTGACCGCGAGGAGCTGGGTGTACGCAGGACAGAGAAAAAGCCGGATAAGAATGTTGATGATGTCGACGACATGTTTGCCGACGAGGATGGAGATGAAAAGGACGACGAAGTTGACTACTCCACCGGCAAGAAGAGCAAGGAAGTCCGCTTCCTCGACAGTGCTGACATTGACGGCCAAGACTTGAGATCCAAGGGTGGAGGCACCATCCGGCTAGACGAAGAGTCTGATGACGAGGACGATGAGGAGACGGTTGCTCTTGCCATCCAAGAAGAAGATATTGACGAGGAAGTCGGTGCTGGAGGACTGAAGAAGCATGCGCCCAAGGTTGAGGCTTTCAATCTGAAGGCAGAGGCCGAGGAGGGTCGCTTTGACGAGGCTGGCAACTTTGTCCGTAAAGCAGCAGACAAGGATGCCCAGCATGATCGCTGGCTGGAGGGCCTCAGCAAAAAGGATATGAAAAAGGCTGCCGAGGCCCACGAAAAACGCGAAGCCGAATTGCGGCAAAAGAGGCGGGAAGACGATGACATCTTGACCTCGGATTTGCTGAAGCAATTGATCCTCCGACTAGAGCCCAGCGAAACCGCCCTGGAAGCACTTGCGCGACTCGGCAAGGGCCAGGCCAAAACCAAAAAGGTTCCCAAATGGAAACAGAAGAAGCAGAAACAAAAGGATGATGCCATGGATGTTGACGCCGAGAAACAACCAGAAGATCCCGAGCAGGCCCGTATCAAGGAGGCCATCGACGACATTACGGATGCTTCCGACAAGCTACTTGGTCGGGAAAGACCTGACATTTATGACAGGGAACGAGAGCTCCTCATTCGTGAATGGAGTAGGGAGACCCAAGAACGATGGGTTGAGCCTGAAGTTGTAAAGGAAGAAACACCGGCTACCAAGATGTGGGAGTATCGATGGATAGATGGTAGAGATGAAGCAGCCAAACAGGGACCGTATGATGGTCCGACAATGAAGGCCTGGCAGGATGCTGGCTATTTTGGAGAAGGTGTCGAATTTAGAGAGGTTGGCAGCGAGACTTGGTCAAGGATTGTAAGCTTCGTATGAGGAACAGACGAGCAACACCACACGTTAAAAATACCCACGCTGCTATCCAAAGACCATGGCGACTGATAGTGGTACAAAGTGTTGTGGCCTTCGTACTTCCTTGTACTAAAATTGGCTTTTACATGTCCAATGAGCTAGAGTGACAAGCTACGTAGTGGCCACCTAGCTGGAATAACTTTTTGGTATTTGCTAGCTGTAATAGTATGGTGCTACCTTGGTCATGCGCACTTTGAATCCTTCACAAGTTCTCTTCTCATAGGGAACTTTGTACACAGATATCTTCGCTGTCTATTGATTTCTTCTGAGCCTTTTCTTTGAAGTAATGGCTTCACAATCCAGACTATTTCAATCAAAAAGCGGAAAGTCAGAGTCGCCATACAAGTGTTTGGTCACCTTTCTCGTCCGAATCCCAGTTTCTGCTGTCTGGGGATCAAGACACATATGAGTTTTAGCATGCCAGACCATACACGGTAGTCGAGACAGGGCACAGGCCGAAATTTCCCAAGCATTCTGTACATATTTTCTCCCGTTGATCACCAAGACTCTTTCAAGGGTATCTAACTAGACATTATCTTTGCCAGCATGAGCAGCACCAGAGATGATGCTAAATTGGCCTGCAGTCAAGCATCATACCCACGACATTGTGACTCCTTTAGCTGAGCATCCATTTGGTGGAAGCTCTGGATGACTCTGCCTCAGTCATCAATTCTATGTATGACAATCATGAATATTAGCTCATGAGAATGGGATCCTAAGCATTTCACCAGCTTAAGCGTCCGAATGACAGACACGTTGCCATGGAGGTTTGTCAGAGGCAGGGGATATTTGCAACATGGGCCTTCCAGATTTCTTCATAATCTAGATTAACGAAGCCCATTATAGCAGCCATATCAATGGCATTTTCTCGAAGAACCAGTGGTTCTTCCCGACAGGCCGCGATCCCATCTACTCCAGCACTGATCGGATCGCGAGTCTAATAATAGGTCGCGATCCCATCTATCGGATCGCGGATCTCATCAATGTCCATTCATAAATAAGCTGGCATGGACAAAGTCGACCGCCAGTTCTGCGTTCTATTTGAACTTTGTTCTTCTTTTCACTTTCCAGGACTCCAGACCTGCTGTCAAATACTCTAAACAATCACATTGAGCCACATACATACACAGATTTGTCTGCCTACATTAGATAGGGCACCCCTTGATAAAACGTAGATCTCTTATCCTACTGCCACAAGGATGATAAATCATAACGTCCAGGGATACATGGATGAGAAGAGTGAAGTTCATGACACCTTTGGTGCTCCTTCCGACTTGTTCTCTTCTATCTGGACAGGAATCTGGGAGGACAAAGACACCGCAAGAGTTATGGTTTTCTTTTCGATCTTTCTTTCGTTAGCATTCTACGTTTTCAAGTTTTCTAATGAAAAAGAATATAATGAACGGGTCTTTATGAATGTTCTCTCCATTAACGTTTTCTCGACTCAATAAAATTCTCTTGATAAGTCAATGTTCTCTCAATTCGGTGAATGTTCTCTCAAGTTTGTAAAGTTCTTTTAGTTGCATAAGTGTTCTGTTTGTAGATTAATTAATTTTTTCGATTTTATGAAGTTCTCTCGATTTTATGGAATTCTCTTAATTTCTTGAAACTCTCCCGATCTTATGGAGTTCTCTCGATTTTATGAAGTTCTTTCGACTTTTGAGATTCTCTCGATTTCATCAAGTCCTTTGGATTGCATAAGTGCTCTCTCGATTTGGTGAGCATTCTCTCGATTGTGTAAGTGTTCTCTCTGTGAATGTTCTCTGGATTGCGCTTTTTTGTCACAGGTTTTTCTCGATATTTCACGCTCCTTCACAAAGAATTATCCGCTCAAAAATTAAGCTCGCTTTTCTCATGGTATCACTGTGCTCTGAATTCTCTCTAGAGTTTTTATCATGGCATTTCATGCCCCATTTTTATTGACTTTATCTATGGGCAAAGCCCCAAATGTCCCGAAGGAACCACGCGAGAGAAACACCCCGAAAAAACAAAACCCGAAAGACAACCGCAACTTTTCTGCCCGATCCATTTAGGATCGGGGCCATGTGAGCGATTTGCTCACATGGGCTTCTTCTCCTCCTCCTCCTCCTTGCCCTGCTGGGCCAAGGCAGCTGTGGCAATGGTGGCCAGCGAGCTGGCCGGACCGACGGGAGCCTCTAGCTGAGCAGTGAAAGACTGCTCAGCGGCGGCGTTGTAGCCGTCGTTGCCACCGTAGGCGTCGTAGCCCTGGTAGGCGGGCTGGTGCTGCTGCTGCTGCTGCTGCTGCTGCTGCTGCTGGTGGTGGTGGTGGTAGTGGCCGTAAGGTGGACCAACCTCAGGGCGACGGTGGTAGCCACCGTAGATATTACCAGGGGGCTGGTAATATCCGGCGCCACCGCCGGGAAAGCGAACGTTGTTACCAACCTCGTGGTAACGATCACCGACGTAGTAGCCGGTGTTCATTCCCACGGGCATGGGAACATAGTCTTCTGCTCCGTAAGGAGCAGGGGCCCGAGGAAGTTGAGCCGGGGCAAAACCGGCAGGGCGCTCGTAGGCCGAAGCCCGCATGGGATAAAATCCCTCGTGGTTTGCGGTCTCGTATGAGCCGCGGGGACCGTAAGCAAAGCCACTAAAGTAATAAAGTCAGATAAATTTTTAGAGGAAATATCGGGTAAGAAATACGTACTCGCTATAATGGCTATTGCGATACTCCGTGCCTGGGAAGGCAGGAGCATCGCGGACACCGCGAGGACCGGCGTCGTTGGTCTTGACGCGCTTGGCGTCGCTCTCGTCATCAGGGACGTCAGCGTCCCAACCAGCATCTGGAGTGGCCATGCCACTGCTGAGACCATCGTCGGTCTCGTTGACGCGACGCTTGGTGCCAGCGACGCGAGAGGTGCCACGAGTGGTGCCACGTGCACCTCTTCCACCGCGACCACGGGCGCGGGCACGACCACCACGAGCACCACGACTGCCGCGCGCGACAGCGCGACGACCACCAGAGGCAAGAGACGATTCGTCATCGCCATCGTCATCATTGGCCGGAGTCTCAGGCTCGGCCGACTCAATGCTGCGGACGCGGTATGGTCCACGACGTCCCTCGTTGTGAGGCTGGAGACGGTTTGCCAGCTTGAGGAGATGCTGCCTATATGAAAGGAAAAAGTGAATTGTTAATTTCTGTGCTTATACCAAAGAAAACAAAAAAAAGCGAAAACGAGAGAAAAGTTCGAAAGAACAAGAAGTAAATAGTTTGAAAAAAAAAAAGGTAGTTGCCGTCTTTATAAATTGTGATTGAAGAAATGAAATATCGGCAGTTGTGCCAGGTTAGTACTCACTTGAACGCGACAACGGAACAGTTGTCGAAGCCAAAGGGTCCCAGATTCTCCTGGATCTGTCGCCATTGCTGATCCGAGGGGGTGGTGGCGTAGTACAGAGCCACCAACAGATGCTCGTGAGCCAGATCATTCCAGATAATGCGACCACGAGGGGTTTTCTTGATCATCATGGGGTAACCCTCGGCAGCAGAGTCATAGTCCTCATCATTGATGGCACGGCTGGCGTCTTGGTTATCACCGTTGTTGTCCATGTTGAAGTCTGAGAATGCCTCGCGGATGCTTCGGAAGAGGGAGGTGTAAGGGTCGTCGGTGTCAGATGATGATTGCGAACCAGTGTGGTCAGCGACAATGAGGTCTTGGGTAAAAGGGTCGCAGATCTGGTTGTTGTTGTCGGAAGAACGTGAAGGCAATGTACTGCGGCCTGCGAAGTTGGTATCTTGAGGCAAAAGGCTGTAGTTGCCGTTGTATGATGGGGTGAAAGGTGAACCGGTGTGGTCTGCGACAATGAAATTTTGATTCGAAGTGTTGCTGTTCTGATCGTTGAAGGAAGAACGTGGAAGCACACTAGTACGGGTTGAGGTAGTGAAGTATTGATTCAACGCGTTGAGGTTCTGGTCCTCGAGGTTCTGGTCGTTGAGGGAGGAGAGTGAAGGGAAACCAGTATGACTTGCGGCAATGAAGTCTTGGTCCAAAGCGCTGCGGCTGGAGATGTTGGAGGAATCGTGATTCAAAGGGTTGCGCGTGCGGTTGTTGAAAGAAAGGGAAGACAAACCAGTGCGGTTTGCGATGAGAAGGTCTTGGGTGGAAGGGTTGTGAATACTGTTGCGCGATGAATTGGGATCCAAGCCAACGCGGTTTGTGGAAAGAGGGTCTTGGGCAAGAAGGTCTTGAGTAAGAAGATCCTCGGCAAGAAGGTTCTGGGAAACAAGGTCCTGATTAACAGGGACCTGTGCAAGAAGGTCTTGGGTAACAGCGACTTGTGCAGGAAGGTCCTGGGTAAGAGGGACTCTTTCAAGTTGGTCAATGTTGAGGTTGCGGATGTGGTCAAACCATTCACTGGGAAAGAAAGAATTGGAATTAGCTTGGTGACCTCTTAAATATTGCGAGGAGGGGGAGGGGCAGTGACGCGCGCTTGGGATTGTTCGTTTGCACAGCGGCTGGGGACGATTGTCTGGGAGATGAGCCTGGACAGCTGGCGACTGGCAACTCTATAGGATTGTTGTGGGCCGTGAACTCAAGTTCCTATAGAACTTGGCTACACCCAGATAGGGCAAGCGCGAAATGCACAAGGGTAGTATAAGTTCTGGTCTAAACCACCAGTGCACGTGACTGCATGGACAGACAGTACGCTCACAAGTGGTACCGAGAGAATGTGCAAATTGGGGAAAGGGGCAGAAGTGGTTATGGAGCAAAGTCAATAGAGAGATAGATCACTTACTTGAGAGTCTCGAGCTCAAGGTGCAGACCTCCATATTCCTGAACTTTTCTGATAATCTTGGCCCGTAGATGCGTTGACATGACAGTGAAAACCAGCTTGATGAAGAGTATCTGGTTTCGTTGAGCTCGTGAAACTGGGAGAAGAGTGACTGAGCCATCTGCCTTGGCAGTCAAGCTCTTCTCCTGCTTCTTGCTGTGACTTCTGGTCACGGGTGGCATGGTGCTGCGTTCCTGATGGTGATGCGTTCCTGGTGATGATGTTGTTCTTGGTGATGGGGTTCGTGATGATGGGGTTCGAGGTGTCAAGGCTTGTGATGATGATTTTCCTGATGCTGAGGTTCCTGAGGATGGCAGTGTCTTGATGAGGACAGGTGGTTGGTGTTTGCCAGGCTGCCAGGACAAAGTTGCTGGTCAGGAAGTTGAAGTAGGCAGAAGGAAAAAGTTCGCAGGCAAGCTTCAAATTCTTGACCAATTTGTAGACCTTGTGGATGGGAAATAAGCGGAGACTGTGGCTGTCTTGATTGTTATCCACGCGGGTCTAGCTGCGGAAGGGAAGCCATCGTCAGCAGGGCTGGGCTAACTGGTGACGATGCCGAGGGTAAGATGACGATGCCAGATTCTACATGTCTACATGAGGGGATCGTGGAGTGATGGCGACGAGCATCTCCATCTCGACGGGTGTCAGGGGTGCCAACGTTCACGTCGACGAGATGTCGAGTTCGGAAGACATGACATGTTCCTCGATCACAGAAAAGAAGCCTGTCCTCGAACGTAGCTGGGAGAGTAACGTGAAAGTGACAAGAAGAGGACACACTTTGTTCACAGGCTTTGTCACATGGTATTCATCCCTTTCTCTTGACCACCACGAGTAGTGAACATAATGGCCAAGGCATAGACCTATGTTTTGTTGACGTTGTGATCTATAGACACTGCTGATCAGAGTATGGCAGAAGAATATACAATGTTACAGAATGAACGTTGATCAGGACCATTAGTAGCACAATTGGGCCAAGATATGGTAGAGCTTTTAGTGATGCCAGATGTGGACTCAGCAGCATTATGAGCGTGGATAAGTGTGAGTCACCTTGCGTGTCAATATAAAGAAGCAGTGTGATGTGTCTAAAGGCCTTGTCCTTTGCAAACTATCACCCGAAATATGTTTGTCAGATTCACTTTTGATTAGCCAAGATGTGACACTTTGAGGGCAGAGGAGCCGTCGAAGCAGTAGTTTCAACGGAATGAATTGGAGAAAAATATATTTTTGATCTATGTCGAAAGAATTTCTCTCGTTAAATTATCTCAAAGAGGACCAAGTACTTTGGACAGCATGTCTTGTTTGAAAGATATAGCAGCAGATGATCACCAAAGATTCATGCTCATACTCTACTTGTACAGAGTCTTTCCATCCAGGGGTATGGAGCTGCATGGGGTATGTTTAAATCTTCGTGTCGGTGGTGGTATAGAAGGAAAGTTTGATCCAGGAAAGTTTGATACTTTTCTACTCAAGCAAATGAAAGACTCTAGACTCGGAAGCAAGTTAAACGACGTGTGCTGCTATAATTGATTTCAAGTCCATACAGCGAGGATTGACAATGTGCCTGATAGCTGATCTAGATTGTATGGATACCGGGCTCATGACAGCTCTAGAATCAATGAAGTTGGGGATAGTTTACTTGATAATCTGGGATTTCTGGGTCCCATCACGTGAGAAAATACGAAGAAGCATATTTTGATTAGGGGCACTTTCGAAATGGAATAGTTCTTTATCTGTTCTCCTAGATTTATTGAGACTAAACTTTTCAGGAAATGGATCAATCGAAAATAATCATGGTTCTCTCGACTGTCAGATAATGATAAAGAGTATTTTTCCCTAGGAGCTCTTCAATACAGAAATCTCTTAGAATAACTCAGAAAGATGTACGTAAATGTGTGCCCATATTTTCCAGATCTCCTTGTAGAGTCTACCCAGTCTTCTTGTTGTGCTACTTGTTCTTTCTTCAGGTCAACAGTCAAGTCGCGAATAGAAGCCCAATAACTTTCAGACCAGGCATGTTCCTGCCCTGTTCAGCAGTCTTACTGGCGAGAGATTTGGAACATGTATGGAGACTTAGACAGAGCGTGACACCATTGATTGTGTTCAATAGCTTTGGAGGAGATATCAGCTGCGGTGGGCAAAGAAGTAATATCAGCACGAATGTAGCCAATATAGCAACACCGTACGCGATCAGAAGACATGGTGCCAAGTCCACTGTGCTCCGTCTCCCAAGACTGCTGATGCCTCCCTTCCCAGACCGGCTTGGACATACAATGAGCCTCACTGCTTGGACCCTCTCGTACAGGGGGAGCAATGTTCGCCCGCACCAGCTGATACACTGCTGTTCTAGAGCTTACTTCCGGAACGAAAACTCGAGTCTGATGTGATGCCGCCGTAGATGTTGGAACACGCTTCTAGCGGTTGCTGGCCTCTGCCGCAGATGGCAAAGTGAATGTCATGTTGTTCCACTCGGCGAGGAAATGCAGCTACTTTGGCTGGGTACTTGGGATGGAGAAGTGCTGCGGGCTTGTCGTTACTCAGACAAGCCGAGATATTCCTTCGTTGACTTCTTGATAGGACTCGGTGCTTGGTAGAATGAGTTGATCAACTGTAGGTGTTTGCTTGGGCAGAAGTCATGATGGATGGCACTCGACGGATTTGTAATGTGTACTGTCAATAGAGTCAGCTGAATTGCAATACGCCTGAATCGTCAATTTCTCCAGCGTCGCACCTGCCGTGCTACAGTTGCTTACAGGGAAGTCTGCCGATGGATTCGGGAGACGGTGGTCGCTCGTCGCTCGTCATCTCGACACTCATGTTTGCGCTCGGTAGCGGCATTTGTGGGGGTTGCGCGCGGCACCGCCATGATCGTCGTTGGTCGCCTGGTGTAGAGTATCGGATCGAGGGGCATGGACGTGTTCCTCGACGTTTTGTTCCGCGATACGGTGTATCTGCTTCAGAGCAGAAAGCATCCAAGGCCCATGGTCGCGTGGTCAGGTGTTGCTGCGACCATGGGACCTCCAGTGGGCGGTTCGCTGGGTCGGGTTAATTGGAAATGGCTCCTCTGGATGACTCTGACCATCTGTGGACTTGCGCCCGCCGCCCCGTTGCTGTTCATGCGCGTCGAGGATGGCGATTCTGGACTATCGATAGAGAGCACGACAGCAGGGAAACCTAGAGGGACGACAAGAATGTCGATGGAGAGGCTTACGCGATTGACCTACCTGGGCGATGCTCTCTTCACCTCGAACATGCGTGCGATCCTCTAGGTACTGATTGATGGAGGCATCGTACATCCCTGGCCAGCATGGTGCATCATTTTACTCTTGGTACTTGGAAGTGAAGGATGGATTGGTTGCCTTCCAAATCCAACGACACCATGCTACACAGCCCACGGCCCCGATGTGCCTGTTCACTAACTGTACCTCAGCTGCGGCATACCTCTTGATCTTTTCGACATCCATGCTTGTTCGACCATTGGCATACTTCCACCACATCGACTCCCAAGCTACACAAGGCACCACTATCCTCTAGTTCTGCGTTGACGTTCTGCCCACGGTTATGGGGATCTTGATCTTTGCCCGTCGCGACAGGAATCCTCTGGATCCATTTCGGCAGGTCTAGTCCGCTCCACGCCACACCGTTGTCGCTGCTGACGCTTGCTTTTCGCCTTGTTACTGGTTTCGAAGCCGACACGCCCATGGTAAAGTGAACCTGGGACGAATTCGTGACCAGCATAGGTACCGGTTCGAATCTTTCTATGCTCTTTCCTGCCATCATGACTGGTGTGCCCCAGGCCGTCGTGGCGGTGCTGGGTTCCATTTACAGCTCTATACGGAAACGTGAATGGATAAGGGGAGGGGGGGTTACTGCTCGCAGAATCATTTTCAATGCCATTTTTGGACAAAACACCTACAAGATATCCTATGCGATGTTACGCTGGCTATCAGTAGAAGGCCAAGCAAATTCGTTCGCCAGACAAGTTCGCAGTGTTTCTAGCGACTACAATGATGCTGCCTGGGTAGGAGTTTGGGGTATTTACGTGAAGAGCCTCAGGGTATTTGAAGGTTTGGGTGTACCATGAGTTTATCTCGTTCTTTGCCTTAGGTTCGAGAAGAAGGAACTTGAGTTTGTAAAAGAGCTAGAGACTGAGTACGGCCGTGACAAGGAAAAGCATAACCAAAGTGATGATTCAACTCCAGGTCGTGACGACATGACGAGAAAAGTTTGAAATCTTGACATGAAGACAAAAGTGCAAAGAGGAACCCAATCATCTGACTTTGAGTGCACCGTGTATTGCCGCTGGCATTTGCATTCTAGAGCGGAGGAACCATCCTACGTATCTATTTTTTGTTTTACATGTTCCAGGATATCGCGTGAATAGAACTGACCCTTGGAAGTCCTCTCCCATTCCATCCCATAACGCCGGACATTACCCAATCAAAGCGTGACATAAGACTCATAAAGTGACATGAGAAATGGAAAATAGTGTACCGAGACACCGGGTGTTGAATGACTTGAGGTCTGCTCAAGTACAGTGATTATCCCAGTGTTCGTGCTTGACATGAACATATTCACCCTGAGCCTGAGTCTCCGATGGGACGGTCGCACATCCGCTGTGGTGGTGCATGGCCTGATGCTCCAAGGAGATAGGGATCGGCTCAAATGTGAATGAGTGCTCATAGGGAGGGAACATGGGAGAGGAGTTTGACCACATGGGAGGATCATGGCTGAAATGACCCATGGGAAAGTCATAGGAGGGTTGGGGGTTAAGCATCTCCGCTGTAGGGCTGGCAGTAACGGCAGGTGATGCCGGGAAGCCATCAGTGTCGCTGCAAGGAGTGAGGAGTCGAGGCTGAATGGTATGCGGTGTTGGTGCAGCAGATATCATGGGGATGGGTGTTGGTGTCATTCGGTTGTTGTGGTAAGTCGAAGGACCACCTTCTTGTTTGATCCTCATCGGAATGGCTGGGCTTTGGGACGGGCTGATCGTAGCATTGGCGAGGTTCTTGAGTGACTCGGTCTTGATGGCTTCCTCCTTCTTGGACTTTTGATCCTTCGGCTCCTTCTTGGACTTGGTGACTCGGTTTGGCTTCTCTTTGGTAGAACGGTTACGTCGTTGGGGTTCGAGACCCAGCATGGCTGAGCGGAAACGTGAGTATCTCATCCGTGCAGCATGGCCGTTGGTGATCTCTTGGGCGAGTATTGGGTTGCTAGCAACTTTGTTCCAGTCGATCTGATTTGCAAGTTAGTTGAGCGTCAAGTATTGATGGATTCTCTTGAACAGATACAAGTTCACCACTTACATCTTTGAGATTCTTCTGTTGCAAAATGGCAAACAGGAATCTGGCCATGACATTGTCATTGTTCGACATGATGCTGACTGCAAACCGTGTGAACTTGGTGACTGGGTTTGCTAGAAGAACTTTGGTCCAGCACAGGAAGGAAGGTGGTTTTTGTGGCCTTGAAGAGACTTGATCGTTCGAAGATGAGTTGCACAAACTGATGTGAGGCGATCTGGAGCAACACAGAGTTTGAAGATCAGGCTGAACGCAAGGTGCAGAAGAAGTTCAGTGACTCATGAACATGGCACAGTGAAAGTGAAACCCAGTGAGGCCAGGCAAGGGGGGCCAGATATATGTTGCAAGAGCCTGACTGAAACTTTTGATGAGTATGGAGTTCGGCTCAGCAGATCACACCGGAGCAACAGCGAGACAGACTATAGCCATGTGGGGCCACGAACAAAAATGAATAGCTGCTACCTACCTAGGGAACCAAGGAACCAAGACGGACCTAGCACAAGGAGGAAGCGTACTTCTTAGTCGCAACCTAGATGGGAGACGAAAAAGAAGTAAAAGAAGACGGGCTTGTCAGACAATGGAGCAATAGACGGGCCTCAACGGCGCTCATCAGAGTTTAGCAGCGTCCAGGCCGATAGCCAAAAAGGAATGATGTGCATGAGATATTGTTTGCTTCTTCTTCGTATGGGTAATGGCTGTGGGGGAAGACAAGGATCCGGCGACGATGATAAGGAACGGCCCAGAAAGAACGTGTAAAGTGGTTGCATGCGCGCGACCCGCAAGTGGGCGTCTTTGACCTTTTATGATACTAGGCCAGAACCCTGTAAGAAGGCGTGCAAAGGACTAGGGGGGCGACAGCCACGGCTGCCTGTTGCCTAGCAACTCAATCGGAAAAGGGAAGTAAAGTAATCAAAGACGGCGGACCTTGGCTGAAAAGCTGGTGATGATGGTGTGGGGGAAGACGCGACCTAGTGTAATGGAAACGCGGCACGACGACTCAAACCGCGTAAAGTGGTTTTGATGATCCTTGTCGAGGGGGGGTCTGATCCTGGGATGAGTCGGCAAGCTACAGCGGAGCTGGGTAGGTTGATGGTCCAAATATTTATTTTTTTTGTATCTTGGACCAGTCATCTAGCTAGCTGTAGGTAATCAGCCGAATGTGACGCTCAGATTTTGGAGCGGCAGATGGTGCAAGAGACAGACGGAATAGATGGCATCTGACGACGTAACATTGACCGGTGTAAGAGTAATGTACTGACGACAGCGCCTACTACTAAACTGGCATACTACATAATCGGTGACAGAGACAGCATATTGAAAAAAAAAAGTTCGTTTTTTGCCATAACGCCTTGTGCTGGCAGGCTGGCAGACCGGGAGTTGGGAACTTTCGTAACCGAAATCCTGGAAAAGGTTGCCACCCACACACGAACAATGGTACTTACATACCGGGATCTTGCGCAGGTTCAGTAAACGTCTGCTGAGACGTGTGAGTCATTCCAATCATGGAGAGCTGGAAAACGAATGAGGACTGGGATGCATCATTGGCTATACTTGGCATGGAGGATTCGGCTCACTTGGGCAACGAGGACTTTTTTTCTTTTGTTTTCTTCTGGCAACAGATATCAAGGGCAATTGAGGGAACTCATTGGACAATTGATGCGTTGCATCGCAGACATGGGAAACATTAGGCAAGGCACTCGCGCAATCCCTTTAATGAGGTGCATTAGATTAAAACATCGGGCGCTCGGGGATGGTGTGGAGGCGATTATGAAAATGCCGAGGGTGTCCCGGAATGATGTAGAAGGACGTCGTTTGTTGGCAACGCGTCCCCCAAAGATGGTTCAAATTTGGATACATCACTTGATGTCTGTGACTGTTTTGATCTGGCCTGAAAGATCATCTAGTTCCCTTGAAAGGTATTTTCGTCAGAGGGACACGTATTGATGCAAACAGAGTGTGTCTCACAATCAGGCAGAGTCGGGAGGCAGCCTGAGGTGGGAAATGAAAGTGGTTGGGGGTTGGGGGGAACATCAGTCAAGTCGCGCAAATCTCGAGATTGGGTCGCATCGGGGCGTCGCAGGAGTGACGCGGGTTGACGCCAACTCACGTGATGTGACTTTAATTGGTTTTTTTTTCTTCCTCATTCCAATCGACCTTGGCCCGATTCTTTAGCTTGACTGGGCGGAGGTGCGATGTGGTTTTGCTTTTTCGAGCATAGACTGGCACATTGCCGCTTTTGCGCCGAGTTTCGAGCTCGGCCATTCGTCGAGAGGTGCATCTTCTCCACTATTGTGCTTCCGCGGTACTCGAGTCTAGCTGTTTTTGAACCTATTCAATCGATGCATTTGTCCTGTCTCTGGTTTTTTTTTGCTTTGCTGGTTTCTGCCAGCAGCCCAGTTGCCTCTGCTTGGCTCTCAGATCTCACAGACTCACAGACCCCCCAAGGGAAAAAGTGTAAGCCAATCAGAGGTCGCTGAAATTCACATTGGAAGTCGGGACTTGGGGTGGCTGCGGAACTCGAAGCGCAAGAGCTGCCCAGCACGCCAGGTGCTCGCCCCTCTTCTACCCCCAAATTCTCCGACCTGCCACTCTCCCAGAGTCCCAAGCCAGCCCGTCCACTGTCCAATCCCCCCCAAAGTAATGTAGTCAGCCACTGCCCAAACTCTCTCACAGTCCAGTCAGCTTATCCTTAACAATTTTTTTTTTATCGAACACAGTTCCACTCCCTACCGTTAGCTCCGAATTTTGAGCTCAAGACAGCCAGCCGCGTTCGCGCGCTCAGCCCTCATAATGAACAAGAATTGGGGCGACAGAGCCGACAAAGATCTCTTCTTTACCATTCTCTCGGTCAAGAATATCGGTGTCATCAGTGGATCAGAATGGACCACCATCGGGAATCATATGCGCACCCTGGGCTACGGCTTTACGAATGAAGGTTGTCGGTATGTAGCCATGCCTTTGTTATTAGCAGTGCCCCTTATTACTATCTCTCGTTTTATTTATTATACATGGACGTTGGTCTTGGCTCTGGTATATAGTCGAGTTGGACTGCCCCCCATATCCAAATGTGCAGCATCAATGTATATCAATTGCACCTGGATGCAGTCATCTTTGCGACCCTTGGTGGTCATTGTGCTCAGTGGCATCTTGCTACTTCTTCCTCTCCCGATTGCTGCATTCGCCGCAAATGAATAAGCCACCAGACTCTCTCCCACACCACGCAGGTCCACTACTTAATAGCATATAATCGGTCGCCCTGATACTAATTGCAATATAGTCAACACTTTCAGGGACTGCGTAGGGCTCAGCACAAGGCCGAGTCCAATGGATTCTCGGGTGAGAAACCTAGGCAGGGCGACCCGACCCTCAATCCCATTACTCGCCGCCCCGGGCCAGGTCGTGGAAGACCCAAGAGGATACCTCCTGTGCCCATTGCGAGAGAGCCGGGGCAGTTGGACTCGGCACAACCACAGCCGGTACAAACACACCCTACACAGATACCGATGCAGGTACCAACCCAGAATCAAGATCACGCTTTGGATGCCGTTACCGCTGCTGCTGTTGCTTCCCTTGCTGCCGCCACAGCCGCTTTACCGGATCCTCAGCAACAACATTCTTTGCCTGAGGCGATACCGCTAGATCAACAGCACTCTCATCCTTCCTCTCCTCCTGCTGCTGCTGCTGTTTCTTTACCTCCGGCTCCGGCTCCGGCTCCGGCTCATGCCCCTGCCCCAGGCCATTCCGGCGAAGTGCCAGAAGAGCAACATCTCACTCCTACCGAAGCACCAACAGAGACGCCAATCTCAGAAGACGTGCCAGACCATTCCCCTGTACCGACGAATGATGCTAACAGCCTGGAAATGGGCATCGATGAAGACGATGTCGGAGACGAGGAGCAGCCTACCAAACGACAGAGATTAGATGACTCTGCAGAAGACCTGGATAATTCTGCAGGGATGGCTTTGGATGACAGAAATGTCGACCCCATGATCCATGATCATGATGACTTGCCACAGTAAGTCAACCAGAATACATATCCTCATACCGATTACATGGAAACTGACTAGCTTAAGATATTTTGGTGAAGCATAATTCGCTGGATATACTTGTACTGAGCATATTCATCGTGACTTGATAGTTGCCCTGTGCCCTTGGACTTTTCCCAAGCATGATTGATGTACTAGATTAAACGGCATTCTACAAGTGAGCTTTGTAAAGAAAGGAATAGGCTTGAATTTGGTTGCGTGGAGTTTTGGAACAGGTTCAAAATGCAAGACCATATTTTGGGGTCTTTATCACTTGGAGGCATAAATGCCATGCCTACTACAAATTCTTGAATTCGACTTGAAACTTGATTGCTTCATCGAGCACAATAGAGTCGCTGTGCATGCTATTATTCTGGTGGTGGATGTATCATCATGACATCCATGGTTTATATTCCCGTTCTGCCCGGAAAAAAACAAGAGTAAACCCAGGACAATTCATATGTAGACAATTTCCGTCAAGCAGATACTCATGTGCCTACCCCGGATCAATTTGCCTAATCAGCTCGAAATGGTTCTTGCCACACTCAGAGGGCGGCCTGATCGTCTTGCCGACTGGAATTGCTTATTTTGACCCCATTCACCAAGGCTGCTATGTCGTTCACGCAGACAATCACGAACCAGTAAAACGACCTTGGGTGAAAATTTGAACAGCCGACGACTTGGGCTTGTCGTCTTGCAGCTCCTTCCAGCCAATATTATTTGTGGAAAGATGCTTTGCTAAATGTCAAAACTCACGATAGCCACACGCTTCCTGCTTTCTTTTCCCACAACCAGCACAACGCAATACAACACGACAATCTTTTTCAGATCCAAATATCTGAAGCAACTCAGCAACCAATAGTAAGTTTCTTGTAATATCAAAGTTGGCTCCTTCTACCATTTTCTCCTCTTCTGTCCGGTTGGATTTTTTTATTTTCGCTCTTGACCTCATGGATGAGACGAAAGAATTGCAGCACCATTAATTTATTTTCCATCTTCCATCCAACATCTCTGACCTACCGTCTGTTCCTAGGCTAGGTTGTGACTTTCCCACCGAGACTCGCCCCGTTTCAGACGTTGGATCTACATGTAAGTGCAGTTACTCTTTGGTGTCACGATTCCAAACACACTTTCAATCACCACCCCGAATTTATGCAGAAGCCGCAAGATCAAGCAACCCATTTCATTCTGTCCTCACCTTGCCAGACGCCCATGTGGCCTCGGACGCTCTCATGACATAATCTCTCGTTTCTACATTACTCAATTCATCCCTATCGCTCATGACCTGACACGAGCCAGAATCGAATCAAGACACACCTAACTACCACCACAATGTCGGGCCAGCAGACTGTTCAGCAGACCCCCAGGGAGGCAGCTGCCGACAAGGATGCTCGCTTCTTCTTCACCGTTCTGAAGCATTGCAAGACCAAGCCCGACACTGATTGGGATGCTGTTGCTGCCGAGCTCGGTTACGCCAACAAGGGCGTCGCTCAGGTTTGTTTTTTTCTTTCTTCTCGCCTCTTCCCCAATTATTTTTCATCACGTGCTCAACATCTCGACAGGTCCGTTTCGGCCAGATCAAGCGCAAGTTGGGCATCACCACCAATGACAAGGCCACCCCCGACGTCAAGAACAAGGTCACCAAGTCTACCCCCAAGACTGGTTCTGCCAAGGCCAAGCAGTCTGCCGCCAAGATCAAGAAGCAGAAGGAGGAGGAGCAGGCTATGAAGAAGGAGGAGGAGGAGGATCTGGAGAAGGAGGAGTACTACGACGACGATGACATGGCTGACCCTATTACTCCCACCCCCAAGCGCCCCGGCAAGCTCAGGTCCATGAAGAACGAGGATGAGGTCTGAGGAAGGTAGCATGATTTCTTTGAGTCGCAAGCACTCACAAGGCACGAGAAGAGTGCCTGGCACTGCTCTACTTGACTGAACGGAAATAAAGGTCTCTCTATCTGAGGGTGGTTTCTAGCCTGTCTCATACTCTGAACATTCTCTTCCGAGTTGATGCAAGAACTATGCTAGTAATGCATCCAATTGACTAAAGGTTCATAAAATGATGTGCCATTATGCTCCAGAATCAGTTTGAATCGAACTGACAATATTAATATTCGCTCTTGATATTGCAACCCAAGTTCCAACCCAGGATTAACACAACCCTCAGAAGTCAGGTGATTACGCGTGTTCCATGCCGCACATGTTCAGAACAATGGGCAGCCATAGTAGTTGTACCCGACCCTTCCATTGGACAAATCATTTCAAGTCATCTCAATGCATGTACATACCTAGGCAAGGTGGAGAATTTTGTTACCGATTGTTCAGATTGTTCCTCAGGCCATCCGAGACCGCCCAGCCGCGCGCGCAGGACCCACAGCCTGGACATTGGCGGGCAGCTCTCATTGCTATAAATCTGCCCTCTTTGTCGCCCACCAGCTTCGTTTCAATCCTTTTCATTCATCAAACAAGTTTTCTGCCCGTAACTGCCAACCCAAGTATTCAAGGAATCAACACACCACTCGGCGCAACGCCGGCGAGAAGCAATGCGCGCAGCCTAGTCAATCGTGAGTCCTCTTGCCCCCAACAACTGCACTCTTGCGGCCTTTGTCATCGAAAGGTTTCGTTCGGCAAGTACTTTGTTGCATTATTGACTTGAAAATCAAGGCGCACACGCTTCTCGCCGACACTTGAGAGTCTAAAATCTAGACTTCTACCTTCATTGTTTTCGGGCGTGCTGCTGGAAGGGCTGTGCTATAAGCATCATTATCATCATCATTGTCCGATGGAGATGGGACGACGTCCAATCAGGTAAGACGAAAAGAACCTTCCCAGTACCCCAGAATTCTTGGTGATGCACATGCTGACTTATTCCCTTTCTGTCTTTGACAGCTTGATGAACAGCTCCGCCTCATCGCCATGTCTACTTCAACAATCACCCCGCCACTCCCATCAGCAACGAGCCAAAGGTGACTTGACTTCTAGCCAGTTTACAGAAGCTCTGATATTTTCTGTCCATTGTGATTCTGGTCTCTTGCTGATTCTGAAATCAAAGAAAGCACCCCGCTTGAGCTCTCGTGTGCAGACGGGGAATACCCCTCTTGATTGCAAACGGCGAGAGCTTCACCTCAAAAATTGCACACACAAGACCATTGTCGACACCCCCCCACACGAACCTCACCTACCCTCACCTCATTGTGAACCTAGCAGCCACATTTCGACTAAAGCTTTCACCAAAGACAAAGATACTCTTGGAAAAGCATCAGAATTTTCCCAATGTGCAATTTGTCTAGGCGTCGCCATCGGCGAACAATCGAAACCCTGTCATCATTCAACATCGCCATTAATCAGAGATTGCAATGCCCAGCACTTCCCAATTGCCAGAAGCAACTCAAGGACTTTACCGGCTCAAGACATTGACCCAGACTATTCTCGCTGAACAACACACCAGTTTCTCAATGCGATGAAGCCCTGAAGTCGGCGAGAAAGTTTTGAGAATGCAGCCCCACCACTTGCTGCTCAAAGGATTCAGTCAAAATACACAGCCCAAGACCTCCGACCAATCTATTCTCCGCATCTACACCGAACTCGGCGAAGGCACTATCCCGGCGGCGAGAATGTAGCTTCACAATTTTACTTTGACAATGGCACCGACAAATCATGAGGCGCCAGCGCATTGTCTTAGCCGATGGCCGATATCCATCATTGCCCTATGCCTTGAGGTGGACGTTCATACCATCCCACAGCGAGCGAGGCATGTAAGCTAATCGAGCATGAAAGTAGCTTGGAAAGCCTTCGCCCCCAATTTCGATACCCCATCAGCCGTGGCCATGCTTACCAGAGGCACGTCTTCTCAGTGGCTTTTGTGGTAAGTCGCGCCCCCCCAAAACCATTTGATCATCGGCGAGTCTGACATTGTGGTAGCAGATACCTCGAGTGATTTTGTCGGACTCACGCAAGCATCTATATGAGTTGTCCCACCAGGTCCTGGTTTGGGTTGTGTGCTTGTATATCATGGGGTCTCAGGAAGGGATGTGGCATGGCCAGCCCCGTAGACACCAAACCCATGAAGCACCCCACCAGTTACTTGTTTCTCTCTGGCAGCAGACCTGACCGAGGACAACATACTCATCATCGTCATCACAACCTTCTACCATTCCACCATTCCACCCACCCACCCATATTCACGCTCTTCATATATCACACTACCCATCACGACTTTGCCGTGCCAGCCATAATGGCAGCTTTCCCTGTCCAGTCTATGGACACCATGTCCTTGCTGGTCCAAGCAATAGTCGATATGGAACCCCCTACCACGCGACCCCATCTCCCCAAGAGCCAACGGAATGACCATTTGGTCTCCCCACCATGCCGTCCAGACTCCCGAAGAGCCTGACGGCCCTTGACCTCTATGCCAGCACTAAGGTTATTGCTGCCCATACCAAGGTCAGCAATAGGATGACCACTCGGTCTCCCTGCGTAGCCACTCGATCTTCCCCAGAGCCAGTGGAATGACCTCTCGGTCTCCCTCCGTGGCTGCACACAGAAAGACCAGCCAGGTTCTGGAGACTTGCCAGAAAGCTCAAGAATACATCATGAGCAACGAATTCAAGGCCGCTGACCCCATCACTGGGCTCACGTTGGCCAAGGAGGAGGAGGAGGCGACAGCTAAGCGTGTTGTAGCCACTACTTTCCCTTTCAATGATCTTCCTGCCAAGCTCCGCAGCAAGATCATTGAGATGAGCATTGACGATCACTACTCCAGTGCTGGATGCCGTGTCGGATAGTCAGCCTCTTTAAGTAAGCTTCGACAGCCTTCTCGTAGAACTGGGCTCGGTTTCCAAATGGTAGACTTGTCTGTTGATGTCGCACTGGTGTAGTCAATACCCACCGCAGATCATTGTCTTGAGAATGTCAGATAGCTCTTCAGCACCTCTCTTTTGTAGATTGATAGAATCAACTCAAATTCTTTTTCATGCTCAATATTTGACATCTTTCCGTTCTCAGTGGCTCGGGTGAGAATAGGAACCCAACTACCCTCTCAGTGAAGATCATGCGTCTTGTTCCGATATGTACTGGTCCCCCACGTGAAGAGAACAGCCCTGTTGTCGATAGCTCCCCTATTCAGTCGACTCTGTGTATTTTCACGATATTCAGGGATCGAGACGTCAGATGACTCAGTTTCTATGATCTGAGAGATTCGAGGGCATGCAGTTTGGACAACAGTAGCACGACATTGACTCATTGGTCTAGTCAGGCTAGCTGAACATTTTTAGATTTCCCTTCATAAAGTCTGCAGAATGTCTTTACAAGCCTGCGTGGCGCGTCTATCTCGTTAGTCTTGCTCTTGTCTTTTGCGATAGGAAAAATTTGTTAATCGTTCCGAATCTCATGCCCGGCGAGAGTCCCGTGTATGAGCAGAAACGTTATGTTTAGTTGCATATGTTCCATAGGGGAAAAAGGTGTCGTTGCGTGAGAAGTGCTTTCACAGGCCTCAAGCAATCCATTTCCATCCTTTGAATCTTGCGTCTGCCCATCGGACACCAATACAGCCCAATGTCGCACCCATCAAGAGTGCTCCATCCCAGTACACAATATTGGTGTATGCGCGTGATCCCGTTTCCGAGTCGGATAGCAGTTGTCCACCTACAGGACTACCAAACATAGTCCCTAGCCCTCTGACTAGAAGTATAAAAGCGTTAACAGCAACATATTGCCGGATACCAAAGACTTCTGCGATCAAGGCTGGGAAAAGTGCGTAATATCCTCCACCGGAAAAGCTATACAGCACGATAAAGGCCAACCAGAATGAAAAGGCAGAGGAAGCGGTAGGAATCATTACGCTGGAAAGCCAAAAGGCAAAAACGCTGGCGGCGGCAAGGAACAATGTTAGAGCGAGCGTGTTTTGTCGGCCAAAGCGGTCGCCAGCATAGCCCGTGAGAATACGTGATACGGCATTAATCACGTTTGCGGCAGCGAGAAGGTTAGCTCCAGTAGATGAAGACTTGCCCAAGACCACAGTATATGAGGGGATAAAGGCGAGAGGAAGCTGGGCACCAGCCGCCTTTAGGATATGATGTTAGCAGGTTTGTCTTTATCATGATACGAAGAAACAAAACAATATGTCGAAGCCAGACATCCGAGTAGCATGGTTGACTGAAGACTCACCTGGAGGAATGCAGTGATGACAGAAAATATAAAAGTTGGTCTTGCGGCTAGAGCACGTGAGACATGTGTATTTCGTCTCTCGGGCTCATCCGCATCTGCAGACGGAACACCAGCGAACCGACTTCGCGGTACTGCCCATGCGATTGGCAGGCCGATGACAAGGTTAACAGCAGCATATATTCTGAGTGTCCAACGACCACCCACGGCGTCGAGGAGTGCTCGGATAATTGGCGAAAAAATAAGACCACCAGTTCCGCCGCCAGCGAGAATCTAGAGATCCCACAAGAAGTCATTAGCACTTCTATTGCCTCATCGCATCAGGTTTCCAATTAAATTAGTCTGGTAATAAAAGCGATACTCACGAAACCCATAGCAGTGGCTCTGTGTGAAGTAAAGTACTCGGGTGCTGGGGATAACAGTGGAAAGTAAATAAACGACATGCCGAGTCCGACAAGAAAGCCTTGCGTGAGCAAAAGCTGCCAAATGGTGGTACTGAACGAGGCCAGTATAAACCCTGCGGCAACAAGAAGCACTCCGAAAATGGTAATCATCTTTCGTGTCAACAAGCGCAGCAATCTACGGCGCCAAAGCCGTGTCGAAGGCGTAGCCGCGGCGCCTTTCCAGGTCCCATGCTCGATGCGCGACATGATGGGGTTCACAATAATCCCGCCTGCCCATGTAAGACCATAACACAATGTGCCTACAAAAGCAAGCATTGCTATTGGTGGTGTAGCCTGCGATGCTGGGGCGGGCACCAGAACATCCTGGCTGGCTGATAGGTAGTACTCTTGAAAGACACCAAAAGTTTGGTTGTAGCCAATAGTAATGGCTGTAGCGACAAAAGCAGATAGGAGTACTATAGCCTGCTTCTTGCGTGATACCGGTGACACGCCCGGTTCTGGCGTGCCATCATTCTCAGAAACTTCTGGAGCCGAGTCAGATAGACGGCGTGTGAGCGGAATATCTTGAGCTTGTGTTGCCATGGCGCTCAGAGCAATGGTTGAGTCTCGAGCTCGTTCTTGAGAATAGAAGTGAGAACGGGAGTAATCGGGATGGAAGCGGAGGGACGACCCAAGGTTATAGGGTACTAAGTTGACGGAATGCTGCTGACAGAACTGCTCCAGTCCCCGCCTCCGCCCCCGCCTTAGGCAGCCCCATGCTTCCCCGTAGCGCAAGGGTACAGGTGTCCAGGGTATCTATTAGCTATTATGTTGTTAGTAACACCGAGTGTGTTTTGTCTCCCCGGTTTCGCTCTGTCGTTGGTCTTGGTAATAACTCCCTTGTCAAGTTTCAAGAAAACTTTTCCATGTTCAGCACTCTGTTGAACCGAGAGACGTGCTACATCGAGTAAGACAAGTTATAACAGGGTAATAAACTTATCAAATCCAATACCGGCAGCTTGATACATTGTGCGACTCCGGTGTTGCTGGAAGCAGTGTCAACACAAAGCCTGAGGCATCGTCGTCTCAATTTCTTGATTTTTACTGGCAAGCGCTCAAGCAACAATATGCCTAGGCATCGGAAGTTGAAATAGTAGTTTCTTTGCACAGTCACCTGCTCTGTGATTCGGGACTGAGATGTAACGCTCTGCATCATTAGCAATAGTTGGCAGTAAGATTCCACTTGCGATCAAGGAATCAAAGTACGTAATCTGATCTTGACACCCTGCATTCTGCCCCGCGACAGGTGCATGCGGAGGAAGATCCAGTTTTGGGACCCCAGGATGGATTCCAGGCGCATTACTAGGGATCATGATGTGATTGTCGTGCAAGTCCGAAGAGGAACATTCCCCGTTGGTGCTTTGGACCCTGAAATGGGGTCTTTGTCAACCCACCGACTTTGGCAACTTGATTGGTTAACGACGCCAGGTTGTTAGAGTCTCGTGGAATGAGTGGCTGAATACTAAGTATTTCAATAGTTTACATCAAATAGGTTGGCCATACCTCACGTTATGAAGTCAGACTCAACAACCCCAAACCACCACTGCTCGTCAACGCTGGTGTCCTGTTTCCCATTGAATGCACATTTCTGCGTCCTTCCAACTCAGTTAATATACCCTATCACATTTTTGAATGTTTAGAAGTAACTAGTCAATAATACAATTCCCAGAAGCGTATTCCCGCAGGGCTTGGCTCAGTAAGACACAAACTGATACACACTACTTCAAGAGGCGCTCAAAAGCTTCCTTGGTTGTTATTTGCGGCGGAGCCAGCTTGGCAATCTCTGCCGCCGTAGGAACTCCTGTTGTCGTACATTTTCCTTGCCAAACAAACTCGCATCCTGCCGCGATCGAAGCCGGTGCCGATGCAGGATAGTCTCCGAGCATGGCATCCAGCATGCGCGTCGCCTTGAACTCGGTGTGAGGCACCTGCGTCCCAGAGTACTCCTCAACCAACTTGACAATCTCGTTTCCAGTGACATCGTCAGCCCCTCGAAGAACATATCTCCCCTTGTGGTGTTGCGACGCATCTTCCAAGGCAAGCAATGCGGCGCCGGCTCTGCCGACGTCATCGGGGTCGATTAGAGATACCGGGGCATCGGCGGCGACCATGAGCTGCAAAGGCCCGCGCTCCCCGGTCGCCCGAAAGTTCTTGACCCAGTGCGCCGCGGGATACAGAAAGGCGCTGGTAAAAACATTGGGCCGCAGGGACGTCCACTGCATGCCGTCAAACTCGGGCTGGCTGAGCATCTCCTCAATGGCCCAGTGCGCTCTCCCGTAAAAGACGGGGTTGGCGGGCCCGAGAAATTCCAGCATGGTCGATACCTTGACGACGTACTTGACGCCAGCGTGGAGCATGGCCACGAGGAGGGTCGACTCGTCGTAGAATTGGTGCGCCAGGTTGTGAGGCGCGACAAACGCCCTGACGACGTTTTGATCTCGGAGCCAAGCAGAGTCGATCCGAGTCCAGTCCTTCTCGACCATTTCTACGCCGGGCAGCTGCGCAAGCTCCTGGCTCACGGGATGGCTTGTGGATCGGGTCAAGCCCAGGATCCGATACTTCGAACCAGCCGTTGCAAGTAGGCCCGGCAGAGTGCGGAGCACATTCTTGCCCGTATTGCCAGTGGCTCCAATAACGAGAATAGTAGGATCCATGAGGAAAATGTTGCGAATATCAAGATATTAGATAGAAGTCTTGATCCGGAGAATCATGATGCCTACGAATCAGACACGCGCAGCAACGTGTTTCTATAGCATCCAAACGAGTCCACTTTCGGAGACATTTCCAGGTGCTTACCAAATTATCGGGATGATTCACTAGTAGCAAGTCCGACTCGAAACCTTGTGTTCCTGCAATGACGCGATCGCCAAGATGTATCTAATGCAGCTAGGTCGGCGACGAAGTGTAGTCAATGCCATGGTCAACAACGAAGAGGGATGAAAGCTTATCCCTTTGTAGGCTTTGTAGATATCCAGAGGCTGCTTCATGGCTCGTGAACCATACACACGCCATTTTTAGCAGCAGATGAGTGGAAAGTCGCTACCCTGATCCAATCCTTTCCGTCGAAATATGCCCCGCAAAATTGGCGGCCAGCGCCAAAGGCTATCTCCACATGCTACATGTTCAGCCCGCTCAGCTGTAGCCTGTCAATTCCATCGATCTCGAGTTTGAGGGCATACAGCAAAAGTTTGGAGTCGTATCAATTCCTAGGTTGAATATGGTAACATCGTCCACAAGGCTATTGTCGTCATAGCTTTCCTTACCAATCATGTTTGATAGATACCGAGACTCCGAGAAAAGTCGCCGGTGCTAGGGGGAAATAAACAAACAGCCCATATCGTCTCCGCTTGTGTTGAGGTTCGGGATGGATTTAGCTTCGCATTATCGACCCAAAGATGCCCCTCCCGAAGCAAACTCTGCCCCAACTTCGATCAGTGACCATGAACGCCCGGCGTCTCTCAATCTTTGGACGTTGCGCTAGCAACGAGTTCCACTAGCTGAGCTAGGTGAATAATATATTTACACCGTCTCAGTTCACATAAGCAGGAATTGGACGTGGCGATCATCTAGTCAAGTATAGATAGACAACAAGTTATACACTTGGCAGCAGACTATACATCTCACTAGACGTCAATCTAGTCCCAAGATCGTTAGCGATGACATCAATCAACTATGACCAATTGGCAAGAACTGTTTCGCCCTCCTTTAAACCTGCCAGTTTCACCGTTTCCTTCCATACTAACTCCCTCTTGGATACATCTCTCGACTCTTCGCTCGTCTCTGATGGCGTTCTACCGTCCCAGTACTTATCCTTTGGCGGGTTGCCCTCTTCATCTACCACGAATACGGCCTCCAAAACATCGCTGGCCGAGCGCGTCGTCGACCTGATCATTCCATTGATCGGTTTCAAGTAGAGTATCAACGCGTAGATAATTCTAAAGATGAGCACGCGGATAAACCATGGCGCCAGACGCTGCAAGCCGGAGATCATGGGGCCTGGATCGACGCCGACGACGCAAATTTTGTTCAGCGCGGCATCGGCGTTGAGCCGCGCCTGGAGTTCGTGCTGCATGGTAATCTGCAAGTACTTTGAGGCGCCATACCGTCGGTACCCGCCTCTAAAGGATGCGTCCTCGGTTTCAGTGCTCCATTTGCCCTTGGCGATGGCGTGGAAACTGTCGGCATCAGATAGGAAGTATTTATACTTGGGATCGGCAAAAGCCTTGTTGACCGCATGTCTCGGATCGTTGGTACTGAGTAGGTGTGTCATACGTCAGCTCTGGCACGATTTATCATTCTTCTTTACCAACACCATCGCGTCGCATAGTTCGTCATGCTCACCGGAGCTGAATAGGGAAGAGGAATGGGGAATAGAAACAGTTGCAAAGCAGACTGTATATCTGCAAAAAGAAACCTACTCATGAGTATGGCTACCGATTATGACGACCCGACCATTCTCCTTGTCTATGCTCTTGAGCAAAAGCATAGTGAGCAGCCAGTGCCCGAGATAGTTGACCGCGAATGCGGTTTCGAGTTTGTCCGCTGTCCATGACTGCTTGCCGAAATCCATGAAGCCAGCATTCAATATGAGTGCTCTAATCGGCGGGATCACGCCTGCCGAAATGCGCGACTAGCGCGTGAACCTTTAGCACTGCATGCCCTTGTCAAGGCCTGGAGCCAATATTGGATGCACTTACATTGATTGATTCCGCTGCCTGACGCACACTATCAAGTCTTGCCAGATCAAGACTCATGATGTCGTACGAATGTGCAGTGCCGTGTGCCAGCGCTGTTGTGAGATCAGGCGCGTGCGTAGTGTCGCGGACGGTGTAAAGTCCATGGTAGGCGGCAAGCTCGGGTTTCGAGATAATATGCTGTACCATTGCACTTCCGAGTCCACCATTCGCACCAGTGATCAGGATGGTCCCGGTGGCAGCAGCTGTAGCCATTTTTCTGGACAGTTTCTCGTGGTCTTTGTCGTCTCTGTCGTCTTGAATCGTCCTCAAGGTTCCAATGTGAAAGGCAGAGTGTTTGGAAAGATGGGAGCTATTCTGTATGTAAGCAGGTGATAGATAAATCATTGCGCTGCATCTAGTATATCCACTCTGTCAACGTAGCTACCAGTGTAGAGCTTTACATGTTGATCTGCTGGTACAGTGATTAGATGCGATATAAATAAGAGGTGATGAATGCTTGTATGCAAACAATGTAGTTGGGGCAAGGATTACTCGGTTTAGACGGTATTGGTCTGAGGGGTAATATGATCAACGGTGGAAAGGGAAAGGAGAACATGTTAGCGTGGTCTCTGGGCATAACTGTCACTGCTTCAACTAATTTTGAATACAACACCCTTGTGCACAGATCTGTACCTACGAAAAACAGCCTACATACCTCGGGTAGTCACGATGTAGATGCACACTCAACGATAGGGAGGCTGAGCGAGCTTCAATTCTATCGAATCGTCGCGCGGCAGGTGGAGTGAAGCTACGCCATCAATGGTGTCAATGGCGGCTCTTCTGCGCTCGATTCCTACTGCTGCGACAAGGAGTACAAGTGGGGAGTAATGCAATACTAAACACAGAATCAAATTGTGGACTCAATAGTCTGAGCACACATGGGCACATGTCCCTTGTCCGTGTTATCACCGTTATTACCGCAAAAGGATGAGCTTCCTTGGAGATGTAATTTGCGTCCATCGCACCAACAACAATCATGCATAATGCACCTGATCAACGAGAATCGTGCATGATGTTATACTACGGTACTATGGGTAAGGTCTTACTCCAGGTGCAGTTTACTTGACTCGTGCGTGTACAAGTTGTCCAAGTCCGATGCTATAAAGCTGAATAATCGCCTTTTTTTTTCTCTTTCTTTTGAGAAGCCCCAATTAATACATGACCAGGAACCAAAACTTTTGCCAGCAACCACAGTCCTTAGCGAAGAAGGGAAACTTGTCGGCTTCTCTTGAAGCTTTGTTAAAATCCGGATATCAATCTTATGAGGAGAGTGTATTGTAGTGGTTAAGTCTGGGCTAAGAAAATGGATTGCGGGATCCCTTATGGGGGATCTCCGGACCAAGACCAAATTGGTATGGGAGATGGACATAGTGAGACATGAATCTATCTACTTCCGATGCCTAAGAAAACGTAACCAGCCAATGTTTGTTATTAGCAAGAGCATCCCACTTTCACCAAGCTGAGACTAGAGAAGTGATTGATTGTTGGAATGTCAGATGCTATTACTGTCAGGCATCTAGTCAATGCTAAATATGGAACATCACTGATCAGCACTCCTCTTGGAGGCAACCTAACAACCATCATATCATAATCTACTAGACCAGTGCAAAGGCATCGTTGTATGAGGGGTGGTATTTAAAAAACTACACTATGAACATATTCGTGTTTCTGTTCTGGATTGTGTATTGCTTTATGAATATAATTGACTGATTCCCTTCCAGTACATGAGCCCAAATTTCCTATACATCCATATCCACCCAACAGACCTCGTGCTGTCTTTGTAACTCTGCATTCCAATGTCATTCTGCCGGAAAATAGCAACCAACACACATATCGGTGTCAATTTTGCACTCCTGACACACATAACCTGCCAACGTGATCTCCTTACCACAAATGCTGCACCATAAAGGACACCGTATGACTTCGTCTTTACTCACATTGAGAAGTTTGCACTCAGGGTGTGTCCTCAATGTCAAGATCCATCTCTTGCTGAGAGGGTGGTGAACAACTTTACCACCTTCTCTGGACAATTTCTGACAGGTTATTATGAGCTTGATAGGGTCTTCCGTCGTTTTGACTTCAGTCCGTGCGAGCTCATTGAGAAATCTGCCCTCGATGGTGAAACGAATGTTACCTGGCGGGAGATCTTTACCCGAGACCTCGAACCCCAGATCATACAGGCCCATGGGCCCATTCCAGGTGGCAAGGCCTGGAGGGACGGGAACCACATCAGGGGCAGTGCCGTTGTCCCGGATAGATTCGTGGTAATTGGGATCGCAGATCAAGCGGAACCCACGAAGTGATGATGCCTTACGCGTGTTGTCAAAATAATCAAATTCGCGTGCTCGACCGTCACGTCCCTACATATTTGTCAGCACCAAAGAAACAGACTATACGTCGTAGGGTCTGACCTTATGGAAAAGAACATTGGCGTGGTTCTTTCCTATCCAATCGGTTGAGTGGTGTCCTGGCGAATAGAGTCCCTGGATCAGGACGGCTGAGCCATTCATGACCACCCTTGCTGGAGGCACACGTAGTATGGATATGGCACTCCCTGAGGCTACCGCTGAGGCACTATGTCGGGGTTAGTATAACATTAGTCGTAAGTGGTAGGTTTACAGACCTTTGATGGTCGAACCGCTGAAGGAATTCGTATTCAAAATCCATCCCCTCTTTCTCTGCCTGCATCTTGTATTTGTCCATGTCCTTTTTCGTTTGTTCTCTCAGTATGTTACTAGCAAAGCTACCTCCACAAAAGAGAGCGATGAAGGGTTTCTTAAACCCGAGCTGTCTTTCGATCTCGGCATTCCATACTTGCCGTCCGGGTTCGAACACGCTCTTGAATATCTCTTGGACTTGACGGGCAGGGATATTTACCCAGTAGTTGCAATCGTCTTTTCCTCTCAATCTGAGGACAGATCTTTGTTTCCCTTTGACTTTGATCTCTTGTGAGCTTGAGTCCGTTGAGTCCAAGGCAAAATCAAGCCCGTACTTTTTTGTTTCGAATTCATTGATAATAGCCGCCAACACGCCGGGTGAGATGTTCGACCCAAGCATTGCTTTGGCGGCTGCTTTGATCTGACTGTTGATCAGGTCACTTCCACCTTTCGTACCTACACGACGGGCATGTAAGAGACTAAAGTTACAAACAATTGGAAAAACGTACCTTTAGCCCAGTCTGGGCCATCGCTCATTTGACTACACTCGAAATTCCCATTTTTATCATAGTATTGATTGATCACCTGAATATTCTAAACCAATCTATCAGTTAGCATACCTGGGTGTTCTTGACCATTCAAGTTGTATGAGTCGGGAGGTGCTTTGGACATACCACACTGCTTCCTCCCATGTCTATAATCATCAGGTTCAGCGTATTTGAGCGTTTCATTTTGTGGTAGAGCTCAGATAGGCTCTTCCGCTGTAGGAAGGAAGTTCCCTCATCAAACGGCTCGGATAGATACAGAGCTATAGCGGGCCCTTCCATGATGCGATGGAAGGTAATATCTTTACCCCATATGGACTGCATCAAGTGTGTGTAGCATTTCATGTAGGCCTCAACGTGCTCGTCAGAATCTCGTTGGTGCAGATAGTTGGGAAATGACAGCACAATATGATTTATGGAGAGATCTTTCTCCCGTGCTTGTTCCCTAACATTCCTCTGCAGCTCAAGGAAATGGGCCTTGAGAGCGGTCTCCATCATATCGACAGTGATCGGGACATTATGCACAGCATTCAGAAGCTCTTTTCCGCCGGGTAGGTCTTCAAACATCTTGTCTTCCAGAATTCCTGGGCCGTATAAGCACTTGAGGTACAGCATTGATAACATGAATACATACCTGACACATACACGAGAATAGTCTTCAAAGGTATGCACATATCATGACCGGAGGCTATTCTTCCCACGATGGGCCGTCCTTCCTCTACTGCTGCTTGTGCAAAGAACTTGAATTGCGGAATACTTTCTTCCTGGTGCACCCTCTCAGGATGGTCACCAGGTCCAAAGAGAGGGACTCGGATGATTCTGTTGACATCGGCTACGGCATCTTCATAGGCCAGAGTTCCCTTAGATGCAGAAGATCCTAAATCTTGGCCGTATACACTGTGCCATTCATAAGCTTTCACGTAAGGTGGTACAATAATTATCAAGACGAACCATAGTGTCAGACCCTGAGTCTCTGCATTTGGGAGGGTGTTGACCTGGCTCCGAGAATTCGAGCTGGAAGTAGCCATCATTGCGGGTAGTGGCAAATTCGCCAATAACTGGAATTTAGCCCTTTGGCTTTCTTTCCTTCAAGGAAAAATGTGGGGGGATAGAAAGAGAAGTGATCGTGTCTCTTCTTCGAAGACAATGGGATTATTGGAAGTTTCAGAGGTAATATACTCAATTGCAACACATACCTACAAGTAGTCGGTGTAGCAAGACTGGAGGAAAATAATGTGTTTACAAGACGAAAGATGAATCCAAGGGGGGCCCAATTCATGGTCAAACTTTTTTCTCATCCTCACACTTTAATCAACCCCATTCATTTCCCTGTTTCTGCAAGCAATGCACACATGGAGCCGCGATATCTTGAGCAGGTATTATGTGTGAAGGTAACACCGCATGCACCATGTCCAGCGTACATACGACAGAATACACACCGGTCGCCGGTCAAAATTAGAATGTTAGAATTGCTTTTGATCGATGTGGTGGTGACCATTGGAACTATTGGGCTGGCAATCCGGCACCCCTGTGGCTAGCTCCTGTTAGCTGCACACCCACTTGTTTTCCATGCAGTTGCAGAGTTTCAGGTGCAAAGCTATAAACAACAAAAGCATCGATCGACTTTCTAGGTACGTATCTCTGTACTTGATAGGTACCTTATGGGAATTTGGCAATATGCGGTGAGATGGAAAAGGAGGGGCTGGGAGGCTGGGGGTCATTGGAAGTGAATAAACCATGACTATACCGCGCTGAAAACATCCCTACTTGCGTAGAATACTTATTAGCCCAACGTAAGATAAAGCAGCAGATTACTTGACTCGCATTGTGTCCAACCTGAATCTGAATAGTAATTGGTGTGCACACATATTTTCTTCCCTTCATCTCAAATCGACATATTCGTATTTCTTTCGATATGACACAGCGGCTCATAGGTTCTGCGGTGCGGGAACTGGCAGAAAGCCTTATTGACGACTATGAGAATATTGAGGACATGCGTCATCATTCGGTGGCTGCGGTTAGTCAACACATTCTTGACAATTGCATAACTTCCATTCAGAATGTACGAATCTTTCGACAGAAAGCGAAAGCCGAGATCTGTAAGCTTCGAGAAGCGGGACGTCCGGAAGAGGCAGACTGGCTCACGGAAACATTACGGTGTCACCGTGACATTCGCAATATACCCGACAGGTTCGAAGTTACTATTTGTCCGGGAAATGGACGAAAAGAAACCTGGTCTTTGGTGTCAGTGTGTGATCCTCTACGTCAAGAGGACTCACCTTCTCAAAGGCCAGGCGCCAATCCTTTTCTTGAAGGACCATATGCTGAAGGCAGTCCTGATCCGCTCTCGCATCAAAACGAAAACGCGATGCAATTCAGGCCATCGACCACGGACACAGTCCTCCCAAGCATGAACGAAAACGTCACCACCTCTGCCCGAATGTTAGGATCAGCTCATGAAGTCGACAACTATGCTACAGAAAATGACCTTCGACACTCAGGGCGCGGTATTACTGGTGGACAACTTCGCAACGAGGCAAAAGCATCAGCTGTCGCTGCTGGACAGACTTCTCCCAACATACAGCAATCGATACCTGTACTACCCCAGATCCAGCGGACACCTGCACTGATTGATGTAGAACTCGACACGTTTGGACATGGAATTATCACCTTCTCAAAAGCCAGAGAACAAAAACTGTGGATTGGCCATAACCACTCAGGGAAGGCTTTCTGTTTGACGTGTCCATGTGCAGTCATGGTTGCCCCCACAGGTGCAGACTTTCCGTGTCCGATGACGGAGGGAACCCACCATCTCATACCGCGGTTTTTCCACCTTGATCCTTTCACCGACAATGACGCCTTGGTTCACTTTCGTGACGTACACAAGGAGACATTCTCAGATATCGGGGGGATGTTGCGAAAGTACGGCAGTGAAAGTAAGTCCAGGTCAACGTTTCGTGCCAGCCTTCAGACAAACACCAAGTGACTAACATACCGTATAGTACAAACCGAGAACATCAGATTAGACATGTGGGCTATCGCAGGCCATAATATGTCTATACAGCTGTGGCAAGAGAATTTTGATGAAGAGCTCAGGGAGGCCAAGTCAAAAATGCTGCAACAATGTCAGAAGGCTGATTACTTGGTCCACTCGAAGCCCAGGAGCATAAAGAGAAGTAAAGTTCCTGCGAATAATTTCGTCTTCTCCAGGCCTGAACTGCATGAGGAATGGATAGTGTACTGCCCAATCCCCACTTGCTCTGAGCCAAACTTCGTGGATGACCCTTTGCACGACAGCACTGCCATCCATCACTTTCAAAAGCACGACATGCAACTCAATGACAATCAGATTCTTAACGTCTTCGGTCTCAGAGGTATGCCAAAATTTCCCGCATAATATACCGCGCTGATTGTATTGTCTTTACTAGTCATCCCTGATTTGAAAAGTACGAACACACACGAACCCCAACACGAGCCTCGTTCGGTCAACGGCCTAGAACCTGTTCCAGCGGTTACACAGAATGGAGACCAGTCTGTCCGCCCAGAGGCTAGGGAAGTAAAGAAACGTCCCCGGAGAACCTGTCAACGCAAAGCTGTTCCAGCAGCTATACAGAATGGAGACCAGTCTGCCCGCCCACAGGCTAGGCAAGCAGAGAGACGCTCCCAGAGAAAGAGAACCTATCCACCCAAAGCCAGGGGCAACGTCGAGGGAAAAAAATACAGTCCTTGGATTGCTGGTGAGCAGATGATCCAGTACAACGGTGTCAAAGTGGAGCGCATAACCTGCCGAAGGGACCTTGAACGGGGACATGGTGCTATAAACACTCAGTATGAGTTTCACTTCGCAGGCTGCCATAAAGGCGAGTGGGTCAGCATCAGCAAGCTCAACGAACTCAGAGAGATTGTGGAGAGCTTTGACAGGGGAAATGGGGAAAAAACTCCATGGCTTGCCAAGCAAAAAAAAGTTCTAGGTATCTAGGTAGTGAATGACGCAGATAGAATGGAATTGAGTAGTGAGTTCTTTGTTTTACAGTAGAGTAAACTAGCGCATGCGATACAGAGCCCTTGACACGAACTCTAAGTAGCAGGAATGATGAATGACGGGTTACATTGCATGTACCAAGTGGCGACTTTTTGAAAGAGCTTGATAATAGTGAAGAATGCATTCTGCTCAATTGTTGTTGTTTTTTTTCCCGCCAGTTGCGTGACCGACTCATTGACTAGATTGGTGACGTTGAAGCGCCAGCCTTGCTTGCATGGGTTCCTTTTGCTATAGCTCAGAGGAAGTTTCAAGGATGTCAAAAAGAATTACCGGCGGCCTAGGGTTCCGCAGTCTGTACCATGCAGAGTTTTATCAAGTCCCAATTGCTTTTTTAAGATAGTGGTTCTTGCAGCGCTCATGCCAAACCCTGATTTGCTGAATGATACCATCAGCTGGAGGTTGCTGAATGGATCAGGTAAGGTGGGTGTAGCATTCCGTAGCGATTGGAAACCACCTGGGCAGTGTGCAGGGGCGGGTAGCAATAGCGCCTTAGCTTACTCACCGGCCCGTTCCCCGAATAATTGCACCGGTTTTTCGCAATCCCAAGACCCTGGCGACTAGGTAGCTTAGCGATATATATTGCGTATAGTGGATTTTTCATACATTAGGCAGTTGTTCAAATGTGATGAGGTTTCGGCAGTTGAATTAGCGATAAATATGAGTTGCTTTTTTCTTGTCCCCCTCCCAGCTTTGGCGGCTTCTTTATCCGAGTCACTTTTTCCACATCGCCCATGCTTGGAGCACTCCAAAGCCGGGGGTTCAATGAGTTGGTTAGTGTGTATAATACTAGAGGAACATTGACCTGGCGCCTTAAAGACATCGTTGCCTAGGCACAAAGGTAGAGATACTCAAATTTGATCGGTATATCCGCTGGCTCTAGTCACTTTTTAATGGAGGAATATTGCTAAAACGGACGTACTAAAAAAAAAAAAAAGCCTTTGTGGGCCGGCCAAGACACTTGCTCCTTTGAATAATTTTATGGCCGTTCTGTGAGCGTTCTCTAATAACGATGCTTGATATATTTCTCCACAATTGTTACTAACATATCCTTTATTGCTAAACGCCTTGTTTCTTCAGCAATAGCTGGCAGTTTGTTGTGTCAGAAAGTCTAATCCTTCTCTTAAAAAAACATCCGTTAATGCTTATAGCGGCGAAGGAATATTCTTTTTTTTTTTTTTTTGGTATAATTGGCAATTAGATTGGAGGAATAATATCGACCTTTCACACGCTATCTCTTTTCACAAAACATTATATTGCTCACTTAATATTGAGTCACAGACACGCGTCCGCGCTTTCAAACAGTGACTTGTAACTTGTAATCTCTGAAATCAAAAGCAAGCGATATTCGAAGACCGCATCCTGCACCCATTCATACAAGTCACAATTATGCATGGGAAGAGCAAGGGAAAAGAATCAGAGGCAAAGAACCATAGGGAATATAGACGGTCTAGATTGCTGATGGTCACAAGGTCAACTAGGCAGCAACGGGCTCCTAGCCAACCACGTTGCGCACCACCTATGAAGGTCTATGAAAGACTGATTCAAAACAAAGAAAGCTCTCTGCAATAAGTTAAAATGTGTTTTACTACTATATTGACACCATGCAGGGTAATGACGCGTGATCCTGCAATACAAGCGTACAGCAGGCACGGCATTGCATGCGAGGGCCTCGAGGGGGGAAATCCTGCGACCGAGATGCGCTCTGGGCATTACCCGCAAGAGCCTTGAGGGGTCACATCATAGGCGCGAGATGCGCTCTGCAAGAAAGACCTGATGCATGCGACAAATTGTTATTGATGATCCAAGCTTCAGCTCAAATGGCACAATGTATGGTACTTTGATAGTGAATCACGAAATGGCTTCTTCGAACACAGCGATGAAACTCCTTTGCTTTTGCCAATCCTACCCACCCAAACTCAACATACAGAGAAAAAAGTACAGTTCGCCCTCCTCTCATATTCATTGGCTCTACCATGACTGGCTACAACATACTCCATGGACTTCCTCTACTCTGAGAGTATCCTGTATTGATTTGAATGTACTCGCTACCTATGCTCTCGTCGTTGATGGTGCTTGGAAAGCTCTACTGAGCCAAGACATCATAGACTAGCCAATGGAATACACCTTGTCTGAATGTGTGCTTCCGAATTTTGAGTCATGGATCAAATCTATCAAAGGTGTTAGATAACCGTGCTTGAATGGCTTTGACAAGGCCCAAGAGAAGGACTATGGGAGGGCATGGCACTTGCTGATGCAATATCTTACAGCCTCCAAACCTGTAGCATTGTCAGGACTCGCAGGCATCGCACCGTGGGACCTAGCTGAATTGCTCACTTGGTGATATAATTTTTCAGGACCAACGATTATAAATAGATTTTACTGTGATGGAACTATGTCCTAGAACTTTTGGGCCTCCTATTATGATATTCCAAATTTGCATTACATATCAAATACGCGTTTTTTAATCGCCCTATACACTGATGTTTTGCCAATTTATTATGGATAAGTATAATGATTAACTCTCTTCTGAGACGAGCTTTTGCATTAAATCTGCCTGATTCATTCAATGTCTCAAGTCTTTCAACTTTGGCTCTTTTACAGCAACAAGCGGAGAATCCACTCTTTGGCAGAAATGGTCAAGGCAAAACAATTACTTCTTGTCTCTATATGCATGTCTCCAAGCAAACAACTACCCTTCATGTTGAGGAAAGCACTCCGTAGTAGAAGTGGACAAGTACATCAATTCACAAGACTCTAAAAGGACAAGATACTCTGAGAAACTCATATATGGGGATCAATCCCATGTCCGTGTCGTGTCTTTCCATCCGACTACATCCACCTCCAAGATTTATGCCAAGTCAAGCTCCAATGCACTCGATTCAGTCTCATTTCATATGAACTCTTGAGAAAGACTAATATCCAGAAGACACCTCGACACTGCGTCCAGCTTACTACCAAGCCGAGTATTGAAGATCAAGGTATGATCTATGTCACCTATCTGTGGTAATTTATGTTGAGATCGTGGAGTAACCGCGTAAAACTTGGCAAGTGCCGCCCCAACGACCTGAAGCGACGACAAATCAACTTGATAATGAGACACAAAGTGGCCTGACGACGGGATTGTTTCAGTCCTGAGCTACTAGCTTGAGTTCTTGCTAATAACTACCAAACAGAAACATTAAGGAAACTACCTGAGCCAGTCAAAAGACAAGAAACCTTTACTGGGCAACCACTCGACAATCACCGTCAATTCAAACTCAGGGCTTTCCGCTTTTGCGAAACTGATCTTTCCTCCCACAACCCAGTCACAGGAAACACTCAATTTCACTACTTGGGGACATTACCTTCGATTGTAGCCTAGCCCTGTTTCCTTCTTCCCAAATTAACCCCAAGAAGCAAACTTGTAGCAGTCATCACTTGCATTGCAACATCCTACAGCAACTTCTCACTCAACTCTAACAACTACCAACACTCTTGAGTTCATCTATCCTTTTCACTCTTCATCCTTCACATCTCTTCCCTTGAGATCATTCCTAACCGATCCCTTCGCCACAATGTCTACCAAGGACGACAGCACTCAATTCCAGTTCTTGATCACCTGCATCAAGAACTCCAACGCCGGCAAGGTGAGTCACCCCTTTTCTGTCCATTTGAAATTTTCTTCCGGTCCTAGAACCCATGGCAATCTACACTTCTGATGATGGACTGCCTTTATGTCTATGTCGTCGCGTGCTTTCCCCCCTGCCCCCGGAAGCTTCATCCGATACAGGAGGCATCCATGTCTACATGGCACCTCCGCTTATCTCTCCGATCACGATCCACCTGAGTTGTGTCACTTGATTGCTAATTCTTGTTCTTCACAGGTCGACTTCGGCGCTGTTGCCGAGCAGCTGGGAATTGTCAGCAAGGGCGCTGCGTAAGTATCCATGCATCACTTTCTTGGTTTGAACATGACTGACTCCTGCTCGCAGTGCCAAGCGATATGAGCGTCTCATGAAGGCCCACGGCATCGGTCCTAATGGCATCGCCGGTACTGCCAGCCCGAAGAAGGCAGCCATCAAGAAGGAGAAGGGTGCAGGAAAGTCTCCTGCCAAGAAGCGCAAGCTCGAGGAGGTCGATGAGAATGCCGGCGACGATGACGAGCCCATCAAGGACGAGAACATTAAAGGTGAAGTCAAATCTGAAGTGAAATGTGAAGTGAAGTTCGAAGATGCCATGAACGTCAAGCTGGAACACGGCAGTGGTGGTATGGCGATTACAGACACTGGAGCGCCAAACTCGACACTGTCTTCTAGTCACGGCAACGACGAAGACGACGATGATGATGTTCTAGTGGTCTCAGCCACCGAAAGATCAAGCAGCGGCAATGTTCCTGCCTACGGCAGCAGCGATCACCACCACCACCACCACCACATGTCCATGTCGACGCAGCATATTCCAAGTATCCACTCACCTTTCGACTACGCCACTAACATGGGATTCCCTCTACAGACAACGCCGACGTCGACTATGATGACGACGACCACGATGATGCCGAGGTCTAGCTCTGGCAACCCCCTACCCTACGGCTTTGCCCCTTCACCATATGCACACAGTCACGACGGTCACCACTTCTTCTGGCAAGGCCCTGGCATGATGCCCACGCACCCTGATGGTGGACACAAGGAAGATCCGACAGATCGAAGCTCGTGACGCGCTGGTTAAGGCAACCTGGTAAGTCAGAGTGTACATGTCACTTACCCATCTTCCAACAAAGGCTGACCAGATTCTACCAATCCAGGCTCCCAATATCCCTTGACATCTTACACTTACGGAATGTTCTACTTTTTCATGGGCGCATGATCGACAGATGAGGCATCAACCTTTCATACACGTCGATACACCTTTGCGCGTTGCGGTGGTTTCTTTTTAGCAGGGATGGGGCCTTGAAGGCAGTCAAGGAAGGTTCAGCAGGATTTATCATGATCACAATAAACACATGTTCTCTCCACCACCTTGAAATGCAAATACGTGAGGAGGTTCTCCATGTTCGAGGGTCCCCTTTGACTAGACTTGAGATTGAGCAAGTGAAGGACATTGATCCCCGCAACGCCGAAGATTAAAGTTCTGCAGCAGCTTGTAAACATTACTTGGTGTTGACAGTCTGTGTATACTTTTGCTTGATGCAAGACTTTCGTACAGCTCAATGCAGGTCTTCCCAGTAGATCAGGTCATTCTTACTTGCTATTCTCGTGGTTGCTCCTCTCTCAGCTAATACTCAAATGTTGTCCTAGATGACTATGACCCTCACTTTCCAAATGTTGCTCCCTCATCAAGGCCTTCCGCATTTTTGTGCACTCTTGAGGTACAGAGTCTGCTGCACAAGCTGCCTCGTACATGAGCAATTGCTGCCATCTCGGCCATGATCCTCCTGTGAATGGCTGTAGCCAAAGAACCTAGCAGCACATCTCAGTGTCCATATTTCGTAGCAAAGTGGTTGCGTCTTGACTGTCAAGTTGTGCTCTCGATCTCCCGAGTAGGCAAACATTGAACTCCGAGCACTGTTGCGAGTTTTGAGCAATAATCCTTGCATATGTGCTGGCTCAAGACCTGAATCCAGCTTCAAGGTTCTTATCGAACAGGGAAAACGTTGGATACCTTCTGATTCAATTAAATTTCCATCCCGTCCCAGCAAAATGGGACCTTTCTGAACATTAGGCTGATTCGACAGCCTCGCGGATGTTCTTGTCCGCCTGTCGAGCATCTGGTGACCGCGTCGTTGAGAACCAACCTGCGCTGCAACTCGGCCGGCAGGCTAGCGAACGAAATCAAGACGCCACGAGCCACTCGCCGTAGCCGTCGAGGAAGATGAAGTCGGACTGTGTTGGAACGCGCCAGCTCAATTCTTGCACCCCTCACACACCGGCAATGACCCCTTGATGGACTCGAAGCAAGGAGGTACCGCAACCTAGGCTCAACAGCCGCTGCCTTCGATGCGAGGAGGCTTCTCGTCGTCATAGTCGCCGGTGCGTCCGTGGATACTTTCTCGAGATGCTTCGTTGACCGCAACAGACTTGTTGACAGTAGCCGTGAAATGGACGGGCCAGGTCTCGGTAGGCTTGGCCTCGCTTCCGTACTCTTCTCGTTGTTGGTCTTGATCTCTAGGGGGGATTCTCTGGGCTGCTCTTTCACCGGGGGTCTCTTCCCGCCAAGCTTTGGTCGATGTTGGTTCGGGTGCTGCTTGGTTCGTAGCGATGGAACTCCATCCTCCCGCCTAGTTGGTTGGGAGAAGACAGGCTTTGGGGACTGCTTGAGGCTCTGGGGGTGTTTTTGGGCACGAATCCGTTCCTAGAATGGGTCATTCTGGTTACTGAACACTTTTGGTCACTTTGGATTGATTTTACCTGACCTTGTATCGGTCACGGAGCTTGGGTTTCGGACGTAGGAGGGTTGCGACCTTGGGCTATGTTCCACGCGAGATTCTGCAGCAAGTGAGAGTATTATTGATGATCTCGTGTCGTCTTGCAGACCCGTAATTATAATAAGATGAACTGTCATGACCCTGGGTACTGCTTTTCGACGAACAGAGGCTTTGGTTGAATGCTGCGCGTGTCTGTTGACTGTGCCATGAAGTTGCACAAGCCCATGAGGCGGACTGCAGGCACTTCACCCAGGAAGCATCCAAAAAGCCGTAGCCAGTAGTCGTGATAATTAGAGTCGATGTGCCACTTGTGATGCTTGTCCGGTGTCCGGTGTGCTGGGCCATGTCTCGATTGTCGCGAGGGTGGGCTCCCTACAGGCCTCATTGCTGCTGCAGTTCAACCACGATCGCCACCACGACCGCACCGAAAATTATCTGCAAAACGAATCTGATGGCATGAACGAAGTCTACTAAGTCTATGTCTGCAATTTCAAAGATGTCGCACCTCGGCGCGTTGCACTGGTGCCCTCGATTTGCGCCTCATCAGAGCAGCAGTTCGACCGCCACCACAACAACGCGCGCCCGGAAAACGATCTACGAAAATTAATCTTGCGCATATTCAAAGCCTCCTCAATTGATGAGCGCAAATTTGAGGATTATCTAAACGTTACGCGATGCGTGGAAGACTCGTTGTCGCTCGAGGCGTCGAGGCCATCGGTCTATCGCTGCTGCGGACCCCCACCACAGCAGGCCTCCAACCTGTACTCAAGTCTCTCCACCGACGGCCTCGGTCACATGTCCAAACCACATGTAATATCATCTTCACAGTTCTAACTCTCAATACAAATGTCAGATTTGCATGTAAAAGTCTCTTCTGGTTACTACCAAACAGTTCAAGGTGCCGCGCGCTCTGTTGATCATGCAGCACAAATGCATACATCGGCATATCCTACAGTAGGCGTCCCATGATGAGCACAAGATCCTCAAGTGCGAAAGAAGACTGCGCAGCCAGAACTTCAGATCAAATTGTAGATAATATGTCTTTGTGCGCTCTAAAGTACCACTAAATCTATAAACCTGCTTTATTTAGGCAATTAATGTTACGGGTGCACCCGATTTTCGGCACCGGATATATAGTTAATCCGGTGCCTAAATAGGTTATAATAAAATTTGCGTATAGGAAATAGCTTTTTTTTATTTAAGCTAATTTATAAATTATATTTGGCTATAATTACGTAATTATACGCATTTAGTAAATTTATTATATATAAATTAGCTTTATTTTTGCAATTTTATATAAATTAATAAAATATTTATAAAATTTTTAGTGCTATTTTTTATTTTTAATAGCGTAATATCCGAAAATTTTAATAAATACGAAATCGCTCCAAAATTTCCCTTTTTTAATAACCCCTCGCTTTTCCCCCTAATATACGATATTATAAAAAGTTCCGACCCCGAAAATACGGCTTAAGCCTTTTATAATAGCGTTTTTAATTATTATAAAGCCGTTAAATAGCTTTTTTAAAACGGAAAAATAAAATTTTTTAAGTTTTTTTTTATTATAGCGAAAATAAAAATAATAAAAACCGTTATTTATTAGGTAACGAATAGCTTATTTACCTTAATTTTATAATAGCCTTTTTAAAAAATAAGCGCTTTTATATAGCGTAATAATTTATTAGTATTAATTTTAAATAGCTTAAATAAAAAACGTTTTTTAAAAAAATCGAAAATTAATTTATCGATAAAAAAGCTAAGCAAATCGCGGATAATCGCTTAATTTAAATAAAATAAAAAAAAAATTAAAAATTCTCCGATTTCTTAAACGATTTTAAATATTAGCTCGGTTTTAATAAAAAATTAAATTAAATAAACGTAATTAAAATTATTACTTTTAATTCCGCTATTAACCAAAGCCTAAAAAACCGTTTAATTATTTTCGATTTATTTAACGATAATTATAATTAATAATTAAATATAATTAAAAAAATAGCTAATCGCCTAAATGCCTTATAAAAAAATAAGCGTAAAAAAGCTAAAAATATAAAAATTTAGTTTTTAAAAAAAGCCGGAGCTATTTTATTTTATTTTACCTTTTTTTGGGAAACCTTATAAAATCGAATAAACGCTAAAAAAAAATATTATTATAAAAAAAATTAATAAATTCGATTTATAATAATTTATTATTACCGTTATTAATATTATAAGCGTAATATAAATAAGCAAAAAAGCGTCGGAAAATAAATAAAAACCCCGAGCTTTTTAGCGTAATAAGCAAAAAATTTAATCCTTCCGAAAAAAAAATTATACTTTAAATATAAATAATCTAAATATTTTTATTAAAAATATATTATTTATAGCTTTTTTATTAATTTTAACCCCCGAATTAGCTACGCCGAGGTTATTTCGGACCTTAAAAAAATAAAAAACCGTCGGAAAATACTTAAGCTTTAAAAAAAATCGCTTTTAAAGCTTAAAAAAAAACCTATAATTATTATTTTAAATATCCTAAATAATATATATACTACTTTTTTTTAATAAATATATTTATTAATAATTTATTTTATTATAACGCGTTTATCGATAATAAATGCTTTTATTATTTTGCTTTTAATAAATTTTTTATCATTAAAAAAAAATTTAAACGTATTTAAATCCGGAATAAAAAATTCCGGCTCGCTAAAAACGATAAAAAACGTCGATATATTCGAAAAATCGCTATTTATTAAATAAATATCAACGGACGGAAAAAAAAAATAATAAAATACGTCGTTCTTAATTTAATTTATAATATTATATTAAAAAAACCTTAAATAAAAAGCAACGACATAATATATTTATTTAGGAAAAAAATACTTAAATTTAGCATTAAAAAGCACGGTTTTTTTATCCGTAAAAAAAGGCTAATATAAAAATAAAGCACCCGAATTAATAAAAAATAAAACGTAATACGTAAAAAATATATAAATAATTATAAATGCTATTTACGTAGCAAAAATATATAAAGCGCGTAAAAATTTTAAAAAAATAATTAAAACCATTTAAATTTTTACCGTTATAATAATAAATATTAATTAAACGCTAAAAATCAAAAAAAAAAACGACCTTTTTTAAAATAACCGATATATTACCTTTTTAGCTTAAATATTACGCTTTTTTATTTATAAATAATAAGCAAACAAAGCTCTTATTTTATTAATTTAAAGCAAATTATGCGATTATTTTATTTAAAAATAAATAAGGCAAAATTCGGAAAATTTTATAAAGCCTTTTATACGGTATATTTAAAAATAAATTGCTTATTTTTAGGAAAATATTTACTAATTACCTAAATAAAAATTAAATTAAGGCTAATAATTCTCCCGAAAAAGCCCTTATATTTTTTATAAAAAAACCCGGAAAAGGTTTTCGTTTTTGCGTAAATTACCGAGCCTTAAACGCTATTATAAAAAAAAACCGCTATTTTTTTTTTATTAAGGAAATTTTACGCTTTTTTTTAAAAGCTAAATAATTTATTAAAATTAATATTAAAGCCGCTTTTTATAAAATAAAAATTAAAAAAAAAATAAATAAAAAACCGCTTTTCGCATTCGCTTTAGCTTATTCGAATAGCTAATAATACCTTTCGGATTAACGGGAGCCTTAATTATTTTTTAAAGGTTTATTAATATTATATTATAAAAATACCTAAACGACTTTTGCTTTATTTATTTAAATAATATTTTAATTTATTTTAACGGCGATTATATAAATTATATATTAAAAATAAATAAAATTTTTATTAAATTAAATAAAGCTAGGCTTTACCTTAATTTTAAAAAATATAAATTCGCTATTATTTAAACTAAATATTTAAAATTTATTATTTATACCGGAGAAAAAATTAAAATTAACCCTAAAAAAATAAAGGCTATTAAAAAATAAAAGGCTTTTATTAGCGTAAAAAAAATTCGTAATTTTATAGGTTTCGCGAATTTTTATAAAAAATTTATCTTTTAATTTAGCAACGTTATAAGACTTTTATTAGCTTTATTTAAAAAATTAGCACTTTAAAAATAAAAATTAGCTAAAAAATATAGCTTCGAAACCTTTAAAAAGCTTTTTATTATTATATTTATCTTAGCGATATAAAACGAAAAACGTAAAACGGTAATCGAATACGATTATTTTAGCTAGGCTTTAAAAAAAGCCTTTTTATAAATCGATAATAAAAAAAGATTACGTTTTATAGCCTTTTTTTTTAAACGATTAAATTTAGCCGAAATTAATTATAAAATCTATAATAAAAAGCTGCTCGCGATTATCCGCTATTTAAAAAAATAAAAAGGAAAACTAAAAAGCTTAGCTAAATTTTTTAAAATTTTTACAAATTATAAAAATTTATAATATTTTACTATTAAAAGGAATTTAACTAAAAGGCAAATTCGATAATTTTTAATTTTATTTAAATTTAATTTTTAATTATAATTTCGCGTAAAAAAAAAAGCGGTAAACCTAATACCTTTAGCCGTTTAAAATAAAACCTCCCTAAAAGGGTCGATAACCCGAAATTAAAATTTCGCCGCTTATAGCTCGTTAAAAACGAATAGCTTTTATTTATTATTATATTTTCCGAAAATACTAAATATATTTAAATATTAATTTATATAATACTTTTATATTTTAAGCTTATAAAATAAAAATTACTAAATATAAAATAAAGCTATTAAATTCCCGAAAATAAAAATTTATTTTTTAAAGCTAAGCTATAATTATTTTAAAATAAAATTATAATATAAAATATTAATTTTATTAATTTATATTTTGCAATATAATTAAAAGCGCGTACGTTTCCGCCCGGGTTATTTAAAAAAAAATATAATATTAAAATATTAATCGCGGAATATAAATTAAACCCTAAAAGCGCCTTTTTATTCCGAAAAAAACTGTTTATTTTAAATTAGGAATTTTTTTAGATTATATTTATATAAAAAATTTACGATTTATTTATTACCGGCTATTTAAAAAAAGATAATATTTTTGCGATAATATTAAAATATTTTTATTAGCCGGGAGTATTTAAAATAATACGGAAATTTAATATTAATTACAATATTTATAGGCGCTTTAAAATTTAGCGCGAAAAAAAAAAGCGGCCTTTTAGCCCTTTTCTTTATACTAAACCGGTTTTATTCGGAATTTTTTATCGATTTTATAATAGAGCTTTTTACGAAAAAAAAAAAACCTTTATTTTATAATAATAATCGTAAATCGCCTAATAAAAATAATTATAGCAAAAAGCATAAATATTATAAAAACGCTTAATTACGCCTGGCGTTTTATTAATTATTATTAAAAATTTTACGGTTTTTTTTAAGCTATTATTTTTAATAAAAAATTAAATTAAATAAGCGATTTTTAGGCTTATTTATACAAAATAGTAAATATTAAAAAAAAATTATTTATAGCTTTTTACCTAAAAATTAACGGTTCGATTAAATATATAAATTAAAAAATTTAATTATATTTTAAAGCCTTTATTTCGTACGCTTAATATAATTAGCCCGAATTTCTCTTTTTTATTATATTTATTATTAATAACCATAATACCTCGATCGGCGCTAATCCCTTTTTTTTAATTTATAAATATTACGCCGAATTTATAAAGCAAATACTCCCGTTATAAAAGCTTTTATAAAAAATAAATAAAAAATAAGCTAAAAAATTCGTAAATCGATAAAAAAAAAGCTAAGATTTAGCTTAAGCTATAATAGCAGCTATATAATAAAAAATAAAAAATACGGCAAATAAAAATAAAAAGCTATAAAAACGATTTAAAGCTAAAAATTTAATATAATTTAAGCTTAAAAACCTAAAAATATTATAAATATTTAAAAAATTATTTTAAATTAATATAAAATATAAAATTAATAAAATTATTAGTTTATAAATAATTAAGCTAAACGTATTTAGCAAAATTTAGCTATAATTTTATATAAATTTATTACGGAAAATAAGCGAAAATCCCTTACCGTTATAAAAAAGCGAAAATTAATAATTACTTTTAATATTTAATAAAAAATTTTTATAAAAAAAATAAATCGTTAAAAAGATTTTTTATATAAAGCGGCACTTTATAAAACGAAAATTCGAACGGAAATTATTAATAAAATAGCAAAATTATATAAAATTTATTTAATAAGCCCGAACCGTATTTAATAATATATAAGCTTTAAATAATTTTAAAGCTTAATTCGGCGTAAATAATAAAATAAATAAAAAAAAAGGCTAAAATAAGGCTTTTAATAAAAAAAAAATAAAAAGCTATTATTAAAATAGCTAAAAATAAGCAATTAATAAAAGCTCGAAAAAAAAAATTAGCTAAAAAAAAAAGCTCGAAAATTTAATTAATAAAATGCTTTTGCTTTTTATTAAAATTTAAAATTAAATTTTTAATTTATTTATATTTTCCCGTTTTTATTCGAAAAAGGTATTAAAAATCTTTTTATTTATTCGAAAAAAACACCGGTTATATAAAATAGCCGGTTACGCGCTTTTCGATATTAAATTAATTAATTAGGTATTTTTTAATAAAAGCTTTAATATCCTAAATATACCCGGATAGCGTTTTTTTTTTATATTAAAAAAATAACGGCTTATTAATAATTATTAAAAATTTTATATTTTAAATTTTTTATTCGTAATAAAAAACGCATTATAGCTAGGAGAATTTCGGGTTTTATAATAAAAATTACGGGAAAAAAGCGTTATATAAAATAATTAAGGCATAAGCGGCTATTATAGCTTAATAATTAAAAAAGGAATTTTTAAAAATTTAGGGTTTAATTTCCCGAAAAACCCGGAAAAAGGATAATATTACGGGTATACCCGATTTTCGGTACCGGATATATAATTAATCTAATGCCTAAATAGGTTACGATAAAATTTGCGTATAGGAAATAGCTTCCTTTTACTTAAGCTAGTTTATAAATTGTATTTGGCTATAATTGCGTGACTGCACGCATTTAGTGAGCCTATTATAATTAAAAAGATATTCTCGATGCGATATAGACGACTCGAACATGGCGGGTACTCCCGTGCGGATCGACATGGGCGTGGGGCATGTGTCACCCAAGCTGGGGGCGTTGCAACGGCGGCCCGCTGCAGTGTGGAGAGCATGAGCTTATTTTCAACGACATGGCTTAAGCGGCGTGTAAGTGCTAAGGGATCACGAAGACGATGAGAATTACTGCTCGCAACTGGTGTCAAATGGACATATAAAATACGTGAGACAAAATGGGGCATTGGGATTGAATTGATGATTAATATTTCAACGAGTGGGATTGTTCTGTGGTCGCTCATGACTCTACACAAGGAGGTAGCATCTAACTGGCACTTTATGGAATACCGTCTACATATTGGGCATTGTCATATCTGAAGAATCGCTGATGATTGTCTACCAAATGTTCAAAATCAGTTTTTGGGATGGGAACGCAGAGGTATACTTGAAATAGTGACAATCGGAACAATGGTATCTACAGAAGCTGTCATTACTATGGCGGTCTTTCTACAAGACACTGGCGAATGTAACAACCATCAGGGCAAGACATATCAATTACTTTCACTTTTCATTACATTATTACATTGAATGAAGAGAATAGATGCTCCGAGTCTTTGCATCGATACCAGACATGGAAAAACGTCCCTCCAGCCCACTCCACCCCAGCCTGGGTTGGTTGCCTGGCCGCTCGTCGCCTCAACACCAAAAGAGCCGCACGGCGGGAGGCTGGTGATGGTCGCTGGGCCAATGAAAGAGCTGGCAGTACTCTGGCCGGACCCGCAGCGCGCAGCTTGCAGCTCGTCCCAGCGGCAGACTTCTCCTGGCTATAAATTCCAAGCCCAGCTTCAGGAATCTTTCTGACTTCTCCCTCTTTCTCCCTCGCCCGCTCTCAATAGTTTCTCTACCAGCTTCATTGTCCGCTCACGTCACTTTCGAGACCAACCACACTTTCTTGCACACGCAACACAACAATCTGCCTTTCCAACAATCTTCACTCTAGCTTCGGCTTCAACATTGACAAGTAAGTACCACTTCGATTGTTCAGTCCATTCCACCACAATCTTCCCATTCAACAACAATCCACCCATTTTTCTACATTCAATTTTCCAACTTGCACACACAATCCATCTGCAGTCCACAATCAAGTCTTCTACATTTCCATTCCATCCATTGTCATCAATCATTCCCATTGCTGGTAAGTTCATCCAACCCGTGTCAATACAAAGTGTCCATCTCTTTTCTTTCCATCATCTCCCATTCCAATTTTCTACACATCACCATTGCATCTTTCTGTTGTTCTCATCTACCTCATCATCACCATCATTCATTATTACCCAATACTTTATTTATCACCCGCGGGTATCTGAGTTGCATGGCTGCAAAGTATGCTTCTCTGATAGTTGTCACTCATCTCTCCCATCACCTCCAACCAAACAGATACTTGTGTTCTCAAGACTGCCTCACAATTTGTGTCTGGCATTTTCTGGGCATAAATCAAAAAATTCAATGCACAATTTTTCCCTGCCCCTCAATTTTTCAAACTTGCAAATTTTCATGTTTTCAGCGTTTGCACACGCTCAAAGCTGTCCCCCACCATTATCACCAGCTTCAACAACTTCACGCACACTGGACCCACTCTCCGTCTCCTGGCCACCCTTTTACTTGCGCAACCAATTTTTCTGCACCTCCATCTGCATTCAATCCAACAAACTTTTTTTTTTCTTGGGACTTTTCCTCTGACCACTCTCAACTCCAGACCAGCTTTCAAGCTTCACGCATTTCTACAAACAGCCTTTCGACTTCAGTCACCACCCCGACAACAGTTCTTCGGCTTCAAGTCAGCTCTCTTGTCAACCTTGTACAAACCCGACAACCATCTAGAAGTTGTCATAATTCAGTCAAGTTCTTCCGCCTACAGGTCGATCTTGGTAAGTCGCTCTCCTGTCTGCACTCTTCTCCAGTTCGTCGCCTCTAATAATTTTTTCTGCCTTCAGCAACCTAATTCCAGAAAGACTTCCGACTACAGGTTGTCTTCTCTCACATCAAACACCATCAAGAGCTTCCGCATACAGGTCGTTCTTAGTAATTTTCTCTCCAAAGACATCCGCCTACAGGTTGTCTAGCTACTCTTCAAGCTTCACCTTTCTCTTCTCGCTTCAAGAACTTCCGCGTACAGGTTGTTTTCATTCGCATCAGATCGACTAGTTACCAGTCTTTCTGATCATCACTAATCCTTTCAACAACAGCTCAATTCGTGAGTTCTTCACTACCCCTCCTTGCCCCTCACTCTTGTTTGTTTCAACAAGCTCTGACATTTTCATCAACAGTTCAACATCCAAGCTTCAACCGCTACAATGGAGGCTCAGCTGCCCAAGACTACCTACTCTTCGGAGTCTGTCAACTCTCGCCACACCAGAAACACTGGTCGCATCACCTCCCGTACCTATCTTCGCAAGACTTCTGGCGGCTCTGTTCGATCTAACATGGCTGTTCACTCCGAAGACCATGACATTGGTACTTCTGCTTCCACTTCTCAGCAAGTTGACAACACTTCTGTCGCTGAGCACCACTCTACCCCCGCTATCACTGATGCATCCATCACCACTGCCACTTCTGTCCGGGACACTCCTGTCGTTCAGTACGCTACTCTCCGCAACACCGTCCACAACAACCAGGTTTCTCCTGTCTCGGCTCACTCCCCCCGCATTCGCCCTCTTGCTGCTCTCAGTGGTGGTATCCGTTCCAACAATGGTGTTGTCTATGATGCTCAGAAGCTTCTCCCCATGGCTGAACAGCTTGAGGCTGCACGTGCTGATTCCCGATTCCCCAACACCACTACTTCTTACACCAATGCTCAAGCAGTCATTGATGACTTCGAGCACCTCCTTGCTCTTGAGCAGCATGTTCGTGGCAGCCAAGATCACATCACTCTTTACGTTGAGAATGTCCGTCGCATCCAGGAGCGGGACTCTCAGATCGTTCATGACAACCATGATGCTCATGTCCGCCACACTGTTCAAGGTCTTCTCCGCAATCAGGATGTTGGTGAAGATCTCCACGCCATCGTTCGCCAGGCTGCTAGAACCGCTAGTGCCAACGCTGTCGAGCGAGCTCTCGCCAATCACAACCAGATCAGTCATTCTGATGTTGTTCGTGACATCTCTCAGGCTGTCATTCACACCATGGCTCAAGAAGGTCTCGTTTCTGACCAGGCGGTTGACAATATTGACGCAATCCTTGAGGATGTCTTCTCCGTCATCGAGACTAGAATTCTTGATGCTACTGGTCCTCTTCGCCTCAACGTCAACCGCATGCGCGATGTCAACGACAACCTTCACGCTCATGACAACAATCTTCACGCTCATGATAACAACCTTCGCACTGTCACCAACACTCTTGACACCAACCTTGGAAACAACCTCAATAACTTGACCACTCAAGTTGGTGCCATCAACACTCACGTTGGAGCTGTTGGTACTCATGTCAACGCTCTCAGCACTCTGATGCAAGTCATGAACGGCACTGCTACTCGAACCAACGATCAGGTTGGCCAGTTCACACAGCAACTCAACAGTCTTCAGCAGGTTACTGCCATGCTCCCTGCTCTCATCCGAGAGATCGTTCAGCAGATTCTTCCCGGTGCTGTTCAGACCGCTCTCACTCAGGTCCTCGCCGGTTCTCTTCAAGGTGCCAATGCCAAGGCTTCTTTCATGGTCGCTGCTCAGACCATCGCTGCTACTCAAAACCAGCCCAATGGTTCTGACAAGAAGAATTCCAAGTCCCCCAAGAAGGGCAAGAAGCGTGGCTTCTTTTCCCGTCTCTTCAAGCGTGGTGGTGGCAAGAAGGACGGTGAGGATGGTGCTTCTGGTACCAGCAACTAATTGAGCTTAATCTTTTGAGCTATAAACACTCCTTTTCCCCGCTTCTCCCCCGGCTCCTCCTTCTCTTGCGCTTGCTTTTTCTTACTATTATTATTTTTATTATTATCTCCATTGTATGAAGTAGTGTACTAGTAGGGACAAAGGGACAGTCGATCATGTAAGACATGAATCATGTATAATAGGGTAGATAGAAATACCAAGATAAAAACAACAAAAAGACAGTGTGCCTTTTTGCAGTATGTGACTAGTTACTGACTGAAAGCCATTATGTTAGTAATTCAAAGGTGAAGATGCCATTTGGGGCTGACAACAATATTGCAACTCTCAGCTTTCCAAGTGATTTCTAAGTAATTAATTATGTATGGAACTCGAGCACGTTTATATTCAAGATACCAGGTAGTCCCGAGATTCAAGAGTGATTATATGTGACTATGATGTATTGCGCCGTACCATATAACCACTATTAGGCTAGTTCCTAGTGTGGAGCTTCACATTTTGTTCAGCTAGTGCAGTGGGTTGGTGCGTCATGATGATATGTGAACATGTCAGTTGTATCAGTGTCGCGGACTTGATGGATGACTAGCGGCTGGAACATGACTTACAGCCGCTGCTTCGTGAGGGCAACTACGATCGTGGTAGCCATCCATAGGATTTGTGTGACTATACTGGACACGTGGAAGAGTTGAAGGAGCTTAGGTATGGACGGTCGTGGCGAGACTCGTACTCATGGAACTATAATGCAGCGTAGAGAGCAACACATTGATCCCAAACTACATTCCAAGGACACGCACTACGACGGAGAGCTGTCTATGATATCGGTTGTACTAGTTGAATGCAAAGTTCGGTGGTTTCGAGCGAGGACATGGTTGACTCATTGCTGAGATGGTATGTAGTTTGCGATCCGACTTTTGACTTTCAGTCGAGACATGTGGCCTGCCTTGATCGAGAAAGGATTGGAAGAGATTGCCACGGCATTGTATCGCTGCATGTCATCTGTTGGTCATCTTCACAGCACTTCATCAAGTTTAGAAATGTCGACTATTATCTACGGCAGCACTTGCAAGTAATCCTTGTATGGCGGCAAAGCCAGGGACATGTGGGATGGAGAGAGTCAGTGTGCTTGGTTATGTTGGCTATATTATTGCTGTATTCATGTTGCTTTTGATTACCACGAGCTCCATTTTGGTTGAACTCCAAGCTCTTGGTAAGGACTTAATTCGAACGACGTTCACTGTCGCTCCTTTCCACCATGACCAGTATGCTTGGTCGAAGCCATGGACGGCATAGCATCACCAGTGCCAGTAATGACCTCACCAACACCGGGACCATGCTTGCCCATCCTCTTTTCGTCAGAGACGGGGTTGTCAGCGGCCTCGCTCAGCATCTCAGCACCCAGGCCGCCAGCAGTGGGCTGTGTTCTGTGATATCCTGCCTTTGAGGGGACAATGTTTGGTTTTGCGGCATCCTCGGGGACTTTTGCATCATTAGAACCCGCTCAAGGTCGCAATGGAGGGCGAATACGTACCTCTGGTGCCATCTTTGGCCATTTGGTTGAGGTCTGCTCCTTCGTATGACATCTTGAATGTATGGTCGTCAATACTTTTCGTCACAATTGGTTTTGCTTGATTAGCCAAGATGACTTGTGCTCATGAAGAGAATCAACCAGATTTTGAGCCCCTCAAGATGGGTAATAATATATAAGAGGAAGCTGTCTATTGCACTTGGCTGTGATGTCACGACTCCAAGGTTGTGGGGTTTTAGCACAACACCAACCGTCATCGTAGCTTATAGACATCGTTCCTGCATAAGGGCTATTCAAGTCAACGAATACATGCATGTGTTTGTTGATGATGGTAAAAGGGGTCAGACGGCTACTTTGTCCTCTCGGCGCAGGTTTAAGACAGAGCCCTGCCGGACATATAATTTCATTATCAGTGGACGTTTTCGTTTCAGTATTGTGCATGAATGAGATAATGTTTGCCTCGCCAACATAGTCAGTGTTCAAATTGCACAAAAGCAACGGAGTTCGCGTCGCAGGAAAGACTCAGCTGCCATTGCCCTGCTGCATGGCTGATGAGCTCACGCCATTGTGGTAAGGCCAGCACAGATAAACATAAATAAGGAAAGAAAAACTTGTCGAATTGACATTGCATTGATTGAGTATGCGTTGATTCCGGGTATAATCTCCGTATGTACACAGTATATAGTTTTCTTTGCTGATTTGGCATCATGTAGGAACATCATACAACGTATGTATAAACTCAATGACAGACTGCCGGTAAGTTAATATCGCTGGCCGATATTGACACCGTTTGAGAGGGATCGAAACTTGATTGCGAACCTCAATTCCTGCCATCCACGAGCCATGCTCCCGAGTAGATCCCCACAGTACGCCGGCGACTCGATCCATTCGTGGTGCTCATGACTCCGGCTTCCCCATCTGCTTCGTAATACTGTGTACGCTAACAAGCCTTGAATGGTAGACACCCGCGCGAACTATTTTGCACTCGGAACGTTTTGAGCTGTAGCGCGACAGCTCAGGGGTTGGCTCGCTGTCCAGCTCCACACCCAGCTTACATTAAGGTAGTTGTGGTGCTCGTGGAAAGATAGAAACTTCCACAGCAATGCTTTCCCGAAGCAATGTGTTTGCTGCTGAAATGTGCGAAACCTTCCGAATGATTATATCGTGCTCGGCAAAACATGGAGTCAAGGACAGCATCCACAGTAAACACGTTCAATGAACACGAAATATCCAATCAAAGACGGTCTTTTCCGCAAAAATAAGTCTGGACCCGTGTTGAAGTTCCACGATTTTCTATGACCACTAAGCCGACCAGGACGCGATGCTGAGTTTGGCCTAGCGCGCATTACCTCGGCTCTTGAGCGATGCGCTCCGTGCATCTCGACGAGAGGACGCATGGAAATTTTTTGAAGCTTTCCCCAGGCTCGCCAACGTCTTTTTTTTCCCGTCTCTCCCAACCAACATCCATCTAGAGCTTCGCCTCTTTCTCTCCTCAACCTCTGCGAAAGTTCTGTTCCTCCTCTTCCGTTGTCACTTTTCTTCTTCTTCCTGTATATTACATTGTAATCACATCACAATGCAGCGTGCTCTGTCCTCCCGATCCCGGACTTCGGTCCTCAACTCGGCTGCTGCTGCCGCCAAGTACCGGCCCGGTGCAGGTCTGTCCCAGCAGCTGCGATTTGCGCACAAGGTGAGTCCCGAATGAGCTGCACAGCAGTTTTTTCAACGTATTTCAATACACAAAATGCTGACTTGCCCGTTCACAGGAGCTGAAGTTCGGTGTTGAGGGCCGTGCTGCCCTGCTCGCTGGTGTCGAGACCCTCGCAAAGGCTGTTGCCACCACCCTGGGACCCAAGGGCCGAAATGTCCTCATTGAGTCGTCTTACGGCTCCCCCAAGATCACAAAGGGTATGTTGCAATTCTACTATGATTATATCTCGTCGGTTGGTCCTAACAAGAAGAACAGACGGTGTCACAGTCGCACGCGCCATCAGCCTACAAGACAAGTTCGAGAACCTCGGTGCCAGACTCCTCCAGGATGTTGCCTCGAAAACCAACGAGTCCGCCGGTGACGGTACCACCAGTGCTACTGTCCTTGCCCGCGCCATCTTCTCCGAGACCGTCAAGAACGTCGCCGCTGGCTGCAACCCCATGGATCTGCGCCGTGGTACTCAGGCTGCCGTTGAGGCCGTTGTTGAGTACCTCCAGAAGAACAAGCGGGACATCACCACCAGCGCCGAGATTGCTCAGGTCGCTACCATCTCCGCCAACGGCGACACTCACATTGGTAACCTGATTGCCAACGCTATGGAGAAGGTCGGCAAGGAGGGTGTCATCACCGTCAAGGAGGGCAAGACTCTCAACGACGAGCTCGAGGTTACCGAGGGTATGCGCTTCGACCGTGGTTTCGTCTCCCCCTACTTCATCACCGACGCCAAGGCCCAGAAGGTTGAGTTCGAGAAGCCCCTGATCCTGCTCTCCGAGAAGAAGATCTCCTCCGTCCAGGACATCATTCCCGCTCTCGAGGCCTCCACCCAGCAGCGCCGCCCCCTTGTCATCATTGCCGAGGACATTGACGGTGAGGCTCTGGCCGTCTGTATCCTGAACAAGCTCCGTGGCCAGCTCCAGGTTGCTGCCGTCAAGGCTCCTGGCTTCGGTGACAACCGCAAGTCCATCCTTGGCGATATTGCCGTCCTCACCAACGGTACCGTCTTCACGGACGAGCTCGACATCAAGCTCGAGAAGGCTACCCCCGACCTGCTCGGTTCGACCGGTTCCATCACCATCACCAAGGAGGACACCATCATCCTGAACGGCGAGGGCACCAAGGACAACATTGCCCAGCGCTGCGAGCAGATCCGTGGCGTCATGGCCGACCCCTCCACCTCCGACTACGAGAAGGAGAAGCTCCAGGAGCGTCTCGCTAAGCTCTCTGGTGGTGTTGCCGTCATCAAGGTCGGTGGCTCCTCCGAGGTCGAGGTCGGTGAGAAGAAGGACCGCTTCGTCGATGCTCTCAACGCCACCCGTGCCGCCGTTGAGGAGGGTATCCTGCCCGGTGGTGGTACTGCTCTGATCAAGGCCTCCGTCCACGCCCTGAAGGACGTCAAGCCCTCCAACTTTGACCAGCAGCTCGGTGTCAGCATTGTTAAGAACGCCATCACCCGCCCTGCCAAGACCATTGTCGAGAACGCCGGTCTCGAGGGTTCCGTTGTTGTCGGTAAGCTCTCTGACGAGTTCAGCAATGACTTCAACAAGGGTTTCAACAGCGCCACTGGCGAGTACGTTGACATGATCTCTGCTGGTATCCTTGACCCCTTCAAGGTTGTCCGCACTGGTCTCGTTGACGCCAGCGGTGTTGCTTCTCTGCTCGGTACCACCGAGGTCGCCATTGTTGAGGCTCCCGAGGAGAAGGGCCCTGCTCCTGGCGGCATGGGTGGTATGGGAGGTATGGGCGGCATGCCTGGAATGATGTAATTGTCATGATTCTATCTTCCTTGCAAAGCGTCTATTCCTTTTTTTCCCATTGTATCAAAACATAAAAATTCGGGCCGGTGGGGCTTCGGGGCATTTGGCTATGGTGTTACGATGATATGGATGCATTTTCCCGCCATGTAATCTCTCCTCTCTACTTTGCCTCACTCACGCCTGTACCATGTTTCATACTCCTTGATATCCCAAGCAGGCGTTGTAAAACAAAAGACATGTATTATAGTCTAGAAGCAACTTGTGCTACATGATGACGAAAAGTCAATTGAATAAAAAAATCGTTAAACAATTGTATTGGATTTTGGCTTGGGCACCTGTTCAGGCAGCGCGATTCGAGGCATGCTTGGGTCAATTAATGTCTGCCTATACCATGGAAGCTACACCCCAAATGAGACAAAGCATATGAAGATGTGATTGTGACGAATGTCCGACTAAGCCGATCGTCCTGTCAGATCTCTTATTCGTAATGAAGGGAGGCTTAGGCAATCGAAAACTATAGTTCAGGCATCAACTTGGCACTCTTCGGCAATGGAAACCTATTCTGCTACTACCTAAAGGTAGCTCTAGCAAAGACATGGAACTTCGAAATAGTACGATGGAGCACTAGAATTCTAGCTCAGCTGTTGAGCACAGGTACCACGTATGAAAATCCAACAATCCGGATCGTATGGAGCCATTACATATGGAGTATGTATATAATTAAACGTGCCTATGGAAAAAAGAGATGAAAAAAATAATATGATGGAAGATGATGGATCACGTGCATTGATCACCGTACAGCCAGTACGGCCAGTACGGCCAGTACGGTAGCCAGTAGCCAAGCCTAGTTGCTACCGTGTTGCCCGCGACGACAGTGGGATCAATGAGATTCCAAGTTAACAAAGCTGGAAACTTGGCCCACCCCAAGTACTCCCGACCCCACCATTAAGCTGGAGCCCTGTTGTTCGCTACGTATTGTTGATTTTCGCTGGCGCAAAGCCTTGGACCCGAGAATCTCCCCCTCCATCCCCCCCCCTCAATTCTCGAGAGTACTTCCTTACCACCAACCCGCCGCCTTGTGAGTGAATGATACCAAAAGCTACCCACCAAATCTCCTTCCTCTTCCCTTTCTTCTGACCGCAATTCTACCCCCAAAGGCAACAAGATAAAATCTTCACTTCCCGTGTACGTGTCAGACCCATTCTCAGTCCTTGCCACTCCTACGCATAAATACTATTCCCTTGTGCCTAACCCGCAATACTCTTGTCTCTCGTTGCCTACGTCGACCCGACTACCCCGCTGACCGTATCTGCTTGCAGCTCTTGACCCAATCGTCATTTTCGCGACCTAAAACCACATCACCACAATGGTAAGCCAGCACGCAGAAGCTCTCAAGTCGGGGCCAAAATACTAACTTTGCCATGTCTATAGTCTCAGTCAGGGTTCGTACTCTCGTCGCTCCCAAATCACGCATCGTCCCCTATCGCATGATCCACCCCGTCTCCTTTTCCGCTACAGCTGTCTCAGCGGTTGAAGAAGTCTAGAGACAATAACAACAACAACACTTGATCACGCACGCGCCGCACGAATCGATGGCCCACGATACTAACCTTCGCTTTGCAGAGCCTCCGTTTCTCAGGAATGCATAAACGCATTCAACGACTTGAAGTTGGCCAAGAAGTCCAAGTTCATCATCTTCAAGCTGTCCGACAACAACCGTGAGATCGTCGTCGAAGAGGCCTCTACCGATGGTGACTGGGAGGTCTTCCGCGAGAAGCTCGTCAACGCCCAGCACGTCAGCAAGACCGTATGTCCTTGATACCATATTGCGACCTATGTCCGAGGAAGAACAGAGGACGCTGATATAATTGCAGGGCGCTGTTGGCAAGGGTCCCCGCTACGCCGTCTACGACTTCGAGTACCAGCTTGCTTCCGGTGAGGGTTCGCGGTAAGTGCATAAAACGAAGAAGGCCCGCGAAAATGCAACATGAATACTGATATCCTTCTAGAAACAAGATCACCTTCATTGCCTGGTCGCCCGATGATGCTGGTGTCATGGTATGATAAACCACTCGCGATTACGCATGCCGAATTCTTTCTAACTCCTTTTCTAGGCCAAGATGGTGTACGCCTCCTCCAAGGATGCGCTCAAGCGTGCTCTGAACGGCATTGCCACCGAGATCCAGGCCAACGACCAAGATGACATTGAATACGACACCGTCCTGAAGACCGTCAGCAAGGGTCTTGCCTAAGTTATCAACAACAACTCAAATTGTGGAAGTAATGCGAAACCCGGATTCGGCTCCCCAAGGAGCAACGGATGGGATATGACGATCACGAAACCAAATTATTGGGGAAGCATGGTGGACGGGACTCCTCTCCAGATGACTCTTGTCAGTTCGCTTACGGAGAACACGGGGAGGATAACATTGGTCCTTCTTTGCTGCAGAGATCTGACTTGATTTTTCCCGGAGTTGATGTTGGCCGGCTACTTAGAGGATATTCGGCGTGTTATACATTAAAGCAAGCAAAAAACCTTGGTTCTGAATCGTAGAGCATTCCGTTTGGCCCTTGATGGGCATTGATCAATTCCTCTTTGGTATCATATGCAAGCGCTTTCAACTGCTGTGACCAACTATATCCGAATCTATCTTGACTATGCATTATTATTTTTTACTCTTGTATGCCGTCTGGAATGTTTCAAACAGTTCCGACGCCTCTTTCTCGTCCCGTATTCTCTGCAACAAGAAGCCCTTCAAGTCGTCCCAGAACTCGGCTGTCTCGACTGTCGCTGTACCGCTCGTGCCTTGGGCAACATCTGTGCTGGCGGGCGCATCCTTCTTGACGGCAGCCGCAGCACCGCCCAACACCATGACGCCAAATTCGACAGTTGTACTCTCGTCCTCACCCAAGAGCTCCTTGAGCACCTTGGAATCGACCACGGGCTTCTTCTTGTACAGCAGCTTGATCTTGTCCAGCGGTACGCTCGTCTCATCGGCAACTTTCTGCTTCAGATCCAGCACCGATGTGTTGAGCGGCTGCGAAGTAAGCTTGATGTCGAGAGGTGGGTTGCGAAGCGACTTGAGTGTGACGGTCACTGATCGCTCGGAGCCAGGTGCAGATCGGGAGGCTGTCGAGCTGGGCTTGGACATTTGGCGGGGTGCGCGGGCCAGGATATACTGTGTTCGTGGTCAGTTTTTATGCTCATAAGTAACTCGTCTGCATCACAGGTGTAACATGTTCGATTGCAGCTGTCGGAGGAGACGTACGGCGGTTCTGGGAGGATATTCCCTGGGGTCCTGCACATGATCCGGCGAGATCCTGACAGGGCGAGGGTCCAGCGCCGCCAGGAATTGCTTGGCAAAGGCTACTTCGGCCATGTTGGCGAGCTGGCGAGGTGTGTAGTGTTGGTAAGGGTACGAGGAGTAGAGGGTCGGTATGTCGGAGTTGTCGTCGGTTCTACCGTCTGCCATAAAGATGATCACGGAAACGGGGACAGGTCCAAGATAGCTGTACTGAGAGCGGGCGTACCGTTGGCAGTGGGTAGGCGGGCGGAGTGAGGTCAGGATCGCACGCGCCACGATAGTGGGATGTACCTGGAACTGAAAATGTGGCTTGAGCTCTGGAAGTTTAAGCCACGAGGTACCAAAGGTTCAAGTTTATGGTCGCTCGGTGGGGTGCGCTAAGATAAGATAAGAATTTATCGAGGAAAAAAGTTCTGGGAGCAAGTGGGTTGCCAATAGTTTTGGAGCCGAAGCGCCTCTCCTCCAGTCCTTCCCGTCTTTCTTTTTCTTCAAGACAGATACCCAATTTTTGCGTTTCTCTTTCTGGAATATAGTTCAAGATGGGTGTCGGACGTCGCATGAAGAAGCAGGGTCCTCCTGAGCCCCTGTCGGAAGCGCATTACGCAAAGCTCAAGCGCAAGGCCGGTCTGCCCGTCGACGATGTACCGGCCGAACCCCGAAACAACAAGAAGCGCAAGGCCGCCAAGGACGAGGAGCCCAAGAGCAACAAGAAGGCTGCCAAGTCCAATGGCGCCGTCAATGGCAAGAAGGCTGCCGCCCCTGCGCCGAAAGCGAACGGAAAGAAGGGCAAGAAGGCCGCTCCGGTACCCGAGGACGAGGACGACATTAGCGATGGCCTGGGAGACGGATTCGGCGACTCTGACATGGACATGGACGAGTTCTCTGACCTTGAAGGCGCTGAAGGTTTGAAGGACGACTTCTTGGACTCGGACGACTCGGTCTACGACTCTGACGATGCCGGCCAGCAAAAGGCCATGTTTTCTGAAGATGAGGACGACTCCGACGCCGAGGAGCAGCTGACGGCTGCCAACATTGCTGGTCTGTCGAGGAAGCTCGACGAGAAGATTGCGCAAGAGGAGGCCGATGCCCAGGCTGAACTCGAGGAGGCTGCCATGCAGACAAACATTGTCGAGGACAAGCCGCATATCTTGGACGATGACGAAGAGGATGGTTTGGCTGCCAAGACCAAGGGGCTGCTTGCGCCGGATCTGCAGCTTCTCAGAACGCGCATCACGGATACGATACGTGTTCTGGGTGACTTTGCCAAGCTGGCCGAGGAGGGCAGAAGCAGAGCCGAGTACACAGCTCAGCTGCTCAAGGACATTTGCGCATACTATGGCTACTCCGAGTACCTGGCAGAGAAGCTTTACAACCTTTTTACACCACAAGAGGCTTTTGCCTTTTTCGAGGCCAACGAGAGCGCAAGACCTATTGTCATCAGAACAAACACTCTGAGAACCCACAGGAGAGATCTAGCCCAGGCTCTGATCAACAGAGGTGTTGTGCTGGAGCCTGTAGGCAAGTGGTCCAAGGTTGGACTGCAAATTTTCGAGAGCAACGTGCCATTGGTAAGTCAACGTTGCCCACTGAAATTGCAATGCGCATTCAACTGACAATGAAAACAGGGTGCAACTCCCGAGTATCTCGCCGGTCACTACATTCTGCAGGCCGCCAGTTCATTCCTGCCCGTCATGGCCCTGGGTCCTCAAGAAGGCGAGCGCGTTCTCGATATGGCCGCTGCTCCCGGTGGAAAGACGACACACATGGCTGCCATGATGAAGAACAAGGGTTGCATCTTTGCCAACGATCCTTCCAAGGCTCGTTCCAAGGGTTTGATTGGAAACATTCACCGTCTCGGCGCCCGCAATGTTGTGGTATGCAACTACGATGCCAGAGACTTCCCAAGGGTGATTGGTGGCTTCGACAGAGTCTTGCTTGATGCTCCTTGCTCGGGTACTGGTGTTATTGCCAAGGATGCTTCGGTCAAGATGAACAAGACAGAAAAGGACTTTATGGTTCTGCCTCATACACAAAAGCAGCTGCTCCTAGCTGCCATTGACAGTGTGAACCACGCCAGCAAGACTGGTGGTTACCTTGTTTAGTAAGTTGTCCTCGGCACTATTTCAAAGCACCTTGTACTAACTAGTCACAGCTCTACATGTTCCGTTACAGTCGAGGAGAATGAGCAGGTTGTCAACTACGTCCTGAGCAGGCGCCCCAACGTAAAGCTCGTTGACACTGAGCTTCCGTTCGGTAAGGAGGGTTTCACAAGCTACGGTGGCAAGCACTTTGACTCGTCGCTGAACCTCACCCGACGATACTACCCCCACACCTACAATGTTGACGGTTTCTTTGTCGCCAAGTTCCACAAGTTTGCCCCCTCGCCTGCTGGAAGTGCTGGCCGCGAGAAGGTGCCAATGGAGAAGAAGGACGTCGAGGAAGAGATCATTGACAAGACACCTATTGCTGCTGATGAGGATACGATTGGTGCCGAGAAGGACGACTTTGGTGGCTTCGATGACGATGAGGATGCCGATTACATGGAGAGAGCCAAGCGCAATGCCATGAGGAGGAGAGGTCTGGACCCAAAGGCTCTGAACAAGGGCAAGACTGAGACGAATGGCACCAAGGAGGCCAAGGAGATCAAGGAGACCAAGGCCGAGAAGACTGAAAAGTCGCCCAAATCTCCCAAGTCACCCAAGTCTGACAAGGTGGAGAAGGCTGAGAAGTCGCCAAAGGCTGAGAAGTCGCCAAAGGCTGCGAAGACGGAAAAGGCAGACAAGTCCCCCAAGGCTGCCAAGACAGAGAAGGCTGACAAGTCTTCAAAGACAGAAAAGGCCGAAGTGAGCAAAAAGGACAAGAAGAAGAGCAAGAAGGCATCGTCATAGATCTGTAGTAGCTACAAGCGATAATCATGGAATTCAACAAAAGTGCAAAGCAGGGTCACCAACCAGAACTGTCGTCTGTCATCACAAAACTCCTGCGCAATTGCAATGTACCGTGTGTCCAGTCATGATGAAATACCGTCTTTCCGGTGTGCTGAGGTACCTTCCGTCCCGTGGTCACCATGAACGTCCGTCCGATAGTGGTAATATTATGTAACTTCCGTCCGATGGTAATAATGTACCTTTGCTCAATCGTAATAATATCTATTCCGTTCAATTGTGCTTATATAAACTCATGTCCAACATTTACCATAAACTTCCGCGCCGACGTAATGATGTGATTTCTGTTCCATGCGTTCATGTCCCTTCCCTCAGATGGCAACCATAAACTTTCGTCCAGTCGTAGTAATGCACCTCCGGCGTCGTTATATACATTTCGTTGAAGTGTGACCATAAACTTCTGTCCGGTCACGATGGTGTGACTTCCGTCCGATTGTAACCATAATCAGTGCAGATGGCTATATGCTAGATTGTCCATGTTTCTCCTGGGCGTCTAACAATGATCGTTCAATCACTTCCCATAGAAAGCGAGAAGGCGCCGGCAGAATTGCTCACCGCTCTAACGCTGGCGGGCACGACAATCGACGCCGGGCAGTGGGGGCCTCGGGCCAGTGAAGGTCTGCAAACGGCCGTGACCCACTCACTGCCCAGCGTGCCCGCCGCCACCGCGCACAATCAGTAGTCCGGATTCTCGTGATATTTTTCTACTATAAATCTGTCCCTTTGATCCCCAATTTCGCCGACCTTTTTTCTTCTTCTTCCCACCAGACATCCCACCCTCCGTCACAGCCTTTCATCCACGTTCACATACATTCACCATCTACTGTGCACATCAAAAAAAAAAAAAAAAAAAAAAAGTTAAAAAATACAAAATAACAAAAAAACTTGAAAAAAAAAAATTCCCCAAACATACAACCCATACAACACACACCACACAGCAACACCGTCAGTCGGTCACCTCAGGTCGTCGAATCGTCGACACCCGTCGCTAGCTATCCCCCTGGTACAGAGTCGGGATCATCTCCCACTGGTTCCGCCGAGACTCCCGGCACACAAATCACGTCGACCATCACCTCAACTTCCATGATCACCATCACCAGCTGCGGACCTGAGTAAGTAGTAGCTATTATCTCCTTGAGCTTCTCCCTCTTGATTCATCTCGCTCACTTGTCATTAGAGTCCACATTCGTCTCCACAACCACCGAGGCGGCCTCCGGGGGCTTTGTTCAACACCGCTGACGGCCTAGTCTGTCACCTTTTGTTTCCACCAAAAAAAAAAAAAAAGAGGCACACATTCTGATATCCACTGTGCAATGCTGCCTGAGCTGTATGTCGACATCATCGATAGAACGGTATGTCTAAGAATTGATTCATTTTCATCATACATGGCAAAGCCTTATATGGTGTTCCACCAAACTTTCGTTCCAAGCTGACTTTGTACTTCAAGGTGTTCACATCGGACGAAAGTCCCTTTTAGGAAAGAACCATACTTCCGTCGCATCTTTTGTCAAGGTAAGACGGAAACTCCATATATTCCCATTATGATTTGAAGGCACCCATTAACATTCGCTTGTCTCTTAGATGCTAAACCACCAACACCAATGACAATACGACGGCAAACCTGCGGGCTCAAGTGCGCTGTCTGCACATGAGGATAATGACAACCGGACTCAACTGAGTCCGCCCCTCCTTTGCAGAGACTCCTCCAAGACCATCAAGGTTTTGGATGGGTTGCCTTCCCCCACTTTGGTCACATGGAGGCAACTGGATACGGTGCCTCGTCGGCGCAGTTCCCTTTCCCCACTACTTTTGGCCCCGACCATGCAAGGCATGGTCAAGCTGTTTCTGTGCATGAAAAGCTGGGAGCCAGAGCACACCAATGGCAGCAACTTGTCGTGCACGGTTGCCGAATATAACACCATGATGCAGGTAATTGGCCAACCAGGGATTTAAGCTACCTTCTCCTCACACGAACCAAGGCATGTTCCGTAATACCGGAAATAACAATATAACGCAAGCCTTCGCATTCCGAGGACATAAGCAATGATTTGACAATAAAGCAATGGCCATGACGAAAAGAAAACAACGAAGCATTGACGATAAAAACACAAAAGAGCAAGGAATGGTTTCACAAAGAGGCTGGCATTTTCAGGAATGGTTTTGAGGAATGGTTTTCAGGAATGGTTTTGAGGAATGGTTTTCAGGAATGGTTTTCAGGAAACTTGAGAAAAGTTTCAGGGTTTTTCTTTTTACAACGATACCCGGTGTGTTGAAATAGTAGCCCAGCCTCCTTCATTTCGGGCTTCATGCTCCACTATAGACTACATACATATACCTTTCTCTACTCCCATAGATACGTACAGGTACTCAACCAACTAATCAATCACTTCACTTACCATAACCTCGTTCATCTCAACACGGTGCACCACGAATGAGCATCACAAGTTACAACAGATTGACAGCAGATCTGTCAGGTGCTGGGCACTGCGCTAGGTACTAGTACAAACATATCCCGCAGCCACAACGGCTTTTCCGCCTTCTTCTCTATACCACACTTTCGTAGCTTCACTTGCCAACCGTAGATTCAGAGATCCTACAAAAGAATTACCACTCTCGTGGCTACATGGCTCGGTAATACACCCGTTCACTTTCTACCATTTGTTTTTCCCGTTACTTCTACGTGTACTGTGTACTTACCAGCAGGTCTCTGACCTTACGGCATCAAGCGTCCGAACATCAACGTCACGCTCTTGATGATTTGCTTGGGTATCATCAGGGAGAAGAAGAGGTGAATCCCCAAGACTTGAAACAACTGCTGAGGTACCAGCAGAAATATATACATGAAAAAATTAACAAGTAGTGATGATTCATTCTGAGCCAGTTCTTCACGGTTAGTCATCTCTTTTTGTGCGTGAGAGAGACAACGTCAAGGGACGGAGTACCAGACCAAGGATACCGAAGCTCTTATCCTATAGAACATCAATATGAAGCCTGGCTGCCAATCGCTCTAAGTATGAGCCATCTACTAAATAGCTCTTTGGCCATGGTCGTGGTCTTCAATTCCTTGGACACCACTTCAGAATGGCGGAAGCAGAAACGTTTGGGTAGTATCGTTACATTCGACGATGAAATGACCGGCGTTGGCTTTCATCACACAAGTCACAGCTTGGCAGCGAGCCAGATAGTCGACGCTATGGTTCGTTCATGGCCAGTCATCAGAACTTTTCGGATCTCGACATCCTCGCAGGTTATGCAGATATTTGCGGCAGCAGGCGAATGTGAGTATTGCCGCCTGCTGTTTTAGATGTGAAGCCTAGTGTTTTCAGTATCGTCCGCAATCAACTATTCTCCAACGGCATCTCGCGTTCACAATGTTCATAATTACAAGAGGCCCCATATGCTTGATTTACCCAACTGCAGCCAAGGAGTCGTTCAAATATGTCCTCATGTGCCCCATTGGCATTAGCCCAATGACTACTAGGTATGGATTGCGGCACAGTACCAGAGCATCCACTATATCCACATCTACATCTGTAAGGCCAGAGGCCTTTAGTTTTGTGCTGGTACACGTGGAAACAACGGCAAGTCAGAATGGAGTAAATGAGTGTGTTTTTCCTAGCTGAGAGCCCCGAGAGTGGTGATCTAAGGGTGATCTCTCAATCTACTTGGGCAAAGTGTAGCTACGATAAGGTACGGTACGGAAAAGTGTTAAAAACAGCAGAAGAGGGCGGAAATTAGGTAGTACCTAGTGCGGTGCCTAGCAGTTAAACAATATCCACATTCACCAGGCAGCGGCGGCCACCCGATATAAATAAAGGCGGTTTCCAGAATTCTTGATGATATTCTCGCACTGATGTAGATAATATCTGCTGCAGATCACCTGTCCGGGCATTTAGATGGCTCTTCAGCACCCCTCTTTCGTACTTGGGTAGAATCAGCCCAGATATTCGTCACCACACGGCATTTATGTACCCCTTAAAATTGCCTCAGGTGAAAGATGCTCGGAAGGGAACCCTACTTCACAAGCTAGAAGTGTGGAAGATTTTATCATAGACCTGGCGGTGTATTCTCTTCCTTGCGAGCGACCATGCCCGTCTCGATCAACATTGTCGACCACCCCGCCGAGGAATTCGACGGATTTGGCGGGGATTTACGAGCGACCACTGTGGAGGAACTCTTCTACGGATCTTGTTCAAAGCATTTCCGGCGAAGCCAAGGGATCATCCAGACCTCATTCACCAAGAGCCAACTCCAAGACGAGCATGTCTTCGCCTCCAGTAACAGCTTTGTCTGGGCAGCATACCACGCTTACAGCAAACATCACCATCTGCGCATCCGACCCGAAGATGTATGGTTTGCCATTATCGCCCAAATTGGCTTCTTTATCAATGCGCATCCCGAGGAGCTTCGAGACTTCCTTGGCGAGCACCAAGGCCAGAAGCATCTGGAAGTTGAGCTCGGCTCTCTCGAGTCTGGGTACTTGGCAACTCTCGTGGCCGACATGATGGCCAAAAATGTCAAGGACCCTGAACTCCGAGACTGGTTGATGCCAGCATTCACCACCACCAAAGCAGAGGACTCCATCGTCGGGTCGATTCTGTTCATGGGCGTACCGAAAAGTCATCCCCACTATCCCGTGACTCTCGACTGCGGATTGCCCTCGGTGACACTGTTTGGAGAAAAGGCAGACTGGGAGAATATCTACAGGCGACTCGACAAGCTCGATTTGATGGGACAAGAGCCCGCTCTATTTGCCAAGCTGCTCCGGCCCATACTGAAGCGAATGATCATGACATTTGACGCCCCTACCAGCCCTCAAGTGATTCGATTCTGGAACACCATAGCCCACCGCCAGGAGCTATCTAGTGGCACAAAGTACATCACGGGGTGGCTGACGGCATTCAGCTTCTGGAACGAACAAGGCAAAGCCAACGTGCAGGAAAAGGAGCCTCTTATGGACGATGTTGCCTACCTTTACATAGAGCTCCACAAGCTCTCAATCTGTCATGCTTTCGTCCCCGTTCTTGTCCATGATAATGAACATGAATACGAAGCAACCATGGTGGCTGGGTCCGTGGGTATACTGGCTAGTCCACACAACTCTCCCCGTCTTCACGATACAATTGGTGGTAGCTTCGAAGAGCCCGATTCTACACCGAATGGAGCGGACACGACGGGCCAGGCTGAATTCACTAGTGAGCCGCCTCGCAATGTAGTCGAACCATTGTCAGGATGGTTCATATATGAAGACGAGCCCGCGACTGCCGCAGAAGCTAGGGCAGCTGAGTATCAGGACTTGTCCATGGAGTTTCAAGATATTATTACAAAATCTTCCTGGACTTCTGAAGACCACGATTGTCTTTCTATTGTTGTTGATCGACTGAATGACTCGTGTTGGGATTGAGGTCTAGATATCGCAATCATGGCCGAAAGTCATAACTATGGTCACATGCATGTAGTCAACCTTTCTTGCTTGGAAAAAAAATTATCTTTTGGTCAAGTTGTGCGGAACTCGAGACATCTTATACGGCGTGATGGAAATGGCTCAAAAGAAGAAGCATTACCGGCTTGCCACATCCACGTGGACGGTAATAAACATCACTCCTCAGTATCCCCCGTCCCGTGTATGAGATTGTGGCTTTCCTTGACCAACGTAATGTGAATCGATAGCAACACTCACATCTCGTTGTCGTCCGAGTCCTTTTTCCTGCGATACCTCTCTCATTCCATGCAGTTCGTATTGGACCACGGCCCTTACAATAATTGTGCCAGATAAAAGGCGTACAAGTATTATGACAGCGTTTCGCAGACTGATGAACTGCATGGTGGAAAGTATAATGGTGCCCATGAATACATGAGCTATGGAACAGAGGTTGACCACTTGTGTGACTGCCAGCTCCAGCATGAGGAGGGATCCTCGCTCGATGCCGCGGACCTCGGGAGCCACCAACGGGCTGCCCCAGCTCGAAGGGGTCAACTCCGTGATCACGCGTGTCCATAGGCTCGGCGGCCAGGTCGTGAACTCGTACGGGGTGCCCTTTTCGCCATATTTCCTCTTGCGCCGGTACAACTGGATCCACATGGCAAGATGCGAGAGCAGCTGGGCCACGACGGGAAATAGCGCCCAGAAAAGCGGCACCACAGTCTCGGGAAGCCCCTGCATCTGCAAAAGCTGGATGGCGGCCCAGCAGACGGACTGATAGGTGAGAAAGTAGACCTCCCAGAGAACATTGGCCACGGCTCCCAGCGCAACAAGGTACTCAATGGTCGTGACGAGAGCCTTGATGGCGACCGAATTGCTGCCCAGGAAGCCGGGCCGTGTGGGCACACGCACAGGCTGACGGAGGCTCGGGAGAGTCTCTGCGTCCATGGGTAGCACCGTCAAGGCGCCAAAACTAAGCAGAGTGGCGAGCACCGGCCGCCGCGATGCAAGGAGACTGAAATGGCTGGTGCTCAGCCCGATCTGGGTCAGCCCGGCCGGCAGAAGACCCAAAACGACCGAAATGGCGCCCATCTCGCTCTGCTGGTACTGCTGCATCTGCTCAATGATGCAATTGTCCAGGAGCACGGCCGACTGGTGCCCTATTGTAGTGTCATCATAGACAGACGTGTTTGTGTACCGTTCATAATAGGCCAGACACTGCGTCTCATTGCTGATAGGTCTATGAATGATGTTATTCTGATAAGTCTTGGGAATCTGCGCGAATTGATGGTATGAACGAGTTATCCTGTATCCGACCACGGGCTGGATGCTGGATATGATCAAGGAGGCGATGAGCCCAGCTCTGGTGAGCAGCACTGTCGTATCAAACAGCATGGTTGTCGCCAACTCGCTCGGGACACTGGAAACGAAGTTTGCTGAAAAAGCAGATCAACAACTGCCAAGCTTTGAGCTGGCGCCCAGAGCTCTTTCCAATGTTAGCTACATCGTGGTCGTCATGTCTAGGTATGGTATCCTTTCAAGTTGCTAAAGTTAACTCGGAGTGCGTGGACAACTCCACTGAACATTTGAAGAGTTGTAATGCAGTTTAGTGGATTAGTATGACTAGGGGTTTGGGAGCGGCACGGCGGCGGATTCATAGGGCCATCCAATGGCGATTGACGAGTTGCGCAGACTGTCTGGGTCCAAATGATATAGTGGGCTCCAATAATGTAGTGGGGTTCTTTTCACTGCAATTTTAACCCTCACAAAGGGGACACCACGACACTGATGGGGGCCAGAAGCCTCCAGTGAAATGTCACAATTCCTTTTGATGCGCCACAGGGTGGCTGTGTAGTACAGCACCCTTCGGGTAACACGACGCAGGGATTATGAAGTCTGTCTATTCACATTTGATGCGCTGCATAGGATCAGTTGCACGATCCGTGTTTCTGTGCTAATTGCGTTCGGATCCAAGATCAATCTTTCAACGATGATGCTCCAGGTCGATTAAGTGTACCTGCATCTTTTTGTCTGTTCATGCCATCTATTCATTCCATGAACAATTTGCGCCTAGTTCGAGTACATGATCTCTCCCCACATCGAATTGGGGCCCCATGAGATGAGGGGCCAGAAACACACAAGCTTTGCCAAGCAAACAATTACCTTAACTCTTCCCTGTAAAGCCTACAGCCGGGCCTTGCTGCTAACATCTAGGATTTCCTGTTCAGTGCCCAGAGTGAATCCAAAGGTCAGGCTCGCACGTCGCCCGGTTTTTACAGCGCCGGCTCTGTGAAGTGGTGGTCATACTCGACGTGAACCAAGCTCAAGAGTCATTTTCAACGAGCGAGACATTCACTGGTAAAAGAGCTGCCTCCATATAGCAATATCTATGCTGATGGAGAATGAGTTTTGTCGATGATAATTTTCAGCTCGCGGCCGACTGTGAAGCCATGTAGCACGCACAGCTTGGAAATGGACGGACGGACATGCAGCCAAGATGTGCTGAAAGAGCCACCTGCAATCTGACTGCAGCTCCGTTGCCGCTCGAATCAAGGTGGCGTACGTGACCCCCCACGGCGCACCACCAATCAGTCCCAATCCTGACAGTCGATTTGCCGTCCCCATGGGGTAAAAGGTCGTCTGCTCATCCCATTTTCACTCACCGACATGGAACTGGCGGCGTCGTGGTAAATGTGTTGACAAGAGCCACTACAGATTGTCTTCGGAGCTGCAGCTTATGGCCCAATGTAGATCTTTCCTAGGATTCCAATACTGCATGCAAGCCATTTCGACGTGTCGCCGCGTCGTTGATGCTTGGCTTGCGCCTGGAGCCGCTGCAACGTCTTTCATGGACATGAGGATACTACGTAGTATCTACAATTGATACTTTTCCCTTGGCATTGTGAGGCCCCCGCCACGCTGGAATGTGAGGGTCTGGTGCCATAAAGAGCACTGGAAGCGCCAGGTCTGAGGCGCCTTATTCGCCGGGTTGGAGAAATATGAGGCTGAGTCGACCCAGGGTCTCGGCTTTTGCCCCTTGCTAATTCTTTCATCAGCTGCCTGATCCAGTCCGGGGTATCTAGGTCTGGTCCTCATTTCAGCTTACGCTTTGCTGCGGGATGTCAAATGCGAGGTCCTTGGTCGAGGACCGGTGAAAGGTCCTCACAGCAAATGGAAAAAGTACCTGGAAGCGTCAGAGAGGATGGTCAGAAATATATTCTTCATGTCCCCTCGAGGCAGATATCTCTTTGCCGTCATGTACTGGACAGAGGCAGATTATTTCTTTTTTTTCCCCCTGAAGTCTCCATCCATTGGCATCAAGCCTTGAATCTGCACGCCTCTCGTAGAGAGCAGACAAGATGAACTGCGGCATCCACGACAACACTACCATTGGGCCGACAGGATATGACGCGCAGTACTGGCAATTCTCCACGTCCATGGCCAAGAATGCGACGTGTAGCGAGCGCACCTATCTCCGTCCCGATACCGCCGGTTCCATCATCCCGTGGCCCTATGCCCTCGTGTGGTTGCTGATACACTTTCCCTTGGTCCTGATCCGCGCCACGCGCTGGCAAAAGGTCCAAGTCCTCTCGCTCGTCCTGGCGGCCACGAGTATCGGCTGGTCCGTCGAGGCCTACCTCAGCACGCAGCGGCGGCCAGACGAGGTCTTGGTCTGGGCGCCACTGACCGTCATACTCGACGTTGGTGCCGTGATGCAGCTTGCATTTCTCATCATGGAGGATTTCGCCGAGCACAAGGGCTTTGTACCACCTTGGTACGCCTTTAGCATTCTCATGGGCGGCTTGCGCAAGCAGCCTCCCAAACCACCTCGATCCCCAAGCTTGAGAAGCCCGACCGAGCCAAAGGTTGCAAATATCAATCACATTGAGCTTGCTGTCGTGACCAATGGCCCAGCAGCAGACACCGGGGTCGCCCAGCTATCAAAGGGAAAGGCCTTTATAGTTGTTCTCTCAATCCTGTTATTCTTTGGCCTCGCCTCTCTCCAAATCATTGGCCTCGTCTCTGCCATCAACGGGCTTGCCGTCAAGGACACGCTGGAATCGACCTGGTGCTCGCCCATGTTTGAGAGCTTCGCCATTGGCGTGCTGGACGGCAACTGCCGCCTGCACAGCGTCTCATCGAGCGCCAGCCGGGGCATTGGGTGCATCAAGTTATCGGGTGCCCAGCAGGCTGGATGGTTGGCAGGGACAGTGGGCGTGCTCATAGCGTCGCTGGTTCTCGAGCTGGCGGATATGCTTGTCCTTACCCTCGTCACTAGCAAGTCCAAATGGCGCGGCGTCAAGATGCGGCGCCCTTGGTGTACCATGTTCTGCGGCGTCGCTATCCTCGTCTTTTACGTCATCTATGGCTTGCTCGAGGCCAGTCGGCTACCCAGTGGTATGCCCGAAGTCGTCTGGGTGTTTCGCAAGGAGCCGAGTCTTGGCATCGAGACCGTATGCCGGGGTATCATAACACCTGCCGGTGTTCGTGGGTCGATTATGGGATGGACAGATGGTTTTCTCTCAAACTGGGGCAGAACTTATTTCGGCTAGTGTAATGTTTCGTATTGAATGATTATATCAATGTATCATTATATCATTATATGGCTTAAAATTACCATGAACCTCCCCGTATAATCTTTTGGTGCATATCATACACTATCTTACAAGACTATTAGAGAGCGCCTGCCTCTTTCTCTCGAACTTCACTTGATTTGTGTAACCTCGCCGCGCATGTATGTCTCTAGGTCATATTCTGAAAGTTTAGCCGGGACGGCTAGTACTTCATCACATCTTACACAAAGATGGAGTCTCAAGAATAGAGGCCGAATGCGCGGACAGTCTCTCACTTTTGGGCGCCTGCCAAAACAAGGTGCCCTTTGTACCCAAAGTCTCGAGCGGCGTGCCAAGGTCTGAAAGGGCAATGAATCGCCCTGTGCTGCCTCTATTGGCAGCATACATCAGCCATGACTTTGAAGTGTTGTAGGGACATACCCTATTTTTGCACTTTTCTGGGCAAAATTCATGGCCGTGGCGCTTCCAGAGCAGCACTCGATATTCGCTCTCAGTAGGTTGTGTCGCCTTTCTCGTCCTTTCCCATGTCCAGTAGGAAGATCATAGCTTCGAGCGCCTCTTCTCAGCAATGGCCAGCTGCAGTTCACCGAGTTTTCCCTGAATGAGGGGCATTGTCGAACTCTTCCAGCCTGGTAAACCGCTCCGGTTGCTTTGAAAGACAGTGCCCACCAAGAAAACCAGGACCAAGACTTCCAAAGCCACAGGCAGGATCATCCATAGCCATCGGACGTGTACAAATGTCTCCGTGGTCCAAGCTATGCCGAGTGCAAACCGATCGATCGATGTCGAGTTCGGATCGGTCGTGTTCCACGTCGAAGAATCGACTGAAAGATCATACATGCGCAGCATTTTGGTCATGGCGGCTGCGACGGAAGCGATTGTGTTGTTCTCGCCGCCCACCTTTTGAGTTCCACTGCCGGAGCCATCCTCACCGAACTCGAAAAGTGCTCCTACGACATCACTCGTGCTCGACTGCGTACCGGTGCCACCAGTGACTGAGCCTGTAAAGTAACTCTGCAGGTTCAATGTCAGTAATCTTTACTCACTGTCGCAAGGTGCTTCCAGGGGACGGCACCCAAAATCTGGGGGAATACGAACCGAGAGGTGCATGCTCACGGCAAGCCATGCCGTAGCGCCGAACCAGTACTCTGTGTCCGAGTTCGGCACGGAAATGGTAATGTTTTCACTCATCACCGGATTCTCGTCGCCCGTGTAAGTTGACACTAGGGTTTCAGTAAAGACGCCGTTGGTCACATTCCCCTGATATTCGTTGACGCAAACGTACAGCACGCACTCATTCGAGACAACTCCGAGGAGTGTTGACGACGAGAGATCGTGGAGGCCACGCATGGTGGATACTACGCCGATGGTTGATTGGGAGTTGTTGTAAGCGAGCGATTCATATTCTCCTGACGAGTTCATATATGCCTGTCCTCGCCGTGTACCGTCAAACGCCATACCATTGGGCAGTGTATAGTTGCAGGTGGCGGGGAGAGTTCCGAACTGCTCGCCACAATTTGAGGTGATTTGCGAGGTCGTGTTGGCACACTTGCTGCAGACTCCGAGCGTGTAGTATGTAGAAGACCATGTGCAATTGCCGGTGGCACAAGAAGCCGAAATCGTAAAATCATTCTGTGGCTCGTCGGATGTATCAAAGAGGCCATTGTTAATTGCTGCCTTCATGCTCAAGGTAGGTTCTCTTGTCGACATGATACCACCATAGGCGTAATCACTGTAGTTTGCCACAATTGGAACAGACGAGTTTGTATATTCCGAGATGACAGGTTGCTTCTCGTACACGACCACTTGCTGCACAAAAGGGTCGACAGCGAGCAAAATAATGGTGATAATGGCGCCCAACTTGCCCAGATGAATGCCGCGGGTAGAGACTAAAAGCTTCGCACTACCCCATGTGCCACGACTAGCTTCGTCAAAGGTCTGAATGTCGCGCACAGCGCCGGCCTTGCGATACCACAGCCACTTGAGCTGACTGATACCCTCAGCTACAGGGATAGCAGCAGCAGCCTTCATTATCGTCGTCATGAAGGAGATGAAAGAGTTGAGCGTAATGTCCATCGGCCACGTTGGTAGAGGCTTGCCGTCTGTCATGGCCACTGTCGCAATAACCACAGCCAGGGCAATAGCACTGGCGATCCATGCCACACCCTCCACGATCCACCAGTTGCTGCTCGGCTTGGCCACGGGCTCGAGCCGTTGCGGCAACTCCTCGGGTATCGTGTCTCTTGGTTTGGCGTCCATGGTCGCGACAACTGGAGTGGAAATGGGACTATCGTCTACTCTGGTCGATCCGGTCAGAGTTCTCTGGGGTTTCATTTCATTGAGTTCAACGTAGTGCCCGGCGATACGGTCCAAGGGCGAAGGTGCCTCGAGGTCAAACGGCGGCGGAGCTGGCATCTCGACCGCAAAAGAAAAGACCAAACAAAATGAGTGACGATATTATATATATGTATAAGTGAGAGAGAAATGAGCGACACAAGATGGTATACAATACCAATAGGTAATCAGATTGTGAGTTTGATTCACCGTCTCTTAGTCCAAGGAAAGAATGCCGAGTTCATAGCGACCATTAGGAGGCTAGAGTCGGTGGTTGTCAAGACTTCAAAGACATGCCGGGGAGCCACTCCTCCTGAGGACAAGCATAGGGCGACGGGCATCTTTTGAGTTTTTCTGGATCATTCACGTCAAAAAGGCGGGTCGAGGTCAAATTGTGTAATTTGACGATGCCGATCTCATGGCAGATTCCTTAGTCGGCACACCAGCGGCACGATGGCAGGTGCCTAGTGGCCGACTGTGCGCTAGCCTCTAGGTACTGCTCAGGCTTGTCAGGGCCACACTGGCGCGAGCCAAAGGAGGAAGAAGAAAAAAAAACAAAGTTCCGCAATGGGGAGGCCGAAATTCAGTGGATCGCGACAGCCAGCAATTATGGAGCTCGAGCCTCCAGTGCCCGCCCAGTTCGCCATGTCAATCCCAACATTCATCCCCAGTTTACCAGTGTCGCCAGAGCCAAGGCTCCGGCTTTCGAAGTCGAAAACCGGGGCTTTGCTTCCGATCAACGCCGAAGCTCAGGCCCGCTGTCTGCCTGTGAAGACAACCAAGTTTGGCACATCACTGCGGAACTGACGATCAGTCGACTTCCAGCTGTTCGGTGTACCGGAACACCGAGTGGCCCTGTTAGTGCGAGTCATGGTGCAATAAGAGTGAGGCAATCCAGTGAATGATCATCAAAAATCGCTAGGGTCACGATTTGCCAATGTCAAGGAACAGAATCCTTCAAATATGGTAACAACTCAATCGATCCTACCACCACCCAGTTGATCCTGTCAATTATATAAGCAACAAAGCGATTTCCATAGTGCAGAGCGCTAGTGCAGGTGTATAAATTCAATCCACACCGAGGGAACGTTGCTAACCTTAGCGGACTCAATTCTACCAATGAAAATGCCCTCTTTTGCAGAATTCGCCGGTGACATCTGGAGTAAATACTGGGTCTTTTACCCAGGGGTTCGGGAAAAAAACAGCCGCAAAAGTTCCTGTCCAGTCAGGCCAGTGTCTGGCAAATTGAACAGCCCAGATGTTTGACAGCGGCCCCCACGATTCGAATGCTGTTTGCTCGTATTCAGTTTGGAGTTAAACTTTACATGGTAAAAGATCTGCGACGGTTCTGAAACATCCCAGCCGTCGATCAACCGTTTACGATGACATTGCCGTTCCCTTGCATGCTTTTTGAGCACGGCATTTTGAAAGAGTGTCGGACAATAAAACCACCAAGTCGGGCAGGGATAACTGCAATAGTGTTCTCAAAAATTACTGCAAGTGGAAAACAGGACATGTGACCCGTCGTTTGATGATATGATGGGTGCTTTTACGGAACTCCATTCATGTCGTTCAGCGTGCAATCACCAACAGAATCATCTCGATCTGGATATGGAGGTTCATTTCTCTCATGTGGTGTCTTTCGGCCACGATAACTCAACCAGCGAGTACCGGCAGCCAGACATTTTGCAATGGGTCCTCAATGGTCTCTACTGGTCAATGTCTGGCACCTAGAGCAGCCATTTTGGACATCACAAATAGCAATGGGGTCGATCGGCATTGGGGACTTGTCCGCCCAGTCGCGGATAGCTGCCCAAATTTGATGCCTTGAAAATTGTCTTGAGCCCAAGCTTTTTGAGGAGGACGTTTAGCACCAGCAAAACTCCCAAGTGTGAGCGGCGAAGTTGGATCAAGCTTTGCTAGAGTTTAAAGTATTCTCTCGTCTTGTCTTGGCTTCGCTCGCGCTTGTACTACTTGGTATAAACGATGCAGGCTTGCCAGCATCAAAGTCCGACTTGTCAAAGTAGGCGCACAGCCAGAATCCGGTTGATGCTCCCAGGCTTTGGCGCCTCGCTATTGTATCCAAGATATCCACACAAATGCCTGCCTGATTGGCGATGCAATATTGTCGCCGAGCCTGCTGATCATTTTCGATACGCGGTCTACATGGATTGGTTGTTTGTGTTGCTCCTTTCCAGTAGCCTTGTATTGAGTTGCTAAAGCTCAAGCTCTTCTCATCCTATAAGTATGCTCGTCTGCTCTCCTTCTTATTTTTTTATCTCCTCTTTCCTACTTGAATAATGATGCAGTCAATCGGAATGCGCCTAGAAAAGCCTATGGTATTTCCAGACACACCTTCATATGTCCCCTGTGATTCCACTTGCATCACAATGGCTACCCACCAAGCGGAACAGCGCACCCGTGGGCTTGCTACCGAAAACACAATTTGTTCAATTACGTGCATGTCTGTCAAGTGACAACTCGAGTTGGAGTTCTCTAGATTTACATGATTGAAACTCCCCAATCAGTACATCCGTTTATCTTTTACCACCATGCCAGATCGCGTTCTCATTGGTGAAGTCAGAACATCTCCATCTTCTTTCTCATCTTCCCCCTCCTCATCTACAAAGACGACAGGATCCCGTTGGTTGCCTTTCCGGTCAGTTGAATACCCATCAGCGTCAGTATTAGTCAACCGCACGAGCTGTTTTGTCGGGTTGGGGGTTCTCTTTTTTCTTGTTAGATTGCTTTAGCTAGTGCAGTTACTTCAGCAGGCGCTCTGCAGTATCGCTAGCCTCGATAATTTCCGCCTGTCTCTAATCGAACAGTTGAGCCTTTTCTTCTTATAAACAACACACACACACACAGGTCGCTAGAGAGTTTCCATCGGCAATGTCGATGATTTAATGGCCATTCTTGGGTATAGTTGGCCCATAAGCCTATGTACAGAATACCAGATCGCGCCATTGGTCGGCGAGGTAGTATTCTTAACCCACCTAGACTTTAGTATGGCGAAGTATCGACAGGACCTCTTTCTCGAGAAATGCAGTCATGTTTCTAGTTTATGCAATTGAGACGAAGAAATGTTGGAAGGAAGCTGCGGCCCGAGCCGGTCTAAGATCTAGGCCGATTTTACATGTAGGCCAGCTCGAGACGCCGACCGTACTTGCCAAAGAGATGGCCACGACCTCTTTTTAAGACGATCTTGTCAGGTCTCATTTGGTTCGATTTATTGGTCTATCAACTTGCACGTACTGATCTCGTTCATCACTACCTGGATATCATGCATGTATGTCTCCTCGCCAAAGAATCTCCAGTCACAACCCAGATCTCATGGCGACTAGGACTTTATTCTCAAGTTCTTGACTCGACATTTGAGTGAGAGGCGAGGGACACACTGTTTATTCGTAAATATACATATGAATAATAAAGTAATAGCACTTCTTTCTAGAAAGGGTGCTAACACGTCGGCGCCTTCTACAGATCGCCAAGCAGCCCAGTTTAGACACTAATCGCAAATCAGGGTGCGACTATGCTGTGCGTCCCGAACTGCAATGCACGAAATTTGTTGAAGTCAGAAGGAGAGAACTTTATCCTTGCGATGGAATCTCTGTTGACTATATTTATGATTAGTCGATCCCTGGGTAACGTGTCTATCTTTCCATCCAGATTGCTGGGAATTGATCCCTCTGTATTCCATCCCCACTGTAAGCAATCCTTCAAAATGCTTGTTGGCTGGGGTAAAGAGTCGTACACTAAACCAAGTACAGCGACGTCTGCCCTATTTGGGCTTGGCGCGACCACTATAGGACGGCGCAGTGCAGCATTACAACGGGTATCTCCAGCGCCAGAGCAGCTAAGCGACCACTGAGGCTTGAATAGGGCCCTGAATTGGCCAACGCAAGCGGCCGCAAGCTGTGACCCGGGTGAGAGTCCGAATGCGAGTACAAGCACCGCCCTATCAAGGACCCGATTGCAGTGAATCCTACCTTGTTTTGCGAACTGCCCAAATTGATATATAATGGTACAAGATGGAAGGTCATCGCCAAGAAAAATGTTTCTGCATAATCAAATCCCTCTGCTGAGCTTGTTTTGACTTCATCTCATCATTTTCCATCTGTCCTTGTTTAGCTTGGCCAGTATGCATTTCTCTAGCAGAAGTCGACTTATACCGGGCCTACTGGCTCTCGCCTCAACAAGCGCAGCCCAGACGGTAAACATTGCCAATGGTACGATACAAGGAGGGAAATGCAACAGAACAGACTCTTATTATTTCTCTTCGATTCCTTATGCTCTTCCGCCTGTCGATGACTTGCGATTCAAGGCACCACAACCTCACGTCCAAGCATACAATGGAACCTTGGACGCGACGGTAGCCCCCGCTTCATGTATACAGTTTAGCACATTATTCGCCGAATCCAATACGCAAAGTGAAGACTGGTAAGATATTCCGTGCTCTTCTATTGCTTTCGGAGACATCATCTCTGACAATTTCCTTGCAGTCTGTACCTCAATATCTGGACCCCTAGCACAGCGACACGCGACTCGAAGCTGCCGGTAAAGGTGTGGCTATATGGTGGCGGAAACGAAGCCGGAGGTGTCTCGGACCCAACTTATGACGGCTGCTATGCCACCTCGGACTCCATCATCGTGTCTATCAATTATCGTGTTGGACCCCTGGGCTTTCTCGCGCTCGAGAGCTTGGGTCTGAACGGCAACTTTGGTCTCCAAGACCAATTGCTGGGTCTTGAATGGATCCAAGAGAACATTGAGTCGTTTGGAGGTGACCCGGTGCGTATATCCAGTCTAGATGGCAGTCAAAGCACCCAGAGCACTAATCATTGCACGTCAAACAGACCAAAGTCCTCTTGTTTGGTCAATCTGCCGGCGCCATTGATGTCTATGTCATAAGCACCCTTCCTCAAGCGACTGAGCTGATCAGCTCAGTGGCTCTAGAGTCTGGTGGCGGACGGGATCCTCCCACAGTGAACAAAGCCCAGCAGTGGCAGCAGCACTTTCTCGATCAACTCAACTGCACTACTCCTGATGTAGGCATTCCCTAGCTTTTCACTTATTCAATGTAAATTTACTAACAATCGTTGACAGCTCGACTGTGTCCTTGCAGCCTCGACTTCAGAGCTGGTCGTAGCAGAAGCTGCCATGCCCGACGAACAAGCCCCAGGGGCCACCACACCGTTCACAGCTGAAGGTGCGCGAGCAAACTGGGGTCCTCTCGTCGATGGCAACATTCTCCCCGAGACCCCCACGGCTGTTGGCAACAAGGTTCCCGCCATCTTTGGCTTCAACTCGGAAGAGGGTACTCTATTCGTGTTTGGCGACTACCAGGAGGAGTCCCTCTCGCTGACGCAGGCCGACTATGACGTGTTCCTCGAGTACAACTTTGGGCCCCTAGCATCGGTGGTCAATCAAACGTACTCGGTGTCCAAATTCAACAGCACCATTGCGCCCGTCTTTGCGGCCATGTCCACGGTCCTCGGCGAGGTCTCGTACAAGTGCCCGGCTCATCGTGCTTTGCTCAAGTCCCGGGAGATTGGCGTGCCGGTCTGGTCCTACGAGTTCAGCCACACCCCGAGCTGCGCCTGGTACGGCGCCATCCCAGAGAGCATTCTCGAATACGTCGGCGCGACGCACACGGCCGAGATCCCGTTTGTCTTCAACACGACCCACAACATGCCTCTACCCGACGGTAACTGCACCTTTACAAACGCAGAACAGGCTCTTTCGGCCTCCATGAGCGAGGCATGGACTAGCATGGCCGAGTTCGGCCGCCCTGCTGACGAGACGGTCTGGCCTCAGTGGACGAGGAACACCTCTGCCGGTGTAAATATTGATGAGAGCATGGTCGTGGGTACTGTGGATTATACCAGCTGCCTGTTTTGGGACGCCATTTATGAAAAGTCGGTCGAAATTGCCAACGCTTCGTAATTTCCTCGCCCATCGGCTCACTGGATTGCCCTTTCTTGTATATAATTGAGCATAGACCAATATAGTTAGTAGACGGCTACCTTGGCTCGATATCTGAGCCACGTGCATGCATCTACCTACCTCGGTATCCTTTGGATATTCACATCGCTGAATATTTGTTTTTAGAGTATCCCACACGTGAAACATTAGCCAGGTCAATCTCAACTCGGGGCCAGAAGCAAACAGAGGTAGAACATATAGTTTGGGGAAGCGGGGCTGCAGAAAAGGAAAACGGATTCCGTAGAGTCTAGTGTCAAAGTTGATATGTCTCGCCGCGATGGTCAACTAATAGTCATGAATCGTCCCTCGTTGCTTTACTCGGAATTAATCAAATTGTCCCAATTTGATATCTGCTCATCATGAAAAAGACCAACATCACCAATGTCCTCATCTTTGACGGAGAAAAGGTCACGGGCCCCGGCAGCGTGGTCATTGAAGGCGGCTTAATAGGCGACGACGCAACAGGAGCAGAGACCATTGACGGGACTGGATGTATGATTATGCCCGGACTGATCGATACCCATGTGCACATTGCCAAGGAATCTGAGCTGCGGAATTGCACCAAGTTTGGTGTCACCACAGTCTGCGATCTCGGCGCCTATCCAAAGCAACTCTTTGAGGAAATGAAGAGCGTCCAAGGGACGACCGAATATCTCTCCTCCGGACTGGCTGCGTTTCCACCACAGAGCATGCATGCTCACTTCCATGCCAAACTAGACAAGGACATGTCTCTCAAGGGCGAGGAAGATGCGGCAGACTGGGTCTCTGCTCGAGTCGCCGAGGGGGTGGACTTTATCAAGATCATTGCCGACGAGCCCGGCTTCAGCCAAGCGTGCCTTGATAAGCTCGTGGCCGAGTCCAAGGCGGCGGGCAAGATTACCATTGCCCACGGAACGCATTACACTGCGTATGAGAGGAGTTTGAAAGCTGGGTTCGATATCTTGACCCATGTACCGCTGGAGAAGCCTCTGGACGAAACAATTGTGGGCCGAATGGTAGCCCAACGTACGGTCTCGTCGCCGACGCTGGCCATGATGAAACTCATGGTGGACAATGACCACTTTACACTCCCGGACGCTGATTATGAAAATTGTTTGAGGGGCGTCGCGGCCATGTACGAAGCGGGCGTGCCCATACTTGTGGGAACGGATTCCAATCTCATGGACATGCCAATCCACCACGGTTCGGGTCTGCATGATGAGATGGCGTTGCTGGTCGAAGCGGGTCTGTCACCAATAGATGTACTAAAAGGGGCAACATCACTCGCCGCGCACCATTTCAGACTACGTGATCGTGGAAGGATCGTGGTCGGTCTCAAGGCAGATCTCGTGCTGGTGGAGGGCAACCCGACCAAGATTATTAGTGACTCGAAGAGGATTCGTGCAGTTTGGAAAGACGGAGTCAAACAACGATGAGGATGAGAAGCGGTACATCTTGCTCATTGAAAGAATGGTTTTCAAGTGTCTTTGGAGTACGTAGTCGGAGTTGTCATTTTGTATGCTGCGGAAAACGTTGGCATAAGAATGCAAAGAGTCGGAACCGAAATGCGGGGATGTTCAGCTTTTATGGCTTTGACTAAGACCTGCCTCTGTGGACTCGACCGCCAATCTGAAATCGTTTTTTCTCTTTCTTCTTTTCTTAGGAGTGATACAAAGACATTATTATTATTTTCTTCACGCGCACATCGATTGTAGTCTTTTCCGTAGCGCATCTATTAATTTGACATTTAAAGTGTCAAATGAACATGACAACTTCAAATTCAACCACGCAAGCATCTTGCCTTTGTGGCGCCATCAAGTTCCAATACACCGGACCACCACTCGGTGTAGCCACAGAGCTATGTCACTGCGTCTCGTGCCAAAAGTGGACTGGCAGCGCCTTTACATCCAACGTGACCATTGAAAAGCCCTTGCTTCATATCATTCAGGGCGAGCCATCCCGGTACACCACGACGGGGCTCTCGGGGAACAAGATCCACTTTGTATTTTGCGGCGACTGCGGAAGCGGATTGTGGAATGAGCCCGAGGCGACGCCGCAATGGATCTGTATCAAGGCCGGCACGATTGACGATGCCTGGGTCCGGAGTCTGGGTACGGTACCGCTCCCCGGCCCACAACCTGAAGACGGAGCCAAGTCTGCAAAGCATGTCGACGTCGAGTTCTTTATCAAAGATCGCGTGGGTTATCAAGCGGCATGTCCCGGGGCAAAGCAGGAAGAAAAGATGTGAATTCAATTCGACCGTCTCGTCGTTCCTCGGGTAGGGGTAGGTCTTGTTTCATTCTAGGACTTTGATCTCCAGTCAGACTGCTGCTCTGATTCATTTACACTGACATTATGTATGTGGCAGAAACAAATATGACACAACGTGTCTCGGGACATTGCTGCATATGTGGTATTCACCAATCTGCGAGCTAAGATGCCAGCTCTTCTCGAATTGGGATTGCACCGAGGCTATGCAAGGATGCGTGATGAGTCAAATGTCCTGGAATATGATTTTACATGGTCAAGAAACACACATTTTAGGATGTAAAGTTTGTCATGGAAAGCAAAGCCTTCCAGTCCCCGGTGGTGAGGAATAAAGTACTGGCATCTAAACAAGGTTTGGCGCTACTTTCTGACGATAGATGCAAAAGTCCACTTGGTGTCCTCTCTATAGTCTTTTTTTCGCAAGCATTGACCTACTCTAGCGTCGTCGAAAAAAATGCTTCAAACTACCACCATGCGCCGGTTGACTCAGTTGGGCTGGGGCAGGCATCCACCCATAAGTGCCGGGTTGCCGTTTCCTAAAGTCTCGACTCGAGACAAGATCTTGTCCCTGACCTGTTGCGAGGTTCAAAGAAAAACGTTTAGGATCACGAGCATGTGAACTTCAACCTCATCCGCCATTTTTTGCATTACATACCGCTTACTCGGCGATTGCCCACATGGATGCTCAATCGAGACCATGGCGGATAATCAATCCTGCGACTATCTCATCTACCACGGCGCGGTCGTGAAGCCCAATTCGGACATTTCAGGGATAGGCGTCATATTGGCCTTTGTCCTGAGCGCATACGTTACCTTTATCGCAATCCTAGCCGCCTATCTGTTCGGCCTCGTCGACGAGGAGCTACTCAACGAGGTCGACCGCCGCATCTTTCAGATCCACCCGTATCGGTCCGGCACGCCCTCCTCGAGAGGTCCCCGGGGGCGGGTGTACAGATGCGTACGACATGTCATCATCATCCTTAGCGACCAGCAAATGTTTACGGGCATCGCCATCATGAGCGCCGGCTTTCGTGGCCTGCAGAGCCGGGAGATTTCCGTCTACCACTTCCAGATTGTGCTGTACCTCGCCTGGATGTCGAGCAGCGTGCATCTCTCGGCCGTGACCCTGCTCGGGTCCTACTTGCGACGGCATAGGGGTATGCTGTTCTGGCGATTTGCCGGTATGCTCGTCCTTCTGGTCATGCTGATTGTCGCCCTCGTCCCGACCATCAGCAATGATTGGGGCATTTACTGGTGGGACGGTATGCTCGACGGGAGGACGGGATGGGCGATCCCGGCGTACTGCTTCTGGGGAGAGCTATGGGGAGACGGTGTTGGACCAGATGCGCCGTTGGGCTTTGTCATCCTGGCGGTCAGTTACCTGTGGAAGATGGGTGCGCTCTTTGAGACGACTACCGGAGCGTACCGCAGCTATCTCAAGAATCCCATCGAAGACGCTATACTCGGATCCTTGACATATCCGGCAACCAAATACCGCGACAGTCAAATATCCTGGTTCTGGTTGTGGATCTTCCGTCTCGCGCTTGGAATTGCTCTTCCAACCATGGCCATCGTCGAGTGTGCGTCTTCATTTGCAGCATCTCTGTGGCTGTCTCTGACCAGTCTTCTCTACGGCACTATTCAAATATTCGTCCCGCGCGGACAAATGATCCCATTGACTGGGTCTAGTGAAAGCTCCTGGGGATTTGGACAATTGGTGCCGCTTATTCTTCTCATCCAGCCCGTGGGAGTACTATTTGAGCATCTGCACTCGCAAAACAAGAGTAATGAAAGCCAGAATGGAGACCACGCTACTGGACATGACACTATTCGAGACGCAATAGAAGCGGCGCCTGCCATCCCGGGTAGTCAAAAACCATCATTACTAGAAATACTTGTCAACAAACGCGACGAAGAGTTCCAAAAAGGTCACAGCCGACACAAGGCCATCTGGAAATTGCTCTACTCGAGCAAACTGTTTGCCATGATGGTCTACCTCGTGCAATTGGCCATCGCCGCCATTTGCGCAGTAGTCTTTTACTTTGACGCTCTCACCATTGGAAATGTGCGTTCTGACAACTGGTCATTTATACTTGTTGCCCTTGCAGCCTTCTTGGGCGCCGGACTAGTGTCTAGTATCGTCCTGGCGCCGTTGAGCGTGACTGGGCGGCGTCCTCGAAAAATGAATGGGGAACTACCGGTTGTTCGAGGGAATGAACGACTCCTTGAACTATCACATGTTCGCACTTGAGCACTGTTGCAGTAAAAAGAAGAAAAGATCGAGAATTTTGTACTAGAAAATAGCCTCTAAGTATATGTGTTCAATCGTTGCAACCATCTCATTCCGCTCATCGAGAATGACAGCCTCACTTTTGGACTTGGCACGTCGCCGTCGCAACTATGGACGAGTCAGACTCTGAAGTTGCCGTCAAAGTAACTACAGCGGAATCAGCCGCATCCTCTGAAGATGCTGCGACAGCTACCTTGGCATCGGCCGAGGCACCAAACTTGGCCGTAACAAGTTCGTTGGGTAATTGTACAGTCCATCCATCTCCTTGAACCGTCGCATTGAGGCGGTAAATATCCGAGTCAAGGTAGGACGTGACATCATCCGGGTGTCCATTCTCGCTCTCAACATAGGTTCCGTTGTTTGTCAATGAAAACGTGCACAAGAGGCCGTCGGTCGTGGCATCCTCGCCTTGTGCTGTGCCTTCATCGAGAGCTGCGCCGTGTGTGCTGGGTCCAGCTGTACCCGTGACTGAGCGTACTCCAATGGTATATGAAAGGACACCAGTTTCATCGCGGTTAATGTTGATAATGTAAAAGTGCAAATCATTCGCTTCGTCGACATACTCAAACTCGCTGCCAGACCTCGTGCCCGCATGGAACAGGGCATCCAGAAGCTGGCGATAATCACCCAAGGTGATATACGCCGCCGTGCCGTTGGGGCGGTAAAAGTCAATCAACTCGATATCCTGGGGGTTCGCATCGATAACCCAGACAAAGGGCTGCGAGTCCAGCTCCTTGGTCTTGCTGAGCATGACGCCGTGGTCGGGCTGGAACGAGTCGGCGCCCATGCGGTCGACGACCTCGACGTGGTAGTGGTCGTAGCCGCCGCCGTCGCAAAACACGTCGGTCGCGACGCTGCAGTTGGGCGACAGGTCGGCGTCCATGTTGACGCGCAGGCCAATGAGGCCGTCCTCGCCCGTCACGACGGCGCGGGCCGTCACCTCGGCCACGATGAGCCCAGAGTCCACCAGCGCCTCGCGCGAGAGGTGCAAAATCGTCGTGTTGCTAATCAGCCCCAGCTGCGCCTTGTCTCGGACCGTGTGCAGAGATCCCATGGACCCTCCCTGGAGAGCGGGAATCTGCCATCGAGAGTGAGGTCCTCCAGGCCCGTTGAAACTTCCTCGGTCCATCATGGAGAAGGGGCCCGAGTAGGCACGGCGAAGCGGTACTCCGTACGGGTTGTTGTAGTTGTCGCCGATATCGAGAAGATGGCTGAGCTCGTGAGCATATGTAGACATGCCAGAGCTTTCAGCCTGAGTCGACGATCCGTCTCCCGCATTTGGCCAGGTGTTGGATGCTGCAGCCCACGATGTCCAGTCGACATACCTCGTCTTGGACCAGTTTGTCGCATTGGCGGCCGCCTCATCGGGAGGACCAAACGCGTCGGGAACGTCCTCCTTGGTCAAGAACTTCATCTCGCCAAACTCTTGCCACGTCGACGACTCATCCTGTCCGGCGGAGAGGATAAAGACGAGCTCAAACGAGTCAGCCGTCTCGTTGCCGACATCTGCGCGCCACAGTCCCAACGCATCCGTGCGAATGTCGAGGTTGCACGTTCCCGCTTCCGGACAGCCACCAAGATTCATATCAGCCGAGATGCCGTACTGGTATGCCAGAGACGGCATCTCGTAGGCGCCAAACACGGTCAGGTCAACGCCATATCGGCCGTGCGAGTCGCCCATCCAGTATTCGTGTAGCGTGTGCCCGTTGTTCAAGTCGTTTGGCGTGTTTAGCAGATCCCGGTAGTAGGCCGGCACTTCGTCTCGCGTCAGCCCCGATACCAACGGCAGTGGATTGCCGTAAATGGTGGACTCTGCGGGCTGCGTGACGACAAAGGGCCGGTCCGAGTAGTCAATCGTCACCAGGGCAATGTTGAAGTTTCGCTCCGAGCCTTTTCGCGTGGGATCGCTCCAGTTGGTTCCCGGTGGCGAGACAAAATCTGCCCAAGTCATGTTGTCTGGGTTGACCCAGTTCTGGGGATCAATGACATCAAACGGGGTTGAAGCGAGCTTCTTGCTCAAGACAACCACCTCGGACTCTGCTACAGGTGCGGCATTGGATTTGTTGTAAAGAGTCGCGATGGCCCCAAGTGACGCCTGGAGGCGATAAGTCCAACGAGACGACCCCATGATGTCTGCGGCTATCCAGACTTCAACGACTGACTACCCAGCTAGAAATACAGCAACGTCCTTGCAACAAGCGCAGGGAGGCTGCGAGGGGTCCTCGAGGACATTTTTGTAGTCTGCGGTAAACCCGAAAATGTTTGCTTCGGGTAGCACAGATCTTAAGTGCGGCACGCCTGTGTGCAGAAAATGGTTGCCTGAACAAGACATGCCAAGACAAACTAATCTGAGGTGATCACGAGCGATGCTACCACCTACTTATAACAAGAGGGTAAGTCATGTTCAGATCAGTGAGTAGAGGCAGCGCCTCATCTCCGAGTGGACGGCTACACTCACCGATCTAGAAGCCCCCTGCCCTGTCTTTTCGACCTTCCCCTCTGGGCTGGTTCTATAAGACGGCGAACGCGGGGCGAGGCTTGGCTGCAGGGGCCGAGAACCGCCCCGGCCTTATTTGAACAACCATGTTGAGCGAGAATTTCACAATCCTTTCTTTGTTATTCATAATTCTCTGATTCATCATTCTGATAACATCTAATGTGAAGGATCTTTTCATACTCGAGGTGAATTCGGGGATATTACAGGGACCGATACTGGTAAACCCTCAGCGGCCCGCAATGAATGGTCAAGGACTCAAGGTTTGCCGACACCTTGACAGCACTATCCAGCAATTTCCTCCCATCCAACTACCTTGAAGGTCGAGTGGTCGTGGGAGCCGGAAGTGCAGACTTTTTTGCTTTCCTGCGTGATGTCCAGCCAGCGTGCTCAGAGAACACCATGTTATTACCCTCGACGCCGTCGCCTTGAACGAATGACTTGTGACGATTCAGTGGAATGTGATTGATCCGATAGTCCCAAATAGCTGCGTACATGATACGGTACGACGCAAACCCAAACACAATCCCAATGATAGCACCAGCGACAATGTCATACCAGTTATGACTATTGTCCACACTCAATGATCCACCAACCAGTGTTGCCACAAGGATAGGGACAAAGATCAGTACCAACTTCCACATGGCAGGCTGGTAGTTGGAAAAGACCTTGAGCTTGGCATTGAGATATAAAAACAGGAAAACCATGCCTGAAAACACGGTACTCGCGTGACCGCTGGGAAAGCTCTGCATGGCGTTGTCCAAGGCCGCTTTAGAAGTGGTTCTGCAGACATCTCGCGAAAACATGTAGTCCTGGTAACCAACGCCATTGAGGCCCGATGAGTCGAATAGTTCGTGGCTCAAGGCCCTGTTGATGTCCGGATTGCAGACGTCGTAAAAGAATGGACGCAGCCCTCCGACTATCCACTTGAGTGACACCTGAAAGGCAGAAGACAAGATGATAGCATAGACCACGCCCATGATCCCATTGTTGGTGTCCCAGAAGCTGGTCACTCTGATCTGAGCGAGGAGTATGATGGCAATCGGGACAAGCAAGGCCAGAATGCCAGCCAGCCACGACGAGATGTACTGAGAACGATACGGATATGCGAATTGAGGGTAGATGATCTCGCTACCATCTCTAATTGTCAGGGGGAATCTGTGAGTTAAGATGTGTCAGCTTCTTGTATGTTGCGTGGATGAAATGATGCTCTGGCGAGATGGCCATGTTCAAGAGCATCTTGTCCCTTGGTACAGAGATACGAGATGGAGTACGGAGATTGCCACAACTGGAAACTCAGAAAAGAACAGCAGACCGAAAGTAGGGGATTATAGTCCAGGCACTCACAATCGGGTAGCTGCTGGGCCGAGGCGGAACACTACCAACGCGTAAGCCCCAACCACGGCCATCGTCAAAATGTCTACGATGGTAATCTTTAGCCATTGAAGAAAAGTCGGCCGCTTTTCAACGCTGTACATTGTCGATTGCGTCATGTTGCGAGCTTGACCCTTGGTAAAAACAGCTGTAATTCTGCTTGCTGGGAATGATGACTGTTTCCAATAATGTGCAATCACTTCAGGGGCCGTAAATCAATGTTTGGGTTAAGGTTGAAAGGTATAAGAAGAAAACAGAAAGTGGGTAGACGCCGGGTGTTTCTTGTGGACATTCCCCGCCTCCAGCTTCCCGTAGTCATTGTCATTCTTTCCTCAAAGTGACACGAACTAAATAACTTTGCTGTTGCGTTACTGCCAGTCGAAGAGTCCCACCGTGGCTACCGGACAAACAATCTTCTTCACTTGGCCGTCGTTGCGCTACGGCAATGGGTAGACAAGACAGCCTGCAAACAGGTCGCGACTGCAACGAGACTGACTTGAGCAAGCTCATATATGCCTGATTAAGTGGTCAAGTCTCGGAATGGACAGGACAACATCAGCCTCTTCAGTGATCTGATACCAAATGATGTGTGCGTTTCTTCGCGTGCTCGCCTGTCACTCCGTTGATCACGATAGCCCCAGGGCCCTCTTGATGTAGTCTGCTCGGTAACAAGCATCTATGCTAATATTTGTCGTACATCAGCAATCTCTTATTCTCACATGCAACAGCAAGTCGTAAGGTCACATAGGAGGAGTCATAGTTGATGAATAAGCATAGTCGGCAATAAACAGACCTCCTTTTGGTATATATATAATGGGCCCCTTCACTCGGCAGTGTGGGGTCATCTTCCTATAAATACAGTCCGATATCATAATAGCATTGCAAGTCATAACGTTTCATGTCGTTCCTCATTTCGTGATCCCGAAAGCCAATGCCCCAGATGCAAAAGCCGTTCCAAATCAAAACCGGTCGTCCAAGCGCCTTAAGCTGGCATCAACCAAGAAGCACAGCTTTCATTCCAACCAACCAGATCCTTAACAAATGAGGCCATCTGTCATTCGATAATCTTGCTGTTCCGGGACTTTCTGTGTTCGTCCATTTTCTATCCCTCGTCCGCGTCGTTAAATGTTGAAGAAAAATGAAGTCGAAGCCAAGGACAATTTGCCTGGTTCGATAGAAATATACCTCTTCCTCCGGGTAGTTTATTACAAATAATGTATGGTCTTTTCGAATGTGTAAAAGTCATGCCAATGTTTTTGCATGAGTTGAGAGTAGGATGAAGAGAGAGGCGGGACTCAAGCCTGGTTTCATGGGCCTTGGACGATATCTCGAAGAGCCCATCGCCAGGCATCATTGTCGCGTCCGTCTGTGTTGATCCATCTCTCACACTTTTTGCGCCACCTGTCTTCTTCCTCTCGCTGGCGGCGGATGAATTCTGGCCCAACGTCGAATTCTTCTCCAACAAGCCACTCACTGCCAACATCGCTGGCACGGGCTTGGCCACCTTCGCCGCTGTTATCATGTTCCTTGTCTTCTAGGTCAGGTATATCCTTGAAAGGATCTTCTTCGTCGTCGAGAGCATTGAATCCCGCAAGAGGGTCATCATTGTTGCCAGGTGCCTCGATCCAGCGAAAGTGAACGGGGTCAAACACCATATTGCCTTCGCGTTTGATACCATTTGAAGCACCCATATTGGTGATCAAATATGGACGAGGAGTCGTCATGCTCTCCTTGTCACGAGTCATATTCGGTGACGTTGTCCCCGTCGTGGGTGTAGTGAGTGGGGCATCAAACGCGTTCAAAGCAGTCTCGTTTCCTTCCCATTTGCAAGTCTCTGGGTTGTAGGTCATGCCGTCGATGACTAAATCATGGTTAGCAAAGGATGAGCGCGGAGGAGGAAGCAGGTTGCGAACCTTTGGTATCCTTAGCAGAGCTCATGTTGGTAATCAAATGTGGCTTGAGTTGGGGAGGTTTTCTGCTCTTCTTCGACCGTATAGAGCCATGCGGAACGTGAGGATTCAAGCCCCTTGATGATAACTGAGCCACCCGCTGGGCTGCTGGAGGAGCCGCAGCTGTTGTCGGAGGTGCACGTTGGGCCAGGCTCACTTCTCTAGCTTTGCGACTGGCTGCAGTGTCTCGAGCGAAATGAGGCTGGTTGTCAACTCTGGCAGGCGAGAAAGCCGCGACAGGCGCAGGACCGCTGCGATCAGGAATGGCACTGCCATACATCTTGTTCCTGACAGTGTTGTTGCGGTCCTTGGCTGCTACAGGCTGTTTGACGAATTTGGACTCGGCGTGTGCAGAGGTCGGCAGATCATCAAAAGCATCCAGTTCAGTGCCATCGCCAAATTGCTTCACCCGGCGGGGTTTGCTCAATTGCTGCCAAGGCTCGGCGGCTACTTTCTCGACAGGACGGAGTCTGCGGGGGCTTGGTGATCTCATCGCCGATCTCGATAGGGCACGGGATAAAGGTCGAGTCTGCGGGCCGACATCCGAGTCATGCCGACGGAGCAAACGAGAAGAAGGTTTGGCAGACACATGATGCGACTGAGACGATGCAGATCCAGCGGGCAAAAAGGGCCTGCGCGCTTGAGCTGCACTTCCCTGGTACGATGGTGCGCCCTGAGTACGATCGACTGGGGTCTTTGGTCTGAAAGGCTGTGAAAATTGCGATCGATGGATCTCGGTCAGGGATGTTGGTCGTTCAAAACGCGAACTTCCAGGCCGCACCGGGGAATCGCTTGACTTGATCGCTGGGAGAGACCTTTTAAATCGGAGAAGCTGAGCGTTCGTCGTTGTCGACGACTCATTCCTAAGAGCGCCAAGTGAGGTCTTTGAACCTAGTTCTCTTCTCCTCGGTGTCGAGGGCTGGAACGAGGACGCTGAAGATGGTGTTGCAGGAGAGACTATACTAGAAGTTGAGGAGGTAGCAGAGTGGCCACCAAGTCGGGACTGCGATCTCCTGGATGGCCGGTAGGGAATCGGGCCGCCACTCTCCGATACGGTTTCAAGGGAAGATTGGGTATGCGAACGTTCATGGTGGCCTCCCGCCGGACGTGGCAGGCGTGACGGCTGCGCAGTGGACGGTTTGTTGGAGATAGTCACGGAAATCGAAGCCTTGGGTCGCGCTGGGCTGGTCTGCCGAGTCTCCTTGACTTTCACATTCCGATGTAAGCTTAATTTACCGGAACTGAAGACGTCTCCATCCTCAAAGTCGAGACCTTCTAGGTCGTCTTCTTTCTCTGCGATGGGAGTTTCGGGCATGTTCCTGGAGGACTCGATGCTTTTGCCTGCTGAAGGGGGACGTTCGGGTGATGCGCTCTGCTTTCGTAGCCTCAACCTCTCGTTGAGATCCAGAGGGCCGATTGGCAGGATCAGGCCATCCAGGGCATCGTCCTCACTTTCAGCTGTAATGGAGCTCGCTATACTTGGGCTCATTGCAGAAGCATTCGAGCTACGCGTAGAGAAAACTTCTCTGCGGGTTCCCCCAAATCTAGTTCCTAGGCTACCTTCGCCCCAATCAAAGTCGTCTTCAGTTTTTACACTGGGTGTCCTGGGAATCTCTCTTCGGCTACTAAGCTGGAGCGTCCCATGCGGCGGCAACTCGAGGTGGAGCTCAAAATCGTCTTCTTCTTCCTTCTTTCGAGGCGTGGGTGGCGTAATGAGGGAGAGAGGGTTGTAAGAAGCGGGGAGCCGGGGCGGTTGTTGGAATCTAGGAGCTTTGATAGTCTCACCACCATCCCCAAAGACATCATCATCATCATCGTTGTCCCGGAATCTATCCAACGTCGATGCCGGCGATGATGTAGGCAGAATATTCTCCTGTAGGTTTTCCTTCTTCGGAGATCTATAGATAACAGCCGACTTCATCAACTTTAAGGGACTTGTCGTCGAGGAGCCACTAACTTGACGAAGAGTTTCCGGAAATTGTGATGGATCTTGAGGCTTGATGCGGAGAGCAGTGCCGGCCTTTGGTAGCTCGATTTCATCACCCCAATCTTCGTGGATGATCTTCTTGACTTTTCTGCCCCCCAGTCTTTTTATTGTACCTCCCATCAATGCCGATGGTGGCACATTTTGCGGGATAGGAATCCCAGCGTGTTGGACGGCGAATATGGCATCCATGGTCGACTTTTCATCCTCTCCGGCTAAATGGACTTGCCTGTCCTCATCTCCAAATAACGAGTCCCTGTCTGAGCGAAATGATGTGTGGCTGTCTCGTCTTCCTGGGCGGCTTGATGCATGAGTTGTCGAGCCACTTCGAAAAGACAGATCGTCGGTGTCGATCATGAAGTCGTCGTCATCCCAGTTCTCCACCTCGTCCTCCACGATATTTCTTGGTTTGAGTTGTAAAGCCATGGTGTCTGGAAGAGACGAATGGCCGAGGGTTGATGGATTGTGCGTGTTTGAAAATTGGTGTTTGTGAACGATTGAATTCAGGTCAGAGGATTTATGTTGTGTGTTGTCGTTGTCTGTCGCGCTGTTGCTGCAATGGTCGTCATGTGAAGCGCTTGTTTGAAGCGTCACAGGTATAAATCCGGGAAAAGGCGTCGCAATGTCGTACGCCCACGAAACGACTCCCAGCAACTCAACACGGCGATTCAAGTCAGCGTCGATGGACCATGTTTACATCAATAATCCTGTCCAGGTCCGGATCGCATGCTTAGTGACCAGTCGCAAAAGAAAAGGTTGAGCGTGGGTCTCTGAGTGTCAAAACGCGCGCGCGCCGCTTTTGTACCAGTAATTGAATCCCTGCAATAACTCTTGCGATTGCAAAAGTTGCTTTCTGTGGTCGAGTTCCAAAGTATCTTCAGTCCCGCTCGTCGCAAAAGAACTGCAGGTGGAATGCAATTGATGTGGTGGTGACAAGTCGAAGGGGGTTGTCGTCGCGGCAATGAATTGTTGGGGGGTTACCGAAAATTGGTGCACGTTGTAAGAGGTGAGGCTTTCTTAGTGTAGAACAACAAAGCACAGGCTTATGGTTTAGAGGCGCGGAGGAGGATATCAAGGTTTGCTGCTAGATTTTTGGTGTTGAAGCAAGAAACAGGAAGTGTGTCGATCCAAGACAAGAGTGCTATTTCGTCAGAGAATCCTTTGCATCGAGATGGCCGGTAGTCAGGTCACAGCGGTCAGTGTGAGTGGACGTTTGTTCTATTCGTGGATCTTGCTTCTGGAAGGCTGGGGGGTCATCAAAAAATCGTAGAGGAGAGAAAAGAGCTCTTTGTGCTGAAGCGGGATGGCTGGTCGTGCACTGGCCAGTTTTCTTGGAGATCGGGGTCCTTCGTCAGCTCCTCCATTTTGAAATCCTTGTGCCTCCACAGTGGGCATCATTGCACCCACTTTGACCAGCCCACTGGAATTAGTACATACTGTTAGTGTAATGTGTGAAGGGACAGCGCTTGGCAAGCTTGGGCCAATTACGCCCCCAAATGCCCGCGAGCAAGCCTGGCTGGCCGCCCCCTCCTGATCTCTTTCCAGTGGACAATCCGGAGGCGGGCACCTGGAGAGCCAGCACTGGAGCCCTCCTGTAGGTACATCAGTAAGCACTGTAAAGTCACTGTAAGCACTGTACACTTGCAGCCTAACCACGTTGCATATGATCTGTTCCTTCTGCTGTGAACGTACTATCTGCCCCTGGGTGGCCCTGCCGCTGTGCTGCTGCCCCTCCCACCCTAGAAACAAAAAGCAAGATTTCGCCTGGCAGTTTCTCACGTGGCATGAAAACAACACGAACCAATGGGAAACGTCCCCTTTGCTGCAGTTCTCACCATTGTCGCCAACTCGACGCGGTTGGACGCGTTCAGACTTCATAACACGGACATACATTACAACAGGATGGGAGCAATAAGGACAGCAATGCTCTCCTTCCCAATGTTTCACTTCTTCCCATCCATGGAAGGAAAAGCCGGCTTGGTTTCTTCTTCCGGAGCAATCACGTTCAACGTCAGAATTGACTGATAATTACTCGTGTCAACATTCGAGGGCCACCTTTCATCTCGCTTGATTGTCATGCTAGTTCATATGACATAGGCACCATAATACGAGCGGTTGGTCAAATTTACATCTAGCCCTTCCTTCCATCCTGATGCATACGCTGGTTTCCCTGGGCTCCGAGATCTTGTGGCAACTTCAAGTGCCTGGCAGGAGAGTTCTTTCTCATGCACTTTTGCTCCGGTTGCCGTGCCACACGTTATTATGGTATTATAACAAGTTAAGTGGATAGATGATCTTCACCCTAGATCGCCTTGACTCGTGTCTATCGGCTGTCCAGAACTGCTTCAGTGCTATTCATTTTCGCTAGCTCGTCATTAGCTTGTGCTTAGGCATCTCCAAGGCGGAAGTAGGGGACTGGTGCCTTGCAGCTGCCTAGCGGCACACGAGCACCTCGGTGGTCCGTGGCAGACTTTCAGTTGTGACAACCACAAGGAACAGCCCAATTGATAATTGGATACAATTGTTTCATATTCTCGTCCAGATCTTCAAAATAAATGCTCTTCTTCTTTTTTTTAATGCTGTCGTCTAACAATCGGTTGCATCTGCTATAGCATTGTCCCTTGGTTTCATTGTTTGTTGTCGTTGCTCCCTGCAAGCTCTCTCGAGCTATGCCATAATTTCACCTTGTTCGCAATCTAGCTCCGTCATCCCCATCCGCCAAAATTACTATCGACTGACGGTTGATCACCGCAATATTAAACCCGGACTATAACCTCTCCACACCCAGGCCAATACACCATCTTACAGGACGCTGAAACAGATTTTTCATTTACTGATCCCGGAATCCGTCTAGAGAGAAAAAATTATCCTCTCTTAGGCAAAACGACCGTCCGATAATCTGAGAAGCTCTACCGCGACGGACCTTTCGGCAACGCGCACTAGCTTCTGGCCTGTCAGCCGCCTCACCTCACCTCGAACTTGCCACTTGCCTCGTCGTCTGGTTACTCACTGCGCCCCCGTTCTCGCCATAATGAATGAGCACAACCTTGTGTTGCGGTTCCCCGTTTCAGACCGGCCAGAACAGTCCTTTCTCCTTGAGGTGATTCCAACCGAAGGGTCCAAGAATGCCCTGAACCTCAAGTTGGTGGGTACTGAAGGGATCAAGCCCTATGTAGTGAAATGTGAGTGATATGTATTTTTTTTTTTCCATGTCACTTTTTTTTTTTTTTTTTATCAAGATGATGTTTCAAGCGTAAGATCGACGGCAACCTCTCCTCCGGCAAATTGAGATCCCGGCAACGTATATGTCATGCTGTTTGCTTGGTTTCCCTTCAGGCCTGTGCAAACCCTCGCGTGGGCAATCTTCCGTTTCCCGTTGTGGATCTCCCTTAGTTCCAGACCCTGAAAATGGGTGGTGCTGTCAGAAACAGAGTGGCTAACATACCCTGATTTTTGTTTCCTGAATAGTACGTCATCAGCGTATTCAAGAGTGGAAAGCCTCCGTTGGTCACTGCACCGATGACGAGTGGGAGCAGATCCTGATCGCTACCTTGATCGAGCCATCGAGCCCTCATGGCAAAGACATCGAGGTCAAGGTGGAATTAGTGGAGGGAAAGAAGCCAACTGCTAATCTGATCATTCGCAAGAATCTCTCTGGTATCACCGTAAGTGCTTATATATATTCTGTCCCTTATGATGTCATCACCTAATCTCACATAGCAACGGCTCGGATCTATTGAACTCAAGGAAAATGGAAATGAATTCGTAGATCCCTTCCAATGGTGCGTCAACGCAATCGGTGATCTTGCCAAAGTCGATAATGACTTGGCTGCCGCAACCGCGAAAGCAGCGGAATTGGAGAAGACCACCAATGAGCTCAAAGCACAATTAGAAGACCTTCTTAAAGCCAAAGACGATGACGAGCGCCAACTCCTCGAGAAGTTCCGCGATCTGCTGAACGAGAAGAAACTGAAAATACGGCAGCAGCAGCGACTACTAGCTTCAGCAGAGGTAGACCCGGAAAAGCTACAGAATGTCGGCGCCAGTCAGAATACTCTACGGAAAGCCAAGGCGTCACGAGATAGTAAACGTAAAGCTGCTGAAGAGGAGCCGGATGACGTCAGTGACGATGACTCTGATAAAATGGAAGTCGATGAACCGGTCAAAGTCAAAGACGAGTCGGATCAAGACGTGGAAGATCATGACGATCTAGAAGACCGTCAAACTACTGACGACGAGCTGGGTGAAGCAACTGCCAGTGAAACTGATGACACAGATGAAGAAGCACAGCCAGCTACTAGAACAAAGGCAAAGCATCCCATCAAAGCAGCCTCGACTGGTAGAGCGGGCAAGACCCCAGCATCCAGGAGCACTAGGTCGACGAGAACACGCAGTGAGACACCGCCCTCGGACGCACAAGATGAGGATGAGGATGAGGATGTGGCACCGCCACCATCGCGGGCTCTACCGGTCCAAGCTAGGAAGCAATCCACTCTACAAGCCCAGGCAACAAACAATGACGACACGGAAACAGATGATGAGCTATGATTAATCCTATAAGTGCAAGCACAAATTGCATGAAATTGGCATACCCAGTTTGGGAAAATAAGGTCGAGACTAGCGTAATATATTTGGATACTGACTACGGATGTTCTTTTTGATACTCCTACTCAAGTCTAACTTATCCTTTATCGACGATCATCCTTGGCAAACTTGTCGTTCCAGAAACCTCTGTAGTGCTTCTGCTTTCCAATCTCCGAAATCGTCTCAACCTCCTTGGGCGTGAGCTTGAAGCTAGGCAACTTGTTCAAGTAACCCTGAAGACGCTGCTCATTGGCACTCGTGGTGATGGCAACGATGCCTTGGTCCATAACCCAGCGGAGGGCGATATCGGCTGGGCTGACGCCGTACTTTTTGGCCAGCTCGGCATACGTGGCGTCAAGCGGGCCGGGCGAGGCCTTGGTGACGGCGCTGAGAGGGCCGTAGGATGAAACGGCGATGTTGTTCTTGCGGTGGAAGTCAACCAGATCGCCGTGCTGGAGGTACGGGTGATACTCAATCTGGTTGATAGCCGGAGGGATGCGGGCCGTCTTGAGAATGACCTCAAGGTCCTCCTGCAAAAAGTTGGACACGCCAATGGACCGGGCCTTGCCCGAGTCCTTGATGAGCTCCACCTGCCGCCAGACCTCCTGGAGCTCCTCGGGCGTATCGGCCAAGTACGGCGCGTGCACAAGGTACAAGTCCACGTAGTCGAGTTGGAGCTTGGAGAGCGACAGCTCGAACGCCTTTTGCACGTCCTGCTTCTTGGTGCCGTGGAGCTTGGTCGTCACGTACAACTGCTCACGCGGCGCACCGCCCTTCTTGATAGCGAGGCCGAGCTCCTCCTCGTTGCCGTACACTTGGAGGAATCAGTAAGGCCCTGTATTACAGCTAATGATACAGTATCTGGGGAGTAGAGCACCATACCTTCAGCTCCATCGAGGTGGTAGTAACCATTCTTGATGGCCATGGCGGTCAACTTGACAATCTCCTCATCCGGCTCGGCAGTCGGTTGGCTCTTATACCGAGCGGTTCCAAGACCGTAGGCAAACTGATTGCGGGCATGAGTACAATGGACAACATGGGGAGCAGTAAGTAGCATGCAGACGCGATACATACCATGGGAATTTGGTTGCCATCGTTGAGCTTGAGGAAAGGGATATGGGCTGCCTGCTTCGGGGTAGCACCGGAGGCATCCGGAGTGAACGAGGACGGGATGGAATTCATCTTGTCGGGGAGAATTTTAGCACGAAGGGGCATGCTGGAAAAACGGTGAAATGCAGAGTAGGAGGCGGCGTTTATAGTCTTATACTTGCGAGCGGCGGCAAATACGGCGGTTACCCGAGATGCAGCAGCTGGTCGGAGAGCAAGGGATCTTAAACTCAAATGAGTAAATTCTGTAGCAAGATGCATGAGGCCAGACTTGTTCGAGCGAGCTGGCTCGAAATTCAGTTACTACGGGGCAGTACCGGGGCGGAGACAATGGGCACTTGCCAATCGGCACATCGGACGGGATGAAATCAATGATCAGCTCTTGGGGTGTGTGTGGTGTAGTGTAGTGTAGTGGAATCTACACTACAGCAGATACCCGCCGAATGGAGTACCCATCGACTGCAGGGTCTCTAGATAAAATCAGTGTCCAATTGCGCCATGTCTCTTGCGTATGATGGATATACTCTCGCGATATACCCCACCAAACTAAGGAAATGACTCAGGTGTGTTTGGACTTTGGGCCGTCGGCTCGGTGACGATACTCCGTACTCGGATACGAGAGTGATTATACAATAAAGGGATGGCTATCTGTCATCGTATACTGCTCATATAAGCTCACCTACAAAACATTCTCCCGATGATCCAAGCTATACGTGCAGGTCTGTACTACCCAAAGCGCTCAATAGATGAGGAGCGTCTGCATATGGTGCATAGTCCTATCTGTGAATGCACAAAGTATATCATGGCGGGGTAATGTTCTGCATGACGTTGCATGTACATGGAGTACATTTTCGGCGATAATGGCATAGCTTCGATTCAGCTCGGTCTGGTCTGAAACTTTGCGATATGGGGAATCGGGAATATACTGAAAACTGCTGTTGAAGAAAAAGAACCACGATGGCTTCAGCCCGCCCTCTTGTGATCTACATACATCTCTTCTATCCATCTTGAACAAAGATTGATAAGATTCCAAAGGTGGACCTGGGCCGCCGGCTATCCGGGGTACAGTAGCTTCCCGAGAGTGGGAGCTCCAGCTCCCTTGTACCGCTATCAATCGCCACCATGACTTTGGTTGGTGATGTGATGCGGACGTTTTTGCGCATCCCGAGGCGCCATCTTAGGAATCTTTTTTTCTCGGACGACATTTCCCAGAATAATAGTCGCCGTCCAGCGCCCAAATACAAATGGTTTACCTCTTGATATGATCATTTAGCACATTTGACGGATTTAAAGAAGCGAGCTTTCTTTTTCTCCTCTCAACCAAAAACCACACCATATGCTATCTCGTCAACTACTGCGGCGAGGTCCCCCACTACAGATTCACTTACGAGCTTGTAGACGCCTGTCCCAGATGGCTGCGCAAACGTCCTCGGCCCCGGCCAATGGGCATGCTGCATCGTCACCCGGCAGGCCCATCAACGATATCCCCAAGACCTGGAACTTTACCTCCAAGCTGCCACCCGACTCCGAATACCCAACGCCGGCCGACTCGCACAAGACTCCCCGCGACCAGATTGGCCCCAGGCAAGTCCGCGATGCCATCTACACCTGGGTGCGCCCCGAGGGTGCCACGAACCCCGAGCTCCTCTCCGTCTCACCTGCAGCACTGAAAGACCTCGGCATCGACGCAGAAACAGCGCGCAGTGATCCGGACTTTCTCAACACCGTCGTGGGCAACAAGATCCAGGGCTGGGACGAGGAAAAGGGCGAGGGCGGATATCCCTGGGCGCAACTATACGGCGGCTTCCAGTTTGGTCAGTGGGCAGGCCAGCTAGGAGATGGGCGGGCAATCAGTCTGTTCGAGACCACCAACACCGAAGGCACGCGATACGAGCTGCAGCTCAAGGGCGCAGGTTTGACGCCCTACTCGCGCTTTGCAGACGGCAAGGCAGTGCTACGCAGCAGTATTCGCGAGTTTGTCGTCTCCGAGGCCCTGCACGCTCTGGGTATTCCCAGCACGCGCGCGCTCAGCCTGGTGCTCACCCCGGACGTGCGCGTGCGACGCGAGACCCTGGAACCTGGCGCCATTGTCTGCCGATTCGCGCAGAGCTGGTTGCGACTAGGCAACTTTGATATTCTGCGCGCCCGAGGCGAGCGTGACACAGTGCGCAAGCTTGCGACCTATATTGCCGAAGATGTATTCGGGGGCTGGGAGAATCTGCCCGCGAGGTTGGAAGACCCGGCTAGCGCCACCACATCCCCGGAGCCGTCACGGGGTGTCCCAAAAGACGACATTCAGGGACCCGACGACTATGCCGAGAATCGCTTTACACGGTTGTATCGAGAAATCGTGCGCCGCAACGCGCTGACGGTCGCAAAGTGGCAGGCCTATGGCTTTATGAATGGCGTCCTGAACACGGACAATACTTCAATCTTTGGCTTGTCGATAGACTTTGGCCCCTTTGCATTCATGGATAACTTTGATCCTGCGTACACGCCCAATCACGACGACTATATGCTGCGGTATAGCTACCGCAACCAGCCGTCAATCATTTGGTGGAATCTCGTGCGGCTGGGCGAGTCTCTTGGAGAGCTCATTGGGGCTGGTCCCAAAGTTGACGATGCTACATTTGTCGAAAAGGGCATCGAAGAGGAGTTGGTAGAAGAGCTCACGCAAAGGGCTGAAAAGGTCATTATGCAGGTTGGCGAGGAATTTAAGCACGTCTTTCTGCAAGAGTACAAGCGCCTCATGACCGCTCGTCTCGGCCTGAAGAACTTCAAAGAAAGCGATTTCGACGTGCTATTCTCCTCGCTCCTGGACACGATGGAGGCACTAGAGCTAGACTTCAACCTGTTCTTCAGACGGCTGAGCGGTCTCAAGGTTGCACACTTGGATACACAGGAGAGCAGAGAGGTCAAGGCTGGCGTCTTCTTTTACAAGGACGGCGCGGGCGTGTCAGCGCCCAGCGAGGAGGAAGGCCGGAAACGCGTCGGAGAGTGGCTGGGCAAGTGGCGGGAACGTGCCATTGAGGACTGGGGCGAGTCGGACGCTGCAGACGAGGAGCGAAGGGCGGCCATGAAAAAGGTCAACCCAAGCTTCATCGCCCGCGGTTGGATCTTGGACGAAGTGATCAAGAGGGTAGAAAAGGATGGCGAACGGGAAGTCCTCGATCGCATCATGTGGATAGCGCAGCATCCTTTCGAAGATAGCTGGGCTGGCAAGACTCTTGACGGAGTGGATTACAAAGGTGATAAAGAGGAGGAGACGAGATGGATTACTGAAGTCCCCAAGGCAAAGAGAGCACTTCAATGTAGCTGTAGTTCATAGGTATTGTGAAACTCTCCCGGCGGCTTTCAGAATCAAAGCATCAAATCATCATAATAATTTTTTTTTTTTTGTAGCTGTGTTGATTGCGTCGTATTGCAGGAGTCTAATTTGTGTCTTTGCTTTAATCTCACTTCACACAGACTGGTGAGTAATTGAATTATACAATACCAACCAACACTTAGCAAGAAGCGCCTTTCTCGCGAGGTGAGGAGAAGAGATGTGAGTGAGTGATGCTTGGGTGTGGTACGCTTGCTTGTGTAAAACCGATTTGGAGAAAATTCACTATAATTACACCCGCGCAAAGGTGACCGAAGATCGGTCGATGTGGTAGAAGCGGTAACGCATAACATTACCTTTGAAATACATATGTAATTATACTGTTTTAACAAGGCTAACATATTATTATTCTCCAATCATCTGGCTTTGCTATAGTGCAACAGATTGTATAAGAGGCGTCCAAATGCGTTTCTGAGATAAAGCTGATGCAGAGGTGTTCGCACCGAGGTGTCGCCCGACTGACTTTTCACTGCAATTTTAACCCACGCAAAGAAGACAGAAAATAAATCGATCTCGTAGAGGTGGTAGCACATGACATCACCCATCAAATGCATATGCAGTCATACTGGCCCAATAAGGCCAGTAAGATATCATTCTCCAATCACTTGGCTTTGCTATTTCCCGCAGCTTCCCACTGCAGTGTAAGGTAGCAACATTAGCTCACTTTCACTGCAATTTTAACCCTCACGAGGGACATAACTGAAGAGTATCGCCAGTCCATATTAAACTATTGCATTCGGCCACGCTGCGCCTCTGGTCCCATTAGTAGTATAACATGAGTCTATTGAAGCAATGCGTAGTCATAGGGTGTTACCAATTATCCTGCTGCTTACTTCCTACCTGACGCCTGAACATTTTCCAGAAGATCTAAATGGTCGATCTTTAGCGCCGGGCCTGCCATAGCAGGACAAAACAGCCTTCTTCTAGATTTAGTGACCATATCCATGGTGCAGAGGTAAGTGTAATGTATATTTCTCACCTGGGCCGATGTGTGAAGGGGGAACTGAAGACGAGATGATCGAGGAAGCATTGAAAGTTGTCTGAGTTGATGTCTAGTCTACAAAAGAGAGGTGCTGAAGAGCGAACTACATACCCACGCAGGTGATCTGCGGTGGGTACTGACTACGTCAGTACGATAATATTATAGTCCAGATGGAGGGGAACTCTATGTTGAGCAGAAGTTCTTTTTTGGGATTGTCCAGCTCAATGAGCTCACATTGAATGGTGGTTGAAGCAACAAGTCAAGCCTTAGCGATGTGATCTTCAACGGGGCAGCACGAATACTGGGAAAGGTAGTTGCCCTTACGAGTACTTCGAGGATTTCAGTCTCGTACATCACTACAGTTTGTCGGTGGCGACAGGAAGGCTACTAGCTGTTCAAGACGAGGAAATATCAATGGAAACTTACAAGTCGCACACTACTCGTCAGGTAATTCTAACATCGAGGGCCAAGTTCGTTGGGATTTCAAATGGTATAAGCACTTCTTAAAAATTGAGGGATGATTGGAACCATGAATTCATACGTTTTGATCCATGAGCAATCGATCAGACTATTATTTAATGGTCATAATGTTTAATTTTGTTCACTTCACCGGAGCCGACCAAGGCTAGACTTTTTTATGTACTTTCTCATTCTCTACTTCGCCGTTACCATCCTATATGTACAGTACATACAAATGCGAGTGTAGCCTTTGACAAACAAAGGAAAAGCAAAAAGCAGGCTCCGCATCGCATGTGGTATTTCTCTTTTCATCCGCTGTCCTCTCTATACCGTATCACCCCTCATGCACCGTAAGCGACCTGACCCATGGGCTTGTCCTCAGTCATACCCGGTGCCATCAAATCTGTCTTGGGGTTGCCCGTTGCCTTTGCAATCGAACATCTTGCCATTGTTGGCGAGCTTATGTAAATGTTAGCACCAGTCCACAATGGCACCGATTCGGGTGGGGGTCCACTAACCTTCTAGAGATAACATCTGTGAAATAGAAATCTTCAATAACCTTCTTCAGGGGTTCACCGCTGGGCTTTGAGCCCTTGTTCTGGTCAACCAACTGCACCTTGCTAAGCTGCTTCAGCGAAGTGGGTTCGACAACGTCGTAGACTGTAAGTGCCGGGCTGATCTCTGCGGCTCTGTCCCGGACCATGGCAACGTCATCGTAGGGCAGAGGAACGCCAAGGAACTCTGAAGCAGCGCGGATGATCTTCCAGTCAGTCCGGGCGGCACCGGGTAATGATGTAGCAGCACGGGTCATCTGAACACGTCCCTCGGTGTTGACATAGGTTCCGGCCTTCTCGGTGTATGCGGCACCGGGCAGAACGACATCAGCAATTTGGGCGCCCTTGTCACCGTGGTGACCCTGGTAGACAACGAAGGCATCCTTGGGGATATCGGCCTCGTTGAACTCGTCGGCACCGAGCAGCCAGACGAACTTGGGCTTGGTCTCAGCAACAGCGGCAGAGGGAGGAACGAAGCCAACCTCAAAGGCACCAGCGCGGGAAGCCTCTCTCTGGAGAACATTGTATCCGTTGTGCTCGGGGGTCAGGAAGTTTGCAGCGTTCTTGTCGACGAAACCACCAATGAGCTCGTAGAAAGCCTTGGCGTCAGGGTGGTCAGTAACACCGGAACCAACAATAATCATGGGCTTCTTGGCTGCCTGGAGCTTCTTGCCGAAGGGGCCGGCGAGAGCCTTCTTGAGGGCAGCGAAATCAGTACCAAGGTGCTCGACTTCGAAGGTCGAGTCGAACTGCTCACCAACGACGCCAATCTCGAGGTCAGATCGGAGCCATTGCTTGCGAATACGGGCGTTCAGACCGGCAGCCTCGTGGCGGGGGTTAGTGCCAACCAGGAGCAGGGCATCAACGTCCTCAACGCCCCAGATGAGGGAGTTGAAAAGGTAGTTGGAACGAACATCAACACCGTGAGGAACGGGACCGTTGCCAGCAGGTACATCAATGGTTACGTTCTCGGAGCCCAGCTTGTTGGCCAGTTCCTTCATGACGACCAGAGACTCAACGTCGGTCAAAGCACCAGCGATAGCCTTGAACTCGTTCTCACCGGGCTGCAGAGCACGGTAAGCGACGGAGATGTCGGTCAAGGCCTGCTCCCACGAAGCGGGCTCAAACTTGCCGTCACGTCGAACCAAGGGCATGGTCAGTCTCTGGGTCTTGAGACCATCGCAGGCGAATCGGGTCTTGTCGTTGATCCACTCCTCGTTGACGTCGTCGTTCAATCGGGGAATAACGCGCATAACCTCGAGACCTCGGGAGTCCACGCGAATGGCGGAACCCAGACCATCGTGGACGTCAATGGACTCGGTCTTCTTCAACTCCCAAGGTCTGGCACGAAATGCGTAAGGCTTCGAAGTAAGGGCACCAACAGGGCACAGATCGATGACGTTTCCGGACATCTCAGAGTCGAGGTTCTTCTCGAGGTAGGTACCAATTTGAATGTCGTTTCCACGGCCGAAAGAACCCATCTCGGGAGCACCAGCAACGTCGTTTGCGAATCGGATACATCTCGTGCAGTGGATACATCTGTTCATGGATGTCTTGATGAGAGGTCCAATGTTCTTGTCCTCCACGGCACGCTTGCCACCAACCTCGTGGAATCGTCCTCTGTCGCCACCGTATCGCATCGACTGGTCCTGAAGATCACACTCACCACCCTGGTCGCAGATAGGGCAGTCGAGGGGGTGATTTGCTAATAAGAACTCCATCACACCCTCGCGGGCCTTGTGGGTGAGCGGAGAGTTGGTCTTGACGACCATACCGGGCTGTACGGGCCATGCGCAAGATGCTACGGGCTTGGGTGCTCTCTCAACCTCGACCAGGCACATACGGCAGTTTCCCGCAATCATTAGTTTCCTGAGCCATTTGTCAGCGCGCTTGTTCGTGATCGTGTCGAAGTCGGAAGAGTGCGGGATCGTACTCATGGTAACAGTATCTACACGCAACCTATTAGCTTCTATTTCGAGTCAATGCAACTACGAGTGATGAAATACCTAGGGACGGTTGATCCGGCCTTCTCGCAAGCCTGAATCAAGGCGGAACCAGCTGTATCTCGGTCAGCCACACCATCACGCCCGGAGGTCGCCACGTCGTCCTACCTTCAATCGAGACCTTCTTTCCATCTACAGAAATCGTCAGCCATCATCACACCGCGAGATCCCAAGTGTTGACGAACCAATGGTCAGCTCGACCTCGGCGGGTCGCTGAGCAGTCGCGGAAAAGGCTCTCGTGGCATTGGCGGCATGCCTGCTGGACCGCCAAGCCGAACGAGCCAGAGAGTGTCGCAGCATCGTGTCGTCCCGACGGAATTAGACGATGTAGAGGGGAGAAAGGGCAGCAACGAAGGCTGTGGCGGCCGATTGAGAGCTCTTGCAGAGTGTTGACGTCTCTCTTTCAACGGCAAGAAAGTGCTGGGTTCGGGAATAGTAGTGGCCGCCTCCAATTGGCGATTATGATCAAAACGGATCTGATTGGTCGAGTGGGGGTTCCACTCCCTCGACCTCACGTCTTTGACTCCGTTAGAGACTGGGTTTGCACAGTTTTAAGGTGTAGGCATGCACAGCTGTAGTCTATTTGAATGTTTCTAGCATGGAAAGCCGTTTGCACGTTTCTGAGGCGATTTTCTATTGCATTTCTATGACGCGGAAGACATGGCCGATACGTTGCGATTCTGGTCAAACAAATGTGTAGCTATTCATTGGCTTGGAACTGTCGGATTAATCATGGTCCCGTTGATGCTCCAACCGCGGCAGACTGCCGACTGACAAATGGCAAAATGCTGTCACTGGACAGGCAAACAGGTGCCCGTTGAGCGGAAATGGTCTGTGCCCACCCACCAACTATCACCCAACTCACACCCCCGTTGTGCCCCATGGTCCAGTTTTGCAGCAATAGCGATGCAGGTCCGAGCTTTTCCCATTCTCTCTTACCCCCTGAGTCTGGACAAGGTCGAAGTTGATGCCTGAGGTGATAGCCTCGCTGCTCGTTTGCTGTTCTCATTGGCTCGTGCACATTTGGCGCCAAATCATCCATTTGGAGCTTAAGTCGTCACGTCCATCGGTCGAGGTCCGCGAAAGCCACGAACGTCTTCAGTGAATCCACCATCATCAAAGGAGGATCAGTATTGTGTCATAGTCGGGAAAGGTGGCCTTTCTCCTTCGCTGTCTGTCCTTCACCACTTCTGCTGTTGCATTCTTATTTTGCGATTTAATAGACACGACCTCGACACACGACCCTGCTACGATCCATCCCATTGTCGCCAAGCCTGAAAAGACGTTGCCGAGCGATTCCCAACTTCCTTCCACCTCAGCCACCGCGGCCAATTCTTTTAATAATTTTATTGTCCTTCGACTTTTTTCCACAACGGCACAACAAAGCCGTCGAGTTGCAAAGCTATCTAATCGAGCTTCGACACCAACACCCCTCGCCTCGTTGAATCTGCGGATGCAATTGATTGCGCACACGACTCGAATATTGTGCATTGCTTTCATCCTTTGAGCCAGACGGACGCGCATGTCGAACCGATTGTTTATCGCAACACAACGGTGAAGACGGCAGAGTGGAAGGCTGATTACTGTCCTTCGTACGCCAGGAATAGCCAGTCGCTGGTAGCATAGCAGAGCCAGGTTCACAGCTATGAGCTGGCAACAGGTCTCTGCGATGGGTGGTGGCAATATGGGTAATCTTGGTGGTCAAGACCTTGGAGGTTTGCCTGCAAATGGCCTCAACCAACCCCATGCCACTGAATATACCCTACAAGGTGTTATGCGCTTCCTCCAGACCGAGTGGCATCGGCACGAGCGGGACAGGAATGCCTGGGAGATCGAGCGTCAAGAGATGAAGGGCCGCATCGCTGCCCTTGAGGGCTCAGCTAGGAGAGCAGATGCAACCCAGAAGGCTCTGAGGAGATATGTTGGAATCTTGGAGAAGAAGGTCAAAGATCAGACCACCCAGATCACGCGCAAGTCACAAGGCTCCGATGCCGGATCAGTTGACGAGCACGCTGTGAAACAGCCTCCTCCCAAAGTCGATCGTGCAGCTTTGATCGCAGAGAAGCTCCAATGTGAGTTGATTCTTTGCTTCGGCCCTCACTAAGCCATACTGATAATTCATAGCCTCCAACGAGAAGCCGAAAGAAGATATCGCTGGCCTCGAAGGTCTTATCGGAGAACGTGGCCAGGAGGAGGAAGACCGCGAACAACTGAGAACTTTCCTCGACCAGTGCCAGAACGAGTTCATGTACCTCATGATTACTCCTGCAAACCCCATCCCGCCGAGAGACTCTCCTCCGCTTCCGATGCTTGACGACGTGCGTGATGGCGAGTACGGCGTACCTGGAGGGATGCAACCTCTCGACGCAGCCTTCCGAGCACTCCATCTGAACCAAAATCACGTCAAAGATCCCGGGCTTCGATCTCAACCAAACCATGCTGCGCCAATGCAGCAGTCCCAGATCCCCGGCCTTGCGCGACAGAATGTTCAAGAGTTGCAGTCTGCACCCATGGTCCGCGCTAACGAAAACCCTTCGGTCACATACAATAACACCAACCCGGACTGGCAAGCTCCCGTAGGAGTCGCCCTTACAAGTCGTGACGATGTACCCATCAAGACCAACCACACCAATGAATATCCACGACAGACCGCGGTTGAGGAAACGGAAAAACGTGCTCTAGGCGAACCTGATGGTTGGGATTTTGGAGAGGGGGCTTTCCCTGAAGCTGCATCTTCCCAACCGCTCCAGAATCTGTCTTCACATCGACCTGACACGGACGTCTTTCCCGCTGCTGAAAATCCACCAAAGTCACCCAACAGAGGTGCAAACTCACACAGAAGGAAGACCTCGCTGTCACGCAGGAGGAGTCTAGACCAGGAACTGTCTCTCAACTCCCTGTCACACAAATCAGATAGTGGCAACTTCAAGCTTCGGTACGGTCTACGCGGTCATCTCAACACAGTCCGGACAGTAATATTCTCTGGTGGCGGCAGCCCCGGAGAACCTGAAATTTGCACAGCAGGTGATGACGGCCTCATCAAGCGCTTTCACATCCCACGAGAGAACCCAGCTCACATGAGCACAAGCGCATCAGACCTCGATGTGCCCGCAGACTTTACGCATCGAGGCCACAATGGCGCCGTCTTGTGTCTGACTTCTTGGTCTCCGTCGCCGAATTTCTCAACTGGAGGAAGAGCACAGGGTGATGGCTGGATCTTTTCAGGTGGCCAGGATGCTTCCATTCGAGTGTGGGAGCGTGGCCGGGTTGATCCCAAGGCAACTATCGATGGGCACACGGATGCTGTCTGGGCTGTCTGCGTACTTCCCGCAACACTCGGTGCCGTCTTTGGTCAAACCAGCTCGTATGGCAGTCCAGATCGCATTTTGCTTGCATCCGGCTCTGCAGATGGTGCTGTCAAGGTCTGGACTGTCAGCGCTCCGCCGCAGCTAACATCTCCGCAGCCATCTACTGGTCGTCGCGCTACGGGAAGCAGAGGTCGTGGCAACTCGATGAGCTCTGGCTCACAATTCCCAAACACACCCCAGCCCAATATGACATCTAGCACACCTTTCCATTCTACACTTGTTCATGATATCAAGCGGGCCAACGGATCAAAGGCTAGCCCAACGTGCATCACTCCACTTTCGAACAATGGGGAGGCATTTGTAGTATCTTATTCAGACGCAGCTATCATCATTTACGACACAAAGACTGGCGAAGAGATTGGCACAATGGCTAGCTTGGAAACATTTGACGGCACCCCAGGAACCAGTGTCAACGCTGTTGTCGCTACAACTGCCGGCCTTGAACAGAGTTCAGGTCCGGGCTTGGGTGATGAGGACGCTAATGCGCCGTCAGGGGGAGCAGGGCCTACGGGTGGTGGTCTTGGCGCGGGAAGTGGCATCGAAGGTGTAATTATCAGCGGCCATGAGGATCGCTATGTCCGTTTCTTCGATGCAAACAGTGGTAAGTTAATATTGCTCACCTGCGAGCGTACGGAAATACTCACAATTGTCTAGGTCAATGTACATATAATATGCTGGCCCACCCCGCCGCCATCTCGGCTCTATCACTTTCACCTGACGGCAGAGAGTTGGTCTCGGCTGGCCATGATGCCAGCCTTCGATTTTGGAGTCTCGAGAAGCGTAGCTGCACGCAGGAAATCACGACTCACCGCATCATGAGAGGTGAAGGCGTCTGTTCCGTGGTCTGGAGTAATGACGGACGTTGGGTCGTTAGCTCAGGCGGCGACGGCACAGTCAAAGTCTTTGCTCGTTGATGGGAATCCGTCAGTTATTTGTAAATAATTTCAACTTGCCAACATGATTATGCAAGCGAAAATGCGGAGTATGGGTCACGAGATCAGGATGATGTATGGGATACTCAAATCACCACTGGCATTACACAGTGGGTAAGAGCGTGTATAAATTCGAAGGCGTCTTTGGCGCTATGCAAGAGAATAATATTATGGAATTAGGGCTGGTGGACCATGGCTGGCATCATTCTGCTTGACGTACCTGATTAATCGTGAGACCGCCAAGACAAATGGAAAAGGAGCAGTTAACCGAAGCATAGACCATGTCCAGTGGCATGGTAGAGAGTATCTAGCTCACAATGCGACGGATCCTCCAGGCGTCGGTGGCGTCTTATGGCTTATGTTCATGTGCCTTCTCGGTCATGATATTCCACAAGTTTACAAATCCTTTAGCACCAACGCAAAGAATTGTCCGTTGGCTCATTGAGGGAAAGAAGTATGCAGGTACCAGAAACCAGGTACTTTGGTCATGGAGAATGCAATGTGCTGTATTATCTTGGTTGGTTCAAATCAATCTTACCTACCAACCATCAGAAAATTGATTCACTATGTTTTCATTCCTGATATACCCACCTAGGCACTGAGTGGGGGGATGAGCATGCGGCCCGAGGCTTGGGGTCATGCAGACGGACACGCCTTGCTTCATTACCGATGTTGGCGATCCCTGGATTATGTTGGTCGCACACACCCATGAAAAAGTTATTTGGTCGCACAAGATTGTCAGAGGGCGTTCGCACAATCTAGAAACATGGTCACAATGTAGCACGCCGGTCCGCAGTGGCTTATTCGTCTCTGAGAACGCAACGGTTGGCTTCCACGATGCTCGTAAGCAATGACGTATCCAAATGGCATTGCAATGCATCCGCGATCTCTAATGGCCATGACTTTGAACATACGTGCACATCAAGTAGATACGCAGTCAAAAGAAAGGTTTGGCGTGCCAAGGAGACCGATCGGCCAACCTGCATTATGCGGGACGGACGGTGTACAAATAACTGTCACCAGGGTTCCCCTTGGGTTTCGGTTGCTGGACCAGGTCAGCTCGACCATCCAGGGCTGTTATATGGTTTGTGATCAACACGGCCCCTTCTCGAAAGGAGCAAAGACCGACAAGATCTCACGTCACATCTCCTGATTGGGCAATCCACCCTAGGACGCAGCCTCGTGATTGGTCCGTCAAGAGTTCCGGGGTTAGAATTAACCGCCCATTCTAGACATTTGGGACTAGCTTTGCAGAATCTCATTGGCGTGCTGGGTGAAATGGCCCGGCATTTTCATCACAGTCTCTGTTCACGAGTAGGAGGGCCAGAAAGTGACCCGATGTTTGTTAGTGATGTGATGCGCATCCCGTGCAAGGAACGAATTGCAGTGGAGTGGTCTAGTCACGAGTGCTAGGGGAAGGTGATTAGGATTTTTTACCAACTGGATTAGGAATCTTACAACTGGATGAATAGGGCCATATTGCGAATCACTTCCAGGTGATAGTCTAATATATAAATGCTGTTTCCATACCCCTGAAGTCAAACGCTCTTTCGTTCCACCTCAGCACTGCCACGAGTCACAAGAACAACATCTCTTTCCGTGGCTGCAAACACTACCAAACCGTTCAATATGTACTTCTCTTCCAGCATCGCCCTTGCCTGGGTTCAGTTCGCAGTCCTGTGTTCTGCAAGTCCTCTACTAGTCTCGCGATCATCCGGGCCAGCCTGTACCTTTATCGACAACATTGGCGTCATCAGCTGTGATGGTGGCTGCTGCGGTTGGGCTCTCTCGGGAGCAACATCACCATTCTGCGAGTCCAGCACGGCCAGTACTCTCACCCTGGTCAGCAAGCCCGACGGATGGATATCTTCATGCTCCACGCTGCAGTCGGACCTGACGGCCAACAACAAGGACTATATCCTCACGACATACCAGCAAAACACATGGCACGCCATCGTCTCAAATGATGGCTGCCGCTTTGAGGTCAACATCAGCGATCCACAAGACTCGAACGACCCAATTCGACTCACGGGTGGTGATATTGCGACTTTCTTGGCCTCGGGCATCCCGGCCAGTCAGAGTGGTGGTTTGGGAGCGACGGGATCGACGAGTTGTTACTCATTCCACCTGCAGTGGAGGATGGTACCTCCTGGAAACTGATACCTAGGCCATGGGGGGATTTAACTACGAGGCTGCTGGTAGCAGGCGCCATCAAATGGACAGACAGACTTGATCATAATAGAGTTTCATTATGAGCGGCCACTTACTCTCTCCAAAGACGTATTCATTTGTTCTCAAGTGTGAGACTGAGACGCAAAAAAGTTTTAAAGTAAAGTGAAGGACAAAAAGAATTCACAGAAGGATGTGATGTCTTTGGCGGTCACACAAAGTTGTAATTATACGTCAAATGACGTACTTTATTAGAAAGGACAGCATTAGTATTCTGAGAGAATGCACCTATTTTTAATATGCAACACGAGTTGATAAAGAGGTCATTATGATTGTGATCTTTTAGAAAAAAAGTTCATGTGGAATGCCTGGTCATTTGTTCCAGCCGTGGCATCGATGTAGCACACAAGAAAGATATGGCGTGGAGACACTACATTACTATCGTAGATACATGACCCCAGCTGACCCATGCAAACGCCTAAAATGGCAAGATGTTATAGAATTGTCAAATGTTAATTGGCCATTGCTTTGCTGTCAATATGACAAAAGCAAGTTGAATTCAAGCCCCAGTCAATTGCCCCAGGAATCCAATTTCATTTTCTATTACATCAATTCCACTAATGGATGAACAAGGCAATACGCGCCGTTTGTGCAGTGTTCCCGTGTACACCCGTCTGACGACAATCGATAGGCCCCCTGTAGAGGTGAATGACTGCATTGTCTTACAGTAACAAACGGCCGGCACGGCAACCAGCAGCTTCGGTGCAGCCTCACTGAGTACTGGATCCGATCACCAAAACGAAGTAAATAAAACTTCCGGTGGGGTTGTGAACAAGCTGTACAAACGACCTTTGCTGTTTTTGCGCACCACTGACAACGAGCCTGGTCGGAAGATCTGCCCATTGTCAAAAACGAATTTGAACAAGAACTCTGTGAACCTGAGCAGTGCCCGTTTGTTGTGACACTTGACACAACACATGTCTTGAGAACATTGCAAAAAGGTCGGGGAACTTCCATTGCCATAGCGTCATTCATTTGCTAATGATCGTGGCTAGGCATCCCTCACAGACACTTGTGCTTTGTAACAAGAGCATCTTTTGTTTGCCGTCCTTGCATTTTATTCTATCCGAGGTGTCGATTCGCCACAATTCGACAACGATAAACATCCGCTTGAGTCTCAGCGCGACACGATACGAATTGCTGGAATCGTCTGCGCTTGCTGCCATGGCATTTACCAATCCCACAGCTCGATGAACACAGGTAAGTGTAAATATCAACAGCACAAAAAGGGAATTCAACAAATACAAGTTGCAGACATCAAAATTTGATGTTTCTGGCTGACAAAGTGTTTAACAGAACTTTTCAACAGCCTTGGAATCCAAATCGTGGCTTCCCTCAGTCTCTCCTGTCGCAGTGCTTTTCTGCAAAGAGCTTGCCGTGCATTGGACCTTCCTCTTGAAACGCCTGGTTATTCCACTCGCCGATTCTACTTTCCCATTGCGTCTCGAAAATGGACGATACTAAGCAGCCGCAGCAGCAGGCTGGGCAGGATGTGACTCTGCCCATGTCCATCCCCAAACCGCGGGCTCAGGACTTTGCCCCAGACTTGACCAGCTCTCCCATATCGACATCCCCTCACACATCCGTCGACGATACACTCGACCCAAACATTACCGATCTGACTGATGAGATGGGTCAGATGTACAACAGCAAGAGCGGCCTCCGCGGCCCGCCGCCCCCTCGGCCAGATCTGACCGATGTGCTGAGCATTGAGCAGTACAAGCAACTTGCAAGGCTCATCACAATCATCCTAGAGGGCATGAATAAATCGCTTAAGGAGCTCTGGGAAGATATGGGAGTGGCCAATAAGCACAAGAGTGCAGCTGAGCCGCGCATTACCGGCCCTACGCCAATGCCGGCCATGTTCGTTTCCATTCCGAACCCTTACAGCCCAAAGTATGCCCACCTGTACGGCAACAAGCCTCTCATTCCCGAGATTGAAGCACCCAAGGACGGCAATGCTGCTACCTCAAATGATGAAAACAAGGAGAACAAGGCTGGGTTCAATACTCCGGTGCCCACTAGCACAACTGCTATCGTCGATAAGAAAACAAAGACGAAATGGCCCAAGCCTCAAGTCTTCCTCCCCCCTGGAATGACTACCGATGATATCAAGGCCACCAATGCGGGAAACAAACCTAAGAGTTCCAACAGCCCAACGCCGCCTAATCTCCCAGTTGGTATCCACGCGGATATGCTTCCCCTGAAGCTGCCCAAATCCTTCGGAGATGCTGTTGAGATGTACGGCACCAAGACTGAAGAGGAGATTATGCGTAGTCAGATTACTGAGCTGAAGCGCGATTCGCTCGCTCACTTCGGAAAATTTAGAGCTAACGTTGCCAAGCGTATGGACAGCGTCCTCATCAGAAAGGGAGGTAGAGAGGGCAACGTCATTCAGCCTCAGCTTTCTTTCGAGTCGCAAGCTGGCCATGTTGGCCAAGTTTCAGGCATCCGACGTGGCTCTGGCGGCGGATTTCCGGGCAGTTTCAAAGGAAGGTCACAACATGGTTATCCGAGTGCTCCATCACATGTCCAAGGCAATAGTAAGTACTTCTTGTGAGACCCGTGATTGCCATAGCTCGGCCATCTTAAACCATTTTCTTCACATGATGAATCAATATACTGACGGTATGATTCTGTTCAGACGTTTCTTCAACATCCACTACCGAGTTCGACACCATCAGCATTCGTTTGTTCTCTCCTCACAGCACCCCCTTGAGCAACCAACCCAAAGAGAAGCGTGCTTGTATCTTGCACTGCGTTGCACTGATCTTGCTCGGTCTGGATAACTACTGTAGCTACAGTCGTGCGCTCCTGTGCCACCTGGCAACCTCCCTGTCAATCCCTTTGCACGTCCTTACCGATGACGAGAACCGCATCGGCAAGGCACTGGCCAAGATCGTTGATTGTATCACCCCGGAGGAGCTCCAGGCGCGACGTCTCGAAGAGGGCAAGAATCGTTTCCGTCGCAATCACCTGAAGCAGCTGCAGCCGCAAGATCCCAGTGCCTCGGTCAATGCTTCTCTAAATGCCCCTAATATCAGGCCGCCCAATGCCGTCAACGGCGAGACCGTGGGCGGGCTGGCGGCACCTCTCGTCTCTGCAGGACTTAGTACGGTCTTTGGTGGCTTTGGCGTTGGTCCCGCTGCTGCCACCACCATGCTCCAAGGCATGGCAGAAAGTCCCGTCGTCGTTGGAACTCTGTTCGGCTTGTATGGCTCGCGCGCAACTGCCAAGATGACGGAATCGTACGCAAAAGACATCCAAGACTTTGGTCTGATTCCAGTTCACGGTCAAAAAGATCGAACCGCCATGAATGATCCTTTCGATGTTCCCGCAGATGACCGTCGACTTCGCCTCACCATTGGCGTGACCGGTTTCTTTGACCCAAACATCCCTGATGGTGACGATTGCAAGAACCCCTGGAAGTGTCTTGGTGATCTGAATGAGGTGTACAGTCTTCAGTGGGAAACGGAGGCACTTCTTAAGACAGGAGCCGCTCTCGATAATGTACTCAAGGCTCCTGGTTGGACCGAGGCAAAACAAGACAGCACTGGAAATAGTATGTGCCTTTCATCAACTCCGTGGTGTATAGTGACTAACCTTCGACTAGTTTCCGAGTCTATCAATACTCTGAAGTGGCCCGCCGCCATGATCCGCTGTTGTAAGATGATTGATAACCCATGGGCAGTCTCCATGGCCCGCGCGGAAAAGTGCGGTCTGGTCCTGGCTGATATGATCTTGGGAAACATTGGCGGTCATCGCCCCGTGACCCTCATTGGTTATGGTGCTGGTGCCCGTGCAATCTGGGTTGCTCTTATGACGCTATCAGAAAAGCGCAGCTTTGGTCTTGTTGAGAATGCTGTCCTGATGGGATGTCCCAGTCCGTCTAACACTCAGTCCTGGGCTGCGGCTCGAAGCATCGTAACTGGTCGACTTGTCAACGTGTACAGCAAGAAGGACATCATGATGGCCTTTGCCATGCGCCTGTGCAACTTTACCGCCGGCATCGCAGGCTTGGAGGAGATTGTTGGCGTCAATGGTGTCCAGAATTACGATGTCTCGAACATTCTCACTGCGCACAGCCGCTACAGATATTTGGTTGGCCCAATCCTTCAGAGACTCGGTTGGGAGGATGTCCGCGCCAAGCAGGGACAAGAACAATTCGCTGAACTTGACAAGATGATCAGCGAAGAGAAGAAGCGCGATGAGCTTCGTGCCGCATTCTCAAGGAAGATGGCTGCTAGCTGCGTCGAGCAGGAGCAGAAGGCTGAGACAGCCTACACAAAGACTACCACCACAGTGGCAAATAAAGGATTGAAGGTCTAGGAGACTGATACTAAAGGCCAGGTAGGAATCAGTCTTGGCGACACTCAGCAGAACGATGACAAGGAGAATGTCAGACCTGTCAATGGTCGAGACGAGACTGGCCGCACTCCCGCCGGCGGTTCAAAGAGCCGTAAGAAGCGTTCTGGCAAGGGCCGAAAGCGTGGATAGAGGTCATGCGAATCCTCATCAGATCATGAGTCTGTCCGTCTCTGCAGTTTCTTATTCAAAACCACCGAATACGACATACCTGCACCACCTTGTAGAGTATTCACTAGTGGTCCGCATGGTCGTTCATGGGTGGCCTCCTGACAGTTACATCAAAATGAAGATTTGCTTTTGGAGGATTGTTATTCATATCCAGTCGCCATAATTGACCAGGGGAAATCAGTCAGGGAAGAAAGATACGACGAAAGAAGAAGAAGAAAAAAAGGCGGAGAGAAAAGAAAGGAAACGAAGTATAGACACCAGACACCCAGAGATGAGATACACGGCATGGATATACCCCGAGCTTGGTAGTTGTAAAGACCTAGCTCATGTGCATTGTTTTGACACTTCCATCTGCAATTTGGTAGAAACCCTTAGGTTGAAACATAATTCTGCAGTGGAACACGCGAGACCATCGATGAAATACTTCACCGTGACATATCTTTATAATTTGCTGACCAAGTTTGTGAGTGGAACTCTGTCCTGTCCATAATCATATGAAGGCTCCATGCCTGGGTATATTGTGTTGGAATCGATATGGAATTACTGCAGGTAGCCCCTTTGGATATGTCTGATCCACTACTGGTGTGCTCATTTCCCAGGTCCGCTTCTGACCACAAAGTATCTTCCAACCTTTTCGCTTGCACCTTTGAGCACATCCCAGTCCTCGACGCCTTCAATCTGTTGGCCAGATCTTGTCCGTCGCCTCCTCGGCCGCTTGGCATGGCCGACCACATCTTCGGCGGCGAGAGCGCCCTCGAGGTCCGCTAATCCGACGGTCTGCTCACTCACACCAGCGGTCGTTTCGTCGCGAATTGAGACTAAAGGCTGGACACCAGTCGTGTCAATGGACTGAATACTGCGCACAAAATGTAGCTGCGCCCTTAGTGTGCCGAGGAGCTGCGATTCCTCGGCTTCCGTGGCGGGAGGAGGAAGGGCCGAGAGGCGGAGGAGGTGTCGGAGGGTTTGGGGTGTGATTTCTTCTTCTTCTTCTGCTGTCTGCACTGCTGGCGAGGAGGAGGAATTGGAAGACGATGGCGGCAATAGGGAGCGAACGGACCACGTCGGCTTAGCGAGAATCTCTTCTGGCGAGGGATCGCGCGACTGATCTGGGGCGAATATGCGCCGCGCCGAGGTGGTTGAGAAGGGTCGTGATTTACTCTGGCACTGCGCCTCGAAGAGTGATTTGGACGGAGAAGAGAAAGTTGACAAGTTTTGTTGCCGTATGGCCGGTTGTATGGCTCGCCGGCTTGTGCCTCGTTGTAGCCGCAGGGCTGTTCGGCATTGGCTGCATATCGTAATGGACATGATGACTGGCTTTTGGTGGTTTGAATGCAGCCAGGAAAAGTCCGTTGCGCCGTCGTGAGAGGCCCGACCGTGTAGGGGCTTGGTCAAGAAGCGTTTCGAGGTATTTGTAGTCAATGGGCTATATAAGCCTTGTGTTTGTTTCGCGCAATGGCAGTTTGGGGCGATATGTAATTTGGTTATTTGGAAGTTGAAGTATGGTTGGCGATAGTTTGAAGAGCTTCACGAGATTCGACTGCTTGGATCAAAGTATGGACTACCTTGGTTTGTTCTGCAATTGGCCCATTACCTCAGTACCCTGTACTTTAGCCCCCACGCTGCGGAGCAGATTCGGGGTCCAAGTACCAGGAACTGCTGGAAGCCTGACATGAAGCAAGGCGCAGCAGCGTCATAGCTCCTAGGCGCATGTTTTAGGCGGTTGTTTCCGCGACCGTGACCAAAGTGGCCCAGAGCAATAGCTGACGCATGCAACACTGATCAACGCCATTCCAACTGACACGCAGACGAATTTGCAACTTGCGCGCAGCATTTGATACCCCAAACCTCGATTATTTTCCATCAAACGAAAGCACATCCCTCGAAACGAAATAACGCCGTCGTCACCATGGCAGGAGATCCCCGCGCTCTGCTTCAGAAGGTCGGCAATGATACCCCGCCAGATGCCCCCCGCGACAGGATGCTGATGCGCAGTACAGGCAGACAAGGCACTGTCTTCCGCCTCGGGAGGATTCAGTTTCTTCGGCGGCAGGGAGGAGAAGTACATGACTGCGGCAGATACCTATATTGAAGCAGCAAATGCCTTCAGGGTGCAGAAGATGAGTACGTAATACTCGCACCGTCTCACGATTCAGGGACACCATTCAGGTCCCATCGAATGTCGTTTTGTACGGCCAGCCTCTTGCAACAACCGATGGCTGACTTTATGAGTGTGAAGACAGGGAAGCAGGCCAGGCTTTCGAGAAGGCTGCCAGCGTGCAGATCAACAAGTGAGTGATTGGACCAGGTGAGATTCTTGTGGGAGATTCTGACCCCCAGCAGTCTGAAAGAGCCCGATGACGCTGCCAACACCTACGTCGATGCATTCAAGGTCTACAAGCAAGAGTCGCCCGAGGATGCCGTGCGGTGTCTTGACTTCTCGATTCAGCAATACTGCAAGAAGGGAAACTTCCGCCGTGCTGCTCAGCACAAGGAGAACCTAGCAGAGGTACTCGAGACACAGATTGGCGATATCAAGCGCGCCCTTGAGGCCTATGAACTGGCTGCGGGCTGGTACGAGAGCGATAACGCTGCAGCGTACGTAATACTCAACATACCCTTGGCTTTTGATTTCAAAGCATGAATTCAATGTCTGACCGTAATTGTAGTCTTGCGAACAAACTCTGGCTCAAGGTCGCTGATATTGCCGCCCTTGACGCCGACTACTACAAGGCCATCGGAAACTACGAAAAGGTTGCGACTGCTAGTGTTAGCAACAACCTTATGCGATACAGTGTCAAGGACTACTTCCTCAAGGCTGGCATCTGCCACCTGGCTACACAGGATTTGGTTGCGACCGACCGGGCTTTGGAGAAGTACCGTGATATGGACCCGACCTTTACCCAGACTCGTGAGCACCAGCTGTTGGTGGACCTCACTGAAGCCGTCAAGGCTGGCAACCAAGAGGAATTTACCGATCGGTTGTTCCAGTTTGATCAGATGTCCAAGTTGGATAAGTGGAAGACTGAGATCTTGGTTCGGGTAAAGAACATGATTGTGGCCGAGGAAGAGGACTTCTCATAAAGAGGGAAACCATAGAAAGTCAAGCGTATAAGCGGTTTGTGGCCAATATTCTGGAAATTCACACACGGCAAAGACCAACGGAAAGCAAAGTGATTTGTTACTGGGGAACTGAACTCAATAACTCATTACTGGTGTCATTCACGTACGGTATAGGAAGACTGATAAGGTGTAGACCCGGAACCAAGACATCGATTTAAATCAACACAGATATCCATAACCAATACATGTTAACCAAGGACCGCAATGCTTTTCTTCCCAGTTATCCATGCCAAAACGCCCATTCCCGTATGTATCCACCAGGCAATATGAATGCTTGCCCCCGAAAAGATGAGTATGTGAACCGTTAAACCAAGTGCTCATAAATCATGATGCTTTGAAGAATGCCCCGCAATTGTAAGTGCAAAATCCCTTTTTCAACGCCCCTTTTGTACAACCAACAATGTTTCTCCTCCAATTTGCCCAGTATAGTCTACTCTCAGTGAAGCTTGGCCATCAAAACCATATCAAAGTGCGAGCCAATCGTCATGTTTGCGAACTCTTGGTGGGCAGTTTCGTCAACTACGGTCCGAATTTCTCTTTGATGTCGTGCTGCGCGAGAGAGACTCTAGGTTCTCCGGTCGCACAAAGACGAAGACGGGCGACACGGCGGGCATATTCTTTAGAATCTCACGAGCGTATGGCGAGGTTCGGTCCCATTGACCTTGAGAGTCGAGACTTCTGAAATCCTCGCTATCATCAATGACAGCATACTTGAAGCGATGCTTTGTCTGTGGGTGTTCGAGCAAGGTCGAGGGTACCACCTCTTCCCGCCAGCCCTGCTTGGGCCACATGATTTTGGTATAGGGTAGCTTCCAAGTGGCGTTCAACCAAGCCTCGCCAAAGACGAATTCGAGGTCCTCCCAGTGGGCCGCGTATTGGAAGAGACGCGTCAGGGTGGTGAACTTGCGATACCACTTGACGGTGGGACCTCCGTTCTCGTGAACAAAGTCGAGCAGCTTATGGGCGATACGGTTGATGGCGTCTGTGTCCCGCAGGTCGACGAGTACGAGGTACTCGGGACCAAAGAAGCTGTCGACCATTTCCGCGGTCCAGTCCCCATCGGCGCAGATGACTCCCGACGCGATGCGGATGGTTTGCAGATCGGGAAAGATTTCTCGATCGCTCAGGCGCTGCAGGCGATGGTGCAACTGCAATGGCTTGAGATGCTCGAAACTCTCCATGACGACGTGCTTGGTCACGGTGTGTACGCCAATGACCTTTTCGGCCGACAGGGAAAGTAGAGGAAATCCCGGTCTGGGCTGAACCAGGTCAGCGGTGGGTAGAAGATACTGTGAGGCTTGATGTTAGTGCTTTGAATTATATGAATATGTCCGGACTCGTGTGCTCTGAGTAGCAATCTCGAGACATACGGGTGCACAGCATCATCTCGGAGTACTCTAGAATGGGGCAGGGCGTGATAAAGGAGGAAGGCTTACGGATTTCTTCCGTCGATTTTAGGGCGTGGGCGGGCCAAACGATAGAAGCCTCCCATCTCTTCTATTGCCTCCTTGACCTCTGCGTTGAAGTTGGCAATAGCTGGAGGTTTGAGTCGAGTCGCAAAGCCCCTGAGCCAGTACTTGGGCGCCAGCAAGAGCTTGCTGGGCATGGCTTCCATCCATATTCTCTTTTTGATATGGATGGGAAGACTTTTAAATCCCGGCTTCTTTCTGATGGCCAGGGGTGCCGGTCTCAAGCCGTCGCTGGTCTCGCTTGCCTGCGTCGAACCAAGATCTTGGGAGTACGTAGAGTATATGGAGTCGAGGTCCTGATCTGTGTACTCTGAAACGGTATCGTTGTACGAGTTCTTGAGGCATTTGGTGGTAGCCGAGGGCCGCGGGTGAAGTACGTCTCTGCGTCCATTTTTCAAGAAGCTGGCGGGATATTGTGAGTACATGGAATCCACTTCTGGCTCCGTCTTTCCTGAACCAGCGCTTTTTCTTGTCACTGATGGTGTCGGCTCGATTTTATTGCTGGTATTTGCTGCTGGCTGCTCTTCGGCATACATTACATAAATGGAATCCACCTCCGTCTCGGTACTCTTCGACTCGGTGCTTTTCGACTCGGTACTCTTCGACTCGGTGCTGTGCCTTGTTGAACCATGGTTGCGGCGGTCGCTGGAGGACAGAGAGGCCGCGGGAGTCAAAAGGTTAGGACTGTGGCGTGTCATGTATTTGAGATAAAGCTGCAGCGGCACTTTGAGATAAACGTGCTCCCTCGTGACCAACTCTTGCTCTGCCTCATGGAGGAGCTTTCCAAGACTTGGCATGCTCTCCGGTCGGTCGTACATGGTGGAGGAGGAGCTGTAGCTCTGCTCCTTTACAGGCTTGTTTCTTTGGGCCTTGCATGATGCGGCCATGGTTATTGAAGAGGAATTTGTTTTATGAGTATAATAAGGGGTATTTCAAAGGCTCAGTTTGATATCTTCTTGGGTTGGTAGATTGAGGAAGAGAGAAAGAGAGAGTTATTGTCAGGTTTGTGCAGATTCAAACTGGTGTGAGTGTTTCTGTTTACTTCAGGCTTCTGTTTGTGTTTATTTCGGCGGAGATACATGTAGACCTTGTTGGCACCTCGGAAGGTTAATTTGTGCCCAGAAAAAATCAGTACCACACTGCGGTATGGTGTTTTGGTAAACGATGCCTTCTCTTCTACTGGAGCTTGTAGGTGCATCCTGTTTTTTGCTCGCCGTCCCAATGAGAAGGGAGGACGACAGAAACCTGAAGCAATATATTATTTGTGGTAATCATCTATGTGTGGACGAGTGAATGTCTACAGCTCAGAGTACACAGTTTCGTGAATAGTGTACCTTCACAATATACCCTTTCGGCGCAGCCATCGGTCAACATATGTTAGTTGCTGTGCGACCACAACTCAGGCGAACTCTATCGAAGGTTTTTTCTGTAGGTATCTCTGGTTCTTGGACATACGGTCACAAGGAATATCTCCTCGATTCTTTGTTTACTATGTGTATCAAAATCCGTTGATTTTGAAATGCTAAATGTGTCATTTATTGATTATCTACACGATCGTACTTCTCAATATTGGCCTGTATGATCATATACTCATCCCGGATCTCTTTATGATCCGTGCATCCATTCTTGTCTCACACGTATCAAATCCACGCTATTGCCGAGGGGTCCTGTGGTACGTACCCCTCATACCTAAAGTGCATTGATGGGGGCGCTCGAGCTGCGACAACTTTTTTTTTTGACGTTTAAGTGGGGTCGATAGCCGATAAGATAAAAATGATTCCCAAAAATTTCCCAAAACCACAAGTGTGAGGGACGGTACAGTTTGGTCTGCCCAAGAGAGAGACACTGGTTCAGAACTCTCAAAATGGCGACTTTGGAAGAGAAGCTGGACAAGATCCGGTCGCCGAATCTTCAGAGTCAGCAGCAGGTTAGTAGTCCCTTTTTATTACAGTGCATTGCGCAGTACAGGTTAAATCACATTCCGCGGGCAACAGCAGCTAACATGACCGCCCTCTCAATCAGACCGTCGTCATCCTCAAGGCAGTCGACGAGACGCTGAAGGAACAAAACACGGCACCGACGCCTACAGGCTACTTTGCCGCCCTTCTCGCACTTCTCAACCAATCCATCTCCAATGGTCAAATCAACAAGGAACTGACCCCTTCGGTCGTCTATCTTCTCGACGTTGTTACGCCATTCGCTCCCCACTCACTCCTCCGATCAAAATTTACCCAGATTCTTACGCTGCTCGCGCCCGTGCTGCTCCTTGCAGATGCCGAGGCCCCGCTGCTCAAGCCATCCATTGGATGTCTCGAAGCTCTTCTTCTCGCACAGGACCTGGCAGCATGGAAGCAGTCTACCAACGAGATTAGCCCGCGCAGGGCCGTGGCAGGACTCTTGAACCTCGCCATAGACCACCGACCCAAGGTCCGCAAGCGGGCACAGGATGCTCTCAAGAAGATCCTCACCAACCCCCCTCCCAGCCCGTCTTTGGACCACCCGGCCGCCGACCTTTGCGCTGAAACCGCCATGAGGAGCCTCGCTGAGCTGGCCGAGAAGGCTGCGGCCTCGAGAAAACAAAAGAAGTCGGCCGAGGGAGAGCACGACCCGGCTTTGATCCATGCCCTTCAGCTCATCAAGACGGTTACTCTCGCATGTGGCGGCTGGCCGAGCAAGAACATTGAATCGCTCTGCGAACTCCTCCTCGGTATTGCCAAGACCGGAAACGACCACATGACCATGGCCGTCTTTGACATTTTCGAGATGATCTTCGAGGGTATGGCTACCGAGGAAATGGCCTCTGTCAAGCTCCCACGCCTGCTCGAGATTATTGCCGAATTGCGACCTTCTGCCAACGACACACAACTTCTTCCCCCTTGGATTGCTATTCTGTCGAGGGGCTACGACGTTTCTGCCCAGATGGAACCAGAGGATACCTTCCAGAAGCTGCCCGATCTGTTCAGCTTGGTCTCCGAGTTTATGGAATCATCCTCGCATAACATCCGCGTTTCCGCATCAGAATGTCTGATCTCTTTCGCGGCCAACTGCATTCCCAACCAAGTCATTTTGGAGCCATCCATCTATGACGAGAAGGTTCTTGAGAAGCTAGCGCAGATTGCCGAGAAATTCCTCACTGTCCAGTACCAGTCAGCATGGATGCAGACCTTTAACGTCTTTGGTGGCCTTTTTGATGCTCTCCGATGGCGATCAAACCCGATACTCCTTGGCATCGTAAAAGCCGTTGGCGAACTCCGCGGCAACGACTCTTTCATGGGTAAGAAGGAGGCGGACGATGTGCTTGGCAAGGCTGTGAGAGCCATGGGCCCCGAGGCTGTTCTCAAGGTTCTGCCTCTGAACCTGGCAAAGCCTGCAAGGGGCCAGCCTGGCCGTGCGTGGTTGCTTCCGATCATGCGTGACTACACAAGCAACACCAACCTTCAGCACTTTAGGGACGAGATGGTACCTCTCAGCGAGGCCATGTTCCAAAAGGTCCTCGACAATGGCGATGCCCCCAAGACTATGGAGATCAAGATATACGAGACTCTGGTCTCGCAAATTTGGTCCATCTTGCCTGGATACTGCGACTTGCCGTTGGACCTTACCACGGCTTTCGACCAGTCGCTTGCAGAGATGCTAGCTAACCTACTCTACAAGCAAATTGATTTGCGACTCGAAGTTTGCAGAGCTCTCAGGACCTTGGTTGAGTCCAACCAGGCCATTGCTTCGGTGGAAGATGCTGAAGATCTAGTCCTGCAGAGCCGGGTTTCGAAGGATGATGCAAAGAAGAACTTGACCTACTTGGGTACATTTGCGGGCAATCTGCTTGCTGTGCTGTTCAACGTTTATAGTCAGACTCTTCCCCAATCACGAGGACCCATCCTGCAAACTATCAATTCTTATCTGAGCATAACTCCTAACCAGGAACTTATTGAGACATTCGACAGAGTTAGCAACATGCTTGCCCAGACCATCGCCGAGGCAGCCAGCGAGCAGGAGAAGAACAACAAGCAGCAGAAGCCCAAGGACCAGATGCCATCTACAAGCCATACACTCATGGACCTGGTTATTACCATGTCTGCGTATCTACCCCGTGAAAGTTTCGGAGCTCTTTTCAACATCTCATCTCTCATTATCGTGAAGGATGACGACCCACAACTGCAGAAGAAGGCCTACAAGCTTATTCCTCGGTTAGCAGGATCTGATATTGGTAAAGTGGCATTGCAGGAACGATTCGAGGAATTGCAAAATCTGCTACTCTCCAGCTCCGAGAAGGTGTCCATTCCAGCCCGGAGAGAGCGGATCGCTGCCATTGCGTCCATGGTCCCATTCATCCCCGACGATGGACTTCATTTTATTCCCTCTGTCCTCTCGGAAGTTGTGATTGGCTGCAAGGAGAACAACGAGAAGGCAAGAACTTCGGCATTTGATTTGCTTGTTGCCATGGGCCAGAGGTTAGAACAGTCCAAGGGCAAGATGATTGTCAACAGCAAAGTGCCTCACATGCCCGCCGACGCGCCGTCGGTTCCTGCTGGTATCGAGGAGTACTTTACCATGGTCAGTGCCGGTCTTGCTGGCAGCACTCCCCATATGATTTCTGCCTCTATTACCGCCATAACCCGTATTCTTTACGAATTCCGCGAAGCCCTTAGCCACGAAATCATGAGCGACCTTGTACAGACCATGGATCTATTCCTGACGTCCAACAACCGTGAGATTGTCAAGAGTGTCTTAGGTTTCGTCAAAGTGTGCATCATCAGCTTGCCAACAGAAATGATGGTTCCTCGACTGCCATCCCTAATTCCCAACCTGATGGTCTGGGGTCACGAGCACAAGGGACATTTCCGAGCCAAGGTCAAGCACATTTTGGAAAGAATGATTCGTCGCTTCGGCTTCGACATTGTGAACAAGCACTGCCCCGAGGACGATCGCAAATTGATCAACAACATTCGCAAGACCAAGGAGCGCAGCAAGAGAAAGAAGGAAGCCGCCAAGGCCGAGGGCCAGGAAGAAGACGAGGATGAGGCTGATGGCAAGCGCCGCAGTCGCTTCGAGAGCGAATACGACGAGGCGCTTTACTCTAGTGACGACTCTGATGCCGCCGAGGACTCTGACGAGGAGATGGGCGGAAACGTCTCCAAGAAGGGCAAGAAGGGCGGAAACACATACATCATGGAGGATGAGGACGAGCCCCTCGATCTGCTCGACAAGAAGGCCCTCGCCAGCATCTCGTCGACCAAGCCCGTTAAGATGCGCAAGGCAGGCCGGACAAAGGCCAAGACCGACATGGACGGCAAGCTCATCCTTGGCCAGGATGACGAAGACGATGCCATGGTTATGGACGCACCTGCCGAGGGCGGTGACAGTGGTGTAGGCGCCTACGTTGCGGCCCTCAGAGGCAAGGATGCAGCCCGTCGTGGACAGCGTGGCCGTCTCAAGTTCTCCAACAAGCACAGAAACCAGGATGACGATGATGATGAGATGGAAGTCGACGAGCGCGACATGGCCGCCATCAAGCACACTGTCAACAAGGCTCACGGAGGCGACCGGGGCGGAAGAGGCGGCCGTGGAGGTTGGGGAGGGGGCCGTGGAGGAGGCCGTGGAGGCTGGGGAGGAGGCCGAGGAGGAGGAGATCGTGGAGGAGGAGGCCGCGGTGGCAGAAGTGGCCGAGGAAGCTTTAACGGCGGCCGGAGAGGACTCGGCGAGGACAAAAGACACGGGGCTTCTGTACAGGGCGGTGGCAAGGTGGGAAAGCCTCATTTCCCAAAGGGAGGAAGGCGATAAGCAGATGATTGATACCCTTCTCGAAGATGCTGCCTTTTACTATTGCTTAAAGGGGTATATAGTTGCTTCGCTCTCGAATTTTACCAGGCGTACCGGCGGTTGCATAGGAAGATAAAAAAGACAGTCCAGTTAGTGATGAATTTGACACGACATAACAATACTAAAACGAAAATTTCATGTCTAGAGTGACAAAAAGACACTCGAGACTCACAGTCTTGCGTGAATGCATAAATATGAGTATATACCCATGGAACGAGTGTGGCATTCCATGCATCGTATCGCTACTGAAACAAAGGCTCTTGCTCTCTGTCCTTGAAAATCATAATAGTAGTGACACATATTTCCATACACAATTGTAAAAGACCACCGTCAACAATCCGGAACGCCGAAAAATATGTTGTGATAACCCGCTTGCATCGTTGTCCGTCCCTCCATCCTTTCCACTCTATTTAAACTTGCTGAAAATAACGGCAAAAATCAACAGAACCAATACAGTGATAATGGCAATGGTGATTACCCGATTTGTAGCCATCCTAGGAGACAAGATATGTTAGCCACAGTTCTCCGTTCCTGTGAAATTTGATCTCGGTATCACTCTATGATGAGAGCTTGAACTACCGATGAGGAGAGGGGGTTGTGTTGAGTTTTCATTAGGGAAGCCATTACCTACGAGCCATCCCCCTCAGCGTCTTGACGCTTCTATCAAGGTATCCCTCGCTCTCATCGAAGCGGGCCTGGGTATTCATGATGCGATCGCGCTGGCCGTGGAGCTCGGCAAGGGTGCTGGCGCCAACGGCCTCGGTCTCGTAGGCGAGGGCCTGGCTGTTGCGCAGGCGCTGGGTGCTGCGGTCGAGGCGGTCGGTGCCGGCGAGGAGCTGCTGGCGCTGCTCGAGCTGGGCGTCCTGCGGGCCGCCCGAGGGGTTGTCCGTGTACCGGCCGCCAAAGAGGGCCGCCCGGTCCGAGGCCAGCGAGGTCAGCTTGCGCTTGTACTGGTCCGCCGACGTCTCAAAGTTGCGGAATCGCTGGTTCACTTTGGCCCTGGCCGACGAGGGGATATTGGCCTTTTCGAGGCGCATCTGTCCGAGCTATTTTCGTTGCGCAATTCTCATCAGTTACATGGTTCCGTAGTTGTCCTGCTGCGACTACCACGATAGCAGGCGGCATGTTGTCGGTAAATTCGGGAGGGTTTCCATCCTACCAGTTCATCAGCCTCCTCCAGCGCTCTCTCTGCCTGCGAGATGGCGGCCTTTCTCGGTTCGCCGCTCAGCTCGGGGATCTGGTCCAGCTTCTGGGTCAGGTCGGCCTGTACGAGCTTGAACTCGGCCTCGTAGCTGCTAAACAGCTCGGAGCCGGCATCGGTATCGAGAGGGTTTGACATTTTTTATATTTTGCGATGATTGACGTGTCTTGTTTTGTTGTTGTTGTCGTCCTTTGCTTCCTACTGGTAGTAGTGGCTGGTGATTGATAACGACGAGGTCCGAAACGTCCTTTGTGTATTCGAAAGTCCCTGAATCCGCGAGGTTTCGTTTTGATCACCCTGTTATCCGTTCTCTGATTACAAGAAGAAGAAGAAGACAAATGAATGAGAGTGGGTATTATTTGTTGCGCGTCGTTACAAGTTGCGTATCATTTCCAGTTCGTCGCAGGTGATGTCAGGAAAGCCACTGCAACAAATGCGATCCCATGCGGTACCTGCCGTTGGGCTTTGGCTTGACCTACTGCCTACAGGCCTCACCTAGGCACCGGCTTTCGGGCGAGCCGATCTCCTTTTGCTGAGCCACGAATCCCAGCTCTCTGGTAACCATGGCACCGTAGCGCCTGAGATGTCCCCCATTTCTCCAGCCACATTAGCCACATTATGTTGTCCCCATCGAAAATGGTCCGTGCACCACGAGAATTTGTGGTTATTAGCAAAATTTTGAAAATTCGCTTTGCTCTGGTTTTCTCTTTTTCTTCTTCATAGAAAGTTGAACCCCCGGCTGCAGATATTTCAATTATGGCTCTGCGTCCCTATTTCTCCAACGGGCGCTGGGTTGAAAAAGCCGGGCAGACTGAAATTGGTGCTTCTAAGAATTGGATATTAGACGAGCCTTCTGGTTTGCCTCTGAGTATTCGGTCCCGTTGAGCCTCGACATTTTTTTAAGTTGTAAAATCTGTGTTCTTGTGTGCGTAAAATATGCGCCATAAAAGACTTGGAAGAGAGCCTGTCTCATGCTCTGCTGTCTCGTATGAAATGTCTGAATTTTTCTTGCAATCGTTCTTGGGAATTCAAATTTGGTACGAATCATTTGAGGTCGTCGTTGCTCTCATTATCAGGCAACGGAAAACGGTTGAATACGCCTATTTTGCTCGATGAGAGGATGCCTTGTGTGTATATCGTACCTGGCATCTACTTGCCAGGCACGCGATCAGACAGATCGGTCCATCTGGAGCTAGGATCCAGAGTTCCACTAGCGGTTCGACACCTTGACAAGATGGTTTGCCTCAAGTTGGGCATATTTGTTTATTGTGGCTCCTGCTATCAACTGATTCATCAGTCAATCATTGCCTGTTCATTTCTACATATGGCATGGTTGCATGTGATATCTTCATCCATAGATGGCAATGGTAGCATTGGCTCCCCAGCCAGCCACAGCAGCCTAATGTCTGGGGGTGGTACAACCAATCCTCAGCTGCATCCTCAGCAGTGCTCTGTAGCAATGTCTGCTGTAAGCACTTTCGGGAGGCATCTAAGGTACCTAACACCTTATTCGCAGCCGCCGAGCACGAGGACAAGACAAGGAGTTGAAGGTCAAAACGCACGTAATCAAGCGGAAGAAAGAGCACATACCAGCCACATGCCAATTAGTTTGTCGTATTGTATTTGCACATCACAAAGAGGGCGAAAAACGGGAAGGCTGAAGAAAATGGACCACGAGGACAATCCTAGGAACAAACCCCCCGTCAAAGCGTCTAGGTAGTAGTAGCGTTGGGGGTTCGCTCCCTGTCGGACAATGCGGGTTTCATCCTGGCGACATGGCGGGCTTAGAGGCTTCGAACTCAACAAAGACGATCTAGCGGCGGCATCGGCTGGGGTGGGCGTGGGCATGGGCGGGCCTCGGATATTGAATCGAATCGAGATAGCAAGAACATGTCTACTGCTCATCATCGGCGCTTTTTCTGCCTGTCACCTGGCTGTATTGTTTTTTTTCTTGTTCTAGTCGACCTTTCTTGTTGTTTCCCAGCACTCTAGCCAAACCAGAATATATCTCCGTCGCTTTTGCCTCGCTCATCCATTGCTTTCGTCTAGAACCACGACATATAGTCAATCAATAAGTGCATTCATTCAGCTGAGCCGGGGGCCAATTGGGAGCAGTATCCAGGAGAATCATACCTTGTCACCTCTTTAGCAATATGCCAGCATCAGGCAGACAAGAACTGTAAGTTGCATTTACTTTGCCAACCTCGACTGTGCAATCTCCTCTCTACCTCTGCTCTAGCCCACATCCCCTTCACATGCAAGTCATTTTTTTATTTTTTATCTTTGCTAGGTACATGCAAGAGATGCACTCAAACACAAAAGAGATGGAGAGTAGATGACACAACAGAGAGGCTAGAGGATTGGCACCTACAGCACGCCACCCACCAAGGGCACACCCAGCTGGCTGCTGCAACTCTGAGAAGCTTGTTATCTTAGCAACCCTAAATGTCTGGCTGGTACTACTGGCTGGACTGGACTGGACTCGCATTACTATACACAAGAGGGTGCAGGTCTCGGTGCAATCAAGCTCAAGCTCGTGGGTGGGCAGAGGGGAAGATTTCGGCTGAGGCGCAACTCTGAGTGTGATGCCCTGTCAAACACATACACTCACACACACGCATTGCCATGGCTCCCATCCGCGTCTGAAAAGTCTCTTTTTACTCTACCATTATGTTTCTCCTCCATTTCCTCTACCTAATCATCCGTGAGCTTTTGGCCCTTGTCGCTGCGCCCTTGTTCGATTTCCCCCTCATTTTCTTCATCACAGCTTCCGCCGAGGAAACCTCAATGACATCATCGGTTAACCGGGTCCCCAGGAAAACAGTCGCCATTGTCGGCACGGGAAGCGCCGGGATTGGCGCATTATGGGCACTGAACCGCACCCATCATGATGTCTACGTCTATGAGGCGGCAGACCGGCTCGGCGGCCACACTAACACCGTTACCTGGAAGCGCGGAAAGTATCAGGCGCTGGTGGACACGGGCTTTATCGTGCTGAACACGGCGACATATCGTACGTTCTTTTGAACCACGGTGCACTGCCTCGTCATGCACATGGATCCTGGAATCCCCGATTTGACTAACACGGATTACCAGCCAATTTTATCAACTTTTTGGAAAGAATTGGTGTCAATACGGTCAAGACTGAAATGACCTTTGGAGTCTCGCGCGACCATGGCAAGTTTGAATGGGCGGGTACAGGTCTCGATGCGGTTTTTTGCCAAAGGAAAAACATATTCTCGCTCAAGATGTGGAGGATGATTTTCGACATTATCCGATTCAACCAGTTTGCCCTCGACCTGCTCAGAAACGACGGTGCAGGTGCCGATGAGACGGAGACGATAGGTCAGTATCTGGAGCGCGAGGGATACTCGGAGACATTCAAGAATGATTACTTGATCCCAATGACCGCGGCCGTCTGGAGCACGAGTCCAGACAAGTGCAGCTTGGAGTTTCCCGCTGTGACGCTCATTCGCTTCATGTAAGTTGGCTTCGGTCGCTAAAGAATATATCTATATATACTGATTCATAATGATAGGTGGAATCATCACCTTTTGACGACAGTCTCAAAGCGGCCGGATTGGCTGACTGTTGAAGGAGGAGCCAAGTCTTATATCGATGCAGTGGTCAAGGGGTTCCCGCCAAACCATCTTTTCACCAACTCGCCCGTCAAGCACATCACCAACGATGCCGATGGCCGGGTGCGCTTGCATCTGGAGAATGGCAAATCCGAGGTCTATGACCACGTTATCCTCGCAACACACGGCGATCAGGCTTATCAGATCATTGAGCCGTCAGCCACCAACGAGGAAAAGTTGATCATGTCGAACTTCAAGACCTCTGAGAACACGGCGGTCCTTCATTCTGACTTAACGCACATGCCGGTACGAAAGAATTCGTGGTCGGCCTGGAATTATTTGACACTTTCGGATCCATGGACGGGCAGAGACATTGACAAGGTTTCTCTGACATACAATATGAATATTCTGCAGCACATTCCTAGGGAGCCATTTGGCGATGTGTTGGTCACCCTGAACCCGATTCACGAGCCAAAGGCCGCCACTGTGCAGGGACGATATTCATACTCTCACCCGATATACAACCCCGAGGCAGTACGCGCCCAGAACCAGCTGCACCGGATCCAAAATAAGCGTGGCATCAGCTATGCCGGCGCGTGGACCAAGTACGGATTTCACGAGGATGGGTTCAGCAGCGGACTTCACGTCGCGCAGGCACATCTCGGAGCCAAATTGCCATTTGATTTTGTGGACTCAACCTACAGCCGCGGGAAGCGACCCAGGCTGGGCCTTAGGGATAGGATTGTGCGACTCATCATACTCGCGATCCAAGTCTTGGTTGTTACACTTTTGGAGACTGTGGTGAGAAAGATAAGGCCTAGCCCGCTGCCCAAGCAGGTCAATGGCCTTCCAAAGAGACGCACCAACGGTTACAGGAGGCTGTCGTAAATCTTTATATATGGAGTTCTCGGAAGCATAGCTTTGGCGTTTGGGTTGCCAGATATCTATTGGCATTAGCATGAGCCGGACATGCCCTGATGTGTATACCCATGGACAAACTCTTGTGTTGTATCCAAAAGGCTTCAAGATGTCCTTTCGGGTACAACTCAAGAGTTTGTCCATGGGTATACACATCAGGGCATGCCCGTACAAGCTCACTTATACCAGATTGTATAATCGTTTTCTAGGGGGGTAGTAAATCTCTAATCATACAAATGACCATCATATCTTCCTCAAGAACCACATGCGACTCATATTGAAGATATTGGCTCGAACGGGATTGAGATAATCAAATGATAACGAAATGCCGGTTTCATGTGATAAATTCTCAAAGTTCAAGATACCTATATTTCGAAATGGTATCAATGCAGTGATTAGCGCGTAGTTGTTGGACTTCGGCTCTCATACAATTAAACTTACAGCGCTTGCAGATCCCTAGCCCGGACAGCAGAGAGAGAAAGAAAGAGGGACCCCTGCCCCCAGCTTCCAAATCCCGGTCCAAATTTAGTGCCAAAAAAGCTACCCCCGAAAGCTCGACGACATCATCCGATTCGCGACCGATAATTTTTGGGTAAAGTTCTCGCATTTGAACCTCCGCAATTTCCCCTTCCTCTCCAGCAAAAGCCATGAATTCCATGCCACGGATGTTCGCGCGCTCGCTCCAGCAGTCCGTGCCGTCCGGCCGGGCGTGCTCGTCCTGCCTCCGTGCCATGCGCCAGTCCCGGGCGCAGCTGCAGCAGCTCGAGAGCTCGGCATCGCGAAGATACCTATCCAACAGCTCACCCAAGAGGGCCACGCCCCAGCAAACACCTCCGCCACAACCTTCGAGACAACAGCAACAACGAGCTGCGACGCCGGACCTTGACAGGCTGAAGGAGTACTACAGGCATAAGAACCACACGGGACTGTACGTTTGCGAAATCCCCGAACGAAAGAAAGAAATGGGAGCAGAGCAAAGAAGACGAGGAGGATATCTCTTGAGACAAGCGTACATTTGCTGAAATTGCCTTCTTTCTCAACCTGCAGGAACTACATTCTCAGTATCATTCTCGGCACCGTAGCCTTTAGCTATGGCAGTGTGCCCATGTACAAGATGGTATGGATATACTGCCCCGCCACAGCTTACAAGGCCCGTAGGATATGAAGATTATCGTGGCATCGTGAACGGACCTGTCAGCTATGCGACAAGAGTCAATTGACTAATTCGGAGGTGCAGATTTGTCAGACAACTGGCTGGGGTGGACAGCCAGTGCGAGCACCAGGCCACGGGCCGAGCGGCGACTCCATCGACCCGTCGACACGGCTGGTGCCGGTAGAGGACGCAAAGCGCATCCGCGTAACCTTCAACGCCTCCGTGTCCGACATCTTGCCGTGGAAGTTCACGCCGCAGCAGCGCGAGGTGCGGGTGCTTCCCGGCGAGACGGCCCTCGCTTTTTACACGGCCACCAACACGTCAGACAAGGACATTATCGGCGTCGCCACGTATAGCGTCACGCCGGCCCAGACGGCCCCCTATTTCAGCAAGATTCAATGTTTTTGCTTTGAGGAGCAGCGTCTCAATGCCGGCGAGACGGTCGATATGCCCGTCTTCTTCTACCTGGACCCTGATCTGCTCAATGACCTCAACATGAGGGGTGTTGAGACGGTGACTCTCAGTTATACCTTCTTTAGTAAGTTTTTAAAACAACATCCCCTTTCTCGAGTTTGGCTGGAAAGCTAGACATCCCTCTGTGATGATTTGTCCCAGATACGTAGCATACAGTTGGACTGACTTTTTCTGCAGAGGCGAGGTATGATGACAATGGTAACTTCAAAAATATCGCGCCAGCTTCATAGACGTGTACAAAAGTATCATAGAAAAAGGCCAAAAGGCCAGGCTACAGAGTCATGTCTATACGATGAACCCTCCTCGATGCTGGTGCATGCTCAATGAAGCGTACCATGCCAAGCCCAGCTGTACTGTTTAAATCTAGAAAAGAGAAATGTAAAACCAATGTACAAGAGCTTTTCAAGCTACCAAAATCTTGTTTCGATACATGTCTTTGGGTCGGTGATCTTTTCAGTGTGGCTAGTAACATTTCCCAGATACTTTCGAGTCTTTAACGACTACAGCGGCTTCGTTGATTGTTATAAACCGCGACGACTTGCAATCAAATAATCAAAAGCAAAGCTGCAACTTTGGTGATATTTGAGCCTTTAGGGACAAATTATGTTGGGGTAGCAAGACTTTCTTAGTGAGATATCTCGCGTTCATGACCGTAGCCCTTGCGGGAAATTCTCCTGCCTTGTGAAAAGAGAACGTTATAATGTGCTAGACGATTTGGGCTCTTTGCAAGGGAACTAGGTACAAATTTGGGGCTGTGGACAACTCGGTATCAAGATGAAGATGGGGTACTTGAGGACATCATCACGAGTGGTCCTTGTATGTCATCAAGAGCATTGACTGCCGTTTGTGCTGCCCATTCGCCTTGTATCAATTACTTTGAAAAGAAATGAATGAAATTCAATGGTATCAAAGGAGAGAAGAGACGAAAGGACAAAAAAGAAGGAAAGAGAAGGGAGAAAAAAAAACTTCCTCCCACAAAAGGCAGGTCTGACGATTCGAGGATTCGAACATGAGACCCCGGAAAAGTGGTTCAATAATTTTCCATGGCCGCACGCTCAGAGCTGGATTACCAACTCGGCCACCGAGACTCAGTCTTGGGGAGAACCCCCAAGGCAGCTCAGGTTTCCTTGGCAGTCTGGTTATTGACTGGACCACTTGATTGAACTTATTAGGTCTACCTGCCATCCCCATTCATTCATTGTGACCTATTTATTTCTCGTTTGTCTTATTTGTTTGGGATTTCCACTATAGAGGGTCATTCAGTTACGGGCCTACTCATTTATTTTCACTCCATCCAAATTTATTGGTTCTGACCCTGTTTCATTCAATCGCTTGATCTATCTATTTATTGATCACTTAAACATTGGAAGCAGATGAATGCAACCATGCTGCATAGCTCTAGAATCTGTGTTGTCTGTAGTCGAATATGCAGATTTATTATTTTATCCTGTTTCTCGCCAATCCAGAAATCTCAAGTGTATTGGCGGTGGCGGTTTTCTCTTTTTCTTTCCCTTCCTTATTTCTCTTTTTTCTTTCCTGTTTTTTTCTTAAGCTTTTCGTATTGATTGATTTAAACTATCCGTTTCCGAAACGGAAAGATCCTTGAGAAGGTTTTTGATAATTACATAAGACGAGATAATTAACTAAATAAACCAGAAATAACATGGGTGGAAGGTCTTAATACCAGCATTACTATGATTTGACTGCCCTTTTCCATTAATCTATGACCACTACCATAAAACCTTCTACAAACTTATAGTCTGGCTATCACCAAGAACGACGACTCGCAATAATGAATCCTGGTATAAGTGGCCGGCTAGACACTTAAACGGCCGGGATAGTGCGGCCATTCTTCTCCCCTTGTTCGTGGTAATCTCGGACTTCATTTCCGAGGGTAACAGCATCTCCAGAACGGTATTCTTCCCGAGCAGAGAGGGCCAAGAATACGGCATCCGTAATGAGCTGCACGAGAAAAGTGAAACCGACAATGTAGAATGTGATAACACCGTCCCAGGCGAGGGGGCCGTCCATGACCGTGTGTACACCCGTGGCAAAGGCAAAGAGAATGGGCATGATGATGTTGAAGGGAATCAGCCATTTGGGAAACAGGGGCCTCTCACGGGTGTCGAGGATGATGGCATAGACAAAGGCAAAATTCTGGACCATAAACGTTGGCCAAGGCATCCTGCATATTATCACATGATTAGTAAGGTTCAATTCCGGTCATGTGCTGAGGATAATCAGCAACGGAATAGACCTCTGAATACTTACAAAGCCACGATCCAGAAGAACTCATTGAGCATCTGTGTAATCTCTGCCGGTCTGTCAGGTCGGAAAGAGGTGATGCACAAAACAATACCAGGCAACATGAAGGTCCAGACACCTGCCGCCGCCGATGATAGCTGTACTTGATGGATCATGTAAGGGACCTTGGGGATGCGGCGGATTTGGTTGGATATGCACGCCGAAAATGGCAGGTAGAATCCTCCGCATATCATGAGAATAGCTCCGCCAGCACGAATGCGAGTGATGTGATCCTGGTAAACTGAAATCTGTTTAGCATCTCAAACGCATGAACTGGCCTGATTGGATTGCAAATAGTGGTTCATAGTCCTATGAACCAGTATATGGGAAAGGGAACAATAACTATACTCTGTGTACTGGTTAGTAAATAAATCTCAGGACATGTCTCGCGGCTTGGAGCTCACATACAACAAGTTGCTACAGTTTGGGCATCCCAGCTGGGACGTGGAGGAGGAATGAAGTCGGCAACAATGAAAGCCAAGATGAAGAAGACACCGGCTAGTGCACCACAACAGGCAGAGTAGTACTGTATGGCCGTGTAGCTAAGTAGCCACGAGCGTGAGGCGCGCACACATAGGCCATTGAGGTAGCTTTCAACTCCCATTTTTTTCAATTTGGAACCAAACGAAGTAGAAGTTTGGGGGGTATGTAGTAAGATTTAAGTGCAAAGCTGATTGATATGAGCTTCTTGATCATAGAAGGGACGGAGCGAGAGGCAATGGGAAGTATTATGGTTGAAGCAATAAGTATTTATACACCTGTATCCATATCCATCCAGCCAGCCTTTTGCTCAGCATGTGCACGTTTCTACGGTAAATGCTGCACTTCTGGAGCAAGTCATTGCTTACATTACCCACAAGATTGACTAAAACGAGCTATGTAGACATCGCGACACGAGCAAAATCTTGATTTTGGACTAGAAGGAGAATCATACTATGGAACGATATTCTCTGGCGTTTCAACATTGGGTAAATCTGCCTGCCTTTTCGGCGCCGAGATTCCCTTAACGGCTGGACCCTGGATGGGAATACTCCCGGGGCTGGCCGATGTGACTTGGTCCCCACTGCGGTGGGAAAAAGGCCGTATTGAACATCAGCCTTTAGCGAGCCGGAACTACCATATCTCCGCCCGTGCATTACCTATTCTGGATGACGCTACGTATGGGATGGGTATGGTTATGGAGGCTTGGACAAACTCGATATACTCCGGTGTGCCCATGTGCGCAACGTTTCCGAGCACTTGGGATACCACAATGGAAGGCATACATTAATTCAAATGGGGAAAAAGAAAAAAAGAAAAAAGAAAAAAAGAACGAAAGAGAGAAAGAATATATTCTCTCGTCAGCGAAGCATAGGCGGAAAAGCTCAGCTTCAATATTCTACCGTCCCCGTATCCAACTTTGATTATTTTCTCGTCTGGCACGGTGAGTGTTGATCTCGCCCGGAGCTGCCTTCGATCTCCCCACCCCATTGGTGCCAAATAGTGTTTCTGCTTGTAGACCAGGCGTCACTCGAGTCCTCGAATATATATCTCTGCACCAACCTGAGCTAGGTGTGAAGCTCCCACTTTTGCAGATATGGCCTGGTGGTATATTTATGATAGGCATTTCGTATATCACGGTATGTACATCTTTGTTACTCATCTGTGGCTCCTGATCAACGCTTAATGTCCGGTAGAGGTCACTAGATCATGTGAATTGTGAATTTTCTGAACCCATCATTTTGAATTGTACACTAGTAGCTAACATAAATAGGTGGGTCGATTATACCTTCTCAAAATTCAAAGGCATAAGCCACATCTCCAGAGGAAGCGGTTGTGCCAATAGTAAACTGATCAAACTTGTTAGTTCCGGTCAAACAGCAAAGGTGTAGAAACCTCGACCTACTGAATCATTCTCAATGTCACGATTGACGTAGCCGTATATACCCGGTGAAGCGACGGCGCCGTATTTACCGTTCCACGCAAATTCACGAACCGTAACTCGGATCTGGCCCGAGGTGGGATAGCCCATCGCTGCCAAACCCGAAATTTGAATCAGGTAAGGGTTTGTGGTGCCGTGGGAGCCCGTGATGATCTTTGTAGAACCAATTCCGCTGCCTGAGCTAACAGCGTACACATCGAATCCGCCATCAGCGGAGGCAGTTGTGGCCAGGCGATTACCAGTCATATTTGCGTAATATGATAATACGTGCCATGACCCAGCTGGACTATACGCTGTGCCGTCCTTTGCCAGAGTGTTGGCCAGGTAATCCGCGGTGGTCTCTGCGGTACTCTCCCAATTCGCGCGGATAGCATGAAGATTTAGACGCTCAAACCGGGAGATGAACCATGCATCATACGAGGGGCGCTGCTCGCCCGTCGAGCCATATTCGTTGACATATATTGTGCGCGAGGGGAGATCGCGATCATTGAGCATAGTTTGAAATGTTGCGTAATTGACCGCTGGATCAGTATCGTGTGTAAGGTGGTGATAGTTATATGTATCTGGTACAGTTCCATTTGATTGAATGAAATCCAGGAAGCGTACCCACCACACGTCAGATGTTGATGGAGGGCCGGCGTAGCCAGGGCCAACGATACGGGTAGTGGCAGGACATAGGGACCTGTCAGTTTTATAACCATCAACAGTGTCCATTCGACCATAACTTAATGGTATCATGTCTGTGTGACTTACTTGAGTTTAGGGTACGATCGGCCCCAGATATTGAGCCATGTGGCACTGGAACTGAACTGTCCATCTGGTTCATTCCAGACCTCGATATCGAGACCCGACGTCATACCGGCCGCTTTAATGTCGGCGCAGAGAGTGGCTAGGAAGGTATCCCAAGAAGACCAGTCCCCGTCACTGCCTGGGTCCGGGGAGCTGCTGTTTCTCTGGCCCCAGAGGTTGCTAACCATCAAGGTGTAGTTACCACCAAATTTTCTCACAGTGAGATAATTAGAATGGACAGCACGGAAGCGGTTCTATCCATATGTAAAGTCAGTATGGTACCAAAAATCACCCAGGAGTCGAGATAGTCATCATACGTTGTACTCATCCTCTCCAAACTGCCAACCGCGGCTCGGGGAAGGAAGATTGCCTTGACCACCTCGGGCATTTTGGAGCTTGATACCCGAGAAATACTGGTCGGGGATTTGTGTTTGTACGGCAGCAGTGGCAGCAGGTGTTCCGGCAACGTAACTGGAGAAGTCATTTGGGGGAATGCCATTATGAACCCCTGCAGCTAGGAATCGAGCAGTACCGGAAGGCGAGTTAAGGGTAACGGTTGCAGTTCCGGAACGAGTAACGTCATTCTTCTCCAACTTGACATTGGCAGGCGACGCAAGGCCCGAAATCGTGTCGAGGCAAAGGAATAAGACAAGTGTAAATCTCATGCTGAAAATTGACGACATGTTGGAGGGAAGGTTCTTGGATTGATGGAACACAAGGCTAAGGATAGGCCAGATATTGTCTATCTATACTTTACCATTTATACTTTGATTCCCTGAACTTCATCCGTTGATCCCAATATCTCCCGTTACGCAGGCCTGGCAAACAGATACCTGCTGTATCTCGCTTTGCATCTGGTGAATTTTCCGATTCGTGGAGCTCAAATGACATTGCTTAATGGCGGAAGGCACGTACTTACTCCGATCCTCTCGGCATAATTGAGAGTCTACGGAGTAGTGTTTTGTTTCACCGGAGGACTCCACCGGAACACCCTCCGGAACATCACTGGAACACCATCGGAATTTATCCCGGCGTGGTACAACGGAGCATTCATCAGCCGAATTCACACGTAGATGAGACCAATTAATTCCGATACTGTACGACTTCTACGAGGAATCAGCGCGAAATGCCGGCCGGTGTTGCTACGATTGGAGATGAAAATGATTTCTTCGTCTCTTCAAGCACCGGAAGCGAAACAATTATTCCGTGGCAAAATAATATATCCACGTCGGGATATAGTCGAACAGCGGACAATACCCGCGCCTCCATAGTTTGCAGCAATATCTCATACTTTACGGCATTAAATGACGTAAAGTAAAAGTAGCCGTAGTGTACGAGGTCTGGTAAAGCAGTCTCGAGCTGTCTTGTTTAACCTATAACAAGTCATCTTTCAGGTCGAAGTTGAGACTGCCGCAACTATTGTATTGGCGTGTGCACTCCGCTCGTGATTATATTCCAACATGACTTCTCACTCAACTGCTTACTCAAATAAAAAAAACTATGCTTTTCCATCAATCATGACCGCTGGTCTTTTCATAGCTTCTCTTCCCGTCAGGCTCGGAAGAAAGTGAGCCACATCACAAATGAATGAACAAACTTTGAGGCGGACCAATGTAGCTCTCTTTTACTCCGCCCAGGTCGACAACAACCTTTTCCAACAGACAGTTTGGTTCGTTCAAGCGAATCTTGAGTAGGTGGGTACCCGTGATACCAAGGTCCACATTGTGGTGTTTAGTCCATGCGCAGTCCATGACTGTCGAGAGCCAGCCTGGCGGCAGGTCACCAGCAACGACTGGCTCGCGGACTAAACGATGAGTCTCTAGATTGCCATCATCAATTACAACATCGTAAGTCAATGGTCGTTCCGGGTTTGTGTCAAGCGTAAACGTGAAGTACAGAACGATCCTAGAGTCCGGGGCCGATGTAAATGTGTGAAATGGATATGATAGAAAGCCAGTAGGGCCTTTTATATCCTCCTGGAGTCCGACTGCACCATCACCCGTTCTTCCAAGGAAAGGGAGAATCTGGTAGACAGAGAGGTCTGGCTGGACACATTTTGTAGCATGCAGAGACACGTAGCCGTCAGACTCGACAAATCCGGTAAAGCCAGAGGGTATGGTACGATTCACCACCTTGGCATGGACGTAGTCGAAATCGCCCATTGAAGATCGAATCTCAATCAATATCTCCTCTTCAAAGCCGTCGGGTACCTGTGGCCAGTCGATAGAGACTTCAATCCGAGCAGACGGAGAATGAGGCTTCATGATATCAGTCTCTCGGGAAAGACGAACCCAAGGATATGGAACACTGAGCGTCCAAATAAACTCGCGCGTACTGCGAGAGAAAATCTCAAACCACCTCGATTCTGCACCAAATGGTTCTAGAGGTGGTAGAGTGACACTAGGAACAAGGTCCCTTCGTGTGGGATGAGTACGATCGGCCTCCTCGCAAATAAGGCCGGGTCGCGTGCCCGCATGATTCTCGACTGCGATTCCAAGATGCCCCATGATGGGATTTGAATCCTCCCTGGTCTGAACGTACGATACACCCTCAATCATGTTGCGCGACGGTGCATAATCGAGTTCTCTGTACCCCAAATGCGGCTGGCGCATGATATGGTTCCATCTTCCATTGAGCAAGCGATGGTACTCTTGACTGAGATCAGCATCCGCGTTGAACAGGCGTAGGACCTCTTCCGCCCAGTGGTTTGCCTCATTCCTTCTCTGCAAGGCGTAGAGCCTGTTCTTAGCTTGCGCCACTCGGAGAGAAATGAATATAGTAGTGGCCTTGATAGGGTGCAGTACAAGCTCATAAAACGCAGCCTGCATGTCTCTGTCTACTACCACGTAAAGAGCTTCTGCCTTGGATAGAATACCCTTCCACTGCTTTTCAATCACTTCAGCTTCACTGTAGTGTGCCAAGGAGAATGAATCCGGCTCAATATGATCGTGCTTGCGTAGTGCTACCAAGCGATCGTATGTGCAGAGAAGTGAAGAAATATCGTCGGTAATGTTTGGCAGGGACCCGAAGGTGTTGCGAGCAAACAGACCAAAATATTGGTCCAAGTTTGAGTGCGTGTACCTCGTGACGTCCCAAGCATGCATTAGGGCAAAGGTCAAGGGGATCTCCATGGGCTTCAAGTCCCCAACGTTGAAAACCCAGATCTGCCTAGCCCCATTCGTATATGCATGGCTCAATTGCTGTTGAACTTTGGGAACATGATTGCTGTTGAGCCACGTGTATGAACGTGGGTGGCCAACATATTCAAAATGGTAGTAAATCTAGAAATGAATTAATACTTGAATCAGACACCAAGGGTTGTCAGAGACTTTGTCTTACCCCAGATCCACCCGAGCGTTTCAATTCATCACCGTATGGAAGTCTTCGAGCCGTACCATAGTTGTCATCAGAGAACAATAGTGTGATATCTCCAGGAATATCGAGACCAGCGGAGAACTGTTGCTGAACCTCCTTGTAGAGAGCAATCACCTCTATCAAAGCAAGTCAGCATTCCGTGTTCAAAAATAAAGTGGGACGAGCACGAACGGTTGGGACCATCTTCCTTCCCATAGTGATGCTTGAATATCTCCCTCTGGGTCTTCAACACATCAGAAATGACAGCTTGCGGGTTGCTGCCCACAATCTTCCTATCACCTTCACCTCGCATACCTACAGTGATGTAGCTTTCGTAGGGCTTGGCTCTTTCCGCCCCTTCATTGAAGAATTTCGTAATCTTTTCTCTATTTGCAAGCCATGACCAACTACCATCCGCTTGATGGTATGGTTCTGAAAACCATTCGTTGGCTGCCCGCTGCATCGGCTCGTGATGTGAAGTGGATATGACGATACCGTACTTGTCAGCCATTTCTTGGTTCAATGGATCGTCAACGAAGAAGCTTTGGCCCGGGTGAGGAAAGCCAAACCACATAGCTGGCCAAAGAAAATTCGCCTGCAACGGTGGTCAGGGTAGAATATAAACATGCTAAAAAGCCTCGAGCAGTATAAAGAAGGGGAAAAGTCATGACTGTATCTGCCACGTACCTTGAGCCTTAACAAGAGCTCAAAAACGTTCTTATAGAACTCAGTATTGAACTTGTCCCCATAATTTTCGTGAACCCATCCTGACAGTGCAGGAGCCTCGTCATTGATGAATATTCCACGATACTTTACGCTTGGGGGCCCTTGACGGGTTTGGACGTCCCGGGCGAAAATATTGGAATGTTTCTGGGGTGGGACATCGGACCAGAAATACCAACTAGTTTATATCAGAAATGCTTTTACCTTGGATAGATGATGATGAGTAAGCTTACGGAGAAATACCAATTTGGTTTGATATCGTGTAGGTGCCAAAGATTGCTCCCCTCTTGTCACTTCCTGCAATTACCAGAGCAGCATCACAGCCTGGGAACGGATCACGGATCAGCTGTGTCGTAAAGCATTCCCATCCATTAGCTATAGTTGATAGCTCCAACTTTCCCGTCGCACTCAAGCTTTGAAGGGTGATGGACCTTTCGAGGGTGCCAATAATGATTGCTTTACGCGCGCCATGCAGCTCAGCAACATTCGTGACAACCTGGTTAGCCGCATCATCTGTTACCTTGGCAAAGTCCTGCGACAAATGGTGGGCAGCGATATGGACACCATCAAAGTCGCCTTTGTCCACTAGTATCGGAACTTTGAGAAGACTGAACCCTCCCCGGATAGCTTCGAAACTGATAATATCTGTCTCAAGCATTGTGGGCTTGTCGTGTTGTGAATTGTACAAATTAGGCGTGGCCTTCTATGTAGGCAAGTCGGACAGACCTAATATTTGGCCCTAAGCAAGCAAATGTTCCAGCAATAATGTTTGTGATTTCGACCGTCAAGTCCTGAACTGTCTTGATCATCATTTATTTAATGCAATGACATGAGTTGTAGATGTGCGGCGGTGATGAATAGTGAGTGGGGAGTTCAAATGCTACAGCTCCTGCACCCCCACCGGACATGTGCACCCACCGGAGGTGTTCTTTCAACAAGCGACTGGCTCGGGATTATCGCGGGAGAAAGGTGATACTGGATGCCAACAAAAGAGGCAATAAAGCCGTTGACCTTACGTATTCGATGCCCGATTTGGAATGCTATATAGCCAATCATGATATTACGCATACTCTTCTATTGGTTCTTTTTTTTTTTTTTCCAAGTTGGAATAGAGAACAAATGGTGCAGACATACCGATCTGCACTACAGAGAACTAAAAAAGACTCTTTATATGAAACAATCACCAAATCTCACGTGAAATCCTAGTTCAAATAGATTGGCAAGTATTTGCACAATATACAGTCATGCCAATAATCATTCCTAGTAGTTCAGGATGTGTAAATTTACTATATTCCATGAAATCAGTTTCAGTCGAGCTGACATGCGTTTTTGGGTACTTTCATTGACTACATGACGAGACCGGTCCAGAAAAGAAACATATAAATAAAACTAGTCTATTTATTTCACCAGAGCCAAAGTGAATGGGAGAAATACAATCGAGAGAGCGCAACGCAAATATCAGACTTGATCCTATCGATCTGCAAAATGTACTTGCTAAATAGCTATTTAATATACACGAGCAGGTTATCTGCGGTGGGTACTGACTACATCAGTACAACAATTCTGGACTAATATCCATCTAACCCCGTAATCCTTGAACCGGCTATGCCGTTGCATCTTGACAGGCCTCGTCGTTGCAATTGGGATCCTTGTCGTCATCGTCTTCGGGCTCACCGTAGTCGTTATCACAATGCTTTGTCCAGAACGCCTCGGTGGCGTACCAAGCGTAGCTGTCGGCGTTGTACAGAGCCTTGTCCTTGTCGAGTTTTCGTGTGTTGACAGGCCCATAACCGTCTTCCTCGTCAGTGACATCCAGGTCGAGGGGAGGTACGACTAGTTTCTCAAAATGTCTGCATATGTAAAGTTAGAAAAAAAAAGTCTGCAAAGAATTGTTCCAAGATTGGAGCGATGGGAATACTTGCGTGAACTCGTGTAGTAGATTAGCACCCAGCGTGTACATTTTCCAGGTCACTCTGTCGTCGACCCAGTCACAATCAATTTTTTGGACATTGTCGTAGCCCTTGTCGATCCCACCATGGGTGAATGCTAAATCGCATAGGATGAGATGCGGGTTGTCTGTGCTCCAGTCGACCAGAAGCGCCATGGTTCCATCGTCGCAGTTGTAATCACCATTTACGTCCTGATAGTCCTTTACAATTTCGATGTTGCCCAGCATGGAATTGCCGGTGGGGTCTGGGTTTGTAGGATCATCGGGGTCACCCATAATTTTGAGATAGACGTCTCGGACAGTGTCCTTGTCATCCTCGTCGAAATAGTTTTCAATTATTTCGTCACGGTCGTCATCATCCAGGGCAGCGACTGCTTCCACACTTAGACTGATCACATCTTTCAATGCATCCTCGATCTGAGTCTTTTGCTGGGCAGTAAAATCCGAAGCGATGGAAGGGTTGGTCCTCTTGAGAATCGACCGCACAGCTTCTGGTGCGTTCTCGAACGGTACAGCGACAGTAGATGATGCTAATAGAGCAAGAAACGATATGGTCTTGAGAGTAGCCATGGTATAGAATGGTCGTGCGCGTTGGGCGTAGTTACAATGAGGAAAGCTCGATTCAGGTGTTTGCGATGATTTAAGAGGTGACGAGGCTGTTGGGGAAGATGATGAGAAGATTAAGTCTGGCCATGGACATTATTGATGATTTATATATCTATTTCCTTCTTCCTTGACCCACCTACGCCGCCCTGCCATTATCCATGGCTTGTTCTTGGTGAGGATATCTTTGGACATCCGAAGTATACAGTTGTATGTCATCATCGAGTCATGTCAGGGGTACATAATTCTAAGGAACATGGTACCTTCTACTTCTATGCGTATTGAGGGAGGGGGGAAAGACTTTGCCGTCAAAAGTAAAGTACTACAATTCCTTGAAGCACCTTATGGTGAACATTGCTTTTCTTGACTCGGTCGTAGCTGCGTGAACATGTTCTAATCTTGGACAGTTTGTTTACGTAAAGATATTCCCGTTGACCCATGTTGCCAAGAGCTATACAACTTCTAACCCTCTTCAAGATAGCAATAGAAGTGGATGACGAAGGATGGAATGTGGCCCAATGCTCCCCTGAGATTTTTAAGAAATGAACTCATGATTTTGAAAACAAATGTCGATCCCGTTATTGTAGATCGACTCAAGTGGGTTTTCTAGAAAACCTTGTTTCAAGTCCTTCGAAATGTTATTCATTTGATTCCAAGAAGCCATCACTCATAGCATATTTGTTGGTGGGTTCTGATCGGCGGTTGGATTCACAAAGGTGGCTCAAGACGCTCAAGTTATAGCGCAGTTGGCAAGATCTGCAACTTGGCAAGGTGCATAACGCGTTATGCTCCATTGTGCCTGAACGGTCCGTGACGGCAGGGGGGATTCATGCCTGAGTAAGTCGTCCAATCAGGGGATCGCAGCAGTGCCATGGCTCTCTAACCTTATTAGATGGATGTGCACCAAGTGGGTAGAACCAATGTGCATAACTATGTAGAACAAGTGGTTTCTAAAAATGTACGTCGTCGTCTGGCAACAAGCGAAAATGACGTTGTTTGCACACAATTGAGAATGAGCCAGGAGAGCAGCGACTTGAGGCGCCAAACCAGCTTGATAATGAGCGAGTGTATTCCGTAAATGTATCGTTTCTTTTTATGGTGACATAGGTAAGCACTTATTACCCCGCCACATCAGATATATTTCTCTTTTCAACACCCACAACAAACTCTATTCTACTTCAAAGTACGACAGCAGAAGCAGCACCAAATGGCAGACACGGAACCCGCGATACCATCTATTTCAGTCCGCTTGGCCATTACTCCTCCAGAGTACAGCCGACAGACCGGAGATGCAGGATTTCCCACCTTCACCATTGTCGCAACATTAGCGCCGTCTGCGCCGAAACCCATCACCTTGATGACATGGCCCACCGCATTCAACCCGCAATTGGCCTTGAAGCGCCGCGACTTTACTGCTCAGAACATATCACGCGACCCGCCTGAAGATATCAGGCTGGAAATTACAAAGGGTCCTTCGCGGCTACCCTACCAGCCGAGAAGGGGTTCGTCCGACCAAAGGTACTACGTGACGCTGTATCCAGGGCGCGAGCTCACCATTGCCGAACAACCATTCAACCTTGTCAAGCGTGTCGATGGGGAAGGGGTGTGTATCTTCCAGCCGGGAAACACTTATCGTCTTGGCATCTCAGACTCAGGGAGCAAAACGGGACTCTGGTGGTGGGGGACAACAGATGACATTCTATATGAAGCTGGAGGACCGCCATACAGAATCCACCACCTGAAAGGCAAGGGGGATATTTCGCTCATTTCAGAGCCAGTGGACTTTACCATTGTTGAGTAATAGAATAATTTGAAGTGATGGCCCTGTTGATTGTACGTCACCTCGGAATCTAGGTTGCGTGAAGTAGCTAGCCATGATAATGAAGAGTGATGCGACCAGTATCCAAAATACAGAGTCAAATTAATGATAGTCTACAGCTACGAAGTTTATGCGTGAACAAACAGACTTGATAACCCTTCCCGTTGCATCGCCCGAAGGATGCCACACTACTTGGCCACACTGTGACTGGTTTTGGTGCAGGTGTTTGATTTCGACCAATCATATCCATCCGCTGTTTGAAATGTAGAGGTTTCCTATTTATCATCAGCTTCAAGTGTGTACATTCCTCGTACCTTCACTCACTTATCTGGATCTGGATTCGAGGCTGCGCAGTTAACACTTGGCTGGCAGGAGTATCTGCCTGCCTCTATCTCCTCTATTGGCGGGAATTCTTCATTTTCGGTTATCGGGTAACCTTTTGTTGCGACCACGAACTGAATAAACGATACAGTCGGAATCCACGATCTTTTCGTCTAATTTTCTACTCTGGCGAGAAGAGAGCAAGCTTGATCAAACTTGCATGGTCCTTTAGTCAGCATATGGGATAGGAAGACAGGGTTTTTACAATGTGTGTTCATCATACTTTCTTGGGGTCGTATCGGACCGCTGGTTCAGTGAGGGGAGGTGGGTTCCTTTACGGAAGAGTCGAGGTGGTAAGGCCAGAGGCTTGTCGGTAAGTAGGTACCTGGAATTTGCGGAAACAACGGGGAAACAATGGGAAGTAAAGGAGTGTGTTGTTCGAGCTACAAAGCGTAATGATCGCAAATAGTACCCCTCGATCTACGTTTGGCAAAGTGGTAGCTACGAAAAGTGTGATGAAGAGAAGAGGGCGGAAATGTCGTCCAGGCTGTCGGGGGTGTTGGTACTAGTATTTAGTGCAGTGCTTAGCACCTGAGACGAGGCCAACAAGGATAAGGAATATATAGAATGAATGTAGAAAGTAATGTTGAATTGGAAAAGTGAAAACTATCAAGCTGGAACCGGGGGTCGTCGACATATTTATGTACCGAGGGAGGACAGATGTCCTTTCCTACATCTGGTCAGCATAAACAAAACAAACAGAGCGACATATGATGACTGTTTCTGGGAGTAACAGCAATTTAGTGTTCAACAGAGGAAAGCATACCTTCCAATGAGCACCTACTTTGATTATTGCAAAGACTGCGTGTGGCATCAACTAGAGTTACCGAGGGCAGGGTCATTGGACATTGCGACTACACCTTCTGCTCTAAGTCTACATGCCATTTCGTGCTAGATAGACTATGAATCGCCCATGGCGGTTTAGGTAAGGGGAATTTTTAAAGTCGTGGCTAATTGTGATCTGTATTATCCATCTGTTATTGTTTTTGCTACAATCTAGTTCGAACCAACCATTTTTCCAATAGTCAAAACCTGTGTGCATGCACTTGCATCAGATATTGGGGGTCCATCAGGCTGTACACCAGGGCAGTGCTCGCAAGGCTGCATGAGGAATCTGCAGCCGGACTTACCTACTAGATTGGCAGCTCACAGCCTTGCTGATATTGGTCACCGAGGTGAACCTGTGCCCACCCCTTTTCCTCTTTTGTCAATGTTGCAGCATGTCTGCGCCAAGGCTGTCGTCAGATACTGGCTCGGTATGCTTGATGAAGGATGAATCTCAATACTCCAAGACATATTTTTTGCCCATGGAATCAACACTGCTATTATTTTCAGGAGAATGAATAAATATGAATGCTTCTTAACTCATCTAGCCAGCCAGTAGTTCCTTTGCTCCAGTTTGGGGGTATCTTTCTATGAAAAGTGAAATCTAATAATACAGAGGAGAGAAGTATGTAGGTAGAAGAGAAGTTTCCCTTGAATGACCGAATGCATGTGAACACGCCATCTTTGTGTTCAACAACGCCAAACGCCAACCGTGTACTGTGTACCAATACCCTGTTTCTAGGTCTTCTTGTTTGCCAAGCCAGGCTCTCCCTGTATCCCCTAGGAAATAGTCTATTTTGTTTTTTGTTTTTGGTTCCCAAACCGTTTTTTAAGCAATCAGGAGCTCGTAGGCAGCCTGTCAAACGTAGCCCCGCAATTCATGCCCTCTTCTTGTCCCAGTGCTTGTCGACGCCGCCCTGGAGTGCCTTGAGAAGGTGCTCGCCAGTCATCTCGGAACCGCCACTGGTGGTCGTGTCCACCATATCTCGGCATCCCTGAGTCTTGCAAAGCTCGTCGTCTAGCACGCGAAGCGACTCTGTGGCCCGGCGATCATCTCCCACCTGGAAAAACTGGACTCCAATTTGGTAGATGGGGGCGCCGACGCGATCAAGTCTCTGTGCTGCGGGCACGATGTACTCCTTAGGATGATCTTGTGCAACGCCGTCGGTAATGACAATGATGTTGAGTGGCTTGAGACAGGTCTCGTCGTCAGTCTCGCGCACCATCTCCTCGTACTTTCTCAGGTAGCGGCTGAGGATCTTTTCCAGGCGCATACCCGTCAGCGTACCACCAGATGGTTGGACATTGCTGAATATCTCCTCGACCGTCAACTGCTCGCCTGGGCGACTGGTTCCCGTGGCGCGTGTGACATTACGGTAGCCCGAGCCCGCCTTCCAGGGCTCGTCGCTGTTACCCCGGTCTTTGGTCTGGTGGTTGATGAAATAGAAATCAACGCCATCATCGTCGTATCCGAGGACGACGTCCAGCAGCTGACTCAGCGCATCGCGAGTCTCCCTCCAGCGCCGACCCCACATGCTGCCCGAATCGTCAATCAAAAAGACGGTGTCGAATTTGCGCAGAAAGGCGTAAGGGTCATTGTCAGTGTGCAGCTCGCTCCTGCGCTTGATGATGGGATGGGCCTGAAATTTATTCGAGTTTGCTGTCGCAGCTGGGGCAGGAGGGGCTGCTGGTGCTGTGGGCGTGTATGCCGGGGGAGGATCTTGTGCTCTGTCGGCTGCTCCAGTCTGCTGTGTATTGCCCATACTGGTGCTGGGAGGCCTGCCGCTGTTCGTAGAAGACTGGTTCCAAGAGCTCACCGCTCTGCCCGATGATTTCTGAGCAAGTGTGCCATTGGGATTGGCCTTTGCCGGGTCCTTTGAAGCCAAGGATAAAAGCTTTTTGAAGGGATTACTCATTGTTTGCCCGCGGTTTTCGGATTTGTGTAATCGTGTGACCAGAGAGGGTTCCCATAAGGAAAAGGAGGAGGTTGTGTGGTGGAGGGTCATAGTTGCCGCCGACATTTTGTCTGTGTTTGAGCTTGGACTTAGTTGTTGGAGTGGCTAATTGCGTTTATTAGGTGCGTAAATACGTAGTCCTTTGTTCGCTGTTGAGCTAAAACAGAATTTGTGATTTTATTGGACTCCCTGTGGGGTTCTGAATTTCTCATTTCCAACAATAATGCTCTTGTTCCGTGATGCTCTTTGTCTTTATATAACATCTTGTCTGTACTCTAGATGTTTTGTAATTTTGCACTGCTGCGGCGGCAGTGCTCGAGGCATCATTCAAGGCATTTTAATCAAACAGAATGCAAGAATAATCCAACTTGCATCCTCTGGCGAGGCTTTGGATTATTACCAGGCATATCGATCTCTAAGGGGTTCACACCAAATAAAAATGTTTGTTGCATGTGCAATACTTCAGTCTCCGATGAGACACACGGCTTGCATGGGCTGGGCAGTGCTTGTGGATCATAAGGCGGGGGGCAAGAGACTGTAAAATACCTTGTGGTATGCAAACGGCCAATCATTAAGGGAGATTGAGATTGTGGGGGGGCTGAGCATTCCTGGCTGAGCCCCGCCAACCTGCAGGCCCGGCTGCGGCAAGCGGCAAACCACCGTGCCACCCTGGTTGCCTGGACTTTGACTCTGACCTGCACGTGGTTCAATGAAACCTCAAATGCACTATTAACACTCCCAGGTTCCAGCCAGGCCAGGCACATTTCCCATGTTGCTTACTGGTTCCTATCATAAGGCTTGGGGTTCCGAATATTGGGGTCATACATTTCTCGCCCCTGAACAGTATGCAGGCAGATGGCTCAAGCTATCCACATACCTACCCAAGGTACAAGTCAGGTTGAGTATACCACAACAGCTATCGCCTCCACTGTGACTGTGGGGTCAAGGCAGAATCGCCAAACACATGGCTATGAATCAGAGTAACACATTCGGAGAGGCTGAGGGGTCATTATCTGATACCATTATCGATAGAGTAGGTGCCATGTCTCATCGTATCAATATTTGAAGGTTGCAAGCTCATCAATTGGCCGGTGAATATCGTTACTTCTCATAGACATCATGTACGCATCCCTATTCTGCAGATATGCACCTTAGATGGTCAAATACTGCCTCCCAAGGTTGGAAAAATGCAATTGATATCGACAGAGCCATCAAGGTTGACTCCGATTGGTGCCGATTATCCGATCATAATCATGCACTTCTTCTTCCTCTTCTTCTTTTCTTCTTCTTTGTGGCCGGAATCCTCCGTTGATGTCATGAAGATTTGACGAAATTATGGATAGTGCTTACCAGGGCAGACATGCAAGGGGAAAGAAACATTCTACGCCCTTCTGCGCAGTTGCTGACAGGACTCGGAGTTCCTGCAAAGTCGCGGGAATCCCTAAGCCGCAAAGAACCGATTGTTATATGACCCGGCTGACGCCATTTTTTGTGTCCCCCTTGTGAGATTTCGCCGGCCCTTTTTTTCATTTTGCAAGCATCAGCATCCCTGTGCACGAAATTGTAAGCTTGATGGCCCTTCTAATCGGGAGACTTTATAGCACTTTTCCCGATCACGAACTCGACGCCATGTCAGCAGTCTGGCAGATTTTTGCAACGGGTTAAAAGGACAAGGTGGAATTCAAGTCAAAGTCACGTCAGGCAACGACCATGGCCACGAGATCACATCACTTGTCATTGACATCACAATGAACAAAACCACGATTCGTACTAATGGGTGTTGTCTTTCGGTAAACTACCTGACCTTGTTCTAGATCCCATCGCCAAAGAAAGACGTTGCGCGCAAGTCGATTCCATATTATCCTTCCTCTGGCCGATCGATAGGAGACTCGGAAGATTTTCCTCAGACTTGTCTTCTCCCCGTACTTGCCCAACAACCGCAAAAGTATTTGTTTTCCATACTTCTCTGGAACGAGAAACCCCCTTCTTTCACACCCTGAATGGCTATGTGCAAACGAATGCAGCCAAATTCGTCGGCTGAACTTTCCAGAAATGACAGACCTTGGAGCTGCCAACTCGATATGCACCATTTGCTTAGCCAAAGCAGTGGTGGACGAGCTGAGTTAGATCCAAGCGACATAATGCTGGAATGGACAGTTCAGGGATGCCATGTAGAAGGAGCATTCCAGGAAAAGAAAGTAGAATTCCCCAGCCAAATCAGAAAGAAAAGAAAAGTCGCTTTTGTGCTAATATCCGTGTGGCATGTGTAAGATATTTTTGTGACCGCCTTTGTTGCTGTGTGACGGTCAGGGAGAAGGAAGCCGCATCTCCTCTAAAAGCATGAGTGCATCGTTCTTGTGATGCATGAGACCATCGTGTTTGATGGCCAAGAATTCGCCCAGGGCTCCCATCTCAATCTGGGTTGTATGGGAAAGGGCGGATGACTGGAAAAACAAGAAAGAGAGAACCGTTTACCCAACGCCAGGAAGTGAAAAAGAAAAGTAAGAAGACGAGACTGCTTGATGGCAGTTTTCCTCCAAGCCCCCAGTTTTGTACCAAATAATGGTGTCGCATGCTTGAATGACCGCTCACGGCAGTGCCATGCTAGCTTTTCTAGCTGATCACGTGGTGTTGAGCGGAAGGCGAAGAAAGTGAGAGCCCCCGCCGTAGAGTGAAGAAACCCGAGAAACCCGTGGGTACTCTAACATGTGAAGTAACACTGACCATCAAGGTCTTTTGTGATTGGGAAAGTTGAAATGTTTATCGCATCACGAGAACATCCGATTTCAGGAGTTCGTGAGTACGAAGACGATCCATGTCACGATCGTCGCGCAGACTGAGAGTAGGAGTGACGACCAGCATGATGCGGTATTGCTGGTATTGCATTTGGTCGCTCGGTGTATCCGTGTAGTTGATGGAGCGCATGGTGCCGTAGGCAAATTTGCTACCAGTTTCGGGGAAATAGTAGTGGAGGGTCATGCCAGAGGTCCAGACACGAGTGGTGATGGTCCAGGCGGCGTTGATGACAATAGTCAGGGCTCTGCGGGCAGTCTCATCGTCAATGCTGCAGCTCCGCATGGGCTTGAGAATCTCCATGAGCATGCCAACGTGCTTGGCAACTGAGCGGTCCCTGAACTCGTCGGCTTCAGCTCCGGACTCGATAATGAACTGAACAACCTTGGCATGGTCCATGACGATTCGCTGTCTCTCAGCTCCCTGAGGTCGTCCTGCATCTTGATTATTGTGTCAGTAATCACTTTTGGAGAGTGAAGTGAATGGTAAACTTACTGGGACCTCGAGATCTCATGCGGCTTTGCAAAGCGGACAAGTGACTGTCAATGGCATCATTGAAGCCAAAGAAAATCTCGGGGACAATCAGGCGGTTGATGATGTAATCAACAATGATGCGCTTCATAACCCAATGGCGGCACTTGAACTTGGTGAGAAGATCGGCCATGTGAGAGGCACTCTGAGTCGGGTTCTTGAGGCCCATGGACAGAATGTAGTTCCAGGTGGCTGGGTTGGTATGAACCAGCATGCCGTCAGCCTCATTGAAAGGCGGAATAATGTGGTTCTTGGCAATGAGACCCTCAATGAGACCGTAGAGGCGGGCGAAACCGTGAGCGACATCTTCAGCCTCCCAAGCAACTTTGTTCTGCAGCGCGTTGAAGTCGACGGAGCCAAACTCGGTGACAGCTCTGAAGCCAGGCTGGCGAGGCGTATTGGCACGGACAAGGGCGTTGGACTTTGCACCGAATGTGTTTGGCAAACCGAAAGGAGTCGCAGGAGTGCCACTGCGGAAACCCATGCGGGAAGGAGCAGGCTTGGGAGGCTCGATGCTGCTAGGCGTGTAGGATCGAGCCTCTTGCGGCTGAGTGGTCTTTGATGCACCTTCATTGGCATACTTGCGCAGCAGCGGGAGCATCTCCTTGCTGTGGTCGGCTTTGGCACCTGTAGGGCCAAACTCTAATGCATTCGGGTTCAGGAAAGATTCACGTCGCTTTGTTGCGGCACCCTTGTTGTTGTTCGTGGTCTTTTCGATTTCCTCGTTGTCGGAATCGTCATCATCAGCAGCAATATTGGACACCTTGACCAGCTGCATGTGGCTGTCTCTCTCCAGGCGGAGCGACTTGATCTCAGCTTCAAGCTCCTGTGCATCATTTTTGTTAGTTACACGAAGTGAAATTCATTAAAAATAATGAGTGAGAGAAAGAGAGAGGCTATGACAACGTACCTTGACCTGCTTCACGCGCTTCTGCTCAAAACTCTGTGCCAGCTTCTGGAGCCGCTGGATATCCTTCTGCTGACTTTCAATCTGCTTCTCCAGACCAGCAGCCATCTTGGCATGCAAATCCTTGTCCTGTGACAGTTCTCTGTACTTGGTCTGGAGATCTGTGATCTGCTGACGGCGCGACAGAAGCTCATTCTGAGCCTTCTCATACTGCACGCGCAACTCACCAGCCTGGTGCTGGCTCCTGGTGTGCTCTTGAATGATGTTGGTAGCAAAGTGAGTCAGATCTTGACCAACACCCATCAGTAGTGTCTGAATGTTCTGTGCCTGGTCGTTGTTGTATCCAGGAGTGACACGAACATATTGTTGTGCAGTAACGAGTCGAGCTTGAATGTCGCCAAATCCACGATACAATGGCTGAGTAAACGGAGTCAGTGAAGAAGTTCGCGCTGAAGATCAGACTCAAAAATATTGGACTGGGATGACAGGAAACTTTTCAAAGGCGGGAAGAAGAGACAAGAAACCACCTACACTGCTGGCCACGCTGGGTGGAACATGGCTACCAGGAGATCCAAAGGGAGACTGGTCAACGAAAGAGTTCGGAGGACGCACAGTCGAGGGGCGGCGAAGATGATGACCTTGGTGGTACTCATCAGCAGCGACGAGCGGACGGTAGCCCTGAGAATCATTGACCAGCTTGTTGAACTGGTCGCTGGCTTCGACCAAGGCCATCTCGTCGTCCGAAGGGGAGTCACTACGGTTGGTAGTAGAGCCCATGCCGTCGTTGTCCTTGTTGGGCGTGGCTTCGAGAGCTCTGGCGAGGAGAGCACCGCCACTCGAGTCACTCGAGGATCGAATGCCGGGCATTTTGTGCCGCGTGGGTCTGAAGGACAGCTGCGAAAACAAAACTTGGGCTTCTGAGGCTCAGGTCCAGGGACAAACGCCAGACGTGACAAGGCCAGATGGACTTGGGAGTTAAATTTTATTTTGTACTGTTTTTGGGATGGAATGTGTGATTGAAGATGTTGAGTGTCTGTGACTTGAAATATTAGAGAAAATCGGTCAATGATTGAGTAGAAAATTGTGTTTGGTGTGTTGTTGCTGGGTGGGCAATGGAAACGGTGATGGTTACCTAGGGTGTTAAGAACTGAAGACGAGCTCGACCAAAATGCGGTTGGCCACTAAAAGTCTCTTCAAGTTGGAAAAGGGAATGCTATCTGAGATGAAAAGGGGAAAAGAAGGTCGCAACAACCAAGAAAGTCTGGCAATGCTTTAAGTACCTAGTTGTCCGACGAAGCCACACTCGGTGGATGCCTCAGAGATCTGATTGTTTAACGCACCCAATTGACAACAATGGAGGATGGATCTAGTAGGCCTGGATGGTTTCACATTCAAGATTCTCACCAAACAATACTATGTGAGTTGGATAATCAGCCCGTGGATTGTTCTGTCACTGCCTAGTGCTTATTACTTGGAAAACAAAATCGAAACAATCCGGCCGTTTGCAAAGACATGAAGTTTCACAATCTCGCACTTGTAACAGTATTTGCATTCATTTATATATTATTCTGGCTCAGGTGATAATGCTCCAACCATTGTGATTCTGTACCTTTCCCCTGTTCGTTCTGAGAGAACACTTTCCTCCTACCGTTGCTTCTGAATCAATGCGTTTATGGACCTCCCTGTGCCCCAGCTACTAGTTGCAATGGTCATTTTGTCTGAGTAGATGGCAAATGATAATACAGCTACGCTCTATGTTTACAATCTTAGATACCATATCAAAGCCATGGAATTGAGTATGACGGAGAGTTTGCTTATATTTGAATAGCTTTTTTCTTTTTTTGAAAATAGAGAAACTTTCCAAAACAAATTCCGTGATTACCAATTTCGTCGCCCGGGGAAAAAAAATAATGACAATAAGGGCTTCATAATAAAAATTTGAATGGATAGTGGAAAGAAGTGAAGCAGTGAGCTTGGGCCTCGGGCATGTTTCGGCGCAACATTCTTACAAGCTGCCCGGTTACGCACTTGATATTGAGTCGAAAGCAGATGGCTCGAATTATGGCCAGGGCTCTATCACAATTAAAGCCACAGTCTCTATGGCCTTGGCATCTTTTGTATATACTACTATACGATGTGGAGCTTGTTACGAATCTGGGGACGACTAAAATGCTTAGATAGCCGACATATTATATCGACAGCACTAAGAGTGTCACTAATTGAATTATCGTTTATGCAAGGCTGAGCCGAGTTGTTCGGAAAAGTAATAACCTCACGGTGGCAAAAGCAAAAACGCTTCTGCCTTGGATAGTTTGTCGTTGTAACATGTACGAGTCAACACCCCTCGCTGATTAACTTGTGAGATCATGCTCCATCTTGATCAGCCTCAGCAGTACATCATTGCATCCTCTTATTGAAGAGAAAAGAAAATATCGAGTCCAGATGAACAAACCTAAACAAACAGCCTCGATTACCGATTCAATATCGTTTTAATTGACTTTTGTATGTTAATCACATGTCAAGTCTTGGAAGTTTAATGTTTGCCTGCCGCCAAAAGTGGAGTGATTGAGACACAAGGCAACTTTTACTAGCGTCAAGCCAGACTGCGCACGGGCCATGGCCGTAGTTTCTAACCTAGTCTACTTCAATGGAAGCTGCCTTATTTGAACGTGGACGATCGCTGTGACAAATCGTTCCATTCAACAACCATCATATTACCGCCCCAAGACGCCGTTTGCGAGTGGGCATCAGATTTTGCTATCGTAACCAAGGAGCTCTTCACCGCGAAAATACTTGAGAAGGGGTAAAGTTTTCTTTGCATTCGCCCACCCAACAAGACTTTGTCAAAGCATCAGGGAAAACTCTGCAAAGGTCCAACCCTTTTTTTTCTTTTGCCGTCATCTGACACGCCCTCAAGATGTCAGCTCTCGACGTTGAAGCTCTCCTCGATGCCACAGCCACCAAGGATGAGACACCAGAATCCAAGTCCAGAGAGCCCGATGATCGATTGAAGACAGACCGTGCCGACCGCCGTGACCGCGACCGCGCACGCGACGACAGCCGCGATCGCGACCACGATCGCAAGCGCCGAGACCGAAGTACTGACCGTGCCCGTCGTGATCGCGGTTCCGACCGGGAAGCTACCCCTCGCAGTGATGCAGGTAGCCACAAGAGTAGGCGTAGAAGTCGAAGTCGCGATGATGATCGCCGTCACTCACGACGTCACAGAGGAGGCGACGGTGACTACTACCGTGGAGGCCGAGGAGGAGGAGGAGGAGGAGGAGGAGGCCGGGATCGCTCCAGATCCCGCTCCCCGAACCGCTACTACCGCCCTAGGGATGAGCGCCGCGACCGTGAGGACCGCTCGCACCGTAGCAAGGATGACGATCGTTTCCGTGGTGGCCGCACTCCCAAGAGAGATGCTACTCCTCAGCTGACCGAAGATGAGCGTGATCGCAGAACCGTTTTTGTACAGCAGCTGGCTGCTCGTCTTCGTACCAAGGAGCTCAAGGAGTTTTTCGAAAAGGTTGGCCCGGTCAACGAGGCGCAGATTGTCAAGGATCGTATCAGTGGCAGATCGAAAGGGTATGTTGCCTCCGTCCCCCCCCATCCCAGCCATCTGATACTGCAAATTACTAACTCACAACCATAGTGTCGGCTATGTCGAGTTCAAGAACGAAGATTCCGTCACTGCTGCTCTTCAGCTTACAGGTCAAAAACTACTAGGTATTCCGGTCATTGTTCAGCTTACCGAAGCTGAGAAGAACCGCCAAGTCCGCACGACAGACAGCTCTGGCACCCATGCCAACTCCATTCCTTTCCATCGCCTTTATGTCGGCAACATCCACTTCAGTATCACAGAGCAAGATCTGCAGAATGTGTTTGAGCCATTTGGCGAGCTTGAGTTTGTTCAGCTTCAGAAAGATGATAACGGCCGCAGCCGCGGCTATGGATTTGTACAGTAAGTTCTCTGCCAACAGAGAGACTCTGGAACAGTGCTAACAAGATGATAGGTTTCGTGAAGCTGATCAGGCTCGTGAAGCTCTAGAGAAAATGAACGGTTTCGACTTGGCAGGTCGTCCGATCCGTGTCGGACTTGGCAACGATAAGTTCACCCCCGAATCAACTGCCAATCTCCTACAGAGATTCCAGGGACAGAACCAACCATACCAGGGATCTGCATTTTCTGGCGCTGGCGGCCGTGGCCAGCAAGCATCCGGCTTTGACAGAGCCGGCGGCCGGGATAACGACAAGGCCACCGGAGCCAGCGCCTTGGACGATACCGACGTGGGTGGCGTCAATTTCAACAACTACAGCCGTGACGCTTTGATGCGTAAGCTCGCCAGAACTGATGATGCTCCTAACGGTGGTCGCGACGAGAGACAGATCCTCAAACCAAAGACCGAGACCAAGCCATTGCCCGTCAACGTCAACATGGCAAGTCGTTGTGTTGTTTTGCACAACATGTTTGATCCCGCTGAGTACGCCAAGTCCCTCCCCTACACCTGTCTCGATTACTCGATTGCTAACACACATTCTAGGGAAGAAGGTGAAACTTGGGTCAAGGAACTGGAGGATGACGTTAGACAGGAAGCCGAGGAAAAGTATGGCCATGTGGTCCATATCTCGCTAGACCCGAATTCGCAGGGCGACATTTACCTCAAGTTCGACAAGGTTCAAGGAGGCGAAAATGCCATCAAGGGTTTGAACGGTCGCTATTTTGGAGGACGCATGATCAGCGCTGCACCTGTTGTGGATGCCGTCTACAGCAGTTTGTTTTCTCGCACCAAGGCTATCTAAGATACTAATCAGGCCTCAATACCGGCTCGTCTAGGACTCTCTCCTGTAAGTAATGATGGATGTAATAGATTGACTTTCCCACTGATGACGATGCTCAGCATGACTCTCCACCATTTAATCGGCCATCCTCCCGGAAAGGAAAAAAAAATGATATCGAAAAAGACGTCGGCACAGCACACGAAATAATGACAACGGATCACGGATACTACTTGTTACAGGCGTCTTCCGGTTTTGTCCCTTCTCGCATGAACTACACTGACGGTGGCCTTTTCGTGCTGATAAACACAGAACAACAGATGCACCGCGGATTCCCTTGGCCCTTTTTAAGCTGAAGGTGCCCCCAACCAGAAGAGTCACTGCCACGAGACACGCTTCTCTACCAGTTAACAGTCATAGGATCATCCATTTTGATAGAGTCGATAGCATTTAAATCTTGAAGAAAGCAAAATTTATTCCTGTCTGCTGAGTATGATAACATGAAATGATTGTCCTTTGAACCATACCCAGTGATTCATGGCCAGGACTGCGAGACAGTTCCATTTAGCTTAGCTGGGGATAGTGACCTTGAACACCAGCGCCTGGCTGTCAAGATTATATCCACTTGAATCCGCGTAAGTAAACTGTCCATTGTTTAAGAACCCATTTTGTGTTATGAAATCATTGTCACTCAAACTAAAGACGAAGTACTCGTCATCAGGGTTTCGCGGGTCGACAGGAACGATTGAAATAGATTCCCATTTTTCATTCTGAAATATTGAGGTCAACTAGCTGTTCTTGATAACGAACCTTCCAAGATGGGAGAGCCGAAGAAAGGAGTGAGATTTGTTACTTACCAGGAGCTGAGCATCCTGATCCCCACCATTGTGCAGGCCAAAACGGCCCAGCTGGCTATTGACATTAAAGTCGAGGAACCCGCAGTACGTGGCCGTATCCACGCCGTCGACGAGGACGCCGGTATCCGCGTCGGCGACGGAGCAGTTGGTGCAGTCGTACCCGGCGGCCCGGACATCGGTGGCGCCGGCAACGTCAAACACGTCAATCTGGCGGTAGACGGACTGGGACTCGTCCTGGCCGTGGCCGGCGCCGCTGTCGCGCGAGAGCACGAGGAACTGTCCGTTGGCCAGGGCGTGCACCTCGGACTGCGCGGCGATCTTGGGGTTCTTGGACGCCTTGGCGGTTGGGTCAATGTAGGATGGCAGCGGGACAATGTACTCTGAGATGTAGACTGGGGACAGAGGTGCCGAGATGTCATATTGCAAAAAGCGTGTGTATCTTTGTGTTTGTTTCTCCAGGCCCTGTGATGATTGTCAGGATGTTCAGGTCTATGTCACGTCCGACAAAACTCGTGGAAAGTTGTAAAATGGAAACGTAGAAGTGGCATATCACTTAGGAATGGCTACTTACACCTTCTTGCACCGTGGCAGCCTGCAGCAGAACCCAGAGGCTTTTTCCGTTCTCGGAAACCGTGAGGCCTTCAAAGCCATGATTGTTCTCGCGGCCAGTATCGGGGTGCTCTGGGTTGGGGAGAGGACCATTGCCGTCGTCGATATAATGAGGTGGGCTGGCAGCCGAAAAGGACTCGGTGCCGTTGCGAAAAGGCACAATGGCGTCGGGTGGACGTATGGCTGTTAGCATCTGGCCAGTCGCATCGAATAAATCTGGTGCGAGTTAGTTCTGGCCTTTGCTGGTTTTCATTGACGGCTGGCTGATATCCCAGGCCAATGAATAGTATGCATAGTACAGAGTACTCACAAATATAAGGCCCATATTCGTCAGAGATCCAGAATGAGCCATCAGCATTGACGACCAAGCCCTCGCAGTCGACCGGGATTCTCTGCCCGCCTGGGCCGTCGCCGCCGAAACCGTCGCCAGTGTAAGTGGCAACCGGCAGGTCGGGAAAGCCAGGGTACGAGAGATGACCCGTGACGTCGGCATCGAGACCTGTGCAGGGTGTTCCGTCGGGGCCTGAGAACCGTATGGTGTCTTCATACGAGAAGATCAAGTTTGGGGGCGAAGGATCCGCCACGGTCGCATTGGGTGCTGGTGTCAAGGCGACGGTGAACTTGTGGACTCGAGGTTGAAAGTTCAACGTTCCCTCCGTATTCCTAAAGCAGGTGTTAGCATAGTTTTTAAAAATGCATCTTTAGAGATCGCTGCCATTTTTTTAATGAAAAAAAGAAGAAGGAAGAAAGAAAGAAAAGAAAAGATTTCTCTCTGACAGGCTCTCTTAATTCAAATAAATCAAGGTCATCTCGACCGTGCTACTGTAGAAGCAGGCTTGATTTCACTCACCAACCGCGATCTGGCAGACTCCACAAAGTCCCCGTGTAAGTGCCATTGCACGACTTCTTCCACGAAGTCTTGTCAATGTAGATTGCGCTTCCCAGGCCACCCAAGGTGTCGCCAAACTTGTCCACGGCATCCGACACGACGAATCCGTACCCAGCAAGCTCCTGGTAGACATAGGTCTGGCCGTTGCAGGTCGTGCTGTTGACGACACTGTCCGCGGATGTCGTTGTATTGAGGGCAGCGCGCGGCGAGTGTGGACTTGCCGTTCCCACGGCCGCGAGAGCAGCTGTCAATAGTAGAGTAGTCATCTCGATCCAAAATAAGTCCTAATGCTTTGTTTTGGTTCTCGGGGGTGATTCGGAGATGCTATGTCCGAGAAGCCGGGGGTTCGTCGAGTGTGTCGCGTGACAGTCCTTTTCTCTCAACACGCACTTGTAGAAGAGTTCGTTTATCCTTCCTCGTTCTTGCACACTTTCCAGGACACGGCCCAATGATCAAGGACAAATGTCAAGTATAGCCAATTGAAAACGAAATGCGGTCGACAACCACTTAATATAAAGAATCCTCAGGATAGCCGCCCGATTTATTGAAATGAGCTCCTCATCCTACCAACCTATAATCGATCTAGCCAGAGACATCTCAGCTAATAGTACATGCAAGCCCACCCACACCCACCTCGCTAGAACGCGGCCACTTTGCCTCCCTATACAGACACACACATACACATGCATGTAGACCCATGGCAATGGCCTCGGGGCTACGGCACACATCCGAGTTTGATGAATCCCTGCATGAGCAAGGCAGATCGCATCCGACGAATGAGACCCGAGGACAAGGCACATTGCAGAGATGGCCGCCGCCTCAGAAGAAAAGAGACGGAAATTTCATCTCAAAGGATTCCAAACTCGGTCAAGACAAGCGGAAATAAAATAGTGTCTGTAGTGTGTCTCTTGGAAGGCCCTTGGCAGAATAAGTGGGTAGGTAGTATTCGCTGCACGTTCCTAGCGACCGTCTTCCTATTGGGTTATATACTTGAAAGGCTTACAGGGATGATGCTTCTGGGCAAGCTTACAGAAACACGGCGCTGTCTTGAAGCAGCAACTTGTTTATTCATAATTTGTCTGCCACCTGGGATCTCACACAAACATTATCAATCGGCTTGTCTTTAGAGACTGACTACCTCTAAGAACATATCATTGACGACCGTTTCCGTGTCGACATGGGATTCTATACAAGAACTCTCTCCTCCAACTTGACTTTGCTGCGTCGGATATCCTCGACTAAATCGCCCTTGTACCTCATCATTTCGTGCACATAAGCTTGACCAACATAAACCCATGCAGACTTGTAGGGCGTGCCCAAGTGCTCCCACTCGCTCAAAGCCGGTCGTAATATGACGGGGACGTCCATGCCCAGGACGAGATGCAGCTCGCCGCCATTTCTCAGACCCTCGGGGCCCAGGCCAAGATGACCATTGCCGGTCACGAATAGTCTTCGCCCAGAGTACACATGGCGGCGCGCTTGATGGTATTGCCCACGAGAGGGGTTGGCAACAGCAGTTGGAAATTTCGAAAATTTGCCAGCCGTGAGGGTGAGGTGCAGGAGCTCATCGGCTGACATATCTTGGTCCAACAATGCCGCGGGGTGATGACTTGTACGATGAGCATCAGTACTCTTCCTCAATCGTACAGCTTCCTTGCTCAGTGTCCGTTCTGCTGGCAAGATCTGGCCACTTATGCTTCTCAGTGTTGCATGCAGTGTTTCATCAATGCGGAATGTCTTGCTGAGTGCTTCGTCATTTGGGTCGTCAAACCGACCATCGTGTGTGATTTTGGCGGAAAACTCTGGCAACACATGGACTTTCAGCAAATGAAACGAGGAATGATTATCAGCTGTCTCTTCTTGCGAGCTTTCATATTCTGGAGCAATGGAGGTTGGGGTACAGCCTGTTGCAGAGAAAGATGTCTCATCACTTGGTAGACCTGTCCACAAGAGGCGCAGGTTGTCATCAAACCAACCGTCAGAGCGGAAGAATGATGGACACCAGGTGGGAATATAATCTGGCTTTCCAACGGCTGGGTTATCCAGTTTGGACTCTGCCCTCATGGATTCAGCAAGAGCAACAACAGACAAACTGCGCGAATGGCACATATGCCGCATAGAAAGTTCTATGCAAAGGAAGGACTGCCGGCGACAATAGTCAACATTCAGAAGCCTTTTTGAAACATCTGAAAGTCCTAGAAAAGCAAACACCTTATCTCTGGGATCAGTACTCTTTCGAAAACGGAATCTGTAGCACAAAGACAGGAGATCCATCGAGTTTTCAGGTCGAGTCATTGTCGCTCTCAAACACCTAGACTTTCTTGGTGCTGTGTTCGAGTCATTCTGAAGTGATAATCGTGATGTGCGAATATCATTCAAGTCCTCAAACTTGTCAAAGTGAGTAGATTTCACTGGGAAGAAGGAATGTTGAGTGCTGGCATGAGCAAGGCGACAAAAGCGATCCCATGCAAGAGCTGAATTGCCACACTGAACCACGGCACTTTTCGCTAGGACAACCTCCTGTATTACCCATGTTCGGGTCCAATAGTCGTTTCGGAGAAGTTGGGCTGCAACGCGGCTACTGCCGTAATGAATTCGATTGTTGACTCTGTCATTCTTGGCTCCATTTTGAGAGGGCAGATTCATATACTGAAAGGTCTTCTCAAGTCCCAATGGCTCATGATGGCCGAGCCACACAATTGCCTGGGTGGCATTCGAGTATATGATCGGCATGAGTAGAACTTGGGAACTTCTTTCTGCCAAGTCTGATTGATTGATGCACAGAGCATCAATCCAAAGGGCTCTTGGGGTCGACTCTCGGCGCAGGTGAAGCAATAGCCGGTGTAAAGTTATCGATATGACAAAGTTCTTCCCGTTGACTTGAACACGCGATGTCCACGGAGACGTTCCCCAGACGTATGAGAGGGCTTCGTAGGGCTTCCCATCTGAATGCCCAAGTTCCATGATGCCGAGGGTACAAACGATCGGTTCGTTGCCCGAACCAGGTTGAAGCTCCAGTAGCCTCCCCTGCATGTATCCGCCTCCGTGTTCCAAAGCCGGCAAGGATTGGTACACAGAATTGTTCAATAATATTGCTTCCGACAGTGTATCCTCATGCAGATTGTTCAAAGCTTCCAGAAATACTTTGGTCACGATATCGGTTTGCGAGGCTGACCAAAGTAGGAGCCTGATGCCGAGTCCTGCAAGCACAATACACACATCCAAAGTATTTGGGGGAGCCACGATATATAGAAGTTGTAAAAGACTCCACGTTGCGGTGAAAATATTGTTGTACATCGCGCGAGCGGCAGCCATCCCCTCAGCAGATATATCCGCCAAGCGTGAGTTGATGATTGCTGTAAAAAGAACGTCACGCGTCTTATACTTTATCGTACACCACACCATGTATATTTGGTAAGTCTCTGCTGCTATAAACAAGGATTCGCAGGTGACCGAATACCAATACATGGAAGCCTGGAAGCCGATAGCCGATGATCGCAGACTTGTTGACTTCTTTGGCATGCATGAGATCACCGAGTCTACATGCAGCGCCCAAAGAGGTCTATACACCAGATTAAAAGCACCAGCGAAGAAAGGAATGGAGGGTTGGAAGAAGTAAATGGAAATGGCCCAAAAAAGCATAAATATGATGGGAACAATGGAGATGGCGTACAAAAAACCACAGACTAGAATGCCGATAAGAACGGCCGAGGGAATGGTATATAAATGTCGGACCTGGTGTATCACCAGACTCAGCGGGACTGACATCCAAGCGAGGACATATCCATGACGTGCTGGTACAGATTGCATGATGGTCGTCCGAGCCAGGCTCTGGCACACAGAGATGGTCGCCGCAAGCAAGCCGGTGACCATCACCAAAGCCAGGTTGATTGGGAGGAAACAAACGGCGACAGGGTATGAGAACACAATTGTGAAATAGAGAAACAATGGCCCAAGGATAGACGCGAGATACTTGAATACAGGGGAAAGGATGCGTGTGATGGAAATAAGAAGGGTCGGCATGGATAAGAGATACGATATTGTCACCAGTACCATTTTGGCAGAGGATACCAAAACGGTAAGGATACTCAGACCAATGGTACTGGCCATTGTAAACAACCATATTCCCATTGGAGAATAAAAAGAAAAAGTGATTGTGTGGTAATAAAGATGCTTCCTTCATCACCCGGCTTCGTTTTTGCACGGAAAAGCTCAAGGCAGCCAAGGAGGCACAGCAAGACTCTCTGCAACATGACTTCTCCATTCTGGCATGGTTGCCAAGTGCCCGAATGCGCCCCGCTATGTACTACGTCTTCATTGTTCTTGTACCTACCACGTCTTGTTTCATTCAGCACGATTGAAATAAGTATACACCCACCCGATCCAAAGAAAACGCGTGACGCCAGGAATGGGGTTTGCTATTATCATTTTCATTTTCTCATAACCACTTTCTTACTGATTCTACCCAGTAGCAACGTAGGCAAGTCCTGACGATCTCGGCACGGGCATGACCTTTGGTGCACAGCTGTACAACATTCCTTGCCACGGCATCTTCAGACCCCATACGCTATTCACCCCTTTTTCTTCTTCTTTTATTTGACATTTCGCTCGGCCACCACGGGTGATGACCTGCGTCGAGTGTCCCGGTCCGTCCTAGTTGCCGTAATACGTAGTCCTGGTCCCAGACGGAACTCGTCATGTCTACATACAATAATGAAAAAAAGTAACTCAAACATCCACGTCGTTACGGTTATGCGTTCTTCATTTGGGAAAGCTCCCAACTCTCTGGCGATGACTCGGTACGCTCACCAAAAGCCCTCTCTATCTTGGTATCACACACGCAGAAAATAAAAATGTAGAACGAGCCAATGCTCTTGCGTGGCGGACCGCTGTGCAAAGTCGTTGATATCTTGGCCGTCGCAGACCATACGACCCTCAACCATTACTGCATGGTTTTGTCGGTCGATCAGCGCCCACCACGCACAGCCTGAGCCGAGTCATGTATGGCACAGTTTCGCCCCCCTCTTTCAAAACATCATCACAGTTCATCATCCTCGGCCTCGATCTCAGAAGGCTTCAGCAGACCACCAACCTTGGCTCGTCTTTCATGGTCCGCGGTCAGCTTTTGTTGGGTCTCCTGTTCCTTCTCAACCGCGAACAGGTCGGCATTATCACCAGCAAACTCCTTGAGAGAGATCAAAAAGTCACGCAGGTTCAGTCTGAACTTGTCGTACTGGTTGTTGAGACCAATCAAGCCTTCGATAAAAAGGTTGATTTGGGCACTGTGCAGTGGTCAGTCTTGTCGGATTATTAAGCATACAATGAAGCACTGAACACTTACATCTGGAGGTTGGGGAACGCATTGCGAAGCAGATTTCCGACGAAGTTAGCGAGGAAATCACGGTTCGAAGTACCCGAAGGAGCCTGGTCGGTGTAGACAGGGCCTTGGATCTTGGGAGTACCACCTTCAGCGGGCAGCACATAGTTGAACAGCTTCATCAGCAGCATCGACTGAGTCTTGAAACCAGCCTTGTGATCCGGGTCGGTTAGGACAAAGAACACATCCTGTAGGATGGGTGTAAAGAACTGCTGGAAGAAAGCGTTCTTGGTCGGGTCATCGGTCTTTTCCGCAATGTTATTGACAAGCTCCAGGCACATGTTAAGACCAGCACCCTCAACGTCACGGTTGTCGTGCTTGCTGGCCCACATGCAAGCATCAATAACAAACTTGAATTGACGATTGTCCAACTTTAAGAGAGCTGGGAAACAGTGCAGGTTGATGGCTCGCAGGAGGTTGAAAAACTCCACACGATGCTCGGGGAATTCGGAGAAGTCCTTGTTGATCATCTCCAGTGTGCACTCAAAGACGTTCTGCATGATGACGGGTACCTGGTCTTCCATCAAGTTGGTCAGTTTACCAATGATGGTCGACATGGCCTTCAGCACTTCGGCATCCCTCGCACCGGGCACGTTGCGGTTGTAATCAACCAGAACAGAATCCAGCAGTTGAGGAACCATTTGCTGCCGGACAGCAGTCAAATCCTCAGCCTTGTCCACATAAGTCTCAATCAACTTGAGAATTTCCTTCTTGATAGTTCGCAGGCCTCGAACCTTGGGCATACGTGGTGCAAGCTCGCCATCGCGAGCGACAGCATCAGAGATCAGCTGACTGGTTGCGCGGTACATCTGGAGCATGTCCAAGTAGATCCTGCCGATTTGAGGGCCAAAGTATGGGCCAACAGAAGAACAAGCCGAGACATTAGTCTTCATGATGTTACCGATAATCTTGATGGTCTCGGCATCCTGCAGGATAGTGGGATCCTGGGTGGCAGCACGAATGATCTCATCCCATGCAGCATTCGGTGCCCCCATCAATTCGGCGAGTAACCTCTCTTGCTGGTGCTTGTTTCCCTGGGCGGAGACCATGAAGCCACAAGCTTCGTAAAAAGTGTGTACCTGCTGCGGTGTCAAGTCGCAAGTAATCCGAGGCAGGTTGCGAACGATCTCTTCAATAAAGGGCTCGCTCTCACTTGGCTGCAGAGCCACGAAGTGACGGCGGCACTGGCGGGCGATTTTGATAAAAGTATCGCAAGCCATGTCTTGAACACCTGTTTTTGTTATTGGTAAGCTAATGGATTCCATCATGTCTCTGAGAAAAGTGAATTACCTTCATGGGATTCGTGCATGAATTCGAACAGCTTGTTGACGACCGTCTTAAGGAACTTCCAGTGAGCCTTCAGAAATCGGGGGTACTGTCCAACAATGTACATAATGTTGGAAGCAACGACGGCCTTGTTGTCCTTGCCTCGTTTCATTTCTGTAAGGCCCAAAAGATCCTTAATAACTGTGACCAGGAAGCGCTTCTCGGTCTCTTCGTTCATGGCCAAGGAGATGGAACCGATAGCCCAGCAGAGAACATTGCAGTTGTGCCAAGACCATTCGGTGTTGTCGACTTGACGTTGAAGCTTCTCGGTCATGATATTCTCCATGTCAACGACGTCCAGATGCGTCAGGTAAACAAGACACTCGCGGATGGTCTTGTACAGCTGTACGGTGTCACTTTCCTTGACGAACTCTCGCACAATCTCACCCTCGTCGTTTTCGACAATGAGGACCTCCTCTGGGCGGACCATCTTCTCAATCATAACAACACGCAGATTCGAAAGAACTTCCTTGAACTTGTGCATACGCAGCGGGAGACTTGCGAGAACGCTTGGATTCGGTGCGCCCGATGTTGCTCCGGTACTGCCCAAGCTCATCAAGGGGTTCATTTCCTGCAGAGGTGCCGACTGCATTTCCTCGTACAGCTCTTGGACGAGCTTGAGCCAGTAGTCCAGACAGATCTTGAAAATCTCACGATCCTCGATTTGCGAGATTCGAATGAGGTAAAAGTGACCATGAGTAAGGAAGTCGCGGTTCGGCAAGTTCTCGATAAGATTGACGTGTTGGCCAAAGAAATTGCACAGGAAGAGGGCAAAGTTCTGGATGAACTCCTGATCCTTCGAGTTGCTCTGAGGGTATGTAGACTTGAGGTCTAGCTCGAGGGGAATGAAACCGGCAACTGTGGTCAGGACCTCGCAGAACATCTTGACGAGCTGCTCGCTGTACGCATTTGGTTGTCCATGGGCGGCTGTTGTTAATCCACCAATCTCGGTAAACACTTGCAAGGTAATGTTTCGGAATTCGGGAACTTCCAAAAAGCGCGAACGTAATGTCTCGATCAAAGGCGTCTCGAAGATGTAGCCAAGGGGGATCCAGTTGCAGAATCGCAAGAGCGTCTCCAGAGTGGCGTTCACCAAGCTAGGTTGGTTGGCTGTGGTAAGAATCTCCTGGCAGAGCTGGAAGATTTGAGAAAACTCATTGCACATGGTAGTCTTGAGATTTCTTGTCTTGGCCGAGGTCATCTGATCGGCCGAGTAGTCGAAGACCTCCTCCGAAAGAAGGCGCAGAATGATCATGTTGTTCTCGCATATCGACAGACTCGTTCGGCAAGACGAGATGATCTCATTGATAAAGGTAGGCCAATTGTGAGGCCACTCCTGTTTCAGAATGGAGATGAGGACCAAGTTGAGCTTGTTGAGCAAGGTACGCTGGGCCTTGAGCGACTCCTCGGAGCTGGAGCACTGAATGATGAAGTTCACGACGAAGTTACGAATACCTGCACGGTGAGAGGGCGTTAGTCGACATAATTTTGGTCAAAATTATGATAGAAAAAGCTTTGCACACGAACCTTGACATTGCTCTCTTGGCAAGACCCTCCATCTCGTCATAATCACGTTGTCCAGCACCTGGAGACCAAGATCTGTAATTTGTCAGCCTTGCGATCCCTCGGCAGCTGTGAATGTAGAGTATGGTAGCCTACACTTGGTTTGCGGATATGAGGCATCAGACAGGATTTGATCGACGAGCAGCCACGCATCGGGGTCTTCTTTGAACTGAAAAAGTAGAAAGGTCAGCCGTAAGACATCATCTTTGGTCGGTTGTTGCAAGGCAGCTTACCTGGTTGAGCGCAGCTTGGGCATTCTTTTGCTAGAGGCGGGGAAGACGATGAGGTTAGCACGTTGGAGCTGTACTTGGGTCGCAAAGTTCAAGGGAGCCAAGCTCAAAGAGTCTGGATACTGGGAATGACAAACCTGCTCGCCGCGACCCTCGTAGAAGGTGCGGACGGTCGCATCGAGCTCCTCGATCGAGGGCGCCATCGTGAAGGGCGAACTGTTGGTGATTTCTGGTGGCGGGGGAGATGGAGGAGGGTGTCGAGAAGCGCAAGAGGTAATGGGAGAGAAGCGATGTGCCTTGCAAATGAGGACAATTTGCACAAGGCGGCACTGAAAGGAAGCCGCAGCTTGGTAGGGTATCGAAGGGGGGGAGGTAAAGGAGAAGAGGAAGTTTCGGTTCTTTTGCAATAAAGAAAAAAAACGGCGAGGACAGACGAGTGCCTTCTTCACAAAAATAGGTGAAGAAGAAGATTGATAGTATCAAAGGCGGGCGGCTCTTTTGGACGGACTGGATTTGGTTCCCCACTGGCGTCAACACACGCTGCTTTGAGCGGGTCGCTGGGTCCTCTGGGCGGTTGCTGAGGTCCCCGACTGCAGTCACTGCGTGCACTAAGATGTGGTGCTGCTAACTGTCTGTATGCACTCTACGCGCGAATCTCCAGTGGACTGGGTGCCGGCCTTGGGAAAGTACCTAAAAAGCGGGCGGCTGAGAAATGGGCGAACCTGCCCCTCACTGTCTCATCTGCTTGTCGCCTTGCGAAAAAGCGCGACCTCCCCGAGAATGAATGGCCCCCAAATTCCGCGAATTATGTCACTGTCACCAGCTAGGTTCAAGGTAGGCACCTCAAGGCAGCTAGCTCCGTCTATACTGCATTAACAACCTGGGCTTGAAGTCCTTACAATACTCATTCCATCTGACAGAATTAATTGCCTTGTGTTCAATTTTCAAGTGTGATTGGGTCAGAATTGTTAAATTTGATATTACCAGCAGGAACTCAAGATATTGCCATTTCATCTCGAATTGTAAATTAGAAAACATGACGTCTATGGTCACGTCATAATTCCAAAATAACTGATGTGCACTCTGTAGCAAGGCTTCGATTTATCAAACGCAACGCCAACGCCAAGCACATTACCTCGACATTGGCTGAAATATTAACAATCAAGCGTCGAGCACAAGCAATTAAGCTGTGATAGCCAGCTGGCCGGCCAGCAGTCACGCCGCCAACGAACGATCTCGCCACTTTTATATTGGAACCTGGTCACGCGCGATGCAATTTTTATGGCAAGAGTCCACCTTTGCCCGGTCTACTTGAGTCGGCGGTATGTGTACCTCCGGGCTGCCGGAATTTGGTGGAGCCAAAACATGACATAAAAACTGGAAACTTCTCCTGGCATCCCGAAAGTCATGCCGCATCAGTGGATGCTTTGTGAAGGTGAAGAACAAACAGACAGTTTAACCTCACGATACATATTAGGAGACAATGAAAGATTTTGGTTTGAGGCGGAATCAACTGGTTTTTGCTCATGCATGGCTCATTCTTACGTGTCACTATTGCTTACATATCTATCACGTCTATCATTTGTCTAATCCGACATATCTGCCATGTAGATCGTTTATGCCTTTTGGTATCCAAGCTCCGACAACCCATTCGAAAGCGCGTTGAGAGCCTTGTCGATATCCTTCCTGTTGGGGTCGGTCTGATAAAGGTTAGCGACTCCTATACAACAAAGAAAGAGCAACCATGGGATTACTTACAACACTGACGCCCATGTGTCCAAAACGGACATACTTGGGGGCAATCTCCTTGTGAAGACCACCGGCCCAAACGACACCACTCTTGGCGAGTCTAGGCAGCAACTCGGTGGCCTTGACAGTTTCCGGCAGGTAGATGGCAGTCATGCCATGCGCCTGGTCCTCGGGCTTCACGGCAACCTGCTTCAGGCCCAGATCCGTCACGGCCTTCTTGATTCTGTCTGATACTTCAGTGTGCCTGGCAAATCTCTCGGAGAGTGGCTTGGCAAGGATCTGAACAAGAGCTGTGTTCAAGGCATGGATCAACTGTGGCGATGGCGTCGCAAAGTACGACGGCTTCTTGGCCTCGTAGTTCTTCATGATAGGTAGCCAGTTCTTGAACGAGGCAAAGTACGAGGCGGGCGGCGTCTTTCGGGCCTGGAACACCTCAATGGCTTTGCCGCTCCACATGGAGATGGAGAGACCAGCTGGGCAGCCGATGGCTTTTTGACTGGCCGTAACAACACCGTCAATCTTCCACTTGTCGAACTGGATTTCCTCGCATGCCACACTGCAGACACCATCCACGACCAACAAGGTCTCTGGGGAGATTCTCTTGACCAGCTCAGAGAGCTTCTCTAGCTCACTGAGGACACCAGTCGATGTGTCGACATGAGTGACGGTGACGACCTTGAACTTTTTGGACTTCAATGCCTCCTCGATCTCGGGTAGTTGCGGGCGACCACCAATGGGGCCCGTGATCTTTGTGACCTTTGCGCCATATGTCTCAAAGCAGTCGGCAAATGCATCACCAAAGTAGCCGGTGCTTAGGACCAAAACGTCCTCGCCAGCCTCGACCAGGTTGGCGGCGGTCAGATCCCATCCCAAGGTACCGGAACCAGAGATGACCAGAGGCTGCGCCGAGGAGTCGGTGGTCTGGAAGAGCTGGCGGAGTAAAGTCAGGGTCTCGCCAAAGGTTGCCACGAAGCCGGGTCCAACGTGAGACTCGCTGTGCCAAGATTTCAGGTTAGACAACCTCGGGTATAGAGCCGAGCTCATAGGACTATACATACCTGAAGTGGCTCATAGACTGCAGAACGGCATCATCAAACTCAACGGGGCCCGGGATGAGCAAGGTTGGGTGGTCAGGCTGAGACGACATCTTGTTTGGCTGGGTAGTAGATAATGCACGGTTTGGGGAACTAGCAACAGAAGAAACCGAGGTCGAAAGTCCAGAGCTTGCAGACAGGTGAGTTGATATCATGGAGACCCGGGCAGAGGGGTTCATTGTAATATATGAGGGGCAACCGCCGCGGAGGTGGGGCACCACAGATCGGACGGCTCTCCGCATCGATTCCAAACTTTGCTTGTGAATAAGGTACCTGAGTAATCGCTCGTTGTGCGTGAGCGACCCTTGGCGTCTGTTTCCAAGAAGCTTTCTGTCACTATACAGCCAATTGGAGGTGAGCCGGTTACCAGAGCAGAATAGCCCGAGGGTATGGTTGGATTTAGAACGGGCAGCCTTCCGGCAGGTGCAGTAATACGCGGACGAGCACCCGAGAGGACGAAATAATACCGGCAGAAATCCGAGGGAAAACAAAACGATTCTCTGCCACAAGGGAGTTGAGCTGTTTTGACCTCTAAGCGGTTCTACTTTGCTAAGCAGCCTCCACTTTCGTCTTTGCCCGTCTTGTATTTTGTCCCTTTTTTTGCGCGGTGGACGGAGGAATCCGACTAGCAATTGCCGCTGACAGCTGAGCTCTGGCGACGTTGACCTCCGTCTTCGGTTCGGCCATGCTGCAGTGGCTGCAAGGCTTATTGTTCCGTAAAAGACCCCTGTTCCATGCTTGCTTGCAGAGGGGCTTAGGTACGGAACGAAGTGGGCTGCTGCTGGGCTCAAGCTCCATTTGGGGGAGATCTCGCAGTCAAGGTATCACGACGTCAACTCCCTCACTTGGGCCTAGTAATGTAAAGTGAACGTGCATACATTCGGGCCTTGGCTTCTGCTCGACATTTGAGGCTCTTCGCTCGAAACATCTGCACAAGCGCCCAAGCTCGTGATTAGTAATGTGAGCGACAACAATTGAAACTACAGAATATTCTCCTCATCCATCCGCCAACGACGCAATCGCCGCTCCCGGCCATCGAGTTTCTGCTTCTGCCTGCGCCTGAACCAACCCGACGGTGACCTCTCTGGTTGAGGAACAGACCAGGCCCGGCACGCAACGATTCTTATCACACCCATCCGATATATCCAGTGGCACATACTATAATCTACAATGGCGTTCCTAATCCTCGTGATAGGGGATATGCACATCCCCGACAGGGCGCTCGACATACCGCCCAAGGTACGTCTTTCTTGCACGCCCAACGACTCTACCCGCCCCATAGACTGACAACGGACCCGCGCAAACAGTTCAAGAAGCTGCTCTCGCCCGGAAAGATTGGCCAGACACTGTGCCTGGGCAACCTGACGGACAAGCCGACGTACGAGATGCTGCGCGCGATCGCGCCGGACCTGAAGATCGTCAAGGGCCGCATGGACGTGGAGGCAACCTCGCTGCCGCTGTCACAGGTGGTGACGCACGGCTCGCTGCGCATCGGCTTCGTCGAGGGCTTCACACTCGTCTCCACCGAGCCCGACGTGCTGCTGGCCGAGGCCAACCGCCTCGACGTTGACGTCCTCTGCTGGGGCGGCACCCACCGCTTCGACGCCTTTGAGTACATGGACAAGTTCTTTGTCAACCCCGGCAGCGCCACTGGCGCCTACACCACCGGCTGGCTCGGCCCCAAAGATGGCAAGGACGGTGAGGAGGAGATCAACCCAAGCTTCTGCCTCATGGACGTCCAGGGCATCAGCTTGACCCTCTACGTCTACCAGCTTCGCAAGGATGCCAATGGTGTGGAAAATGTTGCGGTGGAGAAGGTCACATACACAAAGCCTGTCGAGCCTGCTTCCAGCTCGTAGTACGTACAGCGATAACGATTTTTGGGAGAGATTTGGTGGCCCAGCTCATAGCTGTGAGATTTTCTGTCTCGGCATGCCAGCCATCGTGGGAGTGCCTGCCAAAAGAGCATGGCAATTTCGCAGCAATGGAAGTCTAAATCATTCGTAGGCAGACAGTCGACACCGAACTAGCCAAGGCCTTTGGGAGACTTGAAGGAGATGGACGATTTATTCGATATATCAAAATAATGAAGAAAAGAATGAATTTCATTAAACGTTTACACATCCAATTTTCGTGACGTACTCCAACGCTATAGTATGGCCAGTCCAACGAACCATCAAAGGGATTTGCCCGCTCATTATCATATACAGAAGTCGTAAACACAGCCTGTCTCATGATGCAAGCAAAATCAGCCGCCCCCTTGGCTAGCTTATCAATACAACTCAGGCAGTGATCATAACATCATGCTCCGCCTCCTCATCGAAACCCCTCTTCCCGTCACTTCCGTGTCTCCCGAGCTGTTGCTACTGAAGCTACTATCTCCATCAGCACTAGTCGAGGTGTCGGCATCAAAGCTCGAAGCGGTCTTCTGAACCATCATCGACGCTCGCTTTCTCGAAGCCCGAGGCTTTTGGGTTGTCGCAGTGGACTCGTTACCCAGATCCTCATTGAGCATCGAACTCAGCCGTCTTGACTTGCCGCTGCGAGAACTAGCCGACTTTTTCCCATCTTCGGAGACTGAAGTCGTGGTTGAGCCATGGCGGCTCGGAGATGAGCTAGTAAACTCATAGACATCAGGCCCATCAAACATCTTGGCAACCTCTGCTTCCCTTGCGGCTATTTCCTCCATCTTTTTGTTCATTGGCCGTGTCGCCGTTTTAGAACTATCAGCACCAGCTCCTTGGGCTGCGGCTGAAGAGTCCCGCTTCTTCCGTTCCGTGACGACTGTTGTTTGCAGATCTTCTGTTGGCATATTTCGGGAAACCTTTTGAACAAGAGGGCTTGCTGCAACGTGCTCTTCCTTCTCGGATCCCTCCAGATCCTTGGATTTACAGTCGCTCGGTTTCTCATCAGACTTTGCGGGAAACATATCGCTATGTCTCGACTGACTACTTCGTCGCATGGCTTTGCCTTCCCCTGCTACGGCATCGAAGAGCTGCTTAGTAGGCCGCCGCATCTTGTCTCTCAGGTTTGGCTCTGCATAGCTGACATTGGACCTTGCCCTCCTGCCTACTCGACTCGTCTCTCCCGTAGATGAGATATCAGCTGGCGGCGGCGTGTCACGAAGCGACTGGGGCTCTGGTGAAGTCACTGCCGATGAGATTGGCTCAGAAGACATCAAGTCGGGTTCTACGTCGACAGGCATGCAAGGAGCTGGTGCTGGCTGCGGAACAGATATCTCAACCGGCTTCGAATCTCCTTCCTTCTTCTTTGGCTTGGATGGCTCCCTTACTTTGCCAGACCCCTTGGCGTTCGCCTTCTCCTGAGCAATTTCGTCCAGAAGCGGCCGTTTCGCTGGCTTCTTTGGCGAGCTCACAACTTCATTCGTGCTCTTGGCTCCCAGAGCTTTTCTCGGCGCAAGAACTGGAGCACTGGTCGTGATCTGTTCGTGTCCATCTCCTTTGTCTGCAGATGGATCTTTGAATGGTTTGGTAGTTGCTAGCTTTTCTCGTAGCTTGGTGGATTTGGCAGGGTCCCCTCCTAGCTTCGCTGTAGGAGCATTCTCCTTATCTTCGTCTGCTCTCGATTTCCGCTTCAGAGTGACATTAGAAATCTGAGTGGCTGGGACGGGTAGTTCGACGAAGTTCCTTGCTGGACTTTTTGAGGCAGTAGATTCAACGTGTCCCGGTACAATTTCCTGTGGCACCCTTCCTAGAGCCATATGCTCAGGCGCCTGTTCCGAACATGGATGAGGCGATCGTGGTTCCTCGGCGGCAGGACTCATCGGCGTCTGTGTTGTCGACAAGCTAATCTTCACCGGCTCCGGATCCACAAAGCGGGACATGGGCGGAGGCCCAAGATCAGGGGACTCAGTCTCCTCGGCTTCTGAGCACAGAGCCAAGATTTCATCGCGACTATATGGCTGACTTAGTTTGGTTTTCTCATTACAGGGGGAAGAAAAGAGCATACTTCAGAGTTTCCCGGGGGCAAGGCCTGTTTTCCCAAAGCGGGGGCAATCGGCCCTCTTGCAATGCGGCAGCCTCCAATTCACTGGTATTTCTCCTCCGGAATCTGGGAGAACCGGCTCCGGCGAGGCCCAAGCTTGGATCCCTTCTGAGCCTTTTATTTGCGCGTGGCGACCTATTCCTAGGTAGTGGTTCGTGGCCAAGGCTTGCAAGCATCGAGCCCCATTCGAGGAGCTGTGCCTCCATCTTCTCCTTGATTTCTAATGCATGATCTGCGATTCTCTGTGCTCGACTCTCCTGGATCTCGGTTTCAAGACGTAATATCTGGCCTCGCAGTTCGAGGTTTTCTGAGAGCATGCGAGCGCATTCATTCTCCAAGCTGCGGATACGTAAAGATTGTGTTGAGTTGACTCTAGCGATGTCTCGGTTCTGACGGAGAAACTTGCGGCGCACTGTTGCGAAAAGACGAGTCAGCTCAAGTCAAACATGGACGATTCAGCTTGTTGTCCAAACATACAGATCTCCATCCCGTCGGGTGCCGCGACGGGCTCATTTAATCGCGCCATGACGCACGCAGTCCGTTGTGAGCTGAACCAATATTTCTTGTCGTTATCTTATTGAAAATTCGATGCGGGAGTATCGTGGATTATGATCGTAGTGTCGAGGTGATGTGTTCGTATGTATTTGGCGACGCGACGCGAATGAATGTAATGTCAACATGTGATGTTGCAAGGTTTTTGGTGGAGGGAAATGAAAAGCTCTGGAAATATTGACGACAAGCTGCAATGACAGGGTAGACAGACTGCCAAAAGGAGTATGGCGTGCCTTGGCGGTGGGGTGCCCGCGCCATCTCCTTGTAAGCCAGGATAGGCGCCAGACAAACCACCAACTAACTGTCTTGCAGCCAGAAAATCACCTGCGTCACCACGTGGGAATTGTTTCCGCAAGGCACAATAATGCTGTTGCAGCAGATTTCGCTGTTTACAATTCGTAATGCTCTATTGACAAAGCCACCGCAAGCTCAAATATCAACTCAAGCTCCAATCAAGTGTCGAGGCGGGCTTGAGCTGTACCGGTCGTTCTACTAAGTACCTAGTCCAGCTTGCTAGCGATAGAGTGTCGGTTCTCTCAAGTTTGGTGGGGTGCTACCAAAGCGTAACGAATCCTCGTCCACCACCTTCACGCGGTTCAACTCCCTCACAATCCAACACCTACAACAGTCGACGACCATGGCATTCTCTACCAGATCCCTCTCGGGCCACCTTCGCCAAGGTTCGGCATCGGGCAACGCTGCTTCGCAGTCCACAGGCCAGTCGAGCGCACTCCAAGCTCGAATCAATGAGAAGAAGGCCGAGCTAGAGAACCTGAAAGAGCTGAGAGACTTGAGCGCAGCTGTCGCAAACCAGATGGAGGCGCTAGAGGCAAAGCTATCTACATTATCAGACGGAACTGAAGGTACAGATTGAAGAAGTCAGGGTCAAGGATTTTCATTGACGTTGGAAACAGCAATCGCAACAGTACTGGGAAACTGGCACAATGTATTACGGGCTATCAACATGGCGTCAGGTATGATTGCTACGGATGAATCAGGAGAAAGCCTATAGAAGCTAACCTTGATACACAGCCAAGATACCCAAACCCCGTGAAGCCACGGATGATCAAGACGACGACCAAGCAGTTCCCTTGCCGCAGACCTTGGTGCGAATACCTACTGAACACGCTCCTGCTTTACAGGCGCAAGCCGACAACTTGGAGAACGAGCATAACTCTTCTACGTTATCTTGATGAAGCCCTGACTTGCCAAATGCTCTGCGCCGCATTATCTGCTCTATCGAACTCGATGTTATCCGGCTTCTGGTGGCTCAGCTATATTCTCCGACATGTCTTGGAGAAGCAAGTTGGGGCACCGTACCACGTGTGCTGTCGAGTCAACATCAGTCACACCCTGAGAGATTCGACACATCTATCACTTTGATTGACAACAGAGAGCATTCCGTCAATTGAACGCCAGCCTTGTTGCTGTAAGTATACGCATGTTCCTGTATCGATTTGAAGATATCCCACCCCAAATACCTGGTTTTGTCCCGGAGACTTGTCGGCAGTAACTCCATCCCGGGTACACATGCCGTCGAGTTATCCCAGCGGGAGCTGCGGGGCAACAATGCAGCACAAGCGCGTCTGGTCAGACGCGTCCATGTTAGTCAGCGGTTGCTTGGGGGAATCTAAGTCATTATTTGGCACATTTGGGAAACTTAAAACCACTCGCGGGGAAGCTGCTTCCGACGCAATTGTTTATTGCGGAAGAGCAAAACAAAGGTGCGCGAAAAAAGGGTTTGGGAGAAAGCACCATCCTTTTCAGGATTCAATGTTAAGTCACAGACCCGACTTGTTTGGTACCCAGCTGCAGGTCCGAGGGCCAGCCAAACATTAAACACCACCCATCCATAGAACCAACATACTGCTACGCTTCTTTGGAAAATAAAAATCACCCAATTGAATCCAGACCCTCCACTACTACTTCAACTAACTACTACATACTATCGATCCTCTCGCTCAGCCCCAAGGGTCTCTTTTACTGCCCCGCTTTGTTGTAATTAGATACTGTTCCCGTGCTTGAGCCGGAGATTATTGTCTCGCGTCAATCCTTGCCCTCACGACTTCTTTAGTCCGCGTTCGTCGGCTTTTTAGCCATTTGGACCGTCCCAGAAGGGTCCCTGCTGATCTTCCATTGAAAGAGAGGGCACGGTAACAATGGCTTCAGACACTCATCCCTCAACTCGATTCGACGTCTTCAACGACTCGTGCAACACCAGTTGTGACGATAGTGACAGATCGAGTCTTGACCTCGAAAGCAGTTTGCTTCCTCTCAGTGACATCTCCGTTTCCCATGCTCAAAACCGCCAATCATTAGGTTCAGCCTCTGCCGTGGAATCACTCGCTACCGCCCTCAAGGAGTTTCACATTGGCGAGTCGCCAGAACGCGTTCAATACAAGGGCAAGGCAATTGGTCTGAAGGCCATCAAACAGTCTATTGCCCGCTCCAGCATTCAACCTCTAGCAGCTGCTGCTGCATATAACCCCATCAAAGTCCTCGAGACAGTGCCTGAAGATAGCAGCAGCCAGGAAGGCTCATCCACCATCGCGGCTGACAGCGTTTCAGATCGCAGCCAGCACTATATCCAGATCCCAGGTGAGTTGCGCTCAACTAGTGGTCAGGTAAATCCACTATTAGTGAATGGGCCACTAACATGCCTTTCCATAGTGGACCAGTATACTCATCATCCTCTGTCTGAAGCCGCGCGCAACCTATCATCGTTCGAGGAACAGCTGGCCAAACATCGCAGGGAGGAATATGAGTGGGTGATGACTATCAAGGTAGCCGAGCCGTTACCCATTGACACGGAATCTACACAAGCCGAGCCAGCAACCAGTCGTGCAACTACTAGGCTCTACTTTGGCTGCAACTTGCTCCCAGACCAACCCGATACAGATCTACTAGAACAAACCTCTTATAGTCTCCTCGTGACGCCACTCGAGGGTAATGCACAACTGGACGCAGCAACCGAGTTGGAAGACGACGAGATGATGGCCTTGACAGGATATAATGCTGTTGAGCAAGTCATGCCCTTGCAGCCTGTGGACCAGAAACCCGAAGTCTGCGTTGCGGAAATCTCCCTGGAAGACGCCAAATCTGACGACGCCAAGTCTTTCGGCGGTGATAGTTCAGTGGGAGCCGCGTCAGTTGTGATGGAGGAACCTCTTGCTCGCATTGAAGATTCTGTGGAGGCACTCGATCAACTAGAGGAACAGCTTGAGGCATTTGATCTTGCAGCTTGTATGAGAGACCTTGTCACACATGCTCCCAGCAAGTCATTGCCTAATCAGACATGTCCTTCAACCGCACCAACTCCTAGTAAGAGTAAGGAAGCAGCACCTCAGATCCAGCATAGATCACCAAGGACAGATGTTTCTGCTCTGAGAGTGAACACATTCCACTCAACTCGTTCGCCAACTGGGCGCAGGTCGGGTTCAATGGCAGGCATGGATGCCCCCAAGCTACTCGATTCACCCAAGCTCAAGGTAGAGGACAAGCCTCTGGTCCAGGCTCCTGTTAAGAAAGCTGCACCAAAGCTGACGAGCCTCTTGCCGCCCAAACAGCCGGCCAAGTCGACAAAGCCTCCGACTGTCCCCACCTTTGAACTTCCAGGAGAAGCAGTGGCTCGTCGCCTCAAGGAGCAGCGAGAGGCACGACTTTCAATGGCAGCAAACGCAAAGAAGCCGGAAGCGACACCCAAGTCGAGTCTGAGGCGCACTAAGTCCGCGAAACCTCCTACACGGCCTGACTTTGAGCTCCCTGGAGAAGCCATCTCGCGACGTAAACGAGAGGAGCGGGAGGCCAAGCTCAAGGCCGAGGAGGAAGAGGAACGCAAGCGTCGTGAGTTCAAGGCAAAGCCAATCCGAATGGGAGGTGTGGCTAGTTACGTCCCTCGTGACACGGCTACCAGCCGGGCACGACAGAACAAGCCCACGGATGGCGCAGCACAAACATCTCCAAGCCGCCACAAGCTGTCCGCGGCTCCAACCTCTGTCTCTGCTGGTGCTCTCAAGACATCAACTGATCAGATGCAAACTCGTGGCCGACATCCCGCCACAGGTTCGTCTCAAGAAAGTCGTGCAACTTCTAGCTCCAATGGTAGTGTCAATGGCAAGCGCAGCTCGGTGTCTATTGAAGATGTCCAGGCCCAACGGGCGCGGGGGAAGGAGATTTTGCAACGCGACGGAATGTTTGCCCAAGACAAGCAGCGTGAAAAGCGTGAGCGGGAAGCGCTTGCCCGCCTTGCAAGAGAGCAGGCTGCTGAGCGCTCGCGTCAGCTTAGTCGCGCATGGGCCGAGAAGCAGAAGCAAAAGCGTATGACTATCGGCTCTGTCCGAGATGTTGTCGCCTCGTCATCCTGAGCTCATTGCTATTGGGAACCTCTGACAGCGCCTAGACCTGGAAGCTGCGATTTGAAGTCACAGAGAGTGACGGGTTCAAAAGTGTTTTAGTATTTGTATGATGATTTGAGCGCCGAGTTTGGCGTTCTTGAGGGTATGATGGCATCACTTGATGCTTTTATGAGTTTCAAAGGAGTATGGGTTGTATTTGATTTTGGGCGTTCTGCCATGTTTTAGGCGCTTCAAAGAGGCGCATCTTTAATTTTCCGGGAGAGCTCACATGGACTGCTGGAGAATGGGAAGTTGCTCTCAGAGGCATTGTTTCCACTTGTATTCAAGCAGACATGCTATTGTACTATTTTGCGGACTTGGTATGTCCTCTGCTGGGCCTTGTATTGTTCTTGCTTCGAACTCGGTACACCAACGTATACTTGGAACGGCATGATATACGAGTTGATTGTTCTCTTGTAAGTTTATTCAATCACAATTGGATTTATTATAGTGACCTCAGCACGTAATGCGAGCGACCAGTGCTGAAGAAGTGAGATTGGGCCATTGCCACGTGTGATCATGTTGTGTCTTGGGCCGCAATGATGTGAGCAACGGTTTGTTTGCGATATTGTTCAACCCGAAGAGACAAAAGACACATGAGGCCATGCTCTGGAACTGTGGGGATGTACAGAAATTCTAAGCAACATTGCGATGAGTATACAGCAGTTGACTTATGTGCAACATTGGAATACAAATAAAATAAAGTCCATCACAGCTGATATGAAGCTGGGGTACATGGTTGCCCACGTTTGCTCTCTCCCAAGTTCAGGGAGCTTACATGATCACTGCGTCTGCTCGTGGGCATACAAGGACTAGAACGTCTGCTATATGTTGATCTGGTGGTGTGCATGTCGAGAATCACGCAAGATGGCGCCAGAGAACAAGATTTGGTAATAAGTCCGTGAATTATACATGTGCAGGGTCGCCCAAGCCTTACACTTTTGAGTGAGTTAGCGCTACCGAGTCCTTGGTTGAGGCAGCTGAACGGCGTGGAATATTGGTCCTTTTGCGCCGGTGGTCTAGACCACATGGAGGTGACATCGGGTGTAGTATACCAGTACTAGGGAAAAATCACGCTCCTTGGCAACGACGAAAAAAAAACTCAATTGCCATGACTACCCAACTCTACCTTTTGGTTAAAAGTTACAGTTTTTTGAAAGCAATCAATGAAAGCTTTCTGTGGCTCAATGTACAGGGTCATTCTTGATCCGCCGGTGCCGTGCAAACAATCACCGTCATACTCTGTAGAAGTGCAAGGCGTGTCGTCTGGTATACAGGTGTGATGCCTGGGGAACTGTCGCGTGACCTGACATAGATTCATTATTTCATGCAACATGCGTATACCAGTTTGTCAATAAAATGTACCTTGCCTCAATGCCAAGTACATATGTTCACGTGCAGTGGGCGGACGCAGGGCACTTCTAGGGTCTGGAATCGTTTGTTCTCTTAGTAAGAACAGACGAGAGTGATCAATTGCTGGTACTTTCTACCTTCAATGGGTACCTTGCCTTCAGTGTGAGCTACCAGCAGTACATTCACCAGCCACCCAAGTACCGTCGTAGTCTCCAGGCTGTTGGTGAGTGGACTTCTATTGTCTGCAGCAATGAGGCACCCGCGGATGGCCCATCTTCAAGCTAAAAATGCCTATTAGAGGTATGCGATCTAGACCACTCAGCTGGCCTGTGATTTTGTTGCTTATTAGAGGTACAATAACCTTCTCTGACCACATTTACAGCTCGAGCGACAAACGTCGACTTCTTTACCCTTGATTCACCTCCTCTCATACAACAACAGATTCACTGATCTTTACGGAATGGACACGATTCCATAGTGTCTGTTCTCAAGCTATAGTACCTCCCACTATTCGACAATTAGCAGAACAGAACTTGTCACATTACCCCACGGAAAAGCTTGCGCGTTTCGTTTCGGCACAACAGCAGTCTTGTCGATCTGAACCCAGATCCCTGGGGCAGATCGCCAACGAACCAACTGAATTGCAGTGAAACAACGTCCGCCAAGCCTTCACTGTCGCAAGCCACCCCACCAATCTCCACGTGCCTGCAAACCTCCCACCTTAAAGGGCCAAGCCTTGGAAGGGGAGCTTTCCCTTTTTTCTTTTTTCTTTTTTTTGCATTCACATGCTGTCAGCATCATTGTCGACAGAGGACAGAAATCAACTTCCTTCATGTCCACCTAAAGCGTACAGCGGCCGCGATAAGGCCGCAAATGACAACACCTGCAGCGCTCAAGCATACGATCTCGAGAGCAATCACAAGGAAAAGAGCGAGAACAGTAGCAGCAGCGACAACAGCATGGCGCCCAAGGCCCCTTGGTGGTCTCGCTACTCGGGCTACCAGAAGCTCAGGATTCAGCGGCCAAACAGTCCGGCACGCCGTGGCGTCTTTGCTGCATTGGCCGCCTGCGTCGTCATAGTTACAGTCGTTGTCGTCTGGCTTTCCAAGACGCATCGATTGGGGTCGGGAAAGGTACGTAAAAATGCACTGCATCATGCACATTTCCGTTTTCCTCTAGCATGACGACGATGGGGGTGGAAAGCCTGGATGATTTTAGGTCGATTAGGTGTACGGGTAAGGTTCTTAGGTTCTTGGGGTATTAGTTAGCGCCAAGCCGACGTGATCCACTCGCTCCCGTCTCTCTCACACAAGTCATTTGATACTTGGGGTGTTTGATCATACCGACAATAGCATGGTGTACATTGATGACTATTATTTTGCAAGGATGAAGAAGTTGGCTCTATCTTATTATTTAGGGCTTTCGGGTATCAAAAGTTCTGAAAGCTGACTATCTTTACAGTCAAGTGTAACGGTTACGTTACAGCAAGGGACATATCTGGGCGAGACGACACCAAAATCAAGCATCTACCCTCGCGCCGTAGATGCTTGGCGTGGCATTCCCTATGCTCAGTCCACCGGGGGAGATAATCGTTTCCGCGCTCCACAACCTCTGTCAAGCGACGCGAGCTCGAGCAAAGTCTACAATGCCCAGGACTTTGGGCCCATTTGCGGCAATACCGGTGCCGAGGACTGCTTGAGCGTCAATGTGTATCGACCTCACTTTGGAGACAATTACCAAGCAGATGCTGCTGACATGAATAAATTGCACCACGAAGGAAGGCAACTACCAGCCATGCCCGTGGTTGTCTACGTCCACGGCGGAGGTTTCAATGGGGGAGCTGGCAAAGAGCGGAACATGGCCAGTTTTGTAAGCTGGGCGGCCATGCCGATCGTCGGTATCAGCTTCAACTACCGGACAGGCGCTCTGGGTTTCCTGCCCAGCTCGATTACGGAGAAGGAGGGAGTCCTGAATCTTGGCCTCAAGGATCAACAAATGCTTTTGGCTTGGGTGCAAAAGAATGTTGCTACATTTGGCGGTGATCCAGACAATGTCACTCTCATGGGGTTGAGCGCTGGTGCCCACTCCATTGGCCATCAACTCATCTCCTATTCACCAGCGAATAAGCTAACAAATAATGCCGTTCCTTTTCACAAAGTCATCATGGAGTCGGGCGGCCCAACAGCACGCGCTGTATTTGCCCCTTCTCATCCGCTTCATGAGCAACAATTTCAAGAGTTTCTGAGCGCCTGTGGGCTTTCTGATATATCAGATGACGAAGTCTTTCCAAAACTCAGGGAGCTTTCACTCTCTCGCATTCAGTCGGCGTCCAAAGCGATCTGGGACAAGTACAACAGCCCGAGTCTGCGGTGGGCTTTCCAGCCTTCGATTGATGGACCCGGAGGTGTGATTCCCGACTTACCGCTACGATCGTGGGAAAAGGGCAGCGTTCTGAGGATACCAATCTTGTCGGGCTTCGATACGAATGAAGGCGCCACGTTTGTGCCCCCAAGAGCCTCTGATTCAGACGCTCTCCGCGATCTGCTTGGTGGTATTATACCCGCACTTAATGAGACGAGTCTTACCACCATGGAGAATATCTACCCAGACCCCTTGTCCACCTCGGAAGGCAAGATCCTGTATTCCTACCAGCCCGCCGGCTTTGGCAAACAATTTTGGAGACTGGATGACGCATATGCTCACTATGCGTACATCTGTCCAGTCCTACAAACAGGTCATTATGCATCTATTGCTACGGATTCGAAAGCACCGGTGTACATTTATCACTTTGCGGCCCGATCGGCTGCCCACGGGGGTACGGATCATGGCGACGAGGCACCCGTGGTCGCTCACGACCAACAGGTCTTGGCCAATTTCCCAGGCTTGACCGAGACGGCTACCCTCATGACCGACTTTTGGACTCGCTTCGCCGCCTTTGGTGATCCAAACCCCGAGTATCTTAGCACCGCCACCAACACGAACATGATGTGGATGAAGTACCAAAGTCCGTTTTCAGATTCAGGTGATAAGGTGACTGGTGTCAATGGCCAGGTGGCACTGTTTGGCCTGGGCAACGACGAGCGAATGCTGGCTAAAGGCCGCTCCTCGCCGGGTACACCTGGACAAATGATCGCGCTGACGGAGCGAGAACTCATGGAGTGCCGGTTTTGGTTTGACAAGGTGATATACAGTGAGGGCTTTGGTAATGGAAGTCTTGCACTTACCTAATGAGATGCGTTTCTTTTTTTGCTTATAGCGTTAGGCATTTTTGGTTTGATTGTTTGCTTGTTTTGGAAAAGAAGGGGGCATGGTACAGGCGTTTTTCTGTTCTTTTTGGAATGAAGCCCAAAGGATTTCTCTCTACTCATAGTTGTTTTTAGTCGCATGATATAGCGTGCAGTCTGGAATGTGCGGACGACGATTGAAGAAGAGCAAGGCATGAACAGGACCACCGGCGTTTTGGACGGGCATGAATCAGCAAAGAGAGAGAAGAAGGGGATGATGGGTACATCCCTCCCAGAAAGGGTTCTGTATAGATGCATTGATCATTCAATGAAGAGTCGATTCTAGTATTTTGTAGTCTTGTCTTGATAAATTTCCATGAGAGTGGTACAAATGGTCTTTCTGCACAATACGCCAAACCATTTTGGGCAGTGTCAAGAATCAGTTCACTCATATCCACCCAGAGGTGCTTGTGATTCATTTTGATTGCATGTAGAGCAAGGTAATAAAAGCTACTTAAGAAGCAAGTCTTGGTAATGGTGCATGCATTCTGCACGGCAGTCATCTGGGCCATTCACTGCACTCAGCAGCAAGCCCTGCGCAGTATTATTGCTTACGGCCGCTACAAAACAGCTGCTGCTTCCATCATGATCTGGGCTCCGATCCATTCGCATCGTAAATCTGTATACGGCTGTACAGCCGGCGCCAGGGCTGGCCACTAGAATTCCGTACTGGTGACATTGCACCTGTCGACTTTATTCTCCCATCATTAACTAGACTCCGATTCATTCGCATCGTGAATCTGCATGCGGTTGTACAGCTGGCGCAAGGGCTGGTAACTATAAATCTGTCCTGGTGGCATTGCACCTGTGGATTTTGTTTCTCCTAAGTCGGTATCGAAGTGGCCACCGGGGTTGTGGCTACTGGGGTTGTGGCTACTGGGGTTGTCACCACTGGTGTTGACACGACTGGTGTACTAACCACTGGCGTAGTAGCTGTACTCGGTGCAGGTGCAGGTATAGGAAGGGCAGGCACCTTGACCTTGTCACCCCAGTCCGATCTTTCCAGCTTGATATAAGCTTGCTGGAGTGCTACCTGGTCCGTGAGATATCCGTGCTCCTCAAGGACCTCAATCCAGTCGCGCATCTGAATATGCTTGCCTTTGACAGAGTCTTCGCGAAGACTACCGATCTGCTGACTAGCGTCCTGGGTCAAGGGACCCTTTGCAGCTTTATTCGGCCCTCCGCTAGCTGGAGCCGCCGCACCAGGCCCTCGTGGGGTATTTGCACCACTTCCCCCCGCGGCACCCGTCATCCATGAATATTTCTTCTTTTTACTGCCCATGAATTGGCTAAGGGTCGAATTCACTGACAGACTGCTGGTATCAGCGAGCCTGGCCGCCTTCTTGCTTTCCTTCTTTGACAGTGGCTTGGCCTCGCCACTCTCTGGGGCGACAGAACCAGGAGTGCCAGGAGCTACAGAGCCAGCGCGAGAAGCAGATGTGCCATCAGGATTCTTCTCTCGGTCCGCTGCTTGCTCTGCTCGTTTCTGGCGCTTCCTCAACCGTGCTTCTTCGACACTGCGAGAGGTCTTGCCAAGAGACACAATCGTATCGGCAAACGGATTCTTAATCGATGCCTCGGAAACCGGTGTTGGCAAACCATTGCTCAGCTCATCCGCTGGCCCTTCATATACTGTTAATATTTTCCCAATTATGGGAGAGAAAGATCCCGGTTCACTTACTCTTGCGGGAATTAGTGCGAGGGCTCACTGCACTATCCGACATGACTGGTGGCTCAGCTGCTTCAGCCCATTCAGGAGGGGGCTTGCCATGAGCGGTCTGCTGACGATTGCAAGCAACCAAGTTGGCATCTGTTAGTAACTCTCCAAGTCGCGTCTTGGTTGCTAATGATAGCAACGCGATCTGGTCAATCAAGTAGGCCTCCTTGGGAAGAAAAGAGCCTGCTGTCGTGACGATAGCATTGTCCTCTGAAGTCTTCGTTGTGACCTGTACATATGGCTTTTCCCACTGGTTAGGATTAGGAAATCGCCCAAGTGGCATGTTGGGATTGGGTGGTTTCGGGTCGAGATTAAGTTCCAGGCCATTCGCAGCTGCTGCTTTGCTCATTCGGGCATGCAATAGGGCAGGAAGTAGAAATCCCTGTTGGAGGAAGTCTTGTGCTCTGGAAACTCCGTAACGATGAGCAGCTTCGTTCCATGCTCTGTCTGCCGCATCTGCTGCCATTTCCTCTTGCGACTTGCTTTGACCCGTTTCTGCGGGCTGATTTGCGGGACCTGCGCCATAGAAGCTGCCTCTCCCGCCCGGGACATGAGATCCAAAACCCAGTCTTGTCTCATAGTCATTCATGTACTGTTCTTCCTCGTCAAGATTGATGCCTGTTCCTGCCAGGGAATCGTCCATCTCATACTGATAGCTCTTGACCGGCACCGCTGGCTTTGGTGCATTCAGATGAGGTGGGGGGCCCATTGCACCTGGTGTTGATACTGGTTGAACCTGTCCGGTAGGAGAAAAGGTCGTATTGGCATAGCCGTGTGCTGTCCCGTTGGGCTGCTGTACATGCGGCGACTGCGGAGGATGATTCATAGCACTCGGACTATGTGCGACCATGTGATTTGCGTTTGGTTGAGGTGTAGCGTGATGCTGCTGCTGTGGAGGGGCAAAACGCTGGTTAACGGTGGTTCCAGGTGTCAATCGACCATTTTGCTGCGGGGCCATCTGCGACTGATTGTATGATGTCGCGTAGGAAGGAGTCTGGTGCGGTTGCTGTACTGAAGGTTGCGGTTGAGCTTGCGCAAAATGGCTGACGGAAGGCGAAGCCATGGTGGACGTGGGCGTCCTTACACCCGGTGTGCTGTGGCCAGAGCTCGAGAAATTTCCAGCTGGGAAGGTGGGAGACCTTGGATCTGGCGACGGCCTCGGTGGCTGCGTTTGATTTTGCTGAGGCTGTCTGATTTGTTGATTGGCATTCGGGGAAGGAGCGTGCTGCGGAGGCTGCTGCTGGGGAGTTTGTTGCTGTTGAACGTGAGGCGAATAGGCTCTGTTTTGGTTAAGTGCTTGTTGTTGAGGCTGCGGCGCGCTCTGTACGAGCGGCTGCGGTGGTTGCGACATTATGACGGATCGCGAAGGGATCGAATGAGTTTGTCGTCGATTAAATTGTGAGCGCACTGAAATGGAGAAGTTGCAGTTTGATGGGGGTTTGCCTGCGCTCAGGAACAATGTAGAGATCGAGATGATCGGTCGGAAGGCGCGAAATTACGCCAGTCGAGATGCAAGAAGGTTGGCCACGATTGCCAGTCAGGCGGTGCTGGAGCTATGCACGAATCAAATTGACGCAAGGAATAGAGGTTGGCGATGAAAAGGATACGCGCGGAGTCGCGACAGGAAGGTGGTTGTAAATTGGGATCCAGGGCAGCACCTCGGTCGGCCTGCAGCCTAACCAGCTACTACGATTACGACCCCATTCGGTTTGAGGATACCACAGATTGTCGAACAAGAACAATGAGGAGTACGCGACAGTCTACGGGATGCGACTCTTCGTGGACTGTGGTTTTCGTCCGGGATTGTTGTCGCGCTTTTTCGGAGCGAGTCTCGATGAGTCGGTGATGAGGAGTCGGCGGTTTCTAAAGTCGCAGCTTTCCCCCAAATCTTTCGTTACACTGGAGACCCACCAACAATCGCCCTGAGCTGCAGAGCCTCATTCACGTGACCTGGGATGCTCACCTTTGGTTATGCGCAAACAAAGATAGCTGCATTGATGAGGCAGTTCAAATATCAGAGGTAAATTCAACTTTGTATTTTGTATCATGCAATTTCTTTCTTCCAAAATCAGACATCCAACAACTCAGTGACAAAGTCGCACATCGGACATCACTCTTGGCTGGCCTAGAAATCATCAACAACTGCCTGTGCCGCGCTCTGACGCTAACGTTGAAAGGTACCCACCGTTGATTACATAACACGTGGAGCGCGTCTGTCTGGGTTGAGCTCTCCCCGTACCTGGCACTCCAGGCCGCTAGACTCACCTGCTAACCTGCCTAGCTTAGTAGCGACCAAGGCTCGTCGTTTGTCCATCCACAGCAAAGCTCCGCAACAACCTTCTCTCACATTCCTACCAACAGACGTCCCGATCACCTTGATGACTGTCGCAACCCGTGAGGCAGCTCGCCGCTGGATGGACTGACCTCAACCTATTTAGGAAACCCTGTGCGACTCACGTTTGTGCTGACACCTCTACGATCGTTCACTTTGCGACTGCTTCCCCATACTTCATCTCAACATGGCATCGAAGCGCAAGGCAGCGGCCATGGGCGCCACTGTCAGTGACGAGCCCGTCGACCCTTCCGACGAGCTCATGTTCTTGGCTCTGGGCGGCGGCAATGAAGTCGGTCGGTCTTGTCACATCGTACAATACAAGGGCAAAACTGTCATGGTACGTCATTCCCCCTCCCGCCAATGCGTCGATTCAGAATTCTCACAAATTTCATCTTTAGCTGGACGCTGGCCAACACCCAGCGTACGATGGACTGGCATCTCTTCCATTCTTCGACGAGTTCGATCTCAGCACGGTCGATGTGCTCCTCATTACCCAGTAAGCGAATTCCTATCCCCCTACGCGCCCACTCCGCAGCCCATGCGTGATCTGTAGAACGCGCATCAAGGGCTTCACGTTGGCCGATGCAGGAATATCAGGTGTCTTTGGCTTTGTCGCAATCTCTGTTAGAAGAAACAAAATGTCTCTAGCTACCTGCCTCTGCGTGGTGTTCGCCAGCTAGCCCTTGACATATGTAATCAACCATCAATACAAGATATTTCCTCATTGCCCGACTGGTCCTTGTTGTTTGTCGTGATGTCTTTCTCCCATGTGCACTCTCTCGTCTGCACTTGTCGCCGAGAGTGAATAGAGCTGACAGAGTCTAGCTTTCACATAGACCATGCCGCCTCCTTGCCATATGTCCTGGCAAAGACAAATTTCAAGGGCAGAGTTTTCATGACACACCCAACCAAGGCCATTTACAAGTGGCTCATTGCAGACAGTGTTCGTGTCGGCAATACATCTTCAAATCCAACTTCACAGCCAGTTTACACCGAACAAGATCACGAGGCCACCCTGCATCGGATAGAAGCTATCGACTATCACACTACTCACACCGTTTCGTCGATACGCATCACCCCCTATCCTGCTGGTCATGTCTTGGGTGCGGCCATGTACCTCATTGAAATTGCCGGACTCAAGATCTTCTTCACTGGAGATTACTCCCGTGAGCAGGATCGACATCTTGTTTCAGCCGAGGTGCCCCGCGGGGTCAAGATTGATGTGCTGATCACAGAGTCCACCTACGGAATCGCCAGCCACGTTCCCAGACTAGAGCGAGAACAAGCCTTGATGAAGTCCATCACCGGTATTCTGAATAGAGGCGGCCGAGTGCTAATGCCAGTGTTTGCCCTGGGTAGAGCTCAAGAGCTTCTACTGATCTTGGACGAGTACTGGGGGAAGCACCCGGAGTTTCAGAAAATCCCAATTTACTACGCCAGCAATCTTGCTCGAAAGTGCATGGTTGTGTATCAAACCTATGTTGGAGCCATGAATGATAACATCAAGCGTCTCTTCCGAGAACGTATGGCTGAGGCGGAAGCTGCTGGAGACGGCGCCGGTAAGGGAGGCCCGTGGGATTTCAAGTACATCCGTGCCCTCAAGAATCTGGATCGCTTTGAGGACCTGGGTGGATGTGTCATGTTGGCAAGTCCTGGTATGCTCCAGAATGGAGTCAGCAGAGAATTGTTGGAAAGATGGGCGCCCAGCGACAAGAACGGCGTCATTATCACTGGTTACAGCGTGGAGGGCACCATGGCCAAGCAGATCGTGACAGAGCCTGACCAGATTCCGGCCGTCATGTCCAGAAATACCAATGCCATGCGAAGAGGTCTCGGAGGTGAAGGCGAAAGGGTCATGATTCCTCGACGTTGTAGCGTTGCCGAGTACTCGTTTGCTGCCCACGTCGATGGCAACGAAAACAGGGAGTTTATTGAGGAGGTCAATGCTCCCGTAGTTGTAAGTCTTAACAAAGCAAGCGGAGATTCGATCTAGTTTCTAATCTTCTGAACAGATCTTGGTCCATGGCGAACAGCACAACATGATGCGATTGAAGTCAAAACTCCTTTCGCTCAACAACGCCAAGCCAGAGGGAGAGAAGACCAAAGTCTTCAGTCCTCGCAATTGCGAAGAATTACGCATCCCTTTCAAAACTGACAAAATTGCCAAGGTTGTCGGCAAGCTTGCATCTATTCCTCCGCCCAGCAAGCCCATGAGCTCTGATGATCCCGAGGCCCCGCTTGTCACTGGTGTCTTGGTGCAAAACGACTTCAAGATGTCTGTCGTGGATCCTGAAGACTTGCGCGAATACGCCGGACTTACCACGTCCATGATAACCTGCAAGCAGCGCCTCACCCTCAAGGCAGCTGGTGCTGAATTGATCAAGTGGGCTTTGGAGGGAACATTTGGCAGTATCGATGAGCTGCCCGAGACTAAGCATCTTGGGAACGGTAAGGAGGAAAGCAACGGCGATGATTCAAAAACAGAGGTCGATGAAGAAGTCACCCAAACGGTGGCCGTCTACCTTGTCATGGGTTGCGTCACGGTCCGAGTCCGCAATAACGGAGAGGTTGAGCTGGAATGGGAGGGCAATATTCTCAACGACGGCATAGCAGACGCTGTCATTGCCGTCCTCCTCTCGGTTGAGAGCAGTCCGGCAGCAGTCAAGCAGTCTGCCAGCAAGCACTCACATTCCCACACGCTGCCCACTCGCAACCTACATTCGCACCTCTCACCCCAGGAGCGTCTTGAGCGTCTCTTCATGTTTGTCGAGGCCCAATTTGGCGCTGACGCTGTAGCCCCCATTGCGAAGCCCAAGCTCCCACCGGTGATCAAGGATGCCAAGCCTGTAAATGACGGAGCATCAGAGGCATCCATGGAACTTTCCGAGGATGGTGAAGAGGAGGAAAAGCTCCAGGAGCAGCGAGAGAAGGCTGAAATTGAGCGTTTGCACAAAATTGGAATCCCTGTTCCAGGTATCAGCATCAAGGTTGACAAAATGCTTGCTACGGTCTGGCTGGAAGACTTGGAAGTTGAGTGTGCCAATAGGGTCTTTGCAGACCGTGTACGCGCTGTGGTTGAGAGAGCAGCAGAGGTCACGGCTCCGCTCTGGGGATAGAGCCAGGACTTGTAATGTTCCAGGATGAGCTATATAGCAGGTGTCTATTTTGAGAGGCGTTTCAAGGGAAAACCGTCGAGTATCATGAGTTGGCCGAATGATGGGCAAAGTAAACACGATCTGATATCATCAATCTTGAAACGATACGTGAAGACGAATCGCTAGTCTTGTGAAAAGGGGTATTAGTTCCACCGTTGATAGTCTCAGTAATCACTCATTTCACCAATTACTACAGGAACAAGGTTCATGGGTGAAGATTTTTTTTTTTTTCATTTTATTGTAACATGCTCGAGCAACCGTGATATATGAATGACATTTTCGAACACTGTATTCCATGAAATCCCAGGCTTTGAGCAGTTAGAACTGAGGCCCAAGTGTAATCAGTTATTTCTACCACTATTTCTTGCCTAGGAATTGTCCATTCTCCAGCTTCTTCATATCCACCTTGCGACTAACACCGCCAAGGAGAACCTTGTAAAGACCATCGCCCGTCATGCGGCCAGTACGGGGGTCCCGCGTCTGGGCGTAGCGGACGGTATCAATCATGTCGCGCTCGCCGAGGACGATGTCGCTATCCAGCTCGCGGAGCAGGGCGCCGCCCTCGGCCGAGTCGCCGACCTGGACAAACTGCAGGCCGACCTGGGCCGTGGGCGCGCCGCACTCGGCCAGGTCCTCGGCGACGGCGAGCGTCTCGGTCTGCACGTCGGCCGCGTCCACGCCATTGGTCACGACAATGACGTCCAGGTTGGCAATGTGCTTGAACTCTGTGTCGCCGGCCTGGCCGGCCGTGTAGGCCTGGACGTAGGGTCGGAGAATATGGCCTAGTCGTCTGGCCATGCCGGTGGCTGGGGTGGTGGTGGATGAGGTTGTCTCGCGCAGCGTGTCTGCCGCGGCGGCGGCTGTTGCTGCTGCTACTGCCGATAGTCTTTCCTCCTCGGTCACGGGAAGCACACCATCAAAAATAAACTCGGCACTCGTCTGGGGCGGAGAGCTCGCGGCCTCGGCAGCGGCCCTGGTGACGTAGCGAATATCAATGTGGCCCGAGGGGACAGGCCACTGGGGCTTCCAGCCACCACAGTCGTCACCTCCGTACCGCGAGGGCTCGGCGGTCCAGCGGTTGGTGAAGAAGACGGAGACGTTTTGGCCAGTACGGTCCAGACACTCGGGAATGGCCTCGCCCAGGAAGGACAGGGCCTCGGCCCAGTCATTGCGCATGGCGGGCGAATCATCGATTAAAAAGACGACATGGAATTCCTTGAGGCGGTCCCAGCGGCTCTCGTATGAGGCCGAGGCATTGCGCTTGTGTTGACGGACTTGTATTTGGGGTGATTATGTTAGCAACGACTATAGCAGTCAAAGTGAGAGAGATTCATCCCTGATAGCCGACTCACCAGGTTTCTCCGGCAGACCACTAAAAGGATTGACGACATTTTGTGGCAGAGTACTTGTCGTTCCCGTGGCATTCACTTTCTCTGAGTTATCGGATGTGGATGATTCTGCTGCAGGACCGGTGCCTTTCTCGGCTTCATGGTCGGCCTCGTCGCCATGGCGCCCCAAGATTTCTGTCGAAAACCAGCGTCTCATTGTCACTGAAATTTTGTGGTGTTTCCCTTTTGTCCAAGAGTTTTGAGGTGGGAAAAATATATATATGATATAATTTCCCCCAGGCGGTCAGGGTTCGCTTATACGAGTGCCGGGTAACCGAAGGAGTTGCTTGTATGGTTGAGATTCAGGAGTCAGGAGGCCGGCACCTCTCTCCTAAAAGCAAAAGGAGGGCACGGGCTTTGCTTTGCCAATAGTCTTATGAGCCAGATTTAGACTGTCTGGAAGAAAGTCCGAATATGTAAACAAACAAAGCTGTTTTAAAACAAGCATAAATTCATAGTTTCCGTAGTCTTTTGTGACATGCCGTTTTATGATGGTGTGTCCAGTCTCAATGTGGCACGTGTCTGAGCTCCCAACGAAGCGAAGCGGGTCAATTGCAGTGGAGGTAGCAAGTACACGGCGGCTTCTAGAGTTGTGTGAGCGATGATTGTCGGTCAGTCAGAGAGTAGATGGGCTTGGCCAGGAACCATGAGGCAAGATGTACTCAGGAATATATTTGTCAGAACTGAAGCAAATTCGTCTTACAATCATAAAGGGTGAATAGTTGCAAGGGTGTATGCGTGCATGTGCGAGGGAGACAGAGACAGAAGAGAAGCGGGTATGCGGCATCTTGGTTAGCAGGAAAACCACTACGCTAATTGATGTCACCAATTGGCGCCCTCACATATACTTTTTCTGATATACTCTAATTTTTGTCAATTGGTCTAAATCCACATGGGAATGCGAGACAAAAGTCTAGGTGATTCAATGTCGATCCCTACAGAACCTTGTGTAAGTGAAAGCCAAGAGTCAATTCCCGTTGGGGGAGCTCTCATAAGGTTAGCTGAGGTACATATGTTGCAACCATCTAATCTAATCTTATCTATATGATCTAATCGTAAGCTCACTTTAATTATTTGACAAGCACTTCCCTTCCCGCTGCGGCCAACTTTGCCGGCCTTCATTCATTCGAACCACAGCAGCAGTGAGATTTCCAGGCCCGGTAACTCTGATAGCCGCCCAGATCTTCATTCCGGCGACGACGTTTTTCGACCATGTCAAGGTGATTAGAAGCTATACAATTGCGCTACCAGCCCTTCGCATTCACGCAAACAAATCTCGCCCACCACCCCAGACCCTGTTACCGCGCGGGAGGGATCAAAGACATACGCGCACACACACATACAACATGGGGAACGGCACGACCCCGGGCGCCAACCCGGCGCCTCTGTACAAGGAGAAGAGCAACGCCATCGCAGCGCTCATGTCGCGCCACACGTCATCGTCATCCCTATCCTTTCTCTCTTCCCACTCGTCCAAGAACAACAACAGCAGCAGTAGCAGCGGCGCGGCGCAGCAGCAGCAGCAACAACAACAACAACGCAAAAAGACCCCCGCCCAGCTAGTCGCCGAGGCCGAGGACTACGAACTCGACCGACTGGCGCAGTACGACGATAACATGGGCGTGGGCATGTTTGCGCTCGAGAACCGCAAGCCGAGCGAGGACAGCCGGCGGAGGGAACAGGAGGACCGCAAGCTCAAGGCCCGTCTGGGCCTCACGGGCAAGGGAAAGCGCAAGGGCAGCGAGTGGGAGGCCGTCAGCGGCGTCAGCCGGGCGCGCGGGGCTGGCAGCGACGACGACGAGGAAGACATGGGCCGGAGCGGCGTGGGGAGAGCGAAAAAGCGAAAGCGAGTTGTCGTGGTGGACTCGTCGGAATCAACACATCCTGAGGCTGTGCAGACGCCACAGCCCGAGTCAGAGGTCACCGCGGCTGCTGGTACTTCTCAAGAGACAGCAAGCAACGATCCCCAAGATTTGGAAGAGACACACAAGACTGGGACAGCCACGGATCAAGATTCAGCAGCGAATGCAGACGGCAAGAAACGGCGCAAGAAAAAGAAACAGAAGACCAAGTCGACAGGGCAAGTAGGTGCTACGAGTAGCTGATGCTTTGAACAAGTACAGATGTCACCACACGGTTCTGAGAAGTATCATGAGAAAAGAAAAAGTATGAGTTGGCTCCAAATCCCATGATTCGTTTGGAAGATATTCAAGATCAAACAAGGCGTATAGGCGAACAATGCCTAACAGTGTCATTGGCAGCAACATTTTTGCTCCAGAATATGATATATGTACATGATTACCATATCCACTAACCTTGACCGCTGGATAGCGAGCACAATTGCCAAATTAGCAGCAGGCCATTAGACATCCACCACCCCACATTATACTACTCTTGCCCGTACAGATTCGTTTGTATTTCAAAAGCAAGACCGAGTCTCCAAAGTATAAAACCGCCGGGAGTCGTTTTGTCTCATCATTCTAGTATAGTTACAGACAAAGGAGGAAAATGGGAATCAGGCTCGAATTTCAAATATTGAGAAATCAAAACTCCAAAGCCTTTGCAGCTATCGGGGCGAAGTTGAATCCAGGAAGGTGTGATCATGAGCAATTTTCAATTGTCGTTAATGGCGGCCGTGAACTCGTTATTATGGAACTCTGATGTTTCGTCGGTTCTGTCGTACCCAATGAGTCTATTTTTGCGCAAAAAGTAAACTACCTCCGTAATGGTATAGGCACGACCGATAAAATCCAATGAGCGAATATCAATGGGAAATGGTGACAAATCGCCTTCTCCCGGGCAATCTCAGAGAAGTCTCTTTCTCTTCCTGTCTTCTTCTCTACCATCGTCTTCGTTCTCCTGTTCAGCAGTATCGGTAGGGTTGAGGATATGGGCCATGCTCCCCCTGCGCGTCGGCGGGAGAGAGCTGTCTTTGATAGAAAGGTTCTTATTCTCTCTGTTTGCTGCTCCCCACGACCAGCCGTTGAAATTGTTGTTAATGCTATCCATGTTATTGATGCCATTGGAGAACGGGGGTGGCGGAGGAGGAGGCGTTGAAGGCCGCGACTGGGAATGTGAGTGAGGCGGAAACGTGGAGAGAGTGTCGCGGGGCCCTCGGTCATCCATGGGCAGACGACTTGGGGATGAAGGCCACTGAGATGATGATGGACCAGACCCTGCCAACGGGCTAGGGTTCGGCACCCAGCCATGAGCTCTGATGTCGGCCGAAGTATGTCGTCGAGCTAGACTACCAGGCGGCCCTTCGACATTGGACAGAGGATGGGGTCCTGAGGGCACAGGCGGTGCTTGAGGGCGGAGCGGGGAGGGTGATGGTTGGTTGATAATGGGAGGAGTAGCACCGCTGACTGATCCGTATTGGCGGCGCGATGAAATGGACAAGTTAGAGGGCACAGGTGGTCTATAGTAATTCGGGCCTCTGGCTTGTGCTGCGTTGAGCCTTCGCTGGTCATCCTGCGCGTGCTGCCTGGGAGACAAGGGCGGATTTTCCAGATTTGCAAAGAATTGCCGGCTACTGGAAAGCGGAGGCTCGTGCGGTTCATCCACTGAACGGAAGGTCTCAGACTGTCGTTGCAAATCGAGTTGCAGTCTCAGAACTATAGACATGTTTAGCTGGTTGTCAGGTCCCAATGAGATGTGTGACCTACCCTCTTGGTGTATGGATTGGTTAGGATCAGGGACCAGCGCAAGCAGTGTCCTCGTCAAGGTCTGGTTGAATTCCAGTAACCTTGTTATCGTGTCCATCATGGCTTGGTTTTTGACGTGCATATAATGAGCATTCTCTTCGCTTCGCTGCATTCTCGCACTGATGTCGTACATGTTGTGCTCAATGTTGATAATTCTCGGATCTACTCCGTCTGGGATGGGTGGCATGGGCTCTGAAGGAGTGCCGGGTTGAGAAGGGGTCGGTTTGGAATTGTTATACTCTCGGTGGATCAAAGTATGGCGTGAGGCTCTTCGCTTGATTTCGCGTAACCCGACCAAATCGCCCCGTTTAAAGTTTCCGTTGCCATGCTTGAATTCCCACAGCACAGTCTCGGGATTTCCGGTAGCGAACACATCGCTGACTACTGGTCAAGTCAGAAATCTATCCATATCACAGCATTTTTCACGTTACCGTTCGTCACTATACCTTTGTGGAAGCCATACATATTCAGCTGTCGCACGAAGGAGGATATGTTTGTATGTTTAAAATATGTACTGCGCCAAAGCACGTCAGAACGGTATATCAAAAGCGCAGTGATTCAGTCTTGTGTGGACTTACGCAAGAACTTTTGAGAATTCCTGTGAAGGAGAGACGACAAAACTCTCGTTCGAATTCGACCAGCTGATGAGATGCCGTATGCTTTGATCCTCCAGCATGCTACAATCATGTTAGCAGGAGTTTAGCGCGACTTGCGCGGCAGTGTCGAGACGCACTTGTAGAGCTTATGTATAAAGGCTGTCTGGACAATCTTGGTCTGGTGGTGGACTGCCTGAGCAGCCGCTACAGGAGCGGGCATGGTGTTGGTGGAAGCTAGATGTTGGTCGTTCGAGGAAGAGCTGATGTTCTGGTCGTGCCCTTCGCCTTCGGGACTCTTGCTAGAGGAGCCAGGGGCAGAGGAGCTTGTTGGCGTCGTGAGGTCCATGGGATCGCCCCGAGGAGACGGCGCCGACATCTTTATGGGAGTAGGGGTAGGAGTGGTGGTGGTTATTATGGGAACTGTCCGAGCGCCCATGGTCTCTTGCGCGGTACCGTTTCCTAAGATCGTTGTCGAGGCACTCTCAGTAACCGTTGCCATCGGGTCTGGAAAAGAGATTAATCATATCAGTGGCAGGGTCCCAGAGAGAGCTAGGTAGTAATGAGACAGCAGACAAAGGGGAGCAGCTATGGAGCCTCTACGTTGGGAGACCCAGTAGCATATCTAGGAGACAGGAGCACACGGACCTCATCCTCTTGGTACGAGCGTAATTGGCGATAGTGTAGATAGTAGTAGTAATGATCGGTTCGGGACAAGCTTTTGTTGTCTGCAACTTGGGGGTTCTGGATATTTTTTTCTTGGTCCTTCCTTTAGGAAAAAAAAAAAGACCTCCTGTTACTCCCCCGCTTTGCTCTACACGGGTTCCACTAGCCGGTGCTGTCTAGAAGTTGCTCAGCGGCGCATGTGTATTTATGATGCGCAAAAGCCCCTTAGCTTCGAAATTGGAACGAGGGGGACAACAGAGAAGCGAGCCAGCACGGTGGTGTCGGGGCCCTGTGATTGAGATGTGGGTTTCCGGAATCGAAAACCGCAAGGAGGCGCGGGTACTAGATAGACTTTGCTTCGAGAAGGGCTGTCCTGGATTCCTCGAGAACAAAAATGTTGTTTTATGATAGTGTAAATAAAATTCAGATATATATGCAGGTTCAAGTGAGCATATATAAAGATGACGGGAGCGTATGTAGTTTTGAGTGGTTCGGAAGTGAATTGCAAGTACAAAGTTAAGGTGTAGTCTGGGGTTGGACGTTTTTTCTTGAATTGCAAATGGGCAGGTCACAACCAGCTTGGGGCTTGGCGACCTCGGGAATAGCTACTACCTAGTAGCTGCTACCTCTCAAGTCCAAGCCTAGAACGTAGCCCCGTGGCGTCTGGGGAGGTTCGTTGGAAAAGCGATTCGAGGAAGGGCCGCTGATAGAGACCTAACGGCATGGGCGGGCAGCGGGAGAGACATGCAAGAAGCGCGACCGACGGATGGCGGCGACGGCGACACACCCTGACTGACTGGCCGACTTGGAGCGAGCGAACTGACTGACACCTCTCTTCTTTCTTTCTTTCTCTCTCCCTCTCTCTCGTCTGTCTTTGCCTTACCACGCGAGAGCAGCAAGAAGAAGCAGACCTAGAAGAGACGACGGGCAAGATGGAGTGGGCCAAGACTTGTCGAGCTCACAGACTTGTCACTGATTGGGTTGGATCCCCTTGGGTAGGGGGGGCGCGCCGATGGGGGCAGATCAATTTTCTAAAGTGTAGGGGAGGGGGGGTGGGAGGAAGTAGGGGTGGAAACCAAGGGGAGGAGACTAGACTGGAGGGGAGGGGCATGGAGCGCAGAGTGATTGATGTGTGCTTGTTGTACCCTTCCTTTGAATCTCTCGTATCTGTCTCCTGCTGGCTGGCGAGACGGAGCTGCCATCTGTGGGAAGCGGCCGCTGTTTTGGGGGGGTTTCGTTGCCTCTAGATGCAGAGCGCTATGTATATCAGACGTCGAATCAGGGGAAGAGATTGCTTCACAAACGTAGCGAGGTAGATATGCGGTCTTTGATAATCTGACCTCTGGCTGGCAGGTGAAAATGTACTGGGAACGAGACTTCGGTCAGGGACCAATGCACATCAATCCGTCCGTCGGGGATCTATCATGAGCTTGCTTTGTGTGTACCCTCCTTGGCGGAAATTTCAGCAGCTCGCTGCTCAATGCATTGCCTAATTAGTACGAGTATGGGCATGCAATCAACCAAAATACGCCTCTTTCCGTAAGATTTTGTATGTAGGTACCGCGGCATCTACACACATACCCTGGAATGCACGGAAAAAGGTTATGTACTCTTTAGATTCTCCTTCTTCAAATCCCTCCGAATCCGCCTACTTAGATCATCCATACCCTATAAGCATGTACCTCATGGGAAGGGACAAAAAACTACCAACCATCTGCATGCAATTCCTACTACTGCTGATATCCCGATCATCGAATCCCGACTTGAACTAAAAGTAATGTAATATTAGTAGATCCGTATAGATAGACAGTGTACATTTATCGAGAGGAAGGTACTTTTCGACTTGTCTGGACGCGTGTGATCATCAGCATGTCTGCTTGTCCCTCCCCTCGTCTTGATATTATACAGTACGGACGGTACCTACGTAGAGATTTTGCGAGAGAAAGACCTTTTACCTAGGTAGTCGGTAGATTCAAGAGGGAAAACGCCCTGACGCCTGGGAGAACCAGATAGGTGCGGCCCGCTTGAACCCTGGGAAGTCTAAAAGTCACGTCGGCACTAGGAACCACCAGCTAATACGGATTGGGAGGTGCTCATCAAAACTCATCCTGGGGTCCGCACGAACGACACGACGGTGGTAATTTTTACTCACTCCCACCAACTGACGCGCAATCAGGGTGTGCAGTAGTTCATCGCTAGTACTACGGATTACCGGCGGATTACAACCTCTACACAGACCACCGGATTGAGCTTCCGAATCATTACTCGCCCGGGTTCAAGCAGGACTTGTCAACCAGGCCAGCATCATCATCAGCACCAGCAGCAACATCCGTGACAGCAGCCAGGAGCTCCAACTCCTTCGCTCCACCGAAATCCATATACCGTGCAGACCGCAGCAGATGCTAGACAGTACTGCTATCACGAGAGCCGGGTATTCTGCAAATATTGGATCCTGCAATGCGAATGAGGTGAGTGTATGGCACTGTATCTACACACTGGACATACCTAGGTAGGCCATGTGCAGTCTAGCTTCGGCAACCACAGGCCAAGCTTGAGAGGTTTCGGGCCAAACACCCTCCACCACAAAAGAGCTCCCAACTCAAAAAGGCCACTCCAACAGCGGGTGAGCACCGCTGGAAGCATACTACTTTGAACTGTACCCGCACGCAGATGCGCACCCACCCATTTCAAGGTTGCCCGCCCCCCTCCGGTGTATACACTGCACTGGAACAAGCACGCTGCCACGCGTTTGAGTGCCTTCTACTTCTACTTCTCCTTCTTTAGGCCTTCTAGATGTTCTAGACGATGGAGTGATGATCCAGCCTCGTTTCTCTGCAGCACGCCGTTTGTGCGATACTCCCGCATCTGCGTACATTCAAGGCTCAAGAAGCCCATTCAAGTTGCACACCAACAAAAACTTGGGGGTTGGATCGTCTTCTTTCTTTCACTGGTTGCGGCGTTCCCCGCTGGCCTTGGTAGGCTGTCGGTCGTTAGCCACTACAAGGTAGGCACTGTAGGTAGCTATGTACCATCTAGCATTCGCCTGACAACTAACGTACCTGCAAAACTACCGTACTTCATATCGGTGCTTGGCAGGCTTCAGTGCCCATGTGCCACCATCCGCACCCACCTAGAAGCGGGCACTGTACTGCATCTACTATACCTTCCCCCAGGGGTCTCCGATAGAACAAAGTCCGGTGCACTTTTGGGCTGCACATCATCCGTCGACTTGATTTTAATCCGGCCCGCCAGATTTGTACATTGGTAACCGGAGCAAATCAAACAAAAGCAACCCGACTCAAACACCTATTTAGCACATAGCATTATCCCATACCAGACACGTTCCCGTTGGGACAAGTAGCAGATCTCCACTCGGCCGGGTAATGGAACGACACCGTCCGTGACGGACCCCATGGCGCCTCGTAGGGCTTTCCGAGAAAGTCAGCTGGCTTGTGCCGCTATCCAGGCTTTGTAAGTATCCGGTCTAGAATTGCACTCAAGGGAAGCAAGCTTCAAAGTTTGATTTGAGGTCCCCTACCTCTTCTGATTCGCTCTTCAGCACAAACAGACATGACGACACTTTCTCTTGGACCCCGGAAGGTTCAGCCATGAGCGCCATGAACGCCTCCAGCGCATCTGACAGGCTGCTTATGAGGTAATAAGTATAGATACGCATTCAGATTCTACATGACGGCAGCCACTCCAAAACAAAGCAAGCTACAGCCTCCCGGCAGTTGTCGCCCGTCTCGATATGATGCCTGGCTGTATAATGTCTTTTTGTTTTTCTACGCAATTGCACCCGTGTCTTTCTGTCGAATTTCCAGCAAACGAGGCGCGAGCAAAGAAATCACATTCAGAAAATATACGACAAGGAAGAATAATAGATACATCAAATCGAGGTCGGCGTGGCCGCTGGGTATCGATTATTGCCTCCTCCGCATTACCCTAGCACAGATATCTACCTGACTCAGGTTCTTGACAAAACTCACCATGGCCAGATGGCTATTGACTCTACCATACTTTGTAGGACCCAAGCACATGGGCCAAGCGAAGTATATTTACTGGGGCTGAGACATCGCACTTGATAGCGTCCCGGTCAAATACACTGTGACGCTGCTGCTGGTCTTGTCCTTTGCAAGATCCTAACAATCTGCCGAGGCGCCGCCCCTGAACTCGCCAACATTAGAATTGCATGCGTACAAGATGCATTTCCTGGTTGTTGCGGAAAGTTCTATTACAGAGGCAACGGATCTACATACGACCAACTTCACAAGTCAATGCTTCCACCCTCAACAGGAAGGATATCTGACCTAGCTCTAATTAGCCTCAATCATACCCTCCATACATGATTTCAGCTTTCAGGGCAGCCACGACGATACTCATGTTATTGGCGATTGTCTCTGGGTTGTTGTCGGATGCTGGATCGCCCGGAGTCGCTTCCCTGGGTAAGCTGGACCAACGTCGAGCCTGGCAGGCATGGAGACAAGGATCAACTGTTGTTAACAGCTCCCGCTCCTGCATACGCTCCCACCCACCCACCCCCCATCGCAAACCCAAGCAAGTTGCATACATGCCTACATACATACCACAGAGCACACACATGGCGAGGCCCCCACACACAGATTTGCTTACTACTGCCACCAGCTAGCCGATCCCCCCAATCCTGGTTCGGGCCAGAGGCGAAAAAGGGGCTTTGGACCCTGGGGAGCGGCGAGCTCTCATGAACGGCTATAGCCAGGAAATAGCCGAGTATGAACTGAACGTGGGATTATCCTCCACAAGGAATTGCTAAGGTAGGTAATCCTATACGTAGTGAGAGTAATAGCGATACTTTTCAGCCTTTTTTTGCAAAGAGTTGAACGAGACATGGATATTGATGTTTCGAGGGCCGACCTTGGCCGTTGTCTGTTGTATGATCACCGCCCCCGGAACCCTGAAATGCCCTTTTTTTCAAGTGGTAGTATTTGGGGGGCAGCACATGTTTGTGAAACTCTATATTCGCCCGCCCGTGGGTGCGTTTTTTGGGTTTGCGAAACATGCAAAGAATAAAAGAAAGAAAGAAAATTCTGAAACTTCTAGATTACAATGACTGTGAGCTCGGCCGGGTTTTGGGTCACTAGAACAACTCTATTACGCTTGTGTCTCTGAATATCTTTTTTGAGTTTATATCTCCAGGTCCCATATTTTGTTTTGCATGCACGTTTGTTTTTGCCAGTCTTACAGAATGAATGCGCACCCTTGATGCGCGTGCTAAGGCGGAGAATAACTTTCATGGGACTATTTTTATTTTCTTTTCCTTCTGTAACTCGAACCGGGCTGGGAAAGCAAGGTACAATTTCGTCAAGGGGCAGAAAGCTTGACTTTTTTTTTCTTTCTTTGCCCAGACAGAAACCGCTGTGTACATTCGTGGCGCAAGATTGTCGACCCTGTTCCTGGAATATGCGATTGTCGGTCGGCAAGACACGAAAAAAAAGCTGCGGTTGGAAATAATGACGGATAGCCCCAAGTCCTCGGCAGGAATGACTTGGCGCTGCAATACGATTCCCTCTCCCTGCAAACGCGTGTTTTTTTATTCTTTCGCCCGGCTTCTTAATGGGGGTCCCTAATCTTTAACATGACAAATTCCGTATATCCCTGATTGGTATTTATAGGTAGAGAGAAAAAAGGACAGAGATATGGGATTGACCTTGATAATCCTCGGTTCTCACGTCTTGCATAGTATTCCATGTTCGCCGCCCGCTACTCATTGCCTCATCTGATAAGCGACAGGCACAGCAACCACGTTTTTTCCTTCTTGTTCCCTATATAAATCTTACGTGCATTATACCTGATGCTGACTTTTTTGAGTTGGGTTTACATAAGATTTGCCCTGCCTCGCTGATCAGCTAAATCCGGAATCCTATAGTCGCTGTAAATAGAGTTGGCGGCCATATGCATGTTCGGAGTTGACAATCTTGGTGATTGTGTTGCCATTACAGTGTATATGTCGGACTTTGACGGGAATATTAAATTTAGCAAAGAGTGGCTGAGAATGCAAACAGTTTCATGGGCAGATCTAGTATAGCAAGATCCACGCCTTTTCTAGAGCAGAGTAAGCATAGGGACATGCTACACAAATGTTCTGTCGCCACTCTATGCGAGAACATTGGTCGTTGGTATATCCAACATCGCATCTACGGCTGATTTGATGTGCTTGCAATCGCAGTATGAGGAAATGCTCAAGGCCATTATGTAATGTGTAGCGATCAAAAGTCTCCAAGGCACATTCAGACGATATAGACTAGATTAGGTCACGATGACAAGACAAAACAATACCAATTCACGATAAACGGCATGAGGCTGTGTGAACCAGACAATATACTCATACCCATTTGACGTGACAAATATCTACAACGACAAAAAAGGGTCACCTCCTTAGTTTTCCAAATTCAGCCGACTCCAATTCAAAAAGTCCTAAGGGAAGTCTTCGTCCATCTCATCACCGCCTAGCCTTCTCTCGCTCACCTCTCTGATCTTCTCGCCTAGAATACTACGCCCATATCGTTCGGCCACCTTCCCGGCGGCATCGAGCATCCGGCCGGTGCGGTCCCTCATTAGCTGCACGAGCTCTAGAGCCCGCATACCGCGGTCCTCGCCTTCACGACATTCAATTGCAAGATACTGCAAAAGCGTCTTGTCAATGTCCAGCTCCAATCTCGCGAGCGTGGATCGCTGGGCATGAGAGCCAGACCCTTGCGTAGCATCTACCGAGTCTTGGAGCTGAGCAGCAAAGATGCCCTTGAGCAGGTAGGTCTGCTCAAGCTTCCGAGTTTCGGACTCGCCGTCTTCCGGCTCCGGTGTAGCATCCGGGTCTTCAGCATTGGTAGACTTGGCCTTGGGTGGCTCAGATGACAACGGGATAGAAAAGTCAAACTCGGAGAGAAGAGGCCGTGGAAAGTATGGGTACTGGTCGCCTCCCTTGAGAATGATACAGTGGAACTTGTTGTCAGCTACGGCGATGGGAAAGTAGGTCTCGTGTTTGCGGCCAGATGCCAGACGTGGAAGGAGTTTCGTGTCGAGCAAGGGAACCCAAGAAGCTTTGGAAGGTTGTCGCCAGTGCAAAAGCGTGAGGAGAGTGCCAGTAGAGTCGTAGATACACGGATCCTGGAGCATCGTTAGCCAAAAATGCTATTTGATGAGAAAACGATTTGACAAAAACATACACCATTGTCTGAAAAGAAGACACTCTTGACAGTCGCCCCCTCGGGAAGAGCGACCGTGTCTTCATTCTGACATATTTCGTCCCTCTTGACATTTTCAATTGTATAAAGGAGCCGGGCATTGCCATCAGCGCCCACGGGGCCGTTGCCCATGGTTAGCACATAGTCCCTCCAGCTGGCGCATGTGACCATTGGTGTGCTCTTTGGCCGGTACACTCGATAGGGAATACCAAACAAAGTGTAGACTCGGACGTAGTTGGCTGTAGTCGTTACAGTGATGAAAGATTCGCTTAATGACATGGCCAGAACAGCTTCACCCTTGGGCAATTCGGTGCGCCAGTCCGTTCGGTTCGTCCATGTCTCGTGAGGACGGTAGAAGATTGTGGCAGGAGTGTCATCTTTTGGCGGGCTCGAAAAGAGCGTGCCATTTTCGGTCAAGCAGGCCTTATCGTACAAAAAGGTGTCTGTAAAGTGAAAGTCTCTGTGGAAGTCATGATCGTAAAACTCGACAGTCACTGTGTGGTGGCCATCCTGGTCGATAGTCCAGATGAATCCGATCAGATTCAAGCAGAGATACTTGCGATTGCCGCGCCATGGTGTAGACCCTGGTTGGAAAGCCTCGTGGTATTGAGCTTCGAGCCGGAAACGCTTATTGGAGCCATCGCCAAAGAGATCATCCTCATCATGAGAACGCTTGCCATTTCCATTCAGGGTATAGCCAGCGCCGTCATCGTCGACCACAAAGTCATCGTTATCTGCGCCATCCATGAGCGAGTCGAGACTGTCGAGTGAATCACGACGCGGCCGCCGTTCAGCTTCCTTGGGTCCCGGTCCCGGTCGCCTAATGTTCAAGGAGACCTCTTGTAGCGGGTCATGGATAAAGGGGGCTGGCTGCTTTGGAAGCTTCAAGAGCTGAGCAAATTGCTCCGGCACAAAGTCAGGATGGATATAGACCTCGCCATCAGAATTGGTGAATGACGCCAGATTCTCTTTGGGGTGCCACGAAATGTTCATTACATTGACATAGTCGAGCCTGGCAATGACGGACTGGGTCTTGGACTCCCACAGTATAATCTTTTTGTCCTTTGCAGCCGAGGCGAGGATCGCGCCATTGGGCGACCACGCAAGAGCAGTGATATCGCCGTTATGGCCCTTGGAGAAGACCCGCTGCTTCTCCCAGTCATTTTTCGACACCACTTGAATGTCTCGTGTCGGTGTAGGCACAGCAAATGCCCTGCCATCGGGATGCCATGCTACCATGGAACTGATTTCTGATTCGGCATCCAGAGCACCAATGATGCCATCCATCTTTCGAATAAGCTCAGGCTCGTCCGATGTAAGGGAGTATATGTACACGACGCCATCAGTACATGACAGCGCCACTGTGTTGCCCTTGTGGTCAAAGACAAGGTGCTTCGTCGGTTTGCCGTGCTCTTTCAGAGTTCGCACCTGACTATTGTCGCTGGTGTTTACCACTTTAACAGTAAGCTCATCGCTAGCGACAGCGCACCATTGTCCATCTGGGGAGAGCGCGACATCGCGAATAGGCAGTGAGCAACGAAGAAGGAATCTCTCGAATTCGGCATTGGGGATCGAGTAGTAGCTGACAGTGCCGTCTTCAGAACCGGCAACGAAGAAGTCGTTGGCCGCGTCCACGGCTGTATGTTGCTCGGGGCAATCGTCGATATTCCGAGGCTCGCCGTCGAAGCCCGTCTTGTAGAGACGAATTGTGTTATTCGATCCGACCGTCACCAACTGTGTTCCATCTGGTGTGTAGGCGCATAGCGTAGCGCCTTGCGTGTGCGCGGGTCTTGGCCGAGGGCGAGGCGGTGCCGTAGATGCCATTGTAGAGACTCAATGGATGCTTGCTTCCACGGACCGTCGTAATGGTGAGAGAGAGAGGCAAGATGCGACAATCTGAAAAGTGATTGTCGTCACAAGTGGGCCAGGTATGTCGAGATCCCACGAGCCTACATATGTTTGTCCAAAGTATCAACGAGAGAGACGCGTTTCGACCGTGTCAAATCAATTTAGGGACGCGTTTGACAGGGGTGGCACCTGTGTTTAGCATGGGTGAATACCTAAAAGTTCTACCCCACTATACATTAGGTAGCGGGCGCAATAAACCCCCACCTGGGTACTGGCGACAGCTTCGAGAGCCTAGATCGGATAGTGAAATTTAACACACACAAGTCTACAAGGTGCATTAGTAACAACAGGCAGATTTGAAAGCAGCTTCGTTATATCTAGGTAGGCACCAGTATTTATTCCTGGAGTTTGGATTTCAGAAAAGGCCTCTGCAACATTGTGTGCTACCATTGCCTTTACTCATCGGGCATTTTCCCTTAAGGCATCGCAGAATTCCAATATCCAAGCTTGTGCAAGCCGTCAAGATGCAAAAGGGGCTTTCAGCAGATCACTTTTTCGAGACCGAGTAAGAAGACTTGCATAGAGTCCCGTTAGATTTTTGAAGCAGGGAAATTGACAGAAATCATAGTGCGTCTGCACAGAGACGAGAGAGGCAAGCTGCCAAGTCTGCCAACAAGAATGGAAACCCAATTTCCTTGAAATCCAAACCACTGGCTGCCATTCTCGATCTCGGCTCGCCATCTTCTCTCCTTGTTGCAGAGTCTTCCGGCACTGTCAGAAGAGTCAATACTGAGGTATGGAGCGGAAGACATGAAGACGAACCTCACGAGTGGGTATCATCGTGCCGTGAATCATTTGTTAACACTTCGCTAGACACAAGATACCAAACAAGTATATCGGGGCCCGACCGCGCCCGTAACATGTGTGGCACTCGGAGGACCCGGCAACCAGACATTATTCGCCGGATCTTGGGACAAGGACATCTGGAGTTGGGACGTTTCCTCAAAGGCACCAGGCCGCAAGTACAGCGGCCACTCTGATTTCGTCAAGGCCGTTGTCTGCACCAAACTGGGCGGCAAGGACATCCTCATCAGTGGTGGCGCGGACAAGAAGATCATCGTCTGGGATGTTGCAACTGGCTCTCGCCTTCACGTCCTCCAGGATCAGGTAGTCTCCATGATGGCAGTTCAACATTTGGCTGTGGATCCAGTGTCATCTGGGCCCGACGAAGTGATACTTGTCAGCTCGGGTAGTGATCCGCATATTCGACGCTGGCGCATTCGTGTCGACTCTGCAGAGCAGATTATTGAGACCCTGCCCAACGAGTCCGAAGCTCGATACGCAATCCTCGAGCACGAGACTACCGTGTATAGGCTCTTTTTCGATCAGCAGGGTGATGAGGTCGACCTCTGGACCGCAAGTGGCGATGGAACCGCAAAGTGTTTGTCACGAGCCAGAAACTACGCCGTTGAGGACACGATCGAACACGGCGACCATGTTCGAACTATCATAGCAACGGAGCATTGGATTGTGACTGGTGGTCGAGACGAGGACATCAAGGTTTGGGATCGCGCATCCGGCAAGCTGTATTGCACACTGGATGGACACTACGACGAAGTTACTGACCTGATTGTGCTTGGCGGCCAAACAACATCGGCTGCACAAATTGCATCAGTCTCTCTTGATGGGACGATCCGAACATGGTCACTTGAAAAAAAGGAACTCGACAAGATCAACCAAGAAAAATTGGACAAGGCCAACGGAGTGGAGGAGGAAAATCCGGCTGAGGAGGAAAAGGAAGGACTCATGACTGCCGAAGAAGAGGCTGAGCTTGCTGCTCTTCTGGATGATGATGACGAATAATCATTGTGTATGAGTGCAATGACTACCAAGAAGACTGGCCAGCCTTGCGTACATTCTGGTCCTCTGCCATCCGGTAAGGCTCTACCATCGTTGCCTGTGGGCTTTTTAACAAGAAATATAACTTTGTAGTTTCGACTCATGGATCGACATACAAGATCACCTGCAAGAAGTTTGTTCCCTGGTCCATGAAGTTGAACAAATACAGACATATGCAATGCCCATATATGCGATACCATTTAGCAGAAGTGTGTGTGGCTAAGTTGTACTGGCCAGCCAGTGGGCCGCTTGGGCGGCATTGTCTGGCTCCCCTGCAGTTGGCTGCATCGGCTGACCTGGTCGAGCTGAAGCACTTGAGTGTTTTCGGTAATTATGCCTTGCCATTGCGCCACACTGGGGGCTTACCAGAGGAAAAACGTATGCGAAATACCATTGGATGGTTCTGAGAAAACAAAAAGTAGACTGCAAATTCATCCTCGCGACTCAGCCCGATGCTTTGTCCCCGTTCCTGATCCCCTCTTCCCATCGAAACTCGCCTTCACTGTTGTCCACAAACCTTTACTCTGACTATCATGTTCCTCACGTCGTGCTAGCACCGGCACCAACATTGTATTGCTGAGATTCACATTCAGGTCAGGTTGATCATGGAACCACAGGCAAAAAGGCGCAGGATTGAACCTGAGCACACAATTCCAGGTGACACACGATCATTCGGTGGGCCGCCGCACGAAAAGTTTCAGCCACAAAGCATTTCAAGTGGATTCAACGGCACTGGAGTTGCCAACAACGGCAGTTTCAATGTTGCCGGAGACTTTTACACTACAGCTGGAGATGCTGCGAACACAGCAAACGCGGCGACCACGCGGCGCGAGGAACTTCTCGACTCCTTGCGGTTTGAGCAGATTGAATCCCGGCAACTAAGCATCAAGAGAGCGCATGCCAAAACGTGTAGCTGGTTCTTGAAAGACCCGATGTATAAGAGATGGGGAAACAGAGCAGAATCACAAAAGAATGAGAACTTTCTGTGGATCAAAGGGAAACCGGGCGCTGGAAAGTCGACTTTGATGAAGTATCTGCATGGACAACTCAAAAAACAGCTCCGCACAAACGAAACTCTGATTGCTTTCTTCTTCAACGCACGAGGCAGCGATCTAGAAAAGTCGACAGAGGGCATGTATCGATCCCTCTTGGTGCAACTCCTGGATGGCCGTCCAGAGCTGCAGCACGTACTTGATCGATTGAGACCCGGCTGTCAGTGGACCATTGACCTGCTCAAGGATGTGTTCGAGCAAGCTGCGGAGCAACAAAATATTGTTTGCCTTATCGATGCGTTGGATGAATGCGATGAGGGTCAAATACGAGACATGGTTGACTGGTTCGATGCCATCATCCAAGCAGACATCAAAGTCCACGTCTGCTTCGCAAGTCGGCACTACCCGTATATCAACATACAGACAAGACTGAGTGTTACCCTCGAAGATCAAGACCAGCACGAAAATGACATATCCAGCTATCTTGACGCGAAACTGAACATTGGACACAGCAAGCTGGCTGAAAAGATCCGTCTGGAGATGCGAGAAAAGGCTTCTGGGGTTTTCATGTGGGTTGTTCTCGTTGTGGCTATGTTGAACAAGGAATACGGCGAGGGCAACATACCCAATATGCGCAAACGTCTCAGGCAAATTCCAGGTGATCTTCACGAACTATTTCGCAGCATTCTTACCCGTGATGACCAAGATCGGGACGGGCTGTTGCTTTGTATACAATGGGTGTTATTTGCCAAGGTCCCATTGACACCTAAGGAGCTCTATTTTGCAATAATCTCAGGTTCCGACTCAGAATCTTTGCCCGACTATCATTCGAACAATATCTCAGAGTCTGATATGCAAAGATACATTCTGAACAGATCAAAGGGCTTGACAGCGCCAACAAGGCTGAATGAGAAACCGACCATCCAATTCATCCACGAATCAGTCCGAGACTTTTTTCGTAAAGGAGACGGGATGAGCCAGATATTCCCCAATTTGGCGAACAATATGTTTGGGTCCAGTCATGAATCACTCAAGGTGTGCTGTCTGAGATACATTGAAATGGAAAAGGGAATCGGTTTTGAAAAATCCGACCGAGAAGACGCGATGGCCAAATTTCCATTCCTGAAATATGCCAACCAGCAAATCTTATACCACGCCGATCAAGCAGCAAGCAATGGACTGGCACAGCGAGACTTTTTGGCGAAATTTCCGCATACGGATTGGGTGAGAAACCACAATATTCTCAAGAGACATCAGCCATATACATCACAAGTAAGCATGCTGTATATTCTGGCCGAGGCAGGCACGACCTCGTTAATCGACGACCTCCCAGATATTCAGTCCTGCTTTGATGTGGAAGAGGATCGCTATGGGCTCCCCATTATCGCTGCCATGGCTTTGAACAATTTTGACTGTGCCCAAGAAATTCTCAGAGTACAAGCAAAGCGATTTTCAGAATTTTGTTATGAGCAATTCTGTGAACGCTGGTCTTCGGTCCTTGCGATCCCGAATCGTGAAACCAATTTTAACAGCCTGCTGGATTACTCTTTTGATAGAAAGCAACCAAAGTTTCACGAGATCATTAACTATGGAGGCGAATTCTTGTCACTTTTCTTCCTTCAGACGGAGGGTTTCGGCACTGACTCCAAAGACGCCCGCGGACTCACTGCTTATCGCATTGCAGCAAGCAAAGGTTATTGTCATCTCTTGGTGGAGTTGCACCACAGGGGCGTTGATATCGAACTTTCTACAGGCCGCAGAGCGCTTCATGTTGCCGCATCGGCCTGCAATTTCGCAGCAGCGAAGCGGTTGATCGATGGTGGAGCTGATGTCTCAGTTGTTGATGTACAGAATAGGACTCCTTTGATGGTCATCCCTTACGACACACAAGATGCCATCGATATCATGAGATTGCTGATTGAACATGGTGCTCAGGTTTCGAGCGCCGACTTCTGGGGAGTAACAGCACTGCACCATGTCTCTCGGTCCAAAAATGGTTGCGAATTGGCTAGACTGCTCCTTGATGGTGGGGCCAGTGTTGCAGCTGTGGACAAAGAGGGTCAAACACCTTTACATAAGTGGTGCTGGGGAGATTGGTTCATACGGCATGGCGAAGGTAGAGCTGCACACCAGCGACAAGATTACGCAACCCCTATTCCTGAGGGGTATCTCAACGTAGGGAGGCTACTTCTGGATCGTGGTGCTGATGTCGCCGCTGTCGACAAATATGGCCAAACATCTTTGCACTACTGCAATACTCCAGAGACTGCTGAACTTCTACTCAGCCACAATGCTTGCATCTCCGTTATTGACCATAACGGAAACACGCCCTTGCATTGGGCGGCAGGCCGACATGAAGCATACTTGTGCCAGTTATTGCTCCAACGAGGTGCCGATACTACGGCTCTTAACAAGGAGGGGCAGACACCATTCGACAAGCTCTCTATTATTCATCGTTTGACCTTTGTATCACTTGAAGATTGGATGAAGAAAATGATCGTCGAAGATGAAGATTGGATGAACATAGTGATCGACGACGACGACCCAAGATACGTTCGAGACGACGCAAATACATCCTTAGTTGAACTAAGATATGGCCATCAGTTAGGTAGTTAGATTGTACGTCGAAGCTCCTCCGTGGATCAATCAGCTCACATGAAGTTCTTCACCGTGGATGTGATGATAAATGGTTGGGTCGAGTTCTGATCTGAAACCTGCCTGAGTGCCTCAGTACAAGAGTGTCAGTGACGTGAGTGAACCATCGATAAAGGTGTGGAATGTTCCCTACGTCTTTCGTGTGCTAATGATGTAAATGCGATACACAGACAAGCCTATAGTAAACCGATCACAAGTTTTCAAAACTACCTAGATGCTCAAATGTGTGGCGTAGCTGCTCCGTTGACAGCCGCTCGCATGATTAGGAACGTTATGTTGCTCTTTCTGGCACGAAAAGATGAAGCACGTTGGATTCACAGCAGGAAAAGTCGCTCCAACAATGCCTGAATGACTCAAAGCCCAACGTGACCGAAGTGGAATCTGATAATATAGGATGCTGGATGACATTTACGAAGCTTACAGAGCCCGGTTTCTGCCTTGTTCATCGAGACATCGCAGTTTCACTGTTCTCCATACGTCCATACTCAAACCGTTAAATCCACGCAGATAAGAGCAGATATGTCCACCTAGTCTCCCTCAGCGCTTCTTTGCTGCAGATCTGGCCGACTTTCGACGTTCGGCGACCGCAGAAGACGAAGCGCGGCGTTTCTTTCCCCCATTACCCCCACGGACATTCAGTCTTGCCTCGTTCTTTTGCCTGTGGACGTCCGAGTCCAGCTTCACGGCATTGGCAATCGCCTCCTGAAGCGCATCGCGCAAGGCCCGCGACTTGACAGTCGTCTGGATATGGCGGTTGTGGACCGGAAGACCAGCGTTACTCATGGCATCTGAAACCATGGAGATGAACAATTTTGAACTCAGGATCTTGCTGGACAGGGTATTGTCCTTTGCCTCGGTGATATCGTCGTCCATGTCCTCCTCATCGCTGGTGGTGTCTGAGAGATCCTCGTTGTCGTCTACACTCTGATCGCCCTGATCGTCCTTCTCATCCTCGTCCGATGCCTCATCTTCACTAAAGGCATCATGATGAGTGTCCTTTTGGCCTCCGGTCTTGCTATTCTCATTCTTGGAGTCATCACGGGTTCTCGGGACCGAGTTCCTCTGCCTTTCTTCGTCATCTTCTTTGACACGTTTGACCCAGAACTCATGAATAGGCGTCTTCTGTAAAAGTGTGAAATGTCAGCCCCTTCGATTTCTCTCCCCCCAACATGAAATGTTATCAATCGATGATGCAGTAAAGGGTAGACATTAATTTCACAAGCCCACTTGAAACTGCGCCACAAATAGTCCCATGATCTTGATGGAAGAGAAAGACGCGGAGAGGATCAGGGTTAGGCAATATATACTTACGCGATCATCAGGATTTTCGAGCAAGAAGTGCATTTTGCCTCTCTTGATCAATTTGTCAATTGTCTGCGGCAGGGTGCCAAAGCCACCAATCTTGGACCCGACAATGCGAGTTGCCTCGACTGCCTCGTAGGACGGCAAGAGGCCTTCGTAACCTCGATCAGGGTCCCATGAGATTCTTTCTCCCGTCAAATTAACCTGCTTCAGACAGTCTCTGACCTTGCGAAAGTTGCCGTAACTGGAACAGACCGTGTCCAATTTGAGGTTGGACAGTATATCCAAGATTTCGGCCTTTGATTCCTCAGAAAACCACTCTTGAGGCTTAAAGACCTCTAATAGGACAGCCGCCACATTGGGAGTCCCCTCACGCTCACTCAAGGCTTGGAGGAAAGCTTCGGCATTCGGATGGTGACTTATGCTGTCCTTCTTGGTACTTTTTTCGACCATGTTGACGTGATATATTGTGAATTATTGCACTAATAGACGATGAGAGATGGCTGATGTTGATAAATCAATGGATCATAGAGGCTTGTTGCAAAAGCAGAGCCGCAATGATGGCTGTGCGACTTGAGTACTTGTTTGATGATAATCAAAGTTGAGAGGGAATTTCATAGACAAGCTGGAAGGTAACATAAATATACACAAGTATTGCGAGCTGCTGATAACCTTGGGGGTTTAACTCAACGGCTCCCAAGGCATACATGTGGGCACGCTGAGAGTAGCGATGTTGTGGGCGGAAATGACAGGAAAAGCACCAAATACCTGCTCAAGGCCATCAGGAATCTGCTTCTCTAGCAATCGAACCCTTGGAGCTGAGTACAAGTGGCGTTGCATTGATTTCGCAGCCTCAGGCCGGAACGACTGGTCACGATCATGTCACTCACTCCATGTTCCATGATCTTTCCCCTCTCATCTGATTACTGAAGTCTGAATGGAATTGTCTTGCTGCGCAACAAATTGTCGCCTGTTGCGTCGCAATGTTAGAAAACCAAAGTAATTTGTTCTCTTGTGCAAGACTTGATCGCAACTACCCTAGGTGGTCTTACTGTGAAAGTTGAACAAGGCATGTCAGGAGCTTCCTGATCACTGTTTCGACATCGAATTTCTCTAACACTGCCCTTTGTCATCAGGACAACTGGGCATGATAGCTTGATGCTATTAGTGTAAATATGGCTTGCGGAGGAAGATCTCTATTCTATAGGCTTTACGTTCATCCAAGCATATGAAATCTTGGAAATGAGCATATTATAAAGGTTATCCAGTATCAATTCATGCAGGGCTGATGCTCTAGAAGAGCTCTCCGAAAAGGGCTCAAGAATATGTATCTTGCAAGCTCAATGGTCACATCATACACTATTTGCTGAGTCCTCAGCCGATCGATTGCAATTTCACGACCATTCCCAAAACTTCTGCATGGACCAATACTGGGCTGAAAGTAAATCCTTTGTTTCTTTTCTCATGGCAAAATATTGACCTAAAAACTCCTCAAATCCTGTTGCAGCAAACGCCGGTGTTATGACTTGAGTATCATACATGCTTTCTTGTTCTTCTCTTTGCCAGCGCTTCTTGATATGGGCGCTGTAAGGGCCACAACGCACAGGTCCAAAGGATGATGGAGGTCTACTGTGTCAAAAAAGGGACGGCATGTCCCCGCTCATCTTCAAGTACAACCCGAATATCACGGGCTCGCTGAGTAAATCATATTTCAAAATGTGGAATGCCGCTGACATGGCGCAGATGCTCTGCAGCCCACGAAATGAGTATTTCAAGAGCAGTGCACCTCAGACGTGAATCTGCTCCGTAGTAAACAGAAACCCTCCAGCGTCAGTCCTGCTCCAGCCTGGCCGACCTGCCATTGGCGACTTGGCCAGCTCTATTCTACCGCGCTGGTTCTATCGAGCTTTGGCTGCCATAATGATCATCGCCGTCGTGGTGTAGCGTTACACTGTTGAACTCCTCAAAAGGATCCACGATCTCGTTTCCTGGAGTTGCAAGTCCGCTGTCGAGAGGTACACCCTTGAGATTTGAGTTCCTGGTACCACTGATATCGACGCTGTAACTCTCCTTCACATTTCTGAAGTTGATGGTCTCATTATCTTTGCTAATGTGAGGAATAATGGGCGGGGCCATGTGACGAATAAGGGCCCACTGCGTTGTACGGAAGAATGGATGCGCCTTGATGTCGGAGGCGCCAGCACGAGATCCCAATCGTCGAGTCTCGTCCTTGATGAGGAGCTTACGGATCAAAGATTTACACAAACTATAGAGGTTAGCGCTTGAATGCGGTATATGATGATGGTGGCGGGCGATGAACTTACTTTGAGATTTGGGGCGCTCCTGTATGCTCTGGGAAGGGGATTTCCTCTCGGAGAATGTTTGCAAATGTCGCATTTCGGTTCTTACCCTTGAAAGGCGTAGTGCCATAAAGCATTTCATAGATGAGGATACCAAGAGTCCACCAGTCCACGGCACTTGTGTGCCCACTGCCCTTGATCACTTCTGGCGCGATATACTCCTCAGTTCCCACAAAGGAGTTGGTGCGGAAATTGGCAATACACGATTTGGTGTCAATCGCAGGCATTGCTGAGGAATTTCCCTTTCCGCCCATGATCATGATCGGCTTGCCACCTGGGTCCGACTGTTTTGAAAGATCAAAGTCCGACAACATGATGTGTCCAGATTGGTGAAGCAAGATGTTCTCTGGCTTCAGATCACGGTAGATGAATCCCATGAGATGCAGGTATTCCAACGCCGCGGTGACCTCGGCAGCATAAAAGCGCGCATCGTCTTCGGGAATGCACTTGCCAGGACGTGTCTGCAGTGCTCTGAAAAACTCTCCACCACTGCAGTATTCCATGCATAGGTAGAGATAGTCCTCCGACTGGAAGGAGTGGTATAGTGTAACAATAAATGGATGATTGCTCGTAGCCAAAATCTCTTGCTCGGCGAGAGCTCTCTTGATCTTGTTTCTCTTGATCATTTCCTTTTTGCTCAACACTACATTGAGTTAGCATGGGATGAAACATGACAGAAGTAGAATTAGGCTTACCCTTCATCGCATATAGCCGGGAGCTCTTCTTTTCCCTCACCAAGTAAACTTTACCAACGTCACCCTTTCCAATGAGCTTTATTTTGTCAAAGCTCGAGGGACCGACTTCGACAGTGCGCACTTTGATGGAATTTGAGCTGTAGGTCCTCCGGAAGGCCAACGGGTTGAGACCGGGTGATGGCAGAGCACCGAGCCCGTCCTTATCAGGCACGGCAAGGCTTCCATTGTCGGTAGAAGCAGCCTTATCCACGAGACCAACAGCATCGGAGCTGTGCTCAAGTGGTTCTTTGCCGAGTTCGGCAGTCGCAGGGCGCTCACCATTGGGACCGCCTTTGGAAAAGAGGCCATGAGCATTTGGAGCACTTGCGACTTTTCGGAGTTTCCTTGCCAATTCTTCCTTTGTGGCTGTGGAGGCGTGCGCCTGTGCGCTGTCGGGGCCAGAAATCTTCAGGGACGGAGTATCAGGAGGACTTGGCGGGACAGCCAAATCATTGTGGTGCTGGAGAGCAGGTTGCCCTTGCAGAGCGTAGTAGGGGTTGGCGTGAGCAGTTGGACTCATGGCCTCATCGAGTGGATTGCCTTCGCTGGCCGTCGTCGTCGACCTAAGACGGCCGACGGTTGCGAAGAACTTGGTGTTCCGGTTCCCCTTATTCTTGGCATCATTGTGTTTTGGCGCGCCCGAGTCCTGATTCTTTTCAGAAGAGTGCGATGACTTTGAGTCGTTGTTGATTTTGAAGAAGTTCTTCAACTTCTGGTTGAAGTTGCCTCGCGGCGACTGTACGGACGGCATGGTGTTTTCGTCAAGATCGTCAGTGGAGTGAGTGTGGTGGTCATGCGCATGCCATGTTGCCAGTCGCTGTCTGATCCTCAAGTTGGCGAAGCGGCGGGCAGTCGAAGCAGTAGACGCAGGTGGCTGCTGCTGCTGCTGTTGATGATCGGGATGGGTTTGAGCGGCCAAAGGATGGTTAATCGGAGGCTCGGGCGGAGGAGGTTGCGTCGGCGAAGAAGCACGACTGCTGGAATTAGCAGCCGATGAGGACCCCATGGTCGATCAATGGCTCGTGAGTGGTCCTGGGCGTTCTGGGACCTCTGGCCCTTAGGCAAAGCAGGGCCAAGCGGCTTGGCCGGGCTTTGTGAGCGAGCGGTGCTTGACCTGCTTGGTAATAGTGATTTTTGTCTGCCTCAGGCCGGGAGCAAGGTACAAAGTGGTAGTAGTTTCGCTTGTCCAGAAGGGGGCGCGGGCTAGCCTGTCAGTGGCCGACAGACGAACAAACTTGAGCACCCAGACAGTCTACAGACGGACAAGGTGACCAGGGGTTGGGGCAGACGAACGACGGGAAACGGTGCCAGGCTCGGAGAGCTTTCCCCTTTCCCTTCCACACTCGCTGATGGTGTCTGAATCGGGTTGCATGTACGTAGGATGTATGCTTGCTCGTTCGCCAAGGTACCGGCGGGTACTTCGGAGGTTGCTGGAGGAGAACAATAGAGGGGCCAACTAAGCGACAGAAGGAGCCTAGACAAGTAGAGGACCTGAAGCTAAGGGGAAGGCCAGCTCGCGACGGAGCAGTCTTTACCCAGTCAGCGCAGACTGAGTGAGGTGTGAGAGAGAACAGGCGTGCGTGCGGTAATGATGTTTGATTCTCCACGCAGTTTCTGTCATAAGGACAGGGCAAATTTCGAAGGGGGAAAGAAAATAAAAAGCTGTAATGATATGAAAGCTGTAAATGAAAAAAGAAAATACCGCCCCGACGATGAACCGATCTAGGTTCGATTTCATGCAATTCCCACGCCCAGTCTTCCAGGCCACATACAAAGGATCCTGGGCCGTGTGTTTGTTTTAAGGTCCATCCACAGCGTATCGGCACAATTGATTGGTATGTATTTAGAGATGCGCTGGCCAAGAGGTAAACTGACTGGCAACAAGCCCATCCTTTTTTCAATTGCCAGGCCATGTGTAACCAACTACATACTACTTGAGGTAACTAAAAGCAAATGTACCTACAGTTTGTAATTATGAGGTATGTACCTGTCCAGGGGGCCAGCTCAAGGTCACGAATTGCTAATGGGGTCAGCGCTATCGTGTCATTTCCCCACCAACAGGCGATGTCCCAGACTGCTACCGCCCGCTGGGTGGCTTTTCGCTGTTGCTGATGTCCACCATCTGCCATGTCCCAGTGGTCCCCCGTTTTCCAAAACGTCACCGGGGCTCTGCAAATGTCGCCGCGTCGCGAGATGGATCTCGTTATTATCAATCATGATTTCATTGCGTCCTCTCAAATCTAACGTCAGAGGCTCCCATGGCGCAGCAAACCGCTTTCGTGCCAACCATGCTGCTTTTACTTTGGGCTGTGTAGGAATCTGTAGTGTACACCATATGGCTCGTATACGTTTCTTTGCTTCCTTCTTTTGTTGTCAAGCAAGTTTGATGTCTTTGCCGCGTAAGAGTCCAACAATGAGGCTTTCCTCCCACTAAAAACAAGGTTGCCTTCCCCAATGATTGCCACTGCCGCGCGTGGCCGACCCTATTTGCACTTCTAAAGTACTAGCCCACGTAGCTTGTATACACGTCTTCATGTCTAGAACGTCGGACTGCCCCATGCCGTCAGGCTGAAAGAGCCCGTTCATGCAAAAAGGATCACTGGTGTACATTGTACCCAGCATGAACCACGACAGAGCGATCCATTGCATTGCTTGGATGGAAGAAAGAACAAGAAACAAAAAAGATACGCGTTTCATAATGCGTACCTATCTATGTAGCCCGCTCCTGGTGCGGCTCAAAGTCCAGAAACTCTCATTTAGTGATTAATGACGCCGAAGAAAACCTTGATCAATCTTCCCCCTGATGATTATCGAAACGAACTGCACGTGCCTGCGAGAGGCTCAAACGGTGGACGTCGTGTATGAGGCTATGCCGCAAAGGTAATGTGAAGAGAGCAGAAGCCTGGGGAGACATTTCCCCGGAATGACACGGGCTTCTTTTTGTTCCTGAAATATAAGCTTGGGGTGCAGACGGGGACGAATCGATCAAATGCCGTGTTAGTCCAATGTCTCATTTCCCTAGCATGGCTGTCATCTGAATATGTGCCATTACAACCATCATGTATAAAATTGCGAAGCCTCGTTTGATTCCGGAAATGCTTATTGAAGGCAGCAAATCCCATGTATGACATTTTCCAGCGCAAATTGCCGTACGTTTGTAACCTGTTTTATGGCAGTCATGATTTGTATTGTAAAAAGCTTTAGCTTGCCCTTTGATTAACAAGTCGTGCAGGAGGAGGCATTTCTTGGCCTAATAGCTGTAATCTATGTTCCTGATCCGTGGGCGCATTCTCCTCCGCTTGCCTCCGGATGTCGCTGAGCATCCTTTTCCGGTCCAGCGTTGCTTGCTGATCATCAAATTGTTGGTCACGAATACTGGGCGTGACCTGTTGTCCGTCCTCAAAGAAGAGGTAACGCGGAAGTTCTTCCGAGTCGATATCCTTTTTTAATTCCTCGATGCCGCGATTTTGAATGCCGTCCCCCATATGCCAAGAGTATGGTATGAGATGCTTCTGTTCCATGTGGGAGGTCCACGCCTCTTCGTCTTGGAATGTTACGGGTTCCGATTGAGCAGAGCATTTGCCCCATCGGCATATGCAAGAACCCGATTCATAGCTGTGGACGATAAACACATGCCGGCGCAGTGTGTCAAGATTTTGCAGCTCAGCGGGACACCTGCCGCTGGCAGTCGTGGGATACAGCTGCGGATCGTGCCATTCGCAGCCAAAGGAAATAAATTTGGGCTTTGTTTGCAAGTAAATCTCTCTGATAGATAAAGGCGGGGCCTTGGGTGGTCGTCCACGCCTTTTAATTGCCGTTCCAGGTCCACTGCCCGTTCCGGGAGTACCGCTTCCCGACGTGGTGGCCGTGACTGTAACTTGGGGTACTATCGTGTCATGTGTAAGCAAAGAACAGCGCGCCAGTCAGGTTACCCTGTAGCGGCTACGGTATCAAACTACTCACCAATTCTTGAGCCTTTGGGTGGCCTTCCGCGACCCCGCTTCTTCGGTTGACCTAGGTCATGATCTCGTATCTCCTGGTCCATGATTGCAATTGCCCGCGACATCTCGTCAGAAAATGGCTTGGGCGCCTGCCGGGCCCTCAAGCGACCATCTCCCATGATTTTTTGCTCATGTGTTGAAGAGCTGCTGTGGGTCGAATGAAGAGTTCGCTGTTTGCCTAGTTTGGCCTTTTTTGAAATGTGCAGATGTGGTGATGTTTCACCCGCAGCTCGGCCTGAGCCCTGGTGGTTTTTCCTCGTGAACTGAAGCGCTACCGTTGGCGCCGCTGCCATTCCATCGGCTCCTTCCACAGGTGCTTCTATAAATTCCGTCGTGTCTAATTCCCTCTCGTGTTGGTCTCCAAGGATGTCGTTTGTCGCAAGTTCGTCCATGGACTCTTCGTCATTTTCATCCAAATGTCGCTTGAACTCGCCCCTGCGGCGAATATGCTCTGAACCTCCAACGTTTTCATCGGTGTTGTTTTCGTGAACACCATTGTGTGCAGGTATGTCCATTTGATCATCGTACATCTCCATATTATTCATACCCATCTCGATGCCGTAGGAATATCCCTCAGCCTGCTTGCCTTTGGCGTCAAGAGGGGATGCTTCAACCCTTTCATCGTCGACCTCCAGTGGGTATTCCCCGATTCCTTCCATTTCAGCGTTATAGGGATCTTCCACAACATCCACGACATCGACTCCTTCCTCGTCGGTCTCTTCAACCATGCCATCGTCGAAATACATATTATAGTCATCCAGCCGTACCGTAGTCATTGCACCGACTCTAGTTGGTAGAGGGGAGTATTTAAGCAAGACTTTATAATTACTTCGCTCGATAAATTATTCCTCCAGAAAAGTCTTGCAGTGAATGCACAACAAATTTTATTGGTTTGTATTTAAAAGTTTTGGTGATACAATGAAAATAAAATAAAGAAAGAAGTAAGGAAGATAAATGTGTAATTTGGGGAGGTGTGTAAATTCCACGAGTTGCATACGGTCGCGTAGCGCGTCTCTTTCTCCACTATATGCATATCCTGCTTAAATGGGCCGTAATTTTTTTTTTCTTTAAATCGATTTGTCTTGTATTAAACTTAACTTATACGAGATGAAAAAAATAAATCTCAAGACAAGAATATCTATCAAAAAGTTAATATACGTATGGATTGATCTTCACCCAAAGACTTTGAATATGAAATATTAGATTGCAACCGATACCTTTCATGTACCCCTTGTTTGACTGAGGCGAGGACGACTTACATGACTTGCACGTTGAAAGGAATGATGTCCCTATTTACTCCAATATAGCCAGTATCCATTGTCGCCCATCATGAATGTCCACTGTCTTCTTGAATTATGCTTTGAGCCATTATAATAGAACAAATCACATGAAGAAGAAGAAGAGATCATAGAGGTACTGTTGCTGTGGACTTGACTATTCATATATAATCACGATCATGATCATTCTTGTTATGATCATGTTTCACGGTAAATGTGTAGACTCTAATTCCAAAATAGCTGGGTTGCAGATATGTCCGACGGCTTGCCTGTTGTTCTGCCCAGCTCCTCTCGGAGGGGCAACAGAAAATAGCCGCACAAGAGCATATCTGCTTGGCATAGAATCAGTGCCCAGCTATAGATCGAGCAATGACTTCTTTTTGGCTTCCTTTCTCGGCTTGCCGCTGGTCATGTAACTCTGCTTTTAGACGCCATCACTTCGAAAGCCTGAAATTGAGCGGCCACATCATGCGACATCGTTGGCGTCTTCTGTGCTTGCTTCGACTCCATCAACACCCATTCGCTCCTCCTCCTTCTTCTGGCGCAGGGCCTCCGTTTCGTTTCGCATTTTCTCCAGGTTCCAGGCATCGTCGTTGTCGTCATCATCGGAGCTTTCCTCCTCCTCCTGGAAACGCCAGTCGCCACTCTCAAAGAGTGCACGACCAGTAGCCTCCTTGGCTTTCCGTGCTTGCTCCTCGGCAGCCTTCTTATCCATGCGCTCCTTCTTCCATTTGGCGAAGGACTCTGGCGTCACTGGTGTCAGCGTACCAGTCAACTTGTGCCTCTCCGATTCCAAGAACTCTTCGAGTGTGAGTGTCTTCAGAGGAGACTTGTCCAGCAGAGCCTTCTCAGCCGCACGCTGTTCCTTGGTCTTGAGGACGAAGCTGGTGATAATATCAGCATATCTGTGTGATGGCGCATAGAGAAGAGAATACATACCCAGGTGGTAAGGCGTGTTTGTACTTGCACTGATCGCCGCCGTTCGGGCATATCCAGAACCAACCATACTTGCCATCCTCAATGGCCGAGATGAAGAACTTGCAAACCTTGTCGGTAGTAGTCTGCTGATTGCCCTTCTTGGAGAGAACGACCTTTCGTAGCTTCTCCTCATCCCAGTCATCGGACGTCTCCTTCTTCTTATTTTCTTCTTCTTCGGCTCTACCGTCTGTGTAGAGGTTCTTCTTCTCCGTCTTGCGCTCAATGGAAAGATCGTGGGAGAACTTGCACTTCTTGCCCTTCTCGCAGTCGCCCTTTTTGTAGAATATGCATACAACAGTCTTGGGGTCGACACCAAAAGGAACCTTCTGTATTTGCGCCGGCTTGTTGAGCAGCAGGGCAGCCTCGGCGCGAGCCTCTTCGGCGGCCTTCTTCTCTCGGGCTTTTGCCTCTTGCTGTGCCTTTTTCTTCTGAGCATCGGCACTGTTGCTCATGGACGACTGAATCTGCTTAATTTGCTTCTGGGCCGCTCCTCCCTTCTTGTTCTTCATACCAAAGGTCTTGTCATCGAGCACCTTGCCAGCGGCGGGCTTCTTGCCCTTTTCTTCCTTGCCCTTTGGCGCCATGTTTGCGGCGGCACGAGGTGCGACGGTTTGGAGTAGTGACGAGTGGTAGGATCAATCGACCGATGGACTTGGTCTGTGAAATATAGATAACTCGAAATTGCCTCTTTTGCGACCACTTCGCTGTGCAATTCCGTCCGTCGGGACCTGGCTTTCTGCCTTTAAGTGAGGCAAGTTTCAATCGATCCCAGTGATAAATGGTGGACTGCTAGTGGGCGATGTGGGGGCTTTGGTGGGATGCAGAGCCTGTAAAGCCCAAATGAAAGATCACTGGAGGGGTTTCGAGAAAGCTACGTCACATGATGCTTTCGAAGAAAAAAAATTGACTTGGAGGAGTAGACACAAGGCCGGGCACGGGCACGGGCCACTGGTCGTGTGCAGAGGCACTCCAGCGCCTCCACAGCCACAAATTCTCAAGGTAGTTCCCCCAGCCCATTCAGTGTTATCGCCGACGCTGGGGGGTACGTACTCCATTACTCCATGCTGGCTAATGTATTAACTGATGCCCATATCAAGCTCCAGCTGGCCTTTCAAACATATTACAGAAGCTGCATCACACGCAGGCGGTACACAACCAGTCCACACATTCAACAACGGCACTCATCGCCTCGTTCGTATTTCGATCTCAATTCACCCCGCTCTCTCTGAGGTGAGATCTGCTGTCGCATAATGCCTATGCATTCAACTGACCATTTCTGCAGTTTCTTGCGCCGTAACACTTCTTTCAATCCGCCGAACACAAAACCGCGACAATGATTTCCGACGACGAACTGTACCGACTTGCCATCTTCCTTGGCTCCGTCGCCATGGTACTCATTGTTTTGTACCACTTCTTTGAGGTCAATTCTACCAACAGCGCTCTTGCAGAGAAGGCAACGGCCGCCAAGCCAGCACAACAAGCTCCAGCAGTCGGAAAGTCATCAGGCGTTGCAAAGTCATGAAGTCCCATTGCGGGGATTGGCGATGGAAGGATAATCACAAAGAAGCGAGGCGTGAATCATGATTGCGAGCCAGAGTGCTCGAGGATTGTATATGGATGTGCCGCACAAGATGCATTTCGTGCGCAAACAGCAGCGGATTGCACATACTCATCGGAACCAAAAATGATACGGATGTTATGGCCATACTTGCAATGCGGCAAATAACTGGAGGCTGAGCCCATGACGGCACAATCACGACTATACTTGTGCACAATACACAATAAATCAAATCAAGGACGAAATATTTCCCATTGCGCATTGTTGTATAAGCTAGAAGTGATGCACCAGTGATGTCTTGGCGCAGCTATCCAGATGGAAGCATTGTGAAATCATGCCCACATGTCTCGAACTCATCAGCACCAAACTGAATGATTTTTTCCTACAATGTGATTAACAGTACCTAGATTACTTCTCACCGTAAAACATTACTACTACCTGCTCTTGGAAACCAAAACCGCAATGCTGAAGCTTGTGAACGAATTATCGACCTCAATGTACCTACACAAACGGTCGATAATAGGGACCTTCACTTCGACACGCAAGCTAAGAGCTGATAAGTCGGATCGGGACTAGTGTCTGACTTCCCCTGATGGCTGATCTGGCCGACGCGCCAAAGTCCCACTTTTATCGGTGTCGGCTCACTGCCCCGTTTTCCTTTTGCCTGCGGCTGCCTTGACCCTTTCCTGCACTTTTCGCGACGTCCATCTCACCCCATCCATCTCGTTTGCGCTTGTCCCATCACCCAGCTTCAGCTCCTCCACTCCCAACCATCATCCATCATCCACACCTTTGGACTTCACTTCTCCCCACAGAAATCCAGTCCATCACCGCGTGTTTCTTTGTGCCGTCATCGTATTCTTTTCAATCCCGCGAGTGAGAATATTGTCTTCTTGTTTATTTTCCCCGCCACTATCCACTTCTGCGACATAGCCAACTTGCGTCGCCGCTTCTGTCCATCTCGCGCCTGACGAGTGCCGACAGTTTTTCTCGTACTTCTTTTGCCGAACAAAACGGGATCGCTTTAATTCTCAAACCAGCTGCCAAACTACAGGAACGCGCCTCAAGCGGAGCGTCTCCCACAAGTTTTCACATTCTTCAGTGTACCGATCAATTCACGAGGTCCTCCCGACTCCCGTTAGCTCGTGCGCAACCTCGCCGACGCGCATTCATCAGCCATCCACTGATTGATCTATCCACACAAACCATCACACTTCACAGCCAAGATGTCCGGCAAGCTTGACCAGTCCCTGGACGAGATCGTCTCTACCCAGCGCAAGGCTGGTGGCCGTCGTGGCCGCAACACCACACGCCGCGCTTCTGGCCGAACCACTACTGTTGCGCCCGTCGGCGGCGTTCAGAAGAACTCCAAGAAGCCCCAGACAGCAGCCAAGCAGGCCCCTGCTAAGGCTTCTGGCGGCCCTGGCGACAGCAAGGTTGTCGTGAGCAACTTGGTAAGCAATTTGTCCACTCTCTCTTCTAACAAGACTTAATACTAACATGTCACAGCCCAAGGATGTGACTGAGTCACAGATCAAGGTATGTTTCCATTAAGGCTATTTCATGCCCATGGAATTTCATCGACATCCTCTTTCAATCGCGCGCGCAAAGAAATATGCACTATTCGATCGAGCAAAGTCACGTACCATTCCCCTTCCATGGGATTGGCATTTGGCCGATCAAACGCTGTCGCGTTGCCCCGTCTCCTTCCACATTATGTCTGTATGCAAGTCTGCGTGCAAGGGACTCGGAAGTTGAGCAGGTCCTCGTCAAAATAAATGCAATACGATTCTGTGAGGTTTGGCACCCTCTGCATCGTATCACTGCATAAGACGAGTAGACTATGGCGCTAGATGACATGCAGAATCTGGACACACAGAGTGAGCTGAAAATGCTCGATACCCTGCGTAATCAAGACCGTCAACTCGCAATGAGCACATCAGTGAGCAACAGCAATACAGCAGACCGCGGAATTACAGTCACCCAATATCGAGAGGATCGTGGTGGCTCGCGATTTCTGTTTACAAAGTGGTGTTTTTATCCGCTTTCCAACTTTTGAGGTAGCAATCAGAAGTTTCGAGTTGGTGATTACTCACATTTATGGGGCGAAATGCTGTATCGAATGGTACTACGCAGATATCAGTATTGGGGGCTGCGATCTGGCTGTTGAGGACGCAAGAGGGAAACTTTGGCTGGAACCTCGCCACAGCGGTTCTAGTGATGATCCCCATTATCCTCTGGTTGTCTTGTGGGAGGCCACGTCATGTCGCGTTGGGCTGTTGACTTTACTAACGCTCACTGTGTGCTCGCTGCTGAGATACTCACTCGTCGATACCCCGGGAACGGGTTATGCTCTGGTTTCCTGCCGATGCTTGGAGTTCGAAAGACCGCGATATTACGATTGACCACCCGTACGATATTCGAATCACTAACATAACCTTCCACTTAGGAATATTTTGTCACCTCGGTCGGCCCCATCAAGCGCCTGGAGCTTGCATATGGCCCTGGCGGTTCCAGCCGTGGTGTTGCTACCATTACTTTCAGCAAGCGAGACGGTGCCTCCAAGGCCTTTAACCAGCTCAATGGACTCCTGGTCGACGGCAGACCCATCAAGATTGAGATCATTGTCAGCGGTGACAAGGCCGCTGAGATTGCACCTGCGCCCAAGACCCTGACGGATCGCATCTCGCAGCCCAAGTCGCAGCCCAAGTCCGCTGTGCCTAACAAGAAGAAGGAGGCCGCAACCAAGGACACCGCTGCCGGTGGCGCTAACCGCGGCCGTAGAAAGCCTGCTCGCGGCAAGAGCTCGCGCCCGGCTAAGAAGACTGCAGAGGAGTTGGACAGTGAGATGGCCGACTACTTTGTGGCTGGCAACCAGAATGAGAACGCCAATGGTGGTGCTCCCGCCCCCGCCAATAACGGCGATGCTGCTATGGATGATGACATCATGGTAAGTTCAGTTTCTGAAATGCTGCCCATCAACAGATGTTAACCACTTGTTTAGTAAATTTGGTGTCTCCGAACTGTGTGATGCCATGGCATTCTACATGTACGATGGGAATTGAAGGCCACTGTCTCGGTGAAGACCAGTATTGCTTTTTGTTGGGTTCTGACATGGTTTTGCTCTGCTCTTTTTTTTCTTCTGCCCAGCTTCACTCAGATTGGCACATGCGGTAGATGTTAGTGAACCGATTGGGGGGAGATGGACCATTGGTATGAGGCAGGCTTGTTGATTGTACTGGACTTTATATGTCTTTCTGGGAGCAGTCTCCAAGAACATCCATATTCCGAGCGAATGGTAATCAATTCAGGCAATACAGAGATACCCAGGACCTTGAATGCTTTTCTTGGCTTGAAATGCATTGACATGAAATTTCCACTATCTCTTACAGATAACGAGGAATTTACGTTGTATTGTGTTACATGTGTCTGTTGATGAAGGGAATGCTCGACGCCATGCTTGGGTAACACTGATTCATGGCGCGACTGTAGTCATCAGAGTAGGCAAAATTGCTTAGGCAGACAAACACCCTGGATCCCGCAAACCACTCCCGTACCTCCAATAAGGGTTTGCACTTTTATTTGTAGAATCAATATACATTAGAGCAGGCCATAACCCACATAATCATAACACTATATAGGACACGTGTTGGGGTCGCACTGTAGGTATCTATGTTGCTGTTTTTCATAAGAAGAGGAAAAAGAAAAAGGATCTTTTGAAATCAAATAAACTCGCCGAACTCCCCTGTTGAGGAGACCACCCTTGAAGAAGACCGTATTGAATAGAAACGCGGGTTACCCCGTTTTCGAGATGAGTATTTGCATGATGGTTATTATTTACCACCGCTATTCTGGCGTTTCGACGGCGTGTGTGTCCGACTTTTACTGCTGGAACCATGCGCCTGGCGGGAAGAGGATTGAGCGGCCGAGGATGATGAGCCGTGTTGAGGCGGCTGGTCCATTCCGCAGAGCATGCGTGTGTATCGGAGACGAGTCGCTGGGATAGACTATTGAATCATTGTAAGCCATGGTATTCGTGCATACTTGAGAAGACTCATGCAGCCGACAAGGGGAGCCAAGATCTCCGAGATTTCATATATTATAGCATAAGTCAAGCAGCCATGTTTGTGTCGTGACCAACTGAGAACCTGACCAAAGACCAACATGAATGGTACCCGATAATGGCGGGTCATGTAAAAGATGATGTTCTTGTCAAATGCAAGGCAATCATGGCCATATACTTACATCATCAACTCGCTGCGCGTCCATCATGAGCAGCTCTGGGGTGTCGAGCATTTGGGCGGCCACTCGTCTCTTTTGCACCACCTCAAAGGACTCGGCTCTAGCAATTATTAGTAGATGTCAACTATGAGAAGGACGTGGTTACTCCAATGATTTAGGGGACAGAATAAGAGAAAAGAGAGAATCCTACAGGAAAAGAATAGATAAAAGGGACAGAAGCTTACTTACCCGCGTGAGCCTCCCGGCCGGCTTGCATCTTCATGGACCGAATATGGATCCTTGCCCCGCGCCTGGCGATCCCGCATCTCGGGCGTGAACTCGGTGTGTTGTTGCTGTTTCTGCATCTGAGGCTGATATGGTGGTGGTGGTGGTCTCTGTGGTCCGCTCATATTGGTGTTATAGTAACTGTGGTTGATGCCCCCATGCTGACCCGCGTTCATGACAAAGGGAAGAAGGGTGTGCCCTTTATACAGTCGAGGAGGGGAGGGCTGCAGTTGCAAGGATGGAAGGGTGTATAATTTCTACCTAGTGTAGGTAGGTAGGTAGGTAGGTAGGTAAGCAAGCTGTCACTGCGCACTTCTGAGAAAGGCTTTTTCTGCTTTGAGCGGATAGGTGCCGAAGGTGAAGGATTGACAAGAAAGTGAATACCAGGATATGGTTGGTAGGTATGTTGAGGAGCAGGGGCGAAATAGAGCTGAGCGGGCTACGGGATCCCTCAGGTAAGGAGGTGGTGGTATGTAGTAGAAGACTGTCAGAAGTCTCTCTACTCTGTCCCGGGTCACTCGGGACTTCCGATCGGTGCCCCGTTTAGTTAGTGTGAGGCTCGCTGATGGGCTTGCAAACAGGTCAAGCATGTGTGCAAGTAAGTCCCTTGAAGTTTTGCTACTATATCATGGAGTTTTCTGTCTTGGTTGTTCCTCATTGTATCAGAACAGGGGGGTGATGCGCAACGGCTGGTTGGTTACTGGCGGCGGCGGCAGCAATAATAAAGGTAGTAGACAAGTACAGTACCGTAAAGCAGCATCAGCAGTGTGCAGCTCTGAACTAAAAGGGCAAAAAATGTGGAGAGGCGAAAGTGCGGCGCGCGGCTCCGCAGCGGATAAAGTACGTACTTTTGGTACTTGGGTAAGCAAGGTGAAGGGGGATAAAGAAAGAAAACATTAGAGAAATTCAATGAAATAAAAAGGAAACGTGACGATACTTGTGCAGATGGGTATTATTGTTTGAAAAATGTCGTTTAATTCCCTTCGATGATCCCTGGAAGCACGTTTTTTAGGTTCGATATCAGTCCGAGTGCCGGGTCTTTTTACTGCACTTCGCTTCCCGGATTCGACATTAATAGAGACTCGAAGGCGATTTTCTCATGTAAACGAAAACCAATGTTCGGAAGCTAGAAAAAGGGATCAAGAAGGCAAAGCTGAACATCAATTGAAGGCTTTAATCTGGCGCTCGTTCTCCTTACTAGCCACTTTCTAATTTAGGTGGACATGTATAGATAGAGTCAAGTCATGGGCAGGAACGAGGAGCAAACAAGGCTCCTTCTGTTTCTTTCCCCATGTGTACCCTAGCTAAGAGTCGTGCTTTCACCATATGCAAGCTGATTGATAGACTGCAGATATTTTAGACTGCCTGGACCTGTGGACTTTTAATCCACTCGGATCCCGACGCGGCCGTTATTCTTTTCCTTCCGTACGCCCAACAGAAGAAGAAGAAGAAGAAGAAGAAAAAAGTCAATCACTCACACAAAGTGCAACCAGCCCTTTTTTTTTGTCGTGGCATGAACCCTGCGTCTTTGTATGCTCATCTTACGCAGTACAGACATACATACATATTATGATATCTACGTACCAATACATATACGCCAGAATCAACCCGGCACCCAGACGTCAAGAAGCATTTTCCACCCCTCACCTCATCCCGCATATCGGTCCATGTGCATTCAATGGTCAGCAGCATCTCGATTATGTGCCAAGGTATGTAGTATATGATCTGACACATGAACAGCTACACAGATGGCGCGGCCTGAGTGCTTACACCTTTGATCAAGTGGGCTCTAGCTAGCCTCTGTTTCTTTTCTTTCTTTCTCTCTCTCTCTCTCCTCTTTCGCTTTCCCTCTTAAGATACCGCCAGCATACATACATACATGCACAAGGTCTGCATACCTACAGTAGCGCAACGGTTTTCCTGTCCCTTCATTTGCTGATCCTTGCCTAGAACAACTGGTTCGCTAGCACCAGCGAGAGATATCTCGGCTCCTGGCAAGCCTGGGGTTGGGATGGGGGGCTGAATGAATACTGGAGACACGAGACAGGGCCGAAAGAAGTATCAATTCATAATCTAGATTCGTATGGTCGCAGCCCTTTTCGGCAGACGAGCTGTCGACTATTGACGCGACTTGCAGCAAGGTCGTCCCACTATCCTAGCCTGGATGCATACTCTGCGCATATCCAGTGCAGGGGTGGCAGATGATGGTCGGCCGCCGCCAGTCAAAAACTCTGCTCCCTCACCATGAATATCGGATGATTGTCCGCCTGTCGTCACAAGAGAGAGAAGCACTGCCGTTACACGATGCATCATTGGCAGTCTGCATGAGCGTGACACTGCTGCCCTCTTGGAATGGTCTCTGCATCACTTTGCCTTGGCGCCGCCGCCGCCAGCGAACCATGATATCTACCTTTTCGCTAACCAGAAAACCACAAGGTCATCGCCTGCCCATCGCCGAATGACTTGAGGGAGAATGGACCTTCATACAGGCCAGCTTTCCCAGACACAGTTGCCTCGGTGCTTCAGCACTCAGTGGGCGCAAATTTCGGAGCTATGCAATTGTCATGCGTCGAGCCGAGTCCTACCTCCAGCATTTTGATCAGTCATCTGTCATCTATGCTAATGGGGGCCGTTGTGATGCTTCTGTGATTGGAGACCAGCAGCAAGGCAGGCACTTACATCTTGCAGATGCAAACGCTTCCAACGTGTCATTAGGATCGCTGCCGACCCCTTCCTCTTCCGTTCACGGCAGAACCTCGACTACAACATGTCTCCCAGCTGTCGGGCGCGGATGATGTGACCCGACAGCGCGCAGCAGAGACCCGTTACCTCACCCTATCTCGATTCCTCCGTATAGCTACGATTGAACCGAGATGGGGAGATACACATGGATCTTGCATGACTTCTTTGTTGATCGGATATCCGCATGTGCAAAGTTGATATTGAGAATGACTGCATAAGCGGGTTTGCCCGCGAGGACCGCTGGGCTGACTCGACTGTACGGAGCATTATCCAACACGTCTACAGAGTATATAGCGGTTGACAATGATGCGCCTCTGGAATTTGCCGACTTCGGCTTCCTCGCCAAGCAACAACCGATGGCGTCCCGAATTCCAATACCCGACTTTCGAGATAGTACTGCCCAGCCGCAAACGCGTAGAACCAAACCCCTTGCTGGTGATTACTGGATCCTACGCAGCCAAGCAAGGGCAAGAAGAAGAAAAAGCAAGTTAAACTTTGCCAGGAAGAAAAGCACCAGGAATCTCAATTAGGACGACCGCGTCAACAGTAATGGGACCATGAGAGCCTTCACTGCATGCCGGGACCCCGTTCCGATATGCACACTTCCTTGGGGCGGTACAGCGGTTCCAGAAACTCAATTGCTCAGCAAACCTGGCATGTTTATCTGGCAGTTTGTCGTCATTCTCTCCAGGCATGGGGGTACCCATGCACGTTTGGTGGCCATTGTTATTTCAACGTTTCTGAAGTTACCATCGACATGATTTGGATCGACTTTCTCCTTCAGACCATCCTTCTGCATGAGTAGATGTATTGAGAGACGTCGCAGCTCCCTACTCCGATCAGCTTGCGTGGAAGCTTCCCCGTCGTTTTCGGTCGTACTCGGGGAATGGATTGAGCAAATTGTTACTCTGTACAAAGTACTTCTAAAAACTAACCGCAGCATATCCATGCCTCTTTGCCGCAGCCTCTCAGCCACTATTAGAGTTGAGGTAAAATGTCCAATAAACGAAAACACCAAAATCAAGCTATTGCAAGGTCTTTGGGGGGGGGTTTTCTAGGCAAGCCAAGTATTATGTTCATCTTTAGATATTGCGGCAGCAACCTAAACTTCTCCATACAATTTACCATGTTTAGACACGGGCTAGAAAACCACGACTCCCTGACCTAACCGGACTGACTGCAGTAATCATTCTCAGCAATACTCCATGGTTTCTCTTCGTTAAGTGGCCATTCACAAGTCGGAATCGCACAGGAGCACTGTCCGTGCCTAATGAATGGCTCCATTGAAGAAAAAGCAAAAGCACAAGATGATGAAAAAAAGAAAAGAAAGTGGACTCTCGATCCACAGTATATTGCCCATGTAAGGCTGGGAAGACTTTTTCTTTGGTCGCGTTTCGAGACGTCGATCAGCTCACTTGCTTTCTTTCTCTGCATGTCTATCGCCCTCCAGAGTATCTAAGGACTTGGGGGACCCAGCTTGTCGCCGAGTACCCTGCTCTCCTTGCATGCAGTACGACTGCGGACAAGTCTCCGGAGACGTTCGCCCAGCTATACGAGAGCGTTGACTTGCTTGATAGTTTGTATTTCTGATATTTTTCTTTTCGTTTGTGCTGATCCAGTTCCCCTGCTAGCGTTGTGGCGGGATGCACTCACTATATTGGTGGTCGTGGTGTTGCGGGCTGAGCCGCTCTACGAGGGCATGGGAACTCGGACAAATAATTACCTATGAGATAGAAATTCCCTTTGTCATTTCTTTGCAAATTATGAAAATTGGTACATCATTATTCCGAGTTTCTACCTATCCAGAATGAACATATATGCAGTTACCTTGATGGAACGAATCGACATCTCATGGCTGTTCCCGCTTGATGGACCCTAAGCCCAGATAACCCTGAATCAACCCTCATATAGTCACGAGTTTGCCCCTTGGAAACGGCGAAAAGCTCATGATAAAATGCAGCTTGATCAAATATCAAATATCATATATCACATCATCTCAAATGATTCATGGCACAATAGTGAATACTATTCCTATAAGTATGTCTATCGAGCACTTTCTTGTCGCTCAATGTAGCCAGTTGTCATCCATGTCAACCCAGCCCATATGCCTTTGGTTTCAATGTCCCATGATACCCGCAATGCAACAAGGCCCATCCCAGCCAGGAAAATGCAATCAATGCCAACCTTTTAACGAAACTGGGAACTGAAATCATGACTCCTAGAACTCCTTCCCAATGTATGAAGTTGCATCTCATTGTGAATTCAAAATTGATTCATGTCAAAAAAGCGACCAGCTATATCTCGATCTAATCCCTTTTGAGCACCTACTCTAGGCGTATCGTGCTGTTTGTATACGGCTCATAGGCTGTTGGCCATAAGGTGCGTAGGGTGGCGGCATTCCGCGATCCATTTGGCTGCCAGGACCACGAGGCTGCGATCGTGGCATATTCGCCCCAGCCCAACCTGGCGGTGGCCCTCCACGCGGCCAGCCCTGATTTGGCAGAGGCCGTACTGTCTTGGGACGTTTTCTTCCTCGAAAGCGACTCCAGCAGCAGCAGCAAATCGCAAGCAGGAGAAGGCCGCCCACGACTGATGCAACGGGTATCACAACATTCTTGTTGTCCTTGAGCCACCCACCAACCTCGTCTGCAATGTTTGAGCCCTCGCATTTGCCGTTGCTGCACTTGCCACCACCTTGGCATGGGGTTCCATCCAGGAAGTATTGGTTCAGGTTGTAGCATGTGTTTGAGCCCAGGCGTGACGAGGAACACGATAAAAGACAGCCCTGGGAGTTACATGCTGCAGTGCTATTGTCCGTAGTCAGGGCTCCCACCACTGTCCTGCACTGCAAGTCTCGGGATGTGCATTGGCCAGATGCACAAGTAAGGCCGGCGCCATCCGAGCCGCAAGATGTTCCATCGTCTGCGACCTTGTCTTCGGGGCATGTTGCCGTGGTGCCTGTACAAGTCTCTTCGGGATCGCATGTACCTGTGCTAGCCCTGCACACTTCAGTCGATGATTTGAATTGGCATTGTGACGAGCAGCAGTCCTCATTCGAGGGGTCGCAGACCGAGCCCGATGTGAATTTACATGTCGTGGCGTCACAACAAGTGTTATCTCCGCAGCCATCCTCGCCCCCGCAGTCACAGTCTTCTCCCTGTTCGACGATTCCGTTGCCGCACTGGCTTCCGGTGATAGTGACGACATCCTTATTGTTGGTCAAGCACGTTGATCTGACACTGTTCCGTTGCAGTGCAGAGCATATGTTGCCAATACTACATGGGGAAAATTGTGTAATGTCCGAGCCTGTAGATGGGTTCATCATGTACTTTCCGTTGGCATTGCATGAAGAACTGCTTAGCGGGCAGCATTGCTGCATCGATACGGAACCGTCCGAGCATGTGGAGGAGATACAGTCATGGACGGCACCAAAAGTGTGGCCGCTCTCGTGAGCAAAAACCTGCCATTCTGTCGAGGTTCTGACCACCACATTGGCGCCAGAAGTGGTATCGTTGCCATCACCCGTGCCAACGACGCAAAGCTGACCCAGCCACGCCAGACCAACGGCAGAATCTGTGTTGCACGTACTCAGCAGCGTCCAGTACGCGTTGGTATCATTGCGCTGTCCTCTCCAGGCCGAGAAGAGACTGAGGCGGTTGCTGATGGTGACGCTGTCGCTACAGGCCACGTTCCATGGAGCGGTTTCTTGCGCAGTGCCGGGACACGATGCATCACTCACGACAAGATCATGAATGCCCAGAGAGATGTTGAATGTGCTTTCATAGACCTCGGATGCAGCACTCACCATTTGAATGATGTTGCTTCTTGCATCCTCCTTGTTGTCGAACTCGGCGGTATAGGTACAATCGGTGGCGATTCCCACCAATGCCACTTTGCGAGAGGTTGGACAGCCGTCCGTCGAGCCAATGGTGCTGGCGAGGTTTACACCAGCACCATTACCACCAGTGGGCGTGTCGTCGTCTCGAGCAAATAGATCATGGCCGCCAGCGGGGGACATGGAGCTGAGGTCTATGCCAGTAAAGATGGGATGATCAAGATCAGTGTTGAAGCTCAAATGATCCGAATCGCAGCTCGAATCACCAAGACCACGCTTCAGTTCGCCGACCGCGTTATGACTGGGCAGCACATCGGAATCCCTCCATACAACCATGTATTCGTCCCTGGAGAATTCGGCCACGGGGTCTTCATGGTGTTGCGTCTTTCGATAATTGGTGCTAGTTTGTACGTGGTGAATGACTCCATCTAGCCTGAATGTTCCCTCGAATATGGGGTTGGCGCCATCGCGATAGACCGACATGCGCGCCCATCCAGCCTTCAGCCACTCTCCATGGTCCGGGTGCTTGACAAATGTGTCACCCTTGAAGACTCTGTGGTCCGACCTTAATATTGGTTCCTCATGTCTGATGGATCCATCGGCGTTTAGATATTGTATTGTCGCATCATCGGACAAGACATCATAATTAGGCTGCAGTGTCAAGCGCACCTTGTCGTTGGCGCCATGCAGCAAGAAGGTAAGTTCGAAGGAAGAGTGGGCATGAACACGATGCGAAGGCGTGTGCAGGATTGGGTCGTCCACGCGACTGATGTAGCTTAGAGCATTTCTCTTGGTTGAGTGCGCTTCCGCTAATAAAGGGGAGAAGGTTAGCAGCACGGCGGCGGCGACGGCCCCAAGAATGCCGCGCATGGTATTAAACGGAGAGAGTAGTCCCGTAAGGAGGGAAGGTTTCCACGAATTTACGCCACCATTCAGGATCGTCGTCGTTCAATGTAGCGGAGGTTTTTGGTACGAAGACGGGACCAGGCCAGAATCACACGGGTGAGAGAGAGAGATGTGCTTCGTCGCAAATCTTGCCGCCGCCGTTGTATTGTAGAGCCTCGCAGCAGAGACCGTATCAAGCGCATACGGACACAAAGCAAGACAAGAACGAAAATGATCTGGAAGAAGTTGAACGACAGTTAAGTGGAAATTTTGGAAATGAACACGAGAAGGCGTCCTTCGTTTACGTGGGACTTGGACGGCTGAGTGGGTTCCAAGGAACTTGCGGCCGGCTTGGCGATGGAGGTGCGTCTGTCTGTCTTCTTGGTCTGGGCGAGCAGCGAAGCGTCTTTGCCGTGAATTCCGAGTCCTGCTCTTGGCAGCCTTTCGAAAGGGTGGCGGCGGCAATGCAATTCGGACTTGTATGCCGTGACACAAGTCCAAAAACTCCTCCAATATTGGAATTCGTAGGGAAAACAGACTAGACAAACAATACACTGTGGAACAGGAAAGGAAAGGCTCTGGAAAGCGGGAAGATCCAAAAAAAGGAAAGGTGGTGGTGATGTTTCGGAACTAGGCAAAGGCGAGGCGAGCGCCTTAACTGATGGACGTTGGAACGAACTCTGGTGAATCGAACAAACCACACCACAAAAGAAGGTTACAGGGGCAGTGCAAGAAAAAGAGGAATACCAACCATGCTAATCTTAATTAGAGGATGGATACCACCCTAAAATGCATGTCGATAAATAAATGGAGGTAAACCATCAGAGATTCAAAAGACCAGTTGCCAGGGGTTGTGGGGTGTCTTCCATTGGGGTGATAGTGGTTTATTAGTGGTTCAGTCCAGCAGTCCAGCCAAACTGGAGAAGGAGAAGGTCCGTTCGTGCTGAGACCAAATGAGATGCCAAGATGCCCAGGTGCTTCCAATCAACCAGGGGGTGGTTGATTCGGGCGATTGGCAGCTGCAACTGCAAACTTTAGTGGACGTAGGTAAGCAGATGCCCACCCAAAGAGGGAAAGAAGCGAAGAGGTTCCAGAAATACAGACGACCATGACGGATATTGGTAATAATTGAGATGAATATGTTCAATGTTTGACCAATATTGGCCAACAGCCTTTTCTGCTTCTTCCGTATCCAATGTCATTTCCCTTTCTCTTCTTCTTGCTCATTATTGATAACTTGAAACATGGATCAGGATGCTCATATTCTCTTGTTCGGCTACATGCATGTGGTGTTGCTAAATGTAGCCATTTCCCACGGCTTCCATGTACAGGATCATGTTTCCAGTAGCTCAACTTAATAGGCAAGCAGGCAGGCCGGCAGGCAGGCAGGCAGGCAGACATGCATTGATGGGAGCTGGCGTCAACAAGCGCCGACCTGCACACGTAGTCAGACGAATCTTGGCTGTCTGAGTCGACGACATGTTTTCTTGGAAGACCAGGCCAAGATCCAAATGTGCGTATGCGCGCTTTCCCCCTCCCTCACTCCCAAATCCGCAGCCCTCCCCCGGCCATGCCGTTTCAGAAGTTCTCTGACGCCCGAATGTCTTGGTGTATGTGGAGATTATCCTTAAACCCGGGCCCCGGCCACGACCCCCAATCTTTTCAAGTGCTACATTTACTAGGCGACATCCCATCTCAGCAATAAATGGACCAGATTGACCAAAGTTGAAAGCATGGAAATATTCCTTTTGCGGATGATTCGCGAATAAACCTGGACATCAAAGAGACACGGTTCTGTTCATATTTTCTGATTCGGACTTTGACAGCAGCAAAATCGCGTGTCCGTCCGAACAAGCTTAAAACAAGAATTTGTGGGGTCTTTGAACCTTGTATCTTTCTTTGGCATCTAGCGCCGAGTCCCACTGCGACGGATCTCTAGCAAGCCAGTCTCCATGTGGTGGCGGCATGTCAGTAGTATGCGGATGCTCGGAGTCGCACCACGCACATGATAAACAACTTCGAGTTGGGGAAAATGTTTAGCGGGCCACTCACATCAAGAACCATCACGTCAATGACTCTAGACTGCCCAGAAAAAGTCGTCGTGTCTTTCTGGGCTGAGCAGCAACCGGTGACACCCCACAGCAAGGTGACGTGATCAACCATCTATGAATGGATACCTGTCAGCCACTTGCATACATACATGAGTCCTATATCCAGCTCGTAATGGCTAGCTCTCTTTTCATTGCCGATCAATTCGTGCGGGCCGATTTGGAACGTATAGACTGAGAAGATCGGTGGCCACATTGACCAAGATTACATTGGAAGAAATCATTGGCGGCTTTTCAGACTGACTTTCATGTGTATCTCAATACTCATGTACGAGGCAGATCAGACTACTCTGAAAATACAGCCAAGAATGACCATGCTGACTTCAGCCGACGTCGTTCCAGACTATACAAATTGATGTGCCTGTATAGGCTTGTACTCCCCATTCCCAATATACACTCGTAGTCACCGCGTTAGAAATCAAAGATCTCTCCACCAACGTACCATGGTGAGAACCAAGGACAACTAGACATCGTTACCAGCCGTATATACGTCCACTGCAGGAGTCTGCCCCTGTGAAAACGGTGAAAGAACACTGTTAATCCATGACAATTTATTTGCTCTGACGAGAGTCAATTTTTTGAGTATATGAGATCACTCATGAGACTTGGACTTGTCCTACAGAAAATTTACTGCAGCCCGGGTAAGGATTTAATAAAGCCTCTAGGCTTGCTGAGCAAATGATGTCGAAAGTATAGGAACGTAAGCATTCGTGCAAGCTGAACTGATGAATCAAGACACAAAAGAGCGCAGCCAAAGTCAAAATGCCAACATTCATAGAACAGAAATTTGATACCTCTAGAAACTTATGTAATTACCAACTGAAACCATCGAAAATTATATTTCATGGCTCAACAGCAAAAAATCCGTTCTTTCCCTACTTCAATCAGTACATTGAACTTCTCTGCCCGTCCATGATTTTCTGTTCCTGCCATATTCATCATGACAAGCGTGAATCCTGACTTGCCGTAGCCTCACTACTCGCTTTGACAATTCCAAGAAAATTAACCAATCACCCATCATTGGAAAGTGCTCAGAAGATCTAGCAACCACCTCTTTCAAAGACTCGGGGGCAAGTTCGTGGCTAATCTCAACTTCACACCTCCATCTCCAATCATTTTCCTACTCGCACAACTTCATGGGCATACCCGAGCCTCTACACCACAACGACAGCCTGGAACGATCCTTGATCTATATGTACCGGGAGAATTACTTCTCATCTCACTTTACTCTGACACTGTCCTCTTACCTTCACTCTTTGCCCTCTACTAGGACCACCTACCATCCACCATGCCCAAAAGAAAGAACGCCAAGTTAGTCCCTCATGATGACGGCGGTCAAAAACAGAAGTCAAAGCTACCACCCCCCGTAAGGCTAGAAGCCCCTCCTCCCATGCATCACCAGGTCCAAGCCTTGGTGGCCGCCGCCTATCCGGACAAGAAGCGTTTGACCAACGCCTGGGATGACCGCCGAGGCGACCTCAAGCGACGCCGCACCGACTCGCTAATGTCACTGCCCTGGGAACTCCCGGGCGAGGGCAGGCTGAACCAGCTTGGCCAGAAGATCGAGAGTCCGCATTACACCACGCAACATCTCAGTGGCATGGTTGACAATAAGCTTCTCCTCCAGGAGCGCGTATCCCAGTGGCGGAATATGATATCGACAACCAGCAAGAGCGAGAACCCCAAAAGCGGCCTTGGAACCTTTGCAAGAGTTCCAACAGAAGTTCGGGACATGATCTTGTCGTACCTGCTTGTCCACTACAACGACATCCGAGTCCTCAATAACTGGTCTTTGGTGTATGAACGCTCGCGACCAAATTTGCATGTGGGCATCCTAAGAGTCTGCCGCATCTTCCACCGACAGGGCATCCGCATTCTGTACGGTGAGAATACTTTCAAGTACCTGGTCCGCGATCCCAGCCCCATGAATCCCCATACGCAGCTTGTCATCGACCACGTCTACAACAGCAACCACATCCCCATGGAAAAGCACATTCACCTGGTCAAGAAGGTCAAGCTCGTGGTCGAGGCCAACCGCATGCATTGGTACGACATTCGCGAGGCCGTTCCTCGTGCCCTATTGATGTTCGTTCCTGGGCAACTGCACACGGTGGCGATCGAGCTGCCGGCGCAGACGCGAGAGTCGTTGGGTCTGGATCCAGACATTGGTACCAATATGGACGATGTTCCCGTGTCCGATTGGCTCCATGGCAACACCTTGGTCCTCAAGACTCTGCAACAGCTCAACTGTCAATTCATTCGCATGCTAGCCTTGACTTATGAGAACGAGTCCTTTGAGGCCCTCATTGATCGACGTTCTCACTTTACTCAGCGCGGCGCAGGAGATGGTCGTTCGGACATGTGGAGCGAGGACCAACTCATGCTGGCCAACCGCAAAATGGAAGCAACCAAGTCGTGCGCCCGACTCGGCGCTCTTTGGCACTGGCTGCGACGACTGGCGCTCGAGGGCACTGCCGACGACGTTGGACCTTTTCTCCAGCATGTCGCCGAACCGGAAGTCTCGAATCATTTCCAGCTCGAGTCGCCGGCCGCATCAAACCGCAGAAATCCACGTCGAGCTCAACGCCTCACTAGCGGCTGGTTCAACTATAATGTTGGTGATATCGGTAGAGCAGAGAGCGACGACGATTATGAGGACGATGGACATAACCATGATGACGATGACGACTCAATTTTTGTCAGATGATCAGCAACTCGCTTATTCCAGACGCCTAAACCCCAAAGTTTCGGCATCCAAATCCAAAGCGTGTGATGTTTGGTCGCGATGATATTTACTTCTAGTCCCAATTATCATCACCCCTGATCCGATCAACGCAACCCACGGGCGCAAATGGTGAGCGAGCATCACCGAAACCGCGACGACTCTCTCGTCGAAAGATCTCGTTAATGAGAGAAGATCGCAAAACTACTATGGTCTGGGTTGTCCGCATCGTTGCGACATTTGTACTTCCAAGGTCATCCTCAGACACGCTTTCAACCACGGTATCACCCGTCACAGAAATTTCATCTGTAAATGGTCATTTCATGGGTCGAAACGATGGTGGGCGTACTAAACCTTCATTCTATTATTCCCCTCTCTCGCGTCATTCTTTTTCATTCTGTTCCGGACTCTCTAGGTTGCCAGAACTGTTCAATAAATATAATTCGCAAAAATATCTGTTGTTACTTTGTCATCACGTTCAAACCCATCTGAGGTCCAGTTTCTTCTCTTCAAATGAAATGGCTAATAATGTTGCTTTATCGGTAAATTAGTGTGCTTATAAAGTAGCTATCTTGACGGTTGAGACGTCCAAGGTTTCTGTATCCACCAAGACGATCTCTTTGGCGTCTTTGAACGACGGAATGGTAATGAGTCGTACAGATTGTCCATCAGCACCGTGGATGACCTTGGTGCCGAACTCTGGTTGACAGCCAACAAAGTAGAGATGAGGACATGTCTTCATCACAAATGGGTCATCGTCCTGAAACGGGTAGGCCCCTATTCATGCTCTGGTCAGCTGTGTGGACTTTGAATTGGAGCGAGACGGGGCATCACAACTTACAGAGAGTATCTGGCGCTGTTGGGGCGCAGCAGCGCCACCTGCACATGGCCTCCATCATTCCCAAGCGGTCATCGCTGTCGACATATTTAAAAACATCATCCAGGTTTTGGCCACCAGTTCCTAGTACGCGCCATCCGTCCAACTCAGTCTCCCATGGATTCGTCACATTGTCGAGCCAGCCAGCTTCCTTTGACCCTGGTACAGCGGCATATGCTCTTGCATTCGGGAACATGGCCGTGTGCACGGGTTGTTGGGGATAGCTGGCATTCGCCGGATCTTGAGCACCTGGCAGCATGTTGATGGGCATAGTAGGGAGTAGTGAAGCGAGAAACTCATCCAAGAGTTGCGAGGGGAGTGCGTTGTACGAGCTGGCGTCGTAGCCGTACTTTTTGTTCGTCTTTCTCTCTGGTTGTTGCTCCTCCACAGGCCGGCGATCTTCCAACGAGATCGAATTTCCTGCTATAATGAGACGGCTGATTTGTGCTAGTTCCTGTTGCGCAGACGGGTCCAAGGCCTCGCCGAGGAGGTACTCCAATAGCAGGTTGAGCTCGAGAGCGTGCGAGGCGTCGGAACTTGAGAAGCTCAGACCTGAGACGATGGCCACTTTGCCGCCACTCCCGCGAGAGTGGGAATCCGTCATCTCCTCGTCCTCGTCTTTGGCCTTGGATGTCTTTGTACCGTTCGTTGTGGGCGGCTTCGACAAGGCCCAGCGATCGGGTTGGGGTGGTAGGTCTGGTAACTTGATGTCATAGACCTCTAGTTCACCATTTGCATTTTCAGTGCCCATGACAGCGATAATGCAACCTGTAACCAAGAATACGGATTTGAGAGCTGCTCCCACCAAGCGTATCCTACCAGATTCGTCTTCCAGCATCACCGCATCTGAGCCGTCATCAGACCAGTATTTTTGTGTCGATGTGGGCGCAGAGATCCATTTCTAGCAAGAAAGTCAGCTCAAGCCATTGCAGTAGCATGCTCATTTTGCGCATAGGGGCTCGAAACCTACATCCTTTGAGACATCCTCGAGGATATTAGGCTTCAACGCCATATCCATGTAGACAGTGCCTATTGTCCAGCATAGCTCTCCCTGCCGAATGTCCAAGACCCTGTCGACTGGCTTGACCTTTTCACCACCAACGACAGTATCGGACCAGGCCTCTACCGCCAAGGTCTCTACAGCCGGCTTGATTTTTGTCAACCTTAAAAAGTACATGTCCGCATACTGTTGTTGGTATGACTTCTCTTTGGCCAATTGGAAAGAGTTGAGCGGCTTGTAGGTGGAAGCCGTCCTTTCCAACTCCTCCGCCTCCTCGCCTCTGATGAAGGTTAGTATGTGCAGACTCTAGTAAATGACATGGTGCATGGCAATGAGGGTATATTCAACTTACGAAGGCTTGCGGAGGAGGTTACCTTGAATTTCATCTATCGATGCCATGTTCAGATAAATCTCTTTGCCTGACGAGAAGATTTGGTGGTTTCGAGAAATCAGGTATGAAAGTTGCCAAATCGAGAAAGGCAGACACGGTTAGCGAGGTGACGCGCCTTGGTGACTTTAGACGCGTAAAGTAGGTGGGGGCGGTATCTGGGCAGCGCATTTCAGCGACAGATTAGCGCCAAAGTGGCCTGCAGTTCATTGGCCACAACCCCTGTATCGCGGGGTAAGGCTACCGAAAGGCTGCTGAAAAAGTTCCAAAAAAATTTGGGAAAAATTGTCTGCGAGTCGCATTGATAGAATTCAAATCCAGATTTTTTTTTTTTTTTTTTTTTTTTTGGCGAACTACGACTTTTGGGAGACCAATAACAGCAATCAACACAACACCCAACTGTTGTCTACTCGCATTTGATAAATACATATCAAAGCGATAAATTGATCAGAATAATTAATCCAATTGGTTATTGATCGAAAATTTCTTGCGTATCATAATTTGCGATTGAAAGCGCAAACCATCAACCGCCGAGATGGACGCCGCAACGGAGGCCCAGCAGATTCGGGTCAACTTCACGACTAATCTGCCCGACCTCCAGCTTCCCGAAGGCAAGAGTCAGCTACTTGTGCCTGGAGACATCAAGCGATATGGCCTCTCCCGCGTCCTCAATTCCGAGTCTATGCTCAACACCGACTCCCCCATTCCCCTCGACTTCCTCGTCAATGGCACATACCTGCGCACCTCTCTCGAGGACTACCTCAAGGAGAACGGTCTCTCCTTTGAAACGACTGTCACCCTGCAATATGTCAAGAGTTTGATGCCGCCCATGTACCAGGCCAGCTTCGAGCACGACGATTGGATTACCGACATTGACGTCCTCTCTGCGATGTCGCGGGCTGGACTATGGACTGGAGACTCTCTGCGACAGGGTCAGAACCGCATCTTGTCGGCATCATATGACGGACTCTTGAGAATATGGAACGGCTCTGGTCGGGTGGTTGCGACATCCCCTTCGGCCAGCAACGGTGGTCACAGTGCTGCGGTCAAGGCCGCCAAGTTCATGAGCTCAAGCCAACTTGCCTCGGCTGGCATGGACAGAACGGTGCGAGTGTGGAAGTACAATGAGACAGACGAGTTCAGCGGCGAGATCAAGCCGACTCTGGAGCTGTTTGGCCACACTGCCTCTGTCGAGTCCCTCGACGTGCACACCCCCAGCAAGCGCATACTTTCTGCCTCGAAAGACGGTGCCGTCGGTCTGTGGACGACATCGAAATCCTCTGCACCAGAAGCGCCCGCCAGCCTCTTGCCCGGTGCCGGTACCAACGTGTCCAAGAAGCGAAAGATTGCCGCCGCCGCGCCGCAACGAGGCGCCCTGTCCATGATGCAACTGCACAACTCGCCCGTGTCCGGCGCCATCTTCCACCCCGACGACGCGACCGTGGCCTACTCTGCCTCGGAAGACCACACCATCAAGACCATTGATCTCACCACCGCCTCCGTCGTGAGCACGCTCACCACCGCCCACCCGCTGCTCTCGCTGGCCTCGCTCCCCGGCATGAGCACGCCGCTCCTGGCCGCGGGCACCTCGGCCCGGCACATTACCCTGGTGGACCCGCGGGCCTCGGCCACCACCACGTCAGTCATGACGCTGCGCGGCCACCGCAACTTTGTCAGCTCCATCTGCGCCTCGCCCAACGACAACTACTCGCTCGTGTCGGGCTCCCACGACGGCACCTGCCGGATATGGGACCTGCGCAGCGTGCGCTCGGGGACCAAGGCCGAGGGCGGCGGCAGCGTCAGCGAGGCCGTCTACGTCATTGAGCGTGAGAGCCAAAAGGGCAAGAAGAAGCGCGCCGATGTGCCCGGCGCCGGCTGCAAGGTCTTTGCTGCCGTTTGGGACAAGCACTGGGGCATTGTGAGTGGTGGTGAGGATAAGCAGGTGCAGATAAATAAGGGTAACGATTTGTTGCTTGCCAAGGAGTAGAAGAAAAGTTTGAAATGATATAATAAAAAAAGGAACAAGACTGGCAATATGTCCGAAATTTTTAGATTGATACCCCCTTAATGATATTTTCTGCTCAATGGGTAAAAAAAAACGGGAAAAGTTGTGTTGATTTTTCGTAGAAAGGATAGTGTTATGCGAATGAACATTTTGCTCTTCTCAAAAATAAATGCTGTCAGTCATAATCTGACGCCGGCTTCTGTGATGTTGCGTCTCAAAGGGTATATTTATACATAGTAATCATGCTGAACGGAAGATATATATCTAAGCAAGACTTCGCCGATACTTTTGCCACCTCCCGGGTTTCGTCTCAATGACTTCTTTGCTATACCTCGAATCATTTACCGGGAGATTTTCCAGCTTGACGGCATTGAATATATAATCCGCTACTGTCGTGGTTTTTAGAGGTGGACTGCGCAGAAGCGCAGCGACATCACCCGTACTCAAATCTTTGTTGGTGTGCCACAAGTGATACGCCCTCAGCTCAATAAACTTGGCGTGTCCTTCGGCGCGAGCTTTGTTGGTCGAGTCGGGCTCGGCTGGGTCCGAGGCGTAATTCTCGGTAATGAATGCTGTAGCCCAAGTTTCTGCAGCCTCGACGCGGACATCCCTAGCAATAACAGCATCCAGTAATTTCTCCGTCTCCCGCAACGCTTTCGCCACTTGATCTACAGCTGCCCTACAGGACCGCAAATGGGCTTTCAAGGCCCGCTTTCGGGCAGCCGGACTGAGGACAGTAGAAATTTCTGCCGTCTCGTCAGGAGGTGTCTCGGAGTTTTCTTCTTCAGTGTCCGTCTCTAGGTCTAAGCCATCAGAGAGACGAATGGGAAGGTTCAGTTCAGCGTGGTGTGGAGTGGGTGGACATGGGACAAGCTGTTTTCTATGGTGTTCCAGTGTCGCATACAAGTGAACCCCGGCATAGGCATCCGATGCGGAATCTATAGTGCATGAGTAAAAGCTAAATCACAGGGGAAAAAAAAAAAGTTGGTCAGTTGGCTTACAGATGACTTGTTCCATACTAAGCTGCTTGGCCCAGTCACTTGACCGCACGTCCTGACCTTTGAACATGGGCAAATGCAGATACTGTTCAACCTGCGTTGCCAATGGAATCAATCGCTTATTGATGTTCCGAAACTCTCCAGTCCTAGAATAGGTGACAAGCCTGTATAGATGGCTCAATTCCATGAGGCCCTTTGAATCAATGCCTAGGTGCGTCCTCAACCTGGTGGCATCGCCCTTGATCCAGACACCAACTTTGGTGATTTCGGGGTCTTCCATGATTTTTTTGAAAGTCGGCGGAACCAGATCATCGATTTTGGAGAACAAGGCCACGTGAAAAAGAGCAATGCGACTCGGACTGGCCACCTGGATAAGTGAAACATTGCGTCTGGGCCCCGAAGACTTGGATGCCTCGGCGACCCATTCGAGGTCAAACCCGAGCACTTTCTCATCTTTAAAATACTGCTGACAAACCCGCTCGGCCGTGTGCTTACTCCTACAATAGTGTACTGTAGGTTTTCGAATATTGCCCGTCGCATCAGGCCCACGATACAGCGAGTATCCCCAGAAGGAGCCAGGACTCCCCGGGGCAGACTTTTGCGCGGCACGAAATAAGTCCTCCGACATTTTGAAGTCTAAAGCAGGAAATGGAAGGTCCAAGGGCTTTTTAATCACGGTTTCTGTCTCTGTTTCGTCTTTTGCTTTCTTCGCTACATCTGGGTCAACGGGCGTATTGGCAGGCGCATCATCGGCTTTGGCGTCGGTTCCTTGCGCAATTGGTATCTTCGGGAGCTCAGGGTATAGAGCAGAAGTATCCTCGAGTTCCATGGGGATTCCGAGCTGCACAACATCTTGTTCCGACACTTGCGCCTGCGCTTCTGTGTCTAAGGTTGAGAGTAGCGCATTGTTCGAGTCCGCGAGCATCGGTGCCGAGTAGCTTACTGGCCGGCTTTGGCGTACGGGGGTCGGCGACCGGCTGGGTCCTGGCGAGAACGAGATGCCCCGAGAGGGATGCCATACTTGAAAATTGGGCGGACTGGTCGTCATTTTGATATGTCTCAATGGTAGTCTGACACCACAAAACTGTCAGTAAATGCTGTTGCTTGTCTAGACCAATTAACGCGAAACTGAGCAAAAGCACTGACCGCGACGCGCCGCGAAGGAGTGTGGTTCGGAATGGATGAATTGCTGAAGAGCAGGAGGCGCAAGATGAAATCATTTGCACAAAACAAAAACAAGATCGCACCAGAGCTCCATGTTGATCAACATAGAGACTCCAGGTACTATAAGCTAAAACAAGGGCAGATGGATGAGTTGAACTGGTGTGGGAATGCCAGCGTGCGTGAATCATATGCTCAGGATATGACGAAGAGCAACAGTGGCTTGAGTGGGTAAACTGTAGGCAGACGCGCCGCTATATCCCCTAGAGACTGGTTGGTTGGCTGCTGGTAGCAAGCCTGATTGTTTAAGCTTGGACGGCGGACGAGGGGTCCGGGGTCCAGGTCCAGGGCAATTTGCTTAGTCATTAGTGGATCGGATCGCGAAAACAGGTGACGGTCTGCCAGTGAACGGGGCTGCACTCACGCCCCTAGGAGCTTGGAGCCTCATATCGTCAAGACACACACCCTTGTGGGTTTTCATGAGAGTAACGGAAACACAACAAACTTAGCTCACCAATTTTCATTTTCGACACCCAAGACCACTCACTTTGGTTTCCTCACCCCGCAGCAAAAGATGGCGTCTCAGCTTCTACCCCTAGGTAAGGGTCTAATTGATTGACGTATATCTGGGCACGTGCTAAACAGCTGGGCAGAACTTATCGACAAGTGCGTTGGCTCGAGAATATGGGTTGTCATGAAGGGAGACAAGGGTACGGCCTCGTAATGCAGACCTGTTCCTCATGCATGAGACTGACGAAGAAGGACAGAATTCAGCGGCACTCTGCTAGGGTTCGATGACTACGTCAGTACGTAGACCGGCTGCTGTTGCCATGAACGTGGGGAGGGATTGTTATTGACAACTGAGTACAGACATGGTGCTGGAGGATGTGACCGAGTTGTATGTCTTCCTCTACGGCAAAGTAGTCTCCGTATGGCCTGGCTAACTAGTCACAGCGACTATTCTGGCAACCACACCAAACTGTCAAAGATTCTGCTGAATGGCAACAACATTTGCATGGTTAGTCAAACGTCAACCTTGATTGTCATTACGTGCTTAACATGTTTATCCAGTTGATTCCTGGAGGCGAAGGACCCGTGGCTGCTTCGTGATAGAGAGAAGTTTTTGAGGAAGGTTAAGGAAAAGAAGAAGAAGGGGGAAACCTGGAAGAGAAAAGATCCGAGTATCAGATTTCGGAAAGAAACATTCATAGCAGTCATGCGCAATTCGACTCTAGTCACGGGATGCAGGACGTCGCCTGGAGAAATAATGGCACAATGGGTTTGTTAAGCCAAGGCCGAAGATGGCCAATCTCAATTATGTTTCATCTATGCTTCCCATGCATGCATATCACGATGTATCAAGACCCTTCCCGGGCCAGACTTTTGTGCCCTTTACGCCAGAACGCCTCTATCAGATTGGTGCCTAATCAGTAATGCAAAGACCACCATGTGCCGTGAACGCCGAACCATGAAATCAGGCGCCTAGTAACCGCCAGTGTTGTTCTGGTCCTGGTTGCCGGCCGAGACCATCTTGCGCAGCTCGTACTCTCGAGTGAACTCGCGAGCAAGGTGACCGTAAGATGCAATGAGCTGCTTGCAGACAGAAAGGAGAGCCTCCTTGGGCTGGATGGTGCCATCGGTCTGAACACGGATCAGGACCTCGGGGACGTTGGGATGGGCGACTAGAGAATGTGAGCACAATGTGATGGATGTAGGCAGAGATAGAATGTCGAGCTTACCCTTGTAGCCACACATGAGAACCTTGGGGTGTCTCTTGAGGTACTCGGCGAGTAGATTGCCCAAAGTGTGGTCTTCCTTGTTCAAGATGAAATCAGAGGTGTTGGACATGCCTGGCATAGGGTCAGGTTCTCAATCAGGAAAAATTTGGCGGTGCAAACAAAGCTTACCAGCATAGATCTTCTCCTCGATCTTCTTCTGATCGGGATCGAGCAAGAAAAGCTCAAAACTAATGAAACGTCAGCAAATCAGCGACTCGGCTAGAAAATGCAAATTGCAGCTCCTGGGTGGCAGACGGCTTGGGCTTGTTGGTCTCCGAATGGTTGATGGACTCGTGGGGCGCCATGGTGACTTGATTGCGATAGTCTTGGTGTTGAGTTGTCTTGGTGTAGATTTGTCTTGGTGTCAAGTTGTCTTGCTCTGCTTATTTTCTCTTTCGCAAAAGATTGACGATGGAATAAGAGGTGGGAAAGCTTGAGGAAGGTGCCAGTCCCCAGAGCTCGAGGTTTTGAAGAGTTCCTGCCCAGACATTCCGTCGTCCCAGCGATGCCCCTCTAAGCCCAACCTCAGGCAGCTGAGATTTCTTTCAGCGTGTCTCGTCGACAGCTCAACCTGCTATTCCATTCTCCCTTAGGACAAAGCCACCGGAGGGCATCGTCGTCATATTGGCAAGCAGAGCCGACGGGGAGATGCCCAGTCTGACTGAAGTGATTCGCCCCTCGACTTGATCAACCACCACGATACCGGAGCCAAAGCCAAAGAAGCCTGCCACGCCGACCATTTCATCCAGGATGCCATCTCGCTGCCGCACGCCGAGCTGCTTCGAAGTGAAATCGGTGCACTTACCGATCGGGAGCGTTCATTTTGACTAAATTTTCAGTTCAGAAACCAAGAAATGATATAGGTGATGCAATTTAAGTCAAATTTCTGCAAGCATTCGGCTGTGAGGATGTCCAAAAGCTCAGTATTGAAGGATGTGAGTGATGTGAATGTTTAATGCAAGAGAAGCAGAATGGCCGAATGCGATGCGTTGACCAGACAGACACCAGCACAGGGAGAATGCGGCGGGCAAGTCGCGGCGGGCTACCTTGCAGTTGGCGCTAGGGCAGATTAGGTCAAGTGCGTGCTCGGATGAACCCCGGTCAACCCTGTCAACTATTATGGTATGTAGATGGCTGCTGCGCTTTGCATTTCACCTTTCACAACCTAGTCTCGGTTTTTTTTTTTGCAAAATGGCGATGGTAATGTATCCTTTGTTCATTTTTTTTCTGCTTCTTTTTTAACAAGACAATATCAACTATAATGATCGCTTAGATCTGTACCATGGGAACGTTTGAGTCTCCACATGGCTGAACCCCTAAGCCACCTCATCACACAAGCGCAGCTAACTCTTCGAGTCCTGCCTGGTCTCCTACAAATTCTTGGGCTGTATATGATTGGACAAATCAAACAATCAAGACCGATTTATCCATCACAGGCTTACTGTGACAGTCATATTATTGCTAAGAACGAGCAAGACTGGCGGCAACTCGTGACACAGAACCTCAATATCAGCTAGATATCGCAGACTTGCCTCCTGGCTCTTGCAAGTCCCTTCGTCTGGGATAGGCAATGTTGTAAGGAGCACCACCGTTTCCCGACTATTCTGACGCATGAGTTCGTTTAAGATCATATGCTGGGCACGGCTTGGCAGATCATTAAAAGACAAGGGCAAGTCCTGCGTCGAGTAGTTGGAGCGGGTCTCTGTCTCATTCGCTGAACCCGAGTGAAACGAGTCTATCAGCTCTGGTATTTGTGGTTGCATGTCTGGACCTCCGGTCTTTGCAGAGTTGGAATTCCTCCGCGACCGGGTCATGGGCGTACGCGCCGGCTCCGTTTCCTCAGCAAACATAAGTCGCTGCTCTCCACCCTCTTCGCTATGAACTCGCGTCTCTGGGACCGGTCGGCTTGAAAACTTTCTCATGGAAGATGAATGTCTCGATAGTGCAGGTCGAGCTGGTTGCGTAGTCGTAGATGGAGGTTCGACGGACTGCTGCGTGCTTTCAGAGGGTACCAGTAATGCTTGTGTGCTCTCAGAACGCTCAAGGGATTCATGGGGCTTGACGGTTGGCCGTCTGGGTGCAGCAGGGGGTGCTGCCAATTTTATGGCACCATAGCTCTGGTTGCTGCGGCCTTGTTCTCCGGGGGCTGTTGCTGTTGGGTGCAGCCCCGGGGGCCGAAGTAAGTCTCCATCGTTCGTTGTCCTTCCAGAATGTAGTAACGGGCGGGTTACATCATGCCTATGATCAGCATCATAGTCGCTAGCCGCATCATTGAAGTCAACGTCAGAAGACGGAGATGATGGTGATTCATCATCACTAGAATCATACATTGGCTGATCGGTTTCATCACCTAAAACATTTGGATCGAGATGAGATGTACGAATGCCGATATTGGCTCCTAGCCTCGTTACTCGGGAGACGGTGGACTTTTTGGGCAGCCCGAGCACGTCCTGTCGTGATGGAGATGAGCCTCTTCGCCGGCCTGAGCTCAGCAATTCTCCCAAGGATTGGTATTGCTGCGTTCGAGATGAGCCGTAGCGGATATCTCGAAGTTCTTGCCACCATTCGTCTTTATCAAGCACCTGATTGACGTCCTTATCAACTCCATTCCTCACGGTGCCATTGATGATGTAGTCGTATGTAGACAGAGCACCAGAGGCTAACCAGAATACCTGGACCTCAGCCTCAATGCGCAGTTTCTCCAGCAATGCTTTGAGCCTAGCACGTTCCTCGTCGACTTCAGTATCGTATTCGACAAACACTAGGATTCTTAAAGAAAAAGATTTTTTCCAGTTGGGAACGCTGAGCAAGATGTATCCCAGCTGTAAAATCAATGTATCTGGCTTTGCGTCAATCATTGGAACCAAAAAAAAAAAAAAAAAAAAAAAAGAACATCGGCTTTTGGGCCAATGGTTCCCATCCAGCCTGTGTTGAGCGATATAGCCAACTAGAAGGTACTTACATGTGTCAAAATTTGTTGTCAGTACATTTTTGCCCTCGGCTGAGATCTCTGCAGACATTTGAATTGGCCAGAGATCCACGTACTTTTTCGTGTTGGTACCATCTGACCTAGGTGTTTCCAGTGCTTGGAATCCTTTGCCAATGGCAACATTCAAACGATGCCTCAGAGCAAGATCTTCCAGAATTGTAACGTAGCTTGTTGGGGACAACATCCCTTCGGTACGAATCTGATCTGTCGGAAGTGAAAATTCCAGAATTCGTGCTGAAGTGTCCCCTCTGCGCCGACGGCGAACAGTTCCATCGTTGAATTTGCGATCGAAGCTTGGCTTACTCGGAGATGGGGGAACAGACGCTATGTCGGCCTCTGGGAGCGACTGGCGGAGCTCATCCATGTTGTAAAAGCCTAGAATAGCTATGTTGGGCCGCATGCCACCTAAACCAGCAGACAAGATTAAATTACGAACACCCCATTCGATGGTCGGCGACATGGTCAACTGTACAAATGCCTTGATCCGAGAAAATTCCGAAATGTACTTGGTCCAGGCAGATTGCTGTAGCTTCGCTTCGTGGATACCAGTATTGAAATCGTCAGTGACAATGACGTGCCCGAGGATGTACAGTGCACCCTTTTTCATCGAGTTGCAGAATTGAATCAAGCGAGTATGGCGTCTCGGATCATTGATCAGCAATATAATTTGTGGCCGCCAGAACTTGATGTGTTCCGGCTTAAGTCGCAGCAGATATTTTCTCACTTGGTGATAGATGAGGTTCTGGGATACATCGCCCCAATGCTTCGGGGGTGACATGTAATGTATGACCAGGAAAAGGAAGACGAGCAGACATATGGCTATTGCGGCGTATGTCTCGTCAATGAAGAACATTGCTGCTGCAGAGAGCATACTGCCTGCAAAGGCACTCTGCCAGCTGAAAAACTTAAAGGCAGGTCGGAAATTGGGCGCCGAACCAATCTTCAGGAGAAAACATGCCAAGTTCATGACGAAAAAGGTCATCTGTAAAATATTAGTATTGTGGGAAGGAATATATAGTCATGTTTCGTCTTACCTGGTAACCCATTGCTATCAAGGTGGCAATCTGGTTGAGATTGGCAAATAGGGCGACTTGAGCAATGATATATGTAAGTAGTACAGCGTATATCGGCTCATCTCCGCGTTTTGTTCCGTATCCAAAAACAAACAAGCCTGGCAGAGGTTTATCTCTAGCCAGTGCCTGTAAGAGCTTTGCAGACCCAATCAAGCCCATCAGGGCCGAGAAAAGCGTGGTCGCACATTCGCCGGCAAGAATAAGTGGGCTCCATAAGCTTGTTGTAGAAATGACATTGGTATGGTGAAGAAAAGACTGATGAGTTATGCTCGAAGCCATTGACAAAATGACTAGCAAGTAAAGCACCAAGGTAGATAACATTGCCCACAGTGTGCCTTTCGGAATTGCCTTGCTCGGATTCTTGAGATCGCCCGACATGGAAGCTCCTGCAAAAATGCCAGATGTCGCTGGGAAAAGAACTCCAAAGAGTTCGCGGAATGTCTCCGAGCCTTTGTAGTGAGGGCGGCCGCCAGGATACAAATTAGACAGAAACGTCTGGGCACTCATGCCCGTGAACTCAACGCCAAGGTCTGTGTCCTTGAATGGTCGGCGTGCCATGGCTGAAATGGGTATGCTCAATGTCGATATGAGCAGGACGACCAGTAGACCGTTGCTGGCTTTGGCAAAGATGCCACTACCCGCCAGGCAGAGTGCCGTGCAAAAGATGAGAGCACATGTTTCCATCAGATAGCTCTCCCAAAAGCCTGCTGGTATGAGCTCGGGCATGTTTAGTTTTAAACAATCAATCAAGCCCACTACGTTCAAGGCCGTGTTGAGTACTTGAGCAAGATAGAACAAGACTCCAATAGAGCCGCCAAACTCTGGCCCGAGAGACCGAGAGATTAGGTAGTAGGCACCACCACCTTTGACCTCGCCATTGGAAGCTATAGCGGAGAGTGAGAGGGTCGTGATAAGGTCCACGAAATAAGCAATGGCGAGTAGACCTTTATTGTCAAGAATTAGACTGATGGCTCGACTAGAAGCAGGGGTAATCTACGTACCTAGTATACCAAAGAGACCAATACGTCCTAAGATTGAGCCGAACCGTAGAAACATCAAAATGCTTATGATGTTTAGGACTACGGGGATGTAGACTCCCGAGACCACGCCAAGCTTGGCCTTTTTATTTGGGGCAGTTGACTCCATCTTGCTCAAGAAAATCCCAAGCACGGAGAAGGTCGAAGTTGAAGTCGATCTGTAGCACTAGGAAAGTCACTCAACACGTTTGCTACGACGGACCACATGCTTTATCATTTGCCTGCACAATCTGAATGTTTGGCAATTGCATTGACCAAGTGTCTCGATTTGGATGCCAATCGCCGCCAGCAGGATCTCAGCAAAGAAGACGATGGGATATGAAAACCATGTACGTGGCGGGAATGAATCCTATGGCAAAGGAAGGGGAATTGGTGTGTGTGAGAGAAAGAGCGTGCCAAGCGTACTGCGTAGGCATGTAGTGAATGTAGCGGAGGAGGATCAGCTTGGTTGGAACTTGGGGGCTACGTAAATCACCAGTCAGTATCGAATGCTAGCCGGGATCTAGTTGTCGATCCCTTCAGTCTAACCCCGCGCTGGTGGATTTAGTGCCAAGGACAGAAAAGGCGAATCCAACGATGTTTGGCAGGCAAGAGATTTCGACCGTCTACTCCAAGGGTGTATGCGCACTACGAACTGCTATCTGCAACTAAAACTTGAAAGTTATCTGTGGCCAGTTGCGCTTTCTTCTTCTTCATCGAGTAAGAAGCTGTATTAAAGTGGACAAAGATCTCAGCCAAGACGCGGGGCATAGCAGAAGACGCAGCGTTCCGGAGATAAGCCACCCAAGGGCATTGCGAGACTCGACTTCTATCTGAGGTCTGGTCTTCCACAAAAAGGTCGGAGTAGTAGTAGTAGTTTGGTGTAAAAAGGATTGACCGCCAAGCACGATTTTGGTTCATCCCACGAGAGACGTCACGTCCTGTTGGTATTCCAGAGCGAATCAGTCCAACTGTTTTGTTGGGTAGCTCAACAACGCTTGAAGAAAATGGATGGCCAAGGTATCGTGGTCGTCGATTAATGAGACACTTGTGTCAATCAATGTGCGACTCATTTGCTCGTGACCTGTGTGATTTTGAGAGTGTCAATACTGCCACTTGAGGATGCTACTTCTCACGATCAACTTGTTTCGATGCACTAAAAAGAGATCTACTCAGCCCCCAGTTTGTATGTATGATAGGTGTGGAATATGAGGTCCCTGATTTCAGAAACCACCGCAACATATCAAAGTATGGGCCAGATATTTGCAGATCTCGCCAGTGGGTGTTGGGTGGCGCATCATGTCGTTGACGCTTGGATCACGGTATGATTTATGCACCCAACGATGCGGGCTCCGATGCCAGTATTTGTGGACATATTTGTGGGAATATGGAGGCCTTCATCGGTAGCAGGGGCCATGTCTTCAGATGCAAGTGATAAAAAGACGTCACAGCTCCGAGGATCCACTGAGCTTTGCATCGTCTTGAGGCAGCATGCTCAGTGCTAATGATATTCGGTGATGAGGTCTCAATAGTTGTAATGGTGATAAATACATTGCGATCTTGTCGCATATATACCAATCTCGCTGCAAAATGTATTGGCAACCATTTTGCTGATAAAGAGGTGTTCAGGTGGTTGGTAGTAAGCAGCAATGAGGCGGCAACAAGCAATTCTAGCCTACCAGGCACGGGCGATTATCTATCAGCGGGCCCTGGCCCTTACCTCAGCGGCTGGGTCCGGCGCTGTAAACGCGCCTCGGGGTCCTTGATATCTGGTATGTCGGCGTATCCTGGTTCATCACCTGCCTGACTCGGCGGCGCATCTGCCCCAACTCTGGGTAGTCCCGTGAGTGAGAGTCAGCCCATCACGAGGGCTTTTCGCATTCTTCACTTCATGAGAGGTGAGAAACAAAAAGCACGAAAAAAAACCCTCGAGCCCACAGCACTTGTAATAAAATCATCGGGCGCGCCAGCTTGACTCACTGCCGGGCCTCGTGAGTCGTCTGCCTTCTTACCCTCTTCGGGTCTCTTATCGCCCTTTCACCAGTCTTATCGGTCTTTGTTCCAACCCGGCCAGGGCTGACGGCATCGCATCGCATCACCACAGTGCCCACGCACGCTGCTACGCAATAACGCCGGCGCTTCTTTGCCTGCCTGCATATCACTCTCCGCTGCCAACCTAGTTGCCTCAACTCCGCTGGTACGGCGATCCTCCTCCACCACATCTTTGGGGCCACTTTCCACCTCGACCCTTCTTTCCTACATACTTTTCTTGCCCGCGCCCATTCTCTCGGTAGTGTGAACTCTGTATCTTCGACTTCGCCAAATCTCCAGACGACGAAATGGCTACGCCGAACCGCGGCAGAAGCCAAACTCCCCAGCCCAGGAATCCCTTCGATATTCCTGTGGCCTCCTCCCCGGGATCGATCCTCAGTCGCAACTACGGCACTTCTCTTCCTCGAGCCGATGCTACCGCTCGACTGGCTACGCCGCCCGTCCCTCACGCTTGGAATACGCCGCCGCGAAGCTCGAATTCACCGAGCCGTGCCAATGCGGCCAACTCGGACGATGCAACGCCGCTGGCAGGGCCTGGGCAAGGCAGTGTAGGACCGGGCGTGTCAGCTCTTGCTGCAGCATTGTCCAATTCCGTGGGCAACTCTCCTCCACGATTTGGAACGCCCCCACGTGTCGGGACGCCGCCTCTTGGACGGCCACCTCTGTCTCCTTCCGGATCCGGTTCGAATCTGGCAGGCGAAGCCGGAACCTATGGCTCTTATTCGAGAAACAACGGTGCCTACGAGGACCCTGAGATCGTGAAGCGCCACCTGGTACAGCCGTCAGGTACACCCGAGCCTGGTGAGCAGCTCGGCAAGGGAAAGCAAGCAGGTGACACAGAGTCTGTCCTCGACGATGACGAGTTTTCGAGTTTGCAGCTCCAAGGCGGTGACATCACCCGAACAATCTACAAATGGACAGAAGACGCCCAATCGAGGCATAAGACACAGCGCAGCAAGAGCTTCAGCTTGTCCAGGCCAGAGCCTGAGAATGAAGTACTTGACATCAACACCATCAAAGTTCCGGGCGGCTTTAGGCGTAACTATCTTCGGCGCTCAGCCCAGAGCCCTGCGGCACACGCCACTTCGCGTTATGACGGTGGAGAATCCGGTGCCAGGAGTCAGCCTCAGCTTTTCACGAGCAGTTTCCTGGAGTTCCTGACCATTTATGGTCACTTTGCGGGAGAACAGCTCGAGGAAGATGACGAGGATCTTCTGCCCGGAGAGTATTTCTCTTCTGGCGAGGATGAGTTCGAATCCGACGAAGGCAGTGATGAGGACCGCGAGCCCATGGAGGACAGTGCTTTGCTGACTCCGTCCCGACGGAAGAGGAGGAGAAGGGTGAGAGGAGGAAGTGGTAATAATACTCCGATGAATGCTGCTCTCCTCTTGCTGAAGTCTTTTGTGGGCACTGGCGTTTTGTTCTTGCCTCGCGCGTATTACAACGGTGGTATGGTTTTCAGCAACTTGATCCTGCTGTTTGTTGCGGCGCTCAGCTACTACTGCTTCGTGCTCCTCGTCACAACACGCCTCAAGGTTGTAGGCTCGTTTGGTGACATTGGCGGTATTCTGTACGGACCATGGATGCGGAATTTGATCTTGACCTCGATCGTTGTCAGCCAGATTGGTTTCGTGGCCGCTTACATTGTCTTCACATCTGAGAATCTGCAAGCATTCATTCTCGCCGTTTCGAAATGTTCCACCTACATTCCGATCACTTATCTCATCCTGATGCAAATGGTCATTTTCCTGCCTTTTGCTCTCTTCAGAGATATTGGCAAACTTGGATTTACTGCACTGATTGCCGATGCTTTCATTGTCCTCGGTCTTGCATACCTCTTCTACTACGACGTTCTTACCTTGAGTTCCGAAGGCCTTGCAGATATCATTCTCTTCAATGAGAGAGATTGGACACTGTTCATTGGCACTGCCATCTTTACCTTTGAGGGTATTGGGCTTATTATCCCCATCCAGGAGTCGATGAAGTCGCCTGCCAAGTTCCCCAAGGTCATGTTCATTGTCATGATCATCATTACGACCCTTTTCATCACCATGGGAGCGGTCTCGTACGCTGCTTACGGTTCCAAGACCGAGACCGTGGTTCTCCTGAACCTTCCACAGGACAATAAGCTCGTCAATGGTGTACAATTCTTGTATTCCTTGGCCATTCTCCTGTCAACTCCGCTACAGATCTTCCCAGCCATCAAAATCACTGAGAATGCCCTGTTCACGAAAAGTGGAAAATACAACCCCTACATCAAGTGGCAGAAGAATGTCTACCGCTTCTTTGTTGTTTTCGTTTGTGCTTTCATTGCTTGGGTCGGAGCAGACAACTTGGATAAATTCGTCGCTCTTGTTGGAAACTTTGCCTGTATTCCTCTTGTTTTCATTTACCCGGTACGTATTAGCCCTCTTGTGCATGTTTTATAGAATAAACATACTGATGGATTTTCAGGCATTGCTTCACTACAAGGCTGTCGCCAAGAGCAAGCTCTGGAAATATTCCGACATTGCTCTTTGTATCTTTGGCTTTATCGCCATGGCTTATACCACCAGCTTGACCATCATCTCATGGGCAAGCGGCCCCTCTGGCCCTCCGTTGCCCAAGTATTGCGACGACAAGGGTCTTTAAATGCGATCACCCACGACTCGACAGCGAGTCAAACATTTCCTTGCTTTTGTAGCATAGGTGCATTGGCGCGACGGCGTTCGTGCAGCATATAAACGCGAGCTTTCGATGTTCCTGAGCATCGTATATACCATACAACTTAGAATGCATAAGAGTTGAGAAGGATGGCTCAAAGCCATATTGGAATTGGGGAGGCTGGATAGTAGTAAATACAATTCAAAGTACAGCACAATTTGGATTTCATGACTTGTCCAGCTTGGCGATCATTTGTTGGCCTGGCTATATCAACTCACCGACTAACAACGGAATGCAAGTCAGCTTGGCTGCGCATACTGAACATGGGTTATTACGCATGTCAAGCAGTCTGCTGGCATGGGCTGCAGCTCTCTTTACTAGTCCAATAAGGACTTGAAAAATGGATACCATGTAATGTAGGTAGTCAGTTCAGGTAAGTACTGCCCAGCTGTGCCGCATGGGGACTATCATTTGGTTTTCCTGCCTTCCGATTTTACCTGCCAGAAATCCCACAGCTTGTAAATTTTCCAACAACATCCGACTGGAAAAAAAAAAAAAAAACATCATTTGAACAAAACTCATTAAGAATCGAGTATTGCACAAGATCGATGTCGGTGGACAAATCCCACGTTGTCCCACAGGGGCACGATGAGGATGAAAGCAGCTCTGAAGGGGAAGCGCCACCCGGTCCAATGCTTCTTGAGTATCACCCATCCTGGCATAATCGTCGCGAGTCACCGCCACGGAGAGAAATACTCTCCCATCATTACTCCCGTTCTTACTCCCGGCATCGCTCCCGTTCTTACTCTCGGCGTCGCTCTCGTTCTTACTCCCGGCGTCGCTCCCGTTCTGACTCCGGTTCTGGCTCCGGTTCTCCCTCCGGTTCTGACACCGGTTCTGACACCGGTTCTGACTCCGGCTCTCCCTCCCGTTCTCCCTCCCGTTCTCACTCCGGTTCTTACTACCGTTCTTACTACCGTTCTCGCTTCCGTCATCCCCCCCGTTCTTACTACCGTTCTTACTACCGTTCTCGCTTCCGTCCTCCCCCCCGTTCTTACCACCGTTCTTACTACGGTTCTCACTTCCGTCCCCCCTCCCATTTTTACTCCGGTTCTAGCTCACGTTCTCGCTCCCCTCGTCTATATCCTGGGTATGATTTTGCGAATGGGCGATACTCCGCAAGTGACAGCTTTCTGAAAGGCAGCAGCAATAGTAGTAATAGTAGTCAAGATAACCACACAGCGTCCCGGTCTTCCGCCGCGCCTTCGGATGGCACTGGAAAAACACTCGAGACGGGGGGTTTTGATGCCTTCAACGCTGATGGCGGGCGCCACGTACTCAGCTTTCGTCTAGACATACGTGCAGATGGTGCAGTGGTTGCTCCTAAAGCACCACTTAGGGTGAACACCCTGCGAACTACTCACCCGGAAGCTCAGAAACCTGTAGTCGAGGATATCAATATACTATCGGCTATGAGCTATGATGATGACGACAATGGACCAACGGTCCATCTTACTTATAAACCCGACATTGGGGGCGATGAAGGGAAGGCAAAGAGCTTTATATTCTGGAGGTAGGTTACGTCCCAAATCTCGATGACTATTGCTAAATTATCCCCAGGCATGTCAGGCGGGACATGTTGGATATGAATGAGTTTGGAGTATGCTTAACTTCATCCAATACCATTCATCGTGACCTAACGAGTTTATCAGCAATTAGCAATGAGAATCCCTAACATATCCGACGATATGAAACTCCTTACCCTTCAACTGTTGGACAAGGTGGCTTCAAACCTGATCAAGCCGTTTTGTGGAGGTAGCTACGACGAGCCACGAGCATACCGTTACGATGGTCGAAAGCTCGATGCAATCGATCAACCTGACCTAACCGTGACATGGGTCTCATTTCCATATTTGACCCTCATCGATCCCGACACTATCCGGCCAGAAAAGTCTTTCAGTGCACCTTTACACCCCCCAAGAACGTTGCTGCAGACATTGTACGATAATGAGCCAATTTCAGGACGAGACTCGGAACAGGTCTTCACCACAGGACTCAAGGATTCAGGCCACAAAACTCTTCACGTTGCTCATGTTTGGTTCTTGGTTTTTGGACAGGGTAAGAAACGTTTGCCACATGTTGAGACGCTAGAACACGTGCCTAATTCATCCGTGTAGATGCTGTTCTCTCCTACGGACCCATGCATCTGGTCGACCTCTTTTCCAACAAAGTCAAACGAACTCCTGAGAAAAATGAAACGCCAGAAATACTGAAAATCGTCGACCCACAAAGGCGGCAGTACTTCATCCCGCTTGCAAACTGTAGTAATTTTTTGGTACGTTCTACAATCATGTCGTTTTGATAACAATTGGGCCGCCTAAATCTAATTCATGAAGACATTTCGAACAATTGTCACCAAAGAGTGCGTGAGCCTGATCCCGTTGAATTTCGAAGACTCTCTTTTTCTGTTTCATGAGGGAACAACCCAACTGACAAGCTCCACCTGGCTCGATCTCCTCTGTGCCAAGTCCTCGATTGTCACCATTGAAATCGCCCACAAGAACATTAGCAAGGCTGCCAATGCAGTTCCAAAGATTGGGAATGAACACAGTGACAGTTCATCGTCGGAGGGTGAAGAGATGGCTCCTGTCCCTGTCATACGACCTAAATTCGTCACATCTAGTACAGGCACACACGCAGTGATGTTAGCACCGCGAGACGCTGTGAAAACGAGTCTCGACGGGCAAAGGCAGAATCGGCATTCAAAGAGAGAAAGTGCCGAAGCAGATATGCTTAGCTCTCTCGAAAGAAAGGGCTACATTGTCAATGACATGGAGTCCTTGAAGAAACCGCACGAGATCAAATTCTTTCGTCCTATTTCAGACATTCAGAACATGGTGAAAACTGAGGCTACTTCTCCTCAGGGTGACCAAAATAGTGGTACGGAGATTCCGACAGACAATACCGATGGAGAGAAGAAGGCATCGCCGAGTGCTTTCAAAAGGGACGAGCCTCAAACGGGGTCAAATCGTCCTGGTAAATATCGACCGCCCGGCACCTATCTGGGTAGAGAGAGCATGATCCCTTTTTTCAATTGGTCACCTGATGCAATAGGTCAAGGCCCATCTACAACACCGGTATCCAGCACCGAAGCTGGTGACGGCGGCACAAAGTTTCTGAACCAGGTCCTCAATGAAGTAGATCAAACAATCATCAACCCGAAATTTGACATACTGACAGGAAAGACGCGACAAGATGGACAATATTCACCAAATAATGTTGGTGAAGAACTCTTTCAGCATCAAAAGTTCCATCTAGATCTACAAAACATCAGTTGGAATGAGTTCAATCAGATATTGCAAACAGAAGATTGTAAAAAGGCAAGTGTGCCAAGTCTATACCACAATGCTTGAATGCTCTGGCGATTAACCACAAGATGAGGCAGACCCAGGCAGAAACCGAGAACATGTCCATCGCCGACTGGCGCTTGGATGAGTTGCGCCATCAGATGGATGATCTGGTCAGCAAGATAATTGAGGAGACGCAGGGATTTGTCGCACTCTTCACTCCGCTCACATTTCCCCATACTTTGCTTGACCGCATCTGGGGTGCTCTCGCAGTAATCTACAAGGTATGAGAGCCAGAAAGTGAATTAAGTGTTTCAAAAACTTGGGCCAAAATTAACTTTGAAAAGTTCAAGAATCTCGTCCCATGGAAGGCCAGTGGCGATAGTTCAAGAAACAGCGGAAAACCCACAGTTTCCTGGATAGTGCGCAGACCAGTTTCCTGGAGCGAGGCTGAGAAGCGTGGCATCCCCCTTCCGAGCACTGGTTTTCGGATAGACGATTGCGCCAAGTGCTACCATCAGACCCAATATGAGTCTGTCGGTGAGGCCGTACAACATGTCAGACAGGTCCACTACAAGCAGTCCGGGCTCAAGATGGACGGGGAAGTGCTCACTGAAAAGCTTCGTTTTTGGGTTCACACCTCTGAGCAACGAGTACGAGAACTGAGTAATCTGGAATGCGTGGAGCTCTTGCAGGCGTATCATCACTGCATCGAGCGAGCCTACGAGCAGGGCCTTGAGATTCGGGACGTTGTTGCCCACTGCAAAGAGGAAGGGAATCCGCTGAGTCGAGCCACAGAGAGGCCAAAAACTCTGCAGCTGCCCAGTAAAATCGTTCGAGCTTTTGAGAATTTCGTCGTGATTACGTTGTGTACGGCACACGCGTTGACTCTTCTGGAAAATCGACCTCCAAAGGATTCAGATACGAAAGAGTTGTCAGAAGTTCCGCCACTTCGTCGTGTGATTGACTTGATTGCAAATCGATCACTCATGACAATGGAAAAGGCGCATAACGAAATATCATTGTTTCTGAAGACGGACCTTTCTTCAAGTGGCGTGAGCTTTGCGGCAGTTGGGCCCCGTTTCATCCTTTCAGTGATCTTTGATGGGCTGTCACAACGTCGCTTCTTTGATAAGACAGCCGTGGCCGTCTATGAGGATACTGCTTCCAGTGTGGTGAGATGGTCTCCCCTCTATCTCGTGGCGATGGAAACACTTACGAGTATGCTAATTGTCACATGTAGCAATACAAGGCATACAATGGTCGTCCCACGCGAAGGTTATTAACAACGATTGAGCGGTTCCAGGAGGAACTTGAAGCAATAGCATTGCTGGCGGGGAAGATCAATCAAACTTGGACAAACTTCATTATGCTCGGCGACGAAAAGACCTACCGCATCAGTGATCAGACTCGGAGGCAACATCAACAGATGGAGCACAAAGTTTACAGTTCAGCGTGGTTTCCTCGACAACGAGAGACTAATAAGATATATGCCATTCAGATGCGTTTGACCAAGATGGAGAACAAGTTACGCCAGCGTATTGAGATTCAAGATGAAGATCAAGGCAAGGCTATCATGATCTTTACCATTGTCACCATCATCTTCCTGCCACTCAGCTTTGTCACGAGCTTCCTGGGCATGAACACTGCCGACATTCGGGATATGGAGAATTCACAGACCCTATTCTGGATCATCGCCATGCCGGTCTCGGCTCTTGTTTTGAGCGTTACTGGCATACTTGCTTGGAAAGGAGATACTATTAGAGATTGGCTATCCAATCAAATCTTGCAAAGAAGTCGCGTGACATTGGAAAAGAATCATGACCATCTTGAGCCGAGAAAAGTGGCAAGTGGTAGAAAGCCGAAACAGAAGCAGGGCAAGCAATGGCTTCGGAGACGGCGTCAGGTGTCTTTCAAAGAAGACGATTTGGAAATGAATTGAAAATCTTTGATGTTCTGGTTATTCGGGTAGCAACTTGAATCTATGCGAAAGCAATATGAACCTTTCTTGATTTATTTCCATTACCGCTCTACTAAATGCCGGAGATGATGTTCGTGGGAAGAAACCAATGACTTTTAAAACCATTTGGAATGACAGTGTTTCTTGGGCCATATATTCAAAGGCGATTCGCATGGTAAGATTATAACAAGGGACTATGGATAATTAGTCACCCATTTGGGGTTGACTCCAGGTCGCCAATCATTCTAAGAAAGAAACCAAGAGTTGCGATAGTATGCAACTTACCACAGTGATGAGCATCATCCAGTCATCCCACCCCAGGGCCTTGAGTTTTATGCGAGCACAGAAGCGCAGGCTCAACAAGATCAGCACCACTCCTGAGAATGTCCAGAACAAAGCTTCCAAGGCTAGGCCACGATTCACATCTGGGGGCAGCTACCCACCAGACGAAGATATGGTGACTGATCTCCGGTAACCCTGGGGGTTGTCCTGTGTTGGGTGTGATGTTCTCCGTCTCGAGCGTCTAGTTGAATAAGCAGGTCGCTGGCGGGAAACTCCTAAGACTGAGGACTGGAGCGCGTTCCTGGAGATGTTGGGCGTTTAAAGTCATCTAACCTAGGACTACATTATGAGGCTTGGGTAGGAAGCAAATACTACCACCAATCTGCCTTGAACACCATAGCTGGCGCCGGCTTAGAATAGCCTACATAGTTTGTTGGTTGGTACCGATGCCAGTTGAAGGATGACTTACCTGACACAGGATGCACATCCTGCTGCATTCTAGCGCCAACAAGGCTGTGGGTTCAGGCGTTCGGCAGGTTTTCGCGTAAGGATATCTTGCGCCATGGCTGCACATCAACTCATCACAACCCAGGTCCCACACTGTGGGATAACTGAGGCGGTGAAACTGGGTACCTCCATGCATAGTTATGTACTCGGGTATGCGTCAACGTCCTATTACACTCCCTATATGTAGGTATTGCGCAGCGGGGTATGATCCCTCACGGAATGCAGGATCCAATAATGCTACCAACTAACAAGGCTGAAGGAACTGCGGGGTCTTCGGGGATACAAGCAGGCACCACTCGCCTATTTTCAACTACGAAATGCGGCCGAGCTGACCGCAGATGCAAAGGCCAACGCATGTGGAATGTGATATAGGAGTATTTGGGCTTTGGATTATTGATATCTCAATGCTACGGCCCATTTTGGGCGACACAATGTATCCACAGAACTCTAGCCGCCTCAGACCCGTCGGACTACATATTTGAAGAAGACTCAACATACCCTTAGGCTACGTGAACGGCCTCGCCACTAAGATACACTCTCTAGCAAGTATGGACACTCTTCTGGAGCAATTGAAGACCTTGGCCGTTCAGGCCGACAGCGATGGTCGCCACAAGGTGCTGGACTTCATCCGCACTCTGCAGCTGTCACTCGAGACTCCGCATGACATGCTGTCGCGTTTCTCGGGCATGGTGAGTGCAGCGTTACCACACCCCTTTCAGCATATTTCTCTTTAAAGACGGCTTACAGGTATCGCAGCATCTGAGTATAGCAGCCGCCCGTATCGGCGAGGACCTCAACCTCTTCCAGATCCTGGCTGAGAGCGAACAGCCACTAAGCGCTGAAGAACTGGCCACTAAAACGGGCGCCGCACCTTTGCTGTTGAGTAAGCTATGCATATATTTGGTAGTTTTGCTATATTATATTGATATTTATACAGGTCGAATTTTGCGCTATCTGGCCTCTGTTGGTCAAATTCATGAGGTCGGCCCAGATAGCTTTGCCGCCAACACGCAAACTAAAACGCTTGCCGACCCAGGCTATCGCGGGGGCATTTACCATTTTTTCAACAATTGCGGCCCCGTGTTCCAAGCGTTTCCGGATTTCCTGGCGGAAAATAAATATCAGGACATTGATGATGCATCAAAAACGGCGTTCCAGAAGGCGTTCCCAACAGATTTGCCAGCGTTCCAATGGCTCCCGACCCAACCCGAACGATTTGGTCCGTTGCAACAAGTTATGACGGTACAAGGTGCCTTGGGCAACCAATGGTTTACCGTATTTCCCTTCGAAAAGGAGCTGGGCAACTTTTCTGGTCCCCATGTGCTCGTTGACGTCGGTGGAGGGTTTGGTCACCAATGCGTTGCCTTGAGGGCTCGCTATCCAGAGCTTCAGGGAAAGCTCGTACTGGAAGATTTGCAACAAGCATTGGAGCATTTGCCACCTCCTTTAGCAACACAGCTCAAGGGGGTGGAACAAGTTGCTCACAACTTCTTTGAGCCTCAGCCCGTAAAAGGCGCCAAATTCTATTATCTACGCCAGGTTTTGCATGACTGGCCTGATGAGAATTGTGTGGTTATTTTGAAACATCTCATGGACGCCTTAGGCCCAGATTCACAAATTCTCATTGACGAAATGGTGTTACCAGATGCAAATGTTCCATGGGAGGCAACAACCATTGATTTGACCATGATGGCATCTCTTGGGGCCCGTGAACGCACCAACAAGGAGTGGCATGCGTTGCTCGATAAGGCAGGTCTGAAGGTATTGCGGATCGATACTTACTTGCCGCGCCGCCAGGACTCTATCATCCAGGCTGTTCCTAAGTGAGGACGTGATCTCCGTGCTGGTCCGATCTACATGTATCTGTCTTGTCTCTTTTCAATCAAGTATCTTCGTTCGGATATTGAAACTGTCTATATCCAATGCTATGATCACGTTGCTTTCGGTTTAGTTGCATAAATCACCGGAAATTGCCCAGCAGAACTTCCCTAATCCCATAATATTAATAGTTGTTTCCACTTATCCGTGGGGTTACGAATACGCTACTGCTCCCAATTTGCTAAGAAATACGCCTGGAACACCAGGTTCAACTTTTGGTTAATATTATATGGCATACCTTGATAGAGCTAAACTCTTGAACATCACTACCCTCAAGGTCTTTACTCCCATCCTCGAAAATTTCCACCACCCTCCTTGCCGCTAATAATTATTCACTTCTCAAAAATTCTTGTGTTTCCCTATTACAGGTACTATCTACAAACGGGCGCCGGGGAGGGGGGTATCAACACAGTAAATGCCCGACACGACCGAAGGAAACTAATATATATGTACGCCCATAGCCTAGCCAAATATATATTAATGACTCAATAGATATGTTTGCAGCCCGCAACCTTTATGTATATGGTCTTTTTGCCGCAAATTTTTCTGCTGCAACATGTTATTGCATTTTGCTTAGCGAGAAAGTGCGACTAAGAAAGACCACATATATATGTGCGTTGGGTTTTCTGAGTCAGATCACAAAATATATATTTGTCCAGGCCGCCGGGCGCATACGTATGTTGACTTCCTTCAACCGTACCGGGCCACAAACACATATTTGGCCAACTAGTGGATGGTGATTCACAGTGTTCTGTGTTTTATTCGCGGTATTACATGCGTACGGCCATTGGGTGAAACCCGCGCCGCGGATGCATATGCGACCGAGGAAACTTTGCAAAAGCTGCCAAAGATCGATCTAAGGATTATCGACTATAATACGACATCAACGTTAACTTTCGGTCCTCTAATGCGGTGGTTTGTTATGGAAGGAGGAAATCAGCTTTTTTGTGTTAATCTTCTAACTTCTGCCTATCTAATTTGCTCCAAAGCCTATAATGAAGTCGGCTGCCACATAACTATTATTTCGAATAATTTGTGAAAGCGTGCCTTACGGTATAATATATTTATAATAAAACGCAATATAATATTCTAAAATTCATTATCGGAAACATATAATTTAAAAATATATTAATATGAGATTAAACGATTTAATATAAAATATTCGAATCTCGTTTAAAATTTAATAAAAAAGCTATAAGGGACCTTAATTCCTAATAATGATAATCATTTATCGCTAGAGTTTTATATCCATCTATTTATATATTTTAGTCGCGAAGTCTATCGCAAATGAATGCACCCAATATAAGCTATTTCAGGGACCTTCTACTCGGCAATTCACCATTGCGGCATTATACCGGCAAAGCGAAGCTGATATGCAATCGAGATTTGCTCGTTGTCAATATGAATGTCATCCTCAGACATGAGAATTATCACGTGCCCTGGGCTGGCTATTGCCGCGTGGTAGCACGACTCAGGACGAAGTGGCTCCATATCGACAGAGAAGGGTCGGAGGCGATTGGCCATCCCAATTTGCGGTTCAAGATAGAGCTGTATTGTCGGGCTCCCTCAGAACCTCTTGGAAAGATGAGTCCATGCCTGTTTGAATCATTGCGAGTGTATCCTGAATAACAGCCTCAAACTGTTTGTTCTTAGAGATAGTGACGCACCCACTTCAACATTTTGGTATAACAATGTCATAACTCATCAAGCAAAGAGTAGATATTCTGCTCCCGTTAGGCGTGGTCTTCAGAGGCCAGTTCAAACTGGCTTCAAAGCCCCATTCTCTGGCACATTTCTATATGTTAGAGAGTACCAATTGATGACGCGCTACAAGATATATCGTCCCCAGACTGTGCGTGGAATCTGTTCAGTTTGTAAGGGTATTGGTGGCAGACTCATGTGATGCTGGTCATACATAGGCTATCGTGCCACTCTCTTCCCTCACGCTATCAAATTAAATTAGCATTCTCATAGCAAAACAGTGGAATTACACAAAAACACTTCGATCTTATTGGCAAAAGCTTTTGGAGGGAGCACTCGAGGCTATAGATAAAGTAGGCGCCTTATTGAAACAGTGATATCAGACTGCAACAACATATCTGCCACATCTAAACAATTATTCCACTGCAGTGTATGTACCTTTCTATATAGGTAGATGCAAGTCGCAGGTGTCTCCATGGTGGCTTACTACTAACAAGCGCCTGGTCATGTTACTCGCTCCAAGTCTGCAATAGATGGTGACGACGCACACTGCCTCATTTCTTTTTCTTCTCGCCTAGGCACTCAGCAGAATTCTTCCAAGCAACAGAACTCGGCCAACGAACAAGGATGTCTCAATTACTGCATTGTTTACACTGCAACCTCCAATTGTTGCTTGTCAGTCTTTGTCTTCCAAGATTTTGAACTTGACCAACAATCCGACTTTATCGCGACTCGTGATGACAAAATGACAATAAAGAGGGTGCAAAAGGAAGGCAAAGAAGATTTTGATTTATAAACGCCTCTTGAGAATGAACCAAGGTTTTTTATGACCGCGAATGGCTCATTATACTTTTCTCCCTTTGTGTCGCGCAGCGAGTAAGCAGCTGTAATAGTAAGTCTAGAGCCACGACCGACCCAGTAACACATCTAGAGCATACACTCATCACGTTTGAGACAGAATTACTGTCCAAAAATATACCGAAAAGTCACGTCGAATTATACATCAACCATTTGATTTGTAAAGCACAAGAGGGTGTGCATGAGGGCAAGAGAAGACCCGGACACTCAGTCCATGACCTCCGCCCACGAGAATAAACACCAAACCACGACGCCGAAACCTATTCCAGCACCAACACGACAGGCGCTTTCCGAACAATTACTACCGAGCGGTGGCGGCGGGGAATCGCATCCCAGCGCAAGCAGCAGATTCCGAGGCATAAGAGGCTCGTTCCGCCACAGGCGACAAGAGTCGCGAAAGACGACGTCGTCGACCCAGAGCCAACCACCACCGCCACCGTCGGGCACAATCTTTACATCTCCTACCGTACCCTTTCATCCGCAGAAGCAGTATCAAAGACACACTACGGATGCCGCTCGCCAACCCGCTGGAGCGGCCAGAGCTGGCAAACAAGAGGTGCCCGGGCGGGTTTCGCAGTTGGTCGCCCCCATGGAAGATATGAGCGTGTCTTACTATGCTCACAAGCACCACCCGTGGAGCGACGTGGGCTTTTATCCCGTACCATGGGCACAGCCCCTGGACATGAATACTGCCAAGAAGAATGAACATATACCTGTCCGGAGGTCGAAACCGGCGCCGAGAAGAGTAAAACCAGATAACGGACCGCCAATATCAAACCAGAACAGAGAGACTGATCGCCAAAGTAGCACTGCTAATTATTCTTCGAGACCTGATACGGCGATGTTGGTTTCGCCGGCGGCCTCAATGGCCCAATTGAGCACCATGTCAAGTAAGTAATTGATATCGCGTGATGCAGATATTCACAGATCTACGATGTCGCAAATCACTAATACTGTGCCTTTCAGTGGGCCCGCGAAGCATCATGATCGGCTTCGACGGCGCCTTTGGGCGTGAACTCCCCATGGAACGTTTCAAAGAACACTGGGCGCCCATATCCATGGCTGACATGTCGAGTGGCATAATAGCAGACCTCGGCGCCCTCGATGGCGGGAGCGTGCGCTATCACGACACCCTGAATGCGGTATACGAAGACCTGCCCGTGCTTCTGCCGTCGAGTGTGTACCGTCGAGAGTCCGGTCCGACAAGGACAGCGGTTCCCTCAAGACCGGCTACCACTACTCCCAAAATGCCCTTGGCGCGGCCTCGCTACTCGAGCAGGTCCACAATCACGGATTCGCCCAGCGATGCCGAGACGGACCCGCTGTCGGGCGCGATCTGGGAAGATGAGGTTCCAGGTAGTGCAAATGTGCCGGATCTGGTGCCTCCCACGGGGTCAAGTATTGCCACTGATTTCAAGACGTTTACACCAATCGACAAGGCGCTTCCCGATACACCAGGCTTGCTCTGTCCCGGGTGCATGATTGGTGGCAAGAGACCGCGTCCCTCCAGCCGTGGAACGCCCCGAGAGGAACACCGGGGAACTCTGCAATACTCCGAGGAGCGGGAAAGCGGCTTCTGTAATGCTTGTCGAAATAGCGACCTGGTGCCAAACATCAGTCGCTTTACTCTACCGGGCCTAACCGACCAAACGAACCGTACAGCAGAAAGTCCACCGGGCAACCAGACGGCCAGTAACGAGACCAAGAAGGAAGTCCATGTCCCTATAGGAACTAAATCACACGTGCTCGACAGCAGGTTCAGGTTGGGTAAAACAAAAGAGAGCACTTTGGCCAGCCGGAGACGGCTTCAGGTCGAAGACGAACCACTGCGCCCAGGATCCGCTCCACCACGGCAGAAAACAAGGATAAGTCACATTGCCGAATGCCAAATCTCTAATGCTTCCCCCCTAGATGTGGTAGATGGATCCGATTCCGACTATGGCGAACCATCACCGGCGAGCGGAACCATGCAGCAGTTTGGGGCACTCCCGTCTCACTTTAGTCTCGGCGGCGACGGCTCGATCCAACCGCTTCGCCTGCTGACAAAAGGGGCAGAGGGCAATATGATGAGCCCGAATCCCAAGTTTAGACGCAGCATTCGCGGGAACAGCGTGGTAGTCAATGAGATCAACGGCATGATTGAGGACTGGGAGGCCGACATCTTCAAGGATTACGGAGCGCTCAGTCCCATAGACACGTCAAAAGCACTTGTATCGCCCTCATTGAGCCTCTTGGAAAAGTCGCTGGTCAATCTGAAGAGACATACTGACATGTCTTCTCTGAAATCAGCCGACTTGGAAACAGTAACACCAAGGACTCGATTCTACAATCACCACAAGCGAGCCAACGGTGATTTTTGATAGCGACAAGACCTTGAAAAAGAGAGTCACTATTTCGTTTAGAGTACCCTGGTTTTGAGTCAATAAAGTAATGTGAACGCTCGACTTCTAGGAATTAGAGTCAAGATTCTTGATGTTCTCTGCGCGGTCGAAAATGAGACGCTTGTCGAAGAAAGAATCGTAAGCTTAATCAAACAATACAGAATCTGTAAGAAGTAGTATTCTCAGTTGTGATTTACCTCTTAAAAAAGTGAAATAAAACAAATGTCGCTTGTCACTTTGCCCCCAGTACCAATTGCAATACCAAATGCGCCTTGAGATGCTGTTTTTTGTCGCGCAATCTATCAAATCTTGCCCTCACTAATGACCCCTACCGAGTCCGTCAAGGCCGGACTGGCTCTACTCAGTCTCGACCGCACTGCCGTCTCTCCTATATTCAAAGTGTGTAAGTATCACCTTTCTCTCTCTCTCTCCCAAGCGAGAGCCCTTCCATCACGGGGGAGCCGGGGAGGGTCACTAGGAAAGACTTACGGGATATATGTGATTCGGTACTCCTCCTCAATGGCGGTGCGCACCTCCTCGGGCAGCTGGCCCGAGACCTTGGTGGCATAGACGCCCTGGACATAGGTATCGAGTCGCTGCCACTTTGCGACCCAGCTCTTGGCCGGGTTGGCCAGGGTGATGAGGCCCTCGAACACCTGCGACGTGCACGAGTCGATGGCGTCCGTGTCGCCCTTGAGGTGGAGGTATTCTTCGCAGTTGGGACAGCCTTCGTGGCGGAACCGCTACGACAGGAAAAGGAAGATGTCATGTCAGCTTTTGGTGGGATATTCGAGATCGATAATAGACAGAGATGAAGACTCACTGTTTGTGTCATGACGATTGAGCACACCATGCAGGCGCGCAGGTAGCGCTGCTGGCCGGGCGCAACAAAGTTACCTCCTCGTTCCATGTTCGCAAGGTCGATCGCGTCCTCGTTCGTCTCGGTACTCTGAGTATGCGCGGCGAGGTTGTATGGGTAATCGGACGGGATGGGGCAGGAATGAGGTGCCGGATCAGGGCTTTCCGTGTGTTACTTGCTCAGTCGTGGGTTGCAGGACGGTAGCAGTCGTCGACAGGAGTGATGTTATTTATGTTCTGGACAATGGCTAGCTAGCGGTATCGATATGCTTCTGAAGGTGGTTTGGAAGGGTACGTAGGTACGAGAGGTACCTGGCTGGCCGACCTAAAATAATTGAGTCCAAGTGGGGCTCAGAATTCCGGGGAAAGCTCAGATTAAAGAAACGAGCCGCAAAATTCACATGTCTGGACAATAAGTGACTGGATTAACAAGTACAACCTCATTCATAATTCTTTTTGACTTGTTTGCCACCAGGGACGAATTTCTTCTCTCTTTCTATCCACCTACACTGCCAAATACCTGCGAGAAACACCAAACTCAAAGTACTTCACACCATGGCTGAGCCAGGTAACACTACAATCACCAGCATCAGCAGCACGGCAGCGACATCAAAATCGCACAAGGCCCAGGAACTGGCAACATGCACCATTAGAGCCCCTCCATTCTCCTACGCCCATCTCGAGGCCATGCGCAAGAACTCGTTAGAAGCCCTGGAGCTCGACGCCATACAGGTGCGCTCCTACTGCTCGGCGGCGCTGAAGCAGTTCCTGGGCGTGTCTGGCCAAGCCATCTCCATTGACATCCTCAAGGTTGAGGGACCTAGTTGCTGGTTGAGGATACCGCGCGATGACTTGAGCGCATTTGCAGCTGCCATCACGGCATGGCAGGGAACCTACGAGGGTGGCACTCACTCGACCTTGAGGGTCAGAGGATGCTCGGATTGGCTGGGCAGCTTGGTCGGAAGCGAAGGTGCTGAGCAACTTTGGAGAGGATGATTGTAGAAATGGTCACATCACACATGCTTCACTCAAGAGAGACCCACATATATACATGACTGGAAGAACAGAGCATCTATGGCTCCGATTCATTATCATGTATCTGGTCTGTCTTATCAGGGTATGTCTACCTCCTTTTCTGTTTCATTCCCTTTGGAGCCCCTGAACGCCAATGCTTCCAGATGATGCAATCATTATATGCAGAAAATTGCCATGCCCATCTCCTCATCATCATCACAAATGCCAAATGATACAGTCAAATACCGGCTATCTCTACGCCATAGACATCAACGAGCTCTGTGCGTATGCCCTGGGAGGGTTGTTAGTTTGTTGTCTCGCGATCAACTAGCATTGGATGGCAACCTACATAGGCTTGATGTTGGGATGGGGCACTGCATCAAACTGGTTGAATTGCAGCTTGTAATCTGGTCCAATGTTGATGTAAGCACCGCGGTTCTCCGTCTGATCACAGTACTTTGGTGCCGAGAAGACTAGAAGAATATTAGTTTCACGTCGTAGTAAAAGGACTTTTGACTTTTGTTTTCATACCAGTAATGCACTTTCCGTCGTGTTCCTCCTCGTAGCCGTCCATTCTGACCTCGTGACTTCGGATAATGGCGTCGAGTCCGTTCCTGTCACAGAATCGCTTCGTAACATCGGGTCCGAACTGCATGCCGACACCTCTCTTGCTAGGTCCGCGGCCAGGAGCTGTCTGGGGGTCAGTCCAGAGCATCTCCATCATAAGACCGGATTGGCCTGGCTGGCGCTGGCTGTGTCTGTTGAGTTTCCGGATATCGTCAAGGGTGATGTTGTCGTCTGAGAAGAGACCTCCGTGGAGGACCAGGTACTTGTCGCCGATCAACGTGGCCAGCGGCAGCGCCGAGAAACTCTCGGAGAATAGCTTGAACACTCTACAAAGTTCATTAGCAGCCGAGCAAAAAGCGCCGACTTCACAGCACAGTCCTTACCGCTCATTGTACTTGGCCTTGCACTCGCCCTCGAAGCCATAAACCTTGTTCATGTCGTCTGTCTCGTGGTTGCCACGGTTCAAGTACAAGCCGTGGGGTCGCAGCCACTTGTAAGCGTACAATAACAAGGCGATCTCGCTCGACCATGAGCCTCGATCGACGAAATCACCATTGAAGAGGTACCAGTGCTTCTCGGCTGGGCGGCCATTCAATCTGAAAAGCTCCAGCAGATCAAAGTACTGGCCTGCAACATTAAGTTAGCACATGCACATATGCATCTCAAGCGCCGCTCTCCCTTACCGTGGGTATCACCGCAGACGGTGAGTTTGACATCATCGGGGATTTTCATTTCCACCATGGTAGCCTCATCATACACAATCTTCTTGACGGCGATGATGATTTGGTACACGTATTTCTTGTGAATCTTCTTGCCGTTCTTGAAACGCTCGATCATGTCGTCGACGAATTCTTGTGTCATTTCGTCTCCCAGCTTGACACCATCGTAGTCGGGCTCGACAACCATGGAGTCCAGGTCGAGGCCTTCGGCAGCAGAGGGCTCATCTTGCAATTCGATAGCGGCGAAGAAGTTGAGCTGGCGCACAATCTTCTGGCACTCGGCAAGCTTAACCTTGGCATCTTTGTTGCTGGGGTCGAGCCTGACGCACTCCTTGAAATCCGGGAGCGCATCCTTTGGCTTCAAGATGGCGGCGTAGGCAACGGCGCGGCGAAAGTAAGCCTGTGGGGGTCGACTGGTGTCAGTGAATAGGTAACCAAGGCTTTGCGCCGGCTTGCGGCACTGGGTGTAGTTGACCAACTGACCTTGACGAGCTTGGGGTTGAGCTCTATCGCCTTCGTTGCATCTGCAATGGCATAACCGTATGCTTCCGACTTGATGTTGGCCTATGATACCTTGTGTCAGTCACGCGAGCACTGTATGTTTGGTGGGTGGCGGGGTCGAGGCTCGCGACGGGCGACGGGCGACGAACCTGGGCTCTGTTCAAGTAAAAGGTCGGCTCCTTGTCATTCAGTTCAATGGCCTTAGTGTAGAGCTCAATGGCCTTGGGCCAGTCGTGCGAAGAAAAGGCCTTGTTTCCTTCATTCTTGAAAGCGACAGCCTGCTCGGTGGGGGATGCCATGTTGGGAGGTTTGCTGGGCAAAGGGTTGGTATAGCTGAAGATAAGCAGGCTGAGCTCGGACGAATCTAGTCAATTTCAATGACTATATTTTCCAGTGTCGCAATGAGCATCAAATAGTGCTGTTGACGGTCTTGTCTTGCACTCCCAGCACCTGATTTGCTGTCGAGAAGGTTGTGGCGACACGCAGAATCGAGACGAGATCGAAGAATGGAAACCCCAAGGCCGAATATTCCAGGCTCTGGAAACTTACCTCCGAACGCGGTTCGTGGGGACTCGGCTAGTAGACAAAATGCTTGTTGGCGGGCGCTCGGTGCCTTAACAGGCCCCCATGAATGGACTTTATCTGAAAATAAAACGCTATGAGCCGAGATCTAGCCGTCTTTGGTCTAGCTTATCTGACTTTAGCGCAACCTCTCCGTCCCTGCGTCGCTGCCGTTCCGTCTCGACCATTTTAATGGCGGGGCATTTTTTTTGTTTATCAATTTGAAGGTTCGCCATGTCTCTCATAGGACCAAAGAACAACTTGTGTGTGTATCTAGCAATGCGACTTTTACTGTAACCTTGCAGCCAGCATTCATAAAGTCTCGCACAGTTTCTTTTCTCTGGCCCCTTTACGGATCACAAAGAGTTTCCACCTAGGGAGGGGGGCATCATGTCAGAAGAGCTCAGGGACGAAGTCGAGGCCATCAACTCCATTTACGGCGATGGGTGCTTAGTCCAGGCCAGCGACGATCCAAGCGTTTACATCTTGACGCCACCAGAGGAATCGTCTTCTCTTCGTATTCAATTCCCGCCTGCGTATCCCGCCGAACCCCCAAGTGTCATTGGTACTAACAGTACTGGAGAACATGGCAGGCGTGGTGATGCTGCGAGGGAATTGTCTCTTTTTCGTGAAGTCATTGGCTCTGTGTATGAACCTGGTATGGTCTGTCTGTTTGATGCCATTGAGGAACTAAAGCGACGCTTGGAAGAATCCGTCGTCCCAGAAGAAGCTGAGGAGGAGGAGACATTTGAGGCCTATGCTGAAGAAGCAGCCGAAGATGCTCAACCCACCCAGGACCTGCTCAACATGCCGGAACCGCCCTGGATTCTTTCGGACCCTTTTGTCGAGCTCAGATCAACATTTCTGGCCCGTTGTGCTCCCGTTACATCAGTGACACAAGCAGAAGGATACGTCCAGCACCTACTTGCCACAGACAAGAAAGCTCGCGTTGCGACTCATAACATGACTGCTTGGCGCATTAAAGGACCAAATGGCACCACTTTTCAAGATTGCGACGATGATGGAGAAACAGCTGCTGGCAGTCGATTATTGCATCTTATGCAGCTTATGGATCTCTGGGATGTAATGGTAATCGTCTCTCGGTGGTATGGAGGTCACAAACTGGGACCACGCCGATTTGCTCTCATCAACCAGGCTGCAAGAGATGCTTTCGTTAAAGCTGGACTCGTGACAGAGCAACAATCCAGCAAGAAGAAAGGTTCCGCCAAATGAGCTTTCCCCCCCAACATTTCAACCGGCTTGCGGCCTAGTATACCAAAGTTGCACCCCACGGAGAGTATAGAGACCAGGGAGTCATCTCTACTCCAAGTTACCCCACATTCGTCCTTCCCGACAATATGGGAGCAAATCACTTTTCAAGCCTCGGTTCTCCAAGGATACCAAACAACTGCCCCGCGGTTATGCAGATCCGCCGCGCGAACTCTTAATGAACATTTCCTTTGCTGCTCACGTTTGAACGACAATTGATCTTCGTTCATTCCCGCAACCTTGAAAATTCGTAGTCTCAATTCAAGACCAGCCTGCAAATAACCCCGGTATTAGCGGAAAACATGGTTGGACCACCACCGCTTAAAGGACTAAAAGTCCTGGAGTTTGCCGGACTCGCCCCAGGTCAGTATAGAGTTCGAATTTGATCTGGAAAAATAGTATACTCATTATTATCAAGGCCCGTTCGCCGGTCTTCTGCTCGCAGATGCCGGGGCCAATGTGCTTCGCATTGACCGTGCAATTCCGGGAAAAACGCATACCCCCGGCGCGAAACTACCACCTACTGAGGACATGCTGGTGCGGAACAAATCCTCTATAGCCGTTGACTTGAAGTCTGCCCACGGCATCAGTCTGATCAAGGAGCTCGCCAAATCCGCGGATATCATCATTGATCCATTCCGGCCGGGCGTCCTAGAAAAACTCGGACTCGGGCCCGACGTGCTCGCGGCCATCAACCCCAGGATTATATACGGGCGCATGACCGGCTTCCGCCGTGACGGGAAATACGCAGCCATGGCTGGCCATGATATCAACTACTTGGCCGTCTCTGGTGTCCTTTCCGTGCTCGGCCGCGACGATGAGAAGCCGCATGCGCCTTGGAATATTCTGGCGGATTTCGCTGGCGGTGGCGCAATGCTCTTTCAAGGTATCCTGCTCGCCGTCATTGCACGTCTGTCGTCGGGCAAAGGCCAAGTGGTTGAGGCAAACATGGTCGATGGGGCCTCGTACCTAACTACATTCCCGCGTCAGGCCCTCAAGACGCCCCTTGGCAACGCGGGCCGTGGCAAGAATGTTTTAGACGGCGGGTGTCCATACTACGATACTTATGAGACCAAGGATGGCAAATACATGGCTGTTGGCGCGCTGGAGCCGCAATTTTACGCCGTCTTGATCAAGGGCCTCGGCCTCGACAAGAGCTGGAACCAGAGGCGGTACGACCGCGCCGTATGGCCCGAGATGAAGCAACAATTCGAGGCCACCTTCAAATCCAAGACACGAGCCGAGTGGGAAGGTATCTTTGACGGCACCGACGCCTGCTGCACGCCCGTGCTGGAGTATCCGGAACTTGAATCCCAGCCGGGTCGCGAGGGTGATCAGCGACCACCCGTCGGACTCAGGGATACGCCCATGTTGGCCGTGACCCAAGGAGTGACGGACCCCAGCGCGCAGGGTCAGGGTCTCGGCGCCCCAGGCAACGGGTACGAGGGTCATCCGCTCAGTCCTGGTCAAGGCGGCGAGGAAGCACTGCAGAAATGGTTTGGCTGGAGCAGAGGGAAGGATTTCGAGGTTGAAGGGGGCGGTCTTATTCTTAAGAGCAAATCTAGACTATGACATAGCAGGGTAGAGTTTTGACAAGTGGGTATGATTAAATCAACACTTTTAATATACCCGGGCATAATGTTGGTGTCAGGTTCCAGGATGCCGCGTACGAGCTACATCTATAATCTGTGCAGGCTTCGTAGAACCGTACACCGAGCATTACATGGTTGTTATGGAATATGAAAAGGAACAGAAGAAGGCCGGCTAGCAAGTTGATTCGTGATCGTGCGATTTATTCATCTGCAACACATCTGCGAGTTCAGTCATAGTAGTGATTTCGTAGTCGCCACGGCACACCGACCGAGCGCTATACTTGCTGTCGTAACACTATCTGAAATATGCCAGCACAATGCTTATGGCTTTCGGCTTCTCAGAGAAAAAAACTCCACCCAATCTCCAAACGCCATCCATGCCAGTCATCCATGCCGTGAGGTATCATTCATTTCGAGTCTAATAAGCAAAAGAAGAGATTCGGTAAACGGTTCGAGTGTTGGTTGAGAACTGGCAATCCTGCAAGGTTTCTCCCAGCTCTTCCTATGAGCTCGCTCCCCCATGATTTGCAGGTGGGATACGAGAGATTAATCATATGAGCAGAGACTTTTTGATCGGCTGAGGAACCGGGCGACCATTGATCGCCGAGCTTTTCCCAGTGTTGGCTTTGCGGATCTTGTCCAGCAGGTGACTGTGAGCAAATGTTAGAAACTCCCGGGCACCGAAATGAGTTAAAGTCATGTCGCTTGAATAGGGACACTCCTGCGAGCCCATTGCGTTCCCCAGTCGTACAAAAGGAGAACAAATGCCAGTGTAGTCAAGAAGGGCGCATGGAGTTGCTCTTGCCACTAGGCCGCGTGGGGACTGGGTGATAATGAACTTTAATGAAATAGGATGGGGGGAAATAGGCATACTTGATCGGTAGATGACCTCGACTTTCCTGCATGGCCAAATTGACCTTACTGAGTTCTCTTTCCTTCATCTCATCGCTAGCCTCTCTTTGGTGTTCGTCGTAATGTTGAGAAATGAGCTCCTGGCCCTCTGCATCTTCAGCGCTTCGGACAATGTAGTCGCAATCAGGCTCCTCGCATATCCATGTGTGATTAGGGCCCGTGGGATCTATTGAGGGTAGAGGCTCAGCCTGAATGATGACACGGGTAAGTGGTTCTCGGGCTGAGTCGCTTTGGTCTTCATCATCCGAAGAATTCGCATCGTCCTCTCCATTTGCGAAGAATTGAGATGTTTTGGCCGTCTTCTTCTGCGGCAGTACCAGATCGTCCATGTCCGTATCATCCTCATCAAACTCCTGGCTTCTAGGCCGTTTCTTTCCACCCAACGAAGGACGCAGACCGGCTGCCTTGCCGCTTGGGCGACCTCTTGGCGGTCGTTTACCGCCAGTCTCAATAGGCGTGCTTTTGACAGGTTGTGGTGCCTTTGCGGCGGGCTTCTTTTGCCGCTTTCGAATGCGCAAAATCTGCTCCTCCGAGATGTGGTCGTATTTTGGCTTTCTACGTCCATTCTGCTTACACCATTTATAGAGCTCACTCTCGTGCCACTCTGGACCGAGGTGGTTGACCAAGTCAGCAGCATGATATTGCAAAACTTCAGCCTTGGCCGCGTAATCCGAGATGCTCAGAGAAGTATAGATTTTGGTCTGCCAGTTGGCGGGAGTCATTGAATTTGGATGTTTCTTTTGCTTGCCACCAGATTCCCAGGCTGCGAGATAACTGTGCCAAACCTCGTCTAGTACCTCGAGAAGTGCATTCAAAGCAGTGTCTTGTGGTTCACTAGTAGATACAGTGGCCTCACTCTTTGCCCGTGCTGGAAGCGTTATTGACTTGTGACCAAAGTCATGCTGGTCGACTTCCATCAGCTCGGGTACTTCGTCAACGGGTTCTGGGGGCGTTTGGTGGGCCTTGGATGAACGAATACGTGCTCCACGAGGCTCTTCGCTTCCCGAGTCAACAGGTTCGCTCCTGCTTGCTGTACCAGCTCTTGTCCTTCTCGGAGCAGAGTCTCTTGAAACAGCTTTCGGGTTACCTCGGGAGCCACGGATATCTGCAGAGCTTGATTTTTGCCGAATGGAGGCTGGCTTTGGTGCCGGTACCTCTGGTGCTGTAAATGTGATGTTTGCAGATGGACTGGGCTTCCTCCTCAATCTTTGCGTAATGTCCTAGTAAGGTCAGCTCAATGTCCACCATTTAACACATTGTCAAGCGGTTGTGCTTACAGGGAACTCGCCGCTCAGCCAAGTGTGAAAACCCGTCCCCTTGGGAAACTGAGCAAGTAGGAAGCCGGCTTGATCTCTACATCTCTGGGTCACTTCCTCCAATGTGGATCCGTCGCCGACGGCAGCAGCATATTTGTAAAGCACATCTTCGAGAGGTAGCTTCACATCTGACAGTCGGAACGTACGCCTCTTTAGCTTGGGATCCTTTTGCGCCTGCTCTTGCATGTCTTCTAGCTCAGCCTCGTATAAATCCAGTACGCTGTAGTGCATAACGATGCCCTGAAACATGATGTTGGCAATGGGCGCATATCGTTCGGATGGGATGATCTCGAAATGGGCACATTGGCCGGCAGCCCAAAGGACAGGCGTTCCTGAATCTTCCTTGAGACCGATTGAGTAGGTGTATGTCCTAGATATTTCGACCCAAATGGATCGAGTTCTTTGGAAGCCTCTGTTCACTGTGGCGCACATGGTGAGCTTGCTATTTTCGCAACCCAGGCCAACAAGACTTACAGTTGCTGCCTTGATCCGGTTCAACAACCATGATGCCGCGAATCATGAACGGCCCCTCGAGATCAACCTCGAGCAAATTGGCCATATGCCCATCCTTGTTGTACACAGCCGCTTCTGTTAACAAGAAACATGGCCAATCATTCGGTTGCGTGCCAGCAGCAGGAGGTCGCACGATCTGGTTTTCTGTTATATATTTGATTGATTGCTCATCAACGGTTGCGACTGTGGATGTCGAGCCTGAGCGAAGGCGTCGTCGTCCGGCCATGGTTTTGCGGGGCGTCGGGAAGGCGTAGGGCCTTATTCATGTATGGCGAGTTGCAAGTGGGAGGTGTTGGAAGTTGAAGACTGGCGGGCAAGTTGAAAGAGGTGCGATTTGTTGATCGATGCCGTAATGGTGTAACGGTCTAAAGCGCGTGGATTCTGGCGTTCATGAAGGCCTGGGCATCTTCATTTCCATTGTCCAGTGGAATCAAGGTTATATGTACGGAGTATGTAAGTGGGAGCTATCGGTTGGTTTGTCGCGTAGAAGCTGGTTCGGCTTTACGCGACAAACACGGACAGGTCGATTGGCGGGGCAGTTGCGGGAGGAAGTCGAGTCGAGGTGATGAGCAAAGTAGACGGTACAAGTTGATTTGCTGCGTTTGTATGCACGACTAGGGATTGTTCCAGTAGCTCTACTTTATCAATCAGGGTGGTGCTAGGTGCAGCACAAGCTTCAATATTTCCAGCAGTTTAACACTTCCTTGTACCTTAGAGGATCCACGCCCCGCAAAGCTTCTAGCGGCTCGGATCCTAATTTTTTTTTTCTGAGTCGCGAAAAGTTCGAATAAGTTTTCCCTCTTCGCGCGTCGCATTCAGTTGCGTCTCAACAATTTTCTGTGTAATACTTGGACATTCGACATACCCGTGTTATCGCAGACGGCGTCACTTGAATCACTTCTTGCAGTGCGATCACTGCGCCTAGTCCGTTCATATTAGTTGCGCCGCGGATGAAAGCATTTAGACTCTTCAAAATGGCGGCATCAAAGCCCGTCCTCGATGGTTTATTTGGTAAGACGAACCCCGGCTTTGGCGCAAGCAAGCAGCACTGACAAAAATACAGCCGTCAACAAGCCTACAGGCATGAGTTCCGCACAGGTCATCCGAGACTGCCAAGAGCAATTCAATCCTTCTACGTTCTTCAAGCCCATGATCGACGAGCAGAGAGCCCAGAGAGGTCAAGAATCAAACACCAAGAAGCGGCGGCGCGGTTATGGCAAGAACGACATCAGAGTCAAGATGGGTCATGGCGGCACTCTGGATCCTCTCGCCACGGGTGTGCTCATTCTCGGACTTGGCAAGGGCACCAAGTCGTTGCAATCATTCCTAGACTGTACCAAGACCTACGAGACGGTCGTTCTTTTTGGCGCCAGCACGGATACCTATGACAGAGTCGGCAAGATTCTCAAGAAGACGTCATACGACCACATTACAAAGCCAATGGTTGAGGAAGCACTGAACGGCTTCCGCGGTAAACTGCAGCAAATGCCGCCGCTTTACTCGGCCCTCAAGATGGAGGGAAAGCCGCTTTACGAATACGCCCGTGAGGGCAAGCCGATCCCGCGCGAGATTGCCACTAGAGAAGTCACGGTAACTGACTTGGAGTTGGTGGAATACTACGAGCCGGGCACCCATGACCACCGATGGCCCGCTGAAGACGCCACGCAATTCGAGAAGAGCTTTGCTGAGCAGGTCTGGAAGATTGAAAAGGACCAAATGACAAAAGAGAAGCGCACTCCCGAAGAAGAGGAGGAAGAAAAGGCGGCGCTGGAGCGCTATGAGCGAGTAAAGCAAAAGGCCGATGAGAGGGTTGACGAACTGGTGTATGACAAGAACAACAAGCGTCACAAAAAGGACAAGAGCCCACCCATGATGATGTCGGGAGCTCTGGGCGACCACCCTCCGGAGAAGAAGCAAGGCAAGGGATCGAACCTGCTCCCGCCTCCGCATGATCCCAACACGCCACCTCCGTGGACCGACAAGGGTCCTCCTGCAGCACGCATTCGCATGACTGTGACCTCGGGCTTCTACGTGAGAAGTTTCTGTCACGACCTGGGAGCCAAGATTGGCTCGAGCGCCATGATGGCCGAACTGTCGAGATCGCGGCAAGGTGACTTTAAGCTGGGCACGGAGAACTGCCTCGAGTACCATGATATCATGAAGGGCGAAGAGGTCTGGGCTCCCCAGGTCGAGGCTGCCCTCATGCAATGGCACGAAAAGTCCAAACCCGGCGCTGCACAGGCACCAAAGAGAGCAGAGCCTGTGACTTCGCCCAAGCTCAAGTCCATTGAGAGCCCGCCAGCCAAGCGCAAGGCCTCCGAGGAGCCTGCGAGCGAGGAGGTCGCACCAAAGAGGAAGAAGTCCAAGTCTGCCTCTCCTCAGCCGCGAAAGAAGACCGAAAAGGACACTGAAGAAGAGTGGAAGGGGTTCGATGACCCCGCAGTTCCGCAACAGGATGGCGCCAAGGCATGATTTAATATATCAGAGCGACATTGAAGTGAAAATGAGATTATTTACAGAAAAAGATGGCGAAGCCGGACCATTTGGTTGGCGTATAAAGATGTTATTGCATAAGCTTGGCGTTGGTAGCGTTTGTCTGGAGTCCCAGGTTGGGAACAAATAGACATCAGATGTGCACTTTTGACATGATTTCATGGTAGATTAATTATCGGGTATCAACTCGAAACTTGAGTTTTCCTTATTATGCATTATGTGACACTGTCCTCATGACTGGTAGCATGATGGGACTTAGACGTGCTAAAAATTTATACAACGTAGATGGCGGATAATCAATCATCAACGCCACGAGGTATCATTACAAGATCAATAGTCATCAAGCAACTTTTTCACTAGGCAACAGATTCCTTTTTTAGAACTTGCCCAGAAGCAAGTTGCCAATCATCTCGCGGCCAGTAACGTAGCTCGTCCTCCAGAGGGTAGGGAAGTCAAGGGTGGAAGACAGGCCATCGGCCAGGCCAAAGAAGAGCATGGGCGGGATCCAGCCACGGGCGTACTCGAGGGCAAAGCAGCCCTCGGGCATCTTGTACTGCTTGACGGTGCCGCGGACGAGGTGGTGCATCGACCCGGCCGGGTAGATCTCGGGGTCGTACTCGCCGGGCGTGTAGGCCCACTGCTCACCCGTCAGGATGTGGAAGTAGTCATCAGCCGTGTGGCGGCCAGTGTGACCCTCGGTACCAATGGCAGTGCCAAAGATGATCAAATACTCTGTAATACCTAGATTTGTCGCATGTCAGTGACTTGAGGTTCTATAGTCGGATAAAAAAGCTGACGGCAAGTGACAAAAAGGCATTTGTGTGCTCTAGGATCAGAAGGAAGGCAACGGAGATATCAACATAATATTGTTTGCGCAATTCAGTTGACAATTGTTTTAACATCCGAAAGTGTTTCGTCATATAAGAGAGCAACACAAGCAGAAAGACAACTTGAGAGATGAGAAGAAGAAGAAAAAGCTTACTGGCATGGATAATGTACATGGCACCCATGGCACCACCGGCATTGTTGAAAATGTACTCTACATCCAAGTTGACATTGTTGGGGTACTTTTCATGCAGCTCCGTGGTGATGTAGCTGACAATGCTCCGCGTGTCGTTGCCATGGGCCGCGATTCCGCGCTTGGCCAGGTCGTGAAGGTGCTCCTTGTCAAAGATGTAGAAGGACTCGAGGTTCTGCTCCAAGAGGTAGACGACGGGCGTCAAGACACCAATGAGGATGGCAATCCAGGTCAGAAGCCGCGTGGAAGCCATTGCGCCTGCGGGATAAAACCTAGAAAACAAACAAAAAAACGTGAAAAAGGCAAAAAATAGGTGTGTAGTGGAGAAGTGCAGGACAAACTTTTGAAAGGGCCCGGAAACAATTGACTTTTTGAACGCCGTCGCGAAAAAGAGATTGAGGGTTGACGATAGGGGTCCTCTTCCGGCAATATCAATACATGATGCTCTAGTATGGCAGGCGGTCAGCAAATTCCCAGCAAATTCCCGTGCCCGGGTCTCCGTCTTCCGGCTCTTACGATCATAACCATTTGCCAAGGGACCAAACAGCTCACCAAGGCTCTAAAAGCTTACCTGCATCTGCCCCGCGGGATCCGTGGGATGGACTGGAGTGGAGACGTCGTCGGTGTTGAAGCAGCTCGAACCACCGATGCTTTTTGCGATTTTAGCGTCTGGCAAGCTCAAATGATTAGCTTTTAGCTGCAGCTATCAAACCAAAGGGAGAAAAATAGAGGGCCAAAAAAAAAAAAAAAAAAAGGTTCCCGTCAAATCGTCTCGAAGACGCACTTTGCAACCATCGCAGCTGTCGACGTCTGCCGTTACGAACAACCAATCTCAACAGACAAGCATCAGCGACAGCGATCATGGCACAAACGATCGCAGTTCCAGGTCAACTTCTCGGGCCCGCAAACAAGTACATAGCTGGCGCCGGCACCCACATTCAGGACTCAAATCTGTATGCGTCGCTCCTAGGCACAGTCGCCATTGAGGAGCCCGAGAAGGCGCCCGGCCCCGCCAAACGCCTGACCAAGATCGAGGCCCTTCAGACTCCTGCTACCCTTCCCACGATATCAGTCTCGCGCTCCGGCATCTCTGAGAAACGTGAGGTGCTGCCCGAAGTTGGGAACATTGTGCTGTGCCGTGTGACACGGATACAGCCCCGTCAAGCGACTGTCGCAATTCTGGTCGTGGGCGAGACTGTGCTCGAGGCCGAGTGGCAAGGCGTCATTCGCTCGCAGGATGTCAGGGCTACAGAGAAGGACAAGGTCAAGATATACGAGAGCTTCAGACCGGGTGATATCGTAAGAGCGCAGGTGGTGAGTAGCTCGTATTCCTGAAAAGGCCTGACTGTTGGCCCTTTTTCGTGATTCTAGCTAACGCGGTTTGATCGCAGATTTCTTTGGGTGACCAAGCCAACTATTATCTTTCAACTGCGAGCAACGAGCTCGGCGTCATCATGGCCACGAGCGAAGCGGGTAACTCCATGTTCCCAGTCAGCTGGAAAGAGTATAGAGACGCCGAGACGGGACTCAGCGAAAGCCGCAAGGTTGCAAAGCCATTTTGAACAGATATGGCCCTCTACCCACACCAAATCCATGATACCATTGACGAACCTTGAAGCGCTTCTGCAATAAGCTGTACTTCTCCATGGAAAAGCAGCTCCGCCACCTTACAATGGCCACGAAGAAGGTATACCATCCAGCTGCAGGCAAACGTCAGGGAACCACATACTCGTCAATTCGTATTCCCAATAGCCTGAGACGAAATGCCATTTTAATGAAATGGCCGAGTACCTAATGTTCCTGGTCTTCTAGACAGGCTGATGAGAGCTCAGCGCCTTACGAGCGCACGGTCCATAAGCCTATAATGACGTAGAAACTGATCTGCACCAAACAACATTAGTGGTACGCAATTATGGGTCTCTGGAGAGGAATATGAAATTCGTTTTCATAAAACAGTCGACTTGAGCCGTTTAGCGTTTCAAGTGAGGAGAGATTCGCGCAACTTGAAGAAGCAAGTTGGAGAATAGTCCAATACTAAAGATATGTAGAAGAGAAAACCACTCAAGGTTGCAAGGTATCCCGAAGCAATTAAGGAATAAATGCGAACACTAAAGCTAAAATAAACTGGGTCAAATGGATAAGTTTCAGCTTCCCGTGTGCGTAGAGTATTGGCCATGTCTTTGGCAAATACGCATTGAATTTCCTCACAAATTGCCAACTTGTCCTTTCTCTCCGTCTGTTTTCGACGAAGCTGTCTGTCATTGAGAAGCAATTGTAACCTTTTCCCGAAGAGGTGACACGAGTCTTCTCAGCACGGTTGACTATATATTTCGTAGTAAGCGTCTGGGATAAAACGGACAATACTGCTGCTGCGTACATGTGACAGGGGTGGTCAAGGATGCCGTGCCTGTGCTACCCGTAAAGCCTTGACAAGCATTGATGGATACATTGAATGAACCATGATGAATCTTGACGTGCTGATGATTCTGCAAGTTGAAACTACTTTATCAAGGTAGAAGGTCAAGTACGTTAATGCAACTCGTCAACGTTATTGAAACTTCACGATGGAGGCCCTTGAACAAATGAAAGCCAAGCCCACTCTTATTTTTAGGTAACTGGGAAATTTGATCATTGAAAGCCCACCTGCTCTTTTTTGGTACCACGGCCAGCTCAGAAATCATGGGGGCCCCCCGGCACTTGTGCCCTGAATTCAACGGTTTACCTACCACCCTGGGACAAGAGAGGCTATGTCAAATCCGCGGCCTTTTTTCTTGCTACTACATTACTCATTGTCTTCATTCCAAGGGTCCTGCTATTTCAAGCTACGTACTTTGTACTCTTACTCCCCTTCAGCGTGGCGGGGGGCGCATCAATGTCCAACAACGTCCACTGCTTCAACAACACGAGGCGCAGCTAATGTATTCCTAGCTGTCCTTGGAGGCGCGGCACGGCGTCTTTTCCCTCTTCCAGTTCAGGCTTCCAATTGATTGATGGTTGGCGGCTGTTCCCAATCCAGTCAACAAGAAGGTTGGAGAGTCTTGGACACGAAAAAAGGGCGGATTTTGGGTTGGATTTTAGACTCCAATGCCCAACCTTTTTTCTTTCTTGATCCTAATTCAGTTTTTTTTCTTTGTTGGCTGTCGCCTTGCCTCTTTGGTGTCCGGTTCAACTTTGATTTTCATTAGACCTCCTTCCTTTTGGTTTTGCTCATTTACTCATTCACGACGATACGATTTGCATACCCAGTAATTTGTTCTCCCACGGCGAGCGAACCGGATTGGATTCTTGGGATAAAGGGAAACATTGCAAGGACTACTCACCACTCGAAATACTGCTCGCGTGGCCACAGTATATACCGTCACTACTACTTACGAGAGCGGAACTCCGGGTGTCACCATTACTCCGAGCACCAAGAACACCTACTGAATCATACCATATACATAATAATACGTCAAAGCGAAAGGCAAAAGGAAGCGATACTCGAAAAAAAAAAAGTACTATAACTACTATATCCTACCAAATGGCACTCGGCCTTCCTGTCACCTCCAGAATGACCGTGAGCCAATCGCCAAAGAAACAACCACCAACCATGGCGGCGGCACCCTGCTGCCCGAACTGCGGGACCTCGTTGGATTCGTCCGAGGTGTCCTCAAACTCGTCCGACCCAACTGCGGCCCTGCTCGCTGCCCAGAAACAGATTGCCGACTTACAGGCGCAGGTTCGGCTGCTGAACCAAAAGGCCGCCGCGGCCGTCGACCGCTGGGCCGACTACGAAGACGAGCTGACCCGGCTGCGCGCCGCCTCGTCGGCCACCAACACGACCGTCACCACGACGACCACGACCGGGGCCTTGTCGGCAACCACGTCGTCGTCGCAATACCCGCCCAGATCGCATACGCCGTCCCAGTCGCAAGGCGCCCTCTCGACCGCCTCGGCCACGAGCCCGCGCGCCAGCTTCCTCAATGCTGGCGCGAGCCGCATCTCGGCGCTCCTGAGCCCACGCAGCAAGGCGGCGGCGGCGGCGCAGCAGCAGCAGCAGAACCTGAACTCGACGGCCGGGGGACCGCGGGCGTCGCTCAGCACGGGCGCGCTCCCGCTCATGAGCCCCAAATCCGGTCTCCCGAGCCCGGCGCCCAGCACCGACGACTTGTTGGAAGCGCTGTCGCGAGAGCAAGGGCTGCGCCTGGCCGCCGAGGGCAAGCTGGATGAAACGTCCAAAGAGGTGGAAGAATTGTCGGCGACCTTGTTCGAGCAAGCCAACGAGATGGTCGCTACCGAGCGCAAAGCTCGGGCACGTCTCGAGGAGCGCGTGGAGGTACTGGAGAAGCGAGACGAAGAGAAAAGGAATCGGCTCGAGAGGCTCGAGGGCGCCATGGGCCGAATAGAGAGAGTGAATCGACTGCTCAAGGACTAAAGATGAGAAATAAATGGGGGGGCCGGATTCGAACGACCGGGCCGGGCCCAGAACGAATTAAATGAAGGGACGATTGAAATCGGCATATATCAAAGGCCGAGGACAGGCACTGAAGAGGAGGGTAGCGCAAAATTTGTTCTCGCCGGCAGCAAATGTTCAGTGTCCTGGACAAACGAGGGAGGGCGTCGACATTGATTTCGAACGAATGTCCATCTACGGTCCAGCGACAGCAGCCTCACGTGTGCCTTGATCACCAATACGAGCAACAGCGGATTTGATTGGGAACACCCCAGAGACATCAGATCGAGTCCCAGATCACGCAAGACGTTGTGTCTCTGCGGTTTATACTGATGTGAAACTATTTGGAAAATAGTGCATTGAGAAAGTGCATCGTGGACACCGCACAGAGTCGTCCTCTGGGTGCAACAAAGAAATGACTTTGGTGTTTCCACGTATAGATGAGCTGGAAACAAAATCCTGTAATCCAGATGGAGAAACGGGCTTGAGTCAAGCCTTTAATGAAGCCAATATCCTGTGGCTTTGGATGCATGAAGTGGTACATACTACACGGACAAGATGGCGCCTTTGAAATGTCCGCTTCTTTCCACATGTAGATGTTGCAAATATCTAGCAACGTCTTTGATGTTTTTGCAGAGGTCAAGATTGTTGTTATTGCAGGATACCCATAGCTTATTCCTAAAGGAAAGCGCCAGACGAACAGTTACACAATGTATAGGCGCACACTTATTGATATAAAACAAGAAAAATTCCAACATGCAAGTTTAATATACTTATAAATGCTCCTGTGACACAAGCAGCGAGTATAGGACTCTTGAGAAAACATCTCTAAGTTGATAAACAGGATTCACTATATCGTCATGGGAGTCCAGTTCAGTCTCATTTATTTCATTGTTACAATAAGGCCGTACAGCACAATGCCTCGAGAGGTGGTGTACAGAGTCTATCACAATGACCACCTAATTGGTACCTTTTGCTAGATATCAATTGACTCGTATCAACTTTTGCTTTTCGTGATTGCCTGAACGCCTTTTCAAGTCAGGAGTAGCTCTAGATGCTAGACACAACTCGCCCCGATTCCAGGCCTATATCCAGCCCGACACATCGCCAGCAACGCTCGTGTGGTGCGTTGCGTACAGATCAAGCTGCTCAGTTGCAGCCGTGCGCTTCGATATTCGATGTTTGGTATTTGCATTCATTCGCATAATTTGGAGACATTCGCTTTGCTCACCTTCCGTCAACATTGTCGACTCAGATAATCGACCTTGTTTGAGATCCTACTACAGTATTTGGAGGATCTTTTGGGTTGAGGCCTTGTGCAGCACAGCGAACCGCGTCGGAACGACTTGTTCCTCTATAGAAACGACGGAGGGTCCCAGATAGCTTAACGCCGGGCTTGAAGATACTCGGCCGCTCGTGCCCATACTTTTTGATCAATCGATGCCTGGCTGTCGCCGAGCGTCTTGATACCGGCATGCAGGGCATCAAAGAATGCGAAAGACACTTGCAAGTCTTTGAAGAAATTCGTGGCAAAGGGCACATACTTCGAAGGAAACTCATCCAGTTTCTTCTGCCTGAGGTCTGCCGACTCCGACGGGTGGACATCGTCGAGATATGTCTTGACAGCAATGCCAAGACCTACATCGTTGTCCATCAGGAATGGAAGCCTAAATTCAGAATGAGTCTTGTGTCCCTTTTCGTTTCTTTGATTCTGGGTTACAACTTACCGTTGGCTGATCTCCAAGTAATCTTCACGCTCCTTCTGACTCTCCGCATAGAGCAACATTGACGTCACGATGCCTTCGATCAGGTCACGGTTTGCTTCTCGGATCGAGGAACTCAATGTTCGATAGTGCAAAAAGTTCTTGCTCAGCGGGCCAGTGTAGCCATTAGCCTCGTGGTGCAACTTCAGCAGGATTGCGCATCTACTGATCAAAAGTAGACTTGCTTTGTCCTCCTCGCTACCGTTCATTGGGAGCCCATTAAGCTCCGAATGCTGGTTGCGCGTGTTGAGCAGTTCGTAACGCAAGAGCTCAAATGCCAGAAGAACCGAGTCGGCAAGGCCGTCGTCGGGATTTTCCTTGATGGTTGGTGCCAAGGCGTCCAAAGACGCTACCAGAGCCTCACCCCAGGCAGTGAGCTGATGGTCATCGTCTACATAGCCACGAATGTGTAGAAAACGCCAGATAGTCAATGACGTAATCAAGTCTGCAGACTCGATGCTTGCCTTCTTCTCCTTGGCCACTGTATCCTTGATAAAGTTGTCATTCTTGAGGGCATTGAGCTCAAATCGAATAGAGCCATGCTCCGCGTCCGGGAAAGACTGCTTGATAGTGGCATCATTGACACTCCAGGTTTTCACTTGATCCAGGATACGATTGCTCACGCTGCGAGTCGGCTCGATCGTGTGAGAGTATTTGTCATTGTACCAGACCTTCATGAAGATTGGCTTAAACGAGATTCCTCTGTTCAAACGCGGGAGCACGAGGCGCAATGTCTGCTCTCGCACATGAATGAGTTGTGTCGTGACTAGCTTCTTATACTCTTCAGACGTTACTCCATCCAATGTAGGAGGAATCATAATTTGGCCGTGCGTGATCCAGCCTGGCAAACGAGCGCTAATCAAGCCAGTGTTGAGATAGTGAAAGAGCTCGGCGGGCAATTGATAGCCGAGATATTCGTAATTGTCCTGAGTGAGCGTATCGAAGTTGTGTACCCGGACGGAACCGTTTTCGTCGATGGCAATGAAATGCTCAATCATCATTCGAGCTTTGCGATACTTGGTCAGCCAAGTCGGGTCTGTTCTCTTGAGAACATCATTGAAAGATCCGCAGAGATTAGCGACTGATTTCTCAGCCGTGCGTAGCATGTTGGCAGCATCGTTGACACTGTACAGTGCGCTGATCTCGAGTAGTGGGGGAAATGGGGGAAGGAATGAGTTGCCAATCATCAACAGCGCATCGATGAGCATAGACTCGCTGCAGCTGAGTCTCTGAGTCAACAGTTTCTTTGAGGTGAGCTTGACTGAGCCAGCCTCCCAGTCGATAGACTTGATGATGTAGTCCTTGATCGGGTACAGTAGCAGTTCTTGCGAACCCAGGATACCTGAGCACTGTTCCGAGTCGAACATATCAAAGTAGGCGAGCTGTAGCTGTGTCAGTCATACGTTCCTCACGGGGCAAACCCCAGACTACAAAAGATTGGCTGGGGGCATTTGTTTACCTGTGCCGAGGCATTGAAAGGCGGGACCAAGAAGTGCAGGCCCCTCTTCTTCAAGAGACGCTGCAGAAGTGGGAATAGATTCGAGATTGGGAATGCTCGTCTGTCTTGGCCAAAGGTCGATACAGCCTGGTTCGCTTCGCCCCTAAAGTACAGGTTCCAGGCCTCGTCTGTCTTGGCTATGGCGGTCTTTCCGCGCTGGACCGTCACTGCATCTTGGCCCTCGACCGGCTGACCATTGAAGATGAAGAAGGGCGTTGTATTGTTCTGTTTCCAAGAGTCAAGATCGGCCTCGATGTGTGTCTCAATACCAGTCAGTCCACCAAGTGCAGGCAGTAGGGGCTCGTGGGTCGGAGGAAAATCGAGAAACTGCTGGAGATAGTAGGATGCATCGACGGCAATGGAAGTATCTTCGAGCTGGGTTATCGGGGCGGTACTGTGTCCATCATTAGCTGTCATGCTATATAGTAGAACAGGTCCATGGGATACCTACAGGTTTTGATCATTGATCCAGTTATCCTCGAGAAGAGCTGTTGCAGATAATGTCAGTTAACGGCCCGAGACATATGACCAAAGAAAATATTGCGCCGTCCAAAATCCTTTCAGTGCTGGTCATGGCGAGGGGTGGGATCGTGTGTTCAGCTTCCGCCGTCGTGGGGAACTGGCAGACGGGAAGTATGTCGAGTGGTGGATCGGAATAGTTGCTGGTGCTCATTGATGACAACTCGTTGGGCTTCTTTGCCGTGATATTAAGCCATTGAAGCCCAACAGAGCTCCCGTGGCGAGATGCAGGTCTCATGAGTGACAGGCAGTGGATTCAACTGACGGTCACATGCAGCAAAGGAGTGGTTGCGAAAGAATAATGTTTTGACTTACAAGGCATTCTGGAATCAAGTATCCAGCTGACGCAAGCCGGGCCGTCAATCAAAGAAGTCAAAGGTCGAAAGGCCAAGAGAATGCCGGCAGGAATGCCAATTGTCCTTATGAAATTGCGCAGCTCAAATGTCCAGGACGGTTACAAACGGTGAGTGACCTGGAGCCGAATGGGGGGTGGGAGGAGCAGAGGTTAGGATGCCAGTTTGCCTAAGCACAAACGAGGCTGGAGCAGCAACGTTGGGACCGTTGATGGGTTGACAGGAAATCGCAACAATGGAAACGACAGAAGAGAGGTGCAGCTCTTGGGAAGCTTGCGGCGAAGTTGCAGTTGCGCCGCCAGAGGGGTGATTTGTGGTCTCTCGGATTCAACCCAGAATGCGGCAACTACCAGGGCGGGTTCACTACTGGCGATCGTAGACCCTTGGAGGTTTGGGTTAGTTAGGAGCAAGGCAAGCTGCGCTCTGGTCCGACTGGAGCTTCCCCCCGTTTCCAAATGGCGCTAAACAAACAGACCGGGGGGGCCGGTGCCTGGCGCAGCCACATTTGGGCGTTCCCTAAGGTGAGAGAGTGCAGGCACCGCCACATGCGCACTGCACTATTTTATTTGCATACCTAGCTTGCAGAACTGCCCACAAAGTCTACTAGTATCTACATTATATAGTCCAAGTCCAGAAAATGCAAATGGTCATGCAAAGGTAAATCAGGCACAGTCGTAGTTGTTAGGATTATTTTCCACTGATGTACTTTAGAACTGGACCCAGATAATTTGCCTGGCCATGTAGGTCAAAGCTATGCTGTAGACATCACGAGGCTTCGAAAAGTGTGCATGTGTGCAAGTGCATGGTATTATACCTACCACAGCGGCAATTATGCAAATGATTCTTTTTTAATCTCCTCTATCATCTAACATAATTCGTATTCATTATCATTACAATAAATCCAATTCCAGGCCAAATGACTAAACCGATTCCTCAGCGCTCAGACATGCCAGTCATTGGCGTGTCAAACATGCATTTGCGTCTTCCGGAAAGGCATTCCAATATCCATTACCGACATAAGCTTTGCATGCAACAATGGAGGTAGCACATTGGTGAGAACAATAAAAACGGATCAGTGAGCCTTGTCCTTAATCGCCTGGTAGTTGGGCTCGATGGACGGTTCGTCGGCCGGTGGTGATAGGCTCCTCTCCCACTCCTTGATGAAATCGGCTGAAAATCTTTTGATGTTGCTAGGCGCAAGAGTGTTGAGCAGGGAAGACGGCATCTCTCCAAGCTTGTCCTCCGAGTGAGGCGACGAAGATCGCAGATCGCTGCTGGAACGCTTCTTCCGCCTGTAGTATTGTTAGATCTAACATCTGAAAAGTTGTTGCTCAAGGAAGGATTGCATCTGGCTTTCATCCCCAAAACAACTGTCTTCACTTGAGCGATCTTTTAGAAAGACTTACAAGAAGGTTTCGGTGTCGTCATGTTTCTCGGGAATGGCGGGGATGATATCGCCATTGACAGTGCTGCCACTCCATCTCGCTGTCTTGATAGACGGTGAGTCCCAGCTGGACCAGTCATCATCTCCCAAATCGTCAGAGGTCAAGGGTGTCCATGAAAAATGCTTTCGGGCTTTGCTGTCAGACTTGGACTGCGTTCTCTGGTGCTGCGATATGCGATCTTGAAAACTACCCGGCGAAGGCTTTCTGGGCGTCTCTACTTGAACCTCGGCGTCGGGAGGGAATGGGACTCGACCTCGAACAGCGCTGGAAGGACGGATCGTATCCTGATCTGATGTGTACCTCCTGTTTGACCGGTTCTGGAAGTCGCTGGTCCTGTTTGAGGTGGCCGAGATTCCTTCATCACCCACAGTCGCTTGTCTCAAGTCTTCAACAAACGTCCACAGGCCTTGCCTAAAGTCCTCGGCAATCTGTTTCACTCCACCAGGCGGTGATGTTTGTCTGGGTGCCCATGTGGCACGCTTGTTTAATTGTGTAGGCGTAAAGTTTTCTACACTGCGCACAGCATCCGGGGATCTTAGCGCATCAAAGTCGTTATGAATGGGGAAGTCGTTTTCGGATTTGGTAGGCGAAAGTAGAGACAGAGTTCGCGTATGCCCGCCACGCATGACTCTTCTCTTATACTCCCGTGGTGTGCCATTGCCCATGAGCAAAGCCTTTTTGCGCTCAATATCAAGGCTGCGTCTACCTGACGGGCGTTCGGTTGAGCCTGGCAAGACCGAAGTCCCTGGAATTGGGCGACGACTTGGTTCCTGTTTCCGAATAGAGGCTCTGATTTTGTGTGCCTCGCTCGAATTCCATTTTGTCTGCAAGGTCTTTAATTCCGCCTCTGCGCGATTCAGCTCTTCTCGGAGCTCCAGGACGCGCCGCTCCTGTGCAGCGATTGCTACTATGAAATCGTTGGGATCCGCTGGCGACGCCATCCCCGATCCAATTGTCTCTGTGGGGGTTGGAGGGATCGACGGAGTGGGTGCTGGCCGCGAAGGCAGACTGTTTGCAGGTGCAACAGGCAGAGTCAAGGAAAGGCGGTTTGCGTGCCTAGAAGTTGTCGAGCTGGATCGCGTTGACCGTGTCTCAAATGTTTCACGCGGCGTGGAGACTGGCGGCGCAGAGCTCCTCCAAGGCCGAAGTATAAATTCACCCTGGCCGTCTGTGGAGGAATCGTCACCCTCGCCGACTTGCGGTGAAGAAAACGGGGCAGTGGTTTCTGTAGATTGATCCTCGGCGACAATGGTGCTCTCGCCTGCATCAGAGTTAAAATCTGCAAGCAGGGCGTCGAGAGAGACGGACTTGTTGGAAAGACCGCGGTGCCGGAGGACTTGTCCGGAAGCCATGAATGATGGAGGCATAGGCGGCCTGCTTGAAGAAAACGAGTGATTCAGCAGCAGCAGTTTGCGGGCTGAGACAGGTGTAGGAGTAATGAGCAGAGGTCGAAGTCTTCGCCGTCGCCTTAAATGAGTGGATGGAGCGCTTATTGGGGCGCGTCGATGCCGAGGTCTCCAGGTGTTGTTGCGCCGGACGCAGAGTGTACGAGCTATGCCGTTGAGATGTCTATAATCATTGAAGAGAGTGTTGGAAAGAGAAGTAATCAGACAAATTTGCAATTGCTGCCCTGAGCTCATGGAAAGGAGTAGTAGGGGGACAAGGAACAAGACCGCCACACACTACCAGCCATCAGCAACACAAGCAGATGGTGATGTCCGGGGCGGCAAGTCCTTGTCGAGCTTGTGGGAAATTGGGGACCGGGTCTCTGAATGATTTTCTGCTGACGGAACCTGGCCGGCGCTGGTGCTTGGCTGCTGGGAAAGTCTGGAAGCTTGGCCGGTTGGCTCGATGTGGGCCTTGCTTGGACAGGTCCCTCCTCTCCTCCAGTGGAGGTGGATTTGCCAACAGCTCGCTCAGCAAGGAGTGAGCGCATGCAATTGGAAGGACGAGTCGGGCTGACGAGGGCCAATGGAGCCCATTACCCGTCCAGACAGGCCAGGGAGGGCAGGGCAGGGCTTTTGGGCGGACCAGGTAGAGAGGAGTGCAAGCAGAGACAAGGCGCACGCGAATTGGGAAGAGTATAACAGTTACGTGGTAACGGTCTTTGTGGAGAATTTTTGGACTACTAGATCGAGCCCCGATAACGATCTCGTCGGGAATTGGGTTTTGGAAAATAAAGGATAAAAGATCCGGGGGGTGAGACTGGACTCGAAGTTGCTTTAAAGCAGAGTAATGAGCATCTCATTTCGTTTCCTTCCACCTCTCCAACTCTCTGCTGTTTTGATTCCCAATTGTTTCCTCGTCAAGGACCCCTCCCCTGTCCACGAGGGTGCTCCACTCCACCAAGCAACCAGCATCCACTTCAGTGGCATTGGACAGAGGGGAAAAGTTCTTCAGGGGCAGAGCCTGCGGGCAGCCTTTTGGTTTCCCAGGTGCCAGATGCTCAGACTAGTCTTCTGTGCAGCTTCTCAACGGATAGATACAGTACCTACTGGAGGGGTCGCCAAGGTGCTGCGCGGGAAATTTGGGTTGTCTGGCGAGCTGTCAGGGACCGCTCATAGTAGACAGGGAGCTCCCTGCCAGATGGCCTCGCTTTCGTCCAATTGCGTTGGCCTTGCAGTTTGCAGGATCGTCCACATGTACAATGTACTCTCACACTCTCCGACTCCTGACCATGGGAGGTTTTTCATCGCGTGTGACCGCCTCCAACGCCTAGGTAACAGTATGATAAACATTGGATGCAAGAGAGCCGGGATCAACACCATTACGGTCAAAGGCTACATGTATTATTGAGATAGAACAAAATGAAATGATGCCAATTCCAGAGCAGATAAACCAAAAGAGGTAGGATCATACGTCATTATACTAATAAACGCCTTTCCCCAGTATCAAAGATTGAATGCAAGTGACATGACAGACGGCCCGAGAGATTCTATCCTACAGAATACCTTATTCTCTATAGTACTGTACGTAGTTGCTGGGATTGATCGGCTAAAGCCAACTTGCATAAGAATAATAAAAGATCGGACGAACCCTCTAGAAAGCCAAGTCTTTCGTTTCCAAACCCCTCGGAAATGCAAAGACATGGCGATACATTTATTGTAACTTTGGACATTGGTCAACATTTCAAGCACTCCTCGAAACAATCAAACTAGAAGGAGCAACAGTGGTAAAAGCCTGGGTAGAAGTCGTCCCGAGTCCCGAACCTATTACCAAAAGACGTTGTCAACTTCGTTGGCCAATGCATCCAGGTATCGTCAGTGCCCAGAAAGCGTTGCATGATCCCACATATATTAGTTGCTCCGCTTTTGGATTTTTTTTGAGTGATGCATGTTGCTCAAGCTTGAAGAACATTCAGTGGTATTGCTTTTTGCATGTCTTGCAAAAAATGTGGCTTGCACATGACATATTGAGGGTGCATAGGAAACATGTCCTCCAGCAACGCTCCTAACGGCTCATGTCACAACAAATCCTACAACTAACTGTATGATCTCTTGGCTTGGGAGGTTGCTACGGATACACTGGTTTGATCTAGACCACGGCATGTAAAATGGCGTTGACGTTGCCTCTTTTAGCGCGCCCCAGCTCGCCTCCTTAAGTCCCGCCTTTAACAAAGTAAAATGGCCCGATGAGCTGGGCTTGCTAGGGGCCTGGCAAGCCTGGGGCAGTGCGGCACGAACAACGCAGCCGTACAATTAGTAGCCACATTACCGACGTGGCACTGGGGAAAACACAGCGACAAGTCGACAACACTCGTACAAAGTGGTGAAATGGTTCTATTATAAAGAGGCAAAGAATGCATGGCCGTCTTGCGATTGTGCTTTCTATTCATTCAGCATACATGATGTTATGAATGCCGAGCTTGCCAATTTGATTTGATTTGATTGATGACGTTATTTCAAGGTATTCCAACTGCGCTATCCCGAAACTTCGTAGCCCCGGCAGCCAGTATACTATACTGGTAGGGGCTCTTGGTCTGCCATGTTCACGAAAGCTCAACAGTCGCACGCAAAAATGGACTCGGTATGTCTCAGGACTGCCGCCATGTGTCTTGCATGTGGCAGCAGTGTGGTTATCCTCCAGAATCTCAATGGAAGCATAACCTTTGCATGCCAATACGTGTGACCCTTTGAACGAGGTCTGGTGCAAGCATGTGGGACTTGACTCAACTGGGTCCCCAATTCGGACTGTCCAGTGTCAGCTGCTCGCGCCTGCCTGATTTCAGCACACCACTCAATGCATTCACGGCCACTCCATGGTCTTGTTGCAAACGCCCATGAAGACAAAGGAATAAGGCAACATCACATATCATGTTTCTCTTTTTTTGTACCACAGCTTTTGTAGCTGTTGCCTAGCAACATGAAAATCTTGCTCATCTTCCCGCGCTCATCCTCATACTTTGCGTTCCGCGCCGCTTTTTCTTTGCGTATTCAAAGGTATGATTAGACGCGTGTGACGCGTCTAGGTGACTGAGACTCAAGATGCCTTTTCCCTTTCGATATATATGCGACCTGCTGCAGACTTTGCACGACGAAACTCGTTCCAAAAGGGCACAGAAACGTCCAGACAAAGCGCTTGTCGAAGATTGGTTTCACAAACATCGCAAACTCCTAGATGAGCCCAGCACAAATGGCGTTGCGGTTCTCTCCACGCTACTTCCGGGCAACCGCCCAGACCGCGTCTATGGCATACAAGTGAACAGGCTGCAAAGTATTATTTCACGAGCAATGGGCTTGGGTATCTCGCGATTGAGAGTGCTACAAGAATACAACACTCTCCCCAGCAGCGACAAAGATCTAGCAGACTGTGTCGAAGAATTACTGACAAACACGGTAGGCACTGCTTCCTATTCGTCACTTTGTCGCAAATGCAATACTTTCTTTTCATGCACGCCTGCTGACGATTGGCGCAGCCGAACCCTAAGCAATTAGAGGAGATTACAGTCGAAGAAATTGATGCAGCTCTTCATCATGTTGCCTCTGGATGCAAATTCAGCTCAAAGGAGGTTCAGGCTTCTCGTAACAAAGATGGCCAGACAATAAGCCTTGGCGACTTCTACAATCGCCTCACTGCCCGCGATGCCAAGTGGTTCACCCGGCTGGTCCTCAAGGACTTTGCACCCGTTGTGATGCCCGAGACTGTTGTGATCAAAGCATATGATTACAGATTACCCGAGGCTCTAGCTGTCCGCGAGGATTTTGCAACGGCTATTTCCTTGATACGCGAAGGCGGCTTGGCCTCAAGACCAGAGAACTTGATCAAACTCGGCTGCAAGGTTGCGCGACAACCCTGGTACAAGGCTCACAGTATCAAGCACTGCGTGGGCATGATAGGAACACGCCAAGTGAGCTGCGAGCAGAAGATTGATGGCGAATATTGCCAGATTCATATTGATCTGAGCAAACCCCGAAATCAGGAACTCAAGATCTACTCCAAAAGTGGAAAGGAAAGCACCAAAGATCGCAAAAACTTGCATCCGTATGCGCACCTCTTGCCGTGGAATATTGTGTGTACCAAGCTGACGAGCGTGCAGCGCCATTCGAGCATCGTTGAATATCGGGAAGAAAGCCTGTCCACTCAAGCAAGGGTGCATCTTGGAAGGTGAGCTGGTGGTGTATAGTGACAGGGTAAGGTTCGATCTCCACAGTCACGCTTTGAAAAGATACTCACAATCCACCAGGACCGGAAGATACTCCCTTTTCACAAGATTCGGAAACACGTATCGAGATCTGGTGCGTTCTTGGGAACAGTTGGAGATTCACAGTAAGAGACGCGTCAATTTTTGCAAGCATTTGTACTCAACTTTGATAATAGGCGCCATGATCATGAGCATCTTATGATTATATACTACGACATACTAATGCTGGATGGTACATCCTTTCTCGGCATGCAACATTCAGATCGTTTTCAACGGCTTACCAAGCTGATCACAACCCGCAAAGGCCATGCTGAGTTGATTCAGCGACAGATTATCGACTTTCGCCGGAAAGACGCGCAAAGACTGCTCTTAGCAGCCTTTGCAAAGTGCATTGTAGCTCGTGGAGAGGGTTTGGTGCTGAAGCCAGATGATCCTTATTTCACCTTTGGCCGTAAAAAGAAACGCTATGCATCGTGTGCCATCAAGCTCAAGAAGGCATATATCAAAGGTTTCGGTGACGTCGGAGACTTTGCCGTCATCGGTGCCTCGCACGATGCTAGAACGGCAAAAAGCTCCAAGATCGAGAACCTCAAGTATACGCACTTCTTCCTGGCATGCTTGGACAATCCCACTGAAGCGCAGGCGAGAACCCATAAGCCCAAGTATATTGTCACAAATATCGTAACTTTGAACGACACACAGTTGAAATATTTTCGACAGTACTGCAATCCTCCCATGGTACGGCCAGAGGATCACACATCCTCAGAGTTCGATTTTCGAGGCCTCGGAAACGCTGATCGGCCGACGGTTATCTTCTCCGATCCACCCGTCTTCGACATCTACTGTTTTTCCTTTGATAAAGCACCCAATTCGGCCATGTGGACAATGAGGTTCCCCCAGGTCAGTAAGATTCATCTAGACAGAGACTTTCTAGATGTTCTTTCTTTCGTTCAGCTGCAGGAAGCTGCCCATGATGCTGTGGAAGAGCCCGAAATGGAAGACAGTCAGGAGATGCGATTGTGGCTAGCCAAGCTTGAAGCAACAGACCCCGAGAGAAAATGTTTGGCCTATGATAGCCAGTCCACAGTTTCGACTATCTCTACAAATCAAACAGCTTCAGTCGTGGCCTCCACCGATTCCGAAGCCGAGGGCGAACAGGTACAAGCAAATCCCGTCGTCAGACCTGAAGACACGCCAGCGGCTGTAGCGCCGCAGCGGGGCTTGATCACGCCGCCTAGATCTTCGGCTACTCATGCAACTGCTGCTACTAATGTTGGAGCAAGAGGTAGTACGGCCCCAAACACAAGATCGAGCAGCCGAAAACGGTCTTCAACGGCAGTGGAAGTGACATCGCCTTCGAAGAAACCAAAGACAAACACGCAAAATAGAGACATTCAGACTACCAAAAGGAAGCCACTTGGTGCTAGAGATGCCAATGATTCCCAGAGGTCAACCAGGTCTGGTCGTAGCGTGTCGCCTCCGCTTAGCATTGGGGAACTGGAGGCGACACCACCGGTGGAAGGGCACTTTCCATCTTCAGTGACTGGAAGCTTTTATACCGCAAACGAGCCTCCGTCGTCACCTTCCGGAAGAACTCCACGCAAAGGCAGGAACGCTGTTGGCAACGGAACAATGTCGAAAGATGAATCGCAAGTTGTGGAGAGATGCCGCCATGTGGCAAGCAAGAAAAGGTGTGCCTTTAAAGGCTGTGCTTTCCTGCTATCTCCTTGCATACGCGAGTATGCTTGGATTGATGATCTCCTCAAAGGTCACGGCATCTTTGGTTTTCAGACCATCCCAGAGGTCTGGGCAAGACAGGCGTCATCTCGATCCTCCTCAGCGGCGAGCACGCCGAGATCTGGTAGCCCAACACCTGGGTCTATCAACAGTGCCACTAAGCGAAGAGAACAAAGACTCTGCCTGGTTGATTCAAGAAGGGCTGATGCAACTCGAGATTTTATCAAGGCGATTGAGGTCGCCGGGTTGACATGCAGAAATGGAGAGCGGGAGTGGATCTCGGTCTATGACTGGCGGATTTTGGAAGACATTACGAGCATGGAGTCAAGAGCTTACAGGAAAGGGGGACCGGACCCGTGGAGGGCTCGGTATCTGGGACTGGCATGATGAACGAGAGAACGAATATGCATGCATTATTCGGAGTTGAACGGAATGCATTTGAATATACCCTTACATATAGATTGAGTCCGGTTGGTGCTCCCAGACTGCTTGTAACGCATGCACGATACTTAATGAGCTAGATATTGCAGAAGCATTGCTATGATCAATTTGTTCCAAGCTTCTTCATCATCTCGTCTAGTCCTTTTTCTCATACAACTTTGCATAACTAGCCTCAAGCCTCATTTGCAAATGCTCCGTTGCTGTCAGCACTTTGCGTTCAGCATACGGGTTGCCCTCCTTGGCGCTGTCCAAACTGCCGGCAAACTCACGAACTCTTGCACTCGGCACAGGCTCAAGTTTGGTGTCGTTGGCCGGGTGGCAGAAGAAGGCGATGCTATACCGCGGCCCAGTGCTGCTCTCGCCGTTAACACCACCACTTCCACCGTCAAACGTAACGCGGTGAACCGTGGAGCGAAGCAGACCGTTGGTCCAGTAGCTGAGCAAGTCACCGATATTGACCAGCACCGGTGGCGCGGGATCGGCCTCGGTGCCCGGCGGCACCACGGGAACAGGCGCCCAGACGTTTTCGGGCGTCAGGACCTCGAGACCCGCCTGGCCCGCGAGGCGGAACAGCAAGGTAATGGAGCCATAGTCGGAATGGGCGCCGGCGCGGACGTCATCGGCACGGGCCGACGACGTGGTGGCATCCCCTGGCGGCGGGTAGTACAGCAGGCGCAGAATCGTGCCCGACGGCCGGGCGTCCGAGTGCGAGGCCGTGAAGAAGCTCGGCGGGTCTGCCGACAGGCCTACGCCAAAGAGCCAGAGGATACGTTGGCACAGGGCGCTGCAGGAGGCCCGAAACGCCGCAATGGTCGCTTGGTCAGCCTCTAGTGTCGAGGGCAGCGGTTGATCTGGCTTGCCGTCTGTAAAGGGGCCAAAGTTGAAGGCTCTAATTTGCGTGTCAGTGTCCCAAGATGAAGCCTGAGTATGGGGGAAAATATGGGGTACCACATACTCTTTGAAGTCGCCGACGCGCTGTGTCTTGGGGTCTAGAGTCTCCGTGTGCATCCCGGACCAGCCCCGGTTGTTCTTTTGAATGCTGCATTTCTGCTTCTCCTCAATGGGAGTCTCGAGGAAGAGTTTACGTGACTGTGAGACGGAATTAGAAAATTTGATATAAAGTTTTGTCTTCAAGCTGGTAACTCGGACGCCCTGCACTTGGGGGCACTGATATTCATGTACATGAGCATCTGCCACTTACAATATCAAATGCGCTCTGAACCTGCTCTGCCGCAATGTCCTTGCCGGTGTTTCTGATATAGACGAAGCCATATGAGGCTGCGGCATCCACCAAAGCCTTGGCAATATCGAGCTCGTCCACACCCTCGGCGGAGATGTCAATGATGGGAATGGCAGCAGCTTTGGGCATGATTATCGATTGTGACGATATATAAAGGATCGTGCTGAACTAATCGAGTATGAAAATTGGCAGATCACAGTATAATAATAATAATAATAAGCCCGCAGCTGTCGAGGTCTTTTACCGAAATAGAGTTTCCTCGGTAGCTGCCGATGGAGTGCGGGTTTGCGGGTCGGGCGAATCCGTACCTGGGGATTGCTAATCTGCTGTTGGAGACGATAACAAATAAACGGCTGTCACTATCTTATTTATTATTGATTGCTACACAAAGAAAGACTTGCACGGTTTTCAGCTTTGAATTTGTAGCTCGGCAGGAAGTGTCATGGAAAGGGTCGTGGACGATATCTCATGAAATCAGAGCCCCTCATTTGACCGAGAAGCTTCCAAAAGAGCCAGCCAATCTTTAAATGGTACACTCAAGACTGCAGAGCCACAAGAAGACGTCTATTCATTTATATACGATCGTGGATTTTCTACTAAACAAAATTTCCGTGAACGATAATTCAACTGACCGTGTTGTTCACAGTGCATCTGCCTTGGTGGGTATTTGTGACACTAGTATAATTTGATATAAACTGCATCTCTCAACAACCAATCAGAGGTCCGATGGTGTAGTTGGTTATCACGTCAGTCTAACACACTGAAGGTCGGCGGATCGAGCCCGCCTCGGATCATTAGATGATTATTTCTTTTTTTTCGATTTTTGACCCTTTCCACTAAATATTGTACCGGATTCAATATCAGTATCATTCATTCTATTCCAAATACTCGTGGACAGTGAGTGTATTTATGTTTGATACTTTTTTTTCAAACAAGTTGGTTTTCACCGCAATTTACATTGTGGCATAGTGTATGGGTCTAACATATAGCCCGAATACACTTTGCTTGCCTTTCTCTTTTTTCCCTTTTGTGGCTATATTATTACTACAGCATCTATTCGTACCTAGCGGGGTTGCCATGCCTACTAAGAAGATACTACTTGTACCAAAGGTGACATGATAAGCGACCGTTCTGACTGGCGTCTGCAGCGTTAATGCAGCACAGCGCGGGGAAAGACGTGGGCGGCGGGTTGCAGACAGGCAGGCACCTGCAAGAAAACAGGGCGGATTGCAGGTGATCCTAACTGGAAAAGATGAGCCCAATTCCCATGCCAATGCCGGACCAGTTGAGCCCCCAGCCCAGCAGCAGCTTGGTGCCGCGCAATAATGCATTGACAAACGGGATAAGTCGACACGCTTCCTCTTCTTCCTTTTTCTGTTCCCTCTTTTGTTGTAACATGAAATAGGTAAACAAGGCTCTTTCTCTCTAAGAGTTATTTGCATGCTGCGCGTCTTCTGCCCATCAGCAAGAATAGTCGAAAGAAGTATCCTTGTATGCAGCTCGGGCTTCGTCCAAGGCTCCACGCTCGGCCGTCTTTGGTGGACTTGGTCAATCGAGCAAAGAGCCCACCTGCGTCACCTGCCACTGGCGCAGAGGCAGTAGCTGCTGTAGCCACGCCGCTCGCTCGGCTGGAGGAGGCAGCTGTCCAAGCTCTCACGCAGCCGCTGCCAACCTCTCCGACCTCGACCTCTGACGACAAGGAACTCAGCAGCAGCAGTAGCAGCAGCAGCAGCGCCGCATCTGCATCGAGCTTCAACACCACCACTAATAGCTCAACTCCTCAGCTATCCCAGCACCGCCAACCACAACAACAACATCCACAACCCCCAACCCCTACAGTTCCTATTCCCCTTGCCGACGACGCCCAAGCTGAAGCTGCAGCTGCACAGAGGCCGACGAGTCCACAAAAGACGGTCAACATGGCACCCGTACGTACATACCTCTCTCACTACCATCGTCATCTCGTTGCCAGTTGCATGCATCTCGCAGCTGTTTCCTACCCATCGCGCAGGCAACAAGAAACACAGCATTTCTGTCTGGTGCATCCGCGCAGCCAACTTCTTTCTTGATGCGAAGCTGTGCACACCCATTAATAAGCTCACTATACTGACGCATCAAACAGAAGAAGCAGCAGCAGAAGAAGACAAATGGCGACGCTGACGGCGATGCCTTGGACTCTGGTAAATAGCGCCACAGCCCACCGACACATATTGCAACAAATAACTCACGCATTGTACAGGCAAGATCTTCTCCATCTCCGGTCCCGTCGTGATAGCCGAGGACATGGTTGGAGTTGCCATGTACGAGTTGGTCAAGGTCGGACACGATCAGCTCGTTGGTGAGGTCATTCGTATCAGCGGTGACCAATGTACCATCCAGGTCTATGAGGAGACAGGTATGTTACCAAAAACAAACATGAACCGAGCTCCCAGCTTTGCTCTTTACTAACAACCATCGTAGCTGGTGTCACTGTCGGTGATCCCGTCCTGCGCACCGGAAAGCCTCTGTCCGTCGAGCTCGGCCCCGGTCTGCTGCACAACATCTACGACGGTATCCAGCGTCCCCTCGAGAAGATCTCGGAACAGTCACAGAGCATCTACATTCCCCGTGGTGTCGCTGCTCCTGCTCTCGACCGAAAGAAGAAGTGGGAATTCACACCTACCATGAAGGTCGGCGACCACATTGCCGGCGGTGATGTCTGGGGTACCGTCTTCGAGAATTCCTTCATCAAGGTGCACAAGATCATGCTGCCCCCGCGCGCCAAGGGTACCATCACCAAGATTGCCAGCAAGGGCGAGTACACAGTGCACGAGAAGATTCTCGAGATCGAGTTCAACGGCACCAAGACTGAGCACGGCATGATGCACACATGGCCCGTCCGTGTCCCCAGACCAACCACCGAGAAGCTCTCGGCCGACAAGCCTTTCATCGTCGGTCAGCGTGTTCTCGACGCCTTGTTCCCTAGTGTCCAGGGAGGTACAGTCGCTATTCCTGGTGCTTTCGGTTGCGGAAAGACTGTCATTTCCCAGTCTGTTTCCAAGTTTTCCAACAGCGATGTCATCGTCTATGTAGGAGTATGTAACTTCCCGTCCTGTTTCTTACCTTTTTTGGGTTGCTTGATGAGCATACACATCCCCATGTGCTGCTCGTACCTTTTTGTATTCACACGAAGATGAAATCGCTAACACATGTTCAAGTGCGGCGAGCGTGGTAATGAGATGGCTGAAGTCTTGAAGGATTTCCCAGAGCTGTCGATCGAAGTCGAGGGCCGTAAGGAGCCCATCATGAAGCGAACGACTTTGATTGCCAACACATCAAACATGCCTGTCGCCGCGCGTGAGGCCTCCATCTACACTGGTATCACCGTTGCCGAGTACTTCAGAGACCAGGGCATGAACGTTGCCATGATGGCTGACTCTTCGTCTCGTTGGGCTGAGGCTCTTCGTGAGATTTCGGGTCGTCTGGGAGAAATGCCTGCAGATCAGGGTTTCCCCGCCTACCTCAGTGCCAAACTGGCCAGTTTCTACGAGCGTGCAGGAAAGACCCAGGCTCTCGGTTCCCCTGAGCGTGAGGGCAGTGTCAGTATCGTCGGTGCCGTCAGTCCTCCCGGTGGTGATTTCTCCGATCCTGTTACATCTTCGACCCTCAGTATCGTGCAAGTCTTCTGGGGTCTCGACAAGAAGCTCGCCCAGCGAAAGCACTTCCCTTCCATCAACACATCGCTGTCGTACAGCAAGTACAACACCATCCTCGACAAGTGGTATGAAAAGGACTACCCCGAGTTCCCCCGGCTCCGTGACCGTATCAAGCAACTGTTGTCCGATTCCGAAGAGTTGGATCAGGTCGTTCAGCTAGTCGGAAAGTCGGCACTGTCCGACCCTGACAAGATCACATTGGATCTCTCTACCCTTCTCAAGGAAGATTTCCTGCAGCAAAATGGTTACTCGACTTATGATCAATTCTGCCCTATTTGGAAGACTGAATGGATGATGAAGCTCATGATGGGCTTCCACGATGAGGCACAGAAGGCCATTGCCCAAGGTCAGAGCTGGAACAAGGTCCGTGATGCTACAAGCGATCTGCAGGCCAAGCTGCGGACGTTGAAGTTTGAGGAGCCAAGTGATGGCCAGGAGGCAGTGAGCAAGAAGTACGAACAGATTCAGCAAGAAATGTTGGACAAGTTTGCTGCAGTGATGGACGAGTAAAGGGTTGACAGATGCTATGCTGGTGTTTATAAACTTGAGAGAAGCAGGTGGAACATAGACGAGATTGTGAGCGTCGGGGACAGGATCCGGGGATAAGATTATTAAGGAACCCTTTTTTGTGCAATCAATGTTATTTTACATCTTATGTTTCAACTGTGGTTGTCCATAAGTCATCTCTATTCTTTTCAGTGACCACGTCCTGGATAAGGGCCACTGGATTTTTTGGGCAACAGCATAATGAACAATAAATGAGATTGTTTTAACACAAGAGTACTATTTCGATTTCCAGATCTAGGCATACCTGAGTTTAATAATAATGGCTAGATCTATTCGCTAGATATGTGTACGGGTGCATGCGCCTGACACATTGGGAACGAAACCGCAGAATGAGCGCTACAGAAACGAACCAGAATAAAATACCATATGGCGGTTTATAATAATTTATTTTAACAAGAACAAATTTCTTCTCATATTGATTGCGTCCTGATTTTCTCCCATCTTAGTATTTTGGACCATTAATCTGATTTGTTTTCTTTTCCTTCTAATCCCGTTGGTCATTATTCTTGGTTATTGCCAAGCCGGAACCTGGTCGATCCATCGAACATCAAACGTGACACCCCAAGGAAGGGGGTTTTTTTTTACCTGCGCAAGGGCCTAGAGATTCTTTGTCCTTGCCCGTTTTTTTCTCAAGGCATGACGACGTTGATACTTCCGCTTGATCCGTGCTACTATTTTCTTGGTTGGTCTGTAGATAATCCACTTGCCGTGTTCCGATGATTTCTCGCCGGTTTTGTGTTTAGAGCATCACGAGCAAGCGGTCGTTTTTGTGATCAGTAGGTAGGGTGGAAGACTCGAGAGAAATGTTTGTAAGAGTGATTCATTTTTTTCCTCCCCTTGGAGTCTGTGATTTGCTGAACACAAGACCGAGATGGTCTGTCGTGCTCATATAATTCTATCCTAATACACAATGTGGGTATCATCAAGCATCAAATGTGCCTTCTTTCTTCCGCATCCTTTGACATTACAATAACAAATGAAAGATCCATTAGTCCACTCATCAGGGACTGATAGTAGATCCCAAAAGGAAACTTGGATGAGTATAAGGAGACATAAGAAAAAAAGAAACAAATATGTACAATATCAAGAAGTGAAGACTCTCAGTAGACCCCATTCCCAGAATGGGGTACTGTTTTCCACCTTTTCTTTCCAAAGGCAGGGCAGAAGATGCAAGAAGGGGAGAAACTAAAAGTATAAACAACAGCCTCTTTGGGTTTGTCTTATTGAATCTAAATACTGGGTGGTACTATACGAGCTACCGACCGAGTAGATAGACCGGTGCTGTGTTTTTTTCTTGTCTTGTTTCGTCTTTTGTATCTTCTTCCCACTCGTCTCTGGATCTGTCACAGCCACATTCATGATTCCCATCTTGGCTTGTTGGCTCTGTTGATGAATGATGGAGACATCAACCAGGGAGGAGAAGAGACAGCTTCTCCTTTAGAGCGACAAGACCGAAGGTCCGGCGACAATAATGTCGTCGCTGATGACACCAGTGTTGGGGGCTGCGTTGGTGAGCGTCATGTAGGTGATGCCGGCCAGGTTTTGAGGCAAAGCGCAGCCTCCAGCCTGGGTAAAGGCCGAAAAGGCGGTACCGCCGGGGATGTTGGCGTTGGTGAAGCCGCAGAATTGAGCACCGGCTGCTGCTGTGCTCTGGGCCTGGATGTTGGTACCGGCAGCGAGCACGGCGGGGGCAGCAGGCGCAGCTGTGGTCATGGTCAAGGCCGGGAAGGCCGTCAAGATCAGGTTGGAGCCGGCCGGGCACGACTGGATAAAAGGTGCGGCCAAGGAGAAGACGGCCTTGGGGCCCAGGGGCGTGTCAAAGGGCTGAGGCACAGCCGTGGTGCCGCCAGCAGCGCGGATAAATGTCTGGTGGCGCGACTCGACCGTGAGGATAGAGCCGGCGGCGGCGAGAATCTTGGCATCAGCCAAGATGGGTGCAGCACCCAGGTAGGCAGAGACACCAACGTTCTCGAGCACACTGGCGGTGGCGACCATGGACTTGGCGTCGGTGAAGCCAAAGTTGTAAGTGCACGGCTGGACGGGCTGGACACCGGCCTGAGCGATGGCACTCTGCAGAAACTGCACGTGGGACTGCTCCGTCTGACCAATGTTCTTGAGGTCAGTGATTTGCTGCTGGTTCAAGCCCAGAGCAGCAAACTGGTCATCAGGGAACATGGCAAAGCCCTGTTGGTAGAAGGACGTCTCGAGCCACTCGAGGGTAAGGGCACTATTTTGTTGCGTGTCAGTGACCTATCATGAATGAGGGATGATCAAGGGGTGTACATACAATTGTAGGACATCGACATCAGTAAGACCCAGTGCTTGTTCAGCAGGTGATTGGCGCTTCATGACGTTGAAGATCTTTTCTTGCATCTCAGTGAACCTGGGCTGGGCCGGAAGGGCGCTGGCAACACTGATCACAGCAGCCACAATGCTGGCAATTTTCGTGAAGGAAGGCATATTGTCGGTAGAATACGTTGATTAAATTTGACACACTCTTCGTTTTTCTCTGTTCCTGATGGTGAATTCGAAACCGTAGGGTAGTTGTAGTAACGACAGTCGCGAAGTATATAAAGAGCGGTTGATATGACGAAATAGCAAGACTAGCTTAGCTGTTTCTATAGTTGAGGAATGAAGATCTCGAGGGAAGGTCCCGTAAATTAGAAGAAAAGAAATTGGTTAGATTAAAGTTGTTTTGTCCTGAAGGAGAGTAAAGTGAAAGTCGTTGATCCCTCGAAGCAGACCAGCGCTTTTTCGGTTCGAATTCGGATACAGACACACGAATGGTTGTTGAGGAGGGTGAGGAGGAGAGAGTAAGAACCAATCCGCAAAACAAGTCGAGGAAACGCGAGCAATAAAGACCAAGTGCCAAGACCAAACATTGTAAGAGTATACGGGGGGAAGGGAAATATCGAGGTCATGCGGGTCACGGAAGGGCTGGTGGCCGACCTCAGAGGAGCATGGATGGATGGATGGATCCCATGCCACCCAAGCAGCAGCATTATCACGCCTCATCCCGTCTTGGATCTGCCCCTTCCTTTTGCCTGTGCTCGGATCGGAGCTCGAGGGCAGCAAGTAGTAGGTGGATGATCTCCAGGCCGCAGCCTGTCCAACTCCATTGTTCCGTCCAGTCTCCAGAACACTCCCGGGCGACCGAGAGCCACATTCCATACCTCTGTTCCTTGCTCAGGGACTGCCCAAGGGAACAGATCGATCCGTGATTGGGGGTGTTGAGGTGCTTGGCAACGTGCTCAATCTCTGTGTCCAGCAGCCACAGAGGCCGCAGATGCCAGATCCAACCAATGAGAGCCGGGCGACATGTCGAAAGAGGACAAGGAAACGAAACAAAGTTGAGAAGAAGCTTAATACGAGCCAATGAGAACAGACTCGGTTACTGGCAGGGCCCATGAGCAGGTACATTAAGTTAAGGTAAGCTTACAAGGAAAGTTGGGACGAAGCCGAGTCTTGGCAGGTCCCGGGGCCCGGGCAAGGACCAAACCGAGCAGGGGGTCCTTATAGGTCGGGGTGCTATAGCTAGCGCTATGTGCGCTAACAGTGGTGGTTTATAGGGCAGCCCATCCCTCCACCCCAGGCCACCCGGAGCGGCTCTGCACGTACCTGTCAGGGCTGCTGAGGGCCTTTTTGCTTCATATTCCGTTTCAACCTCGCACCCCCTGGATCTCGCAACACCACAACCACCCCTAGTCCCATGGCTTTCATGACCTGACTTTACCTACCCAAGGAATTCAGGAATTCTCCCATCTCGAACAACGGGCGCCTGCGACCCGATGGTCTGAAACCGCCTTTTCTTCAATGCCGGCCGTGACGACGTTGAACTCGTTTGTATGGATCTCTCGGTATCTGCCTCGTCCTTTACGGCGGCTGCCTCATTGTAATCAGATCAATTGGATACACTCAATTTAGCCCGGTTTAAGCTGTCGTAATTCCCCATTATGCCGCCCTTGATACCGGCTATTCTATTGAAATGCCGAGATTTTGTTTACTCAATCTACCTAGAAATCCTCCACTTGAGGAAGTTTTCCAGTGTTTCTCTCATATCTTTTGGATTATCGACGGGCACTTATGAACAGTGCCAGGCAGGCCCAAGCCTGCCGAGCATTCTGCAGCCCTCCAGAGCCTTGTCAGCTCAGGAGCCAATGTCACCTCAAGCCTCCTGTCTGCTGCGACCTCCTGGGAATCCCTTTAACCCCCCGTTCCTGCGTCCCAACACCAACGTTGGATCTGGCTGAACATTTGTGAAGATCGCCAAGATCTGTTCTCTTCACACGCACAGGGCCTCCTCGACATGGGCGCTTATGAAGAAACATTTCAACACACTCCTGCTTGCCTTGGCAAATGAAATGACAGGAACACATCCTGCAGGTACTCCTGTCTGGGTGTGGTCTGGTCTCTTGGGTAGGTCATTGTAGACCGCTTAGAAACAAACCATGTTCATTTTGTTCTTCTTTCCTCTTTGCCTTTTTCCGTGCAATCAGATGTGCATGTGGCTTCACGGCATTCTTTAGACTACAGGACCTGTAGGATATCGTTGAGTAAAACAACACGTGCATTAGACGCTCAGACTATATCGATTGTCTCTAAACCGGGACTAGTATAACCAAGGGAGCCCCAACCCAGCGGGGCCGTAGCAATACTCTAATACATTTGCTTCTCTCCTGGCCCCACCCCGAATCACCTCCGTGCTCGAGCCTGTCACGAGGAGGGCCGTTACAACCCAGGCGTTAAACAGTGTTTCCCTCTCTTCTCCAGCGGTCTGTTCCAAATACTAGAGACTAGGGAGAAATAGAAGTAGGAGGAGAAAAGGAAAAACTCAGAAATAAGTAAGAATTACTAGCTCTTACACATCAAGCAATCTGATCACGTCATAATTTCTATGGCTGTCATTCAGACATCTCACATTGACGACATATTCTGTTTACGGTCAAGCATGCGAATGGTCCATGCCTAGATTCAACTTATCTTCCGAGACTCCACATGAGGCTCAAGTGAGCCAGTAAGCAACACCTGCCATACGCTCGAATGTTCTCTTCACTCCGCCGGAACAGAATGATCCTGAAAGATCCCTCTAAAACATGATGCCGAAAGCCTTGCCACCCACCCCCCCTTCGACTCTGAAAGCTTCAACCGGTCGTCGATCTCCCTTTTGCCTTGTGAAGTATCCACTTGCCGAACAATGGGAGCATCCGAATCGATCAGAAATTCTCCTGCACTTTTGACACTCTGCCTTTGCATACAACAAAGGAACGAGCTCTTCCCGTGTCCCCGTTTATCGGGCTGCGTACCTTTGGAGGGAAAGAGATCATGTTTTGGCATTTCTTTTCTCCGTGGTTCAAAGATCCACTGAAAATGGGCTGTTTTTCTGCTTTTCCCCGGTGACTCCTCGCATATTCCGTTCGCAAAGGCCCTTATAGAGTCCGCATCTAGTCTGGCTGATACCATCGGATCGCGGTATGATTTCTTTCCGCGCATCCGTAGTCAACTCATCAAGTTACTCCCTCGTAGGCAAGGGCCAATTATTAAATCAACCCTTGGGTTGATGACCAATGTTGTCGTTTTCTTTCCTAGTCCAACTTCTCGACCTGACCCTCCTATGATTTTATTGTAATCACAACCTACCAATCTGACCTCCGTCCACTTGACCAGTATGCCACCGCAGCCCGTGCACGTGAGCTCACGCGATAATAACCTGGACATTACAAGACTTTTACAGCCGACAACGATACTCATTACCTCTACCCAACTCGACCGGTGAAGACAAGTGAACCTGAAAACACGTAAATACTCGCTACACAAGTCAACCCGAGGCCCCGACAAAGGAAAACATGGCTATCTTCAACACCAGTCTTGATTTCTCCTTTGCATTGCGTTTCCTGCCACCCGTCTTCCGTGATATACTAGGGAAGATTCGCTACCTCATTTCGCAAGCACAGAACAGAAATTAGCTGCCATTTCTATCTTTGAGCTGGTTGCTCAACCAGCAGAATGAATCTTGAAGCATCTTCACCCTGGCTTTGCAAATACTCTATGAATGCCTTAATAGTGCGATAAGAGCAGGAATCAAACTTTATTCCTCTGATTGTAATGAGGAAGACTCTGGTAAACATGGGCATTTTCACCTATAACCTCACAACGTATTCCCAACTTTCTTGTTTTAAAAGTCATGCATGTTCTGTCACAGACAGCCTCTTATATCTAGTTTCGGGCACAATCTCTCGACCAAAAGTGTACAAAGCACAATCCCTCATTCAAAAGTCTACGGGTGGGCTATACGAGTCCAGATTGTCTGGATGATTATATGGCGATAACAATCTACCTTGATTTTTCTCTTCTCACACCACCATCTCAATCTCCCTCTCCTGTAGACAATGCTTTTCTTCTTAGCTTCAGTGATAAATACTTTCTCTATCATGCCTTTGCCAAGCTTTCACGCCTAGGAACGCCTCGCACACTACAGAGCGTAAGGGTTGAGCGAGCGAATAGTCAAACACCTGAAAATATATGAGTCAGCTTCAACATCATTGTACATTGCGCATGGTTACTTACGGTGGGCTCTTGGAGAGGTCCGTCTTCAGAATGATGGGCACTCTCGTCATTTCCGTGACATCTTGGATGTACTCTCCACCTTCCTCTCTCAGGGCGAACAACTTGAGGTACTTCTCCTTGTTGGTCAAGCGCGTCTCGACAGCTTCAGCCATGGGGACCTTTGAGTCAGATCGAGTGCGATGCAAGACTCCAGTGTTGGAGGTGGATCGAGTCGGCGAACCAGGCACGCTTTGCGTGGGACGCTCAGCAAGAGATGCACCTGCCATGGACTCTGTCACGTCCGACATGTTGTCCTCATCGTCGTCGAACAGTGCGTCAACATCATCGGTAGAAATGGTACCAGTCTCGGTTTGCTTTCGAGCAGCTTCCTCGCGCTCCTTTCTGGCCTTCTCGGCCTCTTCGGCTTGCTTTGCAGCCGCCATGGCATTGGACACTCTCTGGGATTGGTGTGCCTTGGGTCTCTCGTCCTCGGGGACATATGCAGAGCTGGGGACGCCCTTCTCCCAGTACAGCTCCAGAACTCTCTTCTCCTTTCGGAACTCTGCCTTCTTGAGTGGCAGCTGGTCGCAGTGGACACGCTTCTCAAAGCCCCACTCGGGAATCAAGACATCAAAGGCCGACTCGTAAACACATAGGACAATACCCTCGCTGATGAGGTCACCGTTGACCTCTTGGCGCTTCCTGTCCATGATGCGGCATGACTCAATGTGAATGCTCTGCTCCTGAGCATTCTGGGCAGACTCCTTCTTGGTGTTGCAAGACTCAACCGTCTTGACCAAGTTGTCAACATCCTCGGTGTACTCGATCTTGCCCTCGGAAAGGACAGCCTCGAGCTGTCGATGAACAACTAGGTCGGCGTAGCGGCGGGTAGGTGCAGTAAAATGAGTGTACAGAGGCAGGTTTAGTGCATAGTGCGGCCACAACAGCTTGTTGGTTTTACCACTAATGTAGTACTTGGCGTGGTTCATGCTCTTGACCAGCGCAGTCTCCATACCCTTGCGAATATCATTGTCATCAACCTTGAAGAGGCTGTTCTGGACAGTACCACTGCTAGTGGTGTCAAAGTCGTATCCAATAGCCCTCATGCGCTCCACAAAGGTTTGCAGACGGCGTGCGTTCGGGGCGCCTTGACGTCGGAGCAGGGCCTTCTCCGGTAGATCCTGAGCAAGGCGTTGAGCGACGTAAGCATTGACCTTGTGCTGCAGCTCCTCGACGAGCTCGGTACCAGATGTGGAATCAAATAGGTTATGCTTGATAGGAATATTCTCATCATCCAATTGATGGAGGAGCCTGAGAGGAGCGATAGGCTCATCTTCGGAGCCAAGTCGGGCTTCCCGGAACTTCTGAGCAACAGCCTATGGAATGTTAGCATGAATGCGTGGTGATGCTAAGGGGTAAGGGACAACGTACGTTCAGGATCTGGACGTCCTTGGCTTGAACGGTCTCGTGCTTGAAGGTAGATTGACCTGTCAAGGCATCGTCAATCTGTTCCAAAGAGAGCTTGGCAGAGCTCTTGATGATACTCCTACCAATCCAGGTGTCGCCTTCTGCGACAGCGCCGGTCTGCGGGTTAACGCGGAACACAACACTGACAGTCAGTCTGTCTTCGCCCGGGGTCAAAGTGCAGACTTCATTGGCAATCTGAGGTGGCAGAAGTGCACAAGTTCGGTTTACCAGATGAACTGCGGTGCCGCGCTTCTTAGCCTCACGGTCAACAAGGGAATTGGCCTTGACAAAGTGTGCAATATCCGGCACGTGGATACCAATTTCGATCTTTCCATCCGATTCGGTCTTCACATGGACAGCATTTCCCAGCTCTCCAGTTCCTGCCAAGTCGAGAGTGAAAGTCGTCTCGCTGCGGAAATCCCGGCGGGTAGCAATGGCATCCTCGTCCTCTTTTGCAAGCGACCAGTCCTGAAGGCTGACACTGCGAAGAACGGCGTCCGAGAATTCGTCAGACGAGAAGTTATTGTCACGGAGCAGAGCATCGGTTTCCACCTTAAGGTCACCCATCTTGCCGAGCTGCTCAACCAAAGTTCCAAAAGGATGCAAAGATGTGATAGGCCAACGCTTGATGCACGCAACAAAGATGCGATCGGCGTAGTCCTGGTGCTTCTCAACAAAGTCGCGAGGGGCCTGCTCCGTGGGAATGGCAATCAGGGGAACACGCTTGTCGGTTGGCTTGAACCAAACAATCTTGGGCTTGTCTTGCTGGCGCGAGTGCTCCTGAGGACGGCCACCATCTCTGGCGGCACGTTCAGCCTCCTGCTTCTCCTTGGTGGCCTGGCTACTCGGGCGCAGCAAACCAAGAGTACCCGAGAACATTTGACCGGCAACGCGCTCAATGACGGCAACAATGTGGCCAGCATAGAGCGGCTTGGCCTCATCGCTGATCTCCTCCTCTTCGACAAGAAGCAGACTCTGACCCTCAACCTCGACATCATCGTTCTTCTTCTGAGTAGGGCGCTGGCGCAGACTGCCACGGCGGCGAATGCCGCCCTCACCCGCGCCGGCGTCCTCGGCGTTAGCAGATCCGGACTGACTTGTACCGGCGGTAGATCCGGACCGCGTATCAGTGATGTCCTTGCGCTTCTTTTTCTCCTCCTTCTCACGCTTCTGGCCCCATACCTCATCGACATCCAACAGTTCTACAGCGACGAGATCGCCCTCCAGAGCTCGGTTGCGGTCCTTGCTACCACAAATAAAGATATCGGCATCAAGGAGGCCATCAGTGGTCGAGACGTATGCATCGCTACGGTTCTTCTTGTTGACACGCAGAATACCAGAGACAAGCTGACCATCGCCGAGCAGTGCAGGAAGAGTTGCTTGCGGGAGGTAAGGTGTGAAGAGAGTCTTCCTTTGCTGCTGCTGGTTCGCTTGGCCGCTCAGTTGAGGAGCGTGTTGGCTTCCTTGAAGACCAACCAGATGTTGGCCGTTCATTTGTGCGGCCTGGAGAGCTTGCAGCTGATTCAGCTGCATGGGGTTGAGCTGGCCAGGGTACATCTGCATCATCGGCATCTGACCGGGAACCTGCACCATCTGCGGCTGACCGGGATATTGGAAGGCTCCAACGCCCGAAATCGACTGGCTCATCGATGCACGGGATCGATGGCCAGGCTGGAAAGACTGCTGGCCACCGGATTGGTCCTGGCCTTGAGTCTGAGACTGAGTTCGCCAGTTGCCATCAAAATTTCTGGATGAGGTTCTGGCGTGTCCGCCACGGCCTCGGCTGCCAAAGTCGCTGCCCTGACCACCCTCGTTACCGATAGAAATGGAACCAGAGCCCCGGCCATGTCCTCGACCGTTGGCACCAACTGCCATGCTCTGGCTGCGTCCGTGACCGCGGCCACCTCGAGAAGATGCCGAGGAGCCCTGGGCAATAGGGGTATCGGTAGTTGTGGTGGCTGCAGGCTTAGCATCATCTGCCGGGGCACTGTCCGAGGCATTGGGGCCTGGGAAAGAAAAGCCCGACGTGGTTCGCTTCTGCTGAGCGATCTCGGCAGCCTTCTTGGCATCAGCAAGAGCTAGGGAGTGTCGTCGCTGATGTCCACCTCCGGCCGGAGGGCCGCCCCGCCCTCCTCGGGAAGCGTTCTCTCGTCCGGATGGCTGCGAGTTATCGAAATGGCCAAAAGTCGAACCGGAAGCTCCCGATGAAGGAGCGGGAGGCGGGCCCATGCCCATATTGGGGAGTGCCGACTGATTACGGCGATGTGACATGGGCTGACTCGGAGCTCCCAGTTGAACATTTTGTTGCTGTGGAAGCTGGTTCGGGAACTGGAAGCCCTGCTGCGCCATGTTGATACCCTGTTGCATAGGGTTGAAGCCACCAGGAGCAATCTGTCCGGGCGGCATCATACCCATGTTGATGTATTGGTGTGTAGCCTGCAACTGTTGCTGCTGCTGCTGTAGAAGCTCGATCTGTTGTTGAATAGCAAGCTGCTCCACTATAGAAGAAAGAAATGTCAGCCACTTGTCTATACATGCATGTATAAACCGGCGAGGTGCGTTGAGCGTAGGGGTAGAGTTGTACACCAGTTTCTCGCCAATGGAGTTCGCCGATGTACACGGGAGGGGCTGAGGTAAGGAAAAGGGAATACTGTATACTTACTTCCAGGGTTCGCAAACATGCTCACCAAAGGCGTCAACTCGGAGGGGCTTCGACGGTGAGCAATGTGCAGACGACGACCAGTTGGGCCTGGTACGCCGCCAGCAGGAGGCTGCTGTTGCTGTTGGTTGTTCTGCTGCTCCATGGTGGGCAAGCAGTAATGCTGGTGCTGCACGTCAGGTGCTCTTGTGGTAGATATATCTATCAACCAGGACGGGAAGATATGTGGGTTTGAATAGCTAGGAACTGTCGTTCACGTATTTGTTCACAGGACCTAAGCTGATTGGTGGTGAGCTGATGTTTATCGTGCGCGCCGGTACATGGACGGGACAAATGCGCAGGTTGTTTTGTATGTGTGTTTTGTGTTTGATGATTGCGTGGGCTTTTGCGACTAAACAAAAGGAGGGTAAATGAGAGATGTGAAGGAGGTTTGTGGTTTGTCGACGATTTAGAAGTTGGACGTATCGAAGGTATTCCGATCCGAATGGGCGAATCCCTAGAGAAGGAATGGATTGTCGAGGGACGGAAGGGAAAGAAAGTTGGGATGGTGGTGACGGGGAAAAGGGAAAAGAGATGAAATGGCGATGACGATGATGGGGAGGAGATGTAAGGAAGTTGTGGCCCAAGGATTCTGTCTCCCAGAGGTCTCGAATGGATGGCTCCAGGGTTGGTTAGGACACAAAGGTCGTCGAGGTGCAGTGCGGCAAGGCAAAGGTAGCGAGCGCCGCAAGGTCTGGGATTACTTGGCTCACTGTGAGGGCCTCAGAGACGGGAGTGAGCCCAAGCTTAACACCCAGCTGCTGGGTACCTCAGGTAGCACTGAGCAGCCTCTTTCCCTGAAGCGAGAGGTCGACAGACACGGGGTACATGAAGCGGAAGGGCCAAGAACAGTCGGGTGTTGGTGAGTGTGCAGCTAGGATGGGGGCAACGACTTACACAGTAGAGCTATGGGATGGAATTGGGGGGCTCAGAGCGCATTGGGGTCCTCGCCGACCCCTCCAGAGGCTCCGCTGCTAAGCCGGTTCCAGGTTAGCCTTCATCTAGAGCCAGTTCGTCGCCAGCACTAGCGGCCCGTCCTCATCCCCAAGCTGGAGCTTCCACGAGGGGGGCGAGACAGTTGCTGGCCGTGTCTGCTCTTTTACTGAAACAAGCGTGTGCATGGATCCCGTTATCCGATCACCAATTCCCCGGTGCTCATACTTGTTTTGCTGCTGAATTACAATTTCTACGGATGTGTAATCTTGTTATCAGATCGGACACGTGCTACAATGCTGAAGCACAGAAAAAATCTCTGCTTATGTGGCCTTGAAGGGGGTCTTTTTACCTTCACCTGAACATCCCCAAAGATGTGGACGATCATCGAAGCTACCCCTGCAAATTGAGGGGGGCTAAGCTACGACGTAAATGTTAGCGGTGCGCTCACTAATGACACCACATCCTAAGAGCTTGCTCTAGCGGTTCAAGGTTCGAGACAGCAGAAAGATAGTGGCTTGTCACTCCTCAGCTGCATCGTTCGTCTCGTCTACGTATTGCCCATTGGTCATTCTGCCTGTTCTCCGTAGAGCAGCAATTGAAATCCAGAAAAGCGAATTCAGTGTACTTACTTGAGACAAAGGTCAAGTAGGGTGTAGGGCAAGTACAATTGAGAGAAACGCTCAATCTGACAGGGTAACACGTCGTCTCTGAGGCTGGTACCAATCCCGTCTGTCGTCATAGTCTACCGAAGGTACCTAGACAAGGTAGGATCTCATCATGATGTATGCCATCATCTATCCATCCCATGCCTAGAATCAAGCAAAGTCATTGGAGACGGCGAGACATGCGAAGCATACGTGCACTCGCCCTTTAGTGACACCTGCGGCTTGTTTAGCACAACTTTTATCTTCCTAGTGTAGCATCCATCAATCAACAATAAACTGAATTGGTTGGGTGCCAACTGGTGGAGTGAGCACTTGTCGAGCAGGCTTTCCTTGGGCTTTAGCTCAACGTTGATAAAATGGAGCCTCGGTAGTAGTATTCTCATTGTTGTGAGGGAAACACTGAACAAACAGGTTGATCTCTTCCTGTGTCCCTTGGGCTTTTTGGGATAATCATCTACCTGAGAATACTACGCAAGACGTGCTTGGTGATCGCCAAAACGCAGCTGCACTCCAAACAACATTGAACAGGGGGCGGGACCGGCACAGATGCTGTACCCTTGGAGGTCACATTGGATAGCACTCCATAAAAGTGCAAAAACACTTGACTAGCATAATATTGCAACTTGTCCAAAGGAGCGCAAAACCGGATGGACCAAATATATGTCTCCCAAATCCAACGATAATGCCACTGAAAGACATATAATATATATATATATATATAGTAACTCCAATGTTGTTGGAGTATTCAGAGTGCTGCCAATACTGTTCATGATTCATGTGAAGAACTGTGGCACTGTTGTTTATGGATCCTCCTCGTATTCTGACGTTCTGTCATCTACTACCTTGTCCATGGCACTCAAATGCTTGAATCACACAATTTTTCAAGCTAGACACAAAATATCAAGGTAGGTATCCAAATATCTTACAGATGTATCGTGGGAACAAAATCTTCCAACAAACGCTTACCCATCAAGGTTACCAGTCCAGATTGAACAAATCCATTGTTCCTAGTGAGAGAGAATAGTCATTATATTCAAGCATTCTTTTGGAAACAAATTTCTTGTGTCAGATTCCGGGATTAGAGTAGTTTAATTCTTATTGCCGAGATTTGTTTTCCTTAGACTTGAAACTCAATGAATGAATGGCTGTTGCAAATATGAAATTTGTTGTTCAACTTCAATGTTGACTTTTATAACTTTCTGCCTGAGCTTAGAGCATGTACCTAGGTACCTAGTACTCGGTAGCTTCAGTGTTCAGCGAACGGGAAATAAATGCACATAAGTTTCGATAGGGGTCCTTGCGTCGCTACCTTACCTGGGTAACGTCCGTATCGACTGTCACAGACGTAGCAGTGGGGCTGCTTGCTTACCGCCCGCCTGATTGGGCATGGCGGGCATAGATCGATCCCTCAAGAGGCTAGACCCACCCTTTGGCAGAAACAATTGAATGTCAATCCCAGCATTTGCGGCTCCAAACTTCCATTTGAACGACAACGTTGCAACCGAGAAAGCTACACTTGGGCAAATTGAGTTACGGCTGCGCGCAAGTCAATAAAGCATTGATTTGGTCTTTTCAAAATACGATATAACTCGTGACTGAGCCTGCGTCGCGTGCAGACGCCAACAGTCACTTGCGATCCCTGCCACGACAACATGCGATAGTCCGTCTTCAGAACATCAGAATCATGGCAGGCACTTCACCTGTTCGCCCGAGCCTCGCAAGCCCAAGTCCGGACAGACACCGCTATGGAAGCTACCTTTCCGATGATAGAAACAACATCAGCAACCATCACGAAGCTTTAGCAGCCTCCAAGGATGAGCATGATCGTGTAAGAGATCATGCCATTCAGGCCCTGGAGAAGCATGCGTTCCAGCTCGAGCAGCTGCGCATACATGACGAGGAGACGCGAGTCCTTGAGAAGCAAAAGCGAGAACAGGTCCGCTTGGAGCAAGAGAGGAGGTTAAGAGAGGAAGAAAAGAAGCTCCGAGAGCTCGAGGCGCAACATATTCCCAAATTGCCCCCGAAACCGCCTGCAGAGACTGCACCTCCAGCAGCACAAGCAAAGGACGTCAGCACAAATGGAATCAAACCAGCCGCCCCATCAATTGCGCCAAAAGGAGCTTCCTCGGAAAACGCCTCCGCAACCTCAAAGTCACCGTTTACTATTGCGCCTCCGACCGAAAAGACTAATGGCACAGTCGCGTCAAACGCAAAACCCGCCCCTACCCCCTCAGCACAAGAAGCGGCCCCTGCAGCTATAAAACAGGACGAGACTGCTACGAAGCCGAATCCGTTTGCGACGATACAGAGTTCATCCGCTGCTCCGAGTCCCAGCCCTTTCGCAGCGGCTGGCAAATCAGCCACACCTGTACCGACTCTTTTCGGCAAACCGACAGGCGCGCCAGCTATCAATGGACTCAACACGGCCACCACAACCGCTCCTGTGCCGGTAGCTGTGCAGTCCCCAGACCGATATGTACAAATCCACCAGAGTCTAAAGAAATTGCGTGCTTCTATCAAACAGCAAATGACAACCAACGTGGAGCTTAAGAAGAACGCTGGAAACATGAGGCGAGAGATTCGTAAATGTATCGGTCAATTAACTGGCGAGAAAGGAGCCAATAGGCAACAGGTGAGAGGATGGAGAGCTTATAATCTGGATTTTACGCTAACAAGTACACAGCTGGAGAAGATTCGGGCAGTGTTGACTGCAGCGGTACGTGGATCACCTCCAAGTGCTCTGGTCGATCCATCCGAGTACGTTCGCGATCAAAGACAACCAGACCAAGAAGCGCTTCATAATGGAGAACTTCCATCACTCTTTCTCTATCTCTTGAACTGCCTTGCAAAGGATATGATTAAGCAGTTTGATGGTGAATGTGGCCCAATGCCGCATAAAGCCGACCCAATCGGAGTGATTGCGGCGCAGATCTTTTCCACGAAGGAATTCCAGTGGCGTGGTATATCTCTGGTCGATATCATGATGGCCAAATTCCGGGTAGCATGCCCAGTTCTCTTTGGAATCCGAGGCAACGAAAAGATGGAACAAGGTAGACTGCGCCTTGGATGGCGGAAACCAGATGGACATTGGATGCCCGACCAACAGCACTATGAGCGCATGTCCGGTCTTGGTGTGGGCTATGCTTCCATTGCCCTGCGAGACTTCTCAAAGGTCAAGACGAGGAACCCCTACCCACCAGCCAACTACTGGACAAGCATGGCCAAGATCGTCAATAGTCCATCCAACGAGATCTCGGACACACAATGTGTGGTCCTGAGAGCCATGATCCACTTGTACGAAGAGAAGTTCATCAACCTATACGGAAATCAAGCAATAGCAGCTCTGCGCAAAGCATTGGTGGAATTCCCCGCCAAGGCGCCCAACAAGACACCAGCTGTGCATGGGCTCACAGTTCTGGCAAGTCTATATGAAAAGGATCTCGGACTTGATCTTCGGTGACAATCCACTGGTCCATAAAGACGATGGAATAAACTTGTTCTATGGACTATATCGCACCAGGAAGGTCATGTCATAGAAGAGTCAGGCAGAGGCGTTTATTGGGGGAAAAGGGAAATTCATCGTCAACACTATAGAGATTTTGAGTTGATGGAGAGATTGATTCTACTATATTGCCCTTGTGTGGCCAGGTGCCTCATGCACCGAATATTTTCAGTCCCTTGAAATAGACCCAAGAGATCTAATTCATTTTGATGTATACATCATTACATCTCATGACCCCTAAAGGAATTTTCTTTTTTTCTTTTTACTAATACAAAGTGATCCCGCCCTCTAGTATTGTAAATAAATCCAATAAGTGCCCGTAACCGTTGCGCCGATGCTGTAACACACAATATGGGCACATTTGCAGTCCCAATTTATCCTCTTTGAAAGCGAGCTACTCCGCTCCATCTCCAATGGAAACAGTCCCGTCCCATTATCTCTTCCCACTGTCTGGGGCATTTCTCTATAATATCAGGAGGAGCACAAGCAAGATGATGAGGACCATGATGAGTGCAGCAATGCAGCACCCGCTCCAGCGGTCCTCATTCTTGCGGGCGACGTAGGCCATCTTGGCGAGGCCAGTCTGGAGACGGCCCTGGACGCGCTCGGCCATGGAGTCGACCACCTCGAGCATCTCGCGCTGCTCTTCGAGCTCGCGGCCCATGTCGTCGGCCTGCCGCCGGATATTGCCCACCGTCACAAACGTCTGGTCGAGCATGTCGTCTTGCTCGCGCATCATTTGCATTTGCTGCTGGTGCTCAAACTCGGCCGCATAGTCGTCGTCTTCGTTTTCGCCGTCCTCGAGCGCGAAGGCATTGGGGTCCGGCAGGTCTCCCGAGGCCGCGGCTCGTGCGGCGCGCGCCTTGCTGTTGCTCGTCTGCTTCCCCGCGCCGCCCTTTGCTAGCTCCTCGGCCATGTCCTCGACCTCGCCGCCGACTTCCTGCACCAGGCGCTGGCGCCGCTTGACCTCGGCGGCCGAGAGGCCGTACTGCGCCGGGTTGGACTCGACGGCCTGGACGGCGGCGCGGAGGTCCTCGAGGTCCTCGGTCAGGGAGCCCAGAGCGGTCTCCAAGTCGGCGCGCGCCGAGGTGAGCTCCGGGTTCGAAGGTGCCGAGGTCAAGGACCGGATGCGCACGTAGGACGAGAAGATGGGCCGCGTCTGCTGGAGTTGGGCGAGTACATCTCTGTGTTGCGTGCGCTGTCAGCGTCTGCTTTTTTTTCGGTTGTGTTTGATGCGATTATATCAATGGCTAAACACTCCAATGTGGATGCACTTCACCTAGAGCAGTGAATCAAAGATGCAATACATACTGTTGTACCTGGAGGAAGGGATCCTCCTCGTTGGTTGAGGACATCATTGTCTAGTAAGCCTCTGTTCCCAAAGATGGTGTCTCTTGAATGCGCAAAGGAAGCTCGCTGGACTGGCTACATCTGGGTATCTCACGCAGAAAACAAAAGAAAGAAAAGAGATGATTGGAATGACAATCGTCTTCTTGGCGTATGTAAATCAGTTGGGATGGGAGATGGAAGGGTTCAAGGTATGACAAGGCTGTAAAGCCTTGGGTAAGGGGCGGCTCTTTCGGGGGGATGACGTGGTGGGTTTAGGCTCCCTCTTGTCTTGGAAATGCGCGTTCCAGCCCAGCGGCTCCCCCGTCCGGGGCGGGCTGTTTAGGTGGTCCTCGGCGGGTGGGAGCCGCCAGCTCGGAGAAGGGATCCAGAAATGTGACCGCCAAAAAGATTAGTGCAATTTTTTCAATATAATTTTTCTAAACCTTCTCGACAGCCAAACCAGGAATAAATCAGCCACGGAGAACGCCCAGTGAAAATTGTGTGTCATATTCCTCATTCCAGAGGAATAGCAGCAAACACTCCACCAATTTTTTTTTTAAACATAAGTCCATTTCTTCGTGGCAGATTTGGTTGCAGATTCTCGCCATGATACCCTCAAAACCTCTGCCCTATGCCGAATGCTGGGGCAGCACGGAGGAATATGTGTCAAGCTTATTAGAATTCGCGACAACTTCTGATCTGCTTCAGACACTATGCGGTGGCGTGCATATTCTGGACTTCTTCACCAATGAGCCCGGGCTTTTTCAGCAGATAATTCCAGAGGACTGGCAGGATTACCTCATGAGGACAGACCCGATGCGCCTGCTGGATATACTCATGAGGGATGACCTGAGCGCATTTCCCGAGGGCGAGATGCCCCCAGAGAGCTTTCTGCAGTATATCAAGGATATCCGCAGATTCTCCCTGGGGCGCAAATTTGCCGCCGCGGACGAAAAGCCGCCCAAGTTGACGAGGTTCGTGTCGGTGGGCATGAAGCCCAAGAAAATCCACGAAGTGAGCAATTTCGCCAATTATGTGGACAAATTTGCCGGGGATGTGGAATCCATCACGGGCGAGGAGATCACGCACTTTGTCGATTTTGGTAGTGGCCAAAACTACTTGGGAAGAGCTCTAGCGAGCGCCCCATATAACAAGCATATCGTGGCTGTGGAGGGTCGCGAGCACAATATTGCCGGTGCCAAGGAGCTTGACATGATCGCGGGCATTGCAGACAAGGAGAAGGTCATGCGTAATAAGAAATTATGGCACCAGATGATGAAGAACAAGAAAGAGGGCACGGACACGGATTTCACAGACGAAGAGATGCTCAAGAAATTATCTCTGGCTGCAAAATTGCCGGAGCAAGTCGTCGACTTCAGACCAAGACGCGAGCTTGAGGCCCTTTACACACCCGAGGACGGAAAAGGCTTCATTCGCTATGTCTCGGGCAGACTGGAGTCCGGAGACCTGTCTGATGTGGTTGAGCAGTTGGAGGAGACTCCTGAAGCATCTCAGGACCTTCGCATGATGGCCATTTCGATTCACTCGTGTGGAAACTTATCCCACCACGGCATCCGCTCTCTTGTGTTGAATCCCAAGGTGCGCGCCGTGGCCATTGTTGGATGCTGCTACAATCTGATGACGGAGAAGCTGGGCCCGCCATCTTACAAACTTCCCTACATGCGCCCCAGTCTTCAAGCTTTGAACGGGCGCGTGGTTCGAGAATCTGCCAAATACGACCCTCAAGGATTTCCGATGAGCGAGAGGTTGAGTACCTACAAGGAGCATGGTGTTCGCCTCAACATTACAGCCCGTATGATGGCGTGCCAGGCACCACAGAACTGGGGCGAGCAGGAAAGTGATGGATTCTTCACCCGCCACTTTTTCCGGGCTGTTCTCCAGAAAATCTTCCTCGACCGAGGCGTAATCAAAAAGATCTATCACGACAAAGAGTCAAGCGAGACTCCATCTTCGAGTCCCTTCAACATGAGCACCAACCCGGTGATTATCGGGTCTTTAACAAAGAAATGTTACACCTCGCTACACGCCTACGTAAGAGGCGCTCTCGCAAAGCTAACGACACACTCGGATTATCACGAACACTGCGACATCATTGAGGAGAAATTGGGCGACATCACCGACGAGGAGATTGCGCGGTATGAAGCTCAGTATCTGCCTCGCAAGAGGGAATTGAGTGCTATCTGGAGTTTGATGGCTTTCAGCGCCGGCGTCGTGGAATCTCTCATCGTGACCGACCGCTGGCTATTCCTCAAGCAACACTCGGACCTCGTGCAGGACTGCTGGGTCGAAGTCGTCTTTGACTTTCGAGAAAGCCCTCGCAATCTAGTAGTCGTTGGAGTCAAGAAGCGCGATCAGTGAATACAGACACACTGTCTGACTCGAGCAGCCGACTCCGTATTCGGCTCTGACATCAATGTGACGATGTGTCACCTTACATTGGACTTTGCTCGCGGCACTACGCTTGCATTCAAGCGGATGACTAAAGTAGGCCCGAGAGCTCTTTATTATCGGGCAGATTCGGAATCGTGAGACTAAGATATGGATGCCCGCAACAGCATGTGGGTTGGCCCGAAAAAAAAAAAAATACCAATGCCCGCTTCACGATAGGGACAAGCTGGGGAACCCACATGCGCAATCTACTCCGTAGCTACACTATCGAGCCCCATCCCATCCTGCTGCTGCTGCTTACTTGCATGCAGGGGGTCACTATCGTCGGGATATACAGTTGCAGGATTCCCAATCGGGTATTGGCTTTGCTGGTCAGCACGCGGCAGATCACTGCCCACCTGCTAGATTGACTGCTTATATTAGATCGATGGTTAGGTCTTGCATGCACTTGCATCGCTATAGTGGGCGCAATGATCACAACCAGCAGCAGAACCGACGAAAGACAATACTTTTTTAACCCGCATGAAGACAGCCAGTCGGGAGGAGTGCGACTGGCCCTTCTCGTTATCATGCCGTGGTGTTTGAATGCAGCATACCGAGAAAACTTGTCTAATCAACATCGGGTATAGCCGCAGACAGGGCAGATCTGATAATCCAAAACCGATCGTAGCGGCAAAGGAACCCTGCACAAAAAAACCGTTGGCTGGGTGAGGGTTGAGCTTCCCAGGGTTGAGTCTATTATACAACTCTACGTAGCAAAAAGCATGGAAACCCAAAATTGTTCTGATAATGGTTAAAAAGAGACGAAAAAAGATGGAATTCTTCCTTCCCGCTCAGAATCATAACTCACAGACCCAACATCATGAGATGATCTCCCTTGCGATAAACACAGCACTCTTCGGAATACTACTCAGTCATGCACGCGACTGAGTCTGGCATGGCTCGCATGAATCGAGATGGGCAACAAGCGCGTAGCCCCACGCCAAGAGCAACACTCGCAGGACCCTTGATACCGTCGGGTGGGCTTGCTTGCTTGCTTGCTTGTACTATGTATGATATGTACGGCGGTATGCGCCTCTGACGATGGAGGCACCCGGACGAGTGGGATAGCATAAAAGCTTTTGCATATTGTCCTAGTAGTATAGTTCAATGCACGTATTTTGTGTCCCCTCCTTCCCCCCAATTGGACGAATTGCCGTGCCATTGCCGGAACTCAGTTTTGATCTCTCTGCTGACGTGAAGACTATAATTCTTTGTCCATGGTTTCTTGCCATCATGTGAGAGACTCATGTCAGCATGGCGCTCCCGGGGGGTGATGTGACGAGGTATCGAGATTACCTCACGCCTGGACTGCACTGGGCTAGGCTAGGCTAGGCTGGCTAGGCTGGGCTGGGGCTGATAATTTATGCGCAAAAACAAGCAAAGTAGTAGGTATGTCGGGCAGACAGCGCAGCGCGGGTGTGATGTGACATTATCATGGGCAACAAACTTGACTGATAACGGCCGGGATTGTGGGAGTGTCACCCGCTTCAGCGAGGTTAGTATCGGCTCAATTAGGCGCGGGAGCGCAGATCATTCTGCCAAGGATGCGCTGATTGTGAGATGGATTGCTTTTTTGTTGAGACGCAATTCGAGTTTTGAATTGAGATCGATGGCATCTTCCAGCGTGTCGAATTCGTGATTGCAGCACAGATTGGTTAAAAAAACCTAATTGCTAGCGGTTGCTGGGTTGGGGAAAATTCCCCTCTGTGAGAAAAGAGAGCGGGACAATGACGCTTTGCGTAACACGAATCGCAAAGTTGCCTGTCCCCGTCTAGTTTAGCAGTCCACATGCAAGGGAGTGAGAGAGCAACAACTACTATTTGTGAGTTGAGCGGGGTGATGCTCTAGGGGCACCTTTGACGGCTCAAAGTGGAAAACTGCGGGTCATAGTGAACAGCTGCACTATTGGGCGCATCAAACAACAATCTTGAAAACCGCTGGGATTCAGTCAGCCAAGCTGATACATCGCAGGGGGGGGTCGAAGGGAAGCGGTATTTCTCTTTCGCTAGTAGTAGACATGGGAACGTGGACATTCTGCTCGACGTGCTCACAATGCTCGGAGGACACGGAAAAGTTTGTAGGTGGGCAAATATAATGTACACCTGGGCAGTAGGTAGCATAGATTGAAGTCGGGCTGTGTTGGCGCACTCTGACTGATGGGCTCTCTCTTGGGTCTACTACCGTTCTCTTCCTTCTCCTCTGGTATGACGTGTTCTCAATACCACCCACGCTGCTGCTGTAGAACGTGAGCATTCAAACGAATCATGCTCGGGGAAGAGAGAGTATTCCCCCAACCTCGCGGGATCCCCCTCGACTCGATCGAGACAGAGACATCACTATGCAGATAATGCATTGGTTGATGGCCGCTGTGGTGCGACGGGTTGGAGCTCCCCCACGTTCTCGGGTTACCCTGTGCATGCAGCTCGGGCTATAACCTGCCTCCGGTCCATGTTATTATGCTGGTCGTCCCACTCCGCTAGTGACAAGGTAGATTCAAGATGTACTCTGTATATATTAATAATATGCTTGGGGGGGTTTTTCTTGGAGTCGAGTTGTATTGGGTCATTTTGATGTTGCCCTGGGGGCACAATATTCTCGGCGAAAATTAGAGTGCATACTAGTTATTGAAAAATATACAGACCAAACATGACCTCTGTAGCGAGTACCGAATGATGCGATGCCCCTTGTCTTGCAATGTGCTTTATTGGGAAAAAGTGACGATGGGTATCAACATTGAATGTTGGTGAGGGGACAAGAATGCTGACGACTTTTCGCGCCTCCAATGTCTCGAGCCCAGAGGCTGCCTCTCTGCTGCTCAACAGTACCTGCATCTAACATGCTGTCGGTATGCAGTCGGTCCAAAACCCCACCTAGACTTGTGTCTGTATCCCGCCCCAAAGTCCAGTGGGTGGGTGAACGGGTGGTTAACTGGGCGCTCTGGCACCTCTTGAGCCCTCAACTGACGATGTCACCCCACGGCGCTTATGCTGGCAATTATGGTCATGACGGACAGCTACGTCTTACAGCGTCCTGCGGAATACCCTTCTGGGACATCTATGATGTTGTTCGGTTCAGGGACCGCTTCTGAGGTTGGTCCCCTGTCGAACCCCTCCAAAAGCCCAAGCGTCCTACCTACTGAATTTGCTTCCTCTCCTCTCTCCATCGGGCGGGCAGTGGACATGGTCTTTTGTTGTTGCAGCACATGGTTGCTTTCCTGTTGACTGCCTGGCTGCACATATATCTCTCGGCGCTGCCCGTTGAACTTCGCCGGTTTTGCCGTGTAACAAAGACGATCTGCTCAACCTCACAGTGCATACTCTCTGCCTGCCTGCCTGCCTGCCAAACCTTCAAGACCCTTGGGTGGTTCCATTGTCTGCCTTGCCTGTCAAGTCCGACTCCTGAACACACCGACCCTTCTTTTGTTTGAAGGGAAGGGGGGAGGGGCAACCTTCTGTTCAACAGAATTCTGGGGCCTGGCCCGGCTGCATTGCATCTGATTGCATCTGCGTCGGCATCGATCAGAGACATCTGCGCCTGATCTGGGAACCGCATCTTCACCACACCTGGTAACCTGCGTTACCTGCCTATCTTTCTATCTGATTTGCCTTGCCTAGGCAGTGGCCCGTCTCTAGATCGAGGACTCCTCTTCTTACCTACCTTGCCTTATCTACAAACTTATATCCTACCTACACAATACCAACCAACCCGAGTTACCCTGCCTATACTAATTACGGCCAAGGCTGTCCGGATATTCCCTGTTACCAGAGGAAAAGCTCCCCGCCCGGACTGAGAAAAGGTGCATACATACACTTTTTTTTTTTCACCTACCTGTGCAGGTTTCTGGAGCAGCCTTTTGCTACCATTCGTCGGCGCATGTTATATGTGGTCCCTCCGGTATTCTCCAGTCTCTCAAGTCCCCAACCCAAACTGGATGCATCAGCAATTGGCGTCGTTTTCGGCCCCATAAAGCGCCTTTGTGTTAGCCTAGGTTCCGTCGAATTCCCCGACTCAGGTCCTATCATTCGGCTGACAACTTATCTCGTGAGTCTTTTAGTAAGGCTTTCTGGTCTTGGGTTCTCTGGCCTGGGGGTGTGCCGACAACAGTCATCAGTCCGACGCCGTCGTCGTCGTCCTATTGTGTTTGGTCGCTTTGTTGTTTCTCTCTGCACAATTGGTAATTTGGGAAATTCGCAATCCCTTCCTCATTCTTCGTGATATCGCCAGAAGAAAGAAGAAGAAAATCTTTTTTTCTTGGCACGGCACCCGAACCTAAAATTTTTATTCTTTTTCGCCTCTGAAGGTTCTAAAGACGCTGGACTGCCCACCACCAAGACCCTGCCGCCCGTGTACCGTACCATACGGTCACTTTTCTGGGAAAGCACAGGACTCACATCTACCTGACCCCCCAAAAAAGCCTGTCTCGCTTCCCGCTGCCAATCATTCTCCTGGAATATTTTTTTTTTTAACTGCGCCGGTCACGCATCCTGTCTGTGCTTTTGGAGGGTCTGCGCATCCCGGGCCGGGCAGGGAGAGTTCCAGCAGGGTGGAGTGAGGAAGGGGATCATCTATTGACTACTTGTCTATTTATGTTTGCTGCTTTCCTTGGTGTGATATACGATCGGCGCATTTCATTTTCATGATGAATACTCCTAGCCAAATATCGTTTCTTGTAAGTTGCGCGCGTATTTGCTGGTCGTGATTTTTTTGTTTGGTTTCTTCCCTCCTTCTCTACTTGCCTTCCTCTGTCCATATCTCAAGCCATGACCCACGAAACCCGCGACATCGACCCTTGCAAGCCAGAGTCGGATTCACAATTCCTATTTTGCGGGTCCTTCATGGGATGAACATAAGCCTACCGTCTAAACACGCGCCATGACTAATACCCAGAGGACAAACTGCTGATGCTTTTCATGACAGGACGGCACATTCAGCCTCATACACATTCCATTGTGTCTATATCCGCTCTTTCTTCAGCCGATATTGCAGGTTCTCTTGCCGCAGGGAGACTGCGATCCAGACAACCTCGACGAGGCAATTGAAGGATTGAGTATAGACAACAAGCATGGCTTTCTCAATATCAGCATCACGCCAGTCGAGTGCTCAGTTGTGTGTCACAGCAACTGGGCCGAGAAAGTGTTTGAACCCATCATCAAGAGGCTACCCAAGGATTCCTCAAAGACTGTCATGATTTCAAAAGACACTTATCTGATTCTATCAGTTGAGAGTGCTGCAATGGATGCTGGCAGCCGAGTCATGGAGCTGACCTCACCACTCGCCATGGCCGGGATTCCCATCTTTTTCATTACGACATATTACTCGGACTTCATCCTTGTCCCAACAAAGGACCGGCAGACGGTGCAACAAGCTCTCCTGTCGAGGGGCTTTGAATTTTCAGACGAGTCCACATTTGTTTCGCCCTCAGCACATTCGAGGGGTCCCAGTGTCAGCAGCCAGCCCCCGTCAACACCGCCCCCGTCAAACATTGCCGAACTACAGACACGGACTTTTGAGCTCTTGAAAAAGCGCGACGTTGTGCCTTACATCGAGGATGGCCTCAGTCTAGTGCTCGTCTCTGGAAAGGAGCATTCCAAGACGACTCAAATGACCGACTATCGCCGTCCGGCCCCAAGCCGCCAGCCAACTGGCAATGGCTACAACAGTCGCAGAAGCTGGCTCGACAATGTTGATACTAAGCTCTACACTAGCCTGATATCAGTCTTGGTGTTGCAGCCCCGCTTCCTGTCCATGACCTTGGCTCAAGAAGACCCTCCTTCATTACTGCTCGACAAGCAGCATCTGGGCGTGTTTGGCGACTCGGTCGTGGGCGATATGAGCGGAGATCTCGTACCGATATTCCTCGACCTTGAGAACCTCACCCTCGAGGCCACGGGTATCGTTTCGGGCGTGGCTGGAAAGCTTGTCTCGGAGATGCACATGGTCGACACGGGCGTCAGCGAGCAGCTGTCGTATCTTTCGACGGCCAGGGCCGGCGCCGTCATCCTGTCGTATGACCAAAGCATGAAGGCTCTGGAGATCATGAAGCCGTTGCTGATCAAGGACTGACTCACCGACCAAGAAGAAGAAGGCAAACACCATAAATCGTGGCCTAGGAAGATATGGCCACTACGGGTAATGCATGGCGCGGACTAGATCATCGTGGGGGGCCTTGATTTGTTTCACAAGAGCGACCACGCAGCGAGAAGCTGGTATATAAAAATTAGGAGTTGGCTATGGTTTTCGGGATTATCTCGCATAAATACTGGCATCAGAAAGGAGTGGTTGGCTATTGTGCATAGGGAAAAGGGGGGGACCTTCTGGTTTTAGTATCTGGAGCTGGGCATTTTTCTCTCTCTCTTCTGGCGACTCCATCATTCAGACGCAGCATGTCATTGCGAGGCAGTATAGTACTAGCATTGAGATACCCAACTCTGACTCTTTTACGCAACTTGGACATTACTGCAATCTTAGGTGAACAGTGGGCTGACTGATTTTATTGTTTTGTATGTTGAAGAAGACTTATGAAGTAGGGGAAAACAAGTAAATAGTATAATAAAAGCGAGTGTGCGTGAGAGATAAAGACAAGTTGACAAATAGATGCAGAAAGAGGAGAAAGTTTGGAGCAAATAGATGAAATGATGAACCTCCAAGTGTTGTACCAAACACATTATTGCAGTCTTGCTCAACTCAAATAGCTGCTGGCCCGGCAGACCACATTCCTCAGACAATCCGTCGAATGTGAGTCCGCCGTATACATGTCGAAGGTATTGGCCAAACTCCCGGGTTGTCTTGAGCACGCTATTCACCACGCTGAATCCAGCGTGTGGTTACCTGCTTCGGTTCCTTGGGTTCCCACTTCACGCGCATTGCCTCGCTGTTGCAATTGACGCGGCAGATTTCCGTGTCGTTCATCTTGTTATTGGACCAACTTCGCCATGTTTTCCCTCACGTCATCAAGATCCCCTTCTCCGGTGATATGAGATGTCACATTTCCAACGTGGGCTTGCAACACTCTGCCCATTTTTGGTAAGAAGCCTGCATGCCCGCTCATTTCACAGCCTCATCACGCATCACGCATCACACTTTGGAGCAGTCATTTCTTTCGTCTCACATTTGTCTCTTTCCATCTGCTTTCTTCCGTTGAGCCTTGATATTATCATGCAACACAGCAGCTATACTTCTGGGCCTCTTCTTCTTACCACACTGGCATTGGCGCTGAGGTTGTGGGAACAAACAAGCTCAAGACTGGGTTCTTGCTATACAGCAGAGAATGAGACTGGGAATTAGAAATCAAGCAAAAACGATTCTCTGCAATCATACAAGGCTGGCCGTTGACTTTAGGGCCAGCGAAGAACATGAGATACGTAAAGAGGTCTCCGACGCGTTCAATTCGGAATTATTCCAAAACCCAGGGAAGGTGAACCGGATCCTTGACACACTCGATTCTCTGCTTCAATCTTTCATCGGGGGGAATTTGGCGCACCAGGTAGGGAAAGGGACTCAGAGATCTGGTAGGTATTTTGCAAGATTTTTGAAAATGATACATCACTACAATGTCATTCTAGATATTTTGATATCGCATTGTCCCAAGAATCTTGCCTTATCTAAGGCGTTGCGAAATTCCTTTCTGCTTTACTTATTTATCGTAAAATTCTTGGGGTGAAGGATTTTGACTCGTTCTAACTTTTCGGGAGACTGTGAATCATCAAAGGCTGCTTGGTCGCCTTCATACTACCGTCAATAACATTGCTATGATCGTACCACAGGTGGACCTCACGGCATAATCATATCCCGCTCAGTATGTCAAGAAAGCTGGCATAACAATTTATACGGACAACCATTTTGGCGGTTACCTGAGTGCGAGGAACGAGGTTCTCTCCGTGGGAGGTATCACGATTACATGGTTCTTATTGGCAATATGAATCGACTCACAGTGTAGACAAAGTGAGTAAGAAATAGGCAACGACGATCCCCAGAATTCAAGACTACTTAATCCTATGACCTTGAAATAATTAGAGGAAAGTCGCTGCCGACAAACTGGTTTGGGTCAACAACTAGGCGGCGGAGAGGTGAGTGAGTGAGAGATTTCTAGAGTATAATTTCATGGCACAGAATGTTTCAATGCTAGTCCTTCTAGCTTGCCTTTTCCATGCAATTGCGCTCCCTCTCCACGTATCGATCGTTGCTTGATTTCGCTATAAGGCCATTGCATTTCTCCATGATTTACACTACATATCAGACTACTCGAATTGTTCTGGGGTTTGAACCTATTACATTTTGATTAACGTAGCAATACCATGACCATGGCGTGTAGCATCAGGCAATACGGTGAGCTTTTTGCATGAAGCTGCTCGAGAATCAATAACACCAATCAACCCTTGCAGTCTGGCCATAACGATTATGCTTTATTTTGTGTCGTGCATGTCATTCGCCCATTGGCCAGGCTAGTGCAAACACTATTATATAAACATTATCTAGCATGTGATGCAAGCATTGTGCGAATAGAGCATGAATGCATCATCTCCCTTTTCGAATTGAGTCATACCCAAGACGCTGGGGGTGAAACCTAGAAAACTTTGGCTCTAGATGGATGCAAACCAATGAGTCGTCGACTAGAATTGTTGGACGTTGTCGCAATCCGGCCCATATCGTTGCGATATTCATCTGGAACTGACCTGCCAATTCTGTACAGCTCTGCACGACTCTATTTTCATTCATCCCATCGCATAGGATGACTGTGGTGATGGAGGACTAAATCGCTCACATCTCTTCTATTGACTCTATTTTCATCTGGCAGATCAGATGAAAAAAATTATTTCCATGCTTGTTCTAGAGGAAAATAGACACCCTCTTCTTTTTCTCTTACAGAGATAGGACTTGCGATGGTGCGCTTCATTCGTCTCATGATAGTCTGAGGGTTTTCCATTGAACTTCCTCTTTGGAATAGCTTCTTTGAGAAGCGTGGGCATGGGTGGGCAGGGTGGCTTGCGAGCAAGCGGGATGGGATGGAATAGAATAGGATCAAAGAAGAAGAAGAAGAAAAGTATCGTTAGCCGGAGAAAGGGTCGTCGCAATCTATCTGCTGCAAAAAGTCCGATGAGACCGGACGCCCAAGTTTCATCTCGTGTGTTGAA